GACTGACGGCTGATGATTGACAACCTGTGACTGACGATTGATGCCAGATAATCGATAGCTAACAAACCACCGATTTTCTTTTATAGCTTTGGAATTTGACTTAATCTGACCAAGCCTCGGCGGGTGGTTGGGACGGGCTTGGGTCACAAAGTGATAGTGGGATTTGTGCGGCTATTGAACTGTGAGTATTCGACTGTCCAAATCCCAAGAAAGATTGCTGACTAGCAAAAGAATTAGCAGATTATCCTTATGGCCTTTTTTGCCACTCCGAGTTAATCTCGTGCTTTTACCCACCCTGGTTGGGTGGATGGGACGGGCTTGGGTCACAAAATTGACGGTGGGTCTTTGTGTGGTTACTGGACTGTGAGTATTCGACCGGTCAAATATCAAGATTATGTGCTGACTGGATCAAGGTGGTAGTGGGCCATGCTGCTGCCTATATTGAGTATGACTTCGTTTGACGGATTTCTTTCGCGCTTTCACCAAGCTCTGGTCGGGTGGATGGGATGGGCTTGTGGTCACTGTGAAGTTGGCTTGCTGCGGTGATTGCCGTTGGGAAACGGTTAGTTTATGATTGGCCCCAAAGGGGAAGAAGTAACTGATATCAAGCGCAGTATAGTTGGCGTGTCCGAAGCCACGACAATGACGTCTTTTTGGAGAAACCCGACCTTCTCTTAGGACTGCTACCAAGCCCTGGTTGGGTGGATGGGACGGGCTTGGGCCACTGAAGTGGCTTACTGTGCGGATTATTGCTGAGAAAGGCAAGTTCAGGATTAGTTGCAAAGATAAGGAGGTGACTGACTTTATGTGAAGTTCGAATGCTATAATAGCATTGACGTTCCTTTTGAGAAAGAAGGCGAAGTTGGCATTGGGATTGCTACCAAGCCCTGGTTGGGTGGATGGGATGGGCTTGGCTGTCTTTGCAGAGATACTGGGCTCTGACGGTGACTTGAAAATCGTGGGTTCATATTCCATTTCTTCATTTACTTATACCTACTGATTTTCCGAGGCCATTTGGATGAATTTCCTGCAACCTCAAGGCCTGTCTCAGAGCTGTTATCGAGTCCTGGCTGGGCGGATGGGACGGGCTTGGGTCTCTTCGCAGAGACATTGCTTTGGCGGTTATTTGAAAATCGTGAGTCTAATTGCCATGCTTTGGATCGAATGTCCGTACTGATAGTTCGAGGCCATTTGGATGAGTTTCCTGCAACGTCTGAGCATAACGTTTGACTGCTATTAAGCCCTGGCTGGGAGGATGGGACGGGGTTGGGTCTCTTCGCAGAGATATTGCTTTGGAGGTTACTTGGAAATTGTGAGTCTAGCAGTCATGCTTTGTATTGTTATTTGGCTTGTGATACTAGAGAAGACCGACAGATAATGTTGGTCTATTTCTCCACGACTTACTTCAGGGACCATGCTAACGATTCTTTTTTATTCTTCAGTATCCTCGGACCTCCGACCACGGAACCCGACCATAAGCGACCCGTTCATTCGAGCTATACCTTGGTAACATTGGAGTCTGGAGTTTCTATTCGGTTCGCGTCGCTCTATGGCAAGGCCGGGATGGCCATTGGATAGGGTTGAGAGTTACCGACTGAGTGAACGGGCACGAGGAGGAACACATCGGGACATCGGCGTCATTTCTCATTCTATTGTATCGTCACTGACTTTCGACGTAACTTTTTGAACATCAGACAGACGACAACCAATTCGGTAGCCACCTGAAACAAGGTGGAGGGTTAGGGGCGGGCCTTCGGTCGTTCATTTCAACCTGACGATCAATCAACGCAACTTCGACAAAACATTCGGTAGCCACCTGCGATAAGGTGGTGAGATGGGCCAGGAGAAGACTAATCTCCTTAAGAAAGACCTATACTTGCGACGACGTATCGACACTGGGACTCTTCAGCAAAAAACATTCGGTAGCCACCTGAAATAAGGTGGAGGGTTAGGGGTGGGCTTTCGGTCGTTCATTTCAACCCGAGGACCGATATATCGACATCAAACTATAACGATACCACCCGATTAGAGGTGGTGGGAATGGGGCGGGCCTTCGATCGATTATTCAGACGTGACGACCAATCGATATCGACTATATTGATACTGCAGCTTTTCGACAAAAAACATTCGGTAGCCACCTGAAATAAGGTGGAGGGACAGGGGCGGGCATTCGATCGTCTATCTCAACGTGAGGATCGATTAACACCAACTATCTCAAGATCACGAAATTTCGACCAAAAACATTCGGTAGCCGCCAGAAGAAAGTAGAGGAGGGGCGGACTTCTGGTCGTTCATTTCAGCCTGACGACCAATCGATATAGACTATATTAACACTGAAGCTTTTCGACCAAAAACATTCGGTAGCCACCTGAGATAAGGCGGAGGGAAAGGGGCGGGCATTCGATCATCTGTTTCGACCTGGATCGACTAAAAGCAAATATCTCAAAACCACGGTTTCTCGACAAAGTATTTGGTAGCCGCCAGAAATAAGGTGGAGGAACAGGAACGTACTCTCGGTCCTTTATCTCTGCATGGCGATCAATCAACTATAACAGCACAGTTCTTCGACAAAAAACATTCGGTAGCCACCTGAAATAAGGTGGAGGGATAGGGGTGGGCCAAGAGAAGCATAGCTTCTCGTTCTCAGTTAAACCAGTACCGACACATCAACATTAAATTATAACGATACCACCCGATTAGAGGTGGTGGGAATGGGGCGGGCCTTCGATCAATCATTCCGACGTGACGATCACTATCAACATCCATACACCAATATTGAGCCTTCTTGGCCAAATACATTCAGTAGCCACTTGAAACAAGGTGGAGGGAATGGGGTGGGACAACGATCGTTCATTTCAACATGACGATCAACAGCGACGACAGTAGCACTTTGACTTGCGATTTTCCGACATTGCAACTTTCCGACCAAAAAATATTCGGTAGCCACCTGAAATAAGGTGGAGGGAATGGGGTGGGACACAGATCGCTCAAACACTCGATATCAGGATCATCATCAATATCAGAATTGACATCGCTTCGACTTGTCGACAACAGAAGCATACGGCAGCCACCCGCCGAAAGGGTGGAGGGTTAGAGGGCGGGCAACCTATCAACTTCCAGCATATGCAGGTTCGATTTGATTTCGGACGAGAACCGCACGACGTCGCTTCTCGACGCGATCAGCGGAACCACGGACATATGCGACTGGGTATCTGGTAGCTTATATCGTGGCTTGGAAGGTGACGAGGCATTGGCGATGGCGGTATCGTCGAGTTTCAATTTCAGAGACCATTGGGACGTGGGTGCACAGGGAAGAGACTACCTCTGTGAGTCTATTCCTGCAAAGTGGGAAGAGACAGTCGATCAACTGCTAATATTGGTATCTAGAGCTTGGCGTATACGTACACCAAAACCAGACTGCGGAGTGCATTGCAACTGTCCACGGATTGCTGCGTCCATGCGAATGGGCGGGTGGTTGGTGGGAGCAAACCAAATATTACGGCCATGTTGCAGCTTCCAATCATTTTGGGCTTGGGCTTGGGCTTAGGAAAGAAAACAGTGGCTCTGTCTCTCGGAGGAAATGGTTTTCTATATGAGTGTCTGTGTTCTCAATGTGCGTCTTTGTGAATGGGTGGGTGAATGGCGGACTTTGCAATCCTGCAGGGGCTGGTATGATGTAGTGTTCGGTTGGTGAAGCCTTTATTGATGACTGTATAAAAGTGTGAGAGCAAAAAAATGGATTGTTCGGAGGTTTGGGAGCATTGCAGGAAGAAATGACATTGCTCACCTCAATATGCTCATCTTAAGCTCGAGTAAGCATCAATGGTAGCCGGCAAGGTCTGGATGAGCTCAGCAACTGAGATCTCGAACGCAATCCTTCTATGTGGATTTGTGGTCGAGGCCATCCAGTGGGTAGGCAACTAAGGACTTCGGGAAGAGAGAAATTTCAGAGTGGATCTGATTCACTGCGGTGACCTCGCTGCCTGGAGCTTGTGGAAGGATCCAGGGAAAAAAAGGCAAGTGACTACGGAAGTCGCAATGCCGAGGTATGCAGTGAATGGTGCAGGCCTAAGTTTGGTGGCGAGACCATTTTGATGAAAATCTCCGGTTGAAGGGAGCTTCCAGCAAGGTGATGACTGGTCAGAGAGTGAATCTCTAACTGCAGAGGCTGGCGAGGATGGGCCGTTTTTGATCAGCTGACCCTGGGCATAAATACTCCCTCAAGCTCCCCCGTTCTTCCACCTTCTTCCTCGCCTTCCCCAAGACTCTCAACAGAAGACCTGGCTTCTGAACTGCTTTCCAGTCTTCGTGAGCTGATAACTTGATGTTGATTGGTATAGCCATCGCATGACTTATGTTATCACATAAGCTAGGCTGCCATCGTCAGGACTTTGACTTCAACTTCCACCTTGGTTCGATATACCCTCGCCATACCCTCGACATACCCTCGACATACCTTCGGTGCAACTCCGGATTTAGAAATGGAAGGCGGCAAGGTCCGACATGGATGATTGAGTCTGGGGTTCAACAAATGATCTGGATGTGGGACTTCGATATGGACCTCGGCAAGGGCATCGACAGGGAAATCGCGCGGCACGAGGTGGATCTCGACTTGGACTTTACTTCAACATAGAGGAGCACTCGGATAAGCAATATCTAATAGAGCTGACTGCACGATTTCGACAATCTACAAATACTAACTGGTTATCGGGTGGTGCCTGCCTTTAGGTAAGGCTTCACCCCCATGCTAATTATTAACATATAATCTAGTTCTTTTCTATTTGGACACGACGGTGTATGAACTGTAGGGATTGGGGGGTAGGATAGGACTGGACTACGACATAACGAAAAGCGACAGTTGGAATCCGACAGGGTCAAGTGTTGAATGCTTTGAGGGATGACTTCGATCGATGCGAACGAGCCGGACGAACCGAACGAGCGAGCCGAACCGAGGACACCGGACGAGCGAAGAATTTAGTGGAAGTATGGGGGCCCGACCAATGTCGACAGGATATTGCAAGAGGGTGGAGGATCTCAACTTGGGCGGGCTTGAGGCTTGGGACACCACATCGACTGGAACGAGCGCGCGGACCGGACCGGACCGAGCGAACCGGACAAACTGGAAGGACGACCAACTATCGACACGGGAGGTGGGCGGGAATACGACAACGGACGAGCTCGGCGGCACAGCGAAGAATAGAGGGGCAACGACTGGAAACGAGGACCAAATCGACGAGCGAACCGAACGGTCAAACGACGAACCGAGCAAATCGATCGAACGGACGAACGGGCAAACGAGTGGAGGAACGACAGGGAGCTTCGACAGGGGTGGGTGGACCGAAGTACGACAACAGATTCAGCAGGATAGCGAAGGATAGAGGGACAACGATGGGGAACGAGGACCGACCGGCGAGCGAACCGAGCGAACGGACGAACGAGTGGACGAACAGGAATGGTATCTCGACAAACTCGACATGGAGTCAAGAATAGAGGGAAAACAACAAGGAACCGAAAGAAAGGGACACAGGTGGAAGACCAGCAAAGAAGATTCGACAAAGAGGGGGATGGCAGGAGAAACAACGACGGGACGCCAACGAAAGAGATGGACAAGTATAGAGACTGAGGGCCGAACGAACGAACCGAGCCGAGCGAACGAATCGAGCGAACCGGGTGAACCGAATGGACGACATTTTATACTCCCCGGAGTACACTCATGATCCCTCGGGTCACGGAATCTTTTGTTTATCTTCGTTGCTCTGTGCTTTGCACAAGCAACAACCCCCTCTTTTTCACCAATTTGGTCGGCATGCCCGGCTGCTTGGAGAAGAAAAGTAGGCACTACTCAGAAAAGGAATCACAAAGATGGATGGCAAAGGAAAGCCATGGACGATGCTTCATGATGATGCATGCAAATAGAAAATGTCACGGCTAGCAAGCATGGATATGATATTTCGCTTCAATGATACTCTGTCTGTTACTCTAGATATACAGGATCTGCATCGTAGATCAACCCAATTTAGAAACCAACAGAAACCTCATATCCTTCCTCTATCTCCTGCACATCGAAATTAGCTTTGCCCACACAGTCTCCATACTCATACGGCTTTCCAACGGATCCCTCAACCCCCTCAACAGAAGAGATCGGATCCCAAAAGCTCGCATTCGTCGCAGGCAACGAGTCACACGTATGACTGGGCTGTGCGTTCCATGGATAATATTCCACAAACCCGACCTGCGAGTTCGTGATCCCGCCAGCGCCCTGAGGCAACGTATACGAGCCGATATGCGTAGAGTTTCCATCCTGGGTATCGACCAGCGTCCCTGTCCAGGTTGTAGTCCCCTGCTCGTTCTCAACCACCAAGTGGTAAGTGCGGTCATAGGGGGCAGGGATCTCGACGCTGCAGCTCACTCCTTCGCCACCGTCTGCGCCGTCGCTGCAGTTGTCGTCGGAGCTGGTGGATCCGGGCACGAAGCTGGAGAACACGGCGTGGATGATGCTAGTACCGGTGGTGGTGTCAGGACGGGGTTGGAGTCCTGTGTATCCGATGTCAGAGAGGCCGTGGAAGCCGTATTGCTGGGCAAAGTAGAAGCCTGTTTCGTGGGGCGCGTTGGCGATGGATATCGGGAAGGTAATGTCTGTGAGGCCGGTGGATGGGGCCCCTGTGACGCTCCATTCTACTCCGACGAGGGCGGAGGTGAGGGTTGGGAGGACGGAAAGAATGGCGGACGTTTTCATGGCGAGGTTTGGCATGGTGCTGGTGATCAATTCAGTGATCGATTGCTGGAGGATGGGAAAAGCTAGACGGAAAGGACTGGTTGTATATAAACACTTTATTGCCTGGCTGGAGTGTTTGAAGAATGAGAGGAATACGCAAGGGATAGCTAGCTAATATTGTAAAGAATGTATGATTGATCGCTCAACGACCAAGGAGGATGCAAGACAGAAGGACAAGGAACGAGTAGAGATTGTTGAACAATTCTGATAATTTGTGTTCCGTCAAGGCAGCCATATGTCAGTATTTATAGCTATTGCCTGGAGGGTAGTAGACGGTTAATTCGGCATAGGTACTCATAATCGACTGAGTCGCGCACTGACCCCATGATGAAGCCATTAGAAAATCGAAATACAAAACTGGGGTTGAATGGTAATGAATGGTAACATCAGGCTAACCGACCATCTAGTTGAAACAGGAGTTAATGAAGGGTTCGAGATTGGCCTCACGATGATTTGACAGGCAGCTTGCCGATCGATCGCTTATTGTCCTCGGCTCCACTGGACGAACCCAATATCGACCTAGCAATGTAACATTGATCAGATCATCAAACCCTGAATGCTCCGGGACTCGTGTTTCAAGATTTTAACGCCTTGAAGACGGACAAGCGGCCTAGGCTTTTGAGCAAGCTCCGACAAGTGAAGTATCGTTCTTGTTTGGAGAAGGTGGAGCCTGTTCCTCAAGGAAGCTATTGTGGAGCAACGATATTATCTAGGAAGACGGTATGGGTGGGTCATTATCTTCAACCAGGAGACGGACGACAAAGAATTGTTGGGACAAGAAAATAAAAACAAAAAAGATGAAGGATAAGGCGACAACCACAGGGTCCAAGTCCACGAGATTAGTTCATCTTGCAATGCTTCGTGCACATTCAGGAATCTGACCTTCTCTATGCGCAAGTCTAACCCTCTGCCCAGCCCCAGCACGGAACAATTGTAGCCTTGATATTCCCTCGTCTCTGAGTTCCTCTGGATATGGTATTTTCTTGTCGGAAATCGCGCTTCAGTAATCACATGAAAGCCCGCTGGTCCACAGCAGCCGATCGATAACAATGTCCGGCAATGCTTGTTCATGATTCATCACTTTGCTATGGTATTCGGTCGGGAACAAACTAGAATCATGGGAAAGAGCGATATGCTCAGGCCAGTGACTAGGAGAACGCACTGAACCTGGGGTAAGGCAATTCTTTGGCAAGTACCGATGGCCGAAGGACGTACGATGAGCAATCCGGGGAGTCATTGGCCTCGAAAGCTATTAGTAGACTTTCTGTAAGCAGTTGCGAATAAAATGAACGCATGGGTGCGAAATGATTATACGACCAAAATTCCCTATGCCCTTGGATCGTCTCATTCATAGCTTTATTCATATCATTAGAGAAAGGCTCGGCGACATACGGGCTTTCATGGATGTGACAATGAGGTGTTCGGAATCCATGGGTATGAGAACCGTGGCTGGCCAGAGAAGAGGAAAGGCAAGAGCAAGTACCAACGAAGCCTGAGGCATCCGTGGTAACCTTGCGAAGATTTCGTCACCGATCATCCATCCTCTCCCGTTTCAATCAACGTACACAACAGAAGTTTCTCCGAAAGCCATCTTGTGGCACCCTGCCTGTATTTGTGTCTGCCCTTAAGATCTAGCAGCTCGAAACCACTGGATGAGCGGAATTGAGCTCAGGAGACTAATTACACTAAGGACCAACAGAAACGTCCCCACCTCCAGAACAAATGCTTTCGATCACGGCAAGATCAGCAAGAGCTTCCCTCGGTCCAGCCTTCGAATCTGCCTTTCCGAGTGATGAAGCATGAAGAAACGCTTTGATTTCTTCTGAGACGCCTTGCCCATCGATCACATCCTCACTCAGAACCTTACCTCCTCCATCCTCGAGAACGATTCGCCAACCGCCATCTGCCCCAGAGACTGTGACAACCTTTTCATCACCCACAAAGATGAATTCAAATTTACTTTTGGCAGATGCGAAACAAATACTCAAAGAACCCAACGTCCCATTCTCGAACCTTAAAGCCGCATTCACCGTGTCCACAGGTGGGAGATGAGAATGGGTTTGCGCGACAAGACTTGCAGTACTGACGATTTCTTGGCCCGAGATATACCGGATCAGAGCGACAAAATGCACTCCACCGTCCAGGATAAATCCCCCTTGATACTCGGGGTTCTTGCGCCATTCGGTTTCGTACCATTTGTTGCTAACAGGACGAATGTTCGACCATACCCGTGCGTGAACGTGCTTTAGACTTCCAATTTTTCCTTCCGCGACGAGATTCCGGACATGGGTGAAGCCACGGTCATAGCGAAATTGCTCCGCGATGGAGAACACCAAACCTTTTTGTTGAAAATCCTTCTCGTATTCGAGGATAAGCTGGGAAGCGGCTGCCACGTCTTTCGCGATCGGCTTTTCGCAAAGTACATGCTTGCCTGCTTCAAGACAGCGTCGGACAACGGTGGGTTGTACTAGGATGGGCAGAACAACGATGCAAGCTGATATGTCGCTACGAGAAAGTAGATCCGATAAACCTCGGCCATGGGCTTCTTCCTCATCGGAGTACACGTCGATTTGGGAGGCTGAAATACCGAGATCGTCGGCTGCAGATTTCAAGGATTCGGCTGAACGAGTTGAGCGCGAATACACCGCAAGGAGATCGGCTTTATGCTCGGCTATCGCAGGAAGATGGGCTGGTAGATACTTGTTATTCTCGTCAATTTGTGACTTTTGAGGTGGTTTCATTTACCCTCTTTAGCGAATATCCCAGCCCCGAGAAACGCGATTCCGACCATGATGTCACGAGCTTGAAGTTATGCTGCTATTTGACCGATCTCAGGATTTACAGCAGACGCTGTCGTTGGAAAACCCCCGCGTTTATCGAGCCAAATAATGAATTGATGTTGTCAGTCAGCTCCCCGCATCACCAAGTATAATCCGGCCCTTGCTCCGGCACCGAACCGGCTAGCGTGAAGTGAGGATTCGATCTACTAAAGGAATACTTGGGAATATGTCCGATCAATTCTCGACAGGAGCCCTCGGAGACAAATAGGGATTCTTAGAACGAAAAACATGAATGACATGTCATCATTGACAAGACCGGTTGATTTAAACATGTTTCCCCGTCATCAATGTCGATATGGACGAACCATTCGACTTAGTGGATCCCAATTTTCAACCAAGCAATGAAAAAAGCGCGTGGGCGCTAGAAAGCCGGTCCCTGAGACATACATCAGATGCCTGGGTTTTACTTAATGAGATGTTACATCTTTCATTCGGGTGGATCTGGGGCGATAAATCAATGACATATCAGTGGCTGATAGCAAAGTGGTAGTCAAGGCAGATCCAAATTACAGCGTGTTCCACCTACCGTCTTGGTGAAATGGGCTTCCAATTCTTGCTCGTGAGTAGGGCTGTGTCGGAGGCTCTCTGCAACTGCCCACCACAGGATACATGGGTCCAACTCGTTCTCCTGAGCTGTTACTCTGCTGGCGCGCAAGGCTGTGTAGCTGGAACTGGACAGCACAAGTGCTTGTGAGAGGCAGAGACTCTCCCCATTCTTTCACTTTCATTCATAATATTTTTGGCTCATGGTCACTCGCTGACAGGCCTATACTCCATGCGATCCTTCATCAGGAAATTGCTTTTCTGTCTCGGTATTTTAATTTGCTGCGTCGCGTATGGAAAATTGCATTTTTATCGCGACCCTGGTAGTTTTTTGACGACAAGAACAATGCTTTCGAACAGCTTTATTCAGAGCACCGCAAGAGAGAGATAGATGATTTTTACAATCACGAATAACTCCTACCACAGACGAAGACACGAAGTCGGGTCCTCGTCCAGCCCTGTGTGCGGCATTGACTTCGGTACAAAGAAGGAATGCCCAATATCTGGAAGTACGTGCTCGATCAACAGTCGTGACTGTAACATGCTGATCCAATAAGTCTGCACTAGGGAGCCTAGTCCAGGGGCTGACCAGGCAGGAAGGACAAGGTTTAGACCTTACCGTTCTTATCGCCGAGGCCAACGCATCAACGCATTCAAGCTGGGACAAACAATAGGCTCACAACTTGGCCGACAACCTATATACGTATAACGTGTCGACCAAAGAACAGTCGTACCTATATCGTCTGCAACAAACAAGGAAATACTCGGAGAAGGGCGCTTACGATTATGTTTACGCGTTGAAACCATGCTTCGAAGCGGGAACACCGTACGTTGCGATGTTGGAGGATGACATTATCCTCGCCGATGGGTGGCTCATCCGTACATTGACAGCTTTAAAGCGAATTTCCTCTTCGGGTAGAAGCAACTGGCTCTACATGTGGCTCTTCAACAAAGAGCTATCTATCGAATGGGCAAATCAATATGTACGGGGGAACAATGAACACTGGATTATATTTGGAATTGGAGCATTCCTCTCTAGCTCTGCGCTTTTTGCACGGAAGAGATGGAGGACAGCGCGGAGCTGGATTAACATTGAAACATTATGCATTGTGGTTTTGGTTTTGAACTCGACCTTGGTCATATTATTCTTTCCGTCGGGCAAAGCTTCGTTTATGCCGCCGTCGCCGGGAGTCGTCGAGGAGCCGTTTGGCTGTTGCTCAAAAGCAAAGGTATTCCCGAGAGAGAAGATACCGATGCTTATAAGCTTTTTGGAAAAGAAGCGAAAGGGTCAAGTTGATTTACTACTGAATGATCTGGCGGAGGAGGAACAGCTGGGTAGATATGCCATGTATCCGGTCAGGCGCAGCATATCGGTAAGTTATATTTCATTCTTTTTCTTTTTCGTTTCTGCACTTCTCGATCTTTCTTGTCTCTGTTCCACACTTCTTCCTTCTGCTTTTCCTTTATTGAAGTGAGCTAACATAAAGAAAGGTCTTGAATCTGCTAGAAAGACATTAAAGACCGAAGCACAAGCCATTTGGAGCATGGCGTTCGAAAACCCCGATGCTTCGGCGCTAAGGACTGAGTATCTACAAATGGTTAACGACTATTACTCTCGCTAACAAGAATAGTGACACAGCCTGAATTTGTACATAGACTATTATGACAGCCATCGGTGAATATGACCAGAACAAATCGTCCGCGGATGTCCTAGTGGACCGACAATCACTTCCCCACACAAGTAGACCGAGCATTTTGTCTATTGGGTTCTAAATGCCGTGAGTAACCCCTAGTTCATATTGCATGGGAGAACGGCCCGCGGAACCGTGCAAGAAAAACCCGTGCACACCAATAGAATCGGTCGGCAAAAGTAGACTGAAATGAGACCTGAAAAATTGAGCCCTGCAGATATGCGGAGTCAACAGCATAATTAAGCTTAACCGACAGTTCGATCAGCTGCAACAACTGCCGGGTGTAGTTCCTTGCCGAAAGAGGCACGGCCATGGAGAACGTATGATTTCGCCATGCGGGGAGCAAACAGGTCTGGTCAATGATTATGGACGCTAATAGCCCGAATTCTTAGACCCTGAAATCGTCATTTTCTAGACTGATAGAATGGTCTGGATGTCTTGGCTAGGGTCGAGGTGGAGGGGATGCACTACCAGGACATGATTCCGGGTAAAGTGCCATAGCCTAGACCTACACTGCTTCAATGTACCGACTAGGCGACATTCATTGCACAGAACGCCACATAAAGCCACTCATATCGGTTCTGAGCGGAGACAATGTGGTCTCTCCGGACACCACACAGCCGATATGCAAGTGACGAGCCGTCTTGTGACCTTCTCTTTCCTGCTTATTCTCACGATGGCTAATGGGCAAGAAGCATTCTCATGGCCATGCCAAATAAACCACGGAAAGCCGGGAGTTCGGCAGCCGATTCCGCATCGTGTATGGCTTTTGTTACTATATAATGCGCAGTTACGCCGGCAATTGGAAGTGCAACCCATCACAAACAAAATGCGGTACACTTCGAGTCTTGCATTACAGGTGTTGCTCTCCGCTGCAGCCGTCCAGGCTCAGCAGACTCTTTGGGGTCAATGTGAGAACTTAAGCCCAGCGTTCCTTTTCTTCACGAAAATTGACTCACCATTACAGGTGGCGGAGCTGATTGGTCTGGACCCACGAGCTGCGTCGCAGGTGCAGCGTGCAGCACCCAAAACCCCTGTATGTCTGCCTCCAAAGCCTTTTGCAATTGAGACTTACCCAGAGACCAGACTATGCTCAGTGTGTGCCTGCAACTGCAACTACCTCGACTACCTTGACTACCTCGACCACTCTGAGCACCACGACTCGGGTTACTACTACCACCGCAGGAGGATCAACCACGACGAGAACTACCACCTCGGCCACCATCACGTCTGCGCCATCTTGTAACCCGTTCAGCGGATACCAGCTCTACGCAAACTCCTACTATGCCTCGGAGGTGCAGAGCCTGGCTATCCCTTCTCTGACAGGCTCTTTGGTCGCAAAGGCTAGTGCTGTGGCAAAGGTGCCGTCGTTCGTATGGCTGTAAGTAACACTTTCACCGCACCTGCAACGAAACTTCACTAATTGTATTCAGCGACACGGCTGCCAAGGTTCCCTCCATGGGTACTCACCTGGCGGACATAAAGTCGAAGAACGCCGCCGGCACCAGTCCCCCGATCGCAGGTATCTTCGTGGTTTACGATCTCCCGGACCGGGACTGTGCCGCTTTGGCCAGTAATGGCGAGTACGCAATCGACAAGAACGGCGTCGCGAACTATAAGGCATATATCGATTCTATCCGGGCCCAGCTGCTGAAATATTCTGATGTGCATACCATTCTTGTCATCGGTAAGTCCCACTCCATCTTAATTATTCGGGAAATGGGTCTTTGAAACTAACGCAAACCAGAACCTGACAGTCTGGCCAACCTCGTAACAAACCTGGACGTGCCTAAATGCGCGAACGCCAAGTCCGCCTATCTCGAATGTGTCGACTACGCGTTGGAGCAGCTGAACCTGCCCAATGTAGCAATGTATCTGGACGCGGGTATGTCCTCTCTGCCCTGTGGACCTCACACCACAACCTCTTTGGAGATATGAATCCCTCAACTAACCAAGTCCATGAACAAACCAGGACACGCGGGATGGCTCGGCTGGCCCGCCAACATCAGTCCGGCCGCGCAGCTCTACGCATCGGTGTACAAGGACGCCGGGTCCCCCGCCGCACTGCGTGGCCTGGCTACTAACGTCGCTAACTACAATGCCTGGTCCATCGGCACTTGCCCTTCATACACGCAGGGGAACTCAGTTTGCGACGAGAAGAAATTCATTAATGCGATTGCTCCGCTTTTGCAGAATGCTGGCTTCCCGGCTCATTTTATCATTGATACTTGTGCGTTCTTTCCCTCCCCCTCTTTCATTCCAGTCAGGCCCAATATATCTCTCCTATGTCTCACAGGCCCCCCAATAAGGATAGCAGAAACAAAGAAAGGAGAAAAGCACTAACCACTGACTCATCTAAACAAAACAGCCCGCAACGGCGTCCAACCCACCAAACAAAACGCCTGGGGAGACTGGTGCAACGTTATCGGCACGGGCTTCGGCGAGCGATTCACCACCAACACGGGCGACTCTCTCGCCGACGCCTTTGTCTGGATCAAGCCGGGTGGCGAGAGTGACGGGACGTCTGATAGCTCCGCGACTCGGTATGATGCGCATTGCGGATACAGTGATTCTTTGAAGCCGGCGCCTGAGGCGGGGACTTGGTTCCAGGTATGTTGAGGTTCTATTCTTGTTCCGGTTATCTGATGGGGGTTTATGCTGACGTATTGGGGTAGGCGTATTTCGAGCAGTTGTTGGTTAATGCGAATCCGTCTTTCTAAGGGGTTGATCGAGCAGGGTGGCTGAGGTAGTGACCGATTTTGTTGACTAGGGTGATAAGGGAATTTGAAGAGCCCTACGCAAACTTCCAATTCTAAGTTTCAGAAGCGAAGTGCTACTCAATCATTTCAAAACCCTGCCGACTCTCTCACCATCTCTCAACATACTTCTGAAAGAAACCCACATAATCAAACAAACTCCTCTTATAAAACCTCGTAAAGCGTCCATCCGTCCGATTCACCCCCTGCAACCCATACTGTTCCCCATAACTCCCAAACTCGTTATTATCTTGCAACGACCACGCCAGCGCCCCAATAACATTCACTCCATCCTCCTCCCTCGCCTTCATCGTCTCGGATAGGAAATCGTAATAATACAGCGTTCGCTCGAGGTCATATCGCTGCGCCGACTCGGACCGCTTACTTTCCTCGAATGGGTTGAATCCGTACTCCGCGATCAGGATCCCGGACGGTCGGTACGTGTTCCAGATGTATCCGAGCTGTTGGCGCACGTACTGCGGCGCGATGTATGCGTAGTCGTTGGATGCGTGGCCCATGGCCCAGCCGTTGGATTGGATGTTGGTGAGAGAGACGCAGGTGGGCCAGGATGGGTGCGAGGTGTTGGTGACGCATGATTGTTCGTCTGCGAGGGGAGTGACGAACTGAGCTGTGTAGGGGTCGAAGGACCAGAAGTCCATGGTACTGTGTATGTGTGTAATCTGGGCGTCTGTAAGAGGTGTGAGGTTTGTGCCGTTGGTGTTGGTGTTCAGGGTTTCCTCGGGGTATTGCTGGCCGAGGAAGAGTGGGTTGGCCATGATGCCGAGGATGAAGGACTGGTAGCGCGTGGCGGCGGCGTGGTGGGTTGCGTTTTTGAGGTCCTGTGGGACGCCGAGGTTGTGCGCGAATTTGAGAGTGACCTTGCCGGTACCGCGGAGGGTGTCTTTGTACCATCTGTAGACGTCGGCGTGTGCGAGGAGAAGCTGCGTGAGGTCGCCGTAGGAGGAAAGCATGAGGCCAGGGGAAATGTTGGGTTCGTTGAAGGTTACCCAGTAAGGTACGCGGTCGGCGTAGCGGGTCATTGCGATCTGGGCGTAGTAGAGAAAGTGGGAGCGCAGGGAGTCGACATCCTCAGTGACAGAGGGGGGCATGTCGGCGTGGTTGAGCGTGACGATGGGCGTGACGCCGTACTCAAGACAGGTGTTGATGAGGTCGTCGTAGTGATCTAGACCTTGTTTGTTGATCGGGGATCCGGCCACACCGAAGGGCAGGATGCGCGACCAGGAGATAGAGAACGAGTAGTAAGGAACCCCGATGGCGGCAAGACGAGCAATGTCTTGCTTGTAGAGGAAGTAGTGCATGTTTGCTACGTTGGAGTCGTTGAGACTGCCGGTCTCAGAGGACAGGACGTTGCCGAGTTCATCCAATTTTCCGGGTCCACGACCTTCGAGCTGTAGAGCTCCTTCAATTTGCCATGCGCTGCTTGAGACGCCCCAGATGAAATCCTTGGGGAATCGGTATCCCGTGTCCGGAGGCGCATTGTATAAAGCCGGAGGAAAGACCAGCTCAGATTTTGCCACTGGAGTCGGGGATGCGGTCGTTGTGAATGGAGGCGACGTGGTATAGGAATAATCCTTCCACAGTGCAGCGTATGCGCTTTGGCCATACTGACCGTCCGGGGAATGGGTAATCGTAGGATTGTATGAATACGTCGTGGTAGTGACGTTATCCGGTAGCAACGTAGAGGCATCACGGAACGGAGGAGCGAAAGGGGTTGGGAAAGAAAGCGAGGAAGGTAGTGGCGTCGCAAAAACATCTGACGTCACCGGAGTATACTGGAACGATGAGTAGGAATGGGATGCCTTAGGTGAGGGTGAGGCCTGTGGAAATGCCAGCGCTGGAAGAGCGCACTCGAGCGCAAGACTTCCAATGGTCAACCAAGATTGACTTGAAGGCATTTTTTTGGGTTTAACCTGTGTACATTGAATCGCGCACTGGAAACCCCGCAAATTCAATTCTTAAATATTTGCAACCGGAATAACCTCGGGGTGTCCGATCAGCTTCACGATCCCCGCAATATCGCGGGGAATGACGATCATCGCCAGTTCGGATAACCCGAGAACTCAAGGGGAGGCTATTTATTCCCTTAGGTAACGGAATCTTTTAGCTCGGAGCAAACGGGCGGCAGTTGAAAGTTCCATGGCTCTGTTTTCGCGTGGTCTTAGTAAGGATTGAAACTGTCGGTCTTTGGGTTAAAATATCACATACCCCGCAACCCCACAGCGTTGTTATAACCCTGAAGAATCAGATATTTATTCAGTGGAGTCAGGAAAGGCGCAGGCGTCTACCCCACGCTAGAGTTATAGGTCTCCACTCCGAGATGCTGCCCTGTTTTGAATCGATTAATATCCCCAGATAAGCTTTTTCATGACGCGATAGGGGAACTTCTGGAGCTCACGTCTGCATCAAAAGGTGATATAAAATGTGATATCAACATCTTTCACCTGTTGTGGAAGCAAGGGGTTGCTGTGGGAAAGGAGAGAACCGAGGCAAGGGATGGCGGGATGGCATAACAGAGATGATGGATAACTGCTGCCTGCACTTGAATACAGAATATGAGCATTTAGAAACAAATCATTATTTACTCATTATTCTGCTGCGATTCAAGAGGGCTCATCATATTCAGCCTACAATTCACCTTCTGTTGGGCATAACAGCATTGACAATGATGGCATCTGACAATTACATTGCACATGCGCAGCGCAGCCCTAGCTAGGGGTTGCCATTTTGAGCTACTACAACTGACCTTACGATATCTATGTCGCAATAGAGACACAATAACCTTCAATAAAACCCCTATTCCCTAGATATCCGCCAAGCAGAAGATATACCCGGAGATCTAGAGCTCCCCGACGCCAAAACCTTAGACATTCTAAGCACATTCCAGGGGCAAGGCATCCTTCAAGAACAGGAATGCACTCCTGCAATAAATACAAACACCCCTCCTCCCAACATTCACAGTGGGCCATGTCGCATCTGAGCCCTGGTGCTCACACACTGCACCATGTGGACGCTCCTCATACTCGCATTCATCGCGGGCCACATATCACTCGCAATCTGTCAACACGCTATTCCTCCATCGCAAGATGCCTGGTATGATCAGCCAATCGACATCGACAGCTACGCGCCGGGTCAGATAATTCGCACCCGTCAAGTCTCTAACAGGCTTCAATCGCTACTGACTCTTCCCGTGGACGTCTCGGTCGAGTCCGTCCATCAGTATATGTATCGGACGACAGATAGTTTGGACAATGCAGTCGCCGCGGTGACTACTCTCATGGTGCCGTATGATTCGCATCCCACAAAACTACTCGCCTATCAAACCGCCTACGACACCTCCAACGCGGATTGCAGTCCGTCTTATACACTCCGGTACCGATCTTGGCTGGACGGAACAACCTCGTTAATCAACAGCACTGCCCCAAGTGACATGCCACTCGTAAGACCCCAACCCCTCCATCCCCTTCAACCCATCCAAACTAACAGCCTATCCTTTTGGAACAGCTAGCCGCAGCCCTCAATCAAGGCTGGTGGGTCCTCACAACCGACTACGAAGGCCTCGACGGCCACTACGTCGCGGGTATCGAATCCGGCCGCAGCACACTCGACTCCGTCCGCGTCGCCCTCACCGAAGGCCAAAAGATCGGCCTCTCGCCCGATGTCCGCTACGCGATGGCCGGATACTCAGGGGGCGCACTGGCCTGCGGATGGGCCGCCGAGTTGCAGCCCTCATACGCGCCGGAGCTCGAGTTTGCGGGCGCCGCGCTAGGCGGGACGATTGCGAACGTGAGTTCCGCGCTCCGACTCATCCACGAGAGTCCGTTCGTGGGGCTTGCGTTTCAGGGCATCCATGGGTTAGGGAAGGCGTATCCGAACTTGACGGAGTGGTTGGATGAGAACTTGCGGCCTGAGAAGAGGGAAGAGTTTTATCATATTGCGAGGGCGTGTACGGTTAAGGAGACGGCGGAGAGGGCGGGGAGCCAGGATATCTTTTCGTTTTTTGAGGGTGGCGGGGACGCGATTGAGGAGGATGTGCTGGCGTCGGTGCTCAGGTGGGCTGGAACGATGGGGGTAAGGGGGACGCCGAGGATGCCGATGTTGGTGTATAAGGCTGTCAAGGATGAGATTAGTGCGGGCGAGGATACGGACGAGTTGATTGATAAGTATTGTGAGGATGGAGCGACAATTGAGTATCATCGGGATCTGGTGGGGGGACATATCACGGAGGCGATTACGGGGTCGGCGAGCGCGTTGAATTGGATATCGGAGAGGTTGGATGGGAAGAGGGTGAGGCATGAGGGATCGTGTGTAAAGCGGAATGTGGTTCTCACGGACCTGGATAGAGGCACGATTGCTTATTTCGGGAAGGAGGTATTTAGTTTGTTGAAAACGGTTCTGGGTGGGATGTTGGGGAAGTAGGATGTTTGGTTCATATGTATAGATTGATATTTGGTATTCACATAGTGCTTCACAAGATAATATGGCTAGAGAGAATTGATATCACCAACTTGCGAAACCAGCGACTTGTGGGGAAGTAACCCTCCCGATCTACTCAATGGCGACATCTGCGCAGGACAGATAGATCTGTCCAGTCTGCCAAGAGTTCCACTTGAAAGAAAGCAGAGTATGGTTGGAGACGTAGTCCGGAATCTTCACCTTCTTCGTCACCGTATAACCCCCGGCAATGCTGGTGTAGCACGAGTTCAGCTCCGCGTTATCCACACCTTGACACTTGGGCCTGTCCGAGGCCTCGAACCCATTACATGTGAACCAGTCATTGCGCCAACACGCCTCGCCCTCCTCGCAGTCCGCACTGTACCCGCATTCCTGGCCGTCGACGTCTGTGCACTTCAACAGGCCCTCGTTGAAGCAGTCTTCCGCCTCCTGCTTCTCATCCTCGGTCGGCAGGTAGTCGGGGTCGAGCAGCTTGTCGACAATATCTTGGTTCTGGCAGATGCGGTAGCTGAACATGCCGCCGTGGTCGCCGTTGTGGTCGACACACCACTGCACTTCGATCTCGTCGCCGGCTTTGTACGTCGCGACAGTCGAGGTGCCCCAGTTGCTGGTGGGTTGGTTGTAGTCGATTCCGTCGCGGGCGTTGTAGCCGCAAGGGCCGCTACGGCTGATTGGGGCGGCGTCGAGATCGGGCCAGGACTCAACGGGCTCAAGGATGGCGCATTCGGGGCAGGAGTCAACTCCGGCCTGGAGCATGGTTAGAACTTTGCTATAGAAAGGGAAGAGAGGTGCTGACCTCGTTGCCGAGCTTGGTGCGGCTGTCAGGGATGTACATGTATCCGTGACCTGCCACGGTGGTGGCAAGGGCCAAGGAGAGGACGGTGTTGACTGTCTTCATTTTCAATGTGAAGAGAGGCTGTTCTTGATGTAGAGAATTGCTCTGAGGTTTGCTGTTGAACAATATAATCAAGGCAAGACCTCAACGCCCTTATATACATGACTAGATTAAGATCAACACCTAACATCGGCCCGAGATAAATGACTCAAGTCCGACGAGACAGGGAGCGGAGAATCCATGCCAGTGAGACGAGTAGCTCAGGCACCGGAGAATCATCTCCAGTCTGCGGGACCGCTGATCATCTGCGCTGCAGAGAAAGATATTGAGATCGGATTGGTCAGGGTCGGACTAGCAATGCCAAGGGTAATTTATCGTGCCTAGCCGACGTCGTATATCGCGGTCACTAGGAGGCTAGTCGCGACTTGGCAGGCTGGGAGATTGGATGAGAAGGTCCGGTAAAAGTCCGGTGCCTCGACTGCCTGTTTCGACGTCCGTGACGATTGTAGAAATCCTGCTGACATGGTCGACTTTGGGAATTGTATCTGTCAAGTTAGTTAAAGGTGGAAGACGTATTCCTGCCAGGTGTTGGTAAACAAGACAGGTGGATAGTAGTAAGGTCAGAGCAAATTGTATGCTTATGTGACATCATGCAGTCGGGTAATAATAGAATAACAAGAATTATTGCGTGCAGAAATGGTTTGATGGTGGCGCTGTATATCCTGGTCGTTTCGCGCTCGACCGCGGGTGGCGCTCTGCTACCCCGTATTCCTCATCTCTGCAGAAAGTGGACTTATTCAGACGCTCTAATCATTAGATCCCCATAATTCTACACAAGAAACCACCCTAGTCCCACTGTTTCCCGGTCCATATCTTTACCAGCATGGATGCCCAGTAGTCTCGGCCTTTGATTGCCCACACCACCGAGCTGGGCAGAGTATACCCGAAGGCCATACCAACGCCCTTGTTCTGCCCGATCGGCACTAGCTGCGATACCCTGGTGTCTTCTTTAAAAATCTTGTCGCCCCCAACTTCGGTTTCGGTCTTTCCCGAAGCGAGAAGAAGATCGCGCTTAATGTTGGCGCCAAGGACGGGAATAGCCTCGGTGATATTGTGAACCGACGGTTTCCCAAACGACGAGGCGTCGCCGATGCCATAGACCCGCGGACCGGCTCTATCCACACGCAACGTTGATGTGTTGGTTTCGACACGGCCGTCGGATGCTAGAAGCGATTCAGACAAGAAGCTTGTATTAGGTACTGCTCCCATCGCGGGAATGTAAATGTCGGCTTCGAGCGTCTCCCCATTGTCAAGAGACACAGTCGTTTTGGTCGCAATTGCAGTTTCAGTGCCTGCGTCGGCTGGCGTCACACTTTCGACCCGGGTGTTCTTGATCACGGTCACGCCAACGCGAGCGAGGAAATCCTCGGCCTTTGCCGCATTCCCGGGAGTCATGTCGGGAAGAATTTGTGAGGCCGATGTCACCACCGTGACTGGGACTTTTGGATTTTCCAGCTTGCAGCTAAACCAGCCTGCCCGACCGTTCAAATACTCGGCCAATTCGCCGGCGACCTCGACACCGGTAGGACCTCCACCAGCGATGACGATGCTCTTGGCAGCAGGAAGCGCTCCCCGCAGACTGGCCCAATTTTGGCGCAGGAATTCGTCGTCCCGGAGTAGGGTGATCAGTGGCGAACGGGTGGATGCGCCGGTTGCAATGACAAGAGCGTGATAGTCGATCGTCTCTACATTCCCATCTACCAGATCGATAGTGACATCTCGACTGTCGTGATCGACGCGCGTCGCTGTGCCATGCACAAAGCGAAAATGCTCACCGGGGTACTGCTCAAAGGACTTGGGAATGTTGATAAAGAACTTATCCTGTGCGATCAAGTCGTCGGCAATCATGGCGCGAGGACAGCCGGGTCGACAGATGGCGGTTGCTGAAGGGCTGACCAGGATGACCTGGTGCGTTTCCTGGTCGGGTAATTGAGGGATGACGTGTTTGAGAACATAATGGGCGGCGGAGATCCCACCGAACGAGCCTCCCAAGATGACGATGTTTTTATGCGGCGTTGACATGTTGATGATGATGGACTGTTCTCTTTGTGTCGTGGTGATCTATCACCTAACTTTTCTAGTGCAGACTGACCGTTTTATATATGTTTGGCAAGTGTCCCTGATACCTGGCTGAATATCGGATCGGCGGGTGGTTTGGAGGCCGACCGTCGGGCGATTGTCCGATGCTGTTTCCAGGAGCGAGGGAAAAAAGCAAGATTGAGAGATGATCGCAAGGGCGGACTGTCAGATCGATGGAGTCCGAGTAGCCCATCTGGGATTGTTTGGGTCCGTTCGTTGCCTGAGCGCCAAGAAGGTTTGTCTGGTTTGCACTGCAGCTATTGTGGGGTGCCTGAGCTCTGAGGCAGGAAGTTAGACACTATTCAGGATTCAAAAATTATTTCTTACAGTTGTCTTCTTTTTCTTTTTCTTTTTCTTTTATTTTCTGTATTTACAAAAGCACTTTTCAGATTTCGGCCCTGCAATTAGCATTCCGTTCTTAAATTTTGCATTTATCCCATAGTATGATCCCTTATTGATCCTGAAAGCCGCTCTAGCAACCACCTCTCTATGGTTTGATCCGCCCTGTTGACACCAACGGACAAGGCATATACTTCGACGTTCAATTTGAACACCATATAACACACTCATTTATATGCACAAGTACATACGACCACAGGGTGTGGAGAACAGGGCTTCCCGTCCGCTCAGCCGTACTTAAGCCACACGCCGGCCGGTTAGTAGTTGGGTGGGTGACCACCAGCGAATCCCGGCTGTTGTATGTTTTTGCCTTTTGCCATTTTCTTTTTGGTGCAATGGAATGGGGGTTGTTGTTGCTATTTTTTCTACTGGTAGGGTTGACCAAGTCATATATACCCTCTTCCTCCTCCACGGCTCCGTTGCGCTGATGACCCCATTTGCGAGGTCTTGCCAGTCGCCGAAATCTACGGCTGAATCGCCTGATTACCATTCATGTCCATTGGCATTGTTAGAACATGGAATTATGCAAGAAACGATACAATTGGCTGAATTAACACCAAGAAAGGAACGAGGATAATATCTTAGTGGCAAATGTGTGGTATATACATGTACAGGTATCCTCCTTCTATCCGACTCTCAGGACAATTTCGCGATATGGCACAATAATAATGAGGTTTACCATCCTCCGTGATGCTATTGAATGTTAGCCATTTCTATTGTATGTCTCAATTGTTGAGCTTGTGCTACTTACGCCGCCGGGAGGGCCATGATGACCAGGACCACCAGGACCGCCAGGAGGACCCCCGGGAGGGCCACCATGAGGGCCAGGGCCATGAGGACCAGGATGACCGAAAGAACCAGGAGGCCCCTGATGTCCAGGGGGAGCATGCTCTCCAGGGGGTCCCTGGGGCCCTGAGCCATTATTCCAAGGACCTCCGGGACCCCCAGGGCCTCCTGGTCCAGGCTGGCCGGGTTGACCCCAGCCTTGTGGGTTGTGAGGACCTCCTTGAGGCCCAGGGGGAGGGGGGCCCTGAGGCTGGTGGTGTTCGGGGTGGTGATGATGATGATGATGCGAGAATAGTCCCATGGTGAGTTGAGAATATGTTGATTGTTAGATTCTTCAGAAGATCAATTCAGTTTATCTGGGTGTGGCTCTGAGTTGATATAGGCATCTATCTGGCTTGCCTTGGCACTATCCTCTGACTAGGCGTGTGGAGTCAAACGCCCTGTTGTGGGGGATTGGCTCAATTTAGTGAAGCTTAGCCCCAGATTGCGTTGCGCCTTACGAAATGCCAATGCCGAATATTGCTGCTGCCTGCTCCGAGATTTTGATAGTTGATAAAGACTACGGAGTACGTCTCTTTGGCGGACTGTTGTTGAAGTTTTGAACTTAATGGTATCACCCATCTCGGCATAGTTCATGGTAAAATATGCAACCTGACTCCTCTTGATAACGTTGAATCTTTGTTTCCCTTATGGAATATATTCAATTGCTGCCTTCTGCATATATCCAAGTCCAGATTCGCCGTCGACACCACTCGGAGATAGATCGCCACTAATATGTGGATAGGGCTACGTACGCCCTCCCGTAATGGACTAGCGCGGTAGAGCCCTATTTATGGAGCTCGGATATACTCCGGTACTTCGGAGAAATTGTGTTCATTGATTTAACTGAGAGTAGCAGTGGTTCTAGCACTAAAGATTATGCAGCCTACTGCGTAGTATGTTGAGCAATTCTGTAGGGGTTTTGAACGGTAGGCCATCATGACAGTAATCGAAAGTGTGACGTGGCGAACATAAGTCCGGGGGTGACGCGTGAGAACCATATCTGTTAAAATTTTCTTCTATTTTATCCGTTCTGGAATCACAAGTGGAATTTGTACGATTCAGCCTTTTCGTCAGCCCAGCAGACATAGTTATGCAACGTTTTGGGGGCTATGAAGCTCCACTGGGTCCTTTTAAGGGGTGAGCACTGAGACGGAAAGCGCAAATGTCTGACTTGCCCACAAGTAACAAAGTATACCAAATGGAGTTGTCGATTGCTTACAATGGTTCATCGTGGAGATGAACGCGAAAGGTGTGTATAATGCTGGTTGCAAAGGTTAGGACCACATTAAAATCGTTTTAGATTACATCCACAAAATACAACACACTATAACATGACATTCCTTCACGTCCTCCAGCATCTGGTATTATCAATTTGGCTGCCATGCATCAAACTTCGATTTGATCAGTTTCAATGTCCTTGGAAGGTCAGACCGATTGCTTTCTGCCAAAACTCCCATCTCCTTTTCGATGAACCTCTGCGCAGATTCACTATTCACACAAACCCCAGTGAAAACAGAAACCTCCATGCTAATCTGACCGAGAAGCTCGTTGGCACCCCAAGCTGAAACAAGATCCGACACCGCAACGGCGAGAGCAAGCATATTCCTCTGAATTGCCTCACACGCCAAGACGTCCTTTACATGATAGCCGCCTAGAATCCCATCTCCAAACTCCACAACGATCACATCGGGATCACTTTGACTTGCTGCCACTAGTACTCGCAAGGCCGAAGTAATCACCTCACCAACATCACCACAAGTTGACGGAATCCCACCGTCATGCACCGCATATACTGGATCCGCGCCTTCTCGTCGCAACTTGGGCTTATCGCGCGGGGAAGCCGAGCCGGTCACTTTGCAGGCTGCGACGCGCAGGCCCTTCGCGGTCAACTGACGGATCAATTGGCGAACCATTCCCGTCTTGCCGACTTCCATGCACGTACCCGCGACCCCAATCAGCGGGGCCAGACGAGGGATCTCGTTGCTGGTCGGCAGAGGTGGAACGGTGGCTTTAATCGTGAGCGGTCGTCCGTCCGCGCCAGGGATAGTACCTAGCGCTGTCAACGTTGGTGGACAGCCGTAGTCTTCATTTCCGCCTTGTAGAACGCCGGCGAATCCACTCTCGCAGAGTAATTCGATGGTATCCCCTGGGGATAGCTTGCTCGGTACGTCACCGCTGTATCCGCGGATGGCGTGTCGCTTGCCCAGGATGACGGGTAGGATGTCATCGTCGGACACAGTGGTGAAGTCCCTGGGATTTGTGTCTTCCAAGGCGTTCATCCGGTCTCTTGTAATTGTTACTCGACATAGTACGATCAGGCCTTGCACGGGGTTGATGTGCTCATCGACAGTGACAAGACGGGGGATGTCATAGCCGGCGAGCAGCGAAGGGATTTTGGTGATATGATATTGCATGCTGAAGAGGTGGAGGGGCGGTTGAAGAATGGATAACTCAAATCAAACATAGAGGGTAAGAGTGTTTACGGTGGCTATATAACCATCGTTCATACCGTGACGTAAACAGGTCTGATCATTTACTCCGTATGTATTAGGTGTTTACGGGACTGTGCCCTAAATGACGTCCACCTGGCAGAGACATATTTGTTGACAAGAATAATAGTTATAATCTGTAAAATGGAATAAAAGGTCAATTGTTTATGCTCATGTCTTGTGTCTGTTCAAATCATGAACCATAATACTGGCTGGACCTTGAGCCGTATGCATTGGGACTCGATCAGAGGAACAGATAGAACCGAGCTTCAGTTCCTACCATGGGCAGACGCAGGGTGATTTCACTACCTAATGTTAGGCCGAAAGCTACCCAGAATGGCGCTCGAGAAGCAGTGACAAAACCCACACCATATGTGGTGTCCAGGGAACGGGATAATTATTCTGACTTATTGAAGTTAGATTTCGCGAGACTAGAGCGCTTTGGAATGTACCTACACCGTATAGAGTATCTTTCCTGAGCCCAAACGAGGGTTTCCCGGGAATAGGTAGGCGTTTGTGGATTGTGCTTGCTGCTCACCGAGATATGATCAGCGCTGTTGTGCAGATCATGATATCATAGTTCGATCAAGCCACTGATACAAGATCTATGATGGTTCGTGCCTGGTTTGGGGATGTGAGGCCGATCATCTAGCCACACCGACTTGGCATGCGGTCACATATGAGCTAAGACAGACAAAATATTTTCTTTTCTACGGAGAGGGGTTGCTTAGATAGAGTAGGTAGAGCCGGAAGTAGAACTGCTCGGCAGAGTTGTAGATATAAATGAAGTAGATCGAAGACAGGAAAAGATAGACATTTAAGTAGAGTAGACTGCAGAGTTAATTAGCTCGATAGAGTACAATGTAGATCTAATGGTTAGAATATCAACAAATTGCGCACGTGTATGCCTGAAGGGAACGGAAGTATAGTGCGTGCGGATTGTAGAAAAACGAAATTTTTGCAAACCACTAATTCAGTCAAACGGTGACGTTTGAAATTTGCTTCTATGCTTCATTTCTTGTCGTGTAGAGACATCTATCCTACCTATACTCTTGTCTGTAGGCTTTATCTTTGTCTTGAGGCCTTTTCTGAACAGCCTTGTGGCTTGAAGGTGAGCAAGAAAATCCCTTTATTTCTTTCTGAGTCAGGACTGACAAGAATGGGACAGTAAGATGATTGAATCGGCAGGATTGCCAGATATGTGGAGTTCGGATAGTATAGGTTTGATCATTCTAGCCCGCCCGTTTGCAACAGCGAGATGTTCAATTTGGTCTCAAGAATAATATAAGCTGTTAAAGCAGGAACAAAACCAGGTATACGGTAGACTCGTGACTCTACACAAGATGACTCTTGGATCGGGTAGTATCCTGCGTTCATACATCAAGTGACGAAATAATAAGCAAATAACAAGCATGAGTTAAGAAACAACTGTGAAGGAATGAGTGGAACTAACGATAGACAGGCAGGAAGAGGGTTATCATGAGGACATCACGGTTGGGTGAAGCAACTCCTTCATCTACAACTTTCCTTCCTAGAGTGAATATCTTGCCTTAGTTTCTTGCATACCTACCCTTGCCCTTGGTCTTATCCTTGGAACGTTAGACGCCAAAAGGGCCCACAGAGCAACTAACGCCAATTTAAGTCTCACAGGCCCCCCCCCCCGCCCCCCTCACAGGCTGTGGTCACAGTCACGGTGGCTGTTGTGGTGGCAGTGACAGAGCTAAAGACTGTAGGGGATGAGGCAGTCGTGGGAGTAGGCGAAATGCCGAGGCAGGAGCATGCGGAGCCATAGGCCGTAGGCGCTTCGTTGCATGGGCCAGTAGCGTATGGTGGCATAGCGGTCGGCGTAAAAGTTGTTGCGAAGGCTGTAACTCCGGGTGCCTGTCTTTTCTTCATCTACTCCACACATGCCACGGTTGTGGTTTGCGTGACGGTCGCCGTTGTGTCGTCCATGAGCTGCTTCGGAGAGAAGCCACACCAATTCACAGAACTTTCCCAGACTTCCTCCCCGCCATCCATGGCTCGCACTAAGTCTATAGTCTCAGGACTGACATTGACCGTCGCTGCTAAATAATGCAATGCGGTATTTCCATCCACATCTTGGTCCCGAACATCGAATCCACCCCATTCCAGAAGCAGCTGGATAGTAGCTAGTTGAGCACCGTTTTCAGCCTCAGTCATAGGGACGGGCTTGAAGGGTTTGTGCAGAATGTGATAGGGTGGCCTTGATGCACGGGTCTGCACATGTTCTGGGCTGGGCCTACTGTGCTGAAGCCATTTCGAATCGAGGGTCCGCGCGCAGCGGATACTGCGCTTAACGGCTGGTTTATCTTGGGTAGCGTAGTTGCCAGTTAACGGAAGCGACGCCACCAGGAGCAGTGTATGGCCTAGGGCTGTCTGACCGGCTGCGAGATGCCCCCCCTGGATAGAGCCCGCAACCCAAGCTAGTAAATCCGGGTCGTGTCTGGCGGTGGCGAAGTGCAGCGGATGCACGCCAAACACCGGGGTTCGCAAATGAGGCAAAACACGAGGATGAGCAAGTAGATCACTGATGCAACCTCGCACACCTGGTATTTCCAAATCACATCGGGCAATTGCGAAGGAAAGAGGGGGGAGTGCGACTGTAGGAGCCACCAGGGGTCGGTAGTTCGGGGAGTAGTTGTAGTTGTGGATGAGCTTCTGGAGCATATCCCGATGACCAGAAGCGATAGCTTGATGTATTGGTGATGAAACCGACAATGCCGAGAGGGATGCTTCGCTCGGGACTTCCAGCATATTGTTATCCTGGGCGGCTGTAGATGCTTGCCATGCGGAATCTTCAGCCCCTGCTTGATGCAACATGTCGAATATTTCCTCGCACCCGCATTGCGCTGCTACCTCTAATGACGTTAAAGCAATAGACATGCGCAATCTTTGGGCCGGAACATTAGGCTCTGTCCAAAAGCGGGGGAATCCAATACGTCGTTCATCCAGCTCGGCAGAGGTCAACGGAACAGTTTGGGACTCGATACCTTTAGCTTTTGCGGTCGCTAGGAGTTGTGCTCTCGGGGGACAGAGAGAAAAACTGGTGACATCGATAACAGAGTCACGACCACGTAAGAATCGAACAGAATAGTCTGATAGATCGATATGGGCAATGCCATTAACGTCCGCGCCCGATTTCAGGAGCAGGTCCACGTTCCGTAGCGATTTAGCCCGAATTGCTGCCGTCAGCGGAGATTCGTAATTTCCCCATATCGCCCCTGACACATCCATGTTAGGCGCAAGGAACTGCAATTCGTACTGATCCTCTTCGGAGAGCTCATCCCAATGACTGAGCCTGTCCTGGTAGAATGCCATGAGAGCCTCAAGTACGGCAGGATTAGGATTGCGTGCAGCTCGAACTGGTGCTGTATCCCACTCCAAGTACTCCAAATCATCGTTGGTAAGGTGATAGGCCATGACGAGCGGCAAAGAGTGAAGAAAAGAAAGATGGTTTGGTTGAAAAACAAAGTGGGGGAGACTGCGGTTTATGTACTCAGGCAATGCTAGAGTCACATGACCAATCCCATGCACGTACCCTAGTAGGCTTTTTTTTCTGTCTTTCATACAGACTATAAACTTGACTAAGATAAATTCACAGGGGCTGAGCTCTCCGCTCACAAGATCCACCTACGTAATCCCGCAGTATTCGAACCTACTTCTACTCAGAAACGCCGATGCAGTAGGCATAGTTAGGCCACAGTCCAGAACAATCTCCATTCAGAGCCCGGTTCCACTTGTAAAGCTGATCGAGCGTGATACCAGCATTCTTCGCCATGTCTGCGCAGTATACTCCTGGAGATTGTAAACATCATATTCTAGCCTGTTTGTCATAGGTATAGGGATATTTGTGCTCACCTTCTTTCTGCAACACCCAGCGATTGCAGTTTTTTGCAATACCAGATTGTGTTGGGCCAGGGGGCGTGTCGGTCGATGTGGGTGTCGGGACAGCCGAAGTCGTGGTAGGTGCAGCCACGGGATCGCCTTTGACGCAATATCTGACGGAATCGGTTAGAAAAGAGATAGATGGGAAATAGATGAAACACTTACGCAGTATTAGACAGGAGATTGGAGCAGATTGGGTTAATCTGAGGGTTCCAAGCACGCAGTTCCGAGAATGAGACCCCGTAAATCGCCTGCAGCCTTGTACAGTCTTCTCCATCTTCAATGATGTGCCTGGGGTGGTTATCAGTACCTAAATCGAGGGCGTGGCTTATTCGAAACATACCAGGCATAACACTTGGTAGTGGAACCAGTCGGTGTAGCTCCTGGAGCAGTGACATATGTCGAAGTGCTCGTGTTGCCGCTTGCTGTAGCGTTCCAGTCCCGAGTTGGAAAGACGCAATATAAGATACCTGGGGAAAGTGCAGAACAGTCTTTGCCCGCTGAAGGATTTATAGCAATGAGAAGCTCGACACTGATAGAATATCTGATAGAAAGTTGCTCGCAAGTGTCACCGGCAGAGATTTTGTGATATTTTCCACATTTGTCAGTAGTTCCACCCGCGGCGGTATCACTCGGCGTCACTGTAGACGTGGCATACTGGTTTGTCTTTGTGGCAGTTGCTCCTGGGATTTTTGTTGGGGTGTATTGTGCACCAGAAGGTCCAACACAGATGTTATTGTCGGAGATGAGGTTAGAACATGCCCTGTTAAGCGTTGGATTGTAGTTGATTAGGCTTGAGATAGAGATCTCCTGGGCAGATGCAATGGAAGCACAAGTATCACCGGCCTTGACTTTGTAGATAGAACATTTTCTCGGAAGGCATCTAAACATACGTATCCCTTGTCAGTGGAAAACGTAATTTTTGTTGGGGCATAACTCACAAGACTTGATCTACGGCCAAGTTAGTCCCGTCCGGGAAAATCCCATTCAAGATTCTTAATGCCCCAGTGGAGACCTCTTGTGCTTCAGCAATGTCTTGGATATTATCTCCTGATTTCACGGTGTAGTATCGATCTGATAAACACGTAGTGTTATCTGGATTGGATTGATCGGTTCCCGGGATCGAGGTCATGTTCGTCGCCGGGGGTTGCACCTCCGTGGGCAATGCCTCTGTGCCACAGGTCTTCTGTATCTGTGCCCAGTCGGTAGCAAGCGCCTCATCGTAGTTTGAATAAGCCGTCTTCTGCATTTGTTGGATCAAAGCCAGAACGCATGTGGAGCATAGCTGATCTTTGGAAAGCGCAGTCAACGAAGTGTCTTTCTGTCCCAAAGTCTCCTGGATCTTCCCGATCTGGTCTGAAATCATTTTAGCACAGATAAATGTGTTAATCAGCTAGCTAAACTTACTTGTACAGAACTCCCCAGTAGTCTCATCTTTTAGACAAGTACGATTATATGTTGACCAAAGATATCGCCTACCCATACCGCCGGAACACCATCCCACGGCTCAGGGTCGCCAGCGCACGCCTGTTGGACTTCATTATGGTATGAAGCCAAAGATGAGCCACAGGAGACATCACAAAGGCTTTGCTGCAATGTGTCATTCCCAATTGGCCCGTAGTAGTCGACCGTAGCCAGGGACTGCATGTACGGATCGCAATCCAATGCCCGGTGAAGTGCGTCCGTGCAGCCGCTCGATAGGGTAGCGGTCGAATTCGTGCCATCTTGGTACAGCAGAATCTCTCCTGATATGGGGGCAGCTGCTGAAGCAACTAACCCAAGTGATAAAAGCCACATGAGTTCAAGAAGTAAGGCAAAACACTGTTTATGGACGTCAATGCTGGCAAGCTGTCTGCGAGATAGTCTGATAGGATTCTAGTCAAATATAGGGAGAATCTAAGACTGCGTGATCAGCCTTTTCAATTGTGGAGGATATTAGGAAGTGAAAGAACTTTTCAATGCAATATCCTAGCAGTTGCGTTACGTAGACAATGCAAATTATCGCTCTATTCCGATATACTCCGTAGGAATTATCCTAATAGTCCATGTCGTTTAGGCAGGAGCATCTGCCCGAAACCGGCCCTGGGCATTAACGATCCACTTTTTGAGAATTCATTAATGGTGACTTGATAATAACAAGCGACAACAATGTGAGTCTACCAAATCGTTCTAAAGGGATAATGCGCGATTTCCTGGAGTGGTCTATGTAACCACACATCCTGTTCTAATGCATGCATAGTCTCTCCGAGAGCTCAGCTATGAGGGGTTCAGGGAGGAGGGTAATAATATTCCCTGCTAGCGTGGTCTAGATTATGGGCTTAGGCCTCTCAGACTGAGTTCAACTGATTTAATTTAAACTCGGCTATCGGTTTGTCGTAACGAAGAGCTGTCGGGTTCCTTGGCAGGCAGGCAGTGGCAAGATATATACCACGCTTCATACAATCGAGCGGCAATTAGTAACAAATTTAGTCCGTATTGTACCTCTACACGTACCCTGTGAACGGTATGACAGAGTAACGGATAAAGTGGAAAAGTAGTAAGGATGTAATAGAACGACGTTCTCAAGCAGTACTGAGTAGTTCTCCTGATCGATGCAGTATTGATTGATTACCCACCGTAACAGTATGCAGGCCAAGCCACCAAAGCCACCCGTCTCCGCATAGGGCAAAAATGGTGCAGCTAGCAGCTAGCTTCAATAGTGGCATTTTCTTTCCGAAACTAGCAGACACCGTTTCCATTATCAATTTAGTGGGCAGCTGAGCTCACTCAGAGACTGTAGTTACTCCGTATGTGCCTATGTGCATTAGAACAGCAGCATGCATTGTTACATCGTCTAGTCTGGGGTATGGCGTATGACCCATATGCACGGAGTAACTCCTTGGTATTCTGCAAATCAATTTGATCTTTTTTTTTTATCTTACTAAGTACTAATTCCATAAATGCGAGGCGTACGGGAAGTAGATCATCAATACTTGGTGCATGATTTCGAACAAAACAGTACATACTAAACATGATATGAACTATTCAGTTATTTTCTAAACAAGAGGAATTTCTGTGGCCAATATAATTATTGCTCGATAATGACGTAGAGGTTTACGATATTCCTTGACCAAAAAGACCGACCATACTGTCCAACGTCTGTTTTGGTGGCTTGGCCACGCTAGCAGGGGTTGGTATAACTCTCCGAGATGAACCCCTCACAGGGCAATTTCCGAAATGCCATCACTATCCCATGTGAATTGAGAATTCTTCGCTAGGGTAAAAGTACTCTGGTCAGGTTCTGGGATAACGAGATGTGTGCCCCTGCATTAGGCAATTTTGTTGGATCCGAGGTATCCGAGGTATCCGAGTTAGGACCGGCCAAATGCTGCACGATGGTGGGTTTGTGTCGGACTATTATCAACTGCAATAACCGACGGGAAGAGAGTAGAATGATAAGAAGAGAAGGTATTTCCTGGAGAATGGATGAGGGGAACCAACTCACAAAGCGTCCTACTTGCTTCGTTCCTTCGCTTTGCTTTCTTTTGTTATGATGAATTTGATACCTCTCATTTATATTGGTTTTGCTTTTTTTACAAGCTACTCAGTTGCAGAAGACTACACATGCAGCAAATCCAAGCCATGTGAGATTGGATGTTGCTCTAGCACAGGAGTCTGTGGCTATGGCCCGAAGTTTTGCGGAGAGACTTGTATCTCTGACTGCAATCGCAAGGCCGAGTGTAACCCAGGATGGGGTAGCAAGGTGAGTGAACTTGTCCGCTAACACAAAAACCTCTTCCCCCGGCTGATCATGAAAAGTGGTCTGAGTCAGATAAGTGCCCGCTCAATGTGTGCTGTTCTGAGTTTGGCTTCTGCGGGACCACCAAGGACTTCTGTGGAAACAAGACTGTCACGGCTCCAAAATGCAGTGGAGGATCTAGCTCGTCCAAGAGGACTATTGGCTATTTCGAGTCTTGGGGTATTACTCGCGGCTGTGATAGAATGTATCCTGAGGGTACGTTGCGTGACTTTGAGAGTGAACAATACTTATATTGCTGACTGCTGATAAGCTATACCCATTGGATCATATACGCACCTAAATTTTGCTTTTGCATTTATTGTAAGAAATGGGATAAGCTGCCCTCAAGTGGAATATGCAATTAACCACATGCTTAGGACCCATCATCATTCAAAGTTGCGCCAATGAACGACGGCGACGAAGAGCTGTACAAGCGCTTCACAGGTCTGAAAAATCTCTATCCTGATTTACAGACTTGGATCTCAATCGGCGGCTGGAGCATGAATGATGCAGGTCAGCCTACGGCTACGACTTTCTCCGACCTCGCGGCTTCTGAGTCCGCACAGAAGAAGTTTTTCGAGTCACTCCTTTCGTTTATGGAAACATATAACTTCGATGGCGTTGATGTTGACTGGTATGTTTTCTCACCCGCTAGGGAATCTGAGCATTCCTTTGTTAACTGAAGCAATGCAGGGAGTATCCCGTCGCCGAGGAGCGATCTGGCAAAGAGGAGGACTTTAAGAACTTCACTTCCTTTTTGCAAAATCTACGTGACTACCTTAGCTCAAGTGGACATAAATATGGACTAACAATTACGGTAATGCGCCCTTCTTTAAGATATCGAACCCCACTGATAATCGCTATGATCCATTCAGATCCCTTCGTCTTACTGGTACCTTCGTCATTTCGACATTGCGAACATGAAGAAGATCGTTGATTGGTTCAATATCATGTCGTATGATCTTCATGGGACTTGGGATAACGACAATGATTGGACAGGACCCTATGTACGGGCTCATACCAACCTAACCGAGATTGACAACGCACTCGAGCTGTTATGGCGGAATGATATTGACGCGGACAAAGTTGTTCTGGGTCTTGGATTCTACGGCCGATCGTTCACACTCCAGGATCCCAACTGCAAGGAGCCTGGGTGTGTCTTCAGCGCCGGAGGAAAAGCTGGACGCTGTACCGACTCTGTGGGAACTCTTTCCTTTGCAGAGATCAAGAAAATCGTGGATGATGGAGCGAAAGTGGACTTTGACAAGAAGGCGGCTGTGAAGATCGTCACCTGGGACGAGGACCAGTGGGTCAGCTATGACGATAGCGAGACATTCAAGTTGAAGTTGCAATATGCGAACAACCACTGTCTTGGGGGTACCATGGTGTGGGCAACCTCCATGGATGATTCACAGGGTTCTGCGTCTGCGGCTCTCTCCAAGCTCACTGGTCGGTCTGCAATAGCGTTGTCGGCCCGTTCGTCCTCCTCTAACAATCAAGTCCAATCTTGCCAGTTGGGAGAATGTGGCAAGAAATGTCCCAGTGGACTCAAGCCAGCCCAGCGAAGCGATGGCAAGAACAGAGGCAACACGGGGACGAATACAGGATGCAAAAATGGTGAACAGCGGTTATATTGCTGCCCTCCAGACAACATGCCAACCTGCGAATGGCGAGGAGGCGCACCATTCTGTGATGGGAAGTGTCATGACGGGGAGGTAGAAGTATCTAGCAGCACAAGTGGAACTGGCTCTGGTTGCTGGACTGGCCATAAAGTTCTTTGCTGCCTGCAGACGGCTGCAAACAAAGCGGTTTCTGAATGCAAATGGACCGGAAGCGCGCCTTTTTGCGCTGGCCTTGGTGGAAAGGCCGACTGCCCAGACGATCGGACGAGGCTCACGTATTCTAACTATGGAGCTGGTGGTGAACAGCCATGCATAACTGGAAGCAAAGCAAGTGGCCCTTTGATCGATGTTAATTCTATAGTACTGACAGTTACCCCCAGTCGTTCTGCTGTGACAAACCTCCCCCATATGAAAACTGCGACTGGTACTACCACGGCGGTAATATCTGGGGAGAAGTGCCCTTTCAGTGTACGGGGACTTGCCCTGCGGGGAAGGCGACCATTGCGACCGATCCTACAGGCTGTCTATCGGGTTTGTATTTGTCCTTTCTCAGACTAAGCTGATTGTTGGAAGTCGATTTCGGTGCTCTGGCTGACCACGTTGCTGCAGGCTACGGCTCTTTCTGTTGTGATTCGCCCGCAACAACGGTATTTCTGAGATATCGCTTCCAAAGACAAGATGCTAATTTGTGTTCCTAGAATGATCCTCTAGTCTCCGCGTTCTCTGAACGACTAGAAACGTTTGCTAAAGATCCAACGTGTGGCAAAGGAGACCGACAACACGGCAAACGCGACGATCACACCCAACTGACAAAGCGGCATGGTCTCAGCAAGACAGATTGGTCAGATCTATTAGTTCAGATTGCAGCTATTGCGGCAGGGACGGTCCAGACGTATCAAATGACCTTGATGAGCGAAGAATACAATACATCCTGGGCTGGCGACTCTGGACTAGGGCTTGGGCTCATGGGAGAATACTTTGGTGCTTGGTATGTGAGACTATAAATCGCAGTGGTATACTTGCTAAAGCTAGGCAGGCCCAATGCGGACAAGACTCTCCTCACCGAGAGCCTAATGTGTCTGGGAAAGAAAGGTGGTGATGTGGTCGATGACTACCTACAAGCCCGTTCGGATGTTTGTATCAGCACATGCCCTGAAGCCAGCACGAAGCGCGCAAGCTTAGAGGCTTTGGGCTTGCTTTCGAATCACAGCACTAAAACCCTGGGTGCCCGGAGAATAGATCTAGATGAGGAGCCATCTCCTAGTGGAAATGGGTACCTGCCAACCTGGAGTAAGTTGACCAACTTCGGCTCCCTGTGCTCTAGCTGACTCGCCATAGCGTACATGATCCAGGGTCTAATGGACGGTACACTCACCCTGGTCTATGAACAGCTAATTTACACCAATAGGGGTGAACAGTTTCTTGAGAGTAAGTCTGCACTGCATCCTATATAGCCCACCAAATCAAGGCTCACTCTTCATAGTTGCTTGGCGAATTCCGAGTGGTGACGAGGGCGCCGGTTATCGCGAACGTAATGATGATGAGTATGTGGTTTTCCACTTTCACTTTGAACATCTTCTCAATATCCACGGCACCGACTACGCTGGGGTCTACGCAATGGTTGCTTTCCACGGCCAGGGACGTAGTCCCAACAGCCGTGTAAATGGCAACGACCGTACCGACCGGAATTTACGAGCCGAGATTCTTCGCTGTAACACCGAAGATGAAGCAAATGAGTTTACGCAATACTGGTACCCAGGGTATGCTTCGGTTGACGCCAGGAGCAATTTCGGAAACTGGATAGTCGACTTTGGGGTATGGTTGCATGAACAGGATCTAGTCACCGCGCGGACTTTCACACACTTTAACCGTGGACAATTGGAAACCTACCATGATGAAGACAGCTTTTGTCCAGAACGCCGATACTTCGATTGGGGGGGGTATACTCGAAGTCGTCAATTTACTCCGGGAGGCGGATCCGAAGGAGACCCTAGCCAGGGCGAAGACGATCAAAATGACGATGACGGAGTATAGCCGACTATTTCGGTTGGAAGCTTTTGTCCCGTCTAGCCTCGTATGCAGAAACCAGATGTTATTATTTGTAGATAATAAATAGGTGCCGGGTAGACCTTTGTTTCTGTGATTTCCATTCATCATGCGAGATTATAATTAAGTTTCTCTGAACCCTTGGGAGGCTCTGTGATACGAATTAGGCTTGAAAAAGCCACCAAGCTCTTGATAAAATGGATATTATCTCAAACGTGAGTTGAGGCGAACCAGGCCACCTTACCTCCGCATCTAGGGGGCTTGAATTACCGGACGCAAGATTTATCAATGCGCTTGCAGAGACATATGTGAGTCCTTCTACAATCTTGGTAAAGCAGAGAAAGTGGACCGAGATCACCGTAGAGCAATGATATGTCTTCACTGCAACTTCTACCAGGTTATATGACTATTGAAGATGCTCACTGCTAGCTAGATAGTACAAGAGGAAATATACTAATTACTGGCTACTGGATACCAATTTTCCCAAACCCTCACCAATGGAATCGAAAGGCAAAGGTTCAAGAGACAATAGGAAGGGCTATTAGATATATACATTTTTCCTGACGTCTGACAACGATGTAGAATCAACTATTCTTCTACTATAGCCCTTATAGAGTCCGTAAGCTATTAGAAAAAAACAAACAGGTACCAATCCCAGTATGCTGTCGTCTTTGGCATACAATGAACTGGACCACTACCTACGCCCTCCAGAGGATCGCATTCTCCTAGCATAGTCTTCCCACCACTTGGCTCGGCCCTTCTCAACAAGCTCTCGCGGAGTCTCCCCCGCCGAATTAGGCTGATCCATTATCTCACTGCCCCCAGCCTCCAACAAGACGCCCATAATCTCACCCTGCACTCTGATCCGGTCATGTACCGTCGGGCCCTTAGCAGTTCCACCACTGGAGGCACGCGCAGAGAGAATGGCACGCATGGCCACGAGATGGAGAGGCGTGTTACCCTTAGAATCTGTCGCAGTGGCATCGGCACCGAGTCTGAGAAGATACCTAGTTGCCCGGATCTGTCGCAGATTCACGGCCATGACATGAAGAGCGGTGACGCCATTCTCATCAGCCTGCTGTACCTTAGCACCGTGAGACACCAGCAGATCTATCAACCTGGTATCGATGATATCGCCCTGCGCGGATTGATACCCCAAGGCGTGTAGTACACTCTGCCCCTTTGAGTCACATATACTCGCATCTGCGCCATGTTCGCATAGAAAGGTAGCAGTCGCATTCAAATGCTCGCAGTCACAAGCTGCATGGGCGGCCATGGCATGGAATAACGCCGTCTTCCCCTCATTGTCCCGCATATTGATAGTATCGTCTTTGCTATCCAGCAATAGCTTGAGTGGATCGATCATCCTAGGGGTAATAATTTCCTCCAGAAGCATGACCTCATCATAGCCAGGGCCACTGGCAGCCCAATGAACTGGCAAGCGTCCGATGTGATCGCGAACCATGACCATATCCGCAACGTCGACATCGCAGCCCCGATGGTCCAGCAATGCTCGCATCCCTTCGACGTTCCAATACATGCTTCCAAAGTGCAGCGCCGTCGCATCTCGCACAAGACCCCCGGAAGAGGAAATTTGTTCCAAGTACTATTGTTTCGCGTGCAAATCAGCCCCGTCGTCAACCAGCCGTTTCACCAGCGCATAGCTGGCCCGGGAAGCCGCTAGCCCGAGCACACTGCATCGCAGCCGTGGCGGGTCGTCCCGGTGATCGCGGACAGAAGCTCCCCTGTCGACAAGCATATGAATCAAGTCTTCCCGTCGGGCGAGTTCCTTGGCGACCCAAGCGTGCGTATCATTCCCGTGATAGTGCTCTAGCTCATCACTCAAATAAACAAAAGACTCTGCGGCCGCCAGTAAGGCCGTTTCACCTCCAGGTGCTTTGTCCTGAACAGTGCCAAGCGGAGGATCGCTATCCAGCAAGAACCGCGCCGTCTCGAGCTGCCCATATCGACAGGCGAGATTGAGTAGGAAAATTCCTCGCTGCTCGAGCGGTTCTGCCTCATTGATGTTGGCATGGTAATGGTCTAATAGGACGCGGAGAGCATCAATGCAACCGTGTTTGGTGGCGGTGAAGAAAGGATCAATACAATCTGGTGAATATGGATGCAGACCCACTGCTGGGTCTATTTTATCTTGGATGTATCGTTTGAGCATGGCCACATCGTTACGCTCAACGATGGTGGTGAGAAGGGCCATATCATCTGTCTCGTATAGACTGGACCCGTTGGTGTCGCGAAGGGTTGTTTTCCAGCCATAGTGATGACCTTGCTGGGCGTGGAACTGGGTGTATTCCGTATTTCTTTTGGTAGGTATTCTTGTGCGCGTAATGGGGTAGAGAAAGACGAAAGAGAAGACGACCTTGGAAGGGAGGAGGGTCGCTTCTTTTGAGAGATACATTACGCCTAGCAATACAACAGAACCAAAGTGGCCCCACCATGGTCTCACACGTGAAATAGAAAAAGGAAGAAAAAGGAAAGAAAAAGAAAGTAATGCCAGAGGTGTAGCTGAAGGCTTGCCAATCTAACAGGCTACTCTGAATGCCTTTCGAATAAAAGACTGATTTGCGAATCTAAATTAAGCCTAGACTCACCTGGTTCTATCGCACGCAAGTAAAATATATACATTGGTTTAATGAGTTAGACACAAATATAGGATATCCCTTCATCCTCTCTAGCTTTGACCAAATTGGCTCTTTGCTGTAACCAACTGACACAGCTCACCCATGCTAGTTTCCGCCATGATCTCGAAAATGCTCAGATCCGACCGAAATTCCTTGGAGACCCAATACCGCAGCTCGACGGCAACTAGCGAGTCAATACCGTACGTGTGGATTGGCTTCTGCGTTTCAATGTCCTCCTCTGGAATGCGAAGAGTGTTCGCGAGTTTGTGTTTCAACGCCGAAGCCACAACGCGCGCGGCCGTGGACGGATCATCAGCGCTCAAAGCCTCAACAAACTCCTTCTGGAAAGCCATGTCCGCTCCCTGAGAAGCGGCGGCGGTCGTGTCTTTGGACCGAGACGTGTCATAATCGACCAGCGACGCCAGGTTGCGGAACTGGGGTCGTGGGACCCAGCGCATCCATTCCTGCGCGTTCTGCCTCTCGCGCGAGTCGGTGTTGCTGCGCAGGTACTCGGGAATTTCGAGACCGGTGATCACCTGTGCTTTGCGCGGGTCTTGAGGGATTGGCAGATCCGCATTGCACAGGTAGTCCAACATGGCGAGATACTCTGCCTCTCTGATTCCTCGGTATCCCAGTTTATGGATCTGTTGGAGGGTTTCGCGGTTCTCCGCTGCGAATCCAATCCCAATGACTAGACCCAGGTCGAGCGACATTGCCTTCAGGCCGCGTGACGCGCGGTAGCGAGCTAGGACGTCCTGGTAGGTGTTGCCGCTGCAGTAGTTGGTCTGTCCACGAGTTCCAATGATGCCTCCAGCGGATGCGAGCATAACGAAGAAGTCCAATTCCTCGGGAAGTGCGCGGTGCAAGTTCCACGAACCGGCGACCTTGGGCTGCACGGTGGCATGGAAATCGTCTATAGTCATGGGTTCGAAAAGGTCATCCTGATACACGTGTGTTAGCCAGCGTTATTTCCTAATCGGGGACAAGTGAAGGTTGAACTTACGCGTACGACCATCGCTCCCTGGATACATCCTCGCACCGGGGGCATCGTCTGGGCACACACTTCCAGAGTCGATGACAAGGACTGGAAATCCGTGATGTCACACGAAGGCGCCGCCACGGTCACTCCTCTGGCAGTGATCTCGTCAATGAAAGCCTTTGCTGCCGCGGTCTTGGCTCCGGATCGACTGAGCAGAATGAGGTATTTAGCTCCTCTATCGGCCATCCATCGCGTCGTGCTCTTTCCTAGACCTCCGAGTCCACCCACAATCACATAGCTGGCGTCCTCGCGGAGCTTGGAACTTGCTGCCGTTGACGGTATCACCGAGAGGGGCTCCCCTTCCTTCATCTCCACTACTACCTTTCCTCCAGTCTTTCCTTCTTGTACGCACCGGAACGCGTCCTCGACTGACGATGCGGGGAATCTGTTGATCGGGCCCGGTGCCTGGATCTGTGATGTCGACATTAACTGCTCAACGGAAGCCATAAGCCCCTTGACCAGCGAGGTGGGCTGCTCAAGGGCGAGGGACAGATCGAAGCTCGAGTATGTGATATTCTGGGTCATCAAAATGTTAGGAAGATCCTCCAACGCCTTCTTGTCGCCAGACGAGATGTCAATGAAGCGCCCGAATGGCCGGAGGCATGCCAACGATCGGCGCAGTCCGTCTCCGGTCCAAGAGTTCAGCACGACGTCTACCCCATCGACTACCTGATTCAGCTGCGCCAAGGAGGAAGTGCCTCGCCCGACCAAAATGCGATCGGAGGGGACTCCATACAGCCGGGTGAGAAGTTGCTGTTTTTCCTCGCTCCCAGCTGTGGTGTACACCTCCGCCCCTCTTGCTCTGGCAATCTGGATCGCAGCTTGGCCTACCCCTCCAGCGCCGGAGTGAATTAGAATCGAATCACCTGTCTGCAGGCGTGCCAGGTTAACTAGCGCATGGTACGCGATCGCAAAGCTCAACGGGATCGAAGCCGCCGTCGCGAAGGACATTCCGTCGGGAATCTTCGTTACTGCCGAGGCCTTGGTCCGAATCTTGGTCGTGAAAGCATTCGGGGCAAGTCCATAGACGCGGTCCCAGGGCTTCAAAAGATCAGATGGAATTCCCGGTCCGACCTGCACGACCACACCCGAGAACTCCGTTCCTAGGCTGTCAGCCGGGATCTGGCCCAAGGCGATCTTGCAGTCCTTGAAACTAATACCAACGGCCTTGGTCTGAATCTCGATTTCTCCCGGTGCCAAATCATCACTGTTTATTTCCTGTTCTTGGAATGCTAGAGTAGCCAGGAGACCGGGGTTGCGGATGGTCAGGGACAGTGGCTTTGCCTCTTTCTTGTACGTCAATGCCCGCTGCTGTGGCCCCTGAACGTCAACTTTCGAAGCAATGTGTTGGTTGAAATAGTTCGCTTCAGTCACTCGGTTGATGTGCAGAGTGCCGCCTCGCTCTTCGTACTCAGTCTCGATTTCATTGGTAGAAACCTCACGAGATCTCAGGGATCCGGTGATGATGCGCTGCGTGTGAAGAGCAGCCTTTCTCCAGTCTTCATCGGGCTGTAGGGCGAGATCGATGAAATTGAATTGGGGAGTCTCGGAGGCAATTCCTCTCTTCAGACCTGTCACCATGCCCATCGTAGGGTCATCGTCTCGGCCGCGGGTAAGCCAAATCATACCCCAGGCCGACCGGACGAGAGTCTTTAATCGGCGCCAGTCTTCATTGCGGATGTTGGCTAACAACCCTCGCTCAACCTCAAGGAGGGAGATACAGAGGGCATCATTAACTTCGACTTCAGCCAGGTCTTCGTACACAACCACGCGCGTCGCAACACCCAGATCACGGACCACAACTTCCATATCACCCACCAAGGGATGCTGCAAAGACTGCTGATCAGCGACAAGAATCAGAGCCTGCTGGAATGGCAGTTCAGGCACCGGCTCGGGTTTCTTAGTTGCTGTCGAAATAATCATGCTCATGGTGTGACGATGGTCTTCGAAGTCCGGGGAAGAGAGATCCGCCCCGTTGAAGCCTGCCTCCTGGAGAGTATCAATCCATCCGTCGGGTGAAAGAAGGGGCCCCCAGTATCGAGTCCGCTCGCAGCTGAGCCACCATCCTGGCAGCAAACCGAAAATGAGCGGAATACGCAAGCTGCGCAGATTGGAAGGCTCGATCAGCACCAGCTTCGCATTTGGCTTCATGAGCGTGTGGACATTTCGAAGTGTCTCCGACAGATTCGTCGTGGCATGAAGAACAGCCGATGCCACCACGACGTCGTACTTTTCGGGTTCAAACCCTTGGGCTTCGGGATCCTTTTCTATGTCGAGAACTTTGAAGTCCATCCGGGGCAGGTAATCTTCGAATCGGTTGGCCGCTGCCTCGAAAAACGCCGGGGAGATATCGGTGTAGGTGTATTCGCCACAGCGCATCTGGCCGATTTTGCCATCAGCACGTCGGGCCAGTCGGTCCATAATAAAAGCGGAACTGCCTCCAGTACCTGCACCGATTTCCAGAATCTTGATGGTGGGGTCCTTATGTGCTAGGAGATCGATGTAATTTGCCGCTTTCTTGTTGCTGGATAGGAATGTTTTCCCGCCATAGAAATGCTGCGCCATGTTGTCTTCACCGAAGAGGACCTCCAGGGCGTCAATCTCTCCGCGCAGAATTGAAGCAAGGTTCTTCCCAACTTCATTTATCAAATCCATCTCCGGTGACGGGCGGATCTGCGGAAGTAGCCGCTGGAAGTAGTCTCGGTCTGTCAGCGAGGGTCTCTCCCCAGCCAGGGACTTGCTGGCCGCCTCATAGCGATAGACTTCCATTTTCATCCACTCAATATACTTCGTGATGTGATGTTTGTCGCCAAGCCAGCCATTCAACTCCTCGATGGCCTGTTTGGTGTAGAAGAGACAGGCGAGCTCGCCTTGATCGATCTCTGCTGGGTCGGGGTTATCTTGAGGCGTGACCCCCTCACAACATACATCGGCTAGCTGGTCGTCCGTCAGCAGACTGTGATCTGCTTTCCAGTCCATGTCAAATCCAATTATTCGAGGCACCGCGGGTGGCTCGAGGCTTGTGATTGCCGTCGCACGGTACCCTTCAATTGCAATCTGACATTCATCGGTCCGAGTATCGTACGCGATTGCAGTGACCACGGTGTCTCGATATCCGCGGAAGGTAGGTTCTGCGAAAATATGCAGTCGTTGCTCCGGAGTGTGGCTCAGCAGATCTTGAGATATCCAAAGTCGGTCGATGCGAGAGGGCACCATGGTGCGCAGAGGGTTCCAGGTTCCGCCAGACTCGCCCACTGCCGACAGCTGCATGAAGGCGTCAAGGGTGGTGGGATGGATAACATGATCCAGGGCCCATTCACTGTTTGGAACTTTGCTGGTCCATCGTCGGGGGTCGAGAGTGGCTGCGGCTTCCAGGCGATCAGGATTATAATGGACGTTCTCTAGACACTGGAAGCTCGGGCCATATTCAAAGCCATAGCTATGCAGGTTCGCATACACATCCGTGGAATCAACCGTTCGGGTACAACGGCCCACTCCATGTTCCCATTGCTCACGCAGTCGCGTATCCTCTCTGCGTCCTGCGGCCTGACCCTTGTATTGCGTCACAATCGTCGCTCGGCTAACTTCGGACCAGCCCTCGGATCCAACTTGGTAGAGTTGGAACGCATGACAGTCGGAGTCAGGGGTGGATTGTTGCTTCTGAGGTCGCAGGTGAACCCTTGTTTCTGTCCCTTCCGACGTCAGATCCACTAACAGAGCTTTCTCCAGTACTACATCCTGAAGACTATAGCCGGAGATCTCGCGGGTGGAATCTGCCATTTGCCGTGCGGCCTCGATGGCCATCACCATGATACCTGCGGCTGGGTAAAGCTCAGATCCATTAAAACAGTGCTCCTTGATCCAGGGGAGCTCCGACATTCTAATGATGTTTCTCCACTGCGGCTCGAGGGGATTCCAATCCATCGCTCTGGCTCCTAGAAGCTCATGCCTGGGTACAGCATTGAATCGGTAGTTGTGACTCAGTCGCCCTTCCAGCCAATGACCCTGGGTGTGGTTGAAAGGGTACTGCGGGAGGTCAACGAGCAGCTGCGCGTCAAACTCCTCTTGCCCCAGAGCATTCGGTGACAACAGATCGCAGTTGTAACCGTGGCAATGAAGATTGCCAACTAGCGTCAAAAGGGACTTGAGAGCATCTTGGTTCGCAGCCTGGGCGGCATGGTAGACAACTTGATCGGCAGCCGGCGTCGTCTCTAGTATTTCCTTCACTGGGCGTTGAAGCGCCCCATGAGGTCCAACCTCGACGAGACAAAGCCTTTCCCCGTCAGGTGCTTGGCCCTGCAAGGTCTCGCAAAGCGCCTGAACAGCCGGCGAGAACTTCACCTGAGAAACCATGTTTCGAACCCAGTATGCGGGGCTCGAGAGCTCATCGGGCGAGATCAAAGACCCCGTAACAGAAGAGAAGACTACCGGCGAAGTTTCCATCAACGCATCGTCTCGCGGGATAATGTCCTGGATCGACGCCTGGTATCCGGCAGCCGATTCCTCCATGCTCTTGGAATGGTACGCCACGGGCACTTTCAGCTTTCTGCAGAAGATCTGGTCCTTGTCGATCAGCGTCTTGACCATATCCACGCAGTCGCCATCGCCACTGAGCGTGACATTCTTCGGACTGTTGACACATCCAATTACCAGACGACCTTGGCCCATCTCTGCGTCGATGCGGTCGAGGTAGGGCTGAACAGCTTCTTGTCCCAACGCGACCGCGATCATCGATCCAGCCCGATCTTTCTGCGTATGGGCCAGCTTTGATGAGAACTCGCCGCGGAAGTACGCAATTCTGTACGCTGACTCGCGAGAAATAGACCCCGCGCAGTATGCGGCTGCGATTTCACCGGACGAATGCCCGACCACGGCGGACGGCGAAATGTTCCATTCGGTAAGAAGGTCGACGAGAGCGATCTGTAGGACTGTGCATAGGGGCTGTGCCACGGCTGGATCGTCAATCATGGCTGCGAGCTGGTCGTTCTGGGCTGATATGAAGTCTGCAGCGCGACAGTCAGTCTTCTACGTTCATATACGGACAGAACGGATGGGAAGCCTACCGGTCACCTTCCAGGAACAACCTAAGAATGACAGATACTTCTCGGCGTTCTGCAAGCTTTTCATGAACGTTGGGTAGATCGACAGCTCCTTACCCATGCCGTACCATTGCGCTCCCTGTCCAGTGAACACAAAAGCCACGGTCGGGTTGACGCCGGCGGACGATCGAACAGGCCGCGACAAGAGTCCACTGGCGAGGGCGTTCCGGACCTCCGCAACTGAGTCACCCACCAGGAATGATTTCCACGGCATGTTAGTGCGTCTTTGGGAGAGGGTATATGCAAGATCTTGCAAGTATGACTGGGGCTCCTGGCCGACTTCTGGTAGCCGGTCCTCATACCGATCGGCAAGACGTTTGATGCCGCCCTCGTCCGATGCAGACCAGATGAACAATCGGTGCCTTTTCTCCTCGGGGGTCTTCTTAGATGAAACCAAGCTATTGCTGTCTGGCAGGGATGGGGGGTCCTTGACCGTACGATGTCTCCCATTCAGGTCACGCTGCTCCAGGTAGTGGTAGGCGTCATCTAGAATGACATGGGCATTGGATCCACCATAACCGAATGAATTGACTGATGCTCGCCGCAGACCACGTCGAGGCCAGCTCATTGTTGTTGTCGGGAACTGAAAAGGAAGGTTAGTTTATTATGCGCCACTGGATTGTCAATTCACTCACCAACAATTTCCACTCCTCGGCAGGGATATCGGGGTTCAACTTCTCGAACCATGTATTCCGCGGGATGATGCCCTTTTCGAGAATGAAGATGGACTTGATCAGGCCTGCCAGCCCTGATGCACCTTCGAGATGGCCGATATTTGTCTTCACCGCACCAATGACTAGAGGCTCTGTTCGATGATCTTTGAACACATCTGCGATTGCTCCTGCTTCTCTTGGATCCCCGATCGGCGTTCCCGTGCCATGGGCTTCGAAGAATCCGGTCTCGCTGAGACTCAGCTCCGCTCGGAGATAAGTCTCTTTAATCAGCGCTGCCTGTGCCTCGCGGCTGGGCTGCGTGATTCCCGGTGTCCGGCCGTCCTGGTTCGATCCGGTATTCCGGATCACCGCGCGAATTGTGTCGTTATCACGGAGAGCGTTTTTCAAAGGCTTGAGAACAATGACGGCCGTGCCCTCTCCTCGTGCGTATCCGTTCGCGCGGTGGTCAAAGCTGTAACAGACACTGTCGGTGCCTAGGAACCCCAGATTCGAAAGGGGGATGTAGTTGGTGTCGGGGTTCAGCATCAGGTTACACCCGGCCACTAGGGACATTTCACTGTCGCCTCGTCGCAGATTCTGCACTGCCAAGTCCAATGCCACCAGACTGCTCGAGCACGCAGTATCCAAGGAGAGACTGGCTCCTTTCAGATCGTAGAACCAGCTCAGTCGGTTAGAAAGCATGGATGATCCCGTCCCAGTGGCCGTGTACTTGGCGTCCAATTGAGGGTCGCGGTTCATGATGGGATCAAACTCTCGCGAGAATGAGCCAACGTAACAAGATGTTCGGGATCCGATGACATCGTTCATAGGAATTCCTGAGTTCTCAAATGCATGGTATGTGCACTCAAGAAGACTCCTCTGCTGCGGGTCCATGCAGGCTGCTTCTGCCGGGGGGAGGGAGAAGAATGGAGCATCGAACAAGGTAATATCTTCCTTGAGAAAGTGTCCGCCCCGTGCGCTCATCTAGTCATTGTCAGAGCTTGCTATGAAGATGCTAGTCCCGGGATACTCACCGTATCGTGTCTGTCGGAATTAGGATGGTAGAAGGAGTCGATGTTCCATCGGTCCTTGGGGACCTCGGTCATGGCCGAACGGCCATCCAACAACAATTTCCAGAAGGTCTCTGGCGTGTCGGCATCTTGGGGGAATTTCAAGCCCATGCCGACGACGGCAATGGACTCCAACGCATCATCGTCGGTGGGAAGAGGACTCGAAGCAATAGAGTCCTCGGGTGTAGACGTTGAGATAATGGCAGGCATGATGACGCTAATATGTGGAGGACAGTTTGATATTATTACAATCTCTTCGTCTGTATTTCTCGAGAGTCAGAGGTGTCTTACGGTGTACTCGACATACCCTTTTTATATACTTCTCTGTCGCCTACCCAAGTTAAGAGCTATATCGCGACGTGCCGGCTATCAAGCCAACAGATCCAACGGCCCCATGTTCTCCGTCCACATGGCCGACGCCTCAAATCGCCAAGCGTGATGGCTGACTGCAGATAATCCTTGTCCGTGTTACTATAGCCCCCAAAACGCCTTCATAGACTCAAGTCACATTTGATGCTATGGCCGCCGCCCCCCGCCCCCACGAGCTAGGACGGGCGGTTGTTTGGCCTACATTTGTCCTACATCTCATCAGGCCAGCCATGCATGGCCCTTGCATATGCACAACCTACATTGGTTCGTGTATCACGAAACCAATGAATGCCGATCGCGGGGCTGACTCTGTTGGGCAGCTCATTTGCCAGGATGTTGCATCCGTGCGGTCCAGATGTCAAGTTTCTTGCTTATCCATCCTGCTCGACATTTTCTTTATTTATCAGTCGATCGGTCTTCATCGTCAGAGCCGTGTCTTCCGAGCCCTTTTCTGACCTAAGTGACGATTCCCCTCTCTATACACAAGCCAAACCATCAGTCAGCTTCGCACAAACAAAGAGAAAAAGAACAATGTCTGGGGTTCCTCTCCAACCGAGCGGTGCCATGGCACTCCGAGTGTCCGCGTCTATGATGGCTTTGGTGCTCGTTGCTCTTGGAATCCGAATCTGGGCTCGACTAAAGGCCCACAAGAGTTTTCTTCTGGAAGACCAGCTCATCGTCGTAGCGAGTGCTTTGTTCTATGCGGACCAAGCTATCTATCTATACGGTGAGGCACAACACCGACGGGAGAGACGGGAGAGACGGAGAGAGAGAATATCGGCGTGCTAACTCCAGTCTAGGGGTGATGGGAGAAGGGGCATCTGGTGGATCAGAGCCCACGATGATGCTGCCTCCCATGCTGAATCGGTACTTCCAGGTACGATTCCTTGCCACGTGCCCGCATCTACCGACTGATTTACTCACCACGCAACCCCACAGTATCTCTTCGTCCAACAAATCCTCTTCGTGCTGTGCATCACCGTGGTCAAGCTATCCATCCTTGTCTTTTATCGCCATATCTTCTCGACGAGGGCGTTTAAGCTGCTCAACTGGGGTCTCATCGCCCTCTGCTCGGTTTGGGGTATCACCACCCTCTTCCTGATCATCTTTCAATGCAAGCCTGTCTACGCCATGTGGACCTTCGAGTTGCAGATGTCCCCCATGGCGCAGTGCATCAACTCCTCGAAGTTGATTTTTGGGTTCGAGGTCACAAACATCATCATTGACGTGGCGCTGCTAGTGCCCCCTATTTTGATGGTGCAGAAGCTGCAGCTGCGGACGGCCAAGAAGGCTAGTGTCATTGCCGTGTTTTTGCTGGGCGGGTTGTAAGTTGATTCCATTCATGTGAAGCTGAAGACGGGATGTCCATTGCTAACCGATGGCTCAGCGTCTGCATCACCTGCGCTATTCGATCTCACTACATCTGGGACCCTGCCACGGGCCAACCGCGTAAGTTGAATAACCCACTCCTTGCATGAGTGAAGGGGCTAGTTCGACCAGCCCGGGGGAACTTAGTCGACGCAACAGAAACGCTAACATCCGATAGGCTCCCTGCCTGCCGCTATGGACTGGAGCACGGTGGAACTGGCCAGTGCCATCATTTGTGCCTGCCTACCAACGTACGGACCGCTGCTTAGCGTCCCGGCCCCCATTCGCACTTGGACCTCATCCCTGCTGGGCTCTTGGCGCTCTGTCAACAGCAAGAGCAAGTCCAAGATGTCGTCCAAGAACGAGACTTTCGCCGACAGCCAACATCTTACTAAAAATGGTACGCTGCATTCGACCTCGCAGTATGTGCCGCTGGGGGAGGATGGGGCCGATGCGCCGGCTAAGGCGGCTCGGAGTAGCGAGACGTATGAGATGCGACCATCGGAGAGGGGATTTCAGGTTGTCTAGTTTTGATTCTCTTGGAATCTTCTGTTCTCTGTTCTTTACTATTCCCCATGTTTTCTTTTGTTTTGTTCTGTTCTTTTTGTTCGCTTATTCTATGTAATATATACTGTGTCGGGATGATTTCCCCAGGGATCAAAGTCCTTGTTTGATTTATCCCTGCGTCGAAATGTTACAATCACACATTCCATGCGAGATTTACATTCTACCCCGTGTACTCGGTAAATCATGTCGACTTTCTGATCTGACCACCATCGTGGCTGACGGTCCCTGCGGACCGATGCAGAATTAGGGCTGACATCTCTTTGTTCGTGTCTCGTGCAAGTGCCTGTTGAACTAACCCTTTTCTCATAATGCCAATAATCCATGCAAGAAGATCTTTCTGATCCTGCCGAGGATGCCTTGTGCCAATTGCTCCTGAGGGGCCGTTCTTTGTCCCCTCACAGCCCACCGACTATATTAAAACGCATTTTCACACTTTCTCAGCTGCTAACCCGTTGACCCGCCAATTCATTCTAAGCGACTATGCCTTCTGTCCAGACCGTCCTCTACACCACCTACACCATTGTTTCCATCCCCGCACGCCTCGTGGCCATTCTCCTGTATTACATTCCCCAATCCACTCGCCCCCACCCCAAATGGACCTACCACCAAGCCGTAGGCACTAAGGTCTTCTCGCTCTGGTGGCGCTACGCGACCGCCGTGAACTTTCACACCCGCAAGACCCTCCTCCCAGGGAGCGAGGGCGACCGCTTCATCGTGATCCCACCCCCGTCGGATGCCTCTACCTCGACTAATCCTACGATCTACCGCGACATCCTCCTCTCCAATGACCAAATCCAGCCCCTCCCCGTCGGCGCTGTCTGGTACACCGCGCCATCGGTCCCACAGCCATCGCTCTCCACCCCGCCCGCCCGCCTCGCGATCCACTTCCACGGCGGCGCCTACGTCCTCGGTGGCGCCCGCCAAATGGAAAGCGGCTGGGGTCCCGAGGTGCTCAGCACCGCGCTCTCCTGCCCCGTCCTGCAGCCCCAATACCGTCTCTCCGTCGCCGAGAACGCCTCGTTCCCCGCCGCCCTGCAGGACGCTATCACGGTCTACGCCTACGCGCTGAACGTGCTCCGCGTGCCCGCCGACCAGATCATCCTGTCTGGCGAGTCGGCGGGCGGGAACCTTGTGCTTGCGGTGTTGCGTTATCTGAATAATGCTGCTGCTTCGTCTGGGGCTCCGCCGCTACCGCTCCCTCGTGCTGCCCTACTCTGGAGTCCCTGGGTCGATTTGTCTCGCGCGGCAGAGGACAAGGCGTCGTCGCATCCGCGTCGCGGTATGGACTATCTCTTCGGCGAGTTGGTCGCGTGGGGTCGTGAGCGGTTTATCCCCGAGGGATGGGAAGACGAACACAAGCAACCCCAATCCCAATCTCAGAACCAGGCCAACCCGACCCTTCCCAGCGACAAGTTCGCGTATATATCTCCCCTCAGAAACGAGTTCTACTCGCCGACGCCGGTGTTCGTGCAAACCGGCACGGCGGAGATCCTGTACGAAGATCATGTGCAGTTCGATAGGGGCATGGAGGAGCAGGGCACGAAGGTCGAGATGTTGGAGATTGTGAATGCGCCGCATGATACGTTTGGCGCGGGGTTGTTAGTGGGATTTGCGAAGGAGGCGGAGGATGCGGCGCGGAGGGCGGCGAGGTTTGTGGATGAGGCGGTTTGATTCCTTTTCTCCTTTCTGTCCTTGGCTTGCATTGGGGGGAGGGGTGTGGTTTGAGTTGTTACAGATGATTCTTTCAGGTTTCTTTGTTGTTTAGACGAAGCGATATATATTAAAAGCCTGTAAAGAGCTGGTCACGATGGATTCATTTGGCTTCACCCTTGACACACTTTATCCTCCATGGTGTTTCTCAAGGGGAAAACGTGCATACATAGTTCAACATCATATTCTAAGCTCACCCTTACCCAGGCCACGAACTGTCACCAGTGTGCAGCGAGATTAGCATCAACAACCCTATCTTTGCGGCAGGGATAGCTAAGACAAGAATGTCTACGGAGTAGGCTAACCTCGGCCCCTTATCTTTCCTTCTGACCTATTTGGAATGGTACGGTAAATTTACTCACAGTCTACATTTTGACTCGCCAATTGGATATCTCGTACATTCCTAGGCTATGCCAGTCTGAGTGGGAACCACGCGCTGATCACAATATATTAGGTTAAATCGGTCCAGTATAATATAATCAACCCAGCCAATAGCTGGTCTAGAAAGCCTCATCCCGCCACATATGCACTATGTAGATGAACTGTTGGGGGCGAGAACTTCTCATCCAAAAAAAAAAAAAAAAAAAAAAAAAAAGCGGAACAGAGGGCAAGTGACGGACCCCATTCCAACCACGCCAAAGATTGGGGGCCATTTCAAGACTGCAGAACGCCGAAGACCGACGCTCAGTTCCTGCACCGTGCACTCTGCACCGCTCAGACCAACTCACAAGGAACAATTAACTACTTCACTAGGCTGTAGGCGCCAGGAATGATTTCCAACGCCAAGCCCTGTCAGCTTACCCACAGCATTCCGGCAGTCGGCTTGAATGTAGGTACCTATTAGAATTTCAGCCCCCGCACCGGATCAAACCGTCTTTTCATAAGCAGTGAGGGCGGAGGCTTTAGTCTTGTCTTGCCGATGTTACATCGTTGCGAGGTATCTGGTGTTGGTGATGGTGGTTGAGTGGCCCGGAGGTATACGGTATGCAGGTACATTGGGGGCTGGAATTGTATCCAACGCACGGATAGGTTCTTCATTCAGTTTTGATCGAGATTAATGTGATGTTGCTTGTGCTTACATGGGGCGGAACCTGAACATTTTATTAGATATGGCCCACTGATATTTAACGGTCGACTTCCTAATTAGGAGTAGATTGGTGGTAACGGTTCTCAACGTGGCCTCTAAGGAAGACTCCTCTTCTTTTTGTTCCTCTTTTCCAAAGCCCCTGTGAGTTCGTATCCTCATTTACGTTCCTTCGCAAAAGTTCAATCCAACAATGTCTCGCCTCCAATCCAAGGTTTGCATAGTCACGGGCTCCTCGTCCGGCCTAGGCCGTGCCATCGCTCTGGCCTTTGCAAGAGAAGGCGCTTCGCTCGTCGTCTGTGGCGATGTAACCCGCGAACCCCCTCCGGCCGAAGGAGAAACTGAGGGAGAGACTGAGGGAGAGACCGAGACCGAGACTCTCGCAACCGATGTCCTCGTTGACCAGGTCCCCGGCGCTAGGGGTATGTATGTGCAAGTAGACGTGACAGATCCCGAGCAGGTAGCAGGGTTAGTCCAGAATGCAGTGCAAATCGGAGGGAAGGTTGATATGTTCGTCCTCTCCCTGACTACTAAAAGTGAGACTGCTAGGCTGATCAAAACCCCAGATTCGTGAACAATGCCGGCTGCGGGCCCTCGTTCACCAAGATCCACGACACCCCAGAAACCACCTGGGATGCAACGATGTATGATGATTCTGGTTGTCAGATCCGCCACTAACCATGACTGATGTATTGCTGTCTTCAATTGATGTAGAAACCTCAACCTCCGTGGCCCCTTCCTCGGCACCAAGTCAGCCATCCAGCAATTCCTCACCCAAGAGCCCGACCCTGTGTCCGGAGCTCGTGGGAAAATCATCAATGTAGCCAGCACGGCCGGGCTGAGGGCGTTGCAGTCATCGTGTACGTTGTTACCTTCTCTTCTTTCATTCCCTTCACGCGATATGGCTGTCCCTACCCGTCGGCGTCAGTCCCGTCACTCATGCGAAACACGATGAACTGATACGCCCGGATGTATCTCAATCTAGCCGCATACTGCGCCTCCAAAGCAGCCGTGATATCACTGACGCAGACTACCGCGCTCGAGTACGCTGCTGACAAGATCACCTGTAATGCCATTTGTCCAGGATGTAAGTTTTCCATCCTCTTCCCGGTTGTCTCTTTCTTGTCGACTAGTCCGTGCAGCAAAGCTAAAAGTGTACAGTTGTCCAAACCAGCATGACGAACTTTCTTTTCCAGAACCCAGATGTCAACCAGTTCATGCAAAAGAGCACACCACTGGGTCTGTCTCAGTCCGCACCCGAAGAGATCGCCAAAGCGGCGGTGTTTCTGGCCAGCAACGAGGCGGCGTGGATGACGGGGGTTGCGATGCCCGTGGATGGAGGGTTTACGGTGCATGATTGAGTTGGTGGATTGTTGGAAAGCAGGGGATGCGTCAAGCTCCCATATGAATGGAAGGAACCGTCTATACGGCTTTACTTTATGTAGCTCCAGCTTCTCGCACTTGGAATTAACTGGAACACACATACCTTGATCCTGAGACCTTGCAGTAAGAGAAAAGCAGAGATTTCCATTACCATTTCTTCTCAAAGGTACATGCAACTGGTTACACAAACAAACGCGAGCCTCCAGCAGAGAAGGTGGAAGGTCCCTGTGGTTGCCCCGCTGCAGACAACTTCTCCACTCCACCTTTTCTCTCTTTCCTTTCCTTTCCTGTCATCTCCCCTGAGTTCCCCAAATTTTTGCATTGAAGATTCCTCATCGTCCATCATTTTCGTTTCCAGTGATTCATCAAATCAACATGTCTCATCACCAGGCGCTTCTCGAATGGTATGTACTATCGCTACCCCTCCCTTGTCGACCATGGATATTGATGATTACATCCTGTCAGGTTTAACGGCCTCTACTCTCGCACACTCGACCTCGTCGGCGACTACGCGGGAGACGAGCTGTTCATCATCGAAGGCGACTCTCTACTGCTGCACTGCTTCTCAGACGACAAGCTTGACTTTTCTCCTGGTTTCCAACTGCTCCATGCGACGTATCTGGTCGAAAGGTTTCTTGCCCAGCTTCACCAGCGAAAATGCAATTTCCACATCGTGTTCTTTGCTCAGCATTCTCAGGCCTGTATACCCCCTCATGCAGCTGCGGATGTAAATCAGAGGTATCTGGTCGCGCGCGAAGCCATCTTGCATCATCTTACCCAGCATCTCTCAGAGTCGGCTTCTTCCATACAGGTGCGGTCGTTTGACTCGTATGGCTCCTTAGCCTTTACGGAGTACCTGGCTTCGGTCGGTGTGTACTTCTTGATGTGCCACGACGGGGCGTTCTCTCGACTTGGTTTTCCTGAGACAGAAGGGAAAGACAATCAAGTTGTTGAGGACGAGGCCTTGGACGAAGATGACAATGACGATGGCTCTACAGCTGGCCCGATCGTGGGTGTCCATTCGGCAAGGATGTGGAAAACCAGCATCCTTCTACGCAAGATGATCCACTGGTTTGTCTCAAACGGATACAACGTGGCGTTGATAAGCATGATTGAGTGCCGAGACACCAAGGTAGGACTCTTGCTTTGTTGATAGAACTTGTGCTAATGGTTCAGGTCATGGCGACGATACTAGAAGGCCCAGCACAAGCTGCGAAAAACATCTACAACTCTTCTGGTGATGGTTTGGAGAATTTTGGTGACTCCGCAGTGGACACCAGGGAATCCACAAGCTCCGTGGCCCCCATACCATCGGCTCCCGACCCTGAGCTTTCTGATGTCGCTGATGAGGTCTTGTGTGCTCTTTTGGCTATGATGATTGAATATGGCCTTACTTTAAGCCAACGAGAGCTGGCCATGCTGCTTACGCTAGGCACTTTGTTCAAATCCGGGCGCCATTCAGGTAACGACGACATCCTGTCCGCTCGAGCGATTGTGCTGCATGTCGTCATGATATCTGAATGCCGACTGCACGAAAGGTCGGCCAGAACACTAAGCTCAGTCCGAGCTTCCTCATTCCTCCAACGTTATGTGACCATTCTGCACCATACCATAACCTCGCAGTACTGGCGAAGCATTGCCAACTTGGCATCGACTCATGATGTGGCTGACCTGTTGGATAGAAGGCTTTTTCTTCAGACACTTGACTTGTTGGCGCATTGCAATGGGCTTCCACAAATGAGCTCCTCGGTCCGCAACAGATTTGATGAGCTGCAATCTCTTGTAAAGCGCATCTGCGATGTTAACCTCCAACGGGAACCCACAGCCGAGACTTTCGCAATCGGCCACGAACGTCCGCAATTCTCGGGTTCCACTCACGGTAACAGTGCAAGCCCAGGTCTATCGATGGAAAGCCTGGAAACAAGCTTGAATACCCTACCCACTGTTCTCCCATTCAACAACCTCGTCATGAATCCCCATCTTGCCCCCATATCAATTGCTGTGGACAAGTCTTCTGAGAAAGAGCTCAGCCCGGGCATGTCAAGAACATTTCAGGAATTGAGCCATTGGCACAGCCACCAAAGACCCCTGACCAACAAGCTCAAAACTCCTTTGACCACAAGACAACTTACTTTCCTCAACCGCCGCGATCAATGGTTTATGGCTGAGATCCGAAATTACGCTGCCAGTCTGACAAACCCCAGAGGCGGGACATTGGAGCCAGAGTCCGTCTTTTTTAAGCCTGCACCGGACAAAGATTGCAAACCTGGGAGATCAACGCCTTCGAGTTGCCCCAAGAAGCATGTCCCGGCAAAGAGTGGTCATGCACAGCGATCAAAAAAGTCGAAACCACAGAGTTCAAATGTTAGAGCCCAAGCTGAAGCTCGTCAGGAGTCTAAGCGGGCTGAAATCCATGAACAATACTTGAATGCTTGGAAGAACATGCTCGGTACCTTCCAGAAGGAGCCCAATCACATCAAGCGATACATGCAAGTGAGCCAATACCTGAAAGGTCTTACAAAGGAGCGGCGAGAACTTATCGAGCCAGAGGTTTTGCTCTATATCATCGATACTTTGATTCACATCTGGCTCGATGAATGCAACTCCAACAGAAAGGCAGATTCTCTGCACATCCCGGCGCTCATTTGGCACACAATTCTTCAAATTCAGAACAAGCGAGGTGTCACGGAAAGCATCGCTAAATGTGTCAACAATACCATCAAGACGTTAGAATTCCCGGCTATCAGTGTGCCATCTGAGGGCAAAAGACCCCTTTCTTTCTCATTCATATCGCTCTCTGCTTCAAAGACCAATTTGAGCATTGAGCTCTCCCCGATTGACTTTCAGCTAACCCATGCCGGTCCCTATTTGAGCCGCAGTATGGGGTCTGCGCCTGATCCCCGCGTGCATGACTTTGAGCCAGACCAATGGCAGCGGGAGATCCTTGACCAGATTGACGCGAAGAAGAGTCTGTTTGTTGTGGCACCAACTAGCGCAGGGAAAACGTTCGTCTCGTAAGTTGCCATGTCCTTTTCAACAGCGAAGTTCTTCAAGCACCAAAGGCTAACCAACGTTCTTACTTCGCAGGTTCTACGCAATGAAACAAATCCTCGAGGAAAGTAACGACGGTGTTCTTGTCTACGTCGCCCCCACAAAAGCTCTTGTCAATCAAATCGCTGCTGAGGTGCAGGCGCGATTCTCGAAGACATTTTCCCACAAGGCCGGCAAGTCTGTTTGGGCAATCCATACGCGTGACTACCGCATCAACAACTGCACGGGCTGCCAGATTCTTATAACCGTGCCGCATATTCTGCAGATAATGCTTCTAGCACCATCTAATGCCAAGTCATGGTCGTCGCGAGTCAAGCGTATCATTTTCGATGAAATCCATTGCATTGGCCAAGCCGACGATGGTGTTGTCTGGGAACAGCTCCTTCTTCTCGCACCTTGCCCCATCATTGCATTGTCTGCGACGGTTGGCAACCCACAGGCTTTTAGCAATTGGCTCTCCCTCACTCAGCAAGCCAATGGCAATGAACTGAAGATGGTTCAACACAAGACTCGGTATTCGGATTTGAGAAAATACGTTTACAATCCGCCTGCCGAATTCGCATTCAATGGCCTATCGGCCCCCTCACAACTGGCATCGCTTGGACTTGACGATAGCCCCAATATGACTTTTATGCATCCAGTCGCAAGCTTAATTGATCGGTCCAGAGGAATACCCGATGATCTGACACTTGAGCCACGCGACTGTCTAGAGTTGTGGAGGATTATGGAGAAACACAAGACAGATAGGTTTCCGGTTGAGACCGGTCTTAGCCCTGCGAATGCTTTGCCGATGGTTATCGCAAAGTCCGATGTTATTCGGTGGGAGACAAATTTGAAATCAACATTGAGCAGTTGGATGAAGGACACGAAGTCGCCGTTCGATAATGTGTTGAACGAGCTGTCCACAAATCTGCATAACAGAATTCAGCCGCCGCTTCAGGTCTCCTCAACCGAAAGCCAAGAGCCAAACACTGCTCGCACAGTGAGAGCTAGTAGTCTTCTTGATACTACCCTCCCACTCATCTGTTCCCTACATGAACAAGGCGCCCTTCCAGCGATCCTATTCAACTACGATCGAAGCCAGTGCGAGAAGCTATGTGAGCACCTTCTCGCCGAGCTACAGGAAGCAGAAAAGCGCTGGAAGACTTCGAGCCCAGTCTGGAAGAAGAAGATAGCCGAATGGGAGGCATGGAAGAAATCTGAAGCCAAACGGGCCAAGATCAAGCCCAAGAAGGGAAAGAGATCTGGTAATGATGAGGACGAGCCCTTGTCAAAAACGGAGAGGCTGCAAGAATCTGCGTCAGTAGAATCAAGCCTGTACGACTCGTTTGACCCCAATGAGCCCGTTGCTGGCTTTCACCTGGCAGATACGAGATGCCTTTCACGATCGGAGTTTGATGCCTATGCCAAAGAGATGCGGAGGCGATCTATCCCTGAATGGCTCATTGACGGCATGAACCGCGGGATTGGGGTTCATCATTCGGGAATGAATCGCAAGTACCGCCAGGTCTGCGAGATCCTTTTCAGGAAGGGCTATCTCCGCGTGGTCATAGCTACCGGAACACTGGCGTTGGGAATCAACATGCCTTGCAAAACGGTGGTCTTCACCGGTGACTCCGTTTTCCTCACAGCACTTGGATTCCGTCAAGCTGCTGGTCGAGCCGGTCGTCGCGGCTTCGACTTTCTCGGGAATGTGGTGTTCCAAGGTATCTCGTATCCCAAAGTCTGTCGCCTGCTGAGCTCCAAGCTCCCCGATCTCAACGGTCACTTCCCGGTCACGACTAGCTTGGTGCTGCGCCTGTTCATCTTACTCACCGAGTCCGGACAGTCCCCATTTGCTATTCAGGCTGTTAATTCCATTCTTTCGTGTCCCAGAATATATCTCGGCGGGCCAGAGGCAAAGCATACGGTTTTACACCATCTTCGCTTTTCGATCGAGTACCTGCGACGAAACCACCTGCTCGATTGGAGTGGCTCTCCATTGAACTTCGCAGGAACAATATCCCATCTCTACTATACCGAGAACTCAAGCTTTGCATTTCACGCACTCTTGAGCAAGGGGTATTTCCATGAGCTCTGTGAAGATGTCGATCGGAGCCCTGAAGTCGTCACGCGCACATTAATGCTTGTGATGGCACATATCTTCGGTCGACACTACCTTCCTCGAAAGACGATCGAAAACCACAAATCTGTTGTCAAGCACTCGCCATCAGTTGTTTTTCTTCCGCCCTTGCCCAAAGCAGCGGCCAAGGCAATCCGAGCTCACAACAAGTCTACCTTGGATATTTACGCAGCATATGTGACCACATTCATCCAGCAGCACATCAAAGATCCAGACTGCACGCTCCCACTCACAGGCCTAAAGCAGGGTGGAGACAAATCGCCCGTTGACATTTGTCCTTCTCTGCCCGTGCTCCCTCCGACTATCGTAAACTCCTCGTTCGTCGCCCTGTCCGGCCACCGCGACACCTGGTCCAGTATCTCCGAGCTTTGTAAAATGGTCCGCAGCGGCGTCTGGCTCGAACAATCCGTAGTGCCCTACGTGGCCATCGACCCCGAGGAGGATCATGCGCCGTTGAACGCCTATCTTTACGACTTCTTCAGGCATGGGAACGTGCACGCTCTCGAACATGGGAACATGGTTCGCAAAGGCGATATCTGGTTCGTGCTGAATGATTTCTCGCTCGTCTTGGCAACTATCGTGACGAGCTTTGAGAACTTTCTGAAACTGGCGCCGAACACCGATCCAGACATGTTGGACACACGTGGAAGTGGGGATGCATACGAAGACGAACTTGACAGGCAAGATATCGAGGGGGGGAATCCGTCATCCGAGAGCTCGTCGAGTCATCAATCGGTGACTCATGCGAGAGGCCAATCGACAAAAGTGTCTGGGAATATTGCTCCCGCCAAACCTAAAAAGTCGAAAGTTTCAGAGAACTGGGACGATGGACTCAGTGATGATGAAGCTTCTGATAATTTGGAACAGGCTTCCAATTTTTCTAGGGGCACGATCAGCCCATCCGAGAAAGCCAGTTCCTCGGCACCGGACTCCGAGAGAAGCGACTCACACTCACAAAACGAGGTCCTTGAGGAGCAGCGACTGTTGAAAGTTCTCAAGGGGTTCAAGTTGCTTCAGGCTGAGTTTAACGAGAAGTTCAGGGCCATGTGGGCGTAATCTAGTCGCGGAGTCATTTGTCGATTTTGGATGAGAGAATGATTTTTGTGACTTGTCATAGACCATTTATTGTCTGGACGGTTCTTGTTGTCAGTTTACTAGCATGGTTTGGAATCACTCTGATAGTTTTATCGTACTGAAGTTCTTGGAGAAATTCTTATTTTGGCGCGCTCCTTCCCCTTACGATCTGCACCAGCGGTCTAACCTCATACGGAGTAGTATATGCTGCCTTGCTGCCTTATCATGAGTAGAGCCATGGCACGTTGATGGTCACTCCATTCCAGTATTAGCAATTCGATGATTCATCTTTACCCACAACTTTCAACTCCTCCGTATAGATAGCACCGAAATAGGGTTTCCTTGGACCTCCTGGCTGGCTCGGAATCTAAAACACGTAGCGATACCACGGAAATATATTTCGGAATACTGAACACTGGGGCAAGGTGTGCGTTGTAGGGCACACAGCAAAGTCTAAATTACTCTCCATTTTGATACTAAAAAGCAGACGCTCGGTTGTTTCTCAAGTATTAAGAGATCTTCATGTCCTGACACACACACACACATCCAAATTGAAAGATGTGCTTGCATTTCGCCCAACTACAGAGCACTGACTAAGCAACCAGCCCACGTGACCGTTACTATCAGTGCAGCTTTTCCTTATCAGGAGATTTTTTTTTTATCTCCGCGGCGTTGCGATTTTCTTCGGGACTCAATTCGAACGCTGCCCACCTCCCTCTCCCACAACATCGATCCTTCAGTTCGAGGCTAGGTCGTCCGTCACCATGGCGCAAATCACCAAACAGCGAAAACTGAATCGCGAGCCCGTGAGCAAGAAAGCTCCTTCCACCTCTCCCTCGCCGTCCCCCGAACCCGAAGCATCGACAGAGCAAGACATCGCCGAAGAAGAGCCCGCGAAGAGTTTCCAAGAACTCGGCGTCATCGAGCAGCTATGTGACGCCTGCACGGAGCTCGGATACAAGGCGCCCACGAAGATCCAGGCGCAGGCCATCCCGACCGCCCTGCAAGGACGCGATCTGATCGGATTAGCAGAAACCGGTAGTGGAAAGACGGCCGCCTTCGTCCTTCCGATCCTCCAGAATTTGATGGAAACGCCGCAGTCCCTACACTCGCTGATCCTGGCGCCGACGCGTGAACTGGCGCAGCAGATCTCGCAGGTCGTTGAGGCTCTGGGATCGTTGATTTCGGTCCGCTGTACGCTCTTGATCGGTGGTGTGGATATGGTGTCGCAGTCTATTGCGCTGGGGAAGAAACCGCATGTTATTGTCGCGACGCCGGGTCGGTTGCTGGATCATATGGAGAATACAAAGGGATTTTCGCTACGTCAGTTGAAGTTTCTGGTGCTGGATGAGGCGGATCGGTTGCTTGATATGGATTTCGGGCCTCTGCTCGATAAGATCTTGAAGATTCTCCCGAAGCAGGGCCGCAAGACGTATCTCTTCTCCGCGACCATGTCGAGCAAGGTGGAATCCCTGCAGCGCGCGTCGCTGGTTAACCCCGTACGGTTGTCGATCTCTTCCAAATACCAGACCGTGTCTACGTTGATCCAGCGCTACGTGTTCCTCCCGCACAAGTACAAGGACATTTACCTGGTGTACCTCCTCAACGAATGGGCCGGACAAACGGGCGTCATCTTCACGCGCACCATCCACGAAACCCAGCGTGTGACCCTCATGCTGCGGAACCTCGGGTACGGCAGTATCCCCATCCACGGACAGCTGTCGCAGAGCGCCCGAATGGCCTCCATCACCAAGTTCCGCGCCAAGGCCCGCAACCTGCTCATCGCCACCGACGTCGCCGCTCGTGGTCTCGATATCCCCTCCGTCGATTTCGTCTTGAACTACGACCTTCCCCAGGACAGCCAGTCGTATATCCATCGTGTCGGGCGAACGGCGCGTGCGGGTCGCAGCGGTATCGCCATCTCGTTCGTCACGCAGTATGATATCGAGACGTGGATGCGGACCGAAAAGGCACTCGGCAAGAAGCTGGACGAGCATAAGATCGCCAAGGACGAGGCTATGGTGTTTGCGGAGCGGGTGGGCGAGGCGCAGCGATCGGCGGCCATCGAGATGCGGGATATGGATGAGAAGGGCCGGGGGTCGAAATTCCGGCACAAGGGGGGTAAGAGAACTCGTGATGGTATGGATGAAGATCAGGGTTGATTTTGTGAGATGTCGTACTAAAAGCGTTTGATTTTTATTTGAGCTTAATACCAATTTCGATTGTGTTTGATTTAATCCCGGTGTCTCAGGTCTATGGTTTACTTGTAGAGATCCGGTTGCGATAGGACCTGTATACCTCCCGGAATTCATTCTATAGCCAATGCGGCATGAAGTGAAGCTCATCATTAAAAACTGACAACGATTTGTTGCTATTTGCATGCTACGGATTCCGAACTCACCAAACCGGAAATCTGATTCCGATCATGCGGGGGTATACTTAACCTACCTGTCGAACCCTAGTATACATCCATACGAAACCAAACACTTCACCTACCTGACCCTGAACTTCAAGCCATGCAGTCCAACAAACAAGCCCTCGGCTCCCTCTCATTAGGCCAACACCCGTCACACAGCCTGGACCACAAGATCCAACTCGCCTCCAAATACGGCTTCAGCGGCATCGAGATCGTCTACTCAGACCTCCAGCACTACTCCTCCCAGCACAGGATCCCCATCCTCACCGGCGCGTCCCGCATCAAACAGATCTGCAACACCCACAACGTGGAAGTCCTATCCCTCGCGCCCTTTGAGAACTTCGAAGGCGCCCGCACCCCTCTCGCCGACCGTCTCGCCACCGCAAAACACTGGCTCAGCATCGCGCGCATCCTCAACGCCCCGTATCTGCAGGTACCGTCGCAATTCGACCCGAACAGCATCACCGACGAGACGGTCCTCGTGCAGGAACTCCAACATCTCGCGGACCTCGGGAGCGCGGAATCGCCCCCCGTCGCTATCGCTTACGAGTACCTCTCCTGGGGCACGTATTGCTCGACGTGGGACACTGCCCTCCGCCTGGTGAAGCTGGTCGATCGCGCGAACTTCGGCCTGTGTCTGGATACCTTCCACGAGCTTACGAAGCTCTGGGCTAGTCCGTTCGAAGTGTCGGGAAAGTACCCGCGCGGGGACCAAGCCCTGCGTGACTCGTTGCAGAGGTTCAAGACCGCCGTTCCGCTGGAGAAGATCTTCTACGTGCAGCTCTCCGATGGCGAGCGGTTCGATCCTCCCTTCTCGGATTCGCATCCGTGGTATCTGGAAGGCGAGGCGTCGCAGTTCACGTGGTCCAAGCACGGGAGGCCGTTTCCGTTGGAGACTGACCTGGGCGGATACATGCCTGTTCCTGAGGTCGTGAGGGCCTGGGTGCTGGAGACTGGGTTCAAGGGCTGGATCTCTATGGAGGTGTTTGATCGGCAGATGCGTAGCAGGGAGTTTGAGCCTGAGACGGCGGCGATTCGGGCGCGTGAATCCTGGCGGAAAGTCCAGGCGGCCGTTGTCGCCGAGGATTTGCCGGGGAAACTGTAGTTAGTGGGTTGAAACACGTGATGGCTGTCGGCCGAGTGAAAATGCAAATGCAAATGCCGGGTTTTTCCGCTTTCCGTCTTCTTCCGCCTCCGCCTCGCCGTACTTTTGTTACTACAGGGGAGGATGATGCTTTCTCAACCCCCCCAGCCACACACACTGCGTCGGTCGTGTCTGGCCTGTGCAAAGGGTAAACGTCGGTGTGACCAGCGATGGCCGAAGTGTAGCCGATGCCAGAAGAGAAAAGTCGACTGTGAATACGCCAATGTACCGCTGACTAGGGAATTGACAGTGTCAAAGCCCGGCACTCCGGGGATAGTTCGGGCCAGAACTTCCGCCGATCCTCGAATCTATCCTTCCTTGAGTCTGGAAATTGTCAAAGGGTATAGCCCTGATGTCATTCGTTTTCTTGAAGACGGGATGCGGAACCTTCCTGTCGTGTTTGCGCGATCTATGAAGACGATGTTCATTCATCCGGATTTGTTCGAGGGAGAAAACACCCCGGCTTCGATACTGGAGGCTCATGCGCTGTGCAAACTGCATCTCACGGCGACTGAGAAAGGGGATCTTGGCTCTCTAATTCCCGTTTTACGTTGCAAGTCCGCCCAGCTGCAACGGCAGATCAACCATGCAGCCAACTTCGAGGAGCTGCTCAGCTGTATTCAAGCATTGATTCTGATCCAGTGCATGTTGATTCTCAATGAAGACGATCGCGAGGCAACTCCGTACTCGGAGACAGTCAGCACGATGCTCATGGACCTGGCCGAACGACTATGGCAGCATGCCCCCATTCAATTACCGAACACGCTCAGTCCGAAACGCGCCTGGATTTTTGCCGAGAGTGTGCGCCGCACAATCATCGTGGGGTTGCTGCTTCGGAGCGTGTACTCGCTCAAGAAGAGGAATTATTCTGTTCGAAATCCGTTCATCGATTCGCTACCTTTCGACGTGCGAGTCTCCCTGTGGGATGAAGACTCGGCCGAGGTGTGGAGCGGAGTACTTTCTGAAACGGAGTCTTGGCGCTCGATCATGTCTCTGCATCAGTACTCTTCGCTCATGGACAGCGGCCGCACTCACGGCATTCCGCCGTTCGGAGCGTTGATCCTGGCGGCTTGCAAGGGGAAGACTGCGTCTGATGTGTCCTATCCCGCCTTGAGGTCGTACTACGTTTCGTGATGCGGATCAGTTTGAACTCTTCTACTGAGTTTCCATATCATTTACTTCCCTCTACTTAGACTAGGCCCTTATCGCAGGAACTGCTTCAGCAAACCCGACAACATCTCCGTCATCTGATGATACATCTCCTGTCTCTTCAGCTCAAACGCCTCGAAAATACCCCTCGCCGGCCCCACCGGGATCTGGTCCTCGCCCCGACACAGTTTCTCCCATGTCTGATCCGTGAACTCCTGCAGCGGCATGCCGATCAAATGCCCGTCCTTCAAATCCGGCTGATGCCTCGTATCATGCAACTCGGTCTGCACGGCTGGCGGGAAAATCTCCACGATCTTGACATCGCCCGGGCCGCTCTGCAACTGCGTGCGCAGCGCCAGGATGAAATGGTGCAGGGCCGCCTTGGAAGCACCGTAGTTGGGGCATCGCATCATTGGCACCAGCGCCATCTGGGAGCTTGTGAATGCGATCGCGGTCTTCGAGGGCCGGCTCTGCAGGTGCGGCAGGAAGGCTTTGGTCAGATGCACGGCGGAGGTGTAATTGGTTGTCAGTTCTGTTTCGAAGATGTGTATGTCGACGGATTCGGGGGTGGCGAAGTCGAAGGCGCGCTGGATGCCGGAGTTGACGAAGATGCAGTCAAGGTCGGGGTTGCTGGCAATGATTTCGGCAGCGAAGTTAGGGATCTGCATCGTTAGTCGTCTGTTTGATGATTGCCTTACCATCCTAACGATTCTAGGCTATGTCCGGGACGGGGAACTCACTTGATCCAGCTTCAAGCTATCAAACACCTTCGCCTGCACTTTCTTCTCGTCGCCTCCATACTTCTGCACGAAGTCATCCAGGTTTTCCTGTCTCCGACCAGCCACGATCACCGGGATACCATTATCCACGAGCTTGATAGCCAAAGCCTTGCCAATGCCAGACGTGGCACCAATGACCAGGACTTTCTTATAGTCGAACGACATCATATTATGGACAGCTTGAAACGAGTCAACAAAGTCTGCAATTGGATCAAAAACACAAGTGAAACCTGTCCTTCAATTCCAGAACAGAACACCCCTTTTTATACCCCTCCGAACCCTCTCGCCTTCAAAGTCTTGCTGCGTTCTCCCAACTTCTCGCTCGTCCTGATCTCACTCGCCCTGCGGAGACTAAACCGAAAGGAGCCGAAAAGTGGAGTCGGAGAGGTTGATGCCTGTGGGCCTGAACATCGTGAATGTGCTTTTCCGGGCTCATTGGAGGTGTGGCGGCGAGAACTCTGCGTCTGTGGCTTGTGTGGTCTGCTTGTAGTCATTGTGTTTTGGATTATCAAGCAACATGTTGGTGGGGAGGAATTCTAGAAGGAACTGTCTTTCGTTTGGGTGGGCTTATAGTTAGTCGGATGAGATGAAGAGAACATGGTCTTGCAAGAACAACACAGATAAGACAAGTGAATATGCATAACATTCTCAATTATCAAATTGCATATGAAGTATAGCAAAGCAACTGTATCTCTATGGAATGGAACAACCCAAGTCATGTGACCTTGCGTATACCTTCACAGTTCGAATGGACAAGGCTTGAGGGGAATTGCAAGAAGTAAGAATCCAAACCAAGAAGATCCCCATCTCTAAAGCAAATAGCCCATCCGAGGGCTTTGCACACCCGGCCGACAGCAACGCTGAACGGCGGCTGACATAAGCGCATCCCGGGATTTGCCTCCAACGTCTCCATCTGCCTTCTCTCTCTCGACCCACTTCGATCTGTAGACTAAACAGAAAAATCCCCCGACGACCTGTGGCCTTAGTTTAACCGCATCTTCCCCTCACCCTCAAACCCCGGCCTGCATCACGCCATGACTTTCCCCGACCCGCTGCTCCCTGTTCCGCGGTCAAAACCAAACGCAACGCTGAAGCAGAGACCGTGGTGAGGAGGTCTTCTCCACTATGCTGTCGCATCCCGGTCGGTGGTATATGCTGGATGACTGCGGCGAGTTGATCCAGACAGGCCGTTCATGCAGAGGCCGTTTCCGAGAGGCCCGGGTGGACTGAGATGCAGTGAAGTGAGGCGACGAGGTGGAATCGACTTCCGAGAGGGGATGCAGGTTGATTAGATATGGAATTGACGAGGTATAAAGAGGGGGTGAAGGTGCATTCAGTTTGAGGTTTCATTCACTACAAGATCAACTCAATCTTCGAGTCTCACACGAATCTTCAGTTCTCAATCTCTTCCCTTTCCGTATCTTCCACTTTCCACCAACCAATCTTCATCATGGCCCCCGTCCTCAAGAAGTACAAGGCTGCTGCCGTCAACGCTGAGCCTGGATGGTTCAACTTGGAAGAATCTGTCCGCAGAACTATCCACTGGATCAATGAGGCCGGTGCCAATGGCTGCAAGTTCATTGCTTTCCCTGAGCTCTGTACGTTCCATCCAAGATCACCACTAGACAACATCTTTTAACAGAACCAGGGATTCCCGGATACCCCTATTGGATGTGGAAGGTCAACTACCAGGAGAGCCTTCCTCTGCTGAAGAAGTACCGTGAGAACAGTCTGCCTTCGGACTCTGACGAGATGCGCCGCATCCGCGAGGCCGCTCGCAACAACAAGATCTACGTCTCGCTGGGCTACTCCGAGGTCGACCTGGCCAGTCTGTACACTACCCAGGTGATGATCTCGCCCTCCAGCGACATCATCAACCACCGTCGCAAGATCCGCGCCACCCACGTCGAGCGTCTCGTCTTCGGTGACGGCACCGGCGACACCACCGAGTCGGTCATGCAGACTGACATTGGCCGCATCGGTCACCTCAACTGCTGGGAGAATATGAACCCCTTCATGAAGGCCTACGCTGCCTCTTTGGGCGAGCAGGTCCACGTCGCCGCCTGGCCTTTGTATCCCGGAAAGCAGACCCTCAAGTACCCTGACCCGTACACCAACGTGGCCGAGGCCAATGCTGATGTATGTCCTTCCCTTTCTTGGGCCCCTTTCACCATCTATCCACGAGTGAGAAAAGCATGGGGAAAATGTTTGAATTCACTCAGCTAATAAGATCTTTTCTTCCGCGCAGCTCGTCACTCCCGCCTATGCCATCGAAACTGGCACTTACACTCTCGCTCCCTGGCAGACCATCACCGCCGAGGGCATCAAGCTGAATACTCCCCCCGGCAAGGAGCTCGAGGATCCCAACATCTATAACGGCCACGGTCGCATCTTCGCACCGGACGGCCAGAACCTGGTCCCTCACCCGGACGTTGACTTCCAGGGTCTGCTCTACGTTGACGTATGCCATCCGAGCCCTCAACTCCCGTTCCATATTCTCAAAGAGAGTATCCACTAACACGATTCCCGAATGATAGATCGACCTCGATGAAATCCACCTCACCAAGTCTCTTGCTGACTTTGTACGTTCCACCCCAGCATAACCACCCCCCAGTGACAACAACATAAAACCTGATCCACGCTAACAAAGCAAAACAGGGCGGCCACTACATGCGTCCCGACCTCATCCGTCTCCTCGTTGACGGCAACCGCAAGAACCTCGTCGTCGAGGAGGACCGCATCAACGGCGGTGTCAAGTACACTCGCACCGTGGACCGCGTGGGCTTGTCTGAGTCGCTGGACGCTAAGAAGCCTGCTGTTCCGGAGCAGGAGGAGTAGAATCAGCGCATGTTGATGATGGATAAAATAAGCCGTCATATGTACATTAGTTAGTTAGTGATATCTTGATAAGAGGGGAATTTGAAACACTGCTCTTTTATGCTTAATATTCTCTTCTTTTGCAATTTTACTTTCAGTTACCCTTTGGTGCTTTCTTTTTCATTTCTAGCAATCAATAGTTCTTCTGGATTGAAAGCGCGAGGCTTCTTCTGTTCTGTCAACGAGAGTCTGTATGGAACTGGTGCGTTTAGTCCCAAACCCATACTTCATTTGAGGGAAGGCAACTCAGCCAAGTAATAGATGGCTGGCCCGAACCATGGGTGGATTACAAGGGCTGAAGATCCACAGACCACCTTCCATTGTTTTGGCCTCTAGTCACGCCAAAATCCCGTAGCCCTAGGTACCCTACTACAGATAGTTATCCCCAATAACTTCAGTACATTTCTGCAAAGTTCATTCATTCGTTTTTACTTCCTCACCCCCCAAGTTCCCGAAACCCATAGGCACGGATTATGAAAGATGGAACCTCATAAATCACAATATCATGGTTTGTTCATGCCCCATCAGCATGAGGTATTTCCCATCCCACAATGTAGTTTAGATATCTTCCATGACACAACCCCTTATCTAGTTCTAGCACGCGCCAGAAGGAATCGTCGTGCTAGCCGTCCGGCTCGTGGCGCTGTAGCGAGCTCCGGAGCCGAGTCCGCGCTTCGCGAAACCCTTCCAGATCTCGCAGGTGTTTTCACCGCCGGTCAAAGCGGTGTCGGCGTCCAGGATGGCGTCGCGGGCTTGCACGAAGTTGGGGTTGCAGGGTTGTCTGGTTTGCATTAGTTAGTAGCTTTTCTTTGGGGGATTGGATTGGGGGGAAATGTGTGTCCCAGTCCCCAGTTAGTTAGGAAAAAAAATGAAAGGGAACGTACAAAGCCATCGCATCGATCACCAATTTCATAGTCAAATACTTCCCGTCAGTCGGGACACCATTCCGGAACGTCGGTCTCGGGGCATCGTTCTTGCCATGCTTGTCGATCAGGTTCCACAGCACCTCGTAGAGCATGCTGGCCCAGACGGTGCCGGCGGCGTGCACGGACGTCATGCCGTTCACGCTGGTGTAGGTGAGCGGGTTGGTGCTGGTGCTGGTCGAGTAAGGGTAGGCGCGGATGCCGATGTTCTTGTTCGCGGCCCACGCGCCCATCGGGTAGTCCTTGGAGCGGGTGTCGCCGGACTTCAGGCGGATCGCGGTTGCCATGAAGTCGCCCCATCCTTCGCCCATGCCGCCGGACTCGAAGGCGCTGAGACAGCCGGAGTTGGCGGGGCCGCCGGTGAGACGGGTGGAGACTATTAGGTGGTGGTGGTTAGGGGAGGGTTGGTTTGGTTTTGGAGATGGGGATGGGGATGGGGAGAAAGGGGACTTACGACCGTGAGTGTACTCGTGGATAACGATACCCGATTCGAAAGAACCGTCCCGGTAAGGAGTGGACTGGGTCCAGACGTACATGCGCATACGTCCGGGCTGTCCATCCGGAGGCGTGGCGAAGTTGGCGTTGTTGGTGCCCGAGCCATCCTGGGCGTTGAGGATCACGTAGTCGTTTCCGATACCGCCCTTGCCGGCGTTGTTCCACTGGAAGTTACCGGCCTTCTCGGTGAAGCCGAGAACGTAGAGCAGGTCGTGGTAGGTGTTGCCGGTGTAGAAGAGCTGGGTGATGGAGGCGTCGATGTAGGACGACGGGGGAGTCGAGCTGGTGGTGTAGGGGTAGCTGAACTGAAGCGACGCGCTGTTGGGGCGGTGGTTGTTCAGATAGCTGGATCCACCGCTAGGGTTGGATTGCGCGATGGCGTTGTTGCCGCGCGTGGTGGTGTAGTTGGTCGAGCCGTCGCTGATCCAGGTGAACTGCGAGGCAGAAATGTCCCAGGGGTCCTTGATTGTAGTGCGAGATCCTTCTGTAGGGTCGTTGAGGCCCCAGGCGCTGTGCTTGTCAGTATGCAACAACCGTTAATGGAGTTTGTTCAGAACTCACTAGACTTGATAGTCCGCCTCGGCGACGTAGTCAACGACACCGTGAACCGTCTCCTCATTGTTGGCATCGACATAGGACAGGAGCCAGTTATCCTCAATGTCGGTCTCCACTCTCCAGCTGAGAGCGAGCTTTCCATCCGGTTTCACGAAGTAAACGAGCTTGGCCTTGGGGTCAGAGACGGCACCCGAAGTACCCTTGAACACGTAGGACTCCTTCTCCTGAGTGGACTCGGTCGAAACCGTGTCCGAAGTAATGGACAGTTTCAAGGTGTTGGAAGCACCCTTCAGGGCAGCAACGGGATCCGAGAAATCTCGCTTGTTCAGCGGGTTGGCCTCGGGGATTGCGCCAGTGTAGAAAGAGTTGCCGTAGGAGAAGACCTTTCCGTCTTTTCCGATCTATAGACAATTAGCGTGGAAGGCGCAAAAGGCGAGATGACGGAACTAACGTTGACGTTAAAGTCGGCATTGTCAATATCAATGCCGTGAGCAGTCTGACGGAAGTTGACATGCGCAACTCCGTTGTCGCCAACGTAGTGGTCGTTGACGACGCGGAATTCAGCGTCGGGGACAGTGCTCTTCACGAGCTGAGTCGCCGTCTCGACGTAGCTCTGCTCTTGGAAACCACCGAGCGAAGAGGGGGCGTCCTCTACCGCCTCGGTCGAGTTGGTATACTTTGCCTGGGACACCAGGCGGAAAGCACTCAGATCGACGGTGCGACGAGTAAGGGCATTGGTTTGATGGGTGGGGTGAGCAAGAACAGCGAGAGGAAGGGCAATGGCCCCAAGAAGCAAGTTGCGCATCGTGATGAACGAAGACGACTAACTTGGATACGGAACGAACGTGAAGGGAAGTTAGATGAACACAAAAGCAAGAGACGTGGAAGAGAACGAGAGAAGAGGGCGGGGGGAGGGAAAAGGAAAGGAAGGAAAGGAAGGATGGAGGGCGAAGGATGAAAGTGACTACATTGTGGTCACCCCAGGCTCTATTTATACCAGAGCCCCCAGTGTTATCCAAGTGCTGGCTTAACAGCGAGGAAGATTCCGCGAACCTCCGTCTCTATCCCCGACGAACTCAGTCAAGATGCCTAACGAACAATAAGTTGCAGGTTCCCCTCATCTCATCTCCGAGAGTTACATTGCATTTGATCACACTCTCGCTATCTTCATGCGCCTTCGGGCAGGGGGATCAGCTGAGGAAAGCATCCGCTGGGGTGCTTTCTGCAGCAGCACAAACCGCAGTAGGATTGGCGCAGAAGGGAAGATTGGGGTGGATGATGTTGACCGTCGGGTCTCCGAGTAGACTTCCTGCAGAATCCACAGAGGATCCTGGGCAGGGGTATCGGACCAAGACAATTATATTGACCTTAGCGCCAAAATAGCGGACCCTGATTAAATGCGAGAAATACAAGCCGGAGAGTGCATGATTGCTAACCAATAGTAGTAGACAAAGCAGAAGGCCCTCCGTCGGCCTGAATTAAGAAGCATCTTGGCAGTTTCTTGGGTTACATGGAGGGATTTAGGCCACGCTAACTTAGCTCAGATATCAACCCCGCGGATTCTGTCTTTCACTTTTGTCAGCTGAAAGCGGCGATGCGAAGATGAGAAACATGTGGTGGGCGTTTTTGTTTGCTTGCCAAAAAAGAATAATCACGAGCGAGAGTGCGAAATGACTTGCTGGCAAATGCTGTGCAACCTGCAAAGGCACCTCGTGGTTCAGTCGTTATCAACGGGGCAAATCCGTTCGCGTTGCGACGTCGTGCAGAAGTGCCCAGGCGCGCCGTCGACAGGGGATATCCTGGTTGATTGGCGGGCAGCAGCACGCTAAAGGCAACACTTGAGGCCCCTGACAGCAGATAGACGTGCCCCGTCTTATTGGGTGCTAAGGGCTTGGCTGCTGCATTTGATTCATGGCGAACGTGATGCATGTCTTCTTTGATCATTTGGTGATACTCGACGGGAGAGTCTGACAAGATGTCCTGTAGTACTGCCTCTGACCTTGGGAGGAAGGATGGGAACAGATGAATTTGAAGAAAGGAAGTTGAAGAGAAGGGGAATATTTCCAGTCTAATACTTCTTATGCAGCTTAGGTAGCGAGTAATGCATCTCGGTTGTGCCTGCATAAGATTGATAAGGCGATTATCAGAGACGATGACGCCATCGACATTCTCCTTTCCTCAGGCATTCCACTTCCACCTCCTTCACTTCTTCTCTTCTGTGCAGCGAGTGAACCCCCCCAAATCATTATTCTCCTTCTATAACTATCAGAAAATACCCACAATTATCGGCAGTAATACAAGACGAATACTTCTCGAAGCGATCGCTCCTGATACACATGTCTAAATCTCTTAGGTCTGATAAACGCATAAATCATCCCATATGTTCTCACTGACAGTATTTACAGAGACCATCCAACCGATTCATAGGACATAACAACCCTATCACATCTACACCTTGATCCATCGTCCCATCCAGGTGTGCACAACACTCTTGGCCTCATCCACCAATCCAAGGTCCAGAAGGAGTTGTGTCGTTCCGCGGACAGCCGAGTCAAGTGCGGAGAAAATCCAAGCATGGGTGTAGCTCGTATGTTCGCCAATGAAGATGGTCTTCATCTCGGTCTGGTAATAGGCTGGGAGATACAATTCCTGCTGCCCAGCCCAGGGAGAGGCCCAAGCACCAGCCTGGTGCTCGTCGACTTCCCAGCATTGTCGGTCATAAACACCTATTCTTGTTAGTGGCTTGCTAAACAGCGGGAAAGGGGCTTGGAGGTACCTGTGAATTGCTCGGCTGCGATGGGTCCGTGGACCTCCACCATGGCGCGCTGCACAAGAGCGACATGGTCTTCAGTGCTCAGAGACGCTGTCGAACGAGATGGGGTGCCACTGATGTACGATGCGAGGATCACACCCGGTCCAGTACCGTTGATGTTGAAAGAAGGATAGCAGACATTGCCGACGCCAGGCACGTCCACGGTACCGCACCCGCCGTAAATGGGGTTCTCTTGGTGCTCCCAGAATCGCGTCTCGTAATGCAGTGCCACCTTGCAGGATGGACTATAGTTCATACTGGAGATGGCGCGACTGAGCAGCGATGAGTACCGCGGCAGATCCCATAGTCGGACCTTGCTGAACGGTGCTGCAACCACGGCATAGTCGTATTCTTCGCTTTCCGGGACCATCTGCATGGGATCATTTCGCCAGTTCACGGAAATCTTCTCGGTCGTTGCGTTGTACGTTAGACCGTCGACCTTGCGACCGAGGGTTGTCTTGTCCGCGATGTGCGGCCAGAATGCGCGGGGAAGAGACTCCAGGCCTTTGTCGATCGTGCGCCACGTTGTCGCTGCGAAGTAGATGTTCTCAAAGAAGTCGCCCCAGATCGCATTAGGACTGATTGCGCTAACGTAGTCGCTAATGTTGGCGTTATATCCCATGGCATATCGCAGGTAAGCTTCCTCAGACCAGTCAAGCAGTCCGTGCTCGACGGCCGCCTTGTGAGCACGGAACAAGTTCGAAGCTACCTTCTTCATCATGCTAACGTCCGTTTCTTGGGTAAATTTCTCGAAGTCGGCCTCGGCATCTGCAACGGCTGTCGCATTGGATGAGGCCGCCACGTATGACAGCGACGGATCTGCGTCTACCTGTCCGGCAGTCGGTATCCGACCGTTGGGGAGACGGTTTCCTCCGCTGGAGATGGGCGTGTTCGGGTTCTTCTGAACAAATGGGATGAAGTCAACGCTAAGTTCGGGATGGTCTTTCGCATTCATCTTGTTCAGCACGTCAGCCAGCTGGAACACCATCTTGTGGTCCTGGATGTCGAAAGTCTCGTTGGTCTCGGCATACGTGATGCTGACGGGGAAGCGCATAGGGCCCATTTCTTGATACTGATACTGGTCGGGGCGAGTGTCGTTGAGGTACTTGGTGCGGATACGGCCTCCAACACGATCCGATGATTCGATGATATGCCAGTTGTGCATACCCACGGACTCCAGAAGATGACTGGTGAGCAGTCCCGCCATTCCGCCACCGACAATCGCAACCGATGCGTTCTTCGCTTTGCTCACGACTGCTTTGCCCGGCTCCTTTCCTTTCATGTATGCCACGCCGTCAAACCACGGACCCATTGCATCTGCAACATCTGCGATACTCTCTCGACGAACGATGGGAGCAGCCACAGAGATAGGCTCGGACCTGCCAACTAGCGAGGAGCCAGAGAATGCATGCAAGCAGTGCAAATGCGGTGCGTCGGATGGCGTGGCCCACACGAAGCGTTCGGGGTATGCGTCGCGCTTGATGGACATCGTGCCGATGTCATGGTGACGTTCGGAAATGCTGCCAAGCTCACATTCCCCATAGACCACCTCGATGTCGCCGTGAAGATTGTCGTCCAGAAATTCCAGATGAACGTTATGTACCGAGTCGGCTGTGATACCGGATGGGATATGGAAACGAAGCAATTCAGACTGCTTATAGACAGCAGCCGCGGAACTGATGCTAGAAAGTCCCAGAGCCAGCAGAAGCCGACTCGTTCGCTTCATTGTCGCCGTCATGGTTAAAACAAAACTAATGATGTGTACAGAGAAACAGGGCTGCTGCTTCGTTCGGGTCTTTTATAGGCCTCCGACACACGCAACCCCAGACCGCTGAGCTTACCGCTATCTTCGACGGAGAACTTTCTAACATACATTGAGTCGGATCCAACCTCGTATCTATCCATGCCATCGATGGCGGTTTACGTAAATGCGACTTCTCGAGGGATCCGAAATCCATCTGAGGACTCCGAACACTCCGATGCTCCGAAAAAGAATGGCCCGCTGCAAACGATACCGAGTGCCCCATAATGACTCAACTATATCTCTCGCTCCTTATTCTTATCTCAGGCCTTGCAGTTAGAAGGCACGTTATCAACCCATGGCACAGGATAGCCATTCAGTGGCTCCGATTCCGATCCCCAGATTTAGCCAGACCACCACTACGTTGCTTTCCTCAACGTCATTATTGGCTAGATAGGTCGGAAGCAACATACCCATCTGGGGATCCAGCTAACACTCGGAGAAATTCCCCACATCTCACCTTAACTAGCATCGTTTTCGCATAGCGCTGCCTCCAAAGGCAATGATTGACACATCGCGGGATATCCGGAGACAGCCCTTATCAATATCGGAAGAGGGCAATCGAGTAAGGCTTCTCGGAGTGATGATGATAGGTCATGAACGGTGTCCCTCCTCTGAAGACTCTCGGAACCTGGGCAAGCGCGGGTCGAAGTGTTCTTGGCATAAGATTTAGGGTGCTCCGTAGCGTCGTTTGCTTTATCATCCCCACATTTGCAAGGCGGAAGGCTGCGATATCCCTTATCAGTTCGTCAAACACAGGGCGTGGAATTGTCTTATCTTGGGGGTTTGAACTGATAGAGCGATAAGACGAGAGGGGCTTCCTATTCTTACTCCCTTTTTTTCCCACTAACTGTAATTGTCTCCCTAGATTGGTTCGTTTAGACGATTACGACTACGATGTCTCTGATGACTTTTTAGGGCATATTTCACGAGGCTTAGAGGCCGCTAACGCAGAACATCACTCGGGTTCGGAATCGCCAACAAGCCGAAGCGATGCAGAGTAATAAGTATAGAAGCTCAATATATCTAACTAAAGAGGTGCCGGGGAAGGTCGAACAGGGGGATGTTTATATTCCACCGATAGTTGGGCTAGTAAGTGCAGTATGGAACAGTATATGAAGAGCTATCTCATATTCAGAATCTGCTAGCATACGTTCTAAGCCTCGTATAGGGACACGGCAATATAAAAGGCTATCCCAAAACCATAGGCATGTAGTCCCTGAGCATGTGGATTCAAATCCCTTTATTCCTATCATTCCCAGCATTTCATGATCATTCGTATTAATATTCCACGGAGCGAATGAAGTAAAAGAGGAGATATTAGTATATAATTTATAATCATCTATATGCTATCCAACACCTTAATGCACCATAGAGAAGAGACGTCCAAACATGCCTGGTCAGCCCTAGCTTCCATCCAAGCCACGATATGTCATTCGCAAGGCGCATCAGCCCTCGTATTCTCATCCGATCTGACACTCGACAGAAGTACCTTGCATGTCTATACCCCTCAGTCAGACAATAAGCACGCCCGTCTTCCTCGCAATTAGTGTCTTTCCGGATTCCATACTCGACGGCATCCGAAGATGGTTCGTGCCACATCATAATGCACATGCTGCTCAATTTATGCAGTCTCACTCCGCTTACACGAACCCCTCCCGCGCCCCCTTGCTTGTATGTATGCACCTGTACCCGTCATCGCATAACCGAACATCAGGCTATTTGATTATTGCTGGCTGTGTCACAACGTTCGATTTTAAACAGCAGCATACAAACTTTTGTTCTGTGCTAGCCGTGCAGCGATGAGAAGAAAGCTGCCAAGCAGGAGGCTGACACCCGAGTAAATTGAGAGGGGAAGGTAGCCGTATTTTCCGGCTAGTTCACCGCTGATGGGGACGCCTGCCATTGCTCTGTGGATGTGGGAGAGAGGGAATCAGCTTTTGTCAAGCAGATTATCGAAGGTGTTTAGGGATACATACGAAAGAGAGGTAGACGCCATGACGACACCGATCGTGAGGCCGAGCGTTCGTGGAGTGGCGATTTGTGCGGCGCAGGCTTGTTGGAGGGATAGGATTCCCTAAAGAATGTCAGCTTTAGTTGATATCCATATGAGAGGGAGGGCATGAGTTCCTTACACCGGAGGTAAATCCATACGCAGCAGCGAAAATGACCAACCCTGCGACAGAGGTCGCCTTCGTCCAGCACAGGGCAATGATCCCTGATAAGAGAGTGGCGACGAAGCAGCAGTTGAACCTGCCGTAGCGATCAGCGAGAAGGCCGGGAAGAAGGCGGCCGAAGAACGAGGCACCGTTGATGATGGACGTCGTGTAGAAAGAAAGATCGGAAGAGAACCCGTGGTCAACGGAATATGAGGTTGTATAGAAGAAGGGCGAGAACATGCCGAAGTAGATGATGAAGAACGCGACACAGGTGAGGACCACGGACGGCTTTCGGAGGAATGAATAATCTGTCTTCTCTGGAGTGTCTTTCTCTTCACCTTTCGATTCGGTATCATCGGAGCTGGGCTGCTGGGCCGTGGACGAGGAGGATTCGAGTGGCGGACGACACCACAGGCAGGTGAGAGCCAGAAGAGGAACCATAATGAACCCGGCAATTCGCATGGTCCAGCCGAATCCAACATTGGGCTTTTTCAGCAGCTGGGTGAGGACAATGGGCCAGACCACACCTCCCAGGGATGACCCGGAGATCACAATCGCCATCGCTAGCGCGCGCTTGACCTTGATATATTGGCCGATCAGTGCGAGTACAGGACATACTACCAGTGCCATTGATATTCCAAGGAGGACACCCTGGGCGAGTATGAATTGATAAAACTCCTTACACAACGAGGTCATCATAAGAGAGAAGACCACGCCCACAGAACCGATCAACACAGGCCACTATCCAGCTTTGTTAGTTCGAAGCACCAGCCGATTGAAGCGGCATAACGACCTACCCTAGGACCAAACGCATCTTGAATCGGGCCAGATATTACGGATACCGAGAAAACGAAGAATATGGCGATGGCTCCCAGCCAGGCGATCGTCGATTGCGATTTGTCGGCCAATTGGTTCTTTGCATAGTGTTCTTCAAAGACTGCGAACGAGTTCACGAAACCGACCGTGCAGAAAGCTCCAAGAGTTGCTCCTATGATGACGAGCCAGGCACGCTTCCTAAGAGGGAATTGTTAGTGCCTTTGCTTCATCTGGGAGAACGCAGCACGAACGTATATTCGCTGGGCGGGCTTTGATCCGCCACCGAGTTATCTGGGCTTCCCATTGTTCATACACGACAAGTGCTTAAAACAAAACAAACTCGTTGATTACAGCAAATTATCGAGATGAAGAGGCGTTTGGCTAACGTGCTGAGGCTGATTCCGTTCGGGATTTTGATCCGGGGGCTTCAGAAGCCCAACAGGCCCCTTTATAGCCGGAGTAAACAGATTCTGGCATTTTGTGATTTTGATCATGACGGAGGCTCCGGTGGAAAAATATGGACGAAAACAGAGATACCTAGCACTGCTGCACTCGACCTAGGAGAGCAGAGGACGCAGATTGCCTCCGGGCCCGGAGACTCCGACCGGAGAGTCCATTGCAAGATATCGGGAGACGAAATGCCTGAAAAAGGGCCATATGCCCCGATGGTCAACGCTGCAAGAGTCAGTATCCCGGACCTAGTCCAGCTAAAATTTCCTTCTTACTCTGCATCCCTTGTCCCAAGAATTCTTCCCATTTTGCGCGCCGATGAACTCTCTCAACAAACCCCCTCCGGCCATGGTCGGGCGATGGCACGTGACCCAGCCCGCGGAGTCTCCGGCGAAGCGGCGCAGCGACGCTCGGCCATCCGCGCCAACTGCCACGATGAAACGAAAGGACTCATCCCAGCTACCCGATCCAGCCCCGAAGCGTCGTCCCAGGCAGGATCCGGTCTCGTGTGATTCATGCAGACGGAAGAAACTCAAATGCAACCGACAGCAGCCGTGTGAGAGTTGTGTCACTCGAAAACTCACATGCAGCTACAGCCCTGGGGTTTCTGTCGCTCCGTTGTCCAAGACAGCAGCACACGATGACAATCGAACGGACTGTGACTCCACCCAGCCATATGCTACGGATGGGCCTCGAATATCCGCTGGGGTGCCTCCGCCGTCCGCTCCGGTCTGCCAGCAACATCCGCAGCAACGGTACAGTAGGGAATCAGCGGCCACCGCGGATCTACTGGAGCACATACACATGGGAGCGCGAGTGCCGACGGCTGCACCAAGGTGGTTGAGAGATGACTTTGATGAAACCATGAAGAGAGGTCTGTTGTCTATCGGCAGCCCGAATTCTCCATCAGGGGCTCAATCCTCATTACCTATGCGCGAGTGGAATGCTTCCCGTGAGAACCCGGCAACGATCAATCTGATCCATTTTGTGCCCACGAGACAGGAGGCGACCGCTCTTTTTCGGTACTATTCAAAGTATGTCGATTACTTGTATCACATCATCATTTTGAAGCGGGCGGAAGCACAGATCAACGGTGTTTACGAGTGCATCGAACGAGGGTCGCCGGTAAAACTCGATCATCTAGCCTTGTTGTTCAGCATCGCTGCGAGTGCCTTGTATTTGCAGCTATCGTCTGAATCATCGCCCTATTCGGAAATATGCTGTCAAGAGTTCACATTTCTGACGGGTGCTGCTTTGATTCAGAATAATCACTCTGCATCTCCCACCCTGGAAGGCCTCCAGGCGGTCATGCTTGTCGTACATTATGTTTGCAACCTGAGCTCCCATGAGTCAGTTAGCGCGTTGTTCATACACGGGGCTGTCGTGAGCCAAGCGAAAAGTCTCATGCTGCACTGTATCGACTCCCCTCGAACCCGCGAGGCGAGGGATCAAAGCAAGGTGGACCCTGTTGAGGTTGAGATCAAAAGGCGGCTTTGGTGGGATATCACGAGTAGTGAATGGTAGGTCTAGTTACCGTGCCACTCAGTCTCATTTGCTGATACTCTACACTCCTTCAGGTTTCTAGGTTTCCTGAGCGGCCCTCAAGAATGGACCTACCAAATTTATCCCACACACATGAGTGTGAACCAACCACGCAATGTCGACGACGAAGCTTTGGAAAAGAACCCGAGCCTTGCGTCATCACCCAAATCCGTGCCTACTGACATGTCTTTCACATTGGAGCGCCTGAAGCTCTCTTTCGTGATCCGCGACATTATAGACAAAATAGCCTACGAGCAGCTCAACGGGCTCGAAATCGACTATTCAAAGATCCTGGAACTAGATCGAAAGATCCACCAAGCTCTTTCGGAAGTCCCAGAGTTCTTCCGACTTGATCCCGGCTCACGGCGACGGTTTGCGAATCTCTACAAAGAGCGGCCAACCCTAGCGTGGCAGAGGTGTGTTCTGCAGCAGGCCTACTACTCACGCATCTGTCGCTTGCACCGCCAGTTCTTCATCCGCGGGGCGCGGGAACCAACCTATTCTTATTCTCACGTCATCTGTCTCCAATCCGCTCGCAAAGTGCTCGAGATCAAGAGGATCATGGACGAAGAGGAGCCCAAGTTCACGCCACCAAGCTCTGTTGTGTGGTCCGTGATGCACCACATATTCATGGCCGCTGTGATCCTGCTGCTCGACGTCTGTTTCAATTGGGACGACATCCTCGGGGATAAGCGCAAGGAGGAAGTCCTAGATGCCTGCCGCATTCTGAGTAAGGCGCAGCAATCGTCTTGTCTCGTGAAGGAAGGCATCCAGGCCATGATGAACATCCTCCAGAAGCACTGGAAGAATGACAAACTGGCAGTCCCTGGTGGAACGCAGCTGAACCAGCCTTCTTCACTAGTTGTTGGGCCGGCTGAAGATCCTACACAGCCGGTGATTGTTCCTTTTGAGCCAAATGACAAGTCAGTGCCTGTTGCGCAGACGTGGGACAGCGCTCCAAATGTACCTACAAATCAATTTGCCGATGGCGATGAGCGACAGCTCGAAGATGTATGGTCGGAGTTCCTCGAGAACGGTTACAACTATACATTCGAGGATGCGGACTGGACTGGACTTTTGACCGAGTTGACTAGCGCGACGATACCTTGCGGGTGATGTTGGTTATGAAACTGAATGCATTCATAGATTCATTATGAATAGCTAATATACCCCAAGCCTATGTTTCTTGAGATTACCTCGTCGGCTCAAGCTTGATTGCTCTTGATTCAGAAAGCCAACAACGATCGTACAAAAGCCACTTGGTCATCCCTCTTGCCCAAAAAATGACATCTGCGAAAACTCTACTCAACCACAACCTCCACCTTACTCTTGTCTAACATCGTTTGTCAGCAACGTCCACCATGAAAAGAATACCCACTCACAAAACGCAATATGATCCTTAATATTCAAAGCCGCATCATAGGGCTCCGGATAATACCACGCTACATTAGGAAACGTTTCATCTAGCCGAACCAGCAAGAAACCGTCAGCTCCGATCAACTTTTGACCGCAGGGTTAAACCTACCACCAACTGTGACTGAATAATACGACGCTGTTCCTTTCCATGGACAATATGTGGTCAAGTCTGTTTCTGCGAACTGGGATTTATTCTTCAGTGCTGATGGTGGGAACTAGATTGTAAGCGGGTTAGAATGTATAGTTAGATTGTCTGCGATGCGGTGCTTGGAGGAGGTGGGTGGATATACGTAAACGTTGCCCTCGACAGATTCCCAGGTGGGGGACTCTGCTAGGACGTTTCCGTTGAGGATGGCTTTGGCAAGAGGCATATTTATTTGGGTTGCTGTTTATCAAAGAGTGCGCATAAAAAAGAAAGAGGGGAAGGTGAGGTCAATGGTCGAGATCAGCTGCGGGGATCCCGGCAATGAGGGACGCTGCTTACGCGATATGCTACTTTGTGACTTACTTCCTTTGATCCACTTGTCTACTCCGAGCCCAGCTATATCCTAGGGGTAACCAATTCCCTTGTCATGCAACGCTTCGAAAGAAATGTATAACCAAGGCAAATGCGAAGGAAAGAGCAAGTGCATTTTGCCGGCTATGGCTTCGTACTTTATCTACCATCAGCAACCATATAAGGACTCACAATATTGCCACGACTCACTTTTGTCTTCAATACATTTGGCGATCTCACTCATATGGCTAAAGTCCGAGGTCCAGCATCTGAAAACAACCGATCCGAATCGTCCAATGCCAGTAGTATCGGGGAAAATATTCCGTCTAAACAAGTCCTCAACCTCAGACTCATCCAGTCCACTGTACGGTTCATCCCCAGTCACCATTTCATATAAAGTCGAGCCGAATGCAAAGATTTCTGTCTTCTCTGAAATGATAATTCCATCAGAAGTCGAAGGACGGTTCTGGGGAAGCTGGTGGCTAGCACTGTAGCACACCTTCGCAGGCGAGCCATTAATCGATGACCCAGCAAAGTCTCCAAGTTTTATGTTCAAGTTGCGATCAAGACAGAGATCCCCGCAGTTGATATGCCCATGTAAGACACCCTGGCTGTGACAAAACGCCAACGACTCTGCTGTTTGTCTCGCCCATTGAAGAAGAATCCCTTCAGGAGGTGCTTCATGTTTGCGCAGAAATCGTCGAACATCACCCTTCTCAGCGTACTCTAAAATGACATTGCCATTGAAAGTCTCAAAGTACTGTAGAATGGAAGTAGGTCGGTCTTTCGACCGGGCAAAGTGTTGGTAAATCTGCGACTCTATTGAACTACGTTCCTGTGCCTCTGGATCTCCATCATGGGGGATTTTCGCGACCCGAAGAGTATCCGGGTAGCGTGCAACAGGGCCTGTTGTTCCAAAGGCAATGATGTCTTGACAGTCAATCCCTGGGGGAAGTTTTGTGGTGTCGTTACTTTCTGTCATAATGGATAGCGAAGGAGTGGCCAATGTTGACAGAGAAGGGGTGTTTGTTGATCTGTCCAGGAGTGGAGATTATTAATCACATGGCTGGCGGATGCGTTTCTTGGCATATCTTGACATGTTTACACCGCATCAAATCTACAATGGACTAGTAGATAATTGATAGGGAGAGCATGGGTTATTGAAGGACGAATTTTCTGTTGCTCTTCAAACAAAGAGAACTTTCTGTTTGGTTCGTTATTATACTCGTCTGGCATATAATCGTGGGTTTTTACGATTCAAAATTTCTATATATATTTGATCAGGAATGCTTAAGCGCAGGGTAAAGATTGCACTTGGTAATGTTTTAGCTCACCAGGTCCTTCCTGATTCAGTATCCTAGGTCATGCTCTAGTGTTACCCAGGCAAATCCGTAGTTATCAAGTTGGATGAAAGTACTTGAAATGCAGGGACCCCCTGCCTCGCTGCCTGAGGCAAATGTGACGGTGCGGAAGTGCGGAATCTCGGAATGAACGCGCCCTAGTCGTGACAAGTTTTCCTTCCCCTCCATCATCCTTCTGACACTTCTCTCTCGCCCTCCTAGACCAGGTATAAGTTGACAGATTGATCCTCCTGTCGTCATCTATCTTCGGCCAACCCCCCTTCACTTTTAACGGTAGAGTTTCTACGCCTTCAACCGACCTCAGAAGCCCAATTGAGTTCACCCCGCATCCTCGGAAGCTTCCGACCGCCGGCAAAAATCCACAGATGGATCGAGAGCAATTCAGAACGGCGGCTCATGCAGCCATTGATGATAGTCAGTCAATCATACATCTTTTCCCAGATCAGCTCCACTAATGAGCTGACAGTTATCGGATACTTTGACGGCCTGCCGTCGCAGCGCGTCGTGCCCACGGTCGAACCGGGGTACTTGCGTCCTCTGATTCCTGAGAATCCGCCCGAGGAGCCGGAAGAATGGTCGCAGATCCAGGCCGATATCGAGAACAAGATCAAGCCAGGGTTGACGCACTGGCAGTCGCCTAACTTCATGGCTTTCTTTCCGGCCACGGTGACCTATCCTAGCATTCTGGGTGAAATGTACTCCGCCGCGTTCACGGCTCCTGCGTTCAATTGGCTTTGCTCGCCGGCTTGCACGGAGCTGGAGACTATTGTCATGGACTGGATGGCGCAGGCCTTGGGTCTTCCTGAGTGCTTCCTTAGTACGTCGGAAAACCGTGGCGGCGGTGTCATTCAGGTCACGGCCAGTGACACCATTGCGACGGTGATGATTGCTGCTCGTGAGCGACGGGTGTATGAGCAGGCGCGCGCTGAGGGGCTGAAGGAGGGTACGGTCGAGTTCGAGGATCGGCTGATGGATCTCCGACCGAGATTGGTTGCGCTGGGCAGCAATCAAGCGCACAGCAGTACCGCCAAGGGCGCTCTGATCGCGGGAACCCGCTACCGCAGCGTCACCGCGCAGTTGGAGAACAACATGGAGATGACTGGCGAGGGGTTGCGAGCTGTGCTGGAACAGTGCGAGAAGGATAACTTCACGCCGTACTATATCACTCTTGGAATGGGCACGACGAACTCCTGTGCCTTGGATCGCTTTGCCGAGATCAAGGCCGTTTTGCGAGAGAAGCCGTCATGGCAGAAAATCTGGGTCCACATTGACGCTGCCTATGCTGGCGCGGCTCTGGTGGCGGATGAATTCCAGTATATTGCCAAGGACTTTGCAGAGGGCGTGGACAGCTTCAACATGAATATGCATAAATGGCTCCTCGTGAACTTTGACGCTAGGTATGTTTTCAAAAGTTCGATCGCGGGACTCATCGCTAACAGTTTCGACAGTCTTCTGTTTGTCAGGAATCGCCACGATCTGACCGATGCTCTTGACATTACTCCAGCCTACTTGCGCAACCCCTACTCCGACGCCGGCACGGTCATCGATTACCGGAACTGGTCCATCTCGCTCGGACGACGATTCCGCGCCTTGAAGATCTGGTTCGTGGTTCGCAGTTACGGACTCAACGGAATGAAAGCCTTCATCCGGCGGACCATCAAAATTGGCGAAGTGTTCTCGGACCTGGTGCGCAGCCGATCCGACCTTTTTGAGATCGTTACCAAGCCTGCCTTCTGCTTGACTGTTCTCCGAATCAAGAACCCGAGTCACGCCGTCATGAACGGAGAGGCGTCCGTTGCGCAGCCGGACGAGAAAGCGAACGCGCTGACCAAGGAAGTTTATGAGCTGATCAACTCGCGTGGCGAGATCTTCATCACCTCGACGGTCATTGCTGGCGTTTATTCTATTCGCGTGGTTAGCTCGAATGAGCAAGCCGACGAGAAATACATTCGTCGAGCGTTTGACATTCTCGTCCAAACGACCGAGGAGGTCTTGCAACGGGAGAAGTAAGCTGATATAGGAAGTTGTATTTTTGGATATCAACCTACGTACATATTGCTTGACTAGATTGTTTGTTCATGTGTTATGATATATTTGTTATGAAACTTTCGAGATTTGGACCCGGAGAGCTTTTTGACGAAGTTGCGTTTCCTTCACTGTCGCCATAGAATTCATGGCTTGTTTTGGCTTGACAAACAATTGAGGTGACTGACCAGGAAAATTCAGGACACCCAGTCAACTAAAAGCTAACACAGTGAGCAAAAACGTTTAATCAAGGAGGTAGATCATATAAACATCGGGCTAGCCCAGAGACAAATTGTCGGAACCCGTCCGTCTCGGGATCATCTCTCACGAATTCCACCAGGCTGGCAAGGGTGTGACATTTCTACAGTCTGCACCCAGTCCAAGACAGCAATGCACACCAAACCTGAAACATCTAAGCCTCCCTGACAGTCACACAAGGCTCACTGAAGATTTCCAAACGGTCGAAGATCCCTTGCGAATTTACGAAGCGGCCACTAGCAAGGCAGACTGCGCCACGAGGGGGGCCAAAAACTAGTGCCAATCCTCTAAAATGTCTCCTTTTCCCAACATCTTATGATCCTCGTCGCGTCGTCGGTAATCCAAATTCTTATTCTCCACTGTCTTCAAGAGACGTTTTTTACCTGCCAATGGTCAAGGGTTCTTGAGTTAGTGTAGTAGAGCTAGAGCCCGCGCCAACATGCCTCGAAATGTACACAATCCGCTGCCATCGTCGCTGCATAGTAAGTTTCGATTTCCTGGTTTGCGCCTCGGTGACACTAACTCCGGGATAGGCGAATGCTTGAAGGCCCGACAGATCTTGGAATCGTTCATCGATGGCTCGTTCACAGGTAGTCCCGGCAAGGAAATGCCAGCGCGTTTCCTCGGCGAAGCCAAGGTCCGTAACCACCACCCCAGCAGAGCTTATGCCATCTCGAACACCAACACAGGAAGCAACACACGATCTAACCAGATACAGGGACTCGCCATCATCACGGTCACACGCGCCGGCTTCCTCGGATCCATCCGAATCGGGTCAGGGATTCTGATCGCCCGACTCGACGACGGCCGCTGGTCCGCGCCTTCGGCCGTCGCCACCGCCGGGCTCGGATTCGGCGGCCAGTTCGGCATCGAGCTGACGGATTTTGTATTCATTCTGAATGAGCGCGCCCTCCGCACGTTCTCCCGCACGGGAAGCTTAACGCTAAGCGGGAACATTTCCATCGCGTTCGGGCCGTTTGGGCGTAGCGCTGAACTGTCCGGCGGAGCGAGTAGCAACGGCGTGGCGTCGATGTTCAGCTACTCGAAGACGGTGGGCATGTATGGCGGAGTCACGGTGGAGGGGGGCATGTTGGTGGAGCGGAAGTCGGCGAATAAGAAATTCTATCAGAGTAAGGTCACCGCGGAGCAGTTGCTTCGGGGAGAGGTTGTTTTGCCGGCCGCGACACAGTCGTTGATGCGTGTTTTGGGCCATAAGATGTTCGATCCTCCGGTGGAGGTGGAATCGCGTGAGGTTGAGGTTTTGCGTGAGATTCCGCAGCCAGAAGGCATGGTGGAATTGTCGGCGCGAGCGGAGGCGCAGCCGCCGTCTGAGCTGCCGGTTGAGTCGAGTCGAGCTGGTCCATCACCGAGTACATCCCCGGGTCACGAAAGTGCGAGAGACTTTGGAGTTATGTCGGAACTTGATGGAACCCCGTGTACACCGCAGCCGGCTGAGTTGCCTTCAGAACCGAACGCGCAGTCCCAACCGAGCGCGCAATCTCCGACAACAGAGCTCCCTGCCCAGGTGTCGGAGAAGCCTTCGAGAAAGCCTCTACGGCAGGATTCGGGACAGTCATCGGAGACGCCAGATCCGCAGCCTACTGTTCAATCATCAGGGACACAAGAGGCGGAGCTTTCTGTGCAACCATCGCCAGAACCCACGGTCACGGCTGATGCCACGGAGAAGCTTCCTGCAAGCAATATTTTACCTCCACAGTCTCGTTCGGAGGGATTCATAATCAGCGCATGAGGGCAGCGACATACTCTTCTCACTATGGAATACTGCATAATATACCCCAAAAAGAGTCGTGATAGGCTGTTAATTTGAGACAAACAACCACTTTACACTGCATATAGACTGTTAAACCGTTCATATTGGTTATTCCCTTACCATAATGTTGATCTAATATCTCTTTCTGATAAACCTCCCATGCTTAGCCTTCAGGTGAGATAAAGAAGCTTACTTCCGTCACCCTCCACTCAAACTCAACAAAAACTTCTGCAAGCATTTTATAAAACCCTAAACCCGAGAACAGAATACGTACAATCGAAGCGCATACAAAAGTACCTAACCTCTCCCAACACCGTCGTAGTAGTCAAAAGTCCCTACCTACGAAAGCCTTACAGTAAACCCCATTCAGCCTAGCCGCCAGCTACATGGGTCTAGCCGTCTTCGGCAGTTCCTTTAATGCTCTGAATAATAGCGTGTGAGTAATCTTATTATTATTGATTAATTAATTAGATCTGACATGAACACTGGCGGTGAAGAATCCCTTCCAACCCCATGACCGTTGAAATTTTCCCCATGTGCATTTCTTTTTACCACCTACTTACCTACCTCAACCACGACAAACGGTGTACTCCGATACCAGACACCTACAGTACTTGACAACTAACCCCACGGGGGCTCCACGAAGCGGTCAATAGTGCTCCGTACCGTGCCCGTGGAACACTCCCCTCCAAATCCATCTTCGTGTTTTGATTGAGATCTGCATGATCCCTTTTACCACGATTCTGGACAGAAGGGAATTTTAGCAATTTAGAAAGAGGTATTTTCTGGGTTCTATAGTTCCAGAAGAACGGTTGATCGTGAAGCTTGTCAATAAGACGCAAATCCCGGAATTGAGTTTTTCTTTTTTTCTTTTCCCCCTCACCCACTAACTAAATCCCTACCTTATTTGACTAAAAAATTAATGCATATATTTAATAATAATTGAATAGATTAATAACTCCCGCCATCTGACCAGGATGAATAGCCCTAAGAGCCAGCCCAGCTGCACGGCGCTTGACCGACCAGGGATAGAGTTGCAGCTAAACTGGAAGCAGACAAAGAAGCTGTGTTCCTTTGTTGGCTTTTAGGACCTGCCGGAAACGTTGAATGGTTTGTTTTGTGGGTGAGGTGTTTTAGCTGGTGAGTTGGAGGGGGTTTGGGAACCTTGGTGCCCCTCCTCTCTTCCAACTTCTTTACCACAAGGCTACTAAGCTATCCACTATTTGGCTTGTTATCTGTCGATCTGCTCCCTCACGGTTATGGACCCTAGCGTGGGGACAAGCTCACACAGCAAGGGTTGGTTCACCATTATCCTTACTGGGAAGTTATCCACAGTTTTACAGGAGACACCGGACCCTCGATTCTGCAATTGCATACTCGGTACATACATGGAGAGAAAGAAGGTAGGTGTTCCGAGGTGGTGGAGGTCGTGTTTCGGCGTCCTCAGTTAGGTGCTGAGTATGAGAGGAATAGGTGAGAATTAAGAGAATTTTTATCTATCATCATCTATCTCTATATAGCTAGGTACTATTTTTTTCTCATAACTCACTCCTTCATAACGTGTCCAAAAAGGAAATAATAAACGTAGAAGCATTAAAGGAAAAAGTGTTCATAAACAAGATCAAGATCAAAATCATCGCTCGCACACGTAATACCCCGCCCGGTATTTTTTTCCCAAAAGAAAAAAAAAGGAAAAGTCTCGCCAATGTCAAATAAATACTTCATGTTCATATACCGTAGCACTGTCGGCTGGTTGGCATTTAATCAACATACTTGGGAAGAGTCTTGAGGACTCCATCCCGGGAAATCTCCTCCAGAGCCTTCGTGATCTCCTTCATGAACCGCTCGTCGTTGCGCAGGTCATCACCGAACAGGCTCTTGATGCTGAGAACCGACGAAGGATCGGTACCTCCAGCACGAGCCTTCGCCTGGAGCTCCTCACGCATGGGGTCATCGACTTCGAACTTCTTGCCGTTGTCGTCGACCCCGTTGATGTAGTGGAACCAGGCGGCGGCGACGAAGCACAGCCGACGGAAGGGACCCGTCACCCAGATGGCCTCGGCGATGGAGGGCATGATGAACTGGGGGATCTTGCCGGAGGCGTTCAGACAGATACGAGGCAGCTGGTCTTTGATGGTGGGGTTGGAGAACCGCGCCATCAGCGTCTTGCAGTACTCGTCGATGTTGACGCCCGGGATCTCGGGCAGCAGCGGCTTCACTTCCTCCTGCATCATCTGCCACACGAGCTTGTTGAACAGCGGGTGTTCCATGACTTCGTGCACGTATTGGAAGCCAGCCAGCTGGCCGGGGTATCCGATGGCGGAGTGGCTGCCGTTCAGCAGTCGGAGCTTGTGCTTCTCGAACTCCTCGACGTTGTGCACGTTCTTGACGAGCTGCACGCCGACCAGGTCGAAGGGGGGTCGGCCGTCGGAGAAGTGGTCCTCGATGACCCACTGCATGAAGGGCTCGGTGACGACGGGCCAGGCGTCCTCGATGCCGAACTTCTCGGCGAGGGCGGTCTTGTCGTCGGCGGAGGTCTGGGGCGTGATGCGGTCGACCATGGCGTTGGGGAAGTGGCCCTGCTCGTCGATCCACTTGGCGAGGTCGGGGTTCTTGAGCTTAGCGAACGACACGAGCATGTGGCGCGTGATGGCGCCGTTCTTCTGCATGTTGTCACAGGACATGGTGGTGAAGGGCTTCAGGCCCTGCTGGTGGCGCCGGGCCATGGCGGCGTAGAGGAAGCCGAAGGTGGTGCGGGGGGCGGCCTCGTTGGCCGGGTCCAGGTCGAACTGGATGTCTGGGTGCTCGCTCTGCAGCTCGTGGGTGTTCTCGTTGTAGTAGTAGCCGCTCTCGGTGATGGTGAGCGAGACGATGTGCGTGTCCGGGTGGGCCATCTTCGCAATGACGGCCTCCCGGTTGTCCGGGGCGAAGAGGTAGGAGTTGATGCTGCCGACGACGTTGGCGAAGCTGCCCTTGGCCGAACGCTCAATGACCGTGTACAGATGGTCCTGGGAGTTCAGGACATCGCGCATGCCGGCATCGAACGGTTGCAAACCCACGCCGCAAATGGCGTAGTCGGTGATGCCGTGCTTCTGCATCAGCTGGTCGACGTACACGGCCAGGTGAGCCCGGTGGAATCCGCCCACGCCGACATGGACGATGCCCTCCTTCACGGCATTACCGCGCTGGTAGGTCGGGACCTTGACCTGGGACTCGCCTGCCGTCGAGATCTGCGACAGGTTCTTGGTGTTGAGCTTGAGGGGAGCCATTGTGAATCAGACAAAGAGAATTGAATGAATGACAAGGGCGAGGATGTGCGAGAGGAGAGGGAGAGGAGATGAAAGGATGTAGGAGAGTCAAAGAACAGCTCCTCCAGGGTCACCGCCGGTTTTGACCGCTGCTTACCAGGGCAAAAAAGTCCAGGTAATCGCATTACATCATATGGTGGGGGGCAAATTAGGGGAACGCGATGGAGTGATGATATCAACATTAATTGACCTATCGTTTAGCCCACCCAAACAGCTCACCTGCCAAGACTTTCGCTTGTTTTTCTCGCACATTCCAAAACGGGTATCCCTTGGAGTTATGCAGACCAGATAAGCTGTTCTAATTTAGTCGGGGGGGCAAGCCGAATCCTGCGCGTTACTAGACTTACTAGGCCGAACACACCGTCTCCTGCGTCCGATCATCAGATGTGACTGCGTAATTCCCGTAAGAAAATCTCTTCTGCCGGTTGATCCTGATTAGATAAGCCTTCCAGACGCCGCCACCGGTGTCTGCCTGGAGAATCGGGCATCCCGACGCGGGCCTGAACGCGGCCCGACTCTTCCTTAACTCCGACCGGGTCAGTCTAGGCCTGGTCCCTAAGGCACCCCGGTGGGTCGGCCCATCCCACGTTCAATGAGCGGCTGACAGCGCAAGAATGCCGAAGACCTATACAATGCGCTTGAGTATCCATTCATTAATGTTTATTTATTACAACAGCAAGAAAGCCTTGACGTGGACATCCGCCGAGAAGTGAACAGGTCGCCGGCAGTTCAAAAGAAGTGAGCGAGGGTACAGCTACTCCAGCAAGTGAATTGACTCACTGTGATATATCATTTCTGAGCTTTCTAGACCCTATCACGAGGCCACAGGTAGTGTAGCGGGACACTAGATCTGCAGGAGAAAATTCTGCTGCATGGTGGTGGCGTGAAAAAGGCAAGTTAGGCGCATTCAACGTGGTCAGAGATTGCGGATGACCTCCCTGAAGAACGCCATTGGGTTAGGTAACACAAATAGCTGTCTAGAACTTTATCAGGAAGTCTGAATGGCGCATGCACACCGGGCCAGCTCAACCCCCCACACGGCCGAATTGACGCTGATCGCGTTCCTACATTGCGGCCCGAGTATCGCGGGGTGCCGAAATTGTATGGCGCACGCACCCCGTGCTAATGGTTTGTATCAGATTAATAATATTTTGCCAATTCATGGAGCCCACACTAGACTGATTCAGTAAATGCTATGAACAGATCAAGGCTTGTCTTTCTTCGCAAGGAGAATTTGACTCTCGAAAATCACCCCCAACTAAAAGATGTAAAAGGAAGATTGTGACATTGAATGGGATCGTTGTTAGTGAATAGAAACATGGCACCGAGGAGGGAAATATTCTCGAAACATCATTCATAGAAGGCCAAGGCTGGAATTAACTGCTGGGTGTCTTTCAGAGGGCATGGATGCTCGATTAGCTGTCTGGCATAGTGCACGTGCTTCAGTAACCCTATTTTGATCCTCAGGCCACGAGCTGCAGGTTTGGACTTGAACAGGAGAACTCCGTCTCAACTAATTAATGCCTGCTTTAATTTGCTTCCAGCAAGCCATTAATTTCTATTTGAGTATCCAATACAATACAAAGCCCGCATCTATTCAATTGTGTTAGTCAACAAGTACACCCAACCCTAAATAACAACAAACGCCAAATATCTATCACCTACCCACGAGGCCCCCTCTATTTGATCTTATACAAGTTCTTCAAAGCCTGCACATCCTTCGCGCTCGGCTTCGTCTTGGGCTTGGTTTCCTCATTCCCCTTCTTCTTCAACAGCGCCGGCGCCCGACGATCACGCGTCTGCGTCGATGCCTGCCCCCCAGCCCCGCTAGCATACAACATGATCGAATCCCAATCGACATCCTCCGGCCCCGCAGCCAAAGCAGTACTCCCCATCAACGGCAGAAACTCCACAGCCGAGAAGCCCGCCTTCGCGGCCTCCTCACGGGACTCGCAGATGCCATTCGCGCCGTTAATCTGCTCCCCAGTCTTCCCCTTGGTCTTCTCGTCATGATCCTTAAGATCCTGACAGTTGAATGTGAAGACTGGCTCGCTGATACCCGTGCCCCAGAACATGCTATCCTGGTGCTCATGCAGCAGACCAAACATATGTCTAATTTCGTGCGCCACGTCTGTGACCGCATCCAGCATCCCGATATCGCTGCGCGTGATGAGATGCGAGGCAAGCCCTGACCCGCTACTCGGGATGCCGTTGGACGTCAACATAACGTTTTTATTGTTGTAGTGGATCTTCAGGACATGCCTCTTGCTGAGTTTGAACTGGGCTTCTTTCAGCTTGAATTGTTTGGGGAGGCCGTTGCGGTACCGGAGCTCCATGGCTTGTTTGAGGATAGATTCGAAATCTTTTTTGGATTGTTTGTCGGCGTAGAGGTATTCGACTGTTGCGTCGGGCCAGAGCTTGTTGTTCGCTGATGGTTTGATGGCCAGCGTTTGGAGAGGGCGTCGGTTGGGTCGAGGCTGAAGTGGTCGTGGTGGCTGGGGTATGCGAGCACATGGAGGGCAAAGATGAGAACGGCGAGAAGGAGAGGGTAAAAGCGGAATGCCGTAAGGGGAGACATGTTGATGCTAGTGTTGGAGCGACCCAAGAACAAGCGTTCAGCGATAAGGCTGTATTGGACCTGGAGTACCAGATGGATAACATCCGCAACATATCCTGCTGAGGAGCCCTCTTATATACTACAGAATAAACATATATCGAACCAAAAGATAGAAAGGCCCTGGCATACGATCACCTGACAAGGCTGAGAATCCCGGGGTATATTCGGCCCCAATCCAGAGGGCCGCGTACTTCGCAGAATTCCAAATGACAAGCATCGTGAGGCTTATGCACAACAACTAGCCTATAAGGTTGACGTGATAGTTATTTTTTGGCACTTAATTATACGATGTGATGCCGATTCGATGGTCATCAGGAACGCAATAACAGTATTACCCTGACAAGCAGTCCTACGAATCCTGAGCCAGGCACCGCCAACGATCTCGAAGGCCGATAGATGGTTCTAATAAAAGCATGTGACCGAACAATCTGAATTCCTATGTTAGAATGTACTAACCCAGAAAATCCTTTTGTTGGTGTGATATAATGTGGTTCGGGCGATTCGGATTGCTATCTTATAAGCCCGAAGTGATCACCTATATCCTCAACGTTCGTAGATTAGAGAATGGAATAAAGATGTGGTTTGAGAAAGCGATCGCCTTCGAACCGGCATCTGTCTCCCTAAAGTCTGAATTATCCCCTGAGCCCCACGTCCCTCTTGATCCCCAGCCCCCAGACCCTTAATCGCCCCAGGCCTCACGGGATCAGCGTTCCTGTCAATCATACCAACGACCAATAAAAAGCTCGGCTGCCTCAACAATGCATGATGGTTATTATAAGATGTCCAACTAAACCCGGGCCCCATTGGCCACCCACGAGAGTACAACAAGCGTGATTCAATTAGGCGCCCTCCAAGTAAGCAGCGCCACAAAAGCTTGGTACAGTTGAGGTCTGTGACTAGATTTTCAAAGGGCACATGCAGATAGATCGGTGGATTATCAAATGAATAAAAGAGCCAGAGCGCAATTTATCGGTTGTTAGAACAGGCGGACAGTAAAGACATGACATGGGCTAGCATGTAGACCTCTGGTGTCAGACCCAACCCTCAGGGGATACGTCCTACAGGATTCCGGCGGCAAAGATCCTTATTCCTTCATGCTAAATTGTTAGATGTGGGTTTTGTGGAAGGCATTGTTTAAGGGTCAGAGATCTGCTCTTCTGTGACTGCGCCCTGGCACACGCTGATGATTTAAAATGTGATTCAAACTAAGGATGCCATGGTGGGCCTTGAATCTTACGTTTTCGTTTGCGCTATCGGGTTGCCCTTTCTTTAAACTTGGTGTTATATTGGTTCCAGATCCTTTTGTCACCGATTTGCAGACGTTGCTCTGGTTATTGTTCTTTTTGAATCTCTTGTGTTAGTCTTGTCTCGGGATGGGCGTTTTGGCTATGCTTTAAACCTAGGTAATTATTCGGCTCTAACATTATAATGATACATAAACGATTTTGATCTAAGCGGGTTTAAGCCCTTCTATACATATTTTCATCTTAACTCTTCTCCCCATCTCTCAAATCCGTCTCGTTCACCCCCTCAGCTGAATCCCCCAACTCAGCCCTTTTCACATCCACAACCGGCCCCTCATACACCCTCCTCCCAACGGCAACATACATCACCAAACTGATAATAAAAACCCCTCCGAACAACACAACACTCCAATTAAAATTGTCCAACGTCACTGGAACCTCCGTCGGCCAGAAGGACCAGAACAGCGCGAAAAGCGTATACAAGAGCGCCACGAAGTTGATCCACACGCCGTGCCGACCTAGACTCCAGCGTCGCGAGGGGAGTGTCTCGGGGTGGAAGATCTTGCGCCACATGACGCACGTGATGGAGACGGCGTAGGTCCACATGAGCGCCGCGACGTTGAGGGAGATGATGGCGTTGAAGGCTGTCTCGGACCCGATGTTGATGAGCGAGAGGAGGCCGGAGATGACGCAGGATAGGCCGATTGCGTTCACGGGGAGCTTGCGACGGGTGTTGACGGTGCAGATCCAGTTGGAGAAGGGGAGGCCTTTGTCGCGCGCGAAGGCGTAGGTCTGGCGCGCCGTGGACGCGTTGAAGAGGATGTTGCTGAAGATGACGGGGATGAGGATGATGGCTGTGAGTCCGTTTACGCCGGCCTGGGGGACGGCTTGCGCGAAGACGTAGATGAAGGGGAAGCCTGTTGGGTCGTCTAGCGCGGCCTGCACAGATGGCATGGCGAACAAGAGGGTGATGATGAGCACTAGGGCCATGAGGCCGTTGCTGAAGTAGCCCCAGGCGATGGCGATGGGGACGTAGCGGCCGGCATCGCGCACTTCCTCGGACATGTGTGCCGTTGCGTCAGAGCTGAGCGACCCGTAGATGGCGGAGATTTGACCGATCATCAAGGCTAGACCAACGTTGTTCCAACCCCCTAGGGTGCTGAATTCAGTGAAGACGGCCGTTGCGGGCTGGCGAGGCGCCATGGCCCAGAGGACGACGATGACTACGACCCAACAGAGAACGTGTAGTGCAAGGAGTAGGTTCTGGATACGAGGCATCCAGCTGGCTGCGTAGACGTTGAAGAAGTAGATTATGGCAATCATGGCAAACACGAACAGAGTACCTTGCCACCTTTGAGGCTCGTAGTCCGGGTTACGCACACTGATGAGACCCTGGATGATGGTTCCAGTCAGGAAAGAGCCCGAGGCAGCACCAGCTTGCCAAGCGAGGACCGACATCCACCCTTTGAGTTCATTAGATCATGTTTGTGCGGAGGACGCTATAAAGGTACACGAACCTGTGATATAACTGAGGAACTTCTGATACCGCGGCGACGCAAACTCCGACACCCAGTGGTATTGTCCGCCAGACGTAGGTGCCCTGGAAAAGTATTAGCGATGATAAACAAAGACGTCCTGGATAATCGAGGCACTCACATCGATGCCATCTCGGATAGCGAGACAATAATAAATCCAAATCCGACAAAAGTCCAAACATATGTCCAAAACAGACCCGCAAGTCCGCCGTCAAGAAGGCCTTCGTAATTCGATCTATGGAAATCAATGTGTCAGTGAAGGGGTCATCTAACAGCTCAGTAGAGTAGGACATACATCAAGATGAACTCCCAAGTAGCTTGAAGGACTGAAGCGAAACTCAGAGCAGCTAATGGTCGGAGATTTCTCTAGGAAGGATACGTCATTAGATTCTAATCTTCAATCCCGAAGTAGTGAACGTGAGACATACCTTGAACTCTTGCGCTTTTCCCATGCGCGTCATATCATCCTGATCAAAGCCCGTGCCATGTTCGATGGCATCTTTGCCACTGCCTTCTAGCTCTAGCTGATGAAACCCCGTCGACGTGACAAGCTGCTCTTCGTTTTGCACATGGGCGCCCTTTACCGTAGTGTCTGCCATGATTGCAAAAGGCTTCAAGGTCTCTGGAAGACGATGAATATTCTAAGAATCAAAAACCTCGCAACACCTTTAAGATTTGTGGAGAGAAAGTGGAAAGGAAATGCGGCGAGATAAGAGACGGGAAATTATCAGAGCAGAGGACGGAAGATTGTCCTCCACGGTCGCAGAATCTCGCAATCAAAAAATTTCTGCGCTGTGTTGTACGACAGGGGGGATGGATGCACGTTATTTAACTGGCCTGAAAATGACGGAGCACGCTTGATGCTACTGCATGCCGTCCCTTTAGTCTACCGGTGTGGAGAGCACGAGTTAACATGGGAGGCGAGTAGAAGTTCTCGCCAGGGCGATAACAAGGAGCTCTTGTTCTGGCTTCATTTAAGTTAATCTATCTTAATTCATCGTCGCCTCGAGGAAGAATGCAAGGGGTTACCACCGAGTTCGCTTAATGCCCAGCCGCTGAATCCCTGTGCACGGAAGATTTCACCATTGACCGACTGATATAACCTAATTATCGGCATACTGCTACTGCGAACAGACACTGACCTTAATTCTTGGCAGAAATGCGCCGCCGAGTTGTCTCCGAAGCCAGAGCATCCGGTATATGCCACCGTTCGCCTCGGCCGCACGCATACCAGGTCAACCCCTATACTTATCTTTAATCTCTCCTGGCCTCCCAAGAACAAAGAAGCAGTGCGCCTTTTTCATTAAACGGCGGTTTCAGCTGGCCGCGAAGCCATTTCCTGATCCCTGCTCTTTGCTCCATAGTACTATCAGTGTTAATTAACGCAACTCGCCGGGTTTGCGGATAGCCAGCCCGAGCGACCTGGAAAAGCATCGACCGACTGTCGATCTTCCGGGGGTTTGATCCTTCGGCGAAGCTAACCTTCGACCGGTCCTCTTAGCGTCTGAACGGGCTGTTCACTGCGCCCGGTCCGTCGCTCCGGACGAATCCCATCCGATCCCATCAAATTGTCGATGTTACCTTGACTAGCCATGCTAGTCCGTGGATGCAATTTTCTTTTCGTACTTTTCGGGTCGGGGTGATTCGTGATTCAGGGGAGCTGCGGTAGGTGGTCATTGGGTCGACAGTATCATAATCCTTGCTAGATACAGGAGAAGACGGGATTAACGGGAGTCAATGTATCAAGGGAGACAAAACAGATAGAAAGCAAAGCAACCCGAGGAAGCAAAATGGTCAACATTGCGCACGATTAGAGAAACCCGGAATGATCAGTGGCCCGTCTTACTTGGTATATCCCTGTCAATCCTACGATTCTCCCCGTTGAGTCCCGATTAAAATATCTGTATCGTCCGGATTCTCGCGAGCCTGTGGTTTATACGACGAGCCACTGCTATGGGGAGAGCGACTGTTCTTCCTCCGGGTATCTCTCCGCCCTTGACGGAGAACAATGATTATAACCATAATGCTCTAATCGTTATCATTGCGTCGTTTTCCCTTTTCCTCGCTATTGCGTCTCTCGCAATCCGGGTATACGCCTCCCAGAATAGGGGAGTTATTCTGAAAGATGATTACGTTTTGCTCCTAGTAGTGGTGTGTACGGCTCAGAGTACCGTGGATTTGAGAAGGCCATGTTGATTTATGCTTACAGTTTTTCTTCGTTAGGTAATTGCATGCACCCAGATCTCAGTGGCTTTGACCCAAGTACATTATGGCTGGGGAAAATCAAAGGATTTGATCTCCACTAACGACTATGAACAAATGACGAAGGTATAATTATCTTGGTTCAATCTCGTGTTTGTGAGTGTGTCGTTTACGATCAGGGAGAAATAGACTGGCTTTGCTGTAGATATCCTCTACATCATCGTCATCGGATTATCCAAAATATGCACAATGATGTTCTATCGGAATTTATCTCTACGCCGAAATACGCTTATTAGTAACATCATACTGGGGTTTTGTAGCATCTGGATCGTACTCGGAACGGTCCTACTGGGAGTCCGATGCAGCAGCAAATCCTGGGAAAATATCGATAATAGCTGTGCTGGGCTTGTAAGCACTCCTTCATGCCATTCCTTTGCCCTTGGTATGAAAAACGCTAACATATTTGGTGTCCTAGTATCCGCGCTGGCAAACCGTCTGCGCACTCGATATTATTCTTGAAATCGCGATCCTCGCCTATCCTGTGAAAATCATCTATAATGTCCAAATCGCGTTCGTCAAGAAAATCAAAGTTCTATGTATCCTGAGCTGCCGGGTTGTGTATGTCTGCCTGTGTCTCCTTCTCACCTTTCATTCCACTCCACCTCAGTCCGACTAACTCAGTAAATGTCATTCGAATAGGCTCATACCCATATCCGCTATCCACCTCATCTATATCAATACTCAAACCGCTTCCCCGAACCCATCTCTCGACGGCGCCTACGCCACCACAGTGGCAGAGCTACATATCGGCCTCAGCGTAATCCTACTCACGATATCATCTTTGAAGGTTTTCGTGGCCGCCTACGAAGACGACCAAGGCTTCGCCTATACCGATGACGGGTCAAAGTCACATAGTCAGAGTGGAAGGCCGACGAGACCGGGAACGTGGCGGGCTTCGCGTCCAGCGAAGGATCCCATGTTCAGTACCCCTGCCTGGGACGAGGAGCCGATTCTGCGGTCGTCGGTTCCCTCTTCACGGAGCCATGACATGGGAGCACTCGGTGGTGGGGCGATTATGAAGAGTGTGCAGATATCGGTGACGAGGGAGAGTATTGAGTTAGAGGACCGAGGGGCTAAGGCAGCGTCGGCGTCGGCGGAGGTGTCAGGGGCATTATAATCTCTGTGTGATCTTTTTATCCAGCGAGTCAATGTATATCAGCGGCAAACGGGCGGACTTATAGTTTTCAGGCATGCACTATTGCAAAATGTATTCCAAGCAAAACTCTACCCATATCGACCCATTAATCTTCTGGTCTATCTAACTTCATCATAGTTCCGGTAATGAAACCTCCCTAACTATCTCAGCTGGTCCTGTCAGGGGAAAACACAGAAGTCCAAGCGTGTCTAGCACAGCACAAATTTGTACATGTTGTTACGTACACTAATGCCTGAGGCAACTACCCTTTCCATCTATGTAACACCTAAAGATCCAAATAACGTTCGTCTCTCCAATACTCTTCGTAATGATGATGTCTTCCACTTAATCAGGTATTCATTGTCTACTGCACCAGAGTTCTTTTCTTCCTCAGGAACAGACAGAGGCTCAACCGCCAATGATGCGATTTATCAACTAGTAAGAACGAAAGAAGGTTTGTGTCGGATGCGCGCCTTGCAGTATGGATGTAGTATAACTCCATCCATTGACACCGCAAGGGCTTTGATAACTGGCATAAATTGGAAGCGTGACAACGACCAAGCGTTTCCATTAGATAGATAAAAGTATTGCGCAAGCTCACATCGTCTTTCCTATGTGGAATACTCATATTGGTGTCATGTTAGGAGAACAGCCTTGCGGTGATATCATCCATAGCATGTTTCATCATATCTCGTCTATTCATACTATCGCTAATTCAAGATTGATATTTCAGCGTCAAGAGACGTAGAAGTTAACGTGACATACCACAATGACAGTCGTCAAATAAGCGCGATAAATCCGCGTACAGGAGATGTCAAACGAGTGCTACCAGTTGGATAGCTGCCCTGCACAGTAAGGTTAAAATGCCTATGACGCATTGCACGACGCTTATTTCTTCATCGCGCGAAATGAAATACCAGGCCGCCCCTTGATAGTGGCTAGCATGGATTTCAATTCTTGCTCAGGCTCCTCAACTAGGCCCCGGTATGCGTATGATGCTCCACCGATTTTGTCTCAGCGATGATGGCATTTCAAATGACTTTTTCACGCTCCATCCCTCCTACCTCAATTACTCGCCACCAACAGAGAGGCTACACAGCCTACTGGCAAGGAAAACCCCTGTTTTCCCCATTTGTTAGGCTGCAGATACCCGGTGACACAGGGTGGTTCACGAATGCCGGACTCGTTAGCGCCATGATATCATAGCAGATAAACAAGCATTTAACCCCGAATTCAAGCCGCTGTGACACTGACATAAGCGAACAGTGTCAAGGCATCGCGTCCAATCTATCAGACCTGTCATGAACTAAGTTATAACCTAATTTACCTGTTTGAGACGCCACGTGAGAAACGGGATGATATAAGCGGGATCCCGGGTCAATCAACGAGCCAAGGAATGTAGGGATGGGGGATCCTGGAGAAATGTAGCCTGTCATCTAAACCATCGCCATAATATTTGAGTTTGCCTACCTGCCTACTCAGGCAGTACTATCGGCGCAAGGGAGAAATCAGGAGCAGACCAGGATATGCGCATCCGGACGGGTATGACAAGTTGTTGGGGATGGATACGTAACTGATTGAGGGCTCAGGTACTTGATGCTGTTGCCTTGAACTGGTGGCGCTGAATATATAACTGCGTTCCAATCCACGATTTGGCAAGGGTATGCTTTAAGACAGTGAGATTATTGACGTTCATCATCTGTCTTTTTAGAGCATTTCATTATACAAATTATTCCAGACGCTGAGCATTGGGGCGAACTCAAGAAAATGTCGAGCATTGCAGCAAAGCAATGGGCGCAAGTATCGCAGGACTCTGGATCGAGTAGGCAATCCCTTCCTCCCTTTATTCGCAATGATATCTCTAACCAAAACGTTATTCGCTGGCCGTTAAATTAAAAGAAATCCCGATCCCGTCACCTAAACCAGACGAGATTTTAATCAACATCAAATATTCCGGGTCGTGCCATTCATACTTACATCTATGGACTGGTCTGCTCAATCGGTTCCCACAATTTGCGATCTGCTACTGACCCGGCCTAGGCGATTATTCCACGAGTCCAGCCAAAGACCATGTTGGTAGGGCAAACCCCAACCTTATATATACGAGCATGTACACTGACCGAACAATATAGATGGCCACGAAGGCGTAGGTGTTGTCACCGCAATTGGCAACGAAGTCAAAAATATCAACATCGGAGATCACGTCGGAGTACAAGTGCGTTGAAGTCCAGTGACCGGTATTTCTTCAACAACTGACATATACAAAGTGGTTGAACAGGACATGTGGCAAATGCGAACCATGCAAGACAGGCACCTACCTAGATTGTCCTGATGTGGCGTTCACCGGCCTTTCAGTCGGTGGCGCCCTAAGCGAATACTGCACCTGCCAAGAGAGGCACGCAATCCCGATTCCAAAGCACTACCCACTGGAAAGTGTTGTTCATGTGAGAATATCCCTGTCTGTCCCTATCAACCGATATTAATATGCGAACTAGTTTCTCTGCGCAGGACTTGTAGCATATAAGGCCATCAAAAATTCGAGCGTGGCCCCGGGCCAGACTGTGGGTGGGTATACTCCTCATCAAACTTTATTTCAATGGGGATTAACATAATCTAGCTATTTCGGATGCTCATACGGGTCTTGGAGTCTTAGCATGTCAATATGCTAAAGCATATGGGCTGCATGTTATAGCCTTAGTCGAAGGAGGCGAGAGGTACAACCAGCTTAATGGGCATGCCAATCATCTCGTTGATTGCAAATCCACCGAGGACATTGTCAGCTCGGTTAGAAACGTCTCTAGCGGCGGTCCTGATGCGGCAATAGTTCTGGCGTCGGGCGGGACGTCATTGCAATCTGCTATACAAGTAGGTGTTGACAGGCCCTTTGAATGACATATTTACTGACGCGGAGGCAAGTTTGTCAAAGCAAGCGGTACGGTCGTTTTAGTTGGACTGCGACCAGGTGGCTCAATGGAAGCAGATTTCAGCGAAGCAATTTCGCGTATGGTGAACATTAGAAGTTCATTTGGAGGGTCCAAGCAGGATACGCAAGATGCGATGAACATATTCGTGGATAAAAAATTTCACATACTACCCCAAGTGTTACCACTCGACCGGTTGGACATGCTTCTACATGAGATGAAGCGAGGTATGTAAGATGCCCCCGTTTCTATGGTTCTCTTGATTGATTGAATCCTAGGTGTGCTGGTAGGGCGCACGACTTTCAAGACCCCCGAAAGACGTGAAGGGCGGCCTAGAATCCAAAAAGTAGACCAAGAGTCGCGTCGACGCTCGATTACTACGGACCAGACGGACACTGATTATAATATTGGGACCTTTTTAGGCCATAGGATGCAGGAGCTTGGCGTGAAAGATTTTTTTGCAGTGCCAGGTAAGTCTCTTCCGTCGTTGAACCCATGATTGATCTTACTAACATGTCCGTAGGCGATTCAAACCTATCGCTTCTGGATAGCCTACTCAAGAACTCACATTTGCGTATGGTGTCATGCTGCAATGAACTAAATACCGGATACACAGCTGACGGATACGCCCGCACATCCAAATCAAAAATTGCCTTCGTGGTAATTCCTTATATTGTCGGCGGACTGTCGATTATAAATGCAATCTCTGGCGCCCACTCAGAGCATTTAAAGGTGGTTGTGATATCGGGTTGTCCGAACACAGAGATGCTGACAGGCGATAAATTCCTACATCACACGCCCTCCCGAACAAACAAAGACCAAGCACTGCGAGCTTTTCAGGGCGTGACTGCATCGTCCGTTCGAGTTGATTCCCCGGAGACTGCAATTGATGTCATCGATGGGGCTCTGCTGAAATGTCTCGATAAGTCTCTACCGGTGTACATTGAAGTGGCAAACGATATGGCAACTGCACCCTGTCCGGTGCCGTCTCCGTTGCAAAGAAATGTCGATTCTGTTCATCAAGAGCGCGAAACAAGACACGCAATTGAATCGATAAAAAAAGCTTGGAATTCCGCCAAAAGACCCATTCTTCTTGTTGGGCCTCTCGCGCGCCTGGCGTCCTCCAAAGATGATGTGCAGCTTCTAGCCGAAAAGCTCGGTTGTGCTGTTCTCTGTCAGCCAGATAGTCGTTGGATACCCGAATCTCATCCCCAGTCGTGCGGTGTTTTCTGGCCGGGTGTTGCAAACGTTGAAGGTGATGAGATAGTTATGAGTTCTGATTTGTGGGTCGTCCTCGGCGGATGTTGGTCCGACCTTCACGTCCTCAGCATCAATACTCAGAATGAGCGCCATCGTATGCTTGATATCCAACCTGAGGGAATTCAACTTCCTGATGGTACGACTTTGGGGCCCGTGAATATTGAGTCTCTCGTCTCAGGGCTGATCAAGTCCGATATCACGACCAACGGCACCTCCATTCCTAGCTCGCATCTGCAAGTTTCAAGCCCAGTTCCAGGGGAGCTTGAGCTTTCCGAAAAGCCATTAACCATGAGGAGCCTGCTTGCTGGAATCCAAGGCATACTACGAGGGTACCACACGATTATCGCAGACACGGGAGAAACATGGTTTGCGGCAAGTCGTCTCAGGCTCCCAAGCGGCGCTGACTGCCAGATGCAAATAGCATATGCTTCTATCGGATGGTCTTTGGGAGCGGGCCTTGGGGCACAGATTGGACTTCCCGATCGGCGGGTAATCATTATGGCTGGGGATGGAGGATTCCAGATGACGGCTCAGGAGCTCAGCACGATGATTCGTATGAAGCTGAACCCGGTCATCTTCCTTTTCAATAATCTTGGATACAAGACCGAGGTAAGCTCTTTGGCAGTGGTACATGTTCAGGTCACTAATAGTGTGGATAGACTGCTGTCCACGAGGGCCCGTATAATTATATCGCCAACTGGGACTATACAAAACTAGCCAAATCTCTTTATCGCGAACCTCATGCGGAATCACACAATCCATATGCAACTGAAGAGGTGCCGAGAATGAAGAACCGTCCGATGTTCGCGGCTAAGATTCAGACCCAGGCTGACCTGGCATTGGCACTGCAAAGAGCCGAAGCGGAGAGCGGAAAGTTGGCATTTCTGGAATGTTGCATTCAGCCCGGCGATATGACTGCGGAGCTTCGCAAGTTAGGAGACAAGGTCGGAAATGAGATGGGAGCCTCCGACTCAAGCACGGAAACACCTGCCCCGACCCCTTCGCCGACTCCTTCGAGCGACAGTAGAAGTACGATTCCCTCCTCCCTGTCATCACCAGTTCCACGTCCTAGAGATGTTGGAAACCTTCGTGATCTGAACGCTTCAGGCCTCAAGATAACACTCACTAAGGAGACTCGTGAGGTGCCTCCACTTAATTCTCCAGATGTTCTTTCCCATAAGGTCTGTACGGACCACATGGTGCAAGCACGGTGGTCAATCGATGGAGGCTGGAATGATCCGGAGATAGTACCCTACGGCCCACTGAGGTTGATGCCCAGTGCAAGCGCCCTTCACTACTCGACGATGTGCTTCGAAGGCATGAAAGCCTTCCGCGGCATGGATGGACAATTGCGTCTTTTCCGTGCCGGCCTCAACTGCTGCCGGTTACTAGATTCCGCCACGCGAGTCTGTCTACCAAGCTTTAGTCCGCGGGATCTACACATCCTAATCAAGAAGCTCTGCAAGATCGACGCACCAAAGTGGCTCCCTCCCAGTCAGAAGGGCTCGTCCCTGTATATTCGACCCACTTTTATCGGCACATCCGAGGGGTTGGGATTGAACCGTCCAAAGGAGGCCCTCTTATATGTTATCGTCTCATTCTGGCCAAATTCCACAGTATCTGCGAGTCAATCCATCACTCCAAGCAACGGGCTGCGCCTATGGGCAAGTCCCAGGAATATGACGAGATCGTGGCCGGGCGGATATGGATCGGCGAAGCTCGCCGCCAACTATGGACCATCTCTTCTTGCGCAGCAAAAGGCCCAGGCAGCAGGATACGACCAAGTCATGTGGCTCTTTGGACCCGATCGTCAAGTCACCGAAGCAGGAGCGTCGAATTTATTCTTTATCTGGAGATCGCTCCAAGGAACTTTGCAAGGCCGGCTACAACTCATCACAGCGCCACTAGAGGACAACCTCATACTGCCGGGTGTGACCAGACGTAGTGTTCTTGAGCTCGCTCGCTCGAGAATGTCTATCGATCAATGCTCAATAGGCGATACAACTCATTCTGTCGAGCCGGTTGAGGTTGTGGAGAAGAAATTCACGATTCACGATGTTATCGATGCGGCCGACCAAGGGAGATTGCGCGGCGCTTTTGTTACCGGCACTGCGTGTTTTATTACACCAGTAACTTCTATCTATTTCGAGGGCCGCGAGATTGACATTGAGCCGGATGCTACTCCTCATATCGCATTGTTTCGGAAATGGATGTCTAACATTGTGAATGGCGAGGAACACAGCTCTTGGACGGAGGTGGTAGAGGGGTAGGCGAATCTAGTATAAATGTTTCGTTATATATTGTGCTATTTAATCACGGACTCCCTAGTCAGAATTCCGATTGAGCGTAGGCAAATATTACTTCCAGATCTGGTACTACAGAAGAGAACGCGGGGAAGCAAAGCCGTTTATTACCTTAGAATATTACCTGTCAACCATGACCATGATTTGGGACCGTCCTACTCGGCCCACAGTGTCAAATTTCCGCACGCGCAAATAACACACTATGTGATTGATATATGCAGCCAAGGCCAATCTATGCGTTGCTCATGTACGATAAAACATAGTCTGTGCGTGAGGCTGATGGGACACCGGAGCCAGGAACCTTGAATAGCCAAGGCAGTGTCAGGAAAGTATAATCGTAGTGTATAGGTCATATAGGTGGCTTGACTATTGTTATTGAGGGCAATAAATGAATCCCCTTGCCCCTTTCTCTCCTTTTCTCAGGGGGTGGATATTGGTGATATGGATCTTGGCCGTCACGGCTGCGTGGGTTATAAATGAGGCTACCCTTTGGCCATCTACTATCCACTATCCACCCTCCACAATCCACGAGCCATTAGCTATATCTACCTATCGTTCTACGCATCCATCTCGAATATCGGATAATCTCTACATACGTATATATCTCTGAAATGCGTGCCTCTTCTTTCGCCGTCTTCTTCATGGCTGCCTATGCTATGGCAAATCCCATCACCAACAACAAAGTGTCCAAACAATGTATGTGAATTGATTTCTATTCTATGACTTTGACAGCTAACTCCTGTTTACAGTTGGCAAAGGATTCGTGGATGCATTCTGTTAGCGAACGAGTCAAGGGCGGTCTATGTTATGCAGCGAGCTTTCAGATACCATTGTACATGTACCATGTAACCTAGGCCAACCATCATCCCATAATCCTCAATCAATCAATCAAATCAAAAATCCAAACGAAGCTTCCACAGATCTCCCAATCTCTCGTTATTCTCTCCCAACCCACCCTGAACCACTACTCCGTCGCCAACAGCCTCCGCATCAAACCACCCCCTCGCCACCGGCCCATCCCCCTCAACCCTAACCTCCTCCCACTTCCTCTCCTCGACATCAAAAGCCCACACATCAGAAAACATCTTCCCCGCCCCTTGATGCCCCAAAGCACTTGGATTCCCCTCCCCAAACATCGTAATCAACTTCCCCCCAACAGCAACCAAACAACTCACGCTCCGAGGCGCTGGTCCAGAAACCCCATCGGCAGCAAACGACACCGACTCCCACGCCTCCGTCCTAATATTAAACACATCAACCGCACCTCCAATCTCACTCTTCCCGTCAAACCCATTCATCCTAAACACCATCCTTTTCGCAAATGCAATCGACGTCCCACCTCGTGCTGCCCCGGGCGCAGCGGGTAATTCCCGCCAAACACGCGTGCGAAGATCAAACGACCAGAAATCATTCAGGCGGCCTTGCTCGGGACATCCTGCGTGCAGGAAAATCGTTGAGTGACCATCGTTTGTCAGAGCGTGGTAGCTTCTTCCGACCGGGTAGTTTGACCCTGCATCGGAGGGAGATACATGCTCCCAGATGTTGGTGGTCGTGTCGAAGACCCAGAATGAACCGTTCTCTTCGATGGGAGCCATGGCTGTACCGCCTCTGCCGGAGAAGATGTAGATCTTGTTGTTTAGGGTTGTGGATGCGGCGCCGACGCGCGGTTGGGGGGTCTTTGGGGGGTTCAGCTGGGTTATGGTTTTTTCGGTCGTGGGGGTGGCGTCTGTGGGATTGTTAGCTACGTTGTGTCATAGTTGGAGGAAAGAATGTATGGATACTCACTCTGGTTCAAAGGGATGCAGTATACAGAGGAGTCAACAGGTTCGCGGGGCTTTAGTTCTCCGCCGTATATGTATGCGTTGCCGCCCAGGACGGAGAGGGTTTGGGAGGACCTTTGAATGGAGCTGTGGGAGAGAAGCTTTGTCCATATAGGAAGAGCCATTCGGCTGGGATTTATGCTAGAATGACAGCGGCTTAACAGGTGAAGGTTAGGAGAGTGAGTGATTGCTTGTTGATGGAGAGATTCGAAGCGGCTTATATATTTCTCTCGAGGGGGGCTAGGTACTACGTTTTTTTGCACTGAATGAGGAAGAGTACCTTGAGGGCGAACGAGAACTATACTATCAAGGCCAATGTGAGGAGAGCGTAACTTTTTTCCCAATCCATCTAGCGCGATGTCTTCCTCCTGTAGGTATTGATTCTGATGTGGCTGGCAGGGTGTGGCGGGATGGTATTAGGGGAGCTGTAAGCTATTACACCTAGCTTACCAGTGTGGCGTATTAAATGAATACTTCAGGTAGGTTTAGATGTCGATCCCTTAAAATACTGTAAGGAACCGTAAGGCTGCTTGGTTTGGAAATATTGATGCCTGAGGTTGAAATGCCAAGCGCCCCCAGGTTTGCAAGACGAAGACGCAGGAAGGCCATTTTCGTCTCATTCACATTTTTTGATTTATCCCAGTAAGGTTCGCCATTTGTTCAACTAAGTTATGAGCATTGGGTGTGAGGATAGAAGAATGCCTACTGTAAAAATGTCCTTCTTTCTTTCTCTAACGGACAATTCCAGTGTGGGCTCGAGTTTACGAGAAATGAAAGCGATATAACGAAGCATTTAGAGTGAATGGTGGAACAGATGATTGAAAATACCAAGTGTTCATATTTTATTCCTGTGCTTTACATGCATATTTGACACTGGCACCTATAGACTGGAATCGTTCCATACACCTCACCTCCACTTTCCGCTGTCGACAACATATTCTACTCTTATTGTCCCTCCAACAATTTGTCCCGTTTAGGCCAGTTCATGATTGATTGAACCACCAGCTTTCCAGATAGGCGACCAGGAAGCCACCGTTCATCGATCCGCCCACAAAGCAAAATCCCAACTTGAACCACCGAGCACAACTCGCCGGTACATCTAGCTCAACCGAGGCGATCATTACGGCCAGCGCGACAGCGGTGCCGGACACACCCACAAGGAAATAGCCGGCTGGCATGTCAGTCCACACACCAGCCAGGGTCAGGAGAGCGAGCTGCAAGACGGCCAAGAGGGAGCAAAGAGGCTTGGTGCAGTGGCGAAAGCGCACGGCCATAGACTTGACACCGGCACGGACGTCGTCGGGGAGATCCTGGTGGGCGTAGATGGTGTCATAGATCATGGTCCAGAAAACCTCGGCAGCGCATAGAGCCAATGTGGCAGGGCCATTTCTTGCATTGAAGAAGGCCACGTCAATATCGAGGGAGTAGGCGGAGATGACAATGGAGAGGGCAAGGGGCACGCCGAGGATGGCCTGTGGGTAGTGGGTGAAGCGCTTGCAGAAAGGGTACAGGGCGTACAGGGCACCCATCACGGTGGCGACAGCGGCGCAGGGCCGGGGCAGTGGGTTGAAAAGCATCGCAAGAACTACCAGTTGCACAGCCAGAAAGACGTGGGCCTGCGTAGTCGACACTGCCCGCCGTGCGATCGGGCGCTGGCGGCAGCGGAGCACCTGGCGGTCGTACTCTTGGTCAATGTTGTCGTTCCAGGTGCAGGCGGCCCCGCGAATGAATATGTTGGCTACCAAGAAGAAGCCGCTCCCCCATAGCAGCTGCATCGGCTCCACCTTCTCTCTGCCGAGGCTGGCCGCGTAGACGAGACCAAGTACCGAAGGCATGTAGAATCCTATGAAACCTGCCGGTCGGTCGAGACGCATTAATTGCATATAGGGCACCCAGCTAGCTGGGCTCATCAGACCCAGAGGAAGGTCACAAGGAGGGGGAGGAGCGGAGCTCATGGGAACCGGCTTGACTGCGGCGCAGGTCTTGGTATCCTTTGAAGAAGATGCCATTTGTGCAATTCCGTGCGTGTAGAGTTGCACGGTTAAGGAAGAATAGACAGGATCAAGGAAGGGGAAAAGAAGAAGAGAGGGTAAAATGCGTCTGCGTTGACTAAATCAAAGGAAGGGTAGGGGAACACTCAAATACCTAAATGATCACCAGGGGTCCGCGGGGATATACAGTGACCCAAGACACTGTTGTCTTTACGGGAGAGTGGATTGCGACCCCTGGCCAGGCTAGGTCATGGTGATATGAAGCAAACAGAGAGCCCAAACTAAAGTGCGAGCAGTGTTATGTAACACAATGCATGCGAAGGCCCAAAAAGGTATCCCGTCTCAACGCCGAAAGGCTCCGCCAAGAGGCGAATTGGACAACTATGTAGCTTTTCAATGACCCAGTTTGAGACGTGGCCATCTCTTTGTGGCGAGCAATGAGAATAATAGTGCGTCAGCACGTTGTGGCTGGATGCAACGGTGCCAGAATCACAGACTCTGTACGGCAGATGGAACGTACAGAACTCCCTATCTGAGCACACCTTATTGATACATTGTCCCGGCATGATCGTGGGATTGTGGTCCTGGTTTATCCAGGTGTGCTCTACTTTATGAGTAGAAAGACGAAGAGATCACAATTCCGTACACATAGAACGGACAGCTAAGCAACAGGGGTGCGTGTAAACATAAAAGATTACTTGGCTTTAAAACTAGGTATGACAATTTGAGGATTGAATTTCGACTGGACAAAATCACTTCTGGCAAATCCTGAACCAATCAATCACTTTCTGGTTCACCGCGAGACCCAAGTTCAAACGGGCACAGTCTCGATGATGCTGTCCTTCAGAGTGGCGGTGTATGTATAGATTTTATTCACCTTCAAACCTGCACTGTTCAGAAGCTGATACCACTGATCCTGGGTGCGCTCGCGGGCAGCCAAGGTTGTCATCATCAGGATATCCAGTTGTGCGGCCTGCCAGTGAACCCCAACATCCGGAAGCACCATGTCATCGATGAGAATAACCGAATCGCTTGCCAAGGCATCGATGGTATTCTTCAGAATGGTGCGGACCTTATCATCGGGCCAGTCGTGGAAGATATTGCGCAGGTAATAGAACTTTCCTCCTACAATGTGTGATTCCAGTTAGGCCTATGTATATCTGAAGGTTGCGAAAATACTGGGAAAGAGAACAAACATACCCTTGACGGCTTGTGGCTGAAAGAAGTCCTGCGCCATGGTTTCCACCCTTGGGTGCTGCAGCGCATGTTGCAGGGTCGGCGCTAGGTCCTGTACAATAACTCGGCCCTCGAGGTGAGAGTACTTCTCACGGAACGCGATCGCTTGCTGACCGAAACCACCACCGATATCAACAAACAGAGCACGCTCTGGGCTCAGGCCCGTCGCGCGATCCAGAACTGGATACGCGTCCAGGAATGTCGGCATCCCCGCGCGATTAGTAGTCAGGTACTCCTGAAAGAAAGCCATCTTCTGGGGCTGCGTCTGGAGCCAGAAAAAGGCAGGCTGATCAGTGTTGAAAGCCTTCTGAAGTGCGGTGTTGGCGCTGTCTTCAGGATCCGCATATTTGGTCTCCTCCAGGAAGCTCGGCAGATTCTGGATGGAGGGGCCCATAGTGTCAAAACTACGCCGCAGAAAGGTGGTCAGTAACAGTTTCCTTAGTCAAGAGCATCTGGAACTGACTAATGGCAAATCGCCGCCTGAAAGCCAGACTGGGAGAAGGTCTTGGTGATGTTGTTGGCGGTGAAGGCATCTTTGCCTGTCTCCTGGATGGCACCGAAAGACGCCAGATAGCGAAGCAGGCGTCCTATAATTGTATGAGTGAACTGTGGCTCTCACATGCCTGGCTGCACTTACCTAGAAAGACGGAATCGGCCCCCGTCTTCTCGCTCAGTTGAGCGACGGTGAGAGGTGCCTGACCCCCTTCCAGGGAGCTGAACAGTTTGAGATTGACCCCAACGCGCAAAGCAGCCAACTGCAGATTCTATAAAACGATGACAGGTGAGTCATCCAAAAGAGGTATGGAGAAGCGGGCACGCAGAAACTTACGTAAAAGGTGAATCGTTGAACTGTGTCATTGGGCTGCTCTATCGAGTTTCGCAAGGATTGCAACGAGTCCAGGATTTCCTGGCGTTGCTTCTCATCGCCATGGTGAGCCAGAGTACGAATCTGGTCAAGCAGGTCTTCCATAGCAAAAGTGATACGAAAGGGTACAGAAATGTAAGCCTGATGACTGGAAGTGAGAGTTGTAGTACAAGGAAGAGAGACAGGAGACATAAGAGTACCAACTGTTTCAGTTATGGCCACCGTGAGGACTTAAATAATGCGATCCAGAGAGCCTACTAATAGGCATAGCCACGTCGCTGTACTAAAACACGAGTCAGCTACTAATCCCTAAATATAGTGGTGGGAATTTTGGAGGGGAAGTTCTTTGTGGCGTACCGCGGACGGGCAAAACCCGGCATGAATCATTTCATACTAGCTGGTATTAAGATCAATAGCCCCAGACCCCACAGGTTCAAAGCATGTCAGACAAAAGCAATCGTAATCAAGCGCATCAGGATTATTGATTGCATTATCGCGCGAGTCAAACACGATGGCCAAGGTGTGATTAGCATGCCCAGCACACTTAGCCCACCTGGTAGGGCCTTTCTTGCGTTCGCCGTAGAAATGATGCCCGAAGTCAATGCCAAGATAGCGTTGAAGGAAGAATTGATGGGCGTTGCAAATTGAAACAGGGGTATTACCCAGATCTGGATCAGTTCACCAGATGCCAACGGAGGCTGTATGGAACCACTAGCACAGCCGTATCATCAAACCAACATAATCCCTCAGATTATCCGTTTCGTCCGCGCTTTCCGCGCAGTATATTCATACATACACCATATCTACGGGGGCATGCTGAAGGTTTGATCGGAATGAGGTTGACTGTGGCTTCCAGCCAGGGCCCGGTTCCAGTCCAAGGCGCTAGTTGCGCAGGAATGGTATGCGTTTTCTCTCGGTGCAACCTTTGATCATCCCCCTCCCCCAACCAGCGAGGAATATGTACGTGATTGGAAGATTACTCATTTCATTGGACGCAGTACCCGGCCGGTTGATAGCAAACATACGTTGAACTGAGCAAACAATTTGCCGGTCTGATGACACTGTTTGTACTGCGAGAATATTCTGGCCCCATCCCTACCCCTACATAATGTTACAAACCCGGCCCTGGGTCTACCCATAAGTGTCTCAAAATATGTAGATGTAGGCCAATTCACAAACCTTGCTCCTACGCCGTCAATGGCCTATCTCGGCATCAGCAGCACACAAATTCGACTTTCATTCGAATTTGATGGCTTCATAAATAGACTGTTTTGCATCCCATTGCCTTGCTCAGTGCTCTTCTATTGCCTGATTTTGAGATAGATCTGCTGATCCTGTATCTAACTTATTTTCTTCGCCTTCCCACATATCGTCTACAGAGCAATATGTCGGCTGCATCAGCGGCAGTAGCTCCAGATCGAGGTCCTTCAATTATCATCATTTATTGGGTGGAAAGTGGGGTCGCGGTTTTAGTGGTTTCCTTGAGAGTCTACGGACGGCTGATATCCTCAAAGTTGGGCAAAGATGACTATGTCATGCTATTCACTTTAGTAAGATCTGGTCGCGAATGAATAGATGTCGGGTGCTCCAAGAGCTAATGGGTAGATGCTTTCTTTTAGACTTTGTTTCTAATTCTAAGTGGGTTTGCGACCTTCTTGGCCAAGAATGGAGGTTTCCGCCACCTAGCCGACCTAAGCCCCCAGCAACAGATGAGGGCAATCAAATACAACTGGATTTCCCAAGAATGGGGGATCTCAGGTCTTGTGACCGGCAAGGCATCGGTAGCCCTCCAGCTGCTGCGTATTATTGGGCCGAGCAACAAGCGCACGCGGTGGACATTATATGTCTTGATCATATCGCTTAGTGTGGTGAGCATCGTGAATTGCATCATTACATTCACTCAATGCAGCCCCCCTCGTGCACTGTGGGATCCCAGCGTTCCTCACACTTGCTGGGACTCCAAGGTTCAGAGTAACTACGCTATTTTCGTTGGAGGTGAGAACAGCTCCTTGATCTGATTTTGTACAGCGGCCTCGTTCTCACACACCCTGTGTCTTCATCTTCCCTCATTTAGCCTACAATGTCCTGGGAGATTTCACTCTGGCTCTGCTTCCCATTGGTATCGTAATGAAAACCTCTCTGAGCCTGAAGAAGCGACTGGCAACGATCGCTCTGTTAGGGCTTGGTGTTGTGTAAGTCGCACTTTTCTTCTATATCATCCTGCGATTCTGCACTTGTGATCTCTTCTTTTCCCTTGGATTGGCTCAGGATCTCGGATTCATTGAATTCTGACATTTGTGGTTCTTCCAGAGCAGGAGCGTGCGGCATCGTCAAAGTGACTCTCTTAGTCACGTTAAGCGCCCGTGCCGACTTTACCTGTACGTGCCTCATGTTTCTCTTTCCATTCTTATTCTACCCCTTCAATTCTACGCCCGGTTACTTCGACAATTCTTTACAACATTGACCCCTCTGCGGCCAATTACTGAAAGAGAATCAACAATTGATCTCGTTGCATAGGGAGCACCTACCCTCTCTACGTCTGGACTAGTCTTGAATTCTGGATGATCATCGTCTGTGGCTCCATCCCCCCCATCCGTCCCCTGTTTGGCCGGCTGTTCGGCTCGCGCAAACGGACTCCACCGAGTTCGAACGTTTTCGCCGGCGGCGACTACTCCGAGTTCAGTTCAGAGCCCAGTAATCGATCGCACAGACTCAAGCGGTATATCTACAATATGTCCGGTGGCCTAAACACTGGGCTGTCCGACTCTGCGTCGGATACTCAGATCTTGCAGTCACGCGTGGAGGTCGAGGCCAAGGGGTGTATGGGCAAGGGCCATGGTCATGGCCATCAAGAACAGGAGTTTGGAGACAGTACGAGGATTGTTCGCATGACTGATATTGTCATTGAGACAACGAGTTCGAGGCCTTAGGAAGTGTTTGGAGGAAGGTGGAAGGGGGAGGAAGGGGGGAGAACCAAGGCATCAACACACCACTGCTTAGTGCTTACATTCTCCAATACACTGAAAAGGGACGATACAGTTTGTATGCACCAATCATTTCAGTAGTCTGTCTTCCGTGGGGCTCCGTAGGAAGATTTAGGTTAGGCTGCTGCTTTACGATGGCGGGTAGCGTCAACCGGATGATGAGCCGAGGCGGCTAAACTAGGGCGGTCGAATGAAAATTCTGTGGAAAAACAACGCGGACAAAGTAGGTTCAGAAAAGAAAATCCTGGACAACAAAAACAACAACGCAAATAAGATACGAGGTGCATAAAGAGGGGAAAAGGAGGGTACAGCTGCGGCTAAGTTTGGCTTAATGGGCACAAACAAACACTCAGTAGCTTGGATAGCGGTGTGTAGCCGAAATTGGTTAGTCTATATTAGGCTATATTAAGGTGTGACTAGGGTCAATTCCTCCTGCCGGCCGCCAGATCATTTGCTTTAGTTACATCCCTTCGGGTCTGGACCCTCTACTCCGTACTCCCTACGAACCTACCCCTCTTCATCAAAGACCCGAGTCAATCTCGTTCACAAACTCATGTCCACTAAAGTGGGCCCATTCCCGACATGTTTGTACCATACTCCGAGGAATTTGGAATTTTTCAAAATCCTGGGGATGTTCCTGATAGGTCGTCAGAATGAAACCAACCCAATTAGGAAAAAGGACGAAGGAAGAAAAAGAAAATACAACTCACAATGATGTTTAGAAGTAATCCCGCACTGACATGATAGGACATGTGGCAATGCAGCGGCCAAACCCCAGGATTATCAGCCTGCCACTCCAAGACAATGTAAGCGGGCTCTTCGACCGACCCCGGCTGGAGGATCTGAGTGTCTCGACGTTGCGGGTTTTGTGGGTTGTTGACCACGCCATCCCACGTTCCGCGACCTTCGGCCAGGACCCAGAAGTTGTGGCCGTGGAGATGCATCGGATGTTGCATCTCGTAGAGGTTATATACAACCAGTCGGATCGACGAATTGGCGCCAAAGTTCCAGAGGTTCAGATCCGGGCTCTCAGGGTAGGAGAAATTCCCGTGGCAGCCGAGTAAAAGGACAGGGGTGTTGTAATTGACGCGGAAGGTGACATTGTTGACAAAGAAAAGAACATTTCCGCTCGCATTCTGGGCGAGGGTGATTTCGAGGGTCTCTGTCGTCGAGACTCTCGATGGCGGTGTTTGAGGGTAGTAGGGAACGGTGCTACTGAGAGGCTCATTCCGGCAGTTGTTGCTCGCCAACGAAGCAGTCGAGTTGCTGGTCGGTGTAGCGCTGGAATCGGCCTTTTCATAATAGATAGCCGCCCGAACTGTCTTGTACGTCGCCGTAGCGTTCAGACAATCCATATCAATTGACGCGCGCATCCAGTAGGCGTCCTCGGGCTTCCCGGCGGCCTCCACGACCACGTCTGTCCGCTGCCCCACGCCTAGGGTGATGACCTCGGTGGTATATGGCTCTAGCGGCACGAAGTCATTGGCAATGACCGTCATGACATGCCCGTCAATGCTGAACTTCTGATTGGCATTTGATCCGGTGTTGAGAAGCCGCAGCCTGTGTTTCTTGCCGGACGTGAAATTGAATCGCGCGAACCCCACACCAGCCTCGTTGTTATCCGCTCCATGGCCATTGATGAGATTGTTATCTACATTCGGGAAGGATGGAGGGATCGAGAGGATTTGTTCCAAGATGGTATAGTAGCTCTCGTGGCCATAGTCCGAGATCATCACAGGACCCACGTCCAGATCGTAGGAGGCGCCGGGCTGGACCGGACCGTGTATTATCATAGGACCATAGGCACCGTCAGTGTACTGAGCACTGTAGTGTGAATGGTACCAGCTCGTTCCGTACTGGTCGGCTTGGAAGCGATAGGTAAAGCTGGCACCTGGGGCGATCGGGCACTGGGTGATCCCCGGAACGCCATCTTCCCAAGGGGTTTTCTTCTGAGTCAATCCGTGCCAATGAAGGCTCAAGCCCTCTTCCACGGACTCAATTCTATTCCATACCGTCACCTCAATCATATCGCCCCAATTGGCCTCGATCATAGGACCGGGAAACTGTCCATTGATCAGGAGCCCGCTCTTAGCGTAGCCGTCTGGAGCAGTGTCCCCCCTTGAGATAGTGAAATTATAATACCGCGTCACGCCTGTGTCGGGCGGGTCGCCAGAAGGGAATACCGCTGACCAGGGCAGTTTGGCGGAACCAGGTTGCTTGTCTTTGCCCCCATTGTCCTGACGCCACAAAGAGAGAGGTTGCGTCGGCAGGCGGCCATAGGGATAGCGAGGTTCTGAGGAGGTATGCGGGGAGCCAGAAATTGCGGCCATAGCCCCCCCGAGGAGTGTCCAGAGGATCCAACCCAGTAACATTGTAACAACGGTCCCTATGAAATCAGATTGCTGAAGTAAATGAAGTGCAGTTTCAAGTTCCGTTTCAGGCACCTTTAATTCTCTCTGGTGGAATGGGGCCAATTTATACGTTCGGTTGGTCCTTGTGGCCGTAGTCGAAGAGCAAACCTCGTGGACACCGTCAACGACACCGCGCCATTGTTGAGCAACATTGATCAAAAAAACCCCTGGTCCTCTAGATCAGGAACGACAGGTTCTGTTCTGTTCGAAATAGTTCATCGCCCCCACAAGTGGTCAGCAGCCACAATCCGAGGAGGCCAGGGCGAGGTTGTTTGGCTCATAACCCCGCGAGAGAATATCCGCGATTCAAAGGGAAGGGCTGACCACTTAGCATACTGATCTGAGGTGTCCATCCAATACTGCCCCCATATATGGTCAGCTCTTGTTTGTGATGACAGCAAACATGCAGCAGTCTAAAATCTTACGTTTTCCAAGGCTTGCATCAGCGGGCGCTTCCGATCACAGGAAGATTCATGGGCTCAGTAGGACTTAGACATATGCTGATTGAACGGATTGTCTCCCGGATGGTAATAGTAGGCAAATTACCATACATACCTGCCGGTGCTAGCGCGAGCCGGGTCTTGAAAAGAGATAGTTATACTCTACGGACTGCAGAACCGTCAGAGAAAACATATGTTTTGTTAGTTTTGTCTTCAAGATTTTGATTTATCTTTTCATGAGATCTGACCTGCCATTTACGCAAGGTTCATGTAGAAATACCAGGCTCCTGCCGCGTTGGGCTATAAACTTTTCAAAATGAAAACTCGATCAATATTGATATAGTACAGGCACATATATTATCTCGAAACAGGGGATCCTTACATGTTTGGATCTGATACCTCGTGACCAGCATAAGGAGTTCGGACACCTTACTATCATGGTTCTTTACTCTTCGTTTTTCTTTCCCCCCTCCCTCGATAACCCCTGACTGTTGGCTTGACAGGGGTGATCAGGAACTACCGCTACGATACACTGACAACGTTTTGAGAAGGCACATGACATGTGAAGTATATACAAGGGACACTTAGATCCTCGATTAATTACACTAGATGTAAGTGATCTCACAATTGAGGTCTCACAATTGGGGCCAAATGTGGATCTAGAACACTCAACCTTCATCCTGTTCAAGCCAGCAGGTAGTCCGACCCCAACACGAAGTGGTTAGCCGAGATATCCGAAACTTAACAGTAAGAGTCAGGAGAGATTCAAGCAGCCCAGCAGACAACTGGATTTGTGGCACATTCCCATTAGAGAGAGCATTTATCGTAATGGGGCAGTAGCTTGGCGATGAGGTGTATTGGGAGGGTATTAAAGTGGACGCATTCCGGTGTCAATGGAAGGGAGGTTCGTAAATTCACCAATTAAGGAGATGAGGAGCCTCTGCGCACTATCGAGAAGAGCATTATACACGAATTCAATCGAACGTGATGTCTACTTACGGCAGCCTCTCGCACCACGGCGGCAACGGTGAATCGATCTGTTCCGTTCTGATAGTCGGTGCCGGCTTAACGGGACTGACGGCGGCCATCCGGTTGAGGCAGGCTAACTTCCAGGTCGTCGTGCTGGAAAGAGCCTCGGCATTGCAAAAGGTGAGGCCCGTATCGGGTAGTCGAAAATTAACGGCATACTGATGATCAATTGAGAATGAAAGCTGGGCGCTGGACTTCAAATTCCCCCCAACTGCTCCAGAGTTCTTCGGGAGTTGGGTGTCATGGAAAAGGTTGAAGCCGCAGCAACAGCACCAAAAGCCTTGATTGTTCGGTCTTATGTAGGGAGCCAACTCCACCACCAGACTATCAACTTTCAGCAGGCAAAGGGGTACGGGGATGCTCACCTTGTTATACACCGCGCCGACATTGCTCGGATTCTGTATGAAGAAGCGTTGAGGCTAGGTGTTCGCATTCTGTTCGACGCCCGCGTGGTAGATATCAACTTCGACCTGGGTTGCGTCCAACTTCACACCGGCGAAGGAATGAGGGCAGATTTAGTCCTGGGTGCAGATGGGGAGCACTCAGTCTGTCGGCATCTGCTCCTTGGCTCGAACAATGCCCCTTCGTCTAGTGGCAATGTTGTTTATAGACTCATGATTCCTTCATCGGCTCTCACAGCGGATGCTGCCCTCCAGGCTCTGATCAGCCCGGCCAGCATCCAGGCTTGGTATGGGCCTGGCTCGCATATTATATGCTACCACCTAGATCGTCAGAAGGTTTTGAACGTTGTCATGACACTACCAGCAGCCCATGGTGCATCACCAACAGGCCCCCAGCCAGCCGATGTCCAGGTCCTCCGGGATTACTTCCGAGACTGGGACCCCACCATTCAGCGATTGATGGAATTGACAGAACTGGCCCAATCGTGGACTCTGCTCGAGCATGAAACATGCTGGCAATGGGCCCATCCAAGTGGAAGATTCATTCTATTAGGGGATTCAGCGCATACCATCCTCCCTTATATGGCCCAAGGCGCGGCCATCGCGATTGAATCGGCCTTCATTCTTGCCGAGCTCCTCGCCCGCCAACGTCCATTGGGTCCGGCACTACCCGACCTTCTACGAGCCTTCACGGCTTCTCGCATGCTCCGAGTCCTCTGTATTAAGAACTGGAGCAAAGCCATGGAAGGCGCTTTCGAACCTGTGGGACACTCGGTCGATTGGGCTCGAAGTTGGTTCGACATGATGCGCGATTATCGTGATCGAGAGGACCATCTGAACGAGCAGCAGCTCTGGAAAGAAAGTAATAAATTTCCTTATCCCTTAACTGATCCGATGGTCCAAGATCTGGTCTGGGGCTTTGATCCTCAACAAGCGGCCGTTTCTGTTTGGAGGCAGTATACTAGAACATATGCCAATCCTATCTAGGATGCGGGCCGGCTACAATAAGTTTCGTCCTCGGCTCGGTTCCTATATGGCTATTTTCGCGTTCTTGCCTGTCTCATGTCTTTCTGCTTTCCCACCATTTTTGGGCTTTTTTTGTTGCCAACTATGATTAACAGCCGTGAGAAGAGATAATTAACAGTGCTTTGTACATAATTCTGGAAAGTACCGAGTCATTCATTAAAAGCCCTGGAATCAATCCTTCAATGGTCTCTCTATTTTCTTCCCCGGTTCCATCCTCGGCTCGACACTGGAAAAGCATCCCAACTGGCCGCGGAGACTGTGCAGCTAAGTATAGTGACGATGTAGTCAAGCGCCGTGAGGTAGGCTTCTCTGATATATTTGAGCTCCCACGTAGCTTAGAAACCTATATTAACGGGATCATCCTACATAGAGCCAAAACGGAAGTGGAACCTCGTCTGGCAGGCATTTGGAAAACACCATAGAGAGCTGCGAGAAATTCCGTATTTATAGTAACTGATAGCTTGTGACTGGATATGAACGTGCGATTGCTGGCTTGATTAGTACTCTTTAGTTGTTGTTATGGTCTAATTGATTTCTGAGGGGTGTTTGTAGGGATTGGTTTCCCTACTACCCTTCGTTGGAAATGCATGAGATGACCAATGAGACGAAAGAAAATAAGAAACTTATTTGCGGACTGGTGGTAGAAGACTCGCAAAAATCTGGGACCTATCTAAACTCTTCTCCAAGGAGACAAAGGGATCATCAAACTTGTTGGACACCCAGAAGCAGGAATTCGCCTAGCGTAGAACGCTGTCGTGGCACGGGGCAAGGCTCCTCCAGTAAGATCAATCTTTAAGCCTATTTCTTTGTTCTCCCATGGAACCCATCTAGCGGTGGTATATCACACAGCCTAGAGTCCCACATATCACAACCTGTACTTTTGTTCTGTCCAATGATAAATAAAGTAATTTAATGGCGAGACCCCCGAGCCTCGAGGTGTCGGCTGCATTAGGCTTTAGGGGGACAGACCTTACCACAGAAGCTTGTATATAAGAGACCTCTCTATAGCTTAGCTAAAGATAATAGGGCACACAGAACAGTTCCTTTACCCCTTACCTTGGTCCTATGGCCCCTGTACAACCTTCCTAAATGTCTTGTCCTAAAGCTCTCCAGCAATTCCTACCATTTCGCCGCTCTTGCAGTCTGAATTCCATATCGCCCCCAGATTCATGCACTTTATTCAACGCTGATATCATGCATCCATTCTTGCAAGTCGTCTTAGACCGAAAGTGAGAAATAATATCCGGTATCTATGGGCTAACCTGCCAGGACACAACGATTCGGCATTCATTGTCTGGCGTTTGCAGGTGCCAGGTCACACGGTCGGAAAACGCAGGGATCATAAAGGTATTCCTGGACTTGCCAACCGGCAATTATGGAGTCCTCGCCGCCGGATGAGAGCAGAGCGACGACACTCAACATCTTGGGTTGGGTAGGCTTCGGCCTGACGGCCTCATTTGTTGGGGCGCGGGTCTATACAAGAGTGATCATCCTTCATGGCGCAGGGTGGGACGATGCGCTATTAATAGCTGCTGTTGCAAGTAAGCCCTGTTTCTCTAGGATTGAGATTTCCACCTTCCATACTCTATGTGGAGTACAATCATGCCCTGAGGAAAGCAGCTAACAGGTCATAAATGGGGTGAAAGATATTGAAGGTCGTCTGTGTCTCCGTGACGTCTCTCGGTGTCACCCACGGGCTTGGTCGCCATTCTATTTACCTCACGCCGGAACAGATGAGTAGCACACTGTATTGTGCATCCATAATTCAGCCGATCGGGAACGCAGCCTTCTGTCTTCCGAAGTTGTCCATTGTGATATTTCTAAAGCAGCTCATGGGCCCGAGCATGAGCATCCGAGCTCTCCACTTTCTTTACTTCCTCCTCATCATCTTGTTTATCAGCTTCTCCATCTGCTCCATTTTGATCTTCGCTGAGTGCAACCCACCAAACAACCTTTGGCATTATACTCAGCCCGCCGAATGTCTTTCTCCAAAAGTACTGGACGGGATTTCATTATTTGCAGGGTGTAGGTCTCACTGCTTGACACCCCAAGCCTGAAGAATCTGACGTTTCCTGTAATCAGCTTGGTCTGCATTCACGGACCTGATATTGGCGGCCTATCCTGTTACAGTTCTATGGAAGTTGCGAATTCCATGCACTCGGAAGATCGGCGCTTGCGCTATCATGGGCACAGGTCTTATGTAGGTTGAATTGATTCGTGTTCACTGGTCATCCGTCGTGAGATCCAAGGAGATGATCGGGGTACGAGAGTGAGCGACGGAGCCGGACATGACTAACTATCTGCAATTTAGAGCCATGGTCTGCGCAATAATAAAAATCACTACCTATCCACACTACTACGGTCTCGATTACCCATGGGAATTCTGTTCTCTCCTCATAACAACATTGGGGGTTGCGCCTCATCTTACACATACCTGGAGACCATTCATCACCCACGTGAGATGTCGTACTGACCCATATGCCTCACCATTTTACAGTATCGAAACCGACGTTGTCATCATTTGCGCCTGTGTTCCAAGCCTCCCAAAGCTCGTTCGCCGAATTCTGGGAAAAGACACCCCAGAACAATCGGACGGCATTTACCCTTCCGACGAAGCCGAAAGGTCCTTGACCAATTTCGCGGGCTATCGACGATTCGGGATAACTCACGAGGACCATAGTTTATCGGATGTCAACCAGGGGGCTCCTAAAGTTGCCGCAGAAGGGAGGCCAGCTCATAGAAAGATTACCCAGACAATCATCAAGCAGACAGAAGTAGAAGTGCTCCGCGAGGAGTCTTCAGTTTGATGATATGTATACGGAGAAATTCAATGCATGCGCCAAGAGTCAAGTGTCCCATCGGCAAAATCCGTATCCGACTTTTCCTGGAAGTGGAGCCGAAGGATTACGCCTGTATAATAGTAATTTGAGAAATTCTTCCAACACTTGTCAGATGTGAATAGGTCTCGCTCATCATGGGGCCAGCGAGCAGCAGTCTATGGTCTCGCGCCATTTTATGCTTATTCAGGCTTGCACCAAAGCACTTCGCAACCCCCAGCTCATTCCGAAATGCTGGAGGATTCGTAGACTAGATAAAGCTTCCAATATTTGTGCTAGTGCTGGTCGTGCACCAAATGGTAGACCTGGTAGGATACACTCAATGCTAATGAGGTAAAGTGCTACTTTGACCCGCCTATCTCTTCGCAGAGCCTTAGTTTTGATAAAGAGACTGTAAATTTGAGATGGAATTAGAATAGGAAAAGAACCGTGTATTTCTTCCAAGAGAAACATGCTGTCCAGAGTATCAATTTAGATAGGAACGGCCTCAAACAAAGCATTAGACCCCACACCCTGGTTATCCGCTCGCCATACCTTGACGACCTTGAACTGGGCGCGTTCCAAAAGACTCTGCCACTGTTTCTCCGTACGCTCCAGTGACGAGAACATAGTCATCATGATGAGATCCACACTGGCATTAAACCGAGGGACGGCAATTTCGGGGAGGGTATTTTCGTTGATCAGCAGCACTGAATCGTCCGCCATCGCCTCCCGGATGCGCTGCAGGGCTTGCAGGGCCTGGTTGTCAGGCCAGTCATGAAGCACTGTGCGCATGTAGTACGCCTTTGCGCCACGGACGGGCTGCGCGTCAAACATGTTGTAGCCCTGGACCTCGATGCCCTGGGCTAGCGGTACCCGAATATCCCGGATGACCTCGGGAACGTCCTGCAAGATCAGGTGGCCGGTGGTGTTCGTTCTCTCCCTGAAGCGCGCAAGGTCGTGACCCTTGCCACCGCCAATGTCGACTAGGAGCACGCGGTCTGTGTCACCGTCGGACAACAGCCGCTCCTCCCAGGGGTAGAAGTCGTACCACTGTTTGCCCTCTACCGCCCGGTTTCCGGTCTCCATCACCACGTTGAAGGCATGCTGCTCATCTGGGTGCCGTGCCAGCCACTCAAAGTGGTGTAGCTTGGTGCTGTAAGCCTGCTGGAAGGGGCCGTCGTAGGCGTCATCTGGGGTCTGGTATCCTCTTGTTTCCAAGAATTCGGGCACGTACGCCGTGGCCCGCAAAATCATGTGGCTGGTAGTGGAGATCGAGTTAGTCCGATGTGGTTGGTCAAACCCGCTAGTATTTCTTTGTCCTTCTCGGCAAAAAAAGCAAGGAATGCGCAAGGGCCACGTACAAATTTCTAATTAGCTCACATGGTGGAGCGCCGGTCGCGAATCAAGGCTAAGGGTTGGGGATGGTATTTGTCCACCCCGGTCTCAATGAAGAGGCGATGGGAACTCAGGAACCGCATGATCCGCACTGCAATGTGGAAAGGTCGATTAGGAAATCAATGGGTCCCGGGCTGTTACCTTTACTAATAAGGAGGGGAAGAAATGGAATTCCTCTTACCCAACAAAGTTTTATCGCCCTTAGTTTTCTCGTTCAGCTCATTGACGGTCAGCTCCGCGCCGCCGGCAGCGGCAAACGCATCAAAAACGCCCATTCCAATAGCAGTTCGGATCATAACCAGAGGATGGGCCTACGGCAAGCTCTCCCAAGGAGTAGTGTTAGCACGTATTATTTATGATACCTGTCCAGATAGATTCGGGGGATTATCTTACCGCCCAGCAGATGTTTAGAATCGACTGAATAGGAGGTTCAACAACTCCACGTAGTTTGTCCAATGCATCCAGGAGATGCAAGCGCGCGGAGTCCGGGATCTCATCAGTAGGAGAGAGCTTGGACAACGCTGCGTTGACAGAAGCTGTCAAGTCGGCCACAGTTTCAGCCATTGTGTACATAAACGACGGAGATCGAGAAGGGAGCAGAAACAAGTAATTTTCCTAGATGAATTGTGTTCGTGGAGAATGACCAAAGGGGATAGCCATTTGTTAACCCATTTATACTGTCCCATCACTCTTGTCGGTCCGCATAACGGCCCATTCGTCTCTTTCCATTCTCTTTCGCCATCATAGCTGGCAGAAGGTATGAAACGATAAGCGTAGCTATTCTTGGGTGTATTATCGGCTTTAGCTTTTGCTAACCTTGCCAAGGTACTGCGGTCAGCAGTAATATGTTGCATTAAGGAGTCCAAAGGAGGCGCAGTATTGTTCCCTGTTGCGTAGTCTGGCAATCTCGAGAGTTGGACGAGATGTTCCCATTGCTCTTGCGTGTGTTGGTCATCCGCCAAGCACGCCATCGCCGCGACATCCAGATCGACGAACGCACGGGTCACCCTAGAGAGAGGACGTCCGCATAGATTCCTCGATCAGTAAATTGAGTCGGTTTCTAGGGTAATGCACTGGAGCCGCAGCAGAATTACAAACTGCCCATCTAGATAGTTGTGTAGCACGTACCAAAAGAAATAGAAGGCGGTTGGTTCCTTTTACCCGTTGGGGCATCCAGAAGTCGTTGGCCAGACGCACAACCATTTGGGAGCATGGTTGCTAACTAGTAGTTGCAAAAGCTATCCTCATTCAAGATGTTGATTCACAAGATCCGAAAGGACACCTGCTAGCAGGGCACGGAACATCCCCTGTGACAGCTGGCTGCGTAGAGTAAAATCCTCGGGCGGCTGTTTCCCCACCACTATGAGGTAGAAGAGGGGTGTCCGTGTTGTGGGTGCAGACATGAATTTTCATGTTGATGCAGGCAGCTGAAACAGTCATGTTAAAGGTAGGGACCGTCAAGTGTGACGAAGAACATTGGGCTGGTAAATGATGCGGTAATTGCCGTGGTGCTGGAAGCTAGCTGCGTTTACAAAAGTCCCTCCATCCAGTCACGCAAGAGGTTATATCTGTAAAACGGCTGAATTATAAACTCTATATCCAAAGACTCGAACCACACTCGATCGTTTCGTACCACACCTCTACGTGGTATGACGCGAAACACTCGGCTCCACTCCCTCTGCCCGATCATCATCCGAAGTATCATCCCAGACACTCTGCGGAGAAGGTAAAGGAGGCGACTTCCGGTTACGATCTCGGGAGGCTCCAAAAAGCACCATCTCTTTGAGAAGCCCTTGGTATGGATCCCAGAGCGAGAAGCGCCCACCAATGCCGTCAGACTCTGTCAACTGCCAGCTGCCGGATTCATCACCATGATGTTCACGCAACGCTTCCGCAAGCGTCATGTAACAATCCGCGAAGACTTCGTCATAGGGGTTGCCATCGTCTATCAGAATTGCACGCCTCTTCGGGTCTTCTTCAAAGTGCCAGAAGTAAAATGTTAACAGTTCAGATATAACCAGTAAATACTTTAACTTTAATGTACCAAGTCTCCGTTGTCGGGTCGCACGATCGACGATGAAAAAGCTCCAGAGTTGGTATATTCCTCGCGCAAATCGGTGTCGTTCATTGGCCGATAGAGCTTTAGGTTTTGGGGCCCGCGACATATGAAAGACTGAGATATTTGGGTAAGCAACCGCGCGAAGCTATTGGAGATGATCTATATGCTTACCTTTCAGTGCGGGCATCCATTGTGCGTTGAACTGAGCTATATTCAGCTCCACCACCTTCGCGTTTCTGATAAGTTGAAGAACGTCCTGCAATGCTAGACGATTTGCAGTTACGGAAGGGCCACCTTGATCGGCAAGTAGGGTGCGCGCAAATTTGCGGCATGGGATAGTCCGAGGTCCGACATTCGTGAATATCGAGAAAGCCTGGTTAATCCATAATATTCGATAGAGGCGACAGGTTGCTGCAAAGTATGCCACGTCTGAAAAAGATGGAAGAGAACAGAAAATGGACAGGATTAACTCATTCGGTAGCGAGCTGATGGGTGAAGTGGCTCTCTCCGGCATAGTCAACAGTTGATAAAGAGTAGATGATTGGGTTGTGTGGGAAAGCAAAATGAGTGAGCTATACTTACTCTCGACTCGAGAGAAGTCCAATCCACGACTTGGAGGATTTGAATAGTTGGGGTGGCCACCTCAGCAGATGAAGGTTCACTCGAGACGGAATTAGCAAAGGAGTATGTAGACAAGGTGAAAACATGGCTGCTACGGACAGAGAGAATTCCATGTCATGTCATGATCAACTTGGCGCCAAGTCCAACCATGAAAACAAAAAAACAATATCCACATAACACCATAATTATCTCCAGCGAGGCAAACACCGGGAGCAGCCCTGCTATTGCATACAGCCCTGTTGGTTTCTTTTGTTTCAGCCTTGTCGGGCACAAACATACACAACAGGTTACAGGGATCTAGCTGCGCCGACTGGAGCCGAAAATACATACATGTATTGGCTCAATGTAGCGATTTCTGTTCAAGACCCTATCCATTTGCTATTGACAGGGGTCCCCACCAACGTGCATAAACGAGGCCATCCTGATTTCTGTCTCTTTGTTAGCGAGTCAGATATATGCTCCTAGATTAGATGTTGGGACTTATTCAACTAAGCCATGTATCTACGGCGTAGTGCTGAGGGGGCTGAGTGGAATATCGTTTGATGGAAAATCAAGCTAACCTCGCGTTACTGGATACTTTGGTTTTAACAGAAACTTGGGGCAGGGTTCGTTATGGGGGCGAACATGGGTCTCTAAGTACGCGCTAAGTACGCCCAGCGAACCTGAAACATTGATCACCACTAGACGAGCTCCATGGCTTAGCTAGATGATCTGCGTGGTCAGCGATCAGTGCTCGAGCCTCGGTTAGATCAGCCAGCTTTGGTCAAATGCCAAGAAGACATAAATTTGCATAATTGACACATCAGCTTGCATAATGTCATTTCCTCGTCTGTATTGTCCCCTTGTACAGTACATTACATCCGTGAGGGTCTGTTGACAGACAGAGATGGTGCGTTTGGTACTTACGGCCGTTAGGGCCTGAAGTAATGAACTAACAATAGAGCACATCGTTACCAACCCGTAACTACAACTTAGCCAATTACAAAGACATAGTCATTATTAGGCCATTCGAACCCTCGACATGCCTCAAGGGGCCGAGGGGGGTGTCGCATATTCTATTATGGGCAAGCCCTAGGGTCACTGCAGATAAAATGGTATCAGGCCCGTAAGCTGCATTTCCGGGATCATCCAGGGTGTATAATTAATTTGGACTATTGTTGGCCAGGGAATTAATTCAACACTTCGAACCACGACCATCGTTCGTGAGGGAGAGTTTTACAGATATCCCTGAAAGTGGAGATGTTCTTAGGCAGCTACCCCAGTTCAAAGGCCAGGCTCTCGATATATCATCAAACAGACCACAAGGTATTGTGAAAAGTGGATATTTTTGGGTCTACCCTTTTATTTCGGATATGCAACAATGCCCTCTGAGTTCCCTGTACAGGTTTCACTCTATGCAAAGCCCCCAATGCTGGTTCATCTATTTGTCATGAGCGTACTTGGCCGCGATGAAAGAGATTGGAGGACAGTAGACACAAAATCACGAAGAGTATTGAGGGCGGAAGATCTATATAAAGGTAGGCGTATTGCGAGAGCTGTTTTGAATATCTATAACACAAACTCAACTTCTTGTCACTCTTTTGTACTTCTTTCATATTTTTCTTTTGAACTTTTATTCTTTAATCTGTTTCTTGTTACTCTTTCGTCATGCACCTGTCTCGCCTGGTGCTGAGACAAGTGGCAGTATGCCTGATTTCTCTCTTTTTACTATCTGCGCTTGACCATGCTTCCGCCTTGCCAGGCAGCAAAAAAGGCGGCCTTCTGTCTTCCTCCAAAGGCAAGGCCGACGATTCATCGAAGAGCGGGGGCCATTTACTTGGTGGAATTTTCTCCAGCGACAAAAAGGGACATGGTGACTCTGGCAAACACAATGGCCCCCGAATTGGCAGTTTTCTATCCGATGATAGGAAGACAGAGAAGGAGAAGGAGAGGGGCAACGGTTCCACTTCAAACTCCAGGCCAGGTAGCCGTGGAGGGTCTCGTGGGTCTTCGGGTGGAAAGGGTCGCGACTCGTCTCAAGGTCCATCCCGTGGCTCTTCGAACAAGCATCCAATCTCAGATGGAGAGGGCAGCTCGAACACCCATTCCACTGGCAAGCCCCAGAAAGCAGATGTTGGTGATATTAATCCCAAGGATGATGGCCCGACCCCCGACAAGAAGGCTGGACTTGGTATTGAATTTGAGGCTGGTCAGCTGATATTTTCAAACGATGATTGTGAGCGTCAGTCTACCTTCGATCTGAAAGGCATGGAGATAGAAGGCCGGAATCATCGAACCCAGAAATCTGCTGGAGGGCGTGGGACGAGCCTCAAGAGTAAAGGTGCTCGCACTAGACGTGGCACGCCTCCTCACAGCTGGTCAGGAAGCTCCCAGGGAAGTCGAAACAGCAGTCCTGGAAGAGGTCGCACCGGAAGTTCAAGCGGGAAAGGATCAAGTGGTCTTCATGACTCCCATCCGGGAAACGATTGGAGTTTAACAGTCGACACTACCAACAACATGAAGGGTAAATTAACTGGTGAGTACATTCTCAATGGTAAGACCATCAAGCTAGGCACCGGACGCGCGGGCAAAGCTGCGAAGGAGGTCCACAATGACTTTGTGAGTCACTACATCCCTATTCCACAGGCCATATTCATTAATTTTACATTCAATCAACAGATGGGCTGGAAGTATTCCCCGAATGAAAAAGTGACCATACCCACTGCTAAAGACAAGAAATGCCGCGAATGGAGCGTTGACGGTCCCAAATCTGATTTAACGAAAGGAATGCTCATGTGGCAATACCAGGTCACGGCACCACTGTCATTGGGAGCTGTGAATGAAGTAATCTCTATAGCGAAAAACGGGGGCAAAAACCCACTCTTGCGCGACGGAGATTTTGCCTCAAAGAAAGCGCTTGTTTGGGTGAATGAGGACTTCTTTCAGGCTATTCCAGAGGGTAATAAGCCAAAGGATGTCAGTGCGGATGCAATGGGGTTTCTATCTCTGATTGTCTCCTATGTGAAGGGTGCGCAAAACCGGTTGGAACAGGACCAGAGCCCTAAAACTCAGATCGCCATCATGCCCCGCTCAAACTTCGTGACATTGTACCAAGACGCCAAGGACGGATTCAAGGGTGACCTCTACAAGCTGGTTACGCTCCTTACATGCTATCAGAATGGTGAAGGCAAGGAAGTCCTGTATGATCTCCCCACTTTCCCCGGTACAACAGTTTTGCGACCGATACCTAATGTGCCACGGTTATAGATTTGATAACAGATTCTGTGACGGTGATATGAAGAACCCAAAACCGAGAAAGGACATTGATGAGATGGCGTATATGAAGCTCAAAGGCGTCAATCCCAAGACTAAGAAGCGGGAGGATAGGGAAGTGAAGTTGAGAGAATGGATGGATGGATTGTCCAAAGGCGAGGATCTGCTGTCCTATGCTGACGAAGTCATTGACGGACAAATCGGAGGACTGAAGTCAGCTCGTGAGGAACTTCTCAACTCCAAACGCCTAGTTCCTCTCTTTGAGTTTCGGGACATTGGTGCTGTCTCGAGCAATCGTTTTCAAAAGGTTGTTGATGATATCGAGGACAGCCTTGTGACACTCCATAAGAAGTACAGCAAGTGATGATGACTACTGCGTCATTTTCTGGTGTCACAACGCATCCCGATCTTCCTCTGTCCGCCTGTCGCCTGCTGATCTTCTATCAGCGCATTTGGGGATATCCATTGACAGCAGCTCGCTTTGTTGAATGTTGGTCTTGATTTATCTTTGTATACTGACCTTGTTACTGTCTACTTCTACATTTGGCTACCTGTACAGCACGGGTAGCGTTCTGTATTGGACTGAATTTATTCACCTTGTATAACATTTCGGAATTATGCTTGGGCCATAGATTGGGTGTGTATTCCGGTAGTTCAAGGACCTTCTCACAGATAGCCAGCCCACGAGAATAAATATTCATGCTGACTTTGTGCATAGAGATGCTGAGTCACGGAACGATTTTCGCCCCAGTTGTCCCAATGCGCGTGCATAACTTTTGGCCCCAATCATACCTCTCGACTCGCATAATCATCACTTCCAGAATAGCAAAGCAAAACAAAAGATAGCACAGAGTTCCATGCGTAATGAATGTTGTTACAGGACATAGCGCTCTTTCCCACTCTGCTGAACAATCAAGGGAGATCGTTGTTGCACTCCAGTTCCAGCAGATGAGAATGACTCAGAGCCAATGGCGTGATTTTGACATAACCGGGCTTTTAATGCTCACTGACTAAAGCTAAGTCTATCCTGTCAGCTAATAAGATTGTCATAAGCTTTGCCGATGTTGAGCTGATCGCAGTGCATGAGGCGGGCACCCTTTTTGGCCCCAGGACCCAATTTGATAAACCTGGCCTTAAAACACGAGGAGTTTAAATATCGAGCCTTGCCCGTCAGTGAAATTAAAACGAGTAATCCTTCAAGTATCACCGACTAAGAGAAATAACCAAAATGTCTTCTGAACATAAAGCTCTTCTTCTTGGCGCGGGATTCGTCTGTCCCCCGGCTGTACAAGCTCTATCTGAGGCCGGCGTCCACGTCACAGTTGCTTCCCGCACCCTCTCTGCCGCCGAGGCAGTCACCGACGGACGCAGTAACACATCGGCCATATCGCTGGATATTACCGACAGCGATGCGTTGGATTCAGCTGTCGCCGACGCTGACATCGTGATTTCTCTCGTCCCATACACACTCCATGCAGCGGTTGTCAAGTCCGCAATCGAGCATACCAAACCGGTCGTCACAACGAGCTACATCTCCCCAGCTCTGTGGGAGCTCAATGAGAAAGCCAAAGAGGCCGGTATCACTGTCCTGAATGAAATCGGCCTCGACCCGGGTATCGACCACCTCTATGCCGTGAAAACAATCGACGAGGTCCACCGCGCGGGCGGAAAGATCACCTCGTTTACGAGCTACTGTGGCGCGTTGCCGGCGCCTAATGATGCGAATAACCCGCTGGGTTACAAGTTCTCGTGGAGTCCGCGTGGAGGTCTACTTGCGCTTTTGAATTCGGCGCAATGGTATGAGAATGGCAAGATTGTGGAAGTCAATGGCGAGGATCTCATGGCTAGCGCTAAACCCCACGATCACTTTTCTCAATTTGATCTGGTCGGGTATCCAAATCGCGACTCGGTTGGGTTTAAGCAGTTTTACGACATTCCTGTGGCCGAGACTGTGTTTCGTGGGACATTGAGATATAAGGGATTCCCGGAGATCATCCGAACATTAGTCGCGATCGGATATTTTTCGCAGGAGAAATTGGCTGCTCTAGATGGAGAAAAGGACGGCTCGTTGACCTGGGCGCAGCTTACGGCAGAACTGCTTGGCTTGTCGTCAGATGCGAGTCAAGGTGATCTTGAGGCGGCTGCGTTAGAAAAGGCACCCTTCCTATCCGACGAAGAACGAGAACGCGTTGTTTCCGGGCTGAGATGGATTGGACTGTTCAGTGGGGACCAGGTTGAGGCGCATGGCTCCCCAATCGATACACTCTGTGCCGTGCTTGAAAAGAAGATGGCATATGGTCCTGGTGAGCGGGATATGATCGCTCTGCAGCACCGATTCGAGATCTTACGCGCAGACGGGGCTAGGGAGACGCGGTCAAGCACCCTTATTGAATATGGCGAACCGATCGGACCTGGCTCACGAAGTGCGATGGCTAAGCTGGTCGGATTGCCCTGTGCAGTTGGCACTTTGGCTGTACTTCGGGGACAGATCAAGGAAAAGGGCATGATCGCTCCCTGGACGAGCGCTCAAATTGCGACTCTACTGAGAGATGAGCTCAAGAAGAAGTACAAGATTCAGCTCAACGAGCGCTTCGCTATCGAGTTAGAGGAGCAAGTATTCTAAACGACATAGCCATAGATCACCACATATTTCTATGGAATTCGAAATTCCCCCCTATCACTTAAGCGTTCTTCTGCTACTAGGCCTGTAGAAGAGACTAGTGCGCTGCAATTTCTATGCTAATGCATCCATAAGCGTGATGACGTGCTGCCCCATCGCTATGGTCTCACAAGCACCGATTGGCGCCTCGGCTTTCAACCATCGAATGCGGGGAAGCAATATTAATCCGACTCACATCACGAAAAAAGCACTTCTTGAGAAAGGACCATGGCAACAGAGGTGAGGATTCGCAAGCGTATCCCTAAGTCTTGCAGGCGATGTCATAGACGCAAGCAGAAGTGTGTTGGCTTCCCGATATGCACAGGCTGTGAAGCTGCAGATCAGCAATGCCTTCGGTCGGAAACAACTCTGTCATGGCACCATGCGATGTCTAAGGATGCACTTGTCCAGCGGATCGAGCTGCTCGAGTCTAAACTGGCTGAAGCTGCTGGTCCATCATCCGATATCTATGATGCCACCAAGCTCACTGGGAGGCCATCCCCTGCCCTGTCCATGGACGAGAATAGAAGCGACACTTTGCCTCTTGTCAGCCTTGTGGACTCCAAATCGACATACCTGGGACCATCATCAGGTAGGACTATTGCCAACAGCCTAGGACGCATAGTGCAAGACGCAACTTGGACAAATTCTATCCCCGTCGAGACAACTCATCCACTCGACAGTCCATCTAGTCCTGCGGATGAAGTTGAGGCAGCACTTCCAGACGATGAACTAGGGAGTCGTATCCTTGAAGCGTATTTCCAGAACACGCATGTGCGTTTGCCTTTCGTGGATCGCTCCAAAATTCTCGAACTTCATGCCACACGAAATCTATCAAATTTCACAACTCCTGAGAGCGAGTTTGATCGCTTTAAACTATTCATGGTCTATGCCATCGGGACTGCCAATCTACAGATGACCGGGTCATATACCGGGATTCAACCAATTGCATTCTTTGGAAAAGCACTTCGATTCGATTCCTCAATCCGCAAATCCTTGTCTTTGGCCGGAGCAGAGGCAATGACCCTCCTTGTCCTCTTCAACTTACGGTCGTCAAACGCTTCCAAAGTATGGTACATGATAGGATCAGCTATGCGGATATGTATCGATTACGGTCTCCATCGAGAAGCCCATTATGCGAAACAAGGACCGTTCGAAGCACAGCTGCATCGTCGGCTTTTCTGGAGTATTTACATTCTCGAGAGATACTCTTCATGGTCTTTGGGGAGGCCATTTAGCATTGCAGAGGAGGAAATCGACGCCGATTTACCAGCCGATCTTGATGACTCCATTACCGATGACGATGTGATTGAACGTCTTCTGTTGAGCCCTAGTGACCCGTCTGATCAAGCACCCGGTCCAAATTTAAGACGGTTTATCTCATGCGTCAGACTTCAGCGGATCATGTCTCGCATCCATTTTCGCGTCTATCGAGTAGATGTGGCCCCGAGTACACTGGTGCCGGAGATATCTCCGCTTCTTGCTTCTTTGGAGGCGTACAAAGAGTCTTTGCCAAGTATGGCACCCGATGAAACAGATTTTGTCAACATGCACTGGAATAACTCCGTGCGAATGCTGTTGCAGCCCTTCCTCAATATCCTACCGCCTCACGATAACCTTATCGCGAGTTGTCTTCACGCATCGGGCCAGATGTGCCAGTTGTTCAAAAACCTTCGACAACGGGATCCATCAGGTTACTCTTTTCTTCTGGTCAATGGGATCTTCATGGCTGGACTCACTATGTGGTAAGTAGCAGTATCATGGGTTCTCGCGTACAAAGCTCACGGAACATAAAATAGTTTCTGTCTCTTCCGATCACCGACCCTACTAACGGGTAGTGTATCAAATGACTTGCGCGCTGCATCATCTGCCCTGTTTGTCATGGCAGAACGAGATTCGAATCTCAAGAAATATCGAGATGCGTTAGAGGCATTGATAACGAGGACGATGCACTTCGTCAATGGCTCGGACAGCACGAATAACTTGGACAGCCAAACCAGTTCAAATATGGATAACCATACGCCTGAATTTGGGCATACCTCCGATAACTCACTAGGACCTTTTCCATTCAAAGAGCAGGATTACACATCTAGTCACATACGAGGGTACCAAGGACCCGGATACGGCCTAGCTGCAAACATCGGCTATCCTCTCCATGACATTCTCACGGACGAGTTCTGGACGGGCGATCCATTCATGGCCATGAACATGGCTGATCGACTCAATTTCGGCATCTGAGCCTTCAAGATGGGGAGTTTATCGTATATAAGAAAGCCAATTACAAATGACATGCCGCCAACGTATCCACAATCCCTAGATCCTCCCGCCTCGACTTGCTTAACGGGTCAAAAAACGGCACCTCTCCAACGCCAACAGCACGATTTCCACTCCGTGCACCAAACCCGTCATGATCCCCAGTAGCCGTATGGAACACACTTCGGTTATCCCAGATAGCTACACAGAGTTAGCATGATTCCGACCCATTCAAGCTGAAAGACTTACCAATATCATTTGGATCATTCCATTTGAATCTGACTTGCAGATCGTGTCCATAGGTAATCAGGTCCTGAAACCACTGCAACATGTTTGCACTCTCTTTGCGGTTCACCTCGTTAATACGCACTGGAAATGAACCTACGCCGGAACCTCATGCATCAGTATCACACCCATTGTATTACATAGGCCCGCAGATAACTCAAGACCTACCGATCGGGAAAATCGACCTCCACCCGGTAATCGGATTCGTCCTCACCACCGGATGCGTCGCCCCCAGTTCCCCGCCTACATTAACGGGCGCTCCTCTCGGGCCCAAAAACAAATTGAACTTCTCCGACTTTGCCATAGCCCTAAACCCCGCGCCTATGTGATCGGCACTCAATCCCTCCAGAAACCGCTGATACGGCTTGCTAATCCGATCATAGACCTCATAGCCGCTCGCCCAGAGAGTATCTCCACCAGTCACCGGAAGTTGAGTCAGTCGAAGCGAGGAAAAGTCAGCCGGCGCATGCTCGAATGAGATATCGCTGTGCCAGACAGCCGCTTGAGTGGTGTACACGGAGCCCTTGTAGAGCTTCTTCCGGCCCTCGGAGCTGATCGTGCTGATTTGGGGGTCTGGGTCGCCGAATTCGCGCGCGTCGTTGGTCACTGGATGAATGTGGAGGCCATGGGAGGCGGGACGGCCCGTCAGTTCGCCCATGCGGAGGATGAGGTCTTTTTGGAGGTCGTTGGTCAGGTTGTCTTGGGCTCGGAAGAAGACGACTCCCCGTTCGGCCACTGCTTTTGTTAGAATAGCTTCCTTTGGGATGCACGGGTGATATTGGGGTGGGTTGTGTGTACCTAGAATGGCGAGGTCTTTGATCTTTCGGTCCGCGTCGTCAGCGTGGAGGATATCGTCGACGATGTTGCATGTGTTCTTTGGGAACTCAGTACCTATGACTGGAGTAACGAGGACTGGATTGTATGAGTCCAAAGAGCCGGAGGAATACTGGCGTTGGACTTGAGGCGTGGCACTCGTCATGGTGTGTTCGGACGAAGGCATAGTTGCGGTGTTGTTTCAGATACAAGTCACTCTGTCAAATATATCCATCTCTTTGCGTCACCCTTGGCAGTTTCTCATTTATATCTGTTCAGACCTAGATGGACTAAAATCGCTTACGAAGCCTGGATCAGGCGCGTCGGCTTTCGGCGTTTAGCGCACATGCCACCGTACGCCTGCGATTTCCTTCCAACACCTTTTTTGTCCTTTGGAATTAATCAAAAACCCAAATCAGAACGTCGCTCTACTTAGATCATAACGTGATTTTGTAAAATATTGCACATCGTCCTAGATATCGGACCCTTTCGGCGATAGGAAGCATTTCTTGGCACCCGTCTTCACTAACGCCGAAACCCGACGGCAATCGGGTTCTTCTCCGCATTTCATTTCAAGGGGATCAGGTATGGGTGATCGTTGATCTCTACCATTGTCGAATAAAGGCAAAGCAATTGCCAAGTTCCAGGAATTGTGCAATCGGCTTGACAGATCGCGTCGTGACAGGATAATGGAGAAGATATATTTTCTGGATCTTCCCGTAGCCGAGATGGTCCCTTTTCTGCATAGTGGTGGGGATACTCAATATGTCTGCTACAAGTGAAAACACAAGGTCTCCGGTCAATTCGACCCAGAAGATACCCAATGTGAATATCGATGAGGATCCAGAGTTTACGCCGCAAGAACAGCGAAAGATCATCCACCGAGTGGATCGCCGACTCATCGTTATACTTGGGGTCTTGCACACGGTCTCTTTGATTGACCGAGGTAACATCGGCGGAGCAGCAGTAGCTGGTATGAATGAGGAATTAAAGCTGGTTGGCACTCAATATGTACGACATTATATTACACGTCTCTACTCCATGATAGCTAACTATGGCAGAGTACCATCGCGGTGTCTTTTTTCCCGCCCTATATATGTCTACAGGTGCTGGGGCCGTTGCTCGTGCGGAAATTGGGTCCTATTCCATACTTATCTGGGATATGTTTTATTTGGGGTGCTGTGATGGTAACCCCCCCCTCCCCCCCCCTCTTTTCTTTTGAGCAAAACGCTGTCCTAGAAAGCTAATGTTGCTTAGCTATGCGCGGGGTTTGTGACGCATTGGTCTCAAATGGTTGGGATCCGGATTATAATCGGTGCATTGGAGGCAGGATTCTTCCCAGCGACGTTATACCTTATCTCGACCTGGTATACCCGATTTGACATCCACAAACGATTCGCTATATTCTACCTCTTGGGATGTGTCGCAGCAGCTTTTACCGGATTGTTATCGTTCGGCATTACGCATATGGTAGGACTATCCGTGTCCGCCTCATACGCTCCCCACATGAAACTAACCAGAGCAGCGTGGTCTAGGAGGCCTCTCCGCCTGGCGTTGGATCTTCGTCATCCAAGGTCTCCTCACCTGCGTTCTAGCCGCGATTAGCTACTTCGTCCTTGTCGACTTCCCCGACCGCATGGCAGAGAGCAAACGCAAATTCATGAAGAAGAATGAGTACGCCTTGATCCTTCGTCGGATCGAGAAAGACCGCGCAGACGTCACCGTCGAACCATTCAACTTAAGAAAATATTTGACCGCTGGCTTGGACCTGAATATATTGGGTTTCGGGCTGATTTACTTTTCGACTACCACGACAGCATACGCTATCACGTTTTTCCTGCCTCTCATATATCGCGAGGGAATGGGGTTCTCGCAGGGGGCATCGCTATGCTTGTTTGCCCCGCCGTATGCAGCGGCGGGGATTCTGATGTATGCGACTTCATGGATAGGGGATAAATATCGCATTCGCGGGCCGATTATTATTTTCAATGGGCTGTTGACCTTGGCCGGTCTTCCGTTGATGGTAAGTAATGTCGCCTTCATCCGTCTATCTACTATTTCTAAAGAGACACGACTAGGGGTTCGCGAAAAGCAACGCTGCCCGGCTGGTAGGCTGTTTTCTCATCACTATGGGCGCTAACTCCAACGTCCCAGCTGCCATGGCATACCAGGTACGTCCTTTCATATCTCCGCCTCATTCCTCCAGTGGCGCCTAAAACAGGATTAGGCAAATAACGTCCGCGGGCAATGGAAACGAGCCATCTGCAGCGCCGTCTTCGTCGGCCTGGGTGCGTCCGGCGGCATGACGGGATCACTTGTCTATCGGTCCCAAGACGCGCCAGATTACCACCCCGGGATCCTGACCTGTGTCGGACTAACTGCTATGAGTATCGTGCTGGTGATTCTTCTAACTATTCGTCTTCATTGGTGTAATCGGAAGGTTGATCGGGGAGAATTGGTGATTGGGGGTTTGCCGGGGTTCAAGTATACGTTGTAATTGGGCCACACAAGTGTCATAATGTAGAGGCAAATATGGCCAGTAGGGTGGGTATGGATGGAGAGGATATGCTTGGGATAAAAAGAATGTATTAGGTTTCTACAGTCGAGACTGAAATAATATATCCGTAAAATGGAGGCCGTCCTCATACGATTGTCTCGGAATCTTCTTCAGAAGCCAGTAGCCGAGGAGTCAATTGACAAATTTGCTTTCGACCGATTCCGGAACAAATAGTAAAGACTCGAGCGGGGTAAATGGCGTCAGCTTTTTATCGTGGAGCCCGCGTGTTCACTAACCGAAGGACATAAAAGCAGCCGATTTCCCCTGGTAGCTACATTCGACATTACCAAGCGCTACCCTTCACCATGGCCCCGCAAGAGCATCAGCCTGACTTTGCAGACAAAGCCGACTTCGAGAATGCTTCTCGTGGCTTTCTTGGATCTCTCGAGCCATGTATTATCCGCTCTGCTGATGGACGCGTGGTATGGAACAACGACGAGTACAGTTTCGTGCACAATACGGAATGTCCGGGGACGGCCAACCCCAAGCTCTGGCGCCAAGCTCAGTTAGCCTCTCAGCAGGGGCTATTCGAAGTCACCACAAGCATCTATCAGGTCCGTGGGTTTGATCTTGCCAACATGACGATAGTCGAGGGAGACACCGGTATCATTGTCATCGATCCTCTCACTTCCTCCGAATGCTCCGCTGCAGCGCTGGCTTTGTACCATAAGCATCGAGGCGACCGGAAAGTGACAGACCTGATATACTCGCACTCTCACATCGATCATTTTGGGGGCGCGAAAGGCGTTCTTCCAGACACTGGCAATGTACCGATTCTAGCACCGGAGGGATTCATGGAAGAAGCGACCAGTGAGAACACACTACTTGGTCCGGCTATGCGTCGCCGTGCCATGTATATGTATGGAAGCGGGTTATCTAAGGCTCCCGATGGCCAGCTGGGCTGTGGTATCGGTATGGCGGTCTCCAGTGGGACAAATAGCTTGGTTCCGCCAAACGAGACCATCTACCAAACTGGTGAAGAGAGAGCCGTGGATGGAGTGCGGATTCAGTTTCAGATGGTCCCTGGGACCGAGGCTCCGTCTGAAATGAACTTTTACTTCCCCGATCATCGCGCCCTGTACATCGCTGAATGCGCGACTCATTGTTTACACAACATCATCACCTTGCGAGGAGCATTAGTCCGGGACGCGAAAGCGTGGGCTCACTATCTTGATGAGTCCTTGGTGCTGTACGGAGACACATCAGACGTGTTATTTGCTGGACATAACTGGCCGACCTGGAGACAGGAGAATATCACGACGATGATTTCAGAGCAACGGGATCTGTATGGCTATCTGCACGATCAGACAGTCCGGATGATGAATACAGGGATGATAGGGAGCGAAATTGCAGAGACATTGACTTTACCACCGGCGTTGCAGAAGGCGTGGCACACACAAGGGTTCTACGGCTCGGTCAGCCATAACGTCAAGGGTATCTATCAGCGCTATATGGGTTGGTTTGATGGCAACCCCGCTCATCTATGGGAACATCCACCTGTCGAGAACGCTAGGAGGTATGTGGATTGCATGGGAGGGATCGATGAAGTTGTTCGCAAGGCGGAGAAATATGCACAAGATGGGGATTTGAGATTCGCGGCAACATTGCTCGGTCATGCAGTTGCACTTGATTCCGGGCATGAAGATTCCAGAAAATTGCTAGCGAGTGTGTTTGAAGGACTGGGATTCGGAGCTGAGAACACTACCTGGAGAAACTCTTATCTATCCGGCGCACATGATCTCCGCAGTGGCCAGAAAGGCCGGGCGGCACCTCGAGCAGTGCAAGGTTTCTCACCAATGCAGTCGGTAGAGCAGTGGTTGTCTGTTCTGTCTGTACGCCTAGATGGATTGAAAGCTGCCGAGGAGTCGTTCACGATTGATATTTCACTGAAGGATCTCGAGCAAACCTGGCGAATGATCATCAGTAATGGCGTTCTTACCTACAGACAACAGCCTCGTCAGTCGGTGTTGGTGAATGCGTTGCAATCTGGTTTGATCATCAGACTCGACAAAAGTCAGCTGAACAATATCCTCAATGGGGCCTCGGAGAAAGGGAAGATCGAACAGGAAGGGGATTACTCGCTGCTGGAAAGGTTCCTGTCATTGACAGGTGTGAAAAAGGATGTAGTCGGTGCCAAAAGCCATATATAGTTCGTTTGATATCCTATTAATTCAGTTTTTCTTTACAGTGTCTATCGGTAAGATGCTTTCCAGGAACTAATAGAAACACTGCCTCCCGTTCTTCAGAATTGAGCCTTGTCAGAACCAATCTGCCTATATTCCTAGGTATCTGTACATGTCAAACAGATAATAAGCAGACATCTGAACATACCGTGGAATCAGGCTGAAGATACCGCCAAGCAGTCGGTAACCCCTTCAAATTAGTGCCAAATGAGTGCAAGGGAAGTCGGGGTTCTAATTAGGAAAAAGCCTTGCAGAAGCTGCAAAAGTGAGTCATTCTTTCCTACACAAGAATGTTTGACCAGGTGTGGTTGAAACAAGTCCGCCTCATGGCGGGTAGAAAATTGAGAACATATTCCAGGGCATGTAGAGGGGAAGGGCTATGGTTACTGGAGAAAGCTTGTAGAGACGGAGCAGGCCCGGGAGGATTCAGTGGGGCTCTCTAAGCCACATCCTGTCCACTCCTGCGAGGTAGCGCTTAGCAAACTGTCGGAAAGGATTATATATAAGACTATTAAGGTGAAGGATTGATCGATAGTATGGTTTCTGGGGTGCCTGTAAGATTAGGCAGCATCTTTCTTCAACTATTTAATCCCCAACGCAGCGCCTCATTCCACATCTCATTCAACATACTTCAAACTCACTCTATTCTACCACATCGCTCAAAGCACAATGGACCCTGCTATAGAGCACACGCGGAAAGATGAACTGTCGGACATCGAAAGAGTGGCAACGCCTATGATGACTAAAGCCTTCATCTTCTATGAGACACTGCCAACCACCGATCTGGACAAAGTCATCGCGTCATTCAGAGAAGGCCTGAAGAACGCAACTCGTCAGGCTCCATTCGTGGCTGGAGATATCGAGCATGACACCACGGGCAAACCATGTATCATGACATATCCTGGAGAGAGAACAGAACTATTCCTCGTCCGTCGCTTCTCCACCGCGGAACATAAATCGTTCTCAACGCTCGCTAGTGGCGCATTCAGCCCTTCAGACTTTGACCCCGACCAACTGCTGCCTAATTTGCCATTAGTTGGAGCAAAGCCGGTGTGTGCGATTCAATTGAATATCATCGAGGGCGGTCTGATCTTGGGATATTCGTTAAACCACGTCGCTGGCGACTGGACATCCATGGATACGTTGTTGTCATTGATTTGCCAAGGTAGCAAGGCACACCAAGAGGGACGGGAGATGCCCACATATACTCCAGATCTCAATAGAGGCCCGTACAATGCTCAATTTTCGATCAAGAAGGATAACTTGCCCGAAGAACTAGGCATGTACTACGTGAAGGAGAAGGCGAAGGTCCCATTCATTCCCCAGCCACCACCGCCCTTTCAAACGAGCATCTACAGAACCACGGACGCGTTACTTCAGCAATTAAAACAGAGATGCACCCCCATGGATGGATTGGAGTATGTTTCATCCTATGACTGTCTATCCGCTCTTCTTTGGACGTCAATCACTCGCGCCCGGCTTCAGCTGCAACCTGAGAAAAGTACAACACCATCAACCTGCCTTCACCCCGTTGGCCTCCGCTCTCGAGACCCTGAAAAGAAAACATCGGAATTGTACTTCGGAAACTCTGTCTTTCCGGCTCGGGTGGGTCCGACAGATAGCCAGGCTTTGATTTCGGAGAATGGCCTCGCGTTCGCCGCCTCCTCAATCCGCAAATGTATTCAGCAGGTGAATATCGACTGGGCCGGAAGTTTGGCATCATTGGTGGCATCCCTCGGTCCGAACGAAGGATTGGGCTATCACATTGACTTTCACGATATGGATGTTATGATCAACAGTTGGTATTCTGGGACTGCTGAAAAATACGACATTGGAACTGGGTCATTGCCAGCTGCTTTTCGCACCGCTCGGCCCATCACGGGGGGTTGCGCTTTGGTTCTGCCTAACTTCAGCAAGGGAGATACGAGAGAGTATGAGATCTTCGTTCAGTTGGAGTCGCAGCAACATGAGTTGTTACGTCAGGATGCGGAATTTGCGAAATATTTTGAGCTTCTAGCATGATTCAGGCGGAACCACAAGGACGGCTCATTTAATTGCTGCCTGGTGTTAGTTTATTTAGTCACCACACGTTTTGAGATAATACAGGAATGAACTTAAACCTAATTCAAACAAGTCAAATTGGCGAAATCGTTCCATTCATAGGATGGGGGCCAAATTTTCGCGCTCTAGTAGCAATTGAGTGATACCAGATTCGGGATGGATCCATCATTTCAATGGTATAATAACTGTAATCACAGTCAAATCCTTTTCTGAGCGACTTGGACCTAGGGAATCGTATTTTAGATGTCGTATCCAATGGATCTTGTTCTAATAAGATCCAGTGCTACCAATGTGCCAAGATGCTTTCTTGTATTATGGTTCCGCAGCAGATGTATGAAGCTTTATATATCAAATTTGAAATTGGATGGTGACGCCTCTCCACTTCTTGTCAACTATACTGTATTGACCTTTTGAATCACTGAAATGTCACGATTGCATCCAAGAGCAGTAAACCTACACCACTGAGCCCCTATGACATCATTCCCTTCCCTAGTTGGCCCGACTAAAAATCCGAACCAAATCCGATCGTCTCCTTCTCGAGCCAAAAATCAACAAACCCAAACACAAAGGTACACTAAATCACTATCCTTATCCTCTGCTTTATTAACAACTGAAAAGCTTTTCAGTACACTCCACAATGTCCGAAGTGAACTATACCTGTCCAGTCCCTTTCTTCATGCGGATGCTCATCCTCACAACCGCGACCGTGGCAGCGATCATCTCCTGGCTTTTCTTAGGGTTCAACGCGGCCCCAACGCGGACTCTTTGCTTCATTTTTTACACCCTCCAAATCACTTGGTTTGTGATTGATCCTGAATTTTGCTACATTTGGTTCTCGCGAACGCAGCCGGATGGGACCAAGGTGAAGGTGAAGCGCCCGGTCATCGGGTTTAAGCGTTGCGAGACGGTCAGGGGGTTGGTGGACGATGAGGATGATGGGTATCGACATGAGAGGGCTTTTTTGAGGATATGATTTATTTTGTGAATGCTTGAATAATTTTTTCGGTCGTCTTATGTTTGAGCTTGGGGTTTTTTTTTTTTTTTTTTTTTTTTTTTTTTTGTATTTTGGAGTTGCAGGTTGAGGAAGCCGGCTTTTGTTTTGTCCTTCGTGATATATAAAATACCACCAAATGGACAAGGTTTTATGCGAATGTCTCGAAAATGTCGTTGTCTTCCATAAGAGGTTATTACTGATTGAGACCTAGACGATTCAAGGTGTATGACACTTGTTTATTTTAGTCAATCAAGGTTGCCTTGAACTGAGGTCCATTCTTCCATTCCTATGCGGCAGGCATGGAATAGCCAAGCCATGATAATCAAAAGGGGCGGAGGTCCTGCCGCCGTGCCGCCGACACAGCCCACGGCAAGCCTATCATGGCGAGGCCACCCCTGGGGAACGGTGGAGCTGCACATGCAGGTCCTGCACAACCGCTTGCATGCTCGGCCAATTGTGACTGCGGCGCAGGCGGTCGTCCAAAGATGATCAAGTTTCCCGCATGCATTACCGACAGTTCGATCGTTTACCATGATGGGTTGATATTCCTCGTTTCTCATTTCAGGAGAATTCAAATTATAGTTACTATTTGAAGGTTGGTGGATATCACAAAGTGTAATGCCATTCAGTTGGTCCATAATTAACATGTATAGCTGAAACACATCCTGGTTCGTGGACAGGCATTGAGCGCATAAACAGGGTATCTCTTATTTAACCTGTAATGCCTGACTTCAATAACATATAGTGATTATCCGTTCTATCTTTACCGCCCACATAGGTCCACATATACTTAGTTACCGCCGCTCTGTACCCCCCGGCACTCCAAGCATGCCTTCATCCCAGCAAGTCCCTGTAGTTATGGGCCTACGAGTTCGGCGCTTCAGATGAACCAGGGTGTATCGGTCAGCCTTGATCGTACTTTGTCATATGCAGCGTTCAGGTATGAGCAGGCCGCTGGAATAAATTTCAGCGCTACGCCGCTCAAGGTGTGAGCATCATCATCATCTCTAATTCAGCATGTGTCCGACAAAGATGGACATCGCGACGTTCGAAATGCCAAAGCTGCCGGCTGTTATGACCCAACACAATAAACCCAGAAGATTTATACACGTCATACAAGCAGTGCTGGGGCTGCTATGCCTGTACAGCTTGCTCGTCACTCATGGTACATACATTGGTATGTGCTCTTGTCCGACTGTGGAAGAAACATGCTGATAAAATCCGCCTAGCCAACCTGAGTGCCCCAACTATTCATCATCGGCCGTCAGCGGTTGGGAAGATTACAATGCTATATGATGATAGCCCTTTCCTCGAACGAGCGCTAGACACACACAGAGACCATAGTCACCGACAAGGCTATCCGCTATCTGTCCGACGTAATTCAGTTCTTGGTGGTGGATGGAACAAATACGCCATGCTTCTGTCCGCTATAGTCCAGGAGCTGGAAAAACCCCTGAATCAACGGGTGAAGTGGCTGTTGTAAGCTGCGGACCCTAAATCCGAGCACTCCATGTACACATTTCGCTGACTTTCATGAAACAACAGCTGGTTCGACAGCAACGCAATCCTCATGAATCCGAACATGCAGCTCGAGACTTTCCTCCCTCCATCAGAGTTCTCACACGTTCACCTTCTTCTCACCAAGGACTGGAACGGGATAAAAAACCATGTGTTCTTTCTCCGCGTTCATCCATGGTCCATCAAATTACTCTCCGCCGCGATCGCATACCCAGCAACACATGACACTGTGTCATCTGACCTGTCAGCCCTAAACAGCGCCGTACAAAAAAACGATTATTTCTCTCGATCGGTCGTCTACTGCCCACCACGATGGTTCAATGCTTACGCCCGCACCTCAAATGACGAAGGTTGGAGAGCAGGCTCATCCCCACATTTCCAAATTCACCCTGGCGATCTGCTCGTTAATTTCCCGAGGACGCCATATCAGCACTTGAACGAGAGCATGTTACCATATCTAGCTTTGGCGGAGAGGCACGAGAAAAGGTGGGAACCAAATGTGGAGGAAACGGGTTATGTGGAGGAGGTAGCGCGATTTTGGAAAAGTATCCACGGGTCTCCTGCTGATTAGTATTGAGTTGTTTGTGCGTGGGTTTTCTTGTATTTGGAAATTTTGTGCCGCTGTCATATATTGAATTTGTCTGATGCGGGCCATCTCTCATGTTTCTTTGTCTGATTTTGTTGTGTTCTTGGCAAAATATATCCCTTGTTTGGGTCGGTAAGGATTCTCAAATTAGACTAAGCCATAGTGCTATTCTTGGATCTTTAATTAAATGGTGCAAGGCTATGATTATTGTATAACACCAGCGCTCGTCAGCCTAAGAAGCGAGAAGAAAGAAAACCCACACGGCAAATCGCTCCAAATGCTACGGTGTCTCTCAATTGAGGGGAAGCAGACCAACTGCCAAGGAAATGCTGCATTCTTGACAGGGGTTCGGTGGAGATAACACCTGCGCCGCAATTTTGTGGACATGACTCGAGCCAATCAGCGTGATATTTGGAAATAGGCGCTTTCAAGGGGGTGACTCCTGTATTCTGAGCCGGAACAGTTTATCCTCTTGTCTTAATTCGGATTTCGAGACAGGAGTTGTGAGCGAAGGCGCAGGATGTCAGATATTAGAGATTGTTGACAATTCATGGAAGCCTCGGCCGCTCGATTCTATTTCCGACTCAAGTAAGCACGGATACATGTGCGTAGATTGTCTGCTGGCTGAAACAGAATTGTGCGACGGCTGCTGAAGTATGTCATCAAATCATAACGATAGCCTCCTAACATATCCCTATATAAACAGTCCCCGTCCCCGTGGACTCCCCGCCGGCATCTCAAACACAGTCTGCTGATAATTCGGAGGCAGCTCGGTCGGCGGCATCACCCTCACAGGAGCGAAGTTTTGTTCATAAGTCTGTGCCTGCACAATCTTCGACTCCCGTAATCTCTTCTCGTACATTCGCCGCTGGAACCAAAGCGCGCCCGCCATCGCCAAGATACAAGCGCCCAGCCCCGCGCCCACACCTGCCCCAACGATAGTGGTTTTTTCGTTGTCCTCCTCGCTCTGCACGCCGGAAGCCATGACTTTGCTCGTCACAGTGGAAAACACCGTCGCAGTCGATGTCGTCACCTTTCCGGATACCGTGGTAGGCGCTTCATCCGACGGAAGCATCAACGTGCCCATATCCATTTCGAAGGCATTGCCGCAGCAATCGGAACCGCTGGGACTACAACACCAATGTTTATTGCTTATGTTTGTGCACGGAAGGATGTGGATTCCGAATGTTGTGCGCATGTCTACAATACCACTGTCAGCAAACACCTCATCTTATTTTCTCGAAATTTAATCGCAGAATGGACTTACCCTCAGGGCAAATCTTCGGACAATCCGAGCTCTTCCATGTCTGATCGGTACATGTATTCTGTAGAATCAAGCCCGTATAGGGCTGCACCTGCGCAAGACACAACCCATTCGACAAGCAGACATCATTGGCTTCGTCGCTTTTTTTGTTTGTCGAGCAGCAAGCACTGTTTTCTCGAGACGGGAAACATGGTTCCATCTCGTCCAGAGCTACGCTGCTATCGCGCCAGAAACATTTCGTTGCGAGAATTGTGGGAAGGATTATGATTTGGGCAGTGAACCACACGAGGGCGCTTTCTTGTACTTTCCCTGAGATAAGCATCTTGACGAAGATGTCGAGTTAAGTGACTAAAATTGGAAACTAATGTCTGGCTTCAGAAAGAGACAACGAAGATAGAGGGGCAAGGTGACACAAGCAAACGCCAGGATGCAGCTGACATGAATAGATACTTATGATAAAATGATTATCGAGGAGCTGCAGGAGGGGGCGGGATATTAACCGCCGACCCTGTTCATAATGGTGGTTGAAACCGGTTCATGGGTGTTGGCGCCTACAGGACATTTCTCATTTGTGTAGATATTTGGGTTGGCCCGTGTTGACGTGATCCCTGCAGCTTCCCTGCATTTTAGGCGCTCAGCCCCGATTTTGTCAGCTTTAATCCGGAAAAGACCTGCTGGTGCGGGAAGCTCTCCTCTTTCTGTACGCGAGTAAGCAAAGACGTGAGAGGAGATCCCGAAAGGGGAGGTTCTATTTGATATTTGGATATAGATATCTTACAACCGACCTCGGTAGTGTGTGTTCTTTTTTCGCGATAGGGCTTCTGCAATTTCTTTCGTCGACAAATAATGTTTGATCTGCCGCCTATCAAACTGTCTATTGAATTGTGTTATGTGCTTCCTGTGTCTGACATGCGGGCGCAGCGGGTGGGGATAAAACACCACAGGATTCTCGAATCATGCAAGAACTTCACTTTCCACGGCCCCGATCGCCTCTCGCAGGACCCGACAGACTGTTTTCAACTGCTCCTCCGTTATGATAAATGGCGGCGCCAACAATACATGATCACCTCGGAATCCATCAACAGAACCAGCACCTGGATAGATAGCCACGCCCTTCTCGAACGCAGCCTGCTGAACACGCAGGCCGAATTTAAGAGCCAGATCGAAAGTCTCCTTGGATTCTTTATCGCGAACAAACTCAACAGCCCAGAATAGACCCCGGCCACGAATATCACCAACCGATCGGCAATCCTTAAGCTCGCTACGGAGCAGCTCTTCCAGGACGCGACCCATGTCCGCACATCGCGACACAAGACCTTCCCGGCGAACGATCTTCTGCACTGCTAACGCCGCAGCGCAAGATGTGGGATGTGCTTGGTACGTATGCCCGTTGTTATATGCGTTACTTCCTTGCCGAAGCACATCGATGACTTTCTTGTGGATCAAGACACCAGATATCGCTGCGTAACCACCTCCAAGTCCTTTCGCGACGGTGAGAATATCGGGAATAACGTCTTGTTCCTGCTCGAAGGCAAAGAAAGATCCTGTGCGGCCTACACCGCACATGATTTCGTCGAGGATCAGAAGGATGCCGTATTTATTGCACAGCCCACGGACTCCCGCAAAGTATCCCCGTGGCGCGGCCACGCAACCAGACGTTGCACCCACTACAGGCTCCGCGATAAAGGCAATGACCTTTTCAGGACCGATGCGCAGAAACTCATCTTCTATCTCTTGCAATAATCGAGTTTTGAATTGTTCCTCTGTTTCAGTATCCCCCTTGTAGCGGTAGGCATACGCCGGCGAAACATGGGAAACATGCTGATACGCAAAATCCTGATAAGGCACCTTTCTCGCCAGGTTACCAGAGATGGACATCGCAGCCAATGTATTCCCATGATAACTTTGCTTTCTAGCCACTAAATGAATCCGTTGTGATTCGCCCTTTTCATAGAAATACTGACGGGCAAGCTTCAATGCCGACTCGACGGCTTCGCTACCACTTCCGACAAAGAAGGCCTTTTCGAGGCCATAGGGACTCCCTTCGAGAATGAAGTTCGCTAGCTCCTCTGCGGCAGCGGTCGTGTAAGATTGGGTGTGCACGTAGCTGACTTTTGCAAGTTGGTCGATGATTGCTTGGTGGACTTCTTCGTGCCCGTGACCGATTGCTGCAACTGCCGCCCCGGCGCAGGCGTCGATGACTGTTTGGCCGTTGGAGAGGTATAGTTCTACCCCGTGGGCTTTTTCCACTAGCGAGGGTTCTTCGATTAATGATCGATGCAGCAGGTGAGGCTCTTGCTTCTTCTGCGTGACAGGCTCGGGGCCGTTCTGCCGGGGTAGAGTGTAGTCGTCTCGAGAAGGCGACATGATAGGTGATGACTATGAACCCTCTTTTGGATAAGTGGTGGGGAGAATGGAATTGATTGAATGTACTTTGACTTCAATCCCCGGTGACGGCGCCTCGCAAATATACCACTCTTGGTGTGGGCACTGGCCATTGTGATGTGGACCATAAACCGGAGAAACGGGATAGCATCTTGAAAGGTCACTGGCTGGCCAGGCGGGTCGAAGCCGAAAGCCGAGAGCCGAACATCGGTTTTGAGGTACTTCGGAAAAGAGTCGATGATCTGCTGCTGGATTCTGCATAATTGCTCTCAATGAATCCAATAGTATTTATTTCTGATAAAAATAAGTTCTCACCCCACCTAGTTGTAGTTGATTTCGGCCCTGCCATCACACATACGCGTGAATCCGTCTCGTATCTCAAGGAATGTTCGGATATCCCACTGGTTCGGAAACAAGAGTCTGTATTGATTGATTGAATGTGATTATCGCTGTGAATGCTGCTTCCCCAGTTTAATCCTTATACAGAAAGGCTATTGTTCACCCTTGCCTTAGCTTATGTTCCATCCAAACCTAAGGCCAGATCGACCTCCTCAAGAGAAGGCCACCAATGACCCCAAGCACCGTGATCATGCGCAAAAGCACTAGCTTCTACCAGCAACTGACCGAGCGGCATGTCAAGGTCGACTGTGTTAGCTCGCGTCTCTGGGATGTTGGATAGAGAAACATGGCCTGCGTGACCAGTGGCTCTTTCCGCACCCTCGATCTCTTGGATATGGTCATTGGATCTGTCAACTACACGAAATTCATGGATTGATTGATGCAGGATGTCAAAGTCAGCTCGCGTTTTTCCTTGATAGCGATGGCGGTCGGATGCAGCTCGTTCGTATAAGAGCGATGAATGTTCAATTGTTGCCAGCTAAACAGATGTCAGCAATTGCTCAGACTTCCAGCAACTGGGAGAAACTAAACAAATATGGCGAAACGCAAAGGCTCACTTACCCAACCGTCCCCTAGCTTGCAAACCTTCCGAAACTCTGAAAGATAGGCAAGACAGTAACCCAACCCTTGTTCTGCTCGCAGACTACGGCCGAGATTCATCTGCGGGAAGCGATGCACATAGATGTTATTAAAGGCCGCAGAAAACGCGCAAAACCCGATGAACGGCGTATACAAGCTGACACCACATTCCGAGGCTTCATGCAACAATAAAGCGATGTGTTCTGCTGCTCCGAATAATTGCGTCGCACTCTCTTCCCACCAGCCCGGTGGTGCCTCGGCTTCGAGTGTAGGGTGATCGACGGGACCGCGAGGGCCAGTCTCATTCAAAGGCAGGAATGGGAAGTATTCGCGATGCAACATTAGCGTACTAAAGGACCGCATTAGCCATTCAACGAGCAAGACGTTACCGGCTTGACATACCTGACATAATATAGTAGATTTGAGTACGTAAACGACTCCCCGTAGCCCAAGCTCATATGTGCAACGACACCATTATTCGGGTAGTATAGCCGATCATGCTGGCTAGCTCTCCATCTTTCGAGTTGGCTTCTAGTACGTGACCACGGAGATCCAGGGACCCAAGGACAATTCTGGGGAGCGCACATTCCCGGAGCCCGTCTTCCGTCGTTTAATATAAATGTCATTACCTGAGCCCAGATGTCGAATCCCGAGACCAGGATCTCAAAACTTTGTGTAATGTCCAAAAGCCCCGTAGGATGGTGTTCCGATCGCATCAGGCTTTCCTCGATACCGAGTGAATGAGACGCTAAGTCTGTCCCGAAAGCAAACTCCACAGTGCTCAGTGGGCGTAAGATCCCTAATTTCTCCATCTCCGACATAGGAAGCATGGGCGGGTTATAAGTACCCGAGCTAACCATCCGGTCCATGATAAAGCAGGCCCAGAAGACTCTGTTCTCGATTGCGACTGACATAACGTCGTTTCTCGTATCAGCTTCGGTATCCAGCGGGTACCTGGTCACTCGGAGGCTATGGATAGCCTGCATGATGCGGATCGCGATACCTTTGTCAAGTCAGCATGGGTTCATAAGAAGGTTCTAGGGGCATTCAGAAACCTACCACAGTATACCCAAGCTTTGTGGAAATTGCGAGATCCCCACTCGTGCAATGTTATGATAAGAAGCGATTGCACGACTTGTATGCTAGGGGGTTCCAGAACAAGACCAGAAAGTATCTCTCTGGTATAGATTGCATACGTGTCAGCGTCTAACAAGCCGTCCACCCATGCCGGATTGAAAATCATCCCATGAGGCTTCGTCACAACAAGAACAGCCCCTAGCAAAGCCTTGGTCTGTTCAGAGCGTGTGCAATCCAGCTCTCGAATCACAGAGGGCATGTGTAAAATTCCAAGTTCAGGAAACTTATTGTTGAAAATGTTCAGACATTTCAGAATCATATCCTTAGGCAGGCTTGAGATATGTTCATCGACTCTTCTCCTGTCATATTGCTGGCTAGAGTCATCACATTCGGGAAGCGATCTCGGGTTGTGTGCCGGCTGTGGCCTTGGCTGCACTTGCTCCTCGAGCGTCGATCGCTGATTTCCATTCCTCTGCCCTATTGAGGCGACTCGGGGCAGTTGTCTACTCTCTTTTGGTCTATAGGGGGATGGTCTTGTTAGAGAACACCCCTCTAGCCCTGATTTGGCACATTTTCGACAAGGTGCTTTTCCAGAATTCACGCATTTGATCTTCGATTTTCTGTATCGTCCAGGGATCAATTCACGTCCATCTATTGTTCTGTAACTACAAGGCCTTATGATATTGACTCACCGACAAAAGGCGCACGACAAACTTGAACGCATGGTGACAGTGTGGTCAAAAGAACTTCAGCACTGTGCGGTCTTCGGAACCGATCGGGAATGCTCGGCTAAGAAAGAAATCAGAGGAAAAGGAAGAATTCGCTCAAGAGCACTGTTCTGAGATGACTGTATATTATGTAATGTATCTCAATGATTATGACGATGAATGTGGTGTGAACGGGTGCTATCGTTGCTGTTGTGGCCAGTCCCGAAAGGTTCGGGTTGGCGAGTGAGCAAACTGCTGCTGATGCCTGAGGCGTCAAATGAGCGAGTCCACCCGATTACGGCATGGCGCTTGAGGACTCGGTGTCCAAGTTACATACAAACTGCCTAATTCTCGAGTTGGGAGTTCCGAATTATAAGAAATCTTTTTAAGCTAGATTCATTTCTGCTGAGATCCTGACAAGGGGTGGAGCAGATTGGGAAGGAAAAAGAAAGGAAGCCAATCTAATCTTCATCAGACCATTCCACGTCCGTTCTATACCATGAGACGCTCCCTTCCACTAGGGGATCCTAGTCCTCGCCGTCTGAGATCGTATTTCCAATTCCACTAATATCTCTGAGTTTGAACGAGGCATTGTCTCTCAGAGAAATCAGACCGTCAACCTGAGCGTCGCGCACCGTATTCACCCCTCTCTTGTACCCCAAAATGATAAGATATTCAAGGTTAGGGGGCTAGTGGTTTGCCAACTTGAGGTTATTGCTCCTTTTCATGTTGACCCCCTTAGCAAAGTATATCAAGAATATGACCCCGAGACTGAGCTGTTTCAATGCACAGAAGTTGTGGCGAAAATGGGCTTGACAAAGATCTGATTAATCTACCGATTTTGTAGGACCCTTGTGACATGTTTAGCTATAGAGGCCTTCGCAAATGACTCAGCCACAGGCTAAGTTATTATACGTGATAGTTCATTTTTGTAGAAGAATATAACTTGGTTCTCTAGAATTAATTTCTAATATCGGTCTTATTCCCTAATCATCCTATTACTGTATGTTTGGCATTTAAAAAATTGCTATAGTGATGGGAGAATTCCCATATTTAATCAATCAACGTCGATCCTGTGACTCTGTGAATTCGGAATATAATATTACTCCTTAAGCACCAACAAGAGGAATGGAACTTTTTCTATCAGAGTAATTTAAGGGAGCCCTTGTGAGTTACTTCTTACGATGAACTCTCCAGATAAGGGAGATAAGGCGTCTCAGTGGAGATTTAAGTAGCATACGTCTCTGTGCTTGCCATAGGAAGCATTGAAATCTGCTTCGGCCTTACAGCATATCTATCAATCCGCTATATATATATATATATGATGTGCAGGAAAGTTTGTTTGAATACTATAATGTCCTTATATCACGCATGATCGCGGAGGTATCATTAGCCACATGTTGGCAAGGAGGGCTTCAGGTGAAAAGTTGGAAATGGAGTTCAACATGTTTCCTAGGTGGTGAATGTTGGTGTGAGAATATATGCTGTTCGTATATTAACAGCCTATCTAGGTCCGACGAGACAAGTTCACCTTTATCCCAGTCTGCCGAAAGAAGAAGCTATTGTGGGTGCTCCAGACTTCCTCAGGGGACGCTAACTTGATATTGTAACGCGACACCAGCGTAGCCAGGACCTTATACACTTCCAACAAACCCAGATGCTTTCCAATACAAACTCGGCTCCCGCCCCCAAATGTCAGGTCGGCCGCATTCATCCGCCGGAGACGTTCCTGGAAAGCCTCTTCGGTCTCGTGTGCGTCGTCGCGCAACCAGCGCTCGGGACGAAAGACGTCGGCATCGTCGCCCCAGACGGACCTATTCCGACCGATTACATAGGGGTTCATTCCGACTATAGAGCCGGCGGGGACATGACGTCCGTCGGGAAGGGCTAAGCCGCCCACCGGGACGTATCTTTCGAGAAGCATCGCGACCCCGGGGTGAAATCTCATTGCCTCCCGGATCACAGCGTCCAGGTATGGGTATTTCTTGGTCGATTTATACGGTACCACCGGTGGGTTGGATGATGAGTCGTAGACAGGAACCTCGGTCCTGAGGCGGTTCCAGACGCGCGGGTTCTTCAGGGAAAGGTACAGTGCTGCATTTAAGGTGACAGCTGTTGTGTCAGCTCCTGCAATCATGTTTATCATCAGATAGGAGATAATCTGCATGTCATCCACCACGTCAGGGTACCGCTCCTTAGCCTCAATGAAGTTATCAAGAAAGTCAGGCTTTGCAGGATCATGAAAATCCGTGTCCTTGCCCTGAAGCCGGTCCACTAGATGCTGAATCGATATGTTGGTAATGTTGCCGAAGGACGGCGGACCAATACGGTAAACAGGGTTCTTGTCCAGCAAATGATCCAGGATGGGCAGTTGGCCAACTAAGGAAAAGTAGTCCATCGCCGTATCGGCGGTGCTCAAAGTGCCGTCGAAGTCAAAGCCTTTTCCCAGGTATCCAATGGGCTGGCTGAAAGTTGCTTTACCGACCACATCCCAGGTATCTGCGGGACGTTAGCTCGGGACCTTCAAAAGCTAAGCGACAGAGATCGACAAGGGCCAGTTCTCACAGAAGGCAATCCATTCGCCAAGATCGCAGGTTTTGGTGGCGCCGGATGCATCGATAAACCTCTCCTCCAGTCGCTGGCAAAGGTACAGGATCATCTCATCGATATGTGGCTCTAGTGGCAGCACCCCGGTCATTGAATAATGTTTGGAGATAGGTCGTTTCTGCCGTGCATGGACCTCGGGTTCGCACTCGCTGAAGAGATTGTAGATGATTTTTCCGTTACTCTTGGCGCTGCTGCCATGGTAAAACTCAGTCTGTTACAACCGTTTAACAGGATGGCTAACCGGTTGCTGGATGGGACGCCCTTACCTTGACGTAATTGGCCTTTGTGTTGTAGATTGTCTTGATCAAGTCGGGGATGTCTAGATCCAAGACATTCGGCGCGATACGCACCACCGGACCGTACTTCTTGTGTAGCTCCTGGATTACGCGCTGAGACTGCCCCTGGCGCACATAGAACATTCGCCACAGGTTCGTCCATCCTGCAAGAGCCAAGGTGAGCACAAGATCGACTCTATCAACTGAGACTTCCGGTCGATCTAACGAGACTGTCGTATGTCTTACCTGCCAGGAATGGGCCGGGAAAGCGGCGTAGAGGAGAGTTGAGATAAGCTGCCAAATACCACGCAGGCAAAGAGGCAAGACAGAGATAGAGAATCACGGTGGCGCCCTCTCTGACGCTCCAGCGTAAGCCTGCTGCAAGAGATGCCTCCATTATTACGATCGAACTGGAATATATCGAGCAGGATTTGTGACAGAGACTTCGAGGGATCTGAATTGATCTCAAGTAAATTGCAAGCGTCAAAATTTGGCGATGGACCAGGGGTAGTGTCAGACTCTAGGATGTCTAGGATGTGAGCGGGGGAGCAGACGGCTCCCTTCTCCGTTTCTCTAGTCTTTGGATAGTTTAGAGTCTGTGCCCTAACGAAGGCCTAGATTTCCGCCACCAAACGCACGGTCCGGCTGTTACACTGCGCCCCCGTGGCGCTATTGGCCTCTGCATGCCGCGATCGAGCGAATCGCAGCGAACAGACGGCAATCCAAGAGGCCGGAACGAACTTCCCCCCGTTGACACTTGACCTGTCCAGGGCACGGACGGCCGCGCTAGTCCCGCAAGTTTAACAAGGTATTTGTCTTAGCTTTTGTCCTTCCCCAACCGAGCGCCACGGGGATTCTTCCGATCTAAGTCCTCATCACGGGCCAAATATAGCTGGCGGCCAGAGAGCGGCCTTAACATAGTGCCCAAAGTAGAACGGAAAAGTACCCCAATGCTCTGGTTGGGACAGATCCCTTCTTCTCATCCCCGATCCGTATGCTCGATTTCAGGGAATTGGAATTGAGGAACAGCGTTACCCGTTGATAGCTCACAATCGCTCTATTCACCTGTCGTCTCTGATCTTCCTCACGGGCCACTGGACAATCGAGGTCATGTATTTCTATCGCCAATATGCCCCGAACTTGGGTCCTCGCTTTTCACGTCTTTTACGGGATTGTGTCGTCAAGAGCGGCTTCATAGTCCACTTTCCTACGTTCGCTTTTTGTCTATAACGCAAACAACGTTTACACTGCTTGTTCGAAGATGCTGGCCGGGCAAGGTATCAAGGCCGTTGCGGTCATGTGGGCGATGACCTTCATCTCCTTTGTCCTGGTCCCGCTGCGGCTATACACACGGGTATATATCATGAAAGGAGTTAGAGTGGACGATCACATCTTCAATTTGGCCTGGGTAGGTGGAACCAAATCTCACCGCAGTCTGCCATTCTTCAGTAAGACCAGATACTCACAGGGATATAGGTATTTCTGCTTCTCTACAGCGTCTTCATCACCATTGCCGGCGTCCACGGATTCGGACAACCCATAACCTCGCTTCCCATGGACTCCGCCGTCCAAGCCGTGTATACCGAGATGATCGGGCAAACCTTTGCTGTCCTAGGCATGGCCATTGCCAAGCTGTCGTTGGGCTTCTTCCTGCTCCGCATCGTTATCGAACAATGGCATCGGATCTCCATCTGGATCTCGATGGTCAGCCTATCACTGGTGTCGCTACTGACGGCAGTTATTTTCTGGACCCAACGCCTCCCATCCAATTCTATATATGATCCGCGTGTGCCAGGGCGTACCGTCGTTGCCGTGACTCCGTTCTCGGTTCTACTTGGCTGTGCGTATGCCCCTCGCCCCCTGGGCTGTTTGTTCTTTTTCGAGGTGTTCTTGCTGATATCTCTTACGTCCAGCTTGGTGTGCTGTAGTGGATTTCTACTTTGCCCTGCTTCCGTGGCTCTTCATATGGAAACTGAATATGAAATTCAAGGAGAAGATGTCGATTGCCATCAGTTTGAGTCTTGGTTTTATGTGAGCCACGTCGATGTCTCCTTCATTTGTTCCACTGACTGACCTTGCATGGACAGAGCCTGTGTCTGCGGCATCATCCGCACCATCGAACTGGGTGGACTGTCTAGCGCCAACTATACAGGTGAGTTGCTCGCTTCCGACATTGTACTCTTTCCTTGTCATCCTTGACTGACATCGTCCCTTCGATCCAATCCAGAGGATACGGTCAGTCTGGTAATCTGGTCAGGGGTGGAACTCGCCGTCACCCTCATCTGCGTTGGCATTCCCACTGTTCGCCCTCTTTACCGAAAGATCGTTCATGGATCTAACCTAGAGGACTCGGAAGGTAAATACGTCAAATATGACGATTCCAACCGATCGTCCCGCTTCCGGATGCGGAATTTGGCAAAGGACGACACTCTGTTTAGCGTCGTGCAGGAGAGTAACGTAGAGTCATATATCACTCGCGACAACCGGAGCGATGAGGGAATTCTTCCAGGTCAGAACGCAAATGGCAGTGATGCTATCCGCATTCAGGAGGAGATTAAGGTGGAGAGAGTCTAGGGTGAAACCCGTGCTGCAGTGTGCCTTTTGTTCCATCATATTGTGATTTGTCTGTTCACGCTAATCCTGCGTGTCATGATTCCGGAAGAGCTCGGTTTAGGGTCAGAGGTAGCATGGGTGATCTCAAAAGATATGTCTTTGTCCTGACAACATATTAGCTATATGTACTCCGTATACTCTACACCTGGTTGTTCTGGCCTGCATGGCATCATGCAAGGACAAACTTGTTGGGTGGAAATTGTTATGCATGATGTTGCAACTCGCTATGAATGAAGGACTTAGATAGAAAACTATAAAGTAAGTATTGGGAACCTGAACCGCTTTCCCAATGAAATTTACAGAATGCGCTGTGTCAGCGGACTAGGACTAGTGAAACACATAAGGCTTCGTCACAAGTGATTTTTAAAATATTAGTCTTGCGGCACCCTTCATTGTACAGATCGTACTAGCACTACAGTAAATTGACAGGAATATATTGGACCAAGAAAGTAATAATAAGATGGTCTAGAGACTCTTGTGGCTGTGGCTAAAGGCAAAATAAATCAGAAAACCAAGACTTGCAATTCCTATAACACCTCAAGTAGGCACTGCTGTATATGGGGAAAACAGACGTTGTTTTATCAAATGTCTGGCTGCTTTCTATTGCAAGCTGCGGTCGATTGTCAGACCCTGCTCCTGAAACTGGTGGGGGAAGACTGCCCGACCGGGGGTGATGGAGAGCCCCTGCAATTTGTTTCGAAGTTCCTCGTAGACTGCGTCAGGATCAGCAGCCTTGGTGGAGAAGCTTAAAAAGAATCGAGCATATCCACTCTGCACTGGTCCACTAGGGACTCGGTGATTTTTGTCGAGATTCATCGTATAGAAAATAAGGACCTGAATCACCCGCTTGAGACTAGACGTAGAGCTCAGCTGGCATTTGGTTTTGTCGCCGTTCTCATGAAGTGGGATGTCAAGCACGACCACGACTTCGTCGTTTGCCTGCTTGGGATTTGAGTGATCCAGCACAAGACCCGCTTCCTGTAGACCCGTCTTGCGAATGGTGTCCGTCGACATCGTTTCTTTGCTATATAAGAGATACTATGTATATACTAATAGACAGTTGAACGACGCTGGACTCGGGAAGTTGTAGGGTGGCTGTGAATTTTAGGATACGTGGGAAGAGAAAGTCCTATTTATATCTGCAGCAAAAATGGGCAGTGGCGGCGAATGCTTCCTTGACATCGAAGCGATGCATTCAATTGAATATGAGGCTGCCCTAATATCTCCAAGGCCTCTCGGTCAAAGCCGGTAGCTGATTACACTCATCAAGAGAACAAGAAAGGGCCATACAATGGGAGCTTCTGCCGTGGGCGGGAATTCTAGCAAGAATGTTGTGAAATGCCGCTTTTCCGAGGTTCAACAAAGACCCTTACCACGTTATTATTTCCTGAAGACTAGCGAAGTTCTTTGTTACCAATGTGGACCGCTTAGAAAGAATGAGCTTTGGTATGGCCATTCTAGATTTCTCCTAGTAACGGTTCTGACATTAGGATCCGTCCCTTGGGACGTTTGACTCTGCCCGGAAGGACAAAACGCACAGTTTGGTAATTTGTCTACATCGTTTCTCCAATTTGAGCAGCCAGCGCTTGTATACTACCGGTGACGGTCGACTGGTCGTGCGTGGGCATGATCCAGTCTATAGTCTAGTTGCCATTATCTTGAAGAGGATGAGCCGATGGGCGTCGGACGCGTATGGGGAGATACACAAACCCAAGGAGTCTTGTCACTGCAGTTGTGGGTCAGCCTTGTTAAAGGAGCAAATATTTGTTCCATCATTGGAATTCCAGGCCTATCACCAGCGAGGATGGTCTTGCAGCTGCGAGTCTCACAATGTCAATCCATCTGTCGTATCTCATGTCGGAGCTAAACGTGGGGACCAACACAACATTCTCTACGGAAGCCGAGTGACCAACCTGACTCTAATCAACCCAATCGGGATCGCATTCTGCAACAACCACATACTTCCGAAAAGGTCGAGATTCAGGGTATCGCGGGGAATCATGACAGCATGATATCGTCAGACAGCGTAGGCCAAGTAGCCCTAAGCTGTACCACGGAATGCCCGCTGTCACTCGCGGGGCGCAGTTGACCCACGCCACGAACCTGTCAATAAGAATTGGTCATTTACCATACCCCGACCAATCTATCTGGGCGCGGATGGCATCAGGGGAAGTACACCGTAGGTATAGGTAGAACAGACAGAGTACCTACTTAGGAAAAGGTTGGCCGAAGGCCTAGACACTCCTCCAGGTAACCTATACGGACACTGCATCGGCACGTCGTAGGAGATAAAACGACGAAGCCTGCGCCGGAGAAAGCGGGGCTCGTGTCAGCCGGGTATACGGCCGGCCCAGCTCACTCTCGACGACGGATAGGTAGTCTTAGAATCATCAGTCCTACCCCTGCATGACGCAGGACTAGGAGTCGGGCTGACACGCGCCAAGCGTTCGCGCGCGCCGCCGGCGCTTCGGTATCTGCAGCCACGTCTCGTCCGTGCGCTACCACAACAACGAGGTGGAGAAGGTAGGGAAAGGGGCATTTTCTCGCGTCGCAAAGGCCGACGCAAGAAGGCAAGGGAAAAGGTCCTCCGGCTGTCTCTAGCCTGGTCATCGCGGTGGCGCGTCGGTAGATGACATTCAGTTCCGCTCATTCCCAAGAGAGGCACGAGCCAATTAACTACAACAATCTTCTTATGATCTGCAGGTATAGATGCGAGGAAACGGCGTGCTATCTCAAGGATTATATTATACTAAGCTAAGATAGAGAACCTTTCGGGGGCCAAACATTCGAATCTCAATCCCGCGCAGGATTCATGGCGTCAATCTGTCCTGGCTCGGCGTCCTCCACTTAATTTGACTAGTCCAATCCGTGAACAACCTTTACAGGTTACCCTGGCCGGCGTTGGAGGCAGGACCGGTGCCAGCGGCGTCGGCGTCGGCAACGCTCTCGCCCTTGAACTTGGAGAGGACGTCAGTGGAGGTGCCAGCCAGGTCGCCAGAGCTGGAGAAGGAGTTGGCCACACAGGCGCGGTCGATGTAGGAGCTGCAGGTGTCGGCGTCGCTGCTGGACGAGAAGAGCTCACCAGCCATGGAGGACTCCTCAACGGCGGCGGTCACATCGGAGAAGGTGTTGCCCTCGGCAAGGACGTAGCCACCCTCGCCGATCTCGAAGGCGTGGTTGGTGTTGGAGTTCCAGTAGTTGTTGACGGCGTGCAGGTAGGTGTTACCCTGGACCTTGGGGGCACGGCCGCTGGTCTTGTAGAAGTAGTTGCCCTTCATGGTGACCTTGTCGCTGGAGCCGGTCAGGTAGACGTTCCAGTAGTGGTGACCGTCGCAGGTGGCCGAGTAGTCGGACTCTCCGTTAATGTAGTTGTTGGAGAGCGTGACGCGGTTGTCCGCCTCCGTGCCCAGCACGTAGTGCTGACGACCGATACGAGCAGTCTAGGAGACAGAATTTAGGTCAGTGCTGTGGTCTAGCTGGGACGGCAGATGCCCATCCCTGAGGGCAAAGTGGCTTACCGTAACGTGGTCAATCCAGACGTTGTCGGCCTCGTTGAGGGTGATGGCATCACCACCCCAGACGTACTGGGGGTTGATGTCGGTGATGGCAATGTTCCTATCGCATCCTGTCAGCCAATTGCTTGCTCCCTCGCCTCCCCCTTTTTCTGGCTACATACTGGACGATGACGTTCTCGACACCGTTGACGATGCGGATACCCTTGCCCTTGATGACACCCTTGGTGCCCTCGCCGATCAGGGACTTGTTGGAGCCGACGGTGATACCGAGCTGGCCAGCGTTGTCGTACTTGACGTCGGCGCTAGGGGCGTCCGACTCGTAGTTGGTGCACCAGTCGTCCTTGTTGATGGCGAGCTGGCAAGAGGAGCCGGTACCCCAGGGGGCGCAACCAGTCTCGGAGCTGGTGCCCTCGGTGCCGGTGAAGTCGAAGGTCTGGGAAAGGACGATAACGCGGGCCTCGTCGTCACCGAGGTAGGAGACCAGCTCGTCGGTGGATTCGGGGTAGACCGGGGTGGCACTGCCACCACCAGTAGCACCAGAGGCGAAGCCCTCGGCGGTGCCCTGCACGGAGGCGGCGGCCAGAGCCTTAGCGCTGAGAGCAGCGAGAGTGGTGAGAACGGCGGCGTACTTCATCCTGGAAGTTTAAATGTGGTATAATAAAGATTATGGTTTAAAAGAATGACAAAGCGTGACAAAAGAAACGAATGAATGACCGAAGGGAGTTGGTTGGGTTGGAAGAAGAAACGTTCCAGAAGAGCAGATCCGTCGGCACTTATATACCTTTGCTGCGATCCTTTCCGCTGTCTGCTTCGATCTAACTCTAGTTGTCTCCGTAAATGCCCACAGATGCCGATTCCCAATTCCCAAACGGACCTCAGGAAGCCATCGTTTGGGATCGGGTTGAGGAAAGGCTGCGGTAGGTGGGTAAACCCGCCCATGGTTATCCCGAGCAATATCCGCCGTCCAGAAGCTCCAAACTGGACGTGGTGAATGGCCATGTCGATCCTCTGGCAGGCCGATTTGGTTTGGGAAGGAGATCGACAGCGTTGAAGCGGCGTCTGAAACACCCCCACCGCGTCCATCCGGTCAAACCTCCGACCGGGACTCCGTAGGCACGGAGTTGGCAAAGAAGGGGGAAAGCAGTCGACCGGGGCCACCATCCAAAGTGCTTAATCCATTTAATTAATTAAAAGTTGAGTGTTTCGGGTTAATGGGCAAGTGAAAGCCCTTCCTCAGTCAGCGCTGCTTCATTAGAGCCCTCGGAAGTTTCCCGATTGAGGCTAAGGCCATGACGCGGCTCGAAGAGGGAGACATTTGGACGCAGAGAGACCGGATGGCAGATGCCAAATGCCCCGGGCGCGATTTCCCCGGGCTTTTTACTGCGTCGCGAGAGTGGTACTGTGGTAGAGACACCGTGGTTGCCAAATGGCTCGCGCAACGGGGATAGGCATGCCTGTAAAGCCCTACCGGTGCCTATCACCCGGCTGGACAGAACATGTTCCCTCGCCCGAAACCGCAGGCTTTACTCGGAAAAGACATGAAATGGTTGATCATACGACCCGTGTGGCCCTCCTTGGGAGTCTCCTGGGTACCCCGTAAGCGTCGTCGACTTCGTCGGCTTCTCCACCGAAGCCCTAATCTAACAAGGGTGCTCCACCACCAGCGCGCCTCCTCCGCAATATCCAACGCCGACCGGCGAGATTAAGCATGCATATTGCATTCCACAGTTCATCAATCCTGGTTCCTCTGAATGGCTGGCTGTTGGTTTGTATTTCAGCACTCAATTTACCCGTCCACAAAATGGTTCCACGAGCCTCGTTCAACGTTCGGCATCACTTTCTCTTCTTCCCATTCTCGACTTCATCCACCCCTGTCGGTGGCCTCGTGGTCTCACCTCCTGAGCGATCTTTATTACCGGGCAATGTCAGCTCCCACTCCGATATTGCCCAGGTGTGAACCAGGTCAGCCGTATAGTGTCACAGTGTGTCTCATTCGGTATAATTCTAAAGTGGGAACCGATGATCACAATCACCAACTGTCAGTTGGCTGTCGTTGTAGTGTAGAATGCAGCCTCATTGCCCTTTCAGATGAAAACCGGATCCGAAAGAGGCGAGACCTGTTTCCCAACATACGTACGGTCTAGCAATGCTAACACCTTTCTCAACAGACTATTACCATCGGCACCGTGATCCCTCATTTGGCGTCTCAACCTTCAGCAAAAGATACGCTGGCTCTTCTTGATTAAGAGAATGTCCTGATTATCTCCAGTTTGACTACGTTCTCAGTAGTGTCGGTCAAGGTCTCATGGCCAAGATTGTCGATCAGTCTCTCCGTACGGGTCTGCTGTGGTCCTAGAACGGAAGGAGGTTCTATCCTCGAGCATACTGTGAGATGCATCACAGTCACACATGGTGTCATCAATAGTGCCTGTTATCCTTTCGGGGGTTAATGATTTCGCCACTCGATGTCACCCGTCCTCCTCCGCCGGGCATCCCTTTTATGAAGGGATATTCTCCTACCATTCATGGAATAATTGTTGTCATAACAGCCCGATGTGCCAGAATGAACGATGGTCGCACTCAGGATTGCTCACTGCGTGTAGTGCCGGTTCTTTCTTCTGCTGGAATCGCCGATGATGTGCTCCGGTGTCCGCAAGTATTTGATACTCACGCCTCGTTGGCCACTTGTCAGTCAGCCTATTATGTACCTATACTTACTACCCAGAGACCGAGAGTAGAAATAAATATTATCGCATTCCTGCTGCATGTGCTCGATGATTTGGTTTCTGTTTATGCAGTTCTCCACTGCCTTGTCATTCAGTATCCGGATAACTTGGATGGGCACCGACGACATACCTCACATAGTTACATTCAGTAAGACATGACATTTGAGTCCTTACTCTAAACATGTGGAGATGCGAATATGCGTTTGTAAAGGTGTGGTTAGGATATGAGTGATTTGCTACTCATCGCGGCCGAGTCTCTATTTCCATCAATTCCTTCAATTCCTTTAGGCGCTTGACCACATATTGAGACGGACAGATAGATTATATATATCTATATAGGCTCATAGATTGCCTACGAGACATCAAATTGGTCTGAGGAAGGCATCTCAGGCACAGCATTCTATTGCTCTTGTTCACTTCTACGGAGCTCTAGTGGCCGCTTTGTGAATGCTAGATCGTCATGACGTTCGGTGACAAGCGGCTAGTTTTTGGAGTCACTGGTATTCTGAGATGTTGCTCTTTGCGAGACCTCAAAACCGCTCTAGGTTAGTAATAAAGATGGCTTGCTGACCGAGCGGCAGGATGGACGCAGAACAGAGTGGAAAACAGGAAAGAGGGACGTCGCCGCATTGGAAGCGTCGACCCCACTACTTTAATTAGAGTGGACCCACGGGGCCTTTTCACTATTTTAGTAGCTTTCCCCTGCCGCGTGGATCCATTCCTTCCTCGACCATGGGATGATGTGATGCCGTGATACCAGCGCACAATCCCTGTAGTGCGTCGGGATTGATGCAAGAGCACAAAGACCAGCTTGTCATGATATCAGACAGGCTCTATGAGGCCCGTTACGAAATACAACTTACTCTGTACCGATTCGAGACGGTCTTGGTCATTCCCTCCTATGATCAGTATTGGAATGAAAATGGACTTTCAGGAGGGAAAGGCTGTCGCTGGATATCTGGGATGATCAGGCTACCACGCTCCCTTTTCATATTGTATAAGATAAGGCAACGAACGGCCATGGACAACTCCCGCACATCGGCGCGCCTGGGGTCAAGGATAAACGCGGTGCTCAGAATTTGGGATGTAACAAACCCTGCACAGGCCTGTGGTTCCTGACAACCATGCTGCTGTCATTCGGAGGATGAAAATCCACGAGCTGGAGGCAACATACGTCCGCGGCATCAATCTCAGCAAGTTCCGTATACACCTCCTCATGCTGCCAATGCAGTCGATCTCATTCTCCGACTGTCCATTTCTTCCACCAATCACGGTCTGGTGGACCCAACCAACTGACTCGAAGGTCCAGTCTTGGCTTATCCTTGTTCGTACTCGGTATGTGCTGGAATCCTCGGACTAAGGCAGTCGCCAAGTTCGCTACGAGACTTTGGGTTGGCTAAATGCCAGTCCATCACTGTTTTTCTCGATATACGTACAATGTTACGCATGATTAGTGTGCATATTTTGCTTGTTTGACTTAGGAAAGCAAGCGCTGTCTTTTATCGGTCACAACATGTGTGATACTCAAACTAATCATGTACAAATCTAAGCACGAAAGAAGAATGTCAATCTCGCGGTAAGGATACTGAAAACATCTTGCACCACAATTTCCTAATCTGAGCTGGAATGGGGTTACTGACCTTCAGCACCTCAGATCTAGTATCTCTTATTCCATTTTGCCCTTCTTGCGTCGTCGAACCTTAATCTTGACCTTCACAGGCTTATAGAGCCAGTATGCCGTGGTTTCGATTTCTTCATTCTCAAGATCAAGCTCCATGTCGTACGATCGGATCAGCTCTGGAATTACCTTGTATATTTCGCACAGTGAGACCTGCGAGGAAAGTCAGGCGTTGCTCAATTGACGGGGCAATTTATGTGTGATTGGCATGGCGATGCTCTTACATGCTTTCCCATACACGTTCTGGAGCCTGCTCCAAACTGAAATCTGTCAGCTCTGGACGTAGCCAGTTAGGGACAAAAAGAAAAGGAACACACCTGAATGATATATCGACTCATTTCATCAGCACCGGAACCGAGCCATCTCTCCGGTCGGTACCACAGAGCGTCGTCGCCGAACACGGTTCGGTCCAGGTGCACGACTGCCGGGTTCACGCCGATACGGGTTTTCCCTGGGATCCAATGCCCGGCAATCTCGCAGCCGTGCTCTGGCACATTGCGTGGGAGCGTCAGACCCACGCTTGGATGGATCCGCATCGCTTCTTTGACACATGCGCCCAGGTAGGGCAGTTTGACCGCTTCGTCATAGGAGACGCGTGGGAAGCCGAGCTCACCGTTATTTGTGGCACGATCAATCTCCCGGCGAAGAACGTCGAGGACAGAGTCGTTTCTTAGTATATGATACAGGACGCCGGTCAAGGCAATGGACGTCGTGTCACTTCCTGCAAAGCTAGGTTGGTGATTAGACGATGTCTGTGAAAGATATGTTAACTATGGGCTTTCAGCTTACAAAGCACCATATGCCTCCAGCTTAACGTCATCGATATCGAAGTCTATTCTCTGACCCTCTTCGCGGTGAATCTTCAGTACTTTACTGAGCACATCGTGGCGTTTTGATACATTGTCGACTTCCTCGGACTGCCTTAGACGGTCTTCGACCGCAGCGTCGGCAGCCTTTGTCAGGTTTTTCAAAGCATTAAGGGAAGCCCTCATTCTAGGAAAGAAAAGGCCACTGAGCATGAAGAAGGGGCGAATGTATGTTGGCATAACGGCAGACAGTGTCATGACAGGAATCAAGGCATCCGTGGAAGACAAGTATCCCAAGTGATCGCTCTGGGACTCAAGAAATCCAAACATTTTGCCAAAATACAATTCGCCAATTACATCATATGCGTACCTGTTGCCAAGCGGTTAATCAGGACGGGAAACTGCATCTTTGCTGGGGTCGCCTACATTCGCGACCATTTGTAGAGGTCCACCGTGGCCTGTTGATCCGCGACTTCTCCGAATCGTTTTACAAGGAGGTCGGTACATGTATCCATGTGTTTCTCCGCTTGTTTGACACTTCCCATTGAATAGACATGACTAACAATCCTTCGCCGGCTTGCGTGTGTCTCTTCATCGGTTGCTGTGAAATGATCAGGGTATCTCGCTGTCGGGTGCGTGAGCTCGGGTCAGAACTTCATTCAAGTCTGTAAATTCCTACCGAAAGGTGATCGAAATGGTAAGTAGAAGTCCGTCTGCATTAATTAGAACGTCTGCCTGATTAAGCTAATGTCTTTGGAATTGCATTTATTACCTTAGTGAATCCGGACTTTATTCCATAAATCTTCCTTATCGCAGCTGGGTCGCTAACTGCAAGTTCATTCGGTGCGATGCGAATCACAGGACCTGCTGATGGTCGGTTACAAGGACTATATCGCAACTGCTTTCTGACTGACCGTGTTTCATATGCAGTTTCCACTGCTCGTTCTCAGCATTTCCTCGAGCCACCATCATCACTATCCATAGCCTTGAAACAGCAGCAAGTGGCGGCCCCGGAAATTTTGCCAGCGGATGCAGCCACCTAGCATAAAATATCCAGCCTAGCCAATACAATCCGGCAGACAAGGCCAGACCTTGGAGGATAGTTTGAATCTGCATTCTACCACTCAACGTCGACTGCCCGAGATGATGGATTCCAGAAGACGCTCCCTCCGGAAGTGCGTCAGCCTGGCTATTATACGCCACGCTGTTCGACAAATCACGGAGGGCTTGGCGTAATCTCCATGAGCAGGGATCATGGCACCGGCGTTCGCTAACATACTTAATAGTGGAGTAAGGTTGCATACGGCGGACTGTACTGGCTATGCGGCAAAAACAATTTTTGGATTTGGATTTTGCCGGTAGTACTCCGTGGCCTCAGATTAATCCCCTGTCCCTACCTACTCTACCTACTATGCTTACTCTGCATGTTAGATTAAGAGTAAAATATATAAAAAAGAAGATAGGGCAAGGAAAGTAGATAAAGTTCGTAAAGTATGATAGACGGGGTAGGCAGGATAAACGGGGTAACCGGGGTAAGTAGACAGGTAGGTAAGCACAGTAAATGGAGATAAAAGGGGTGAATTTCGTGTATTTTGCATGTAGAGCAGTGGTAATAAGTCTTATTACTATATAAGGAAGGAAAATCTGACATGTCATTATTATAGCGGTGTATGCGGTGAAGGCCTTAATGCAAAACAATAAAATAAACCGTTATTTTTTGCCGCATGGCCAGTACTGTCCGTCGTAGTTACATTTTATTATGATACTAATAATCCGTAGGATGCGCGCAGCTTAGCACTTCTTGGTCGGCATTTGCAACGAACTTCTTGCCTATCCCAGCAGCCCCCTGGAATGAACTTTGTCTATTATATTCGACCCCCTCCCCACCCCAATTTCTTTATGTACTACTTGCCTCTCGCGCTATCATGGGCGTTAACCTGCTAGCACGAGCAGCCCTTGCTGGCGCCATTTCGGACGACCAGGGTTCCCCTTGGGCCTGCCGATGTCGCCCCTACGTTCGGAGAATAAAGAGCACAGGAAAGCCCCGTTGACTGCTCTCCAATTCTTCTCCGCCAACTGAACGCAAAAATGCAATTTCTTTGGCTGATTATGCTTCTTGTCTACTGCCCGTCTCGGGTCAATACTGCAACAGCCGGGGTACCTACGTGTGCGGTAAGGTTTGAAATTGCCTGCTTCTCTCATGACTTGGTCCTGAGTCATTCTTCTAAACCCAGAAATATTGCGTTTCTCAGGGTCAGCAGATGACCCCGTGCAGTCTCTCCAACACGACATGCACCTGCGCGGACACTGGGTTCAAGGCAAGTTTCATTACTTGCGTCATGATGAATTGCCCTTTAAAAGATGCGCTTAGTATGTCCTCCACCCTCATTTCTTTCCTTTTTTTTTACTAGTCTGAGTTTAGAAGCAACACGCAATTGGACCAGTGCAACGTGTAATGAACCCATTCGCGATCGTTCCCATATTACTCCTCTCGTCACAACAATATTTGGCACCTTCGCCATTATCACAACGTTCTTGAGAAGCTTTCATTTTAGAACTCACTTTGGTATTGAGGACATATGCGCAATCTCAGGCTTAGTAGGTCTGTCTCAGAGTTTGACATCAGCAACTGCTAATTGGCTCAATAAGTTGGCTGCGGTGCCAATGGGGGCACTGGAATATCCGAGTAAGCATGCCATACCCATCGGGATCCCAGAAGTTCGCCCGATAAATATGCTCATCATGTTGTATTCAGTGTCAGCCGACGGTTTTGGCAAGGACATTTGGACAGTACCCTTTGATAATGTGACCAGGATTGTAAAAGTGAAAACGAAATGCCCGCGATATTATTCTTCAACTATGGTCTTGATTCTAACATATGCATAGTACACATGGATCACGCAACTGCTCTATATTGCTAGCCTTTCATGCGTGAAAATGGCGTTTCTAATTCTATGTCGACATATATTTCCCAACGACGGTCTTCGGAAAGTCATATATATTCTCATGGGAATTGTGCTGGCCTATTGCGTTGTCTACATGGTTGGTCTTGCATTTGAATGCCTTCCAGTCTCATACATCTGGACGCAGTGGACGGGAGAAACGATAGGTCATTGTTTGAACATCAATGCTTTTGGATGGTCATGCGCGATTTGGAATATCATTCTGGATTTGGCTATCATGGCCGTCCCTCTTTTCGGGGTCCGAAAATTGTCTCTGCGCAGGAGAAAGAAGATTTTGATAATGGTGATGTTTGGGGCTGGTCTTTTGTAAGCTCTTTGTCCCGATGTCGCTCTATTCCGAAGAATGAGCCGGTTTAACTTCTCTTAGCGTGACAATCATTAGCATTGTCCGACTGAAGGCAATAATTGCGTTTGCGAACACAACAAACCCCACATGTGAGTCCAATGGTGTGCCGTCAAACTGAAGTTAGAGGATTAACCTTCTCAGATGACAATGTACCGACAGCGTATTGGTCCGTGATGGAATGTTACAGTGCCATAGTGTGCTTGAACATGCCGGCCATCCGGCGTTGCTGGAAGTCATGCATATCCATGTGTGCATTTCGCTCGACTATAGTGCCATCGGATGGTGACCCAGTCTTGCCTATGAGAGGCAGGTCCAGGAGGCATTCTGTTTCTGCGGTCGTTGGGAGGATGATAGGGGCTAATGGCAACCAGCATAGCGACGTGGAAGACATCGAACTCCTCGAGACGAGGACACGAGAGAAAACCGCAGATGCGATATGATTCCGACAGTGGTTCTAAGCAAAATTGGAGTAAGGAAAGGAGAAATATTATGGGATGGGGCAAAATTAAATAAATCAAGTAGGTTTGTTCAATAGCTAGATTAAGATTTATTTATATACATTGGTAACAATATGTATCGCTGAGGATATCTGCCGTCTCTAGGTTGTGGAAGCGCCAGGTTCCCCGACAAAAGTATTATTCACATCCCAGGATGGGAAAGGATGACCGGCAATGCATGCTGGGCATTTACTCGGTGTAGCGGCAGCCGTTGGGGTTGGTGGTGGGGATGACACGAGCGGCGATGCCGACACAGTCCTTGTTGCCGCCGGGGTTGGCGTTACCAGCGGAGGCCCAGATGCTCCAGGCACCGTCGATGCTGTTGGGGCAGGCAATCAGGCTGCTGCCGTCGAACTCGAGGTGGCCGTTCTTGACGGCCCAGCCCTCACGCTCACCGTTGCGGGGAGTGGGCTGAGCACCGGTGGTGTAGCCGATCTTGCCCTGGCCTGTGATGGAGTTAGTTTACGTTTTAACTTTTAAAAACGTGGATCGATCTCGCAAGAAGTGCGATGCCAAGGAAATACGTACCCATGCCGGAACGGTCGACGTAGATCTCCTGGGGAGTAGCGGAGGCGTCGTAGAGGTAGAGAGCGCCGTCCTGGATGTAGAAGGTAGCGGACTGCTCCTTGGGGCGGGCACAGCTGGCACCCTGGTTGGGCAGGCCGGCGAACAGGCTGCTCTTGGCCGCGTTGAAGCCAGCGTTCTGGACACCACTGCCGGAGTGGATGGCAATGACGCCGAAGGTGTCGTTGTCAGAGACCTGGGCAGCAGGCATGGCAGCGGCGGTGGCAGCGGCCGCGGAAGCAACGAAGAAGCGAGAGAAGTGCATGGTGATTGAGTTGGTTGGTGAGGAAGAGAAGTTGGAAAGTAACTTGGAATGGAAGATGAAGATGAAGATGAGAGTGAGTGAGTGATGATAGAGACGATTCGGGGAGGGAATCAGGCCGCCTTTATAGCCATCGGGAGAGCAGCGATCCTATCCATCTTGACTCTTGGTCCAGAATCCGTAGACCACTGGGATAGTGAGTACAGTACTCACTTCGTCACCCGGTTTCTCCTCCAGACTCCTCAGGGCTCAGCCAGCGGGCGACGGGAGATGCCGTCATGCCGGCCGACGTACCTAAAATCAGGGCCCGGCTATTATTAGGTGTATTCGGTTCCAATTGGCCCCGTGTCGTGAGCGTGGAGCCCCTAATCGCCGCTAAGGGACCGCTAACCGCACGCTAAGGGCGTAACCCTGGCGGCTTGTTTCGGATCAGACGTGCCCGCAGCCCCCGAACGGCCAGCAATCAAGACATTGTCTCAACTGCGTTCTCTTCTAAACTTCTTCATTCTTTCTAGTTCCCTGTTTCCCTCTCGTCTCTAGTCTACTTCGAGTTGGCCTCCGGTGGGGTAGATCAGGAAACCATTGACAATAAATCAATACATAATACTAATAGGCACCGCTCAGCCTCGATGTCTGACCTCGTGCGCCTTGGTTGTCTCAAGCTCAGAATAGTCTTGTCAATAATTGCCTCTTCCGAGGTTCTTTTCCGTCGTATGATTAGACCATGCATGCGGTGAAGTGTGGCTAGAGCCTCGGTCGGTGGCAACGCTGCCACCGGTCACTCAATTCCGGAATGCCTGCCTGGGATCGATCAGGGTCTCCGGGGATTCGGGAGACTACTAGTAGTCTAGCAGTCTACGGAGTAGTACAACGGTGGTTCAGTCACGCCTCACGACAAAGAATAAGTAGCTTACACTGTGTACACCGTGTACTCCCCACCGTCGGCAATCCATCACCCACGTAATGAACTCAGCAAGCCCTCCGAGGGACTGCTAGAAAGGTTTGATTGAGTACCACGAGTCCACGACCTGACATCCGATTGACATCATTCCACCGTTAATGTGGTTTTCTCGCCACAACGGAAACCTCATTTCCTTCGTTTCCCCGACTGAGACCTGCAGGACGGACAACGATACCCACCTTCCCAATCGAACCTCGTCCCCGAGACGTGGGGACGCGCAGATCTACATGGTGCTAGGGATCGGAATTGACATTTTAAAATTGAAATTTTCATGAAATTAAATCTCCTTTCATGAAATGAAAAAACCCTTTCAAATTGCCAAGACTTTTGGGCCCATTTTTATAGTAAGTTAGGCTTATCATTGGCCCTAAGAGAAGGACTTGCTCTTGGAGTTGCTTACTAAGGAAGATTACCTAGATAGGAAGAATCCCCACATTTCATGTTTTGAATGAAAGAAAAACGTTGAAATTTCACCTTTCATGAAATTAAATATTTTTTTTGAAATGTCACCTACCCTATATGGTGCACCTTTTTTTAAATCACACTTCCCAACTAAATCACTTTCTATGAGGGACTAGACCCTGACCCTGAGGTCAAAACGAGGTAAGTTTTCTGCCAGTAGAAACCGACAGAAGAGATATGATGGCCAGCGCACGCTTGACGGTTCCTGGCCGAGCTCAACTCGTGCCACGGCGGACGTGAGAGAAACACTGGCCGTCAGATCTCCGGTCAAGGGTCAGAACATGCGCAATTGAGCGACGCTATAGCTGCGCAATAAGCGGGGGACGGCAGAGATCGAAAGATCGTATAGTATGACATTGACAGGGGATCATAGTCTCTGCCCCTCCGATCAGGAATGCAGACTCGCCCTCGTGCCAGTTAATCCAATGATTCGGCATCTTGATCCAGTCCGATCGTGGTATACTGATCGTGATATCATTTTCTCCTCCCGTTCCGTAGTCCAGTCTTCTTTGCTTGTCCATACCAGACCGAATCCGGAGTACGGAGTACACACTGCACAGTGTACACGTCAATTCGAGCTTTAGCACACATGGACGACCAAGTTTCCTAGTGCCCCGTAGCATGATCTGGTACTCTTCGAATTAATCAATTCTGCTCACGGTCATTGGAAGACAAGATCGAGATAACGACGATCCCAATTAACCTGGTTAACGAGTTGCTGCGATTGCACATGGCCCGTCCTTCTAATCAATAACTTGGAGAACTGGCAAGGCAATTCGGATCAATTGAGAACTTTAGGAATTGATTTATCTCCACGGGCTGAGCCGTATTGTTGCAATTTGCAACAGTTGGGTGAGCACTCAGGGCGTTGCCTGAGGCTAACGCCCAAGCATCTGGGAGAAACAACCCCCTCACGCCCTGCCATCTCTCTTCTAGATAGTAAATTCATCTCATAGAATTTGTTTCGATGGACATCTTCATCAATAGTCACCGTAGAAATCATTCCCAAACCCTGTTTCATCTACAGAAGTTGTTGTGCTCATCGCGATAAGTCACTGTTGACCTCAAAATATATACCCACAACGGGGCGAGAGAATATTGAAGGTTGTGCGCAGTACTCTAAACTTAACACTTATTCTTTCTCGAGACCAGATCAAACGACACCGAGTGAGTGTACTCTCCTATATAATTTTGTCGACATCCAGATAGGATACTGTGCGTGGGGTAACGTTATATAAAGTGACTACTGCTACTGTAGGAGTTTGGGATGCCTGAGGTTGCAGTCTGCCAACAGTACAACTCCATGGCCATTCCATGTATGCAGGCCTAGAGCATTGCTTCTGATCATCTCATCCCGTTGAGATGATTGCATCCATTCATTCGAATACCCTCGGCAATCCCCCTTACCTGGTCCTGTATTGCTGAGCGGGACAGCAGAAATCGGTGGCCTGAGGCTCCAAGGCATCGATTTCTCTCCACTCTCTCCTCCCCTTCTCTCTCTCTCTCTCTCTCTCTCTCTCCTTCCTCTCCTTCCTCTCCTTCCTCTCCTTCTTCTCCTTCTTCTCCTTCTTCTCCTTCTCCTTCATGTCTCGCTACTCCCCTTCTTCCGTCGCCCCTTCTAATCCCCAGTCGAACTAAACCGTCATCTTCCTCGTGATTGTCTAGATTAAAACTGGATCTATCTAATTGAGCCTGTCGCCGAAATACGACCGCCTCAACACTCGAGCCCGCGCGGAAGGACTGGACGAAGGGAGAAAATTGCCTCCACTCCTGATTCTGTTTTCTTTTTCGTGATTGCCCCATGTGGGCAGTGTTCATCCATTAAGCTGCATGATAGCTGGCGTGCTGAATCGATTAAAGGAATCACGAAGGCAACGGTCAATGGCGAAAACCAATCTCCTATCGACCCTTGGCTAGCGATCGCTTTGCCTCAGCGAGAAATGCATCTGCGAGTGGTTTCGACCATTGTAAGGTCACAATGTATGGGATTGGTGAATTTTGGTTGGACAGGGTGGCCGTCGCTCATCTGATGCAGGGGGGCTTGAGCAATGCCGTGGTGATGGCGGGGACTGCGGTCGCGCTTCGTAATGAAGCGACGAACTATAGCCAATAATTCTCCCTCACTTGTTTCGGGAGTCTTGCATGCCGCTGCAGCCCTTGGAAACCTGCAAGCCTTGTGCAGGTTTTCTCATATCTTCGTGCTGTTCGTTCGGCTGATGGCCGACCAGGCGATGGTAGAACGGGGCCGACCGTCAAAGTTCAACGAAGGAAGGCTGCCAGGCGCTTTATCGGATCGTATTTTCGTTCAAGAAGTAGTGCTATCGCTCGGAAACTTTCTGATTACATCCTGCAGGAGCCACTTGCCTACGGGCCAAAGCAGACGATGCAACAATGCCAGAAGGGTCGCGTCCACACGATAGCCTTCTAGGGAGAAGTTTCAATCAGTTCATGTCCTTGCGGGCGACATGCTTAGCGCCCCTGACTGCATTGATCCTTTCGCAAGACCTTCTCCTTGTCTGTCGCAACGAATCCTGCGTATCTCAAAATGCTTCTACTGAACCACCCACTGACAAGTACTGACGCATTGAAATGATCGGATCCTTTAGGCGCCGTTCTCTGGAGAAAGTTCACGACAAGCTTTCATTATATACGGAGAATGCGACCGCGAGTTGGTTGGTAGTCCTGCCTCCCAAGACAAGCCTATCCAAGATTCAGATGCCCGATGTTGCCACCCGAAACTGCAAATCCCTTTTTTTGCGAGCGAATGAAGGACCCCAAGAAATTGAACATTTCCCAGAAGCGTTTGAAGCTTGGCGGAGAGCGCATTACTTACATTTTTGGACCTACCCTGTCGCTTTTGACCAGCCCCGTCAAGTCGTCAACTCCTTGCCAAAGAAGGTGCTGTCCAACCCAACAAACTCGCCGCGAGCGGCTGTTGCTGGCATGCCACCTGTCGGAGGCCGATTCGCCAAAGGCCCCTTAACCATATTCACATGGAAACCTAGGTTGCCAAGAGATGTAGGACAGACAGGTGACGAGATCTCGCCGAGCGGAGCCGATGGCACTGCTGGTGAATGGCATCTAAAACGATCGCTTGTTCCGATCTTCCGGGCCTGAAGGCGGATGGACACAGTATTTGTAGGGTGGGTTGTATTGTCGCTTGGCCATTTGCTTAGACACCTGCCATCACCGGAAGGCAGCGTTCTTCCCGATGTGCTCGAGTTTGTTTCGGTCCAGGCCTGACGACGACTTGTCTAGTCTTATCAGGGCAACAACAACGATTACCCGAAGACTCTCCCTGCCTGATTCCTCGCAGATCCAGACGAGACCAGCGGAATCTCTCCCGTCGCCGAGTATGGAACAGGCTTCCAAGTAGACACGAGGACTTTAAACAACCTTGACTCTTCCATGTCGTTGCTCATCCTCTCTCCGATTAAAACAACCGATTTTCACGATCCCGGCCGGTCAAACTAGTCGGCACATCCTTAGAACCTATGGTACCGTACTGTCTAGTGCTCTTGTCTTCGAACCTCTATCGTGGTTCAATATAGAGCCATCGCGCTCACGAGGAGATACGTATTCTGATACACGCGCATATAGCAGAGCAACGAAACGCAGCGATTGAAATTCGCTGCGTTTTCATTATGAACCTCTTAGGTCGAACAGACCGTGGGTAGGACTACAACCGACATGAACGTAGGTAGGTATTTGTGCGGCGGGACTGCGAGGCGGCCGCACCTCGCAGGCGACCTCCGTGGAACTCGACTCCGCGAAACGAAGCGGCATGTCCTATGATAGGCTTGATGCTCGGTGATTCGGGCACCTGCTTGAGCATCTACTGCCCGTTCTCGCGGCCATTTATTTTGCGGTTCTAGTCACCCGTGATCTCTAGGTGTAGGAGTCTTCTCGAATGGCGTTGTATCGCACTCACACTCAAGTCCGTGGATCCACGTGTCTTTCAGGCGTAGGCGGAGAGTGTTCCGTGGCGTCACGTTCCAAGATGCATGGGATGCTTGGTTGACGGAGCTACGGCCTTGAGGCATTCGGTATTCGTCCAGATACACATTTCCTTCGTCAGCCGATCCAAACGTCTTGGCCGGGGGGGGCGAACTGCAATGGATGAACTCGCGGCTATATATTGCTCGGCCCGGACAAGTAGCGAAAACATGAATTATCCGCAGATAGACGGGTTTGTTATATTGACGAGAACAACAAAATCTTCAATTGAAAAGAGCGCGCCATTGCTAGCCGGGTATTATCCCAGGAGGCGCAAGGTCATCGATGTCGGAACAGAAGAAGCCTGTGACCAACCAAAAGACCACCTTTGCAAGCTTGTGCCAGAGCTATGAGTAAGAGAATATAGCCATGCCGACATTGTAGGTCATTCTGTATCAGGAGAATATGGAGAGCAAATCAAAGACCATGAAACGGAATCCAGATGGACCCAGCCACTCATTTCAGATTCACATGCGGCTGACACAAAAGGATTGGAACTACCAAGAACATGATGTTTAAACAGTTTGGGGGTGAATTAAATAGCAACAGCAGCGGTCAAAAAGAGCAAAGACGCCCCGACGACAGAAATCCCTCGCGCGCTGTGCATTCACCTTGATGAGAATCCAGTTGATCGAGCGAGTATCCTGGGCCTGCGCTGACCGTCGATCTTTGACAAGCGCCGACGTTGAATTTGGCTTTGGCTAGGCCCTTGTTGAATTTGAAAAATGAACGATCAAACCGATCTTTGACTTTTGCACCTCAAAACACTGATAGCGACCCAGCGCGATTCCAAATCCTTCAACAATTGAGACGGCCTGGAGTGTTTACTATGCCTGCCTCACCGGCCGGCGCTGGAGTTGTCTCGGATGCTCGAGGGACCAACATCAGGCATTGACCTGCTCGTTAAGGGGCTTCCCTCGGTCGTTGTTGCTGGTCTGAACAGGCCGGTGAATTAGCCTCATTCATAGCACAACCCGATGCGTTTTGGCTACAAGAGGAAACAGTGCCGTTAATATGAGAACTCCCGTAGTCCGATGCGGGCCATCACTCATCTTGCACCGATATATGGCGAATTAATTGCACGATATTACTGTGATATTAGGATTGCATAATGGCAGGTTCCAGCCTGTCCTCGGGCACACGCTGATGCCCTGATTGTGAGATAGGAACGTTTTCATCCCACCATCAGAAGGCGCCCGCGCCCCCCCTTTATCCACTGTGGTTCACTTCTAGACTTCACTAACGGGAGTTTTGGGAAAGAAGAAAAGGAGATCATGGCCACCCTTCGGCCGACAAGACCCACTGCCCTGCTTCAAGCGGTAAAAGAGGCCTCCGATCCTCCTGTTCGCGTCCTTCGCCTCGCCATCCTCCACGTGGAATCATCCCCATGATTTGCGGAAACGCGTTGTGATGTGCATGGTCAGTGTGTTTGGTGTTTGCGATGTATTCCTTGAATCCTTCGGCTGCATTGATGGATTAAAATCCAGTCAACATTGTACATGCAATTCAACTCTGATAGTGGAGGTGCCCGCGAGAATTGCAGACCCACCGAGGGCCCGTCGGGTTATATCCCTCAATTTATTTTTTTCAATTTTGTTGGCTGCTAGAGTCCAACGCAAGTTGAACTTGCTCCGTAATTGCCATTTCCCCTTTTTTGAGACGCCCGGAAGTCGCCCGAGCCGGGGTTTGTTCGGGTTCGCGATCCGAGGCTGCCGAGAATGCGAGCAATAGTCGTGAGTTATGCGAATTTGACTGTACGTGGCCACTGGGAAGGCAGTTGATGGTCGCCGAAGCATCAATATTATCGAGAATACCATGGATCTCATCACAATGAAAGATAAATACAAAGTATAAGTAAATAATCAGGTAGAAGCGTATAACTCCACGCACAGCAAGGAGTGAAGCTTATCTCCACGTAACACATCGTTCTATTGCTTTTCGATCCATTTCTGGATCACGCCGGCCACTTCGTCGCTGTTCTTCTCAAGGAAGACCATGTGGCCGTTGCCGTGGATACCGAGCTCGCCAAGCTGCATGTGCTCGGCGGAGACACCGGCCTGCTTCAGGAATTTGACCGTGCACCAGTCGTAGGGCGCGTGGTAGGAGGACTCGGTCGTGACCAGGACGACAGGGACCTTCTGCAGGTTGACCAGCTTGCGAGGCGTTGGGTGGTCGGCCTGCAGCACGCACTCGTCGCGTGCGGTCGAGTTGCTGGGTAGCTTCTTGAGCGCGAAGTCGGTCTTCGGGTTGGTGACGGCGGGCGAGTAGGTCAAGGGAATGTCCGATAGACCGTAGGCCAGCGACGAGGCGTTCGCGGTCACACCACCAAAGGGCGGACCGGAGGGCTCCAACGAGACGATGGCATGCACCAGGTCGGGGCGCACCTCGGTGAGAATCCAAGGCATAATGCCGCCCTGAGAATGAGACAATAGGATAACCGGGCAGCCGATGAGGTCCAACAACGCCGCACCGGCCCGCTGCACGGTGATCTGCTGGCCCACGGCCTCGCCGAAGAAGTCAACGGTGGAGGCGTAGTAGGTGTCGAAGATCTTGTCGCCCATGAGGCCGGTGCCGGGCCACTGGGTGTGCAGCGCCGCCTGAGGCCATTGCATGTACTTCTTCGGGGCCGTGAACAGCTTCTGCAGCTTCTCCGCACTGTAGGTCTTCATCGTCCCATTGCCGGGGACGTGAGGGCTGCGACCCCGGAAGGTCTGGTCCAGCAGGTAGCATTCATAGCCCTGCTCCAAGAAGTATGAGGCCCATCCGCGGCCACCGTCGGGCTTGTTCAGCCAGTTCTGCGACCGGAGCGAAGTCAGCCTGGGGAATTAGGGTTAAGGTTCGGAGATTTCTTATGACGTACGGTGCCTGTCTGCGCCTGGCCATGGATGAAGACGATGGGATGCGGTTTGGAGGCGCCCCCCTGGGGGGTGAGCTTCTCCACGTACATCTGGTCGGCGAACAAGTGATCGCCGTCCGCATTTTGAACGTACTGGCCGCCCACGTACAGGTACTCCCGGTGATAGGCAATCTCAGATGCAGACGAGTTGGCGGCGACGGTGTTGCGTGCCAGGCTTGCCAGGGCGATCAGCCCTGTCAGAACGCCACTGGACCACATTTTGGATTGCAGGGGTAGAATATAGATTGACAAGGCAAATGGAAAAGGAAAAAACAACAGCAAAGGAACGTGAAGGGAACAAGGATTAGGGAACGCCCGGAAGCAGCACAAGGTTCTCAAAAGACAAAAAAGCAGTGCCGGCCAGTCCGATCACAGCAACCGGGTGGATCCACACACATACGAGCCTCTCCACTGCAGAGCCGATCCTCATTTCCTTCAGTCAACGCCGTCGGGTCGACCAGAATTCCACTGCGGCGGAATCCACCCGCAAGTCTGGTGAGCCGCTGGTCGGCGAATGGACTCAATGGGGGTGGCATCATCCATCGAGCAGTTGGGGCCCAAGGGAAAAAACCTAAAAGGTTAAAAGCATCCGACCCCAAAGACGAAACTTAGTTGGCCTTGGTTCAATTTGTGCCCATCTCCGAGGCTGTTTCTGCTTTCTCTCCTTCTCTGGTTTCGTTCCTCCGTGGAGAGCTTTTTAGTGTGGGCGTCGTCCGCTTCTCGTTCTCTCTCCCAGATGGCTGACTTGGTCCCTGCTCGTTCATCATGGCGAACACGACGCTGGTGCTGCTATGGCTTTTCACCTGGTTGACCGTCGCCCTGATCACCACGCGCCTGCTGATGCGCAAGGTGCGTCGCAAGCCGTTTGTTCTGGGTGACTATCTGTCCTTCGCCGCTATTCTCTGTGCCCTCGTTCGGCTGGCCCTGGTGCATGTCATCCTCATCTGGGGCACCAACAACATGTCCCTGGAAATGCGGCAGGCGCACCACTTCACGGACCAAGAGATCCACCGGCGTGAGATCGGCAGCAAGTTCACCTTGTGCAATCGGGTCTTCTACAACTCATAGTATGATTGTCCTTGCCGCCCAGACACGGAGAAAGGAGGACTGACTCGTTGATCTAGTCTCTGGATCCAGAAGATCGTCCTGCTCGATACCTATCGGCACTTGATCCGAAATCTGTCCTGGGAGAGACCGACTCTCCTGGCGTACTTGCTGATCTTTGCATCCACCTATATCACCGTCCAGGTGGTGACCTTTACGGAATGCGACCCATTCAATCACTACTGGCAGGTGCTGCCTGACCCGGGTATGTCGCAGGCCCTTCACGCTCTTCTGGAAGTCACGAAAGGATGAAGGATAGCTAACCGGTTGCAATAGGCACCTGCTCCCAGGCTCAACTGCAACTGATCGTCCTAGGGGTCCTCAATATCATCACGGATGTCATGTTGATTGCGCTGCCGGTCCCCGTCCTGGTCATGGTCAAGCGATCGTTCGCTGAGTACGCCTCCCCCGCGTTCGCCTGTTTCTGTACGTAGTTCGTATGCTGACTTGGTGCATGAAAGAAAACTGCAGCTTGCCGCTCTCTTTGCGATCGGTCTATTTATCGTGGTCATTACAATTATCCGCTTGCCGCAGAACGCCGAACACTCCACCGTGCAGGTGAACCGCACGACGTGGGCCAATGTCGAATTATTCGCCGCCGCGATCGTGTCCAACGCCCCCGTGCTGTACGGCTTCTATCGCGGCAGTCGCGAGAACTCGCGCTCGAGAGCTACCAACACCGGGACGGGACCGCACTCATCGCGCGATCGGGCGCTGGCCTCGCAGGATCAGCCTTGGGAATTGCATAAGGTCAATCATCCGCGACGGACTTCGGCGCTAGGGTCCAAGCTGGCGGCACGCCCGGCGCATGTCTATACGGAAATCCACGGCGAGAGCAGCGTGAGCGTCGAAGCCCGAAAATCGTGAAGGTTTCATTTCGTTGGTGGTAAAATAAAAACGGTTCATAAGAGTTATACCATAATAAGATAAATAATACCAGGCATTTTCACGATGAAGGCCAGTTACTCTGCATGTCGGACTCCGTAGGATTTGGCGCCGTCCGTTCCATTTCAATCATGGAGGCCGACGTGAGCCAAGGATGCAGGAGACGGCTGGAAGTCTTCTTTCACTTCGCAATAACCGCCATTCACCTATCAATCACCTCGCGTCCCAGTTCCTGACGAACTGGCTGTCTTGGCCTTGCTTGGCGTCTCGGGCCTCCCACGGACCTCCGCGCGGGTTGTCGATCTGAGGATCGCCAAGTTGGATGCAACCGTGGTATGTTGTCCGGATGACAGAAGAGCAGTCAAGGGGCAGGAAAGACGGAATTACCTAGGAGCGTACAAGGCAGAGTGAAGGGATATTTTAGAAGACAACGGAAAATTGACGGGTAACCAAGCCGGGTGAAAGAACCGGGGAAGGCATCAAGAATCGGTGTCTACCTAGTCGATCGCTTTCTAGGCCCAATTGCCGTCACACAGCCTTTTCTGCAGCTCTGCAGGGTATTTGAAATGCGACGGGACTCCGGCGCGATGCAACCTGGGGAGTCGTGGCTTGCCAAAGTCGCTCTATAAATTGCCCGGGGGTCCCCCCTAAAAGGATGTGCGCTTGCTGGTTGTACTGTACCACCCTACATCCTTCATCCTATCTTACTCCCAGTCCTCATCATGCGGTTCCCAATCTATGCCACAGCGCTGGCAGCAACTGCGTCGGCCCTTGTCATCGGCGAGCGAGCCTCGTCCGAGGATCGGTACATCCTCGAGTTGGCCCCCGGCGTCACCAAGGTGGTCACGGAGGCCGAAAAATGGTCCCTCAAGGCTGTAAGCAGATATGCTTCCTAGACCTGACATGGATGGTGGTTTCTCACTTGGATTGTTTTTCATCTAGGAAGGCAAGCGGTTCTTTGACATTACCGACGAAGTGAGCACCATCAAGACCGCCAATGTCGAAGACTCGCAGCAGCAGCTGGCCGTCACCTATCCTAGCAAGGTGCAGTATAAGGATACGGTGGAGAAGCTGATCCCCCAGTTGAGCAAGGCCAACTTCCAGACGGTGCTCAAGCCTTTCTCCGGGTTCCACAACCGCTACTACAAGAGTAACTACGGCAAACAGTCCTCGGAATGGCTGCAGGCCCAGATCCAGTCGGTTGTGGATGCTAGCGGAGCTAAGGGTATCACCGTCAAGCCCTTCAGCCACTCTTGGACACAGTCAAGCATTATTGCCACGATTCCCGGCAAAAGTAACAAGATCGTTGTCCTCGGCGCCCATCAGGACTCGATCAACCAGGCGTCGCCTTCCACCGGTCGGGCTCCCGGTGCGGGTGAGTTGACTAGCCGCCGTTGTCCCGCAATAGCACTGAAAGCTAACATGCGTTGCTTCTTCAGACGACGATGGCTCCGGAGTGGTGACAATCCTCGAGACGCTTCGGGTCCTTCTGAAGGATCCGAAGGTGGCGGCGGGCGAAGCGACTAACACCATCGAATTCCACTTCTACTCGGCCGAGGAGGGGGGACTGCTGGGCAGCCAGGCCATCTTCCGACAGTATTCGTCGCAGAGCAAGCAGGTGGTGGCGATGCTGCAGCAGGACATGACGGGCTACACGGAGGGCACCAAGAAGGCCGGCAAGCCCGAAGCCATCGGCGTTCTCACCGACTACGTCGACGCCGGACTGACCAAGTTCCTGAAGACTATTATTGACACGGTCGGTCGCTTTCCATTCGTGTGACCTGTGAGCGTGGTGACTGACCGGACCTGCTTTCCATAGTACACAACCATCTCCTGGGTGGAGTCTCAGTGCGGATACGCCTGCTCCGACCACGCATCAGCCAACCGATATGGATACCCCAGCTCCTTTGCCTTTGAGTCGGAGTTTGGAGACGACAGTCCCTACATCCACACTGCGCAGGATACAATCAGCACGGTCGACTTCGATCACGTGTTGCAGCATGCGCGCCTGTCTCTGGGCTTTGCCTACGAACTTGGCTTTGCCTCGCTGTGAGGACTGATGGAAGGCAGCGATGGCGTTCAGGGGTCGGAATACATACTAAATGTGACCCTGGTCCTAAGATATCTGACATGTATGGAGTGAACTATATGATGATCTGATAAGATGTGCCGCTATCGACCGGGGTATTTCCGTCACATAGATTATGAAATCGAGATAAATCAGACCAGCTGGTCGGAATGGACCTTGGTTTTGTGCATGATGTAGCTAGGAAGGAGGAATTGGTAAGAGACTTCCCCTCTGACTCCAGGATCATTGGGAGAATTGGAAGTCAGCGTAAGTAGCGTGCTGTCAAGCCAAAGAAACGAGGATCTGAATGCATGTAGGCAAAAGACCTCCAGAAAGGGCCAAGGGCCAAGTCCCAAACAAAAGGGGCCATGTCAAATGCCAGGTTGCCCCGCCCCCCACTGCAGGTGGGGACTGATTGATAAGGCACTTAAATTGTTCTGGCTGTGATGGTCGCTGTAACGCTGCCCCTTTCACCGATCCTCCGACCTTTGATCTCCTGTGCCCCTCTTTTCTCCGCTGCCGTAAACCGACACGCCATGCTGAACCCGTCGCAGCCCGGTTGCGCACCTTTCAAGGTCCTGGTGGTCGGGGGTTCCTATGCCGGGTTGGCCGCCACGCTGAACCTGCTCGATCTCTGCCAGGGTCGTCGCCGTCGCTTCTCGTTGGACCCGGCTGATGAGGGGCCTCAACTGACGGTCCCGGTGCAGATTACCATAGTGGATGAACGGGATGGATTCTGTATGCGCATTGATCTGCAAGATTTTCTTGGTTACATTTGAGAGCCATGGCTGACCGGAGGCGTTGTAGATCATTTAATCGGCGTGCCGCTGGCCATTGCCTCCGAGGACTACGCGCATCATATCTGGAAGACATTCGATGACATTCCCGCTCTGCAGACTACCGAAATCCGGCGCATCCAGGGACGAGTCGTCAATGTCGACTGCGAGACCAAAACTGCTCGTATTGAGGACATCACAAAAGGGGGGACGGTGACCGAAGAGAAATACGACTATTTGATCGCATGTTCTGGCCTGTGGAGGGACTGGCCCAGTGCACCCAAGTCTGTTACTCGACACGACTACATAGCCGAAGCGACGCAGTGGGTAGAAGATGTCAAGAACGCGACGCAGGGAGTCGTCATCATTGGGGGAGGTATGTGCTCGGTCGCCTGAATCCCTCGACGCTTTCACTGAGAACTTTGTCCAGGCGCCGTGGGAGTCGAGATCGCGACGGAGATCAAAATGATGCAACCCCAAGTCAAAGTCACTCTCATTCACTCGCGCTCCAAGTTACTCTCCTCGGAACCCCTCCCGGATGAGTTTAGCACCAAGACGCTCGCGCGCCTTCAGTCAGATGTAGAAGTAATTCTTGGCGTGCGAGTACAGCAAACTACCGCCCACGAGAGCAACGGGGCTGGCGTGGCATCCGGATACACGCTGACGCTCTCGGATGGCCGACAGCTGCAGACAAGCCATGTTATCAACGCCGTGTCGGGGTTCTCGCCCACGACATCTTACCTTCCAGACGCCGCCTGTGACGAAGAAGGCTACGTATACATCACGCCGCAACTGGACTTCGCTGGCGATGTTCCTAACGCAGGAGACCACTATGCAGCGGGAGATGTGGTTCACTGGTCGGGAATTAAGCGCGGAGGAGCGGCAATGCATCAAGGTCACTATGCCGCCTTTAATATCCACCAGAAAATGTACGCACAGCTCTACGGGTCTGAGATCAACGTGCTAGATCTGGCAGAGGTGCCGCCCATGATGGCGCTGGCGCTGGGGAAGCAGGCGGTGGGTTACTTCCCAACGACGGGGCTCTCGGAGGGGAACGAAGTGCTGAAGACCTTTTTTGGTGACGATTTGGGATTCATGAGTAAGACGCCCGGTTCATTGTGAGAAAGTCGCTCCTGTGTACTGACTGGGTCAACAGTTTGTTGGAACTGGATGCGGCTAGGAGAAGCACCGCCGGCATGAGGAAATTTCATTCGAGTCGAGCACTTCTTAGCAGGGCCGACGATAGAGCGCTCCACCGTTGATAGTGTGTCTATATAAAACCATGTTTAATGAATCATGACAAGCATTGAATTATTGAACAAGACCTGGGACAGAAATCCACATATGGAGCTTATAAAACACGCGTCCAAGGTGGCACTAGAGTCGGTGGTGCGCATGCAAGCGAGTTTTCCTTGACCCTGAGAGAGCGTAGCCTGTACTGCCCCTCTCCAAACTCTTATAGTCTCGTAATGCAAAGGCAGTCCGGCCACAAATGAGCGCATCAACAGAAGCCCGACCGTCCGCGGAAGAACAGGTCTTTCAGCGGCCGAAAAGAGGCAGACAACGCGGACACGAACGCCACGTTCCCAAATCCGCCGTAGCCAAGAACATCTTCGCCCCGCGATGTCAGCAGTGGCGTCCGGCCAGGCCTCGTCAACTGCCTCTATTGGCGCAGAATCGCCTTTGCAGCGGTCTTTCCAAACCCCGCGGACATATCTTGCCGAGTTGCTGTCCGGGGAAACGAGTATAAAAGGACCCCCAAGCACTGGTGGCTACTGCTCATGAAGTAATGAACCGAGCAATTCAGTCTATTGGTCAATTTTGCAACAGGTAACAGGAATCGAAAGCCTTTATTTTACGATGCGAACCATCTTGCAGCCAGACCTCACGTCTACTCGGCTGGAATTAGTTGATCGACCGGTCCCTATCGCCAACCCCGAGGCTGACGAGCATCTCATTCGCGTGCATTGCACGGCCCCTTGTGCCGGCGAGCTCTTCTGGCCATCGATAGTCTCGGTGCCCGACAAGGAACCGGTGCCCTGCGACGACGTGGCCGGCACCGTCGTAACGGCACCGCCCAACTCGCCCTTTCGACCTGGGGACGAGGTCTACGCGCGCAGTAACTACTTCCGCCCCGGATGCGCGCGCGACTATACGGTAATCGTGACGGATGAGCTGGCGCACCGGCCGCAGAATATCAGTTGGGTTGAATCGGCTGCCACGCCACTCTCCGCCGAGACGGCCTGGCAGGCGCTGTTCGAACAGTCAGGCATTGGTGGCATCGACAGCGAGGCTTGGAAGAACAAGCGCATTCTAGTAACGGCAGCGTCGGGTGGCGTAGGCACCTGGCTGCTGCAGTTGGGGCGCCTCGTGGGCGCGCAGGTAATCGGCACTTGTGGGCCAAAGAATGTGGAATTGGTCAAGGCCTTCGGGGCCGCTGAGGTCCTCAATTATCGCGCCGATTCGCTTAAGGAATGGGGCCAGAATGAAGCGAACAAGGTTGACTTGGTCGTTGACTGCGTCGGGGGGAAGTCGCTCGAGGACGCCTGGTGGTGCGTTCGAGATGGCGGCGTCCTTATCAGTATCTACCAGCCTCCAGATAAATTGCGCCCGAATGATGTCAACGTAAAGGACGTGAAGGACATATTCTTCATCATGAAGCCACGCCGGTCGGATTTGGAGGAAATCACCAAATTGGTGGAGGCAGGCAAGTGCCGTCCACTGGTCGACAGCGTGTGGCCATTGGAGCAGTTTCAGGAGGCCTTCGATCGCCTGGGAAGTGGCCACGCGCGAGGAAAAGTAGTGCTGGATCTGATGCTGAACGTGCCCCGAGATTAATTCACGAGGGAGGTTGACACTGGAACGTCCCTAAGGCTTTTGTGGAAAAGAAAGTGACGAGTAATGCCAGGATATATGCTAATAATATTCATTGCGTATCGGGAATCTATGCAAGAAGATCTTGCGTGGCTCGTACATGCCCTATGGAACGCTGCGATACGTCGTGTTGTTGTTCAACATCTCCAGGTCATCCGTGTCCCACTGCTTCTCTTCGCGATTGGAGACGATCTTGCTAGGATGATAAACATTGAAGATGATGCAGCAGAGAAACATGAGGGCAGCGTCGAAGACGTACAAGTAGGCTTCCGTGCCCTGCAGGGCGCCGTCACTGCCTTGGACATACTCAGCCACTCGATAGACCGAGCGTACCATGATAAGTACGCTAACGACGTAGAGAACCTTCATGTATTTTGTCCACGGGAGCCGACTAGATACCATTTGGTGCATCGGCGTGGCTAGCATGCGTCGGTGAAAGACGATAGAGACGACGATGAAAAAGCCAAAGAAGACGATCTGCACGAACAGACCCACAATGATCATGTGTTCTCCCAGATCCTTCTTGTCTTTGCTGTCTGCCTTAGCCAATATACCTCCTCCTGCGCATGTATTAGCCTCCCAGTCATAGTTAGGCGGGTGCTTCACTCGAGTTCCATACCTCCACTCTGGATGAAGAACGACAGGACGTCGCCAGTGACGAAGATCTTGGTCAGCCAGGAGGGCCGGATGAGGGAGACAGAGCCGGCGTTTAAGAGACGAATGATGCGGCCCAGAATCATGTACACAGAGGCGGCGAACAGAGCCGGGGCGAGCAATAACATTAGGCTCTGCCCGATGTAGGGCTTCATCGTCCAGTCGGGAGTTTCGGTGGAGCTGATAAATCGGCATAAATATCCCAGGGCCTCAACTACAATCACCCCATAGGATTAGTGGGTTGAAGATGAACGGGCTCTAGCCAGAGGAGACTTACAAATGCCACCGATGATGAACGGAATAAAATACCACGTTCTGGATCGGAACATCTGCCACAGATGTGTGACTGTCGTCAGACCAAAAACCGCGGCGAAAGCCACGGCGGCGGCACCGGACGGATCGTAGTGATAGAATTTGTAAGCCATGATCGCTTGCTAGATTTGACGGATGAAAGAAAGTTGAGAGACGGCAAAAAGAACGTGAAGAAAGGTTCTAGAGGAAAATTAGAAAGAAACCGAAATGGATGGTGAACGAGAGTAAGAATGAAAGACAGTGCAAATGAGCGTCTAGGTACGGACAATTCACGATAGTCGCCGAATCATCAGGTGGGATGAAGGCATGATGGGTGTATATAACTGAGAGAACAGGAGATCCAAATGGCCGCCTGAAGGGGCTCACATTGTCTCGACCCTGTGCGAGTATCAGATTCTATCGATGTTGTTCCAAGAATAACATCCGGAGACGCTTGTCCCGAAACGGCAGCTGGTACGAAGTACGAACTGCGCCGGACCGATGCCGATAGTTAGTGGCCTGGCTTAAATGCCACAGAGTAATGTTAATCACCGCCACCTCTGGCCCCGAAATCTCTGCTGATACGTATACGAGACCCCAAACAAGGTTTGAAGTTTCAACGCCTGCCTTGTGCGATCGAAGTCATCATTATTGTGACTGCCTTCGAGCGCCGACTGGTACATACTCCGTAAACCCTTCGGGAATATCTTGGCGTCTACTCAGCGTAGGTACTGTCTGCATCGAATTCTGGGGCGAGCTCGTGGATCTCCGTAATGAGAGTTGGAGCACACGGCTACTCACCACGATAACATGAATATATAGAGATCAAGAAGTGATGAAATTGCCAAATGTTGCCGAGATATCACCTCGCGCGGTCGTTCGAGAATTCTCGAAAGCACGGGGTAGTTAGGGTGCTGCACATCACGTGAAGCGAAGAAATCCCCGATCTCCTCGATCAATGTCGAGAGTGGATAGATTGGAGGACCTTTCATTCCTTATCGATGGCAAGCTTCGTATACGTACCGATTCTCTTCGAGAGTCGAGCGACAGCCAGTGTGGCCGATCCTCTCAACTTCAATTTGCACGGGACCCACCCAGGCCACAAGGCACCCCACCCAGAGCTAGGCCCGACCGGGAGCGGCGTACGAGAACGAGGTTCCTCGCCCCCCAATCTCCCTCCCCTTTGGCACCGCCCATGCGCATCCAAAGATGGCACTTATGGCTGGATCAATTCTTATATTTTCTCATTATGGGCCTGTTCGTCGGGAAAGACATATATACCCCCGGAGTCCCACCCGGAGACTGGAGTCTCTGTGCACTATCTATTACTAGCAATATCACCACTTGCGGCCGACTTCACATCTACAGTGTGCAGTGCCTCTCAATACCCTCTGGCCAGCCATGGAAAATTTTACATTTTACTATTACAAGCCTTCGGGTCCGGCTGCAGGCATCTTTTTGGTGCTGTTTGGCCTCAGCACCCTTTTGCACTTCTACCAACTTATCCGCACGCGAACCTGGTTCATGATCCCCTTTTTTATCGGAGGAATTTGTACGGCATTCTGTCCTTAACCAACCCAGACGTCTGGATGCTGACTTGCTTGTGTAGTGGAAACCATCGGTTACGTTGGCCGTTTGCTCTCCTCTATAGAGTCCCCCGATTTCACCAAAGGCCCCTATGTTATGCAAAGCGCCCTGATCCTCATCGCCCCGGCTTTCCTCGCGGCTAGCGTCTACATGACTCTAGGTCGAATCATTGCCATGCTGCAAGCAGAAAGATACTCGGTCATTAAGCTGCGGTGGTTGACCAAGATATTCGTCGCGGGAGACGTACTATCCTTCCTCATGCAGGCATCAGGTATGTCTGCAGCAGTCCTACTGCTGGGTTGTCTATCGATTAAGCCGTTCATGAACTGATGGTGAGAAGGTGCTGGCATTATGGTGAAAGACTCGACTGATCCCACGACCGGTGAACGAATTATCATCGGTGGTCTGTTCGTGCAGATCATCATGTTCTCCCTCTTCGTTATCACAGCCATCGTATTCGAGATCCGAATGGCTCGGGCCCCCGTAAATGCTTCGCCAGAGGCATCGCAAATCTGGCGCCGACATATGATTGCACTCTACGCGACTAGCGCTCTAATTCTGGTTCGATCGATCATTCGAGTCGTCGAGTACCTCGACGGGTACGACGGATATCTGATGAAACACGAGGTATTCATCTACGTCTTTGATGCACTTTTGATGTTTCTGGCGATGGGTGTCCTGCACATCGTCCATCCCAGCCAAGTCAATGCTCTCCTGGGCCGGGGCGACCTTTTCATCGAAAAGGTCGTGATGACTCGCAAATCCGTCGCTGTCCCACCAGTGGAGATGCATGGTGCCATGGAGGCTTAACAATCGAGATAGTCCTTAATATTGATGATTCTACGGCATATGACAATGGGAGACTGTGACATCTGTGTTTCAAAATTTTCGGAGTCAAATAGGACTGGCGTTTCGATGTATTATATTGCTACTGGCCATGGAATTTCAAAGGTTGTCTTTTTTAAACATGTTAGCTCTCAGAAAAGGCGTGTTCACGTAGCAGATTTGCTATGACAACAGCCAGTAGTGTTGAATTGCCGAGCCCTGTGTGGGCACAAATGCATCCGGTTGACCTCCCTCGGGTTTTTTGTCCTTTGTTGGGTTCCTCTTTGTGGCTCTCTAGAGTCCATCACTTTCAATCTTCAGGTGGAAAATGCCATCCCGGGAACAAAGGAACTACATTACCGATCAACAAGACTATGTGCTCGCCTATTATCCGCCATATATTCCTCATCAAAATCTTGATCTTCCATCACGATCTTCGATCATGATGCCGCACAATGACATTCTCCGGTCAAAGACATCTTTACTCAATCTCTATGAAAGACTTGGATGGCGCTATAAATAGATCTCTGATTCAGTTGAAATTCGGCTTCCTTGACCACAGCCATCCCATCATCCCATCATCCCATCATTATTCTTTCCCTCACCCTCCCTTTTCTAGCAAGTCGAAAGCCTTGGAAGCCACCAACATATTAACCGATAGAGGGAAGGAGCTGACGTAAAGTGATATTGCTTTCATTTCTTTACTCTGGGTTTGAAAATCGCTGCGTAACAAACCCGAGAAAAATGACCGACCTTGTTTTCCAATCGCGCTGGGACTGGCTTGAGCAGGAGCACGGAATGGAGTTCGGGAACCCTGGAGGTGAAGAGATTGTCGTTCGCGTGGATTCCCTATGGTACAGCGGCGCGTCTATGAACCTTGTATTGGAGTCGATTCAAAAAAGCCTGGCAAATCGCTACATGTCAGGCGACTTTCGCAACCCCATATCTGCGCCCGTAGATGGGCATGTCCGTATTAAGATTGGTTATAGGCTCTGGGATTTTGATCGCTACTTTGATGAATTCGAGAAGGAGCATCCCGCAAAAATCATCGAGCGTATAAGACAGCTTCTCTTGCCCCTAGCCACCCGCGAGCCGTACAAGGACACCACCGTCTGGGGAAGAATGGGCGACGTGTCCGTCCCCAGCATGGTGATTGAAAAAGAAGAAACATAAGATCCTTTGATTATCGTTAAAGTCTGTGTCACTGTCGGGGTATGTTACTATTGTATTCTTTACCAAACCAAGCGCAAATTGAACGAGATTTTTGAATGACCAATAGACAATAGCATGCTGAATGTAAGTGTTATTTCCCGGATATAGCAGTAAAATAACTGAAGTAATCCGATACGTTCTCGTCACGTGAAACATAATCAGGACCGAAGTAGAGTAAAAAATCTAACCGGGATATTTCTTAGGAGGATGATGTGGTTTCGTTCCTTTCACTCCTTTGACCTGGAGACTCCTCCCAGCTTCTCAGTCGAGAGATGGCGTGAAGAGAGTAGATCACTGCAGTCCCCTGGGCCAACGGCACAAATATCTAGTACTTATATAAAAAAGCCTCCGAGCCTCATCGCATAAAGAAAACCGAAATAATGTGCGAAAAATGTTCGTTAGGCATATACAACCATTTGCATCCCCGTTCTCGGAACATCAACTCATCGGCGATCTCCACTACCAACATGGGTCTTCGTATGACTGAATACTACATCTCTCCACGACTAAATCTCGAGGATAGATATCAATCATTGGAATTTGGCTCCGTGGATCGGCGCAACGAGAATGAGATTGTTATACGTGTGCCAGTCCCTCTGAGCGAGATTCGACCCCATAGGCTGATGCCACTGACATACATCACCATGGAACTCGGATTCCGGATTCATTGGCGACATTTTCGAAATCCCCGGGAAACCCTTCGAGGCTACATAATGAAGATAACCTTCAATCTCCGGTTTCTACTAATGGATCCGCCACAAATGACCCCCGAGATAATTTTCGGAAAAGTGCAAATGATCCTTGAACATCAGGCAAGATCACGTTCTTTGCCTAATTCAGACTATTTGCACTTGGTGGAGGATACACCTAATGGACAGATGGTCTATCTCAAGATGACTGAAGGAACAGTCACCGGGTTCTGCCGCCCATATCTAGAATGCCCAGAAAGATCCGTTTGTCTTTCAGTCAGCTCCTTGATACGCCGTGGGCTTATTCTAGCGCTTTGCCAGAATTGAACGTGACAAAGGTACATTGTGATTGGGAGGCAAAGTGCCCTATTATGGAATCCGTTTTGAACGACATACTCTGTGCACAGGGTAGTCACTTTAATCAAAAGTGCCAGATGCCTCCTTGCACACGCAAAGATAAACAATCGTGTGTAACAAAGAGCATAAGAAATAAAGATACCTTCGGAAGCTTCCGCAGATCTCCGATAAAATATCCACAATGACCAATATCGGGTTGATGATCTTCATTTTTAGGCTACCAAAGAAAGTATAAATAAAGTGTTGACTCCGCATGAGCCCAGTTGATATTATGACCTCCATCAATCGACGACTTTCATCGCAGGTACCTTCCAACTTTGATATAGACCCCTGACCAACGTTAACCACCTGTATCAAGATCTTTATCCTTCAAATTCTGCACAATGTCAACCGGCTCATCCGACCCCTTCTGGGAGCGACGGTGCCGGCTTGAGCGGGACTACAACATGGGATTTTCGCCGATCACTTCCAAGTACGACCCCTTTTCGGTCACTCTATATTTCGATGTAGTGCTACCCATGGCAGCCCCGACTATCCACGAAATAACCTGCCAGATAACTTACCAAATCGAACAGTGTCTACAAACCCGCGCTTACCGGCGGACTACTATTTTGCTGCCACCGACGAAAACTCGCATGAGTGTCACGTTCGACCTACGCAGGTTCGGACCTGTCCACGATCCGAGAAAAACGACCCCGCAACTGATTTACAAGGCCATCATCAAAGAGCTTCAGCGATATGATAATGACTGTCGCAAATTCACGAAATTGGAGAGGAGGTATCAGATTGGGGAAGGGATGGCTCCATACCTTTGCGTACAAATGGAACCACGTAAGGAATTCTGAACACCGCTTCCGTCCGGAAATTCTTGTCAGTTGATCTATATGTGAGTTCCAATGGAGGAGAGACAATGAGAGAAAGAGAGTAGACAAATAAGAAAGCTCACAAGCAAGTATTACACGGATACAGTAATTCAAGAAAAGGTATCCACAGAATTGTAATGATATATTTTCTAATCAACGTAGGAAAATGTCATCTAGCCAGAGAGAATTCCCACAAACAAGCAATCCGAACAGAAAGCATTTGACGATCGCATTGATCCCCTTCAAACATAAAAGATCAAGATGATCAGATACATCGAATCCACAATATGCAAAGGGCCGGGTCCATAGAGTCGTCACATTGGCTCCCCGGTGCAAAGGGCCGGGGCATTGCCCGTCTTTAGACCGATTAGAACCATATACGCTTTCACTGAGCCCCTGCGGTGTTTTTTTTATTTTCCTTTGAGCTACGAGGGTCTCCATTTAACATGGTCCGGGTGGGCAAGCATGGGGATCTATGGAGGAGGCACCGAGATGCCTACCAACACGGCCGATTTCATAAACCACCCGATTCCTCAAAAAAGAAGACCGCCGCCCAGCAGAGCCTGGAGAACGTCACCTGCCCTCGGTTTTGCCTTAAATCGTTGTCACCTGTCATACATATTTCATGAAGGCCTTAAGCTCAGCCAGATCATCAAAGTATGTTGCATTCTCCGTCTTAAACTCATGACACCGTTGGAGAAAACTCCCATCAATCGTGAGGAAGCCTACAAATCTATCAGCGGACTTTTCGCAATGTTGGAAGCTTTTGTATCGATGTTATGTAATCTAGCATACTAGGAGTATAAGAAACACGTTCTTTGTCGGTGGACAGTATAAAACTACGTAATTCTTCCACAAGAAACCGGATCAAGAACTTTTGCTACTTTAACCACCGATCACCAAATGTTCGAGCGCCCCTCCTGATGTAAATAAAACATTGCTTCAAGCAGTATGCCTTAAGAAGCGGAGAGTGCATTGCGCAGCACCTGGTTCAAATGGCATTGGATAAGGCTATCACGCAGGCCATACAGATGAACAATCTGGCCTAAAGCAACCAGAATGTGAAAGATCTGATGACTAGCACCCTGCGCTGGAGAATTAGAATTTGGATTAAAGGGCAGAAAGCAGACAAGCGTACCAGTAAATCAAACTTTCGAGGCCAAAAGCGCTCCGGAAACCTAGATATATAGACAACGGTTCCGGCCGCATATGACATGCATGTAACGGACAGAGTTTCCAAAGGAAACGTGCCCAGTCCTGCTGCTCCCTCGACAAGAGATACATGACATATGGGTGCCAGTCCGCTGGCTGCCAAAAGAAGGAATACGGTGGCTCTGTAACATAACAAATTAGCAAAGCGAACAACGACAGCCGTGTAAAGTAGCTAAGCATACCTCCAATGCCCAGCTTGAGCTCCGTCCATGCGAGGATCAAGTGCAACCCAAAAGACCAATGCAGCGCAGAATACAGTGAAGGATATATACATTGTCTGAAGAATCGGGGAATTGTAGAGCCCGAAATATGTCACCGATGTGCACGTCGTAGATATAGTCATGATAATTCCCAGGTAGTCGAGTTTAAGAAAGACCGTCGCAACCTCCTCTGAATGGGCATTTGTGGCATGAAATACCGCCTGAAGCATGTTAGACAATTTTCACTTCGGCTCTCACACACCCAACACTCACAGAGAATATGAGGCATCCGGCCGTCCCGGCGATGTAAGATTGAATTGCCAGAACATCCGCCAGACTGACATCGAATGGTATGTGAGACACCCAATACTCGACCGCTAGGAGCAGCGCAACAAAATAGGCACCGGGAAGGAGATGAGACCAGGTATTGATAGATTCGTTATGGAGATAAAACAAAGACCAAAAGCATTCTTCGAAGGTGTCCAGTTGTGGTCTGTACCAATGCATAATATATGGATCCAACTGCATCCATTTTGGAAGGCGTGAGACGTGGAATACCTGTTGTTTAAGGGGGGCAACCGGTCTTGCGTACTTCTGCTTCCCTGCCTTAGGGGGCGAAGGCTTCAGCAAGAACGAGAGACCGAGACGCAGAGATTCGGATGCCATGATCTATGAGAAAATATCATCAGAGAATGCAAGATTCAACTGGAAGAAATCATTTGGTGAACGCTGGTTACTACACCTGCCCCCTGCTATAAATACGATGACCGAGATCGGTCAGGTAGGGCCGCGGATACCGAAGTCAACACGGGATGACGCCAGCTACATCAGTGACAATAGATGGTTCAGGCGAATGACTCCCCACTCCCAGAGGTTAAATCAATCTAATCCAGAGAAATCCATGCTAATCAGGGGGGCTGGAGACCGGTTCCAGGGCCATGGAACCCGAGACAGCAGCTGCCAGCATTTCCATTACCGGAACCCATTTGATAAACACCCATACATGAAGCCAGGAATGAATATTCAATCGGACCTGTTTCGGGATTCACCTTCCATGGGATGCCAGACCTGCCCTCCGAGTCCCGACTGCACCTGTGAGGACGAGAACCAAGGCCATAAGCAGCTCGGAAACGACACCCAAACGAGCAGGAGGGTGGCAGGATCCTTGGAATGCATGTCAATTTGGTATTCTTGCAGGCCAGAAAGCTACCAAACACCCGTATACTGAGAAGTACATGCGTCTCGGTCTTCAACATAGTTCGTATATAGCCATACTGTATATGACATACCACCCTCCATCGATATAACAGACGATACGATACGCCATCATCCCTTACCATACCGGACTGACGTGGCCCCAGAATAAGCTTATCCGCCGTTGCGTCCGACAGCCACCAAATGCTTACGAGTCCTGCCCAGTGAGGACCGCCGTACGCCAGGCTCTCTGATTGACCACTTCTGCCATGCCTTCATGTGGCTAGCGCCTTCTGGTTGTCGTGGAGGCTGAGTCATACCCAGCCGCATAACTAAGTTATCGCTCTGCCTCGGTATATCGAACCTCTTGCTCCGCCATGATTTGCAATCCACGACGCAAGCAATGACCTCCACTGGCTTCGCAACTTCCTAGTTCCATCTCGTTTCCGGAGTGGTGACGTTCTTTCGATTGCCAGATCTGATAGGGAAGAGGCAACCGTCTAGTCATGGCCCCCGTTTACAAGATTGCCGTTGTTCAACTCTATGTGAAGGTAAGCCTCGTGTTAACCCTTCTGTGCAGGATGACGAGCATCTGCTCTAAACCTATAAACTCTCTGCTAACACGACAATCTCTGTCATAGCCTTTCCGCCCCGTGGGAAATTTCGCAAAGGCCACCAAATTCATTCGAGATGCGGCAGCACAAGGGTGTCACCTCGCCGTTTTGCCAGAGTTCCATCTGACGAACTTGATTCCAGACGATCCTCGGTTCGCACCTCTGTGTGATGAATGGGAAACATATTTGCAGAGGTATCAAGCGCTGGCCAAAGAATGCGATATCTGTATTGTGCCCGGATCTATCGTGCGACCCACCCCCGGCGCATCATTCCATCCACCGGACATGCCGAAGCTTGAGAACGTGGCCTACTTCATATCAAACACGGGGGAAATTCTAGGATCCTATACGAAGAAAAACCTCTGGGGCCCAACGGAAAGAAAGCATCTGCGCTCCTCGGGTGATGCTCCGCATCAAGTCATCCAGACCCCCTTAGGACCGGTAGGGTTGCTAGTCTGCTGGGATCTGGCCTTCCCTGAAGCATGGCGCGAGCTCGTATACCAAGGCGCCAAAATTATCATCTTGCCAACCTTGTGGACACGAAGCGGTGCTTCCGATGCGGGCCATCGCTGGAACCCTTCGGCCGAGTCTCTGTTTCTCGATAGTATCATGACGGCGAGGGCATACGAAAATACCTGCGCCGTGGTATTCGCGAATGCCGGAGGACCACCGGGACGCAATTACTGTGGACATTCGCAGATTACCATCCCCTACGCAGGCCCACTGGTTCATCTGGGAACCTCCATCGAAGGTATGGCTATAGCAGATCTTGACATGCAGGTGTTGGAAGACGCCGAGACCAATTACTCCTTGCGGGCGGACTTGACCCAGGAGGATTGGCATTATAGACATACGCGCCGAGGTGGCCATGCACCCTCGAGAGGAAAACTGTAAGCCTTGTTGCAAAAGTGAATACATGTCAATTTCCCTCCATGGGTGATTCAATATTGTTACATTGACGACCGTTTATTTGTAATGGAAAAAAGGGCTGTGTATAACTAACATCGTCGACGACCCTACCCATCCCTCTGCTCGGACGTTATTATAGATAATTTTTAGCATTCAATATCTCAATTTCCCGAACTATCTGATGGTTGAAACAGCAGTCTCTTTCCTTCTCGAATCCGCTGATACTCGTATATTGTTGGTGTGACTTAAACTCAATCGCACTTCGCTCTTTGGAATCGTGCCTGCATTGGGCAGATGTCACGTCCTGGGTCCTGATCCCCTTCAGGGAATGGTCTCTGGATAGCGTAGCCAACGTGATGCGCCATGCGGTCGACGAAGGCGTTTGACTCCGGGGAGTAGTGCTACCCGAGTCAGCAAGAAGAATCAATATAACGAAGCAAGGGAATCCTACCGCCATTTCCCTTCGCTGGTAATTCTTGGGAATATCCTCATCCAAGTAAAATGTCTTCACATCATCCATGTAGAGCGTCGTCCATCCGTGCTTACCCTTTCTCCCCAAAACGCCCACCATATTTGTATACTGGGCACTATCTGATTGTCAGATCATGGGTTCAGCGGTTGAGACATGTCAGGTCTTACAGTGAACAAATCGCCCCTTGGTTTCCAAACACAAAGCTTGGATTTTCGGCCTTACTCTGGTTATGTCGTAGGTGATGGTGCTCCGCAAGATCTTCCAAGGTAAAGGTCACGCCATCCTTGGAAAACGATAGAAGTGATTCAAAGAGTGTCATGTTAATGTTGACATTGTCACCCACAGCACGGTCATTTCGCGTGGGTGCGGCAGGACAATTGATCACGTACTGAACTAGATCGTCCTAATCCATCATCAGTAGTTATCCATCTCAATCGTAGGATGACTGGATACATTGAAGTTGTCCAAATCAATGGTTTCCGGCCAGCCATGCATCGCGAATGTCGGGGCCAAAACAAGCATACTCTGATTCGATTAGTCAGTTTTCTAAATGTAAAACCAGCTGGGGACCGACATTATCGTCACCAAAGTTCCATACCCTTCGAACGGCGTGAGCAAGGTCGGTATAGGAAACGTTGCGACCGCTTCGGTTGATATAACCCCTGTTGGCCAAAGCATTTATCGCTGGACAAGAGGATCTTCGATACTCCCCATTGTGAGAGCCATTGAAGAAGCGTTCATAGTAATTGACCCTTTCATCAATGAAGAAGTCTTTTTTCTCCGGCAAGATATGAGAAGGGGTAGGAATGAAAGGCTCATTCACCCCAAACCCTGGACTAGCTTCCTGGAGCACCCGCTGACGAAAGTCCACCGCAAACGGCCAGTCAATCAGGGCGGTCGACTGAGTGGAAAAGCTTAACAGGACTCCGAGAAAAGCAAAGAAATTCATCTTGTTCAGAGATGTGAAAAAAGTGGGCGGGCATGCTCTTCGACTGTAATCCCGAGTCGATGGCCTCATATACTACCGTAGCACCTCGAGGGCACAGTCAGATGCCGTCCTAGGAATTCAAAGAGCAACCGGTTGCTCGATGCGGTAACCTCCTCTACAGAATCTCGTACCCAGATCCCATCAACCGAAGGATCCCTCGGACCATATCAGTGCCAGGTTGTCGGTTCCTCCCGCCTAAGACCCCGTTAGTGGAGGTGTTACAGGTGGTACCTGCTCTCGTATCCCGTCCTGTATGTTATGTACGTATGGTGGATACGGTATTGCAATGTTACTTGCCGTATATGCTTCCCATTCGTACCAGAAACTGTATATCAAACATCTGCGCGGCGTTGGTCAATGCCATTGTAAACCTGGACATCGTGTTACTATCCCGACCTGGACGTCCGGTAACAAAGGGTCCATCTCCCAATGGGAATATTACTCCTCGGGATTGACTCACAGCAGCGTTACACCTGATGTATGTGGCTCGCCGCCAAAGATCTATACGGATAAGATTCGAGATCCCGCCTCTTCAGGTCGAGAGTACTGCTTGAATTGAACACGAGGCAGCCAAAATCAAGGATGCCAGGGTCTCGACGTCAAGTTGTCATCGGGTGCGTTCCGCGGGGTGCGCAACGGACAAGGACAAGGAGATATTAACCATGGTGCCGGGGGCTCTGCCGGATATATACGTGCATTGTTGTTGTCTCTGTACTCCATAATCATCAGTTTTGATCAATTAACCCTATAGATTCTCATTCAGTATGAGAGTGTCCTACGCCTTAACTGCCGGCCTAGTGGCCGTATGTCTCCCTGCCCTCGCAAGTCCAATAATTCCACAGTCCGTCTTATCGGCGTCTGTCCAGCTACCTGGGGATGGAGGTGGCCACTACTCCCTGGCCATGTTCGACCCAAAGCCGTGGGAGCGGCTATCAGAGATCCAGCTGGCTCGCGCGGGCTATCTCTATGGGCCACCTCTTCTTGGGAATACCTCTGCCTTTCCAACAGGCATCCTTGGAGATGCTATGGTCGCCCGTGATCGCGCCCTGTGGTTCAAAGATGTGGAATACGTGACCCAGAACGTCTATCCAGAGCTGGAGAAGGCAGCTGCAGCGCTTGTGCAAGTGAGTACAGTTGCAGGTCCCAGGCTCACTTTGGGCTGGCTAGCTAACCGTCTAATAGAAAGGTGGTCTAAGGGACCTTTCTAGCTTTCAAACAATCTACGAAGATCAATGGATCGCAACGGTTCCAGATGGTGTGGCCCCAGGCATGCTGAGCAATTGGACGCAAGATCTTTTGTTCTCCATGGAAAGGCTGTCTACCAACCCGTATGTCGTACGTCGGCTGCATCCGCGTCACGACACTCTTCCCTTCTCAGTAGAGGATCGTGTCGTGCGGCATCTGGCAGCCGGGAGAACCCTCGCAGACTTACACGAGGAAGGCCGTCTGTTCATCGGAGATCATTCCTACCAAGCCAGGTACCCAAAGACTCCAAATCGCTGGACGGCTGCCTGTACAGGCTACTTCTTCATTCATCCTTACTCGGCGGAGTTCCTGCCGTTGGCGATCAAGACCAACATGGGCCGTGATTTGACCTATACCCCGCTGGACGATGAGAACGACTGGCTGTTTGCAAAAATGGCCTTCAGCATGAATGACCTTTTTCATTCCCAGCTGTACCACTTGGCCAACACCCACGACGTGGCAGAACCGGTGCATCAGGCTGCTCTCCGAACAATGAGTTCTCGACATCCCGTGAGAGGATTCCTAGACCGATGTAAGCTACCTTGATATACAAACCCCGAACTATCCATTAACGGTTCTAGTGATGTACCAGGCATATGCCGTGCGTCCCATCGGGACAGAATTTCTATTCAACGAGGGTGGCTTCTACGATAGTTCATTTGCCCTGCCAAACTTCGCCGGTACAAAGTTCGCAACCGAAGCGTACTGGGGGCACGCAGGGCACTTTCGAGCGACTGGATTCCATCGCGACCTGGCAGACCGAGGCCTGATTGACTGTAAGTACGGCCCACAGCTGACATCGTTTCCTTTCTATTCGACTGCATCACCTATGGTAGATGCTATACAGGACTTTGTTCGTGAGTTCGTAGCGTCATACTATCCCTCCGAAGACCTCCTGGCTCAGGACCAGGAACTGCAAGCGTGGATCGTCGAAGCCAACGACGAGGCCGATGTGATCGACTTTTTCAAACCGCCGCTGGTGGACCATGAATCACTCACTTCGCTACTCTCACACGTGGCCTTCCTCTCCGGTATTGCCCATCATGCTCTCAACGGAGCCACAGTCGGCGAAGCCTCTGGAATCCTTCCTTTGCATCCGTCATCATTCAACCGCCCGCTCCCCGAGACCAAGGGAAGTATTACCTCCCTTCTCCCCTATTTGCATAACGAAACGGAGGCTATAAAGCAGGCCTCCTTGCTGGTGCGCTTCAATCGCCCCTTGCTCGACGAGCAGGAGGGCAACCTTCCGCATATGTTCTCTGGCGTTCAATTTCTTTCGCGAGCCGAGGTATCAGTGCAATCAGCCGAGTCACGGTTTCGGGAACGCATGTTGAAGATTAGTGACTCTATTCGTTCGATGGAGTTTGATGAGAGGGGACTATCGCAGGGGATGCCATTCATTTGGAGATCGATTGACCCGAGGAAGATTCCTTTTTATTTATGCGTCTAAGAATAACTGCTACGTGGTTATTTGCTGTGCTTCATGTTCTTGAAGACTGATATCGTTTCACAATATCTTTTTTGATGGTAGTGTTTCCAGAGCGTTGTGTTTATAAGTTGGGAGTTTTTGAGACTGTAACCCCGGATAAGCAAGATGAAATAACATGAGTACAACCCCATGTTAGATCAGAGTTTCGAGCTTTTGGGGGAGCTCCAATTCCAAACACGTTCCACTGCAGCCCAGTACTTCGTCGCATCCTGGGCCAAATGAGCACAATGGCCACTCCCTTCAAACAGAATCTCCTGCACATTCCATCCCTTCAGTCGGGCGTCTTCGGCGTGGTCCTGGATATCGCGCCAGTCCGTCATCTTATCTGCTTTGGAGTAAAGATAGCAGATGTTTCCATTAACTCCAGCATTGTACATCTCCTCCCCGGATTCGATCGTCTCGTCGTCTAGCAAGGTGCGGCGCATCAGAGCAGCCGGGTTCTCGTTACCGCAGGCAATCCAGGTATAAAGCAAGACGAGGAGAAAGTGTACCACCATCGAGCTAACGATGCGACCGGCCGGAGGTAGGGAAAAGACCATGGCGTCGTAGGATTTCCAGTAGGTGCCCTTCGCCGGCGAGCTATCGAGCACGATACCCACGAGCGGCAATGGCTCCTGGAGAGTCTCGCGCAGAGTGATCAGCAGCTGCGTGGCCGTGTTTGTCCCGCCATTAGAAAAGGTATGGAGCAATATCTTGGGACGATGCGCCTTCGAGCCCTCGGCGAGCGTGTCGCGAATCGCTCTGACCGCAGGTTGGATCCGGCGTCGTTGATGGGCATAACTGCTGACCAGAATGGCCACCTCGGACTCGATCAATAAGATCCGTGCGCCCGGAGCGACCGCACGATGCAGATCTAGGTACTTGCCAATATGCTTGGACGAGGCGCCCAGCCAGGTGCAGATAACGACCAGCTGGCCCGGGAGCGGCTTTTCCGGGTAGCTGAGCCAAGTCCGAATTCCCAAGGATTGGAACTGCGGAAAAGGATGCGCCATGGTGACCGTTGAACCAAGGCTACGACCCCCTGTCCAGTGTCCGCCGTAAGATGACAATTGGGCAATTTCCAGAAAAAGGTTGTGCCGAGGTCGGTGTCTATGGAAGAAGCAGGTTTCACGCGGAACAATCAGAGGACGACGGCCCTTTTATATTGGTTCAGTATCCCCCGGAGTCGCACGCACGCCTCGAGACCTCCCACGTCACTTCAGAACCAGGCCTTTTACAATGGCTTCCACCCAGCAAGGATCCTCTGCTCCCAAGGAGAGTCTCGAGGTCGATGCATCCCTGGATCTGGGTCCAGGTCCCTCGGTTGCTCCGCCTCCGCCGCCCAACGGTGGCTTCGCAGCCTGGATGGGCGTCTTTGCCGGCTTCCTGCTGTTCGTCACCACTTGGGGCTTCTCGACTGCCTACGGAGCCTTCCAGCAGCACTACCAGACCGATCTACTGCGCGACAGCTCGTCGTCGCGCCTGTCATGGGTCGGCACAGTCAATGCCTTCTTCCTCATCTCCACCGGGGCCATTGCGGGCCCGCTGTTTGATCGAGGGTTCCTTGTCCATGTCATGACTGCGGGGTGCTTCCTAACCACGCTGGGTTTGATGATGCTGAGCCTCTCGCATCAGTACTACCAGGTCTTGCTGTCCCAGGGATTCTGCTGCGGCATCGGAAGTGGCCTGATCTACGTGCCAGCCCTCTCCCTGGTATCCACCAGCTTCACGACGCGGCGAGGCATCGCCGTGGGAATGGTGACCACCGGCGCCAGCATTGGTATTTGCGCTCTCGTACTTTAACCGTCGAGTACAGGTGCTAACAGAACTAGGCGGCGTTATCTTCCCCGTCATCTTCATCCGCCTCCAACCGCGTATCGGCTTCCCATGGACCGTTCGTGTCATGGGCTTCATCCAGCTGGCCTGCTCATGCATAGCAGTGCCACTGCTGGCGGTCACTACCAAGCCCAAGCGGATCTCTCCGCGCCAGCTGATTCACTGGCACGCGCTGCGCGAATGGCACTTTGACGCTTACGCGATCGCCAATTTCCTTATGTTCATGGCGTACTTCATCCCCCTTTTCTACGTGCCCTTCTTCGCAACCCAGGCCCTCCACACCGCGTCCGACCTCAGCTTCTACCTGATTGCCGTGTTGAATGCGGGCTCCGCCGTCGGGCGTCTAGGCTCGGCCATGCTCACCAGGCGGTTCCCACCCTCGTTGATTCTACTAACAAGCGTGGTCGCGTCGGCGGCGCTGTTGTTCGGATGGGTGGGTATCACGTCCCTGGCCTCGTTCGTCGTTTTCTGCGTTCTGTTTGGCATCTTCTCCGGGGTACTTATCTCGGCGAACCCGCTACTCATCGCCCATCCGGTGGTCTCGCCCTCACCGGCGGTGATCGGGACCCGCATGGGCATGCAGTGGTTTGCCACGAGCGTAGGGGTGTTGATCGGAGCGCCCATCGCCGGCGTCCTCGAGGGACATGGTGGAAGAAATGGCTATTTAGGACTGCAGGTCTTCAGTGCTGCGATCATGGCGGGGGGCGCCGTGTTCCTCCTGGTGCCCATTCTTGCTGCGTGGCGATATGATCGGAGTCGGAAGGAATCGCGATGACGTTGTCAATGGAGAGACTGCCAAGTGGCAAAGCAGAAGTCTCTTACCAAAATGTGTCAAATACGTACACCAATGATGCCGGGGTTGATATGTAGAAAAGTGAGGAATTCAGGCTTTGAATCTATAGTTACCTTCGTATACATCCTCATCGGTAATCCGGTACGTACTGTTTACATACTGGTACGATCTGGTATGTTCCGGTATGTTATTATAGGGTACTCGTACCATACCGGGTATGGATACGATACGATACCATATATTTCCAGGTTCGTTCCATAACTGACTTCTGTCCATCCAAACATCCAAACTGCGCTCTCTCGAACTTTCCCCAGCTGTCATTCATGTCATCCCATGGCATCCAGAACTATGCTAGATGCATCCGGTCGGCAGCCGCGTGCCTGCTTGGCGCACCTCAGCCACGCCACATCTGGAACGCCCACCGTTGACCTCAACCATGTGTCTCCAATGTAGATGGTCGAACTAGAACAAACGTCAAACTTAGATTTGCACCGACACGACACTGCCTGAATGGTGGCGGGCAAGCTCTACTTCGAGGTCGTACGGACTGCTCCTCCCTGGCGCCTTTGACTTCAACAGACAACCGCTGACGACGCCCAGAGCGAGTACCCGAATGGGGCAGCAGATCCATATTCCCCTGAGTCCGAGTCCGAGTCCAGAGGGAGTACATACTTGTCCTCTGGTATCCACCCCTCCTAGAGGCTTCCGAGATGCCTGATAGACTCCACGGACAACGGACCACAGACTCCAGGGTGCAGAGGCCGAGACCTGAACCGCATTCTAACTCCGCGGCTGACAGCCTGCTCTCGGACATGCGTCTCGATGTAGTAACCCCTAGCGAGGCTGAGGTATCAGGCTTCAGGAATCTTGAATGCGGTATGAGCTATCCATGGCCCCAGTCCCCCGATACGAGTACCGTAGGAATCCAGGACGAAGCAGCCAGGTTTCCCCTCGGATGTTGATACGAGCTTATATGGAACGCAAGGCTCGAGATAGCTTAAATGAAGGCGTTGAGCGTCTTATGCCTTCGCCGCCTTCCGTCTGTTTATTGGTTTCCATATCCTGTCATCATCTCACATCTTTAGGATTTCCACCGTGTCAAGCGTCATGGATAGTTTCAAAACGCACGACTTGCACATCCCGGCAACCGCGCTGGCGGCGGTGCTCAAGCCGTCCACCATCGTGGGCTTCCTCTGCGTTTTCCTCATATCTCAATTGCTGCTTTTTGCCGCACGATACTCCAAGACCAGCATGGCTGGTATCCCCGGACCCTCGGGGTGGCCTCTGGTGGGCATTGGCCTCGATCTACCCACCCGACCCCGAGAGCTGTTGAACAAATGGGCAGCAAAGTACGGGGATACCTTCAAGGTGCGTGTAGGCTGGTACGACTGGGTGTTTTTCAACAACCGGGATGCCGTGAAGGAGATCTTTGACAGACAGGTAGAGTATTCATTCCTTGCTCCCCCCCTTCTCTCTTTCTAGCTCGACGCCCTAATCAAGCATGTTTCATCAGGCCGCCGTCACGTCCGGCAAGCCACATCTTCCCATCGCTCAGGAGTACTGCCTCCGCGGCCATGGTGTCCTGCCGATGACATATAATGCCAAATGGAAGCGGCTGCATTACTACCTCAAGCAGCTGCTGAGCCCCCGCGCCTCGGCTGCATTCATTCCCAGCCAAGAGTTCGAGATTAAGCAGTTGCTTTCCGATCTGTCTGGCGAAGCCGGCAAGGACAGCTGCGAGGCCTTCTACATGCACATCCGCCGCATGACGTTCTCAATCGTCATGACCTCGGCTTACGGGCTGCGTATCCCCAACTGGGACTGCCAGGAGGTGCGTGATGTGTACGGCAATATGCGCATGCTGTCCATCATCCTCCGCCCGGGCATCTTCTGGATCGACACTTTCCCTCCGCTGAACTGGTTGCCTCGGTTCTTGTTCCCGTCTTGGCCCAAAGCAAAGGTCATGGCATCGATCATGCATAACGCGAAGATGAGGCATTGGGAGAACCTGAAAGAGCGGATTGCACAGGGTACGGCTCCGGAATGCTTCGCCAAGGATCTGATGGAGTCAAACTACCGAGACTTTGGTCTCGAGGAGGAGGCAATGAGCTGGCTGGCCAGTGGTAAGATGCATTTTTTTCGACCCAAGGAGAATGCGCATGGACCTAACATTGTCGCTTTAGCTGTGCCCGAAGCTGGTGCAGAGACCACCGCTAGCGCCTTGAACGGCATGATCCGCTACCTGGCCAGCTTTCCCGAAGCGCAGGAGGCCGCCCACGAAGAGGTCAGTCGCGTGCTGGGCAATGGACGCATGGCGACGCTCGAAGATGAGCCCAACATGCCGTACATTCGAGCCGTGATTAAAGAAACCTTGCGTCTCTGCCCCGTTGCCACCACTGGCCTGCGGCGTATGACCGACGCCGACATCAAATACCGCGACCAGACTATCCCCAAGGGGACAATCCTCTTGGCTAACATCAACAACCTGCACTGGGACCCCGCCTTCTTTGACGAGCCCTTCAAGTTCAAGCCCGAGCGATACCTGAACCACCCGCATCGATCGGCGGTTTACGCCGCCGGCGGAGATGTCATGGCGCGCGACCATTTCACCTTCGGTGCCGGACGTCGCATCTGTCCGGGCATCCATCTCGCGGAGAACGGCCTCTTCCTGGCCGTGGCGAACATTATCTGGGCGTACGAGTTCCGCCCACCCATCGGGCCTGACGGTAAAGAGCAGCCGTTGGATATCGGCGACGAAGGATTCATGGAGGGAGCGATTCGAGTGCCGCAGCAGTATTCCATCCGCATCTTGCAGAGGAACCCGGAGCGGGCGGAGACCGTTCGGCGACAGTGGGAGCAGGCACAGGAGGATGGGTACGTGTTACGGGGAATTCATGTCGATGCAAACGGGGGTATGAAGGGAGGAGTGAAAAAGGCGCCCAAGTAGTGTTCCCATTGCGCAGTTGCTGCGTATTGTTGCTGCGTGTTGTTGCTCAATGTTTCTTTCTTCGCCAATTAAAAATGATGATTACTTGCGTCGCCATACGTCGTCTAAACCTCATTTCCCTGATAAGAAAACTGGAAATGGTTCCCTGTATTGCTGATATCCCGAGATCTACAGATCAACTCGGTAGTTCCTGGGTCAATCGACTCCTTGCATCCATCCACGCAGCGGTTGCTTCCACCGTTAGACCTACAACGCCGATCATGCATGTCTCAGCGGCGTGGAACAGAAGAGTTTCGAGGTGTTGCAATGAAGGACTGCATGCGACGCGCTTTGCTCCACGCTATATCGTACCTACTCTGCGAACCTGGAGCTGATACATGCCTGTAGATCTCCCGACGTGTTGACGTAAGATGTCTAATTATTGGACCAAAATCACACGCGTCCCGGGCATTCCAATCGGTCTGAGTAATGAATGCGAATCCATTCTCTGGAAGCCGGAGGTGATCGTCATGGAGGATTGGCGTTCGTCGCGGGCGCATCGGATCCGGCATTGCACGACGATCACTCATTTGCAATCCGCAGTATGTGATCGGGCTCTAAGGCTCTTGAACACAAATAATTAGCTGCTCAATGCTATCTGCAACTGCTGGTGAAAAGGCTCGAAATTGAGACTGAGTGACTATAACCGGGTCAGGGTCCTTTCCACACCGATCGCCCGACTGATTATGACCATTTTAATGCCAATTTTCAGGTAAAATAAGGTGAGCATGTACACCGTAAGTGCCTGGAACGCGCGAGCTTCTAAGCGTTCTCTGGCTGCTTATTCTGCACCATCTCGGTTTATTCCTTCCATACAGCCATTCCGTAGCGCTTGCAGTGGCTTCGGGACCGGCGCTGTTCGGCCTCGGCATGCCGCTTCTGCGCACCCCAAGAAATTGTTAGAACGCAACAAGCGAGAGAGAAAAGAAGGCAAGACACACAGGATGATCCGTGAGTCAAAAAAACCCCGATTGGGTCAACTGCAGCCCGCGTAAAATCCTGACGCTCTTCGTGATTGAAAGTCGGTGTGATAGGGTTCAACCCTCTGGTTCAGGCACATCACATCTGTCCTTCAAGTATGGAATCAACCCCGGAAAACGTCTTCCGCAAGTCCTGGACAACTCAGGCCATGGTCCAGATCCTATTGGAACGTGGGGATTGGGGCGTGTGTCAACGGCGGTGTGCTGTGGATCGGATCATTTTTGTTATCTCTCGTGAAGAGAACCCCGGAGACATCGTGTCGCAGCAAGCCGGTGGATTAAGCCGGGGCGAGCTTTGCGCCGTGAAAAACCCGATAGGGCAGAGGTTCCTTTTCAGAAGGATTGCGAACATGCAACCCATGCAACCCATGCCATCCAGGGCGCCGCAGTCGAATAAGACCGCGGCGTCGGATATCAGAATCCAGCGAGATTGACGTGATGGTCGAGCGGCCCACATTCCCTCGCATTCTGATACGCGCAATTCTCGCAAGGGACCACCGCACCATGCAAAATCTTATCGCCCGGTGGATCTCCGCAGCTGCGCTTTGGTGGGAGCTTTTTGCCACGCTCGGGGAGAGGAGCCCGAAGCTCTTCTATAAAATGAGTCTTGCCCCGGAGGGGATGTTTCTGAAGTAGAATGTGTGATAGCACGATCGATATTCTATTCCAGCCACATGTTCTAATCACCCTCGCAAATAAAAGTCCTACCTGATCTCGCCGAGATTCATTGCGTTAAGAACAAGGCTGCAACAGCCTAGGCACCATGCCTGGGGAACCCTCCAATGCAGGAAAGGGCGGCGAGGCTGCAAAGGCCCCAACGGTCACCGTCACCAACCAGGAGGGCATCGATTCGGCGCCTCTGTCGGCGCGCTCCTCGTTGTCCTTGAACAACTATAATTATCAATCTCCCAGTACTCCAGCCACGGGAGCTCAAACACCCGATCCGTTGCTAAACCCGAAAGGGATCGTGCAAGAAGACGTCTTGAAGAACTTCCCCAACACAATCTCGCAACTGTCTAACGGTCGCCATGAGGAATATGAACTAGACCAGCACAAGGGCTCCGAACTACCGGGGCATTTCACCAACCGCAAGCCTTCGGCCACGCCTGGGTTCGCCGAAGAGTCCGGCTCTCCTCCGCCTCGAGCGTCGCAGGGCATACCCCCGGAGATCGGCAGCTTCGCCGCAGAGCTTGTCTTGATCATGGTCTGCTCCGCCGGTCTGATGCTTTTCTCCTTCCTCCTCGGTGACGTGCTAGCTCCTCAGGAGGAATTTCGGAACGCTCTCGGGATTTCCAGCACGGAGCTACCGTGGCTCGTTGGCTCGTTCAACGTGGCCAACGGAATATCCGTCGTTGTGTCGGGTTCTCTGTCGGACTTGACGCCGCCCAAAAGCCTCATGGTGGGCGCCTTTCTTTGGCTGACAGTGTGGAATATCGTGGGCGCTTTCTCTCTGCATCCGTCGCGATACGTGCTCTTCTTCATCGTGCGAGCCATGCAGGGGCTGGCCATCGGTGTGCTCGTTTCCGGCAGCATGAGCATTCTCGGCCGTGTGTACAAGCCGGGGATTCGCAAGAACCGCGTCTTCTCCGCCATGGCAGCCTGCGCGCCGTTCGGATTCTCTCTGGGCGCCATCGAGGGAGGGGCGTTGCATAAGAACCTGCCCTGGATCTTCGGCGTCAATGCCATCATCACCGGTCTCTGCGCCGTGGCCGCCTACTTTTCAATCCCCACGTTGCGGCCCGTTGCGGACGCCGACGGCAAGGAAGCACCCTCCCTGCGCCAGTTCGATTACATCGGCGCCACTCTGGCCATCCTCGGCTGTGTCTGCCTACTCTTCGGTCTGACGCAAGGATCCGTCACGCAGTGGTCCGCCTACACCTGCGTGCTCACGGCGCTGGGCATCGTCTTCTTGATCGCCCTGTTCATCGCCGAACGCTACGTGGCTCGTCCCTTGATTCCCACGCGCCTCTGGAGCACCAAAGGCTTCACTCCTCTCATGATCGCCTACTTCCTCGGCTTCGGCTCCTTCTTCGGCGCCTGGCAGTTCTACGCAGTGCAGTTCTGGCTGCGTATCCAACACGCCACGCCGCTGGCTGTCGCCCTCTACCACATTCCGAACGCCCTCGTCGGGGTCCTCGCCACCTGGATCGTCAGTCGCACGCTGCACCTCGTGCCGGGCCATTACATCTACGCCACCTCCATGTTTGCCTTCACGCTAGGCCCGGCATTCTTCCTGCCCCAGACGCCCAACACCACGTACTGGGCGCTGTCGCTTCCCGGTATGGCCCTGGTCACCTTCGGTCCGGACCTGGCGTTTGCGGCAGCCTCCATCTTCATCACTAGCAATGTGGCCCGCTCGTACCAAGGCAGCGCCGGCAGTCTGCTCGTCACGAACCAGAACCTCTCTTCGGCCATCATCACCAGCGTGGCCGACGCTATCGGCACGCGCGTCGACCGTGGTCCCGACGGGGAGGTTGGTTTGACGGGGCTACGGGCCATTTGGTGGTTTGCGCTGGCATGTCAGCTTCTGGCGGCGTTGGTGACGGTGATCTGGGTCAGGATTCCGAAGGAAGAGGAGAAGGAACACGTTACGTAGGATAGATTATTGGGATTAGATATGGTTAGGCATAGACATGGATGATTTCGGATACGACTGTTTTTTTCTGTTCTGACGTTACTCCCTCGTCATACCCTGATTTGCTCCGATTTTAGCTTGTAGATAGGACTTCCTTTCTCGTCAATCGTACTTACCAGAAGCCGCAGGACTCGAGATGGTCACGTATATGTTCCACAGCCCCATCTTCTGAACATAGGCTCAGATGACTCTACCATCCCACCGTCTCTCGAAAAATACACGTACACAAATGGCTTCCCCGACCCCCTCAGCAATGACCCGATTCTGCAGATCGCAGGTTAGTTGCGTTGGTCGAACAGGGGTCTACACAGTGGGCCATTCCGTTTGGCCTCTACTGTGACGGAGGGCCACCATCGTGATCCACTCACGCCCTTGCTGTACTTTCTCACACCATCCTAATTGGCAAATGGGGATATGAGGTGCCGGGACACACCTGCGGACGGCCTTTCCGTTGTCTCTTGGTTCGTCGGCCTTGATATCTCCGAAGCCGCTTAGTCGGACGCCCGAAGGCCGGGAACACGGGTCGAATTCATTCGAGTATAAATAAGGCATGTCGGTCTAAGGGGTAGATTAAGCAGAGATGATCAACTTGATCGATTTGTGCAGATCGACAGACAACGTCTATAAGTAAACATAGAATGACTACCCAGCAAAGGGGTCAGAGGCCCTTGGATGTGCTCGTCATCGGCGCCGGAATCGCCGGTCTAACAGCGGCCATTGCGCTGGGGAAGCAAGGGCATCGCGTTGTGGTTCGTGTCTCTATCCCGGTAGGGGTGACGGATCATTAAACATTTGGATGCGACAGATCTTAGAAAAGTCTAGGTTTGCACGCGAGACTGGAACGGCGATTAGCATGCCTCCGAACTGCACGGCGCTGCTACAATGGATGGGGATCGATCCTAGGGATTTTGGAGGCACGTTGCTTCATCGGGTTTGCTTCACTACACTCCAGTAACAGGAACTGCAAGCACGATAGGTGCTGATCAAGTATTTATGGCCAGATGCAACTGCGCGATCATCTGGGGAATATAAAACATGACCAAGACTACACAGCTTTGAGACATGCGTGGCAGGCCGTATGTCCAACCCGATTCATAACTGGGACGATTCCGGCATCTGACCATGCGAATAGGAATGGTATCTCATCCATCGGGTTGATCTACACAATCACCTGAAACAGCGAGCCTTAGAGACGGCGACCCTGCATGTAGAATGCAAGATCATCAATGCTGATATAACGTCCTCTCGACCTTCGGTAACGCTGCAGGATGGACGCAGATTTGAATGCGACATACTCCTCGGCGCCGATGGACTGCAAGTATGGGGTTTCCTCATTGACGCGCAATTCAAAACGGAGAGCTCACGCATTGCAGTCCGTCCTCCGAGCAAGCATAGCCCCCGGTTCTGCCGCCCCAAAGCCGACGGGAAAGTCAGCCTTCCGCTGGCTTCTACCGACAAACCAGTTGAGAAACGCCGCGGTGACGATCGAAGCGGTTCGCAACCCCGGATCATTCATTGAATGGGCCGCATCCGACCGACGGCTGGTGGTATACCCCTGCTCCGACAATCAGATCTTGAATCTCGCCGGATTCCTGCCGACGGCGGAAGCGGGAAAGTTGGGCGAAGGCGCGCGGTCCAAATTCAATCCGCAAGGCATGGGAACTAACGTAGAGGCATACAGGTTGGCAAGCAACGGGCAATAAAGAAGCCTTGGTGCGGGGATTCGCGAATTTCTCGCCGAGTGCCAAAGCACTGGTAGAAAATGCCGGCGACGACCTCAAGGTGTGGGAGCTATACGATATGAAGGCCCTTCCTTCGTGGGTCAGGGGACACTCGGCATTACTAGGAGATGCCGCGCATCCGTTCCAACCGTGTGAGTTTCGGATCGCAGATACTGGAAGGCACGACATGCTGATTAGCTAGATATGGGCCAAGGGGGAGCCATGGCGATCGAAGATGCGGTATCGCTCGCGATCCTGCTGCCGCTGGGCACGTTGACGAAAGATGTTCCCGTTCGGCTTGCCCTGTATGAGCAAGCACGACGCGGACGAGTAGAAATGATTCTGGAATATACCCGGATTAATGGTCGCGACGACGGCGATGACTCGGCCAAAAGGATCAACGGTAATGTTTGGCGATCCAGGTTCCAATACTTTTGCTGACCGAACTGTGCAGCGGACGAATGTGTTTTGCGCACAACGAAGTCCAAAGCTCGGGTGCTTTGCTCCAGTCGGCGGATGGACTCGTCCTTTCCAAACTCTAGATGACAATGCACGTTGATAGACGAATCTAAGTTTCACTAGATCTGTCGAGGCAATGGTATTGAATTTCCAACGGTCTTTGACGCGGACAAATGGTTCGCGGCGAAACCATCTAGGGACAGTTTGTGGTGGACAGAACAAGCCGCACTCTTAGGCACACTATACATCCAACCGTGCTGGCCAGTGTATTCAGCTCCTTTCCCTTATGCGAGGACGACACGAGGATGAGAATTCCCTTCTCACGATACGTCCAATCTCTGCTCATCCAGCTGAGAGGCCCGTATGTTCCAAGTATTGTGTCTGCGAGCGAGTCTTGTCCTCCATGCGCCAATTCTGTGCCGATACGATAGCCACAATTTAGTTATCGGATGTCAGTAGACGTTGAGTTGATCAGAATGGCGGGCATCGGAGGGTCAAAGGGAACCTGTCAGGACTTCGATGCATGTTCCAGATCGTCAGCAGTCGTCACAAATCAAGACTCCGACCATGGACCAAGGATGCAAGTTTAGTGCTTTTCCATTTTCAAGAAACAAAGACAAGATTATTATGTACAGTCGAACGGAAGCACACTACCTGAAGGGTAGAAAAAAAAATAAAACCTGGTATCTCGCCCGGGAACTGACCACCGTGACCGAGGTGTAGTCCCTAACTGACAAAGTGACTAGAGTAGCCGACATTGAACGTCCCGATTAATGCAATACAAATCATGAAAATTAAGGGACCGTGGTCAAGGTATCCTCGGCGCGTCCAATTCATCGGCAGGGGTGAAATGGTCCTGACTCCGATCCGCCGTTCGCCTGTCCCGCTACACATCGCTGGTATCAAAAGCCGAATTGATGAGAGAATTTATGCGCCACCGACGAGGACATTGTTGACGGGAATGTGGACTGTGATCGAATCGCATTAGCATTCGCAAGCAGCGGACAAGGGGGAGGAATAAAAAGGAGAGACGTACTCAGCTTGACAATGTAGCCGATGAAACCCATGACCAGAAAGCCCGTACCAACAGCCTGGCTGATCTTGATGAATTCACGCTTGTCGGCTGGAGGCATGGTAGGTTAGCAATGGTCGCGCGCGTGATGCAGGCAGAGAACTCACGCTTCTGGCTTCGGTTGATGAACATCATGCCATCCTTGAGGAATTCCCGAGGGACGTTAAGGAGTTCTTGCACCTGGTCGGACATGATGAGGAATTGAGAGGGCTATCTGAAAGAATCGAGAGGAGGGAGCGGGAGGGATGGCGAAGGGAAAGGCAGGACTGGACGGGAGGCTTGAGGGCATTTTGAGGCGATCGTGACGCCAGCTGTTCTTCTGCTGCCATCCCGGGGTCGGCTGCACATTGTTCCGGTGTTCACGGAACTGTCCGATCTCCGCGATAGTATTTCACTACCGAGTACCTACCTATTTTTACCTACTGTCTTCCATAGCTGTGGCTTCTTACTGGAATCTAGTCCCCTAAATCACTCTAAATCCAGATAAATGTCCCGGGAACCAAATCAGGGACTGTTCCTGTTCCGGCGATGCGTTGGGTTGCGGGGAATGAGTCAGCTGGTCACGTGTGTATGTGCCAACCTCACAAACATGACAAACACAACAAACAACCACCCACCACCCATTCAGGTGGATACAGTTCACGCGAGCTTATCGATAGGCTCGCTTGAGCCGTTTCATAATGTGGGTCCGCCAAGGCTTGATTTATAAGCAGAACGATTCGCGCGACCTTAAATATCTTACAGTAATCCGCTTTCCATGAAAAATTCAACTTTCTTTCTTATTTCTTCACCACTCCCTATTCCGGTCCGTCAAGCGCTTCTTAAGCGATTACAAAGTACTTTCTTACAAGTCATACTATGGATTCTACTGCAGATCCCTTGAATGAAGTAATCGATGTGGATGCTTTGACTACAGTAGGGAAAACTCCCAAGCTTGCCGGCGCTTGGTAACCGCTTACTAAGTGCTTATAGGAACCCGAAGATGACATTCCAATTCCGTTGACTCATGCGAAAACAAAGCCTCTTACTACACTAAAGGTTGAATATATTGATGATCTTCCTGAATACCCTCAATCTCATTTGCAAGGATATTCATATATTGTTGCATCAAGAGGACGATCATATGATGAATGCAAAAACCTACTATCAGAGGTACAGAACCACTTAATAACCGCTTGATAAGTACTTACGTTCTTAGGTTCAATATGCGAAGCGGCAAATCTGTGGTCGTAAAGAATCGATTTTTTGTTCATTTTTGGATTGTTTTGTCAGCCGAATCACATGGAATTGCTCAGGAATTAAAACATGCGAATTCCTTAATTCTGATCTCAGATTACATCATCATACTGCAGTAGATGAAGCTTTGTGGGAAAGGATTCGAAAGGCTCGTCGAAGCATTCAACTTTCTGAGACAGATAGGACCAAACGAAATGCATACAGGTATTATGACCACTTACAAAGCAGTTAGCAAGTACTTGATCTAATTTTTCCAGTTTTTTTCGAATGCTTACGCAGCGTTTCAACCGAGGGCATGCATGTGTTGAAAATCGGGAATCATGTAAACCGCTTTTTAAGCGGTATAATCAAGTGGTAAGCATTATTTCCTCTAAGTGCTTAGGAACTGTTTAACAACTACTTTAGAACGCTATAGGAGAACGTCAACCCTATATTGCTTGTGTCAATGATCTAGGGGGTCAGAATCCTTCTCATCTTCGAGAGTCTATTCCAAATCATACAAATATGGATATAGGCTTCTTAGAAAGTCTTTGTAATGAAGATTTACTACCTTCTTCTGAAGAATGTGGTAGTTTTGAACCTGTTACCTCCAGAAGACAGTGGTGCGGTATGTTATCTTTTTAATTACTTGCTAAGCGATTATTAACTGCTTATCCAGATCAAGACCATCCGCAAGGAAGTGGACGGATTATTACAACTAAATGCAATGTTAAATTCAGTGCATTATTGCCTCTACAGCTTCAAGAATGTCCATATTTCATCTTCACTTCGCATGGGATTCATCAACATATACCACCACCTCCAAACAAGCCTCCAGAACAAATTTTAAATGGAGTGCAAAGAATTATTCGTGAGCTTCGGGATCCTACTTTAACAACGTGTAAGTACTTTCTAACCGGTTACGGACTGCTTTTTAACTGCTTAGAATAGCTCAATTTCTCCGATCTCCACAACTTGAAAAGTTTTGTGAGCAGTATAATTCTTCAACCTTAGCTCAAATCCATTCATCTTTTTCAAATAAAGATCGAATCTCTGCAATTATTCAAAAAGAACGTCTTCTTTCAAATCCTGCAGGTCAAGGATTGAATGGTTTAATCTTTTTACAAAATCGGGATCCTTTAATAAAAGTAAGTACTTAGTAACCGCTTCTTAAGTAGTTACATTTATTTACTTTACTTAAGGAATATCTACGAGAATACTATCATGATTCAAATGGTAGTATGGCTTTTTGCGCATTCAAAGAGCAAATTCAGCTTCTTTCAGAATTAGGCTCATTTGAAGTTGATATGTCATACAAACGGATCCGTACAAAGGACTTTAATGAAGTTCTTTTTTCAACTTTTCTGACCGACCAGAAGAAAAGTGAGTAAACAGCAATAAAGTACTATTTAAGCGCTTACTAACTGCTTTATAAAGTTGTTACCCTCTTACGCGTCTTTACCAACCAGGAAACAACAAAAGGCTATTTTTTACTTTTTAAACGAGCTTTTCAGCTTATTGCAAAGGTAACAAGAAAGCCAGTTGAGTTCTATCCTATTCATGGCAATGGGATTTACGGTATAATTGTTGATATGGATAATAAACAATATACTGGTAAGTACTTATCAACTGATTGACAAATGCTTTCTAAGCGCTTCTATAGGTCTGGGGCAATATCTGTCTGAAATCGATCCGGAACATCGAGATTATATATGGCAATTGCAGAATATAATTGTATTCTGTAAAGTCCATTTCCAACGATCGATTTTGACTGCGATTGGCACTCAAAATCATGGTAGTGGCGTATGGAGTCGAATGATGAGTCTTATTGAATGCAAATCAGAGGAAGACTACGATGAGTTGATAAGATTATTAACTAGTATAACTACTTATTAACTACTTGAGAAGCGCTTGCTAACTGCTTATACAGCCTTGGAAGATCACAATGTACGAAATTGGGCTCTACACAAAAGTCGACCAATTATTAAAGCAGGTTTGAATAAAGCCTGTTCAAGAATTAAGCCTGTTTTCTTTCAATCCCTTCGCGATCATACAAATGCGGTTGAGCAATCTCATGAAAAGTCATATGCCTCAGGAAAGTTTTTACCGTTAACTGAGGCTGCTAGAAAGTACTTAGTAAGCACTTTCCAAGTATTTATGATAATACTAATAAGACTATAGCTCTGCGAAGCTTGATCAAAATGATATTGAGCAATATTTGCACTTTGATCAATATAATATTCATCATAGCTCGCGAACCTCTAGTATAGAGACACATTATCGGAGACACCTTTACCGTGAGTTCCCCCAAGTACTTATCAACCGCTTAGCAAGTGCTTACCCCCTCTTTAGGATCCCGCAAACGCCCTAGATCGAATTCTCAAGGTTCATTATATGACCCTGAAGAAAGGCCTCAATCTCAGGCCGTCTCTCAGTCACGGTCTCAATCATCAAGGCGTAGTAGAGACAGCGAGTATATTTCCCCCCTGCACAAGTACTTAGCAAGCGCCTAATAAGTACTTAGATCCGTTCGATCAACCACCAATCTTCGTCGTCTCGCTTCAACCAATACCCTTTCGGCCGAGCAGAAACGTCAGGAACTTGAGCTTAAAAAGCTTGAAGCTGATATACGAAAGCAGGAGGAAGAGACGCGATTGCAACAGCTACGAAATGAAGAGTTGGAATTGAATCTTATTGAGCGCCGGCGCCAGTTGCAAGATGATATAAATACTTATTAAGCAGCTTCTAAGTGCTTTTGCTAGGTTGAAATATATTTCCTTGACCGTAAGCGCTTTATAACTGATTAAGGGGTCCCTTGCAAGCATTTTAGTGGCGGACCCTTCTAAATATAACAGATATATATTCTATGATATATCGAGCTTCGGTAAAGGAATGATTCCATCTAAGCACTTATAAACTACTTGAGGTGATAATCTACTTTTTGGTAAGGAAGTTTTTCAAGTGCTTAAGAAGCACTTCTCAACTGCTTCACTTGAACTAACTAACCACGGCCATGTTTTTCCCCCCAAAAAAAAATGCTTAAAATCCTGGGCCCTTGGCCAAATCAAAACGCCTCCCTAGTTCACGTAACCAGTTGCAAACCACTTAAAAAACACTTCCAAAGCGCCTGTTTTTTTAAAAAAGAAAATTCCCCCGAACTCCTGTAACCGCTTGGAGACCGCTTAACAAGCACTTGATCCCTGGTATTTTTTTTTTCAAGCATCGTTTTCCTCGGCATTGACGCCAGCATTTTCCTGCTCATCGTTGTGGGTAGCCGGGGCCAATTTGTCGCAATTAAACAACAAGAAATGCTCGCAAAGATTGATATCTTTGCAACAATTTCTACGGTCGCCACAACTGCCGCAGGGAATCTTTTTGCCCATATTTCTGACCAGCTTCCGCATGTCCGTGATATGAACCTAAGCAGTCATTAATCGCTTGCCAAGCAGTTAATGAGTGGTTATAATCTTACCTTTCCGTCCTTTTTAGTCAGGGGCAAAGCTGGCAGGGGAATCGAGGCATTGCCAGAACCAAATCTGCCGCCGCTACTGCCGCCGCCAGTACCTTCCTCAAGCTGGGGCTCCTCACCGGAAAAAAGGTCCTTGTACCATTCTAAGCAGTTGTAGAGCAGTTAGCAAGTGCTTGAGAATCAGTTGTAATCATATTGAATATCCGTACTGATGGACCGATCCATTTCCTTCTGTCCGACCCGACCGCCCTTGTTATCCTCTGCCAGGCTGATGTTTTCATGCGCTTTGAGGTGGGTGCGAAGGTTATTGGTAGCCGTGTATTTCCTCTAAGCAGTTGACAAGCAGTTAGCAAACAGTTAAAATCATTTTATTTTTTTTTCACCTGGCCCTTGGCGCAATCCTCCTTCCGGCAAAAAAGCTCTCCGTAGTAGATAATCAGGTTGCCGGCACTATCCTAAGCAGTTCCAAATCAGTTAGCAAATACTTGAGAGGCTGGAAACAAAAGGTTTCCTCGAAGTACTTATAAAGCACTTCTCAGTTCCCTTTCTGAAAGGTTTCAAACCGCTTTCACTCAAGTGCTTAAAAAGCACTTTTCAAGCAATCTTTCCCTCCCTTTCAAGTATCCTTTCCACGAAAAGATTGCTCAAATGGAAAACGGAATGAGGTAGGAATCAGACAGAAAGAAGGCGAAAATAAGGCTTACCGTTTCGTAGGGGGGGAGGGTGAGCTGCCCAGTGGGCACCATACGCAGATACCAGCAGTACCACTTCTGAGGGGAAAAGTTAAAACAACTGCTTCGAAAGCGCTTGATAAGCGGTTACTCACATTTTTCGCCAGATTTGCCATCGTGGCGGCTCCGAAGCGGTTGCGGAGCGGTAAATGAGTATTTGTAATGAAGAGTGTATCAGAGGGCTTTATAAGTGTTTGGAAAGTGCTTTATTGAAGAAAGAAAGAAGGGGGGGGTCGAAGAAGGTGGGTTGAATACGAAGGTAAGGTGGTGTAAGAGGTCGTGCGAATTGAAAAGAAAAAATTTGGTGGTGCGAACGTCACGTGACCAAATCCTGCTTAATAAGCGTTTTCGGCTCGCGGGACCCACTTTCAAGAGGTCAGGTCAGCTGCAACCACCCCATTCAGGCCAGATCAACGAATCCCCAAGACGGACAGTCCTACAGAAACTATAAGATTCAGTTTCTATAAAAGATCAGTTCAGCTGTCCGGATCACTTTATACATCTTGTGTTGTTGTTCTGCCATGCCAAGGCTTTCAAGTCTGACCATCAGCACACGAAAGAGTCAAGATATATATTGAACTATACAAAGTCAGGATCACCTCACTCACGCAGCAACTCGGCCAGTCCAGCCCTTTACAGCGACATGACATGTTGAAAAACGACTTTCCATATCAGATCAAAGAACCAATCAACTGTTGGATGCGCAGGCAGCCTTGGGGCCAGCGTCAGTCAACCATACTCCGTAGTCCGCAGGATGCCTAGACCAGACTAAAAGGACCATAATCTGCCCCCAAAATAAAACCCCAACAATTCCCCCCCATTACTTTCTCGTCTCTGGTCACTTCAAATCCATAAGCCAGAATTCCCTTTCCTTTGAAATGCCCCTCTCACAATCCAAAGGCCTCACGGTCGCGGCCACTGCCCTTGCAACCACTTGTATCGGCTTCGGCATCAACGCCATCTTGCGTCCCGACAATGCCCTGACCTTCTTCGAATGGGACGCGCCTACCTCGCCGACCGAAAAACGCATTGTTGACGACCTCCTCGCCGTCTACGGCACCCGCGATATCTTCATGGGCCTGGCCGTCTATTCGGCCGCATACTTCGGTAGCCGCAAGGCATTGGGGTGGATCTTGATCGCCATCGGCGGGGTGGCCTTTGGCGACGGTGCGGTTTGCTGGGCCCACGGTCACGGCCAGTGGGGACATTGGGGTTATGCCCCCGTCGCTGTGCTGGTGGGCGCGTTGGCAACGGGTCTGTTGGACAGAGCTTGATCTAGGGGGCTCAGCTGGAATGGGATCTGCACGACTGGTCAACATGGGTTGTTAGTTCTGCGGTTTGTTGCTGGGAATGCGGTCTACTTCGTCAAAAACTTTTGTACTTTTATTCCTCCTTTCGTTTTTTACAAACTGCGATATCTGCACTGGCTGGCTGGTCTGACGATCTCGAAATGAAACAAGCATGGACATCTAGTTAACAATGTGTCGCTCGATAAAAGAGAGGCCTACCCCTTGCAGCGCCTAAACCAGCCCCCCGGGGTATGAGAGTCGAAGGAACTCGCGCAACAGGGAAGTGCCTCCCACATAAAGATTTGTTTGCCGCCAGCTGGAAGCTTAACCGCAGCATCGACCCTTACCTCTGTCTCTTTCGGTGGCGTGGTTCTAATCGCTCTCCGAATATGGGGCTAAGTCAAACTAAACGTGGAATCTACAAGATAGCAAACAAAAAGTGGAAGAGTTTTCAACAGGACGCTTCATGCACTTGGTTATACATAAAAAAAGCACTCTAGCAGCATGAACCCGTGTATAATCGCCTACAAGGCAGCTCGATCTACTCTCGAATAGCAAACGGTCCGGCAGCATTGAACAGACTCGGCATCTGACTCGTCAGCCCCTGCAATTCCTGAACGATTTGCAAAGATCTCACCTGAGGCGCCGTAGAAAGGACGGTGTCGACCCTCAAATACCAAACGGAGTCGTCATTCACCGTGGGCAAATCCTCCGGGACGGTAATCGTCACTTCGCCGTCGTGCTCGCTCACCCCGTCGGTGATTTTGACCCTCTCGTCCCATGACACCACGTCCCGGTTGCGGACGGGGTTGTTATACAGCCAGACGGCGTAGGGAGTGCCTGGGTACTGGGAGAGGCCCGAGTCGCAGCGCCCGGTGGGTGCACGGTTAAACTTCAGGGTGACTTCAGCTCCAGGGGCGACGGTGGAATGGTCGGGAATGCCCTGGTAGACGTTGATGCAGGCATAGTCGCGTTTACCCCATGCTAGACGAAGCCGATTAGCGTTGATATAGAACAGGGAGATCGAGGAAAGGAATGCTCACGGAGGTTTTTGTCAAACTGTGCGGTGGCAGAGACGGCCAGCAGGGCGGCGGAGAGAGCAGCTGGGAGCTTCATTTTTAGGTGGTAAGACGGATGACGAGATAGAATCGGTAGGGGAGACAGTTACTTGTCATGGAAGAAACAGGTCGCTTTATAATGGCGACAGGAGAGACCCACTGATGTTATCTTCGGGGCATGATCATATTCACGAACCATGTCTCAGACATACAGACTTGGCTTGTGTCATTGTCATGCGCCAACTCGGACTAAACGAGCGAGAGTATATTTAGAGTCGATGGGCGTCTTAATATAGTGCATTCGAATTGGGACTAACGAATGAAAGCGGAGCGAACAATTCAACCCAGCGATCACAGCGCAGGCAAACATCACCCCTGGCCCAAATGAAAATCAAGATACATCCTACACCTCACATCATACGTTATGACAGGCTGATTTTGTACGTTGACCCTGCCTTAGTCGCAATAGGACCTGTGTACTCTTCCCCATCCAGTGAGAATGACCGTCCACCCTGCACCCGAACCGCCAGCTCCCCTCCACTCTTTGACAGGACCGTCGCCTCCTCCAACTCTCCATCTTTCCATTGTATACTGATCTCAAAATTGCCCCTGGCAACCAATCCAGAAACACTCCCTGTTTTGACTGCCGACGGCAGCGCCGGCAGCAAATGCACAAGTTCGTGACTCTGCAGCAACATCTCCGCGATGCCCGACACAAACCCAAAGTTACCGTCGATTTGGAAGGCAGTGCCGGGTCCACCATCCGTATTCCACAGGTTCGAGCTCGGATAGGTCTGCAGAAAGGTTTGGGTGTGGTTCCATACGGCGTCGCCGTCAAAGAGGCGCGCATAGAGGTTCATTGTCCAGACGCGCGACCAGCCGGTACTTCCGCTGCCGTGCTCAATACGATGATCCAAGAAGCCCTTGGCGGCCCTGGCAAGGGTTTCATTTACCAATGGCGTCAGTTGAGAACCGGGAAAAAGGCCGACAATTGGGCTCATGTGGCGGTGGCCTGGAGCTGATTCTTCGTATTCGTCGCGCCATTCGAGGATCCGGCCGGTCGATCCAATCTGCGGCGGTTTGATCTTGGCGAGGTACTTGGCTGCAGTGGTGCAGCCATCGTCGTTCTCGGTCAGGGAAAGCGTGACGCATGTCTCATTGACAGCTGTGAAGAGCTCGTATAGTAGGGAGTTATCCATCGTTGGGGCAATATCGATGCCTTCCTTGCTGCCTGTCTTGGTCATGCCATCGGGCACGAGGAACGAGGCCTCAGGGGAGCAGGACGGTCCGGTGCTATAGTATCCTTCGAAGGTAAAAAGGTAGCAATAGTAGAACCGGGCTGCACTCTGCAAGAGAGGCCAAATGCGTTCTTTGAGAAAGACCTTGTTCTGAGTGAATCGGTATTGCTCCATGGCTTGAGACGCCAGCCACGCACCGCCCATCGGCCAGATCGTATAGGCGGTGCCATTGTCAGTGGGCGCCGCGTCTCCCCAAAGGTCGGCATTATGATGCAAGACAAACCCCCCGTCCTCACAGTGATACATGCTTTTGGCCATTTCTTCTCCGCGCGGACGAACTGTCTCCAATAGTTCAACGAATGGCTCGAAGGTTTCGGCGAGATTCGTGACTTGCGAGAGCCAGTAATTCATTTCCAGATTGATGTTTACCGTGTACTTGCCTCCCCATGCAGGGCTGTAGTCTTGATTCCAGATTCCCTGCAGGTTGGCTGGTAACGACGGAGACACCGAGCGCCTCGACGAAGCAAGCAGCAGATGGCGACCGAAGTTGAACACCAAAGTGACAAGCTCTGGATCGTCATCGGGGTTCTCCTTGTAGCTTTTCAATCGCATGTCCGTTGTTTGATTTCCAGCCGATCCGGATGAGCCTAAATCTAGATTCACACGGCCGATGAGAGCAGTATAATCCGTGATGGCTTCTTCTTTAAGATCAGGGTATCCTTTGTCGACTGCGGTGCCCAGTGTATTTCTCAATTGAGCCTCCAGTTCCTTTTCATTATCGTAGCGGTACGATGTTTCTGCATCGAAAAATATGTCCACAATCGACGCAGAACGCACGCTAATCGAGGAGCCATTGCTCGAGACATTTCCTGCCAGGGGTTTAGCAATTGTTCGCCCTAGGAATTAATAGAAGAATCCCACCTCCATCCGCGATGACTCGCAGGCCAGCAGTGAACTCGATTGGATTCTCATCATCGCTTGTACTGGCTTGCAGAAGCACCTTGCCGACTCCATCAACCTCTTCCGCCTCTTTCCGCAAGACATATTTCTCCCTTTCCAAAGAAACAGTCACATCCAGCCTTCCCTTCTCACTAGCCGAGACCCTAAACCCAAGTACATCTCCAGGGTAACTCGCAACGAATTCTCGCGTATATTTGACCCCATCATACACATAGCTAACCGCCGCAGTTCCACTATAAGTATCCAGCGTTCTGACATAGTCTTCTATTCCCTCTCGCTCATGGCCAAAGTCCAGAATCAAGCTAGCAAGAGGATGATAGCTCTGCGGGGAGTCCGGAATGGCGACCATATCGGCGAGAGCACGCTGGCCGGCCTCGGTCAGGTTGCCATTCTCGAGCAACTCTCTGACGTCCGCTAGGGCCTTGAAAGCATCAGGGTTCGCGCGCTCTTTAAACGGACCGCCCCAGATGGAGTTCTCATTCAAGGTCACATTCTCAACGGGAGTCCCCCACACCGCCGCTGCTAGTCGGCCATTTCCGATCGGCAAGATCGAGGCGAAATCCGACGCACCGGATGTATACCAGGTGGAATGCGAGGCATTCAAGCACGCGACGGCGGAGAGAAGACCTAGCACCGGAGGAACAAGAATGCGAGAAGGCAACATGATTAGGAAAGAAGTATGTTCTACAAAAAAAAAAACCGACATGAATCATGTAATTCGGGTGGCTTTTATACACCGGCATGACCGAGTTCCGATGTGACGATATTCCAAGACGGAGTTGAAACTAGTGAAGCTCTAATGCACCACCCCCGCGGATCATCGCCCTCTCATGTTCGGTGCCTGGGTATTCCACGAATAACAGTCTCAATTCGAGGATGAAGTTAAGAAATTCCCCGACGGTAGGCAAATTGCCTAATTTTCTCTTGGTTCAATGAGACACATGATTGTTTCTCGATGCCCTGTACAGCTGTCGCCGCGGGATATGCACTAGATTCAGCCCTTACTTAGTAAGGGCTGAATCTTTTTAGTGCAATGGGAAAATTCAACAACAGCCGTTGAGATGCTTTATCTGTTTGCATGGCTACCTAGCTCTGGATTCTCCACCTTATTCTGGGTTCTTGCTACGAAATATATAACCATCATTCTGCAGAACAGTGCTATTATCCAATTCGCCGTAAATATCTAGACCAACAGCTTTTCATAATCATGATCTCAATCACACAAAAGGATGAACAAGGACCAGGAACTAACAGCTGACAAGAGAACTTGACTATGAGGGGGATCTGTTGAGGCACCGCCCGAAGGGTTTGTATGGGGATGTAGGGTATGTAATTAGCCGAGAAGAGCTATAGGTTAATTAGAGGCACTATGAGAGAGAAAAGAAACATTTTTTGCTACTAAGGGGCAGTTATGCTTTCCAAAAGCTATTAAAAACTAAAGTTATGTGCAAAGGTAGGATATATGTATAGATTACCATCAGTCGGGATAAAGCCGTCAAGGCCATCCGTTCTGTATGTACATTGGGACCCAGTCGATAGGTGTCTCAAGACGATCAGCACTGGTCAGACACTCTAAGTCGAAGAGATAGGCTTCTTCTGCAGGGTCTGCTGGAATGCCTGGAAAGAGACCTCCGGTTCTGGGCGCTGTTAGCATTTGAATCTTTTAAAACCGACGGAAGAGACTCACGGTAGTAAGGGACTTCATGGCCAGCTTCGTAGACACGCAGGAACGAGAAGTTGTCGACCGTCTTGAAGGTGCCCTTCTCGGTACCGTTAACGGTGTACGGCTTTAACGATTTGCCCTTGAATTCATCCTGGCCGTCAAACTCGACCGCATTGGCCACGTCGTAGTTACCAACCCAGTTACAGATCCAGTCAGCGTCACCGGCCCACACAAGGACGGAAATGCCGGACTGCACGACCTCGGATAGAGCAGACAAGAATGATCGAGGGTCTATTTAGTTAGTTTTTACTGCGTCATTTAGTCCCTAAATTCGGGTTCACTTACTGTCACCGGTGGTTGAGAATTTAGTGCTCGCCGCGCTGGCACATTCGCTGTATTTAGACCGGGCTCCGATGGCCTTCTTGACCCCCTCATCGGCCAGGTAGTCGCTGTACGTTGATGGCGGCTCGGGGTCATCGGACGGCCGGCGCACATCGTACACATCGAAGTCGGCAGCTTGCATGATCGGGCCCTCGACGGTAGAGTAGCAAGTAGAAGAGGCCTCGCGACAGGCAGCGTTCGTTCCGGTCTCGGTGCACTTGTCCACAGCTGGTAGACAGATTGATTCGAGGTTCTGGAGGTATCCATCACGCTCCTTCTTGGAGATCAAGGAGCGGTAGCTGTTGTTGTAGGCGAAGTCGATGTAGGACTGTTGCTGGATCTTCGTGTCGAACCATCCGTTGTTGATGCCGAGGGCGACAAGGTCAATCTTTTGACCCTCGAGGGAGCCAGACTCGATGGCTTTGTTCTGCTCCTGGATATAGGAAGCGAACTCAGGGCCATAGTGACCTCCGTAGGACTAGATCGAACGTGTCAGTAAGCGACCGACATGCTAGGGATTCCAAGTCAAGCCAATCACCTCGGTGAAAAGACCAAAGTCCCGACTTTCGTATTCTGGGAACTGATCGTAGAATGCCTGCAGCAGTTTCCACACGTACGGAGCAGCCGTCTCGGTGCTGGTGACATTATTAGTGCCGTAGGAGAAACCGACACCGATCGGCTGATCGATGTACAGCATATTGGCATAGTTGTTCCAGCTGTGTTCGTTTAGCGACGGCTTCTTCTCGCCGTCGACAAAGTGGCAGGGACCATGTTCCTGGAAGAGCCCGATCATGGACGAGCAGCCAGGGCCGCCGTTGAACCATGCTGCGAGGGGAGCCTTTTTGGGATCGTTGCGAGATTCGAAGAACCTGTGGAGAATGGCGCCCGTTAGCTTGAGAGGATCCGCGGCACGGACATCACATCGGTATACCAGAACCACATGTTCATGTTCTCTCCGACCGAGAGATATCCGGAGTATTGGTTCACCCCGGGGGTCGTCTCGCAGATGCCCGAGTTCTTGACGAATTCGAGCTTTGACCCGGTCGCACGATGCTCGAAGACGTTGTAAGTGATGCCATCACGCTTGACGGTCGAGACCGCTAGGGCAGCCGGCACCAGCCAGGCTAAATTGAAGAATCGCATCGTGAAGCCGAAGGACAAAAGGTATAGATCATGGGACAAGCCCGGGTCCGGGAACAAGAAAAGGAACGGAAGAGAAAATGTTCGGCCTAAGCTCCCTGAAAACCGGCAGGTTAAGTACTACTACTACTGTAAGTATCAGACTGAGCCAAGGGAATCCCTCCGAAGGCCACCCGCATCCTTCTTGCAGTGGACGATCCACCGGGAAGCCGAATGAGCCCATAAGGCATCCTATTGATAGAGCACCGCCTATTGATGGGCAGCGTTATTGACCCTCTTTGTGCTCAGCGAGTCGACACTTGGCAGGGGCCATATGCAGCAATCAGAGCGACGGCTGCTGGACCCCCGAAGCTTTGTTGTCCGTCAAGTGGAGCCGGCGTCAGACGCCACCGCCGCGATGTTGGTGGCGGACGCGATGAGGCCGTTCGCAGCGTTACATTCCGGTTTGGCCCCAGCGAGAGCGGAGAAAGCTGTTGGCGCTGGATGATAAGTGGTTTGGCCTGGACGCCGCCCAGAACCGACGATCATCCACTGTGGGCCCAATCAGGGAATCCTGAGCACTGCCCAGAAATGTCGTCGTCAGTCCCTGGAGATCCCCGTCGGAAATCAGTTGGGGTCCGATCGGGCGAAAGAAATTGTATTGTCATCAATCAGGAGTACCTGAAGGGACCTTGAAGAGACAGCCCTTTTCCTAATAAGGAAGGCAATCTAGGATATTCTAACTCTCAATAATAGAAATACTTTTGTTTAGTATAGGTCATGTTTTATATTTTTAAGTTTTCAAAGCGTTGTTTGTGGCACTGAGAGGGTACTTGTAGTATTGTGAATGTGATATATCTTTTCCCCCCTCCCTGGCTGCAGCTTTCCGAATTTTCCTAGGTGCATACAGACTCTTGAAAATGCCTGCGCAGTGGAATCGGAGTTTCGGAGATCATTGGCCAGGGAGTGTACAACCTCTGGCGCTGCATCGTGAGAACTTTCCGAAATCCCTGCATAGCCGATCATTTCAATAGATAGGGTACACAAGTCCGTATACAAACTAGGAGATAGCTATAAGCTATCCTTATTCTCAAAAGGGCCACGCTTTCTCCCATAAGGCTCGTTGTTCGGGGTTTCTTGATTCGCGATGTAAAAACCTCTTCTTGGCACGATCCAGGCGCCTCACAACTTCATCATAGTCGCCCGGCGAAACGGCTCCGTTCCAGCCGCGGTAGACTCCAATTTCCTCAAGCACCTTTGCTTTCCTCTCCACATCCCGTTGCCATTTCGTGTATTCCTCGTTCTGTCTCTCTAGCTCACGGGGGCTATATTGTATCGGACAGGGAACGATTGGATTTCCATCACCATCTTCCCCAACTAGCTTTTTCCACACCTTGGGCTCTGTGGTAGCAGCAAGAAGCTGTTGCACGTGCGCTTCTCCGTCATCAAAGATTGACCCGATCAGACCAAAGATCTCAGCTTGTAGCGTCTCTCGATATTGGAATGCGCGGGTCAAATCACGGGCTTCTTTGTAAACCTGGGTCTCGTACAAAAGCCAGAGTGTCTGGGCCAGAAACAACTCTTTTGCAGCTTTCTTGTCTTCAGCATTCATGGTTCCGATATTTTCAGGGAGTTCTGGTTGCACAAATCGCTCTGGTTTTGGTCCGTCATAGTCGATGAGAGACGGGTGGTGAGTCACAAGAAACATGGGATAAATGGGGATAGCTTGCCAGTCAATAATGCTAGTGATTTTGGTGGGGTCATTCTTGTCGACGAAGATGTTGTCGGTATGGAGATCATTGTGCCAGATAATACCAGCATTGAGTGAGTCCTCGTGTGGTAAGATATGTTGGTAGACTTCGAGGAAGTCCCGTAGAACGGCCAGTTTTGCCTCCTTCGTTGGATGGTAGCCGTCAGGTCCATTGAAAATTCCCTGTTGGCAATTTCGGGGAAAGCTTTGAAATGGTTTTAGACAGGCCAGCTCTCGTTGAGCCAGCGCATTCATCGTCTCCTTTATGTTCGCCCCTGCCGCCATAGTCAATGCTTCCTGTCGGTGCTTTGTATCAGACGGGGATAACTTACATGGGCCTCGATAGATATCAATCTCTCCTCTTCTATCATCAAACCAGGCTCTTCCAGTTGTCGGTCCAATTGCAAAAGTGTCGTCAATCTTGATACTTTCCGTGTCGGAGATGTCAACGCGGCGGTATAGAGAGCCGTGACAATGAAACATCGCCCGTGATAAAGTACAGGTAATAGATCCGATTTCTTTCGCTATAGATAACTTATCGCGGGGTTTGAGATCGTCCCACACCCGACCAAGCTCAATACCTTCGGCCTTTTCCATAATCACATACTCGGCGCCTAACTTGCTGTTCCCAGCGCGGGAACAATAAGCGAGAACCTTTGGCACGGGAAACTTAAGATTTTCCCTCGTCTATCAGCTGGTTAGAAACTGCCTAATGCCTTGGATTTCTCCTATGTTGAGGGCATAATAATTCTCACGTATTGCATGGTTGCTACTTCTGAGGCAGTTGTATAATGACTCGGCCCCGCGTTTGGATTCGGAATTTTGACGATCAGTTCCCGTCCATCCTCCATAGAGACAAGAAAGGTTTTGTTGAAGTTGTCTTCAGGTAATTTGGAGACTCGACTGCAGACTGCATCGCCGCCAGCAGCTTCCACGGCGACCTCAACCAAAGCATCTAAGTTGAATGAAACGTATCTGCTCTGTAGCTGCTGGGTCTCGTTCCAGAGCCACCTCTGAGCTGAGTATCTGAATAGGTCTTCCGGGTCACAGTCTGATTTTTGGTCAACTGGCCATGTTTACGGTTCTTGAGCAACGAGCAGGTCATACCGAAGTGTCTTGCTGTCAGAGCTTGGTTTCTAGGGGCCACGGCGGATATCAGGCGGCGGTTAAGACCGCTGAACCGCAGGAAATGAGCTGGAATACAGGGAAAGTAAACTTTGCCAAATGGTATTGGCATCTTTGACGGCACTTTTGGTGTGGCGGAGATATGTTGTCCAGGAATGAGCAGTCCGACCTGAACTGTTTCACGGCAACCGACAGAGCCACGTGATAACTTGGCGTAGAATCCATTCCGCGAGGGTGTCCAGTGGATTGCCCAGGTTGGACATGCAAAATGATTGGGACTATGTTCCCGATAGGAGTGACGATATCCTATGGGCCAGAGTGGACAATGAATGGTCTGATGATTTAGTGGGCCGTTCCCCCACTGTCACGATATCAAATTGATGTACAGTATACTAATTACTGCCTAATATGGTTGCCCATCCAGCGGTGCAAGTACACAGTATCTCTCCGCGATCCTCATCCATATCAATAGCCCGGATCCTCGGAGCAGAGATGTTTCGGGCTCTTGAAACCACCCATATTAGCGGCGTTAATGAAACTCTGTGTTGTCTGTTGATCACCTCCACATATCGCACCGCACCAAACAGGACGCATCTTATGCCCATATGGTTGCAGAATATACTCCTTCATCTCAAAGTCCGAATCAACTGCCCCTCTAACATCGCAAACTGGAATAGTAAACACGCCTTCCCACGAAGCTCCCTTCTCTCCAGGACTGGCCCAGGCGTTTGCAACCGCATCTGACGCTCGTTCCGCCGCTTTGTCCGCATTATAGTCGTACCCGGCGGCATTGTACGCATCGAGCGATGAATTGATGATATCCTCAACGCTGACACCACTATACGGGCCCTGGCCGAGTTGATCCGCCCCGGGCGGAGAAGCGACCCATCCCCATTGATGCGCGGTGGTCGAAACGACATCGTTCTCCTGCCAGTAATATAGATACCAGGCCTTGTTGTCACGACAGACAACGGCTTCTTGGGGTCCTGATCCAATGCCTTGGTTATCACCGCAGGCTCCACCGCCCATGATGAAGACCTTTTGAGTTCTGTAGAGCTGGTTGATTGCCGTTCCCACCATCATGGCTGTCATGGAGTCGGTCACCGCGTTCTTGTCCACACCTGGATAGTCCAGGAAGGCTCCCCCGGAAAGGTATGATCGGATATCGGCCTTGTTGTACAACCTTCCGGCCATGAGGTCGTTGTTGGCTGTCGTGAAGGACTTGAGAGAGTCGACGACAACGGTGCCGAGGATGCTGCCGAGATCGGCTGATTTCTCGAAAGTGTCATCTTTGCTGTATGACAAACATATTAGGTCTCACTGGACATATAGGAGAGGTTCAAAGAAAGAATAGGAATGGCAACTTACTGATCCCCAAGCACCAGATTACCCGCCGCAATACCGCCACTGAGCAGCGCAGAGCCTGCACCAGCAACCGCACCACCGACCGCAGGACCCAGGCCCGCAAACGTCGCCCCAATACCGACGATAGTCGTCACTGCATTCAGGGCCTCCTTGAGTGCCGTCACGCTCTTCGCGTCCTTGTCCTTATAGAAGGTCAACGCCCACTCATCCTTCGACAGCGCCGCCCCCAGCGCCGTGGTCGTGAACGCCTCCCCAAGACCAGTGAAGTAGGTATGAAGCCGGTTAACGGACTCAAGCACATAATACGCCGGACGAATGTCATTACCCTTGTCATTCAGGACTCGATTATCGCACAGATTGAGGTCACAGTCGGTATCTGAGCCACTGTCACTGCAGGACCAATCTGGGTTGCCCATGGCCCATTGCCCGAATGCTCCGGCGAACCCGGCCGTGTTGCTGGAGACTTGGTCGGTGTTGCCGTCCCACCAGCTGTTCAGCCAGTCGGTGGTGTTGTAGGTGTCCCAGTCTCCTTGGTTCTGGTTGTAGAATTCTTGGACAGGACCACATCGTTTGTGGAGATGCGGTTGGTAGGATGGGATGCCTTGCACTGTAGCAAACAGCGCGAGCGCCGTGAAGGCGGCAGGGGAGAGCATAGTTTCGGGACTCAGCGATGAATCTCAATTGGGTCAGAACAAGATTTAGCAGGTATGAGGAGATTGGAATGGTGTTTCCTCAATCTTATGCTCGAGAAAATCGACCGTATATATACAAGTCCAAGTCGGAGTCTTCAAAGCCCCGACTCTAATTACCCGATCGGGAAACTGGTGTACTGTCCCAGAGTACCATATTCCAAGTGTTTCACGCTGTTGATCAGTGGTTCTAGAAACAAGTTTCATTGGCTCCCCTTGGTCTTGCAGGATCCGAGTGTCGATCATCATCCCCGATTAGTTGACCACGACTCTACTAAAGAGGCCTTAACCATGGTCTTCATGACGTGGCTCCTGGACATGACCGATTCAAACTTTTTCTTGGGGCACGAATTCCTTAAGAATTCCTTAAGGATTTCTGGCACCCAACCTATTGGGTATACATGCGAGGAATTGTGGGTTAACGTTCAACGACAAGGCGTAGACTCAGGATTGAAGTTACGCATGTATATCATGTCCTTACTAGGCCATTCGTACCTGTGGTTGAAGAAGCTTCGCTTTCAGGTAACAAGGCTTTCCTTCCACACGACATGTTCGTCCACGGAGATAGTCGCATGTCTAACTCAAACAAAGAGGACTTCGATTGTCAGTTGGCCCCCGAATGTAAATGACGGCCCAAAGCAACTACAGTACCGAGACAGTTGACTAATGAGCCATCACCATTCAATACCTGCCCTTCATTCAAAAACAACGTCTATATTTTATTCCCTTTAGTCTCTAACCAAAACATGATAGATTCGCGTAAATGCCTTTGGGAATGAATAGAAAAGCTTTAAACTTCCAAAATAGCCTTCTCGATCAAGGCCTTACTCTCGGTTTCCACTTTCGTAAATAGCTGAAGAGCGTCCGCCAAGCGCGTGGTGGCAATAGGATCGGCCTTAATGGCATCCTGCACGGCCGCACCGTTATTCGCCAGGTAGTCGACGTCTGTGCTGGCAATCTTGCCGTCCCAAGAGGCGACGAGCGGATCGATGCTGGCCAGATATTGCAGGCGCTTGGGAGTCGCCACGGTGTTCTGGTGACCGGGGTACTGAGGCTTGGGGACGCCACCCTCCCCAGGCTGCCAGGTGCCATCGTAGGGTAGCTTGACGAGCTCTTCCAAGACTTCCTTCGAGATGGTGGCAGAGTCGACCCCGATCTCACCCTGGGCGAGAGCTTCCTTGGCATTGATGAAGCTGTGGACGTGTGTTAGCTGATTCTGAAACTATATTGGCAGCTTGAAAGGAGGCTCATACTTGGCATTCTTGATCAGCGGTTGCTTCTTGCCGGTTTCTTTATGTAGGCGACGGTATGTCTCCAACATTTGAACAAGACGGGCTGAAAAGGGGTGCTGCGAGGCGGGATCTTCCACGTTGGGCCAGAGACTAAGATCAAGGTTCGCGCGGATCTCTGAACGAGAAAACGGAAGATAGAATATTAGTTGGGCCGCGCAGACAAGAGAATTTAAACCGAGACTGGGGTAATACCATTGAAATATGGGCTGATGAACAAGCAGCCAGCCTGACTGGCCGCAATGGCCTGGGCGAGCGAGAAGCAAGCAGTTCCCAGTGTTTGAATGCCTTCAGCTTGCAATGTTGGGCAAACGCTCAGAGCAGGACCCGTGCTGGGGATCTTGATGCAGAAACGGTCTTTGGAGATGCCCACGGACTCGAACTCCTTGGCATATAGCCGGGCATGCTCAAGAACCTTCTCGCCATTGTATGCCTCGGAAGGGGAGACCTGCAACAGGACGCGGCCTGAAATGTAATAGATTGATTTCTTGCACAGCAGAACGGCCTGATGTGAGGGGAACAGTCGTGTTAGTGATAAATAAAATACGACACATAGTTAACCACTCTATTGTCTTCGGGTCTTACAATGCGAGTGTAGATGGCCAGCCAGCCACGACCCTTGTATTCACGAGCAACCTCTGCAATCAACTCCTTATTGATGGGGTTCTCTAATTGCGCATGGACATGGATCTGGTTGCTGGTCATATCATGGGGAGTAATAGGAAGGTTCTGGATGAAGACGGGATCCATCCAATCAACATCCACATTAACTAAAGAAAAAAGACATGAGCTTTCACATCATGATCACCCCAGGAATAAGTGCAAAATACCTTGGTCCTCCAGGCGTTCAAGCCAGCTGGGAGTGGTAGCAGTGCCTATCATCGTGTGCGGATTGGGAATGGGCCGTAATTGGGACAAGGAATCCGGAGCGATTGAGGTGATAAATTTGTTAAGAAGAGGTGAAATGATCTCGACGGAGCTGCAACTTATATGTGTCTAGCTCCCAATGCCCCGCCATTCCCTCACACAGCTGAGAGGACCGTGGGGTACTGTGGGGGAAAATACTGAGTAGACCGGGGCGTGTGAGCGATCAGCGGCATCCGTCATCAACTTCCATCGGCCCATCTTGGTCGCCTTCAGACACCGCTCATGCAAGCACCGGAAAACCGCTGAGTGAGCATTGTGGCAATGAAGACAGCACATCCATGCTGTGTTGTAAGGCTGGCGATCCCCGCGGGACTCGAAGCTCCCGGAAGGCCGCTCTCGGCTGACCCAAAGGGGTAATGATTCCGACCTTCGGCTCGGCTCGGGATGATTACCGCTCATAGAATCCCTATTCGGCAGGCCATCCGCAGTGCTCTTCTCCAGGAAGACAATATGTAGTTGACAGCTGTTTGTGTCAAGTTACTTGGAACTGAATCCGTCTGTTTTTTGACCGTGAACCTTGGGATTCTTGTCTATCCTTTCACTAATCCCAATGAAGGCGAAAAGATCATTGATGGAGTCTCCGAATTGGTGCGGGTTGGGTTGCGATTTTGCAGTCCGACTCTAACTGGTGCTGCACATAGCACATCAGACGACAGAGCGCATGCTTTGGGATACGGAGTTAACCGTGCTTGTTATGCGGTTCTGCTATTCGATGGGCCGGGGCAAGGCGTCAGTTTGCGCGCCGGAAGAAGTGCCATGCGTCCTGACTGGGAGCAAACAGGCAATCCCGTGACCTGGGCAAGGAATGATATATTCTAAGATAGCATTTTCAAACTGACCACATTAGGGGTAAAGTACTGCTGCATGTAAGATTCTTTGAACCGTGGTTTCGGAAACCAATCAGAGGTATGCCGCTATCCCAGCACACAGGATATGTATGTCACTGGTGGATTCAATCAGGTGAATTCTCGATCCTTAAACTCTACAAGCGAGGTGTTCCGCAAGGTGTATGATTGGGCTGAGCAGCTCTAGACGCATACTTGCCACACGAGCTGCCTGCTCCCTTATATACTCGTTCATGACTGCTTCCAATAACTCATACTTTTCCAACTATGGCAAGAGCTCGTGAATATTAGTCATATTTCCTCGTGAGTTTCGCACAAACCACAGGCCCTATTAGTTTCACAACATCTTCTATCCTACTTTCTGCAAGGGACATTGTAGAACTTCCTTGAATCATTCAATGAAAGCCTCTGGTATTGTTTTGCTTAGTCCCATTATTACTTTCTATATTCTGCACCAAGACAAACAATGCTGCACATCACAAGTTCAAAGGTCTTGCGGATATAGACTCCAATGATAAAGTGTTCTACTTCCACAAAATCATTTGCTCAGGATTACGAAGACTTATGCATCGCTCCCCTGAATGTGGCAATGTAAAGTTCGGACAAACGCCTAGCCCTAGTGCCCCAAGTGCTATTATATGTATGTGTTCAACTACAGCAATAGGGCACAGGCCCTGTCGCAAACATTTCTGGTTGTCATAAGTCCATTCGATGATATTTACATTTCCCGCTCTTATTCGCATACCCATTCCTCATCCATCAATATTCGTGCCCAAAGCCACCTCCCTCGAAGCCTCCAAATCCGCCGAAACACTGTTTAACTTCACCTCAATCCTCGACACACAATCCGGCCCCAGGGGCAATCTCAAAACCTTCCCCTTCAACTCCCCCGCAACGCCTTCTCCCGTCACAGCTCCAAAGATCCTCGCGACTGCCTTTTCAGCATCACCTGGCTGCTTCCCCTGTGCGCTTTCGAACTTCCCAAGCATATCATCCACGGGTCCTCCACGGTAGGGCTCTGATAACGATTTATCGGTCTTCTGCACTGCGGAGAGGAAGTTTGTGCGGAACGCGCCCGGCTCGACGATCAGCACGGAGATGTTGAAGGGTGCGACTTCTTGAGCTAGGGATTCGGATAGCGCCTCGAGGGCGAATTTGCTGGATGCGTAGAGACCACACGCTGGGAGGGCATTTAGGCCTGCGATGCTGGTGATGTTGACGATTGTGCCGCTCCCTTGTGCGCGTAGCGAGGGCAGAAATGCGCGAATGAGTCGCAGGGGTCCGAGGAAGTTCGTGTTGAGTTGCGCGAGGGCTTCTTCGTCACTATACCGGGTTGATCAGTTCGGTTGCAATGTGTCGGAGTGGATGACATAACATACCTAATATCTTCGATGGCCCCGAGCAGCGAGTATCCAGCGTTGTTCACAAGAACGTCCACGCGTCCATAGATGCTCTCTGCCTTCTTGACCACGTCGGGGACGGTCTCGGCCTTGGTGACGTCCAACTCGATGACCTTTCCACCTCGCGACTCAATTCCCTGCACTGCGTCGGCGGATTTCGTGGTGCTTCGTACGGTCGCGATGACGTTGTGTCCGGCGGCCAGCGCGTGGAGCGCGAGTTGGTATCCGAAGCCGGAGGAGCCACCGGTGATGAACCAGACGAGGGGGGCCATTTTGCGTATGTTGTGAGGGTGTAGTCAATTGCTTCAAGATAGCTCGTATCTGTGAAAGACTGGTGAGATTTATTGAATCAAACTACGTCCTCTCTTTTTAAATACCCCTCCATCGTGACACATGGAGTTAACGGGATCGGGGATAGCGATGGGATTAAGCTCTCCTCCGCCCCTAGCATTTAGCGGCAATTCTGGCCGCAGGCCAATGACTCCTAGTACAGAGCACGGTTTATCCCCACTAATGTCGCCATGGACGCATCGGCGAGTATCCGGCGATTTCTAACTGTCCTCGGAACTGGTTGCCTTTTGGCGTGGATACTTGGCGTTCGCCTTTTGTGTTTCCAGCGTCTGCTTCAGGGTTAATAGATGTATGATCATAGCAGTTGCACTGGCAGCTCCTCAAAATATATAAACAAAAGAGAATATGAGTAATAACAGTGCGGATGAGCTGGTTATTACTAGATTTCAAACGTCTTATCCTCACTGATTGCTGAACTCCGGCCAGTATCTGGGTGTGTCTACATCATTTATGTAGACGAAAGAAGTCTGACCTGAGGCATCAACCCTGGGAGATCAAGCGGAGCCGGAATAACCTTGCACCCGATACAGTGATGCCTTAGGATGCTGGAAGCCCCGGTGCCGCAGCCTTGCACTAAGCCCAAATGGACCAAAAACCGGGCCCAGTTCCCAATAGATCCTCTAGCGCTCGCCCCGATTCCCGGTCGAGTCAGTCGGCAATAGCAGCTAGTGCGACTGGGGTCTGTTGCCTTCCCAAGATCGGTTCGCAATGGCTTGCGAAGCGAATATAAATTCATGGACTGGATCAGTCTGGTTTTGCGGATCAATTGAAGCCAAAATATTGCAGCATGACAGCTCTCGTATCTCTCCCGAACGAAATCCTCCATAGGATTGCCTATTATGCCGACCGCGAGGAATTGCTCCAGTTGCGGCTGGTCTGTCGGTCGCTGAGCAATGTTAGCAGGAGGTGGTTGTTCCGGTATGCCTGCGTGGTGCCGACAGATGAAAGCTGTGAGAAATTCGAGACGATCTTGAATGATCCGTCCCTTGCGTCGTGCGTGACGAAGGTGTATCTGGACACGGCTAATTGGGACCATGTGAGTTTTGACCTCCTTCGAAGAATTCTGTGACCAGGTGCTGATACAGACAAGGATATTGATATCGAGGAGTACGATGACGACGAGGGAGAAGAGTTATTTCTTCCACGGAGATATAGCAAACTGTTCAACCGACTCAAGGACTTCCCTAGTCTCCAAGGGGCTGTGTTGCGTTTTGCCCACGAGTGCTATGGACGAATATCACTCGACTCGTTCTGGAACGACTGCCAGCAAGAGCCTCCCTTCCGTGAGAGTGTCCTGGGGTCGTTCATGGAATCCGTGGCTTCCTTGCCGCGACCTGTTCGAGAGCTTGGGATTCGCGATCTCCAGAACATCAATCAGACGGACGAAACGATCGTGGAGAATACCAGAAAGGTTTTAGGAGGACTCTCTACACTACGGCTAAATATTACCAACGAGCATAGCGAAGGAAACGGAGAGAATGATCTGACGGTATGTTGGCGCATTCTCTGAGTGTTTCGAAGGCGACATGGCTGACCGTGAATAGCATGACGAACCGCACCAGTTCTTCTCAGAGCTGCCATCTGTCTGGCTACAGCCGACGTTAGCAAATCTGCAACATCTGACACTCTACTCGAGCAACTACTTTGGCTTCTTCCCGAAGTTCGATCCCACAGGATTACACTTCCCGCAACTCCAAACCCTCGCTCTCGGCAACCACGCCTTCGTCCACGACTCGCAACTCGACTGGATCCTCTCGCACGCCGACACACTCGCCGAGCTGTACCTCGACGACTGCCCAATTCTCTACGAAGTCGCAATCTACGAAAACGAACAAACATACCTGGACCCAGCCTCCTTCGGGTCCAAACAAGGTCTAGGGGAAAAGCATTACGCTGCGTATGACAAACGCTGGCATGACTATTTCAACGCCTTCAATGACAAGCTGCCGCACCTGAGACATCTCCGGGTTGGGCACTGCCCGCATTGGTGGGATGAACAGACCACTCCCTTTGAACAGGAGCAACATATCAAGGTGAGCTTGCCGAGGGATAGATATATGGTGTTTTGCGATGGATTTGGGCCGAGTCCGTACATGGAGGAGATGATTTATCGGGATGGTGAAGGGTCACGTCCGGATTGCTATGTGGAGGATCAGAAGGCGTTGGAGGAGCTGTGCGCGAAATTGGGCCAGAGGGCAGAGTGTGACCCGGATGAAGATATCTATGGTCACTTGTAGAGTTATGAATAATGAGGGCATTTTGTCAGAGCTTCAGTGAAAGGCGTGACATGTTTGGCGTTTGTTTGGGGACGGACAGTTTCCCCGAATAGTGGACCACGGTCAATACCAATTAATTTAGCACTAGGACAAAGCATGGTACATGTGACTGAAACGTCTTATGGCACTCTTCTTATACCAGAGTCATTTTTTTACATTGTATTGCTTTGCTATCTCTTTGTGCACAATTGGTGCAATTCCAGCCCACATATGAACACCATCAGCGACCAAAAAGGCTAGAGCAATATGCACTGTCATACTGTCAGCATGCTTATTTGAAAGAACTTGAATGAACAGTAGAAACACCAGCCAGTAGTTCTACAGTCAATTCACGTCCCCAATGACAGCCAAGAAAAGCAAGCTTCAAAGCAAACCCTTCCCGAGGAATGCAGTGATCAGAGCCAAAGGATGCGCTACTGCACCGATGACAGGATACAAATTCCGGCTTGCAGAGAATGACCTTGTCCAAGCCATGGCGTGGTCTTGTGGCCAACCACATCGCTTCCTTGTGACAGATCTCGTATAAACCTGGTCTAGGACTCCCCACTTGTGTGCCCTCCATTATGTGTGTTCGATGCAACATTGCAAACAAATGAGAGAGTTGTTTTTGCATCATCTGGTTGGTATTGCACTGGTTGTAGGGCTTAACACTTACTGAATGGGCGAATTCGTATTAATAATGAGATAATAACTTTGTTGTTAAACTTCTGCCTACCCAGCTCTAGACCAACCATGTGGTCTGTATTGCCAGACAATGTGATGAACCTGCGCTGTTTCGTGCACTGACTACGCAAGGGCGTATATCTATCAGGGCTGACGTTCCTGCTGTTCCCGCCATGAAGTCATCGCCGTTTTAGTAGAAACCCTTAGACATGGCATATTTATTCCATGGGCCCCGCCCGTCGTAACTCTGCTTCGCTGACCCCTTCAATTCCAGTGCCCTGTCACTACCTTTCTGTCCATCATGTCTGTGATCGTGTACTCTGCGTTGGGGGTGTTGTGCCTATTGCTCCTCAAATCTCTGTTCGGACGAAAAGGCTCGAGTGCTCCTCTTCCGCCCGGACCTCCCGGGAAACTCATCGTTGGCAATCTCCGTGACCTGCCACCATCTGGATCGCATGAATGGTTACATTGGTGGAAATACAAGGATCTCTATGGTATAGCAGATTTTCCTTCTCCGGGGTTCTACGCGCATAACACTAACGTAACCACCCATACCGATAGGCGGGATCAGTTCATTGAATATCTTCGGCCAAACTTTAATCATCATCAACGATGCGGACGCGGCGATCACGCTCTTCGAAAAGCGCTCCGCAATCCATTCAGCCAGACCGGAATTTCCTATGGCGGAGCTGTAAGTCCCTTTTCCTCGCTTTGATTCCTCATTCTAACGTACCTAGATCCGGCTGGGGCCAAGCGGTGAGTCTGCTTCAATGCACGCCTCTGTTCCGAACGCATCGCAAGGCCCTGCACCGAGAACTTGGTACCACTGCGGCGGTTGCGCGATTCAACGATGTCCTGGATATCGAGGTGCGACGTTTTCTGCTGCGGGTGATCCAGACGCCGGATCAATTGATGGAGTATATTCGAAAGTTAGTCCTGCTTCAGTTGTTCTCTTACATTCTCGACGATGGGTTAGGCTGAATGGTATATCGTGCAGACAAACCGGCGCATCCATCCTGAAGATCGGATACGGATATAATGTTGAACCAAAAGGCCGCGATCCGCTCGTCGATCTGGTGGAAAAGGGCATGGCTGAGTTCTGCGATGTCGTGGTTCCGCATGGATGGCTTGTGAATCTTGTTCCCGCTTGTAAGTAACGGGAGTCTCCCTCTCCCCGTGAGTATACAACCCACGAAGGGTAATTGACAACGATCGCAGTCAAGCACTTCCCAAGTTGGCTTCCAGGTGGCGGATTCCATAAGACAGCTGAGGAATACCGGAACAGCGTCGCTCGCCTGCGCGATCTGCCGTATTACTTCGTTAAGCGACAGATGGAACAGAAGAAAGACACCCCGTCGTTCGTGTCGAGTAGCCTCAATAAAGAACCTGTTGAGCCCGGCTCGGAGGATGAGATGGTATTGAAGTGGTCTGCTGTGTCGCTGTATGCTGGAGGCGCTGATGCTGTGAGTGACCTATCTTTTCCCGATTGACACCAACCCCTAGGAATAATCATGAACTATAACTGTGAGCATCACTAACGCCACATCACCAATATTAGACTGTCTCCTCAATTGCCTGCTTCTTCCTCGCAATGGCTCTCTACCCAGACGTGCAAAGACGCGCACAAGAAGAGATCGACCGCGTAGTAGGAACGTCCCGATTGCCTAGTTTCCAGGACCGCGAGAACCTGCCGTACATCAACGCCATGGCACAGGAGATTCTGCGCTGGCATCCTATCGCGCCGGTCGGTTTCGTGCATAAGTCTAGCGAAGAGGATATCTACGACGGATATCGCATCCCGAAGGGTGCGATCATGATTCCGAATATTTGGTGCGAACCCATCATACCTATCAACTAACACCCCTGCTAATTGACACCTGTCTGCTGATAGGGGCTTCATGCACGATCCATCGATCTACCACGACCCAATGGCTTTCAAACCCGAGCGCTTCCTCTCCGAGAAGGGCCACACGCCAGAACGCGATCCCAACATGTTCGCATTCGGCTTTGGCCGCCGGATCTGCCCCGGTCGGGTCCTCGCCAACGCGGATATCTTTCTCACGATTGCGCAGGCAGTTGCGAGTTTGAATATCATGAAGCCGGTAAAAGATGGAACGGAGATCCCCGTCAAGGCGGAGTTCTTGCCCGGTGTGATTAGCCATCCGGCGCCGTTTGAGGTTACCATTAAGCCGAGGAGTCGGGGGCATGAGGAGTTGATTAGGGAGGTGGAGCGGTTGGTGCCGGAGGAGAAGAGTGATGCGGAGGCTTTGATAAGAGGTGTTTGATCCATAGTCATCAGGTATGCACGCAGTTGATAGGTTTTGCTTTATTTTGTTCTTTCATAGCCAGCATAAAGGCGAAGGCCCTATTTGCTCACCGGACGCATTCATACTATGAGCGAGCTGGCAGATCGCAAAAAGAATGTTCATCTGAATTCAAACGGCCTCATTTGTTATCCTTGTTTTCTTTGAAGAGTTACAGCAGACCGTAAGAGCCAAACTGAGCCTATACTGGCTTCTACCGGAGTTTACTTAAGCAACGTTCTGGATTTGTTTTTTAGAGTAAACCACTAGCCCCAGTTCGTGGGTTCTCATTTTCAAAGAGCGAACAGTTTGAATAAATCAATAAATCATTGCGAAGTGAGCTTGGGTCTTGCGAATGGCGACACACTTTGCAGAAACCCGTATCAACCATTCCTCTGAAGATGCTTCAGCATTGCATCCCCCCACGACGCAGAGAAAGGCACACCTCCAATTCCGTGTCGCTGAGCATAATTCAGCCTGGCCTCCCTGCTCGCGTCAAGACCTCTAGATTTCATCAAATCGACGTGGGAAAGTGGATCTAGTGGATCATCAGTCAGCAAGATTCTACTACATGCATGAATGTATGGAGTAAGACGCCAGGAACTCACCTCCACCTCTGAGCACATCGCCGCCAGCCCTCCTCGGTATTGAACCCGCGCCTCCAGCTGTACTGCCAGGGTTAACGTTGCGGAAAAACCAGCTGAGTCCTTCGAGAGTCACTTGGATAACCGAACTCGCAAGCGACGGGGTGGCTGTTTGTTCTTGGGCTGTATTGCTAGATGTATGTGCTGCCAGCGGGGGGCTCGGGGTAGAGGCATCTGTATGAGAAGAGGCATTTTGGCTCGGTCGTGCTGCTGCGTGCGCGCTTGTGGTAAACTGCGACGGAGCAGGAGTAGCTAGCAGCAATATCCCCGCGTCCGTTTCATGAACGGGCACATTAGCATCCAGTTCCTCCTCGATCCTCGAGGGAACGATACTTGGACTGCTATAATGCCTCGCAACCATCTCCCTCGCATGTCGCGCGATCTGCTCGCGGTTGAGAAACCAATCAATAATCATACCGCTATCGTCACCAGCGCCGTTGTACTCCCAGCCGTGCTGATACGTCTTTAACCCACGCATACCAACACCGTCCTCCCATCTGCGCCGAAGAGACACAAGGCGCTGGCGGTAAGATGCCGCCTGTCCCGGCGTTGCCGTCCAGAAAGTTGTTATAAACGTGACGCGGGGAATGTACTGCGGTCCACCCAAGGCGCGGATGAACTGGATCAACTTGCGGTCAAAGTCATCAAATCGTTCTTGGGGGATGCAAGTGAGGTATAGAATCCCGGTGATACGGGCGAAGGGGAGGATGGATCTCACGCCGCGGATGATTTCACGGAATGTCCTCTCCTCGGTGTTTGGGTCGAAGCCTGGTGTGTCCATGATGAAGATGGATCTGTCGTTGACGATAGCCTTGCAGAGCTGGATGGTCTTTGTGACTGCGGCCCGACTGTTAGGCTTCGGAACAAGGGAATCCGAAAGAAGTAAGCTCACCGGAGTCAACACTTTGTTGCGAGTAGCCAGTGAGACCAGATAGGTCCTCTAGAAGAGATGATTTGCCGGACCCGGTTCGTCCGAGAATGATCAGGACGTCAGAAGGGGCTTTGTTCTCTCTGTTCTCGGTCAGTTACACGAGGTGTGACAGTTGGCAGGAGACGGAGGACAACCTGAAGTGAGCCTCCAGCTCTGCGAGGCATTCCTTGGTTCGTTTAGCTTCGGACGCCATGGATGATTGGATACTGAGTGTAGCGTAAAGTTGTATGAAGCACGGTAGATGAGCAAAGGGGACTTCAGTATCGGCGGTAGAATCAACATGTTGTGCCGGATTGAGAGTGTCTTATATAGGATGCGGTCCCATCCATCATACCCAACAAATACAGCCTTCACTTACACCCATGTTCCACTTGACGGGGCGCAGCGGCGACGACGTTCATCAGGGGGGGAGATACAGTTGTCGCTACGAACCAATCGTTCGTACCAAGGAGCTTAACCTAGAATCTGCTGGACTATGACATGGCTCTTAGGCTGTTTCGCATCTTCAGCTGGAGGCCTAAACCTCGGCGCTTAATCGTTGGCATATATGCATGCCACTTGGCGACATACCCAATGTGCCTACTTTCAGACGCTCTCATACTGCCAAGGCATCTACTTACGTATTCATTTATTGACTTATCTATCTATTTATTGATTTGTTCTTGGTCTCGAGCTCCTTACTCTACTATTCATTATAACGGCGCCTTTTCATGGACCTTAATTTGTTCATTGCGGGGCTGCGTTCAATCGCCTGTTTGGATGATGAGGATTTACTCCAAAAATAGACAAGGCAGTCCCCTATGAGATCATTTGATTGGAATCTACCGCAGCCTTGGCTTAAATTCAAGTTCGGCGTCTCGCCGTATCCGACCAGCTGATACTGGTGAGCTTCACTGGACAAGGCTGCTCCGCAGTGAACGGGGCATAGGGTTAGCTGCCGACGTGGCGATGAATTGACTACAGTAGAATTCAGCCAGACATACATAATACTCTGTTATCTGGCGCAGGGGCCGGCGCCAAATAAAACATCAAATAAAACAGACAGAGTTATGCCGTAAGGACCAACGATTTAATTGTCCGAGAGAACGTTCCAGACTCTAGATGCTAGGTTTGAGGTCAATGCAACCATAACCCATTTCCGAAAAAGAGGTTCTGTTTTCCAAGCACATTAGTACCGGGCAAGTTTGAAAAGACTTGTTTGCAGAAGGTGTCGCCCATGCTGACCGGGTGTTAGGCAATCATTTGCAGGCAGGGTCGCCCTAAGAATTCGTTTCTTCTGCGGGGTATCCGATGGACGTGTAGGGAGCGCTTGGGAGGTCATTCAAAATCATCTGAACTGTCTGTTCCGCAGTACTGGATGATAGAAGTGCCTGCCCTGGAGCTGCTGGTACCTAGGACACTAATTCGCATGTAAATTCAAGTATAGCACCGTTAATTATCATTAGCTCGCAAACCTCCCTAAGGTAGAGACCCATCTATCAGAGGATTATATCGTCATACTTGTAGGTGTCTGCACACACGTGGCAGGATACCAACTGCTTACGCCTGGTTTCGAATACTGGTGAGCTAATACTGGAGTAGCAATTGGCGAAGCGGTTTAGAAAACTAGATACAGAATAGAAAGTCACGAACATGGACAACACGACGGACAACACGACGGACAACACGACGGACAACAAACGGTTGAGAGCAAGGCAAGCCAATTGACGGGATTATTAAGAACCCTCTTGAGCACAAGGCAATAATGAAGGCAATCCCCCTCCAAGACGCTTGTCACATGCCAACGCAAACTATCTCTTTCTCTCGACTAGTATAGAATCATCCCCTAGGATGCAAAGATTCCGACGATGGGCGTCCTCGTAAGCAGCGGCGCCGGCCGCAGCACTCCAAGAAGCCACTCCTCCCGACCAGAGTGGCAGCATGACCGCCTCTGCAAGAGGAGCGCAGGGCGGGAATGCCATAGCAGCAAATCCAGCTGCCATGAAGCCGACACAGCAGCCAGCGAAACCAAAAGCCCCAGACTCCACAATGGGATTTTTCCTCTCTTCCAAGACCCCGATACATTTCAGATGCAACTCCGTTGGATTCCAACACAGGTTAAACCAGACGAGGTCCACACTGCGATGCCGCTGGCCCGTGATAGTAAGCGGAAGGAGGCTGTCATGGAATATGACAGGGTCATCCAGAACATAAGGCTCGTGAGTTGGAACGAGGAGATGGAACTGCGCCGCGTGTCCATGGGACGTAGTTTGAATGAGTGTTCTCCTGTCTGCCCTCATCCGCATACAGATCGCGTCAAGCTCATGATGATACCCGCCAAACTCAGAGCCAAGAGGGAAAGCTTGGTTCTTCGCCTCGAAGACTGGATACCAATCTGTATCCCGGTTCCAAACGTAGAAGTAGTGCCGCCGTTGATCACCGCTCTTCGCGCTGGCGTTCGCGACCTGAAGCATCTCGTACTCCACAAATCGATAGACATGCGCACCGAAGCCCTCCTGTTCCCAGCCCTGAATTTTTGCCATGTTGGTAATCGTCAGTTCTCGTTGGATACCCTGTAGACTTGACCCGACTCGATCAATCGCCTGCTTAACCTCAAGCAGGGCCACGGGGATCGCGACCAGCGCTTCGGCCTGGAACATGGCGATGAATTCTGCAGAGGAATTAAAAGCACCTGGAAAGACACGAAGATCATTCGACTGGATGTTGCTCAGGAAGCTCGGTATTGCGTTCTTCGCCTGCTTCATGGCATCCTCGTGTCCCAGATTCGACGACCGTCCGCTGTTGTATTGTGCCCATGCCCGTAACGCGGCGATGACGGCTTCCGAACCGTGTCGTTGGATAAGCACGGCAGCAGCCTCCCTCGTGAGACTTGCAATTATCAAACAAGCTCCGGGGTCCATGTTGGTATGGGTGATTGGTAGTAGAAGGGAGAACGTAGGAATTTGTGTGCCACTTGCAATCTTGTGAAATCCGGGAGATAGAGGAAGGATATAGGAGTGAATGGTTCACATGCGCCCACTGGGGTCTTAGCGCCTTGAGGTAGTTGCAATCTGGTTCCATCATGCTGATGTTGCTGAGTGTCTGCTGTTGTCCGCGTACAGGGAGAGCGGCTATGCTTCAGACTGCGTGCTGTGGCCCCTGCAGCAGCCGACAGCTGAGCGACTACTCAAACACAAACCATGATACGTGAGCCAACCAACTATTTTACACCAGATGTATCCTGGGAATACATACACCCTTGTTTATAAACGATTGGATCGTAGCTCGCGGACAGTGTTCATTCAAACGCTGTTGCCGTGCTACAGTTGTGACTGAGTACTCACAATCCACAGACAAAGAAATCCTGGTGAGTAGAGGTGATGTTTGGGAGGCGGCGAAGACCTTAGAGGTGGAGCAGGACAGGGCTCCTGATTAAGAGGAATTAGGCCTTGTGGGAGCAAACGTTGAGTGTTCTATACGGGAAAATGGTATCAGGGAAGCGGGAAGAATGTGTGTAGTGTGGCGGAAGGCGCTTTTGTCAACGAGAGCATGCCAGACACATATCTACGACGTCTCGAATCGACACGGACTTCTGTTCTGGTAAGTGACTGTAATGTACGAAGAAGTGATGATCTTTCTTACTATGTCACAGCACTGTACTTCTTTACCCTCTCACCCCGTTCTTTGCCATCCTCTGCAACGTCGTCGCTACATCTAATATTCAGATCAAAGCTTTTGAAAGAAGCGACTGCAAGTATTTCAAGCATACGTGATATGCTCCTTTAGCATCAATCTTCAAAACTTATTGCTGCATTTGATACGTTTCTATTTCAATCAGCACAATGTTCACAGACGACAAAGCAAACCCATGCGCAACCAAAGAACAGTTATTTGGTTTTACCTTTTAGATAATCAATGTTAAAGTTTCAATATATGTTCCCACATGTTCTAGTCCCAAAGGACTTTTTTTAGCCATGGAACAATTATCATTAAACCTCAATGTATATTCTAACGCATTCTAATCCCAATCCATCCCAGTCATTAACCTCTCAGCAAAACCCCTGTTGCCGGTGTTCGTGTAGCGTCGAGATTCCAATCTGGCCTTAACAGCCGACGGCCGGTATGTTGTGACTCATACTCGTTCGGTCTTCGGCGTTCGGAGGTCTATCCGTCTCGGCCCTTTTCCTAGACTATAAAAATCATGGCTTACCGGATTGAATCTTCTTTTTTTCCTCAACCTAACTATCATGGAACATATTAAGAATACCTTTGCGCAATGCAAGGCAGACGGTCGCCCGGCCCTAGTGACGTATGTCACGGCCGGGTTCCCCACGGCCCATGAGACAGTGGATATCATGTTGGGGATGGAGGCTGGGGGAGCTGGTTCGTTTCGCCCAATTGCTGTTTTTTCAGGTTCTCATGAATGGAAATGGGTTATGCTAAACGAACGAGACAGATATCATCGAACTCGGCCTCCCATTCACAGATCCCATTGCGGACGGTCCTACGATCCAAAAGTCCAACCTACAGGCTTTAGGTAACGGCGTCACCGTCTCGTCTATGCTGCAGATGGTGAAGGACGTACGGCGAAAAGGCCTTCAAGCCCCGGTTCTCTTCATGGGGTATTTTAATCCTATTTTGAAATACGGGGAGGCAAAACTGCTCAATGATTGTCGCGATGCTGGCGTCAGCGGGTTCATTATTGTGGATTTGCCGCCTGAAGAGGCCGTTCGGTTTCGGAATAGTTGCGCGGGTGCTGGGTAAGTTTTATTTTCCCTTTTCTTTCGATTCCCGATAGTTTGTTTGCGTGTTAGGCTGACGTCGGTTGACAAAGGCTGTCATATGTTCCCTTGATCGCGCCATCTACACCAGAGCAGAGAATGAAGACACTCTGTTCTATCGCGGACTCGTTCATCTACCTGGTCTCGAGAATGGGCGTGACGGGTGCCACGGGGTCATTGAACACAAACTTGCCCGAGTTGATGCAGACGGTGAAAGACTTGTCAGGAAATGTCCCTATCGCTGTCGGGTTTGGAATCAGTACACGCGAGCACTTCGAAAGCGTCACGTCCATCGCGGACGGCGCTGTCATCGGGAGCGAGATCGTAACGCAACTGTCGAATGCGCCCGTAGGACAAGGAGCGCATCTCATCCAGGAGTACTGTTCGGGGATCACAGGCCGGCGTGTTTCGAGATCGGGTGCAACTGCGCGGATCCCGGATATCAAGACCCAAACAGCCATGCAGGAGACCACCAAAGAAGACGAACCACCCATCACGGACACGGCGGGCCGTTTCGGCGATTTCGGCGGCCAATATATCCCCGAGGCCTTGACGAAATGTATCAGCGAACTCGAAGCCGGGTTTAACGAGGCCGTGAACGACCCGGCCTTCTGGGAAGAATATCGATCGTTCTATCCCTTCATGGGCCGTCCGTCCAGCCTACATCTCGCGAACAGATTGACCGAGTATGCAGGGGGCGCGAACATCTGGCTGAAGCGGGAAGATTTGAACCACACGGGCTCACACAAGATCAACAACGCGATCGGCCAGATCCTCGTGGCTCGTCGGCTGGGAAAGACGGAGATCATCGCGGAGACTGGCGCAGGGCAACATGGCGTTGCGACGGCTACGGTTTGCGCGAAGCTAGGTATGAAATGTACGATTTACATGGGCGCCGAGGACGTCCGGCGACAGGCACTCAATGTCTTCCGGATCCGCTTGCTCGGTGGCGAGGTGATCCCCGTGGAGGCAGGATCGCGCACCCTCCGCGACGCTGTGAACGAGGCGTTCCGGGCGTGGATCGTCCGGCTGGATACAACGCACTATATCATCGGGTCGCCGATCGGACCGCACCCGTTCCCGACGATGGTCAGGACCTTCCAGTCGGTGATCGGTCAGGAGACAAAAGAGCAATTGAGCCGGGAGATTGGAAAGCTGCCCGATGCGCTGGTCGCGTGTGTTGGTGGCGGGTCGAACGCCGCGGGCATGTTCTATCCTTTCTCAGACGACCGGTCGGTCCAGTTGTTTGGCGTCGAGGCGGGAGGGGATGGCAAGGATAAGCACTCTGCGACGTTGAATGGTGGCACCATCGGTGTCTTGCACGGGGTGAAGACGTACGTTCTCCAGAATGAACATGGGCAGATTTCTGAGACGCATTCGGTGTCGGCGGGATTGGATTATCCTGGCGTTGGACCTGAATTGGCGAGCTGGAAGCATGCGAACAGGGCGACGTTCCTAGCTGCAACTGATGCCAATGCGTTTGAGGGCTTCCGGCTATTGTCGCAGCTGGAGGGTATTATCCCAGCATTGGAGTCGTCGCATGCTGTCTGGGGAGTGGTTCAGGTTGCGCGTCAGCTGGGCAAGGGGAAAGACGTCGTGCTGTGCCTGAGTGGACGAGGCGATAAAGACGTGCAGACGGTGGCTGAGGAATTGCCTCGGCTGGGACCCCAGATCGGGTGGGATTTGCGATTTTAGAAGGCAGATAGAACTGTGAAAAGTTGTTGACCTCAAAAGCAAGAAGGAATAGTCGATAGTTGGCGTAGATCTGAATGGCCCGGTCGCATACCTTGCCATTTCGGGCATTTTGAACCAAGGTCCCACTTCACCCTCCAGCAGGTCACAACATAAAACACCCTGTCACCCCACCACCTTCTCGGAGGATTGGAAGAATAGTTGAAAATGTTGGAGAGACGCCAGATCAATTTCTTCCGGGGCTCACCAGCCCTAAACCTCGTTCCAACCGAATTACTCAAACAGGCGGCCTCCACTGCGTTGTCCGATCCAGCCATCTCAGGCCCAGGATGCGACTACGGCCCTGACGAGGGCTATTTGCCGCTTAGGGAAAACGTCGCCAAGTGGCTCACGAGGATATATCGACTGCCGCAGTCAATCAAGACCGAGCGGATCTGCATCACTGGCGGGGCGAGTCAAAACCTAGCCTGTTTGTTGCAGGTGTTTACCGACCCGGTGCAAACCAGAGCCATATGGCTGCCCCAACCGACTTATCACCTGGTATTTCAGGTCTTTGAAGATGCTGGATTCCATGGCCTGCTGAAAGCCATCCCGGAAGATGCTGAAGGAATGGATGCCAGGGCGCTTAATCTGGCAATATCGCGGATGGAGTCGGATCCGGCGACCTTGGACAGATTGTGTGAAGTATAAACTGTCGTGCCTATTTGGGTTGAAGATACTGACTTCGACTAGACGCCAATAAAACCACCATTGCCGTATCGGAAGATTTACAAGCACGTCGTCTACTGCGTACCGACATTCGCTAATCCCACAGGCGTCACAATGCCGGTTTCCCGAAGAGAAGAGCTTGTGCGAGTAGCGCGCAAACACGACGCGCTGATCGTTAGCGACGATGTCTATGACTTTCTGCATATATCGGGTGCAACAGCGTCGACGGGAGCGGTCCCTCCGCCGCGGATTGTTGATATCGACAGAACGTTCGATGGCGGGCTACAGGATCGATTCGGAAATGCTCTGAGCAACGGGTCGTTCAGTAAGCTTGTTGGACCCGGGTGTCGTGTTGGGTGGGCCGATGGGCCAGGTCCTCTGATGTATGGACTCTCTCAATGGTAGGTGATTATCTCTTGGGACTCTATCAATCGGATGAAACCGAGACTAACCGGGACAGTGGCTCGAATATCTCCGGCGGTGCACCATCCCAATTAATGTCAACGTTCATCAACCAGATTGTCCAAGACGGGTCATTGACAACTCATATCGACAAAGCTCTGATTCCGGCCTGTACGCGACGGTTCGACGCTATCGTGTCAGCTATCAAACACCATCTCGTACCACTTGGTGTGTCTTTCCAACCAGATGGAGAGAGTATGCCTCCCGGCGGATACTTTGTTTGGCTTACCCTTCCTGAGCCGCTGAGTAGCTCCGAAGTCTGCGAGCAGGCAAAAAGAGTAAATCTCATTCTAGGAAATGGAACAGTTTTTGCTGTGCCAGGGAACGACATACCAGACATTCTTCGTCGGCAGTTGAGGCTTTGTTATATGTGGGTGGATGAAGGGGATATTGTGGACGGAATCGTTCGGCTGGCGGAAGTTATCCAGAGTGTTTTGAGGGGTTGATGATGAAGTTGTAGTAGGGATCCCGTGACTATGGACGGTTTTGAATTGAGCCATGTGTGGTTGGTGTACGTTGAGGGGCAACATGTCCAGGATAAAATGTGAAAAGGGCAAATTATTTCAAAGGGTGGAAATTGGGCCGAACGAGCTGAAAGAATCACACAGTACAGCATCAAAGCGGGAGGAAATATCAAGGGCAGCGAACATAGCTAATTATTGAGAGACATACTCACGTGCTGCTGGTGACCCCAGGGAGTCAGTGTGGATCCCAACAGACAATACCCCGGCCCAGATGACGGAATTGAATCATGGATGCCATACTTTGAACCAGCAAAAAGATATGCGAACAGGTTCATCCAATCATTTTCTACAATTCACGGACAATTTGAACCAATTCATGCGAGACAGTCCCAGACAGATAGTTTACATTGAATATTATGTGTTGCTCAATTAGTCGTCTCTGGCATACGGACTTCGTTTCCTGAGAGCCGGACCGTAGTATCTAAGTAAAATGGTACAAGGTATGCCAATAAATGTTGCTATCAATGCAAGGAGGGTGTTGCCCCATCCGTTTCCTAGGTTGCCGTAACTTCATAAGGTTAGTATTTGGGTGGTCATCTAGTTGGGCAAAACAAGAATGCTCTGGGTAGATTATATGAAGAAGCTTACAGGCTGGGAGCTGCCAAGGGCAAGGCAAAGGCAAGAATACTCCGTAGGACGATGATGGCGGCCATGGCACTTGCGGCGAATTTTTGATAGGTGTCAATGATGTAGCCCATGACACAAAGAATTTCAAGGATGGTCCCGGCACTATAGATTGCCGCGCCGATATTTCTGGAACAGAAGATTAGCGCTAAGTCTGTATGAGCTGATTAGATTTGTTGCGAATGGTATCCTCACGGCATAATCCAATGAACATTCGACCTTGCACTCCAGCCATACCAAAATAACCCCACCGGTACGATAAATGCCCCAAGGATAAGCACCGGCAGACGGAACTCCGGCAGCCCATGTCCTCCGTTTCTATCGCACAGCTTCCGATAATAGCGGTCGGCGAGTCGTGTTCCGATCTGAGAAGCAATTCCCATTCCAATGAACATGGAAATATAGTTCAGTGATCCAATGGACACAGACTCGCCATAGACGTCCGACCAAACGTCCGGGAAACTCGCGATCAGGAGATAGAGAATACCATAGAGGTATGCGCAGTATAAACTCCACACTTGCACTACAGGCTGGGTAGCGAGCAGTTTAAAGGGTCTGACGATACTAGTGCTGAGGAGCTTCGCAAGCGAGATTGTATCGTGTTCGGTGTAGAGGTTGAGATTCCCAGTGCACTTGCGGAGGCGTCTACAGCGCTTTTGGAGAAGAATGGGGGCATACGTCTCCCGGAAAAACGGGAGACAGAATATTTGGATGGCACCGCCGGCAATCGACACGACATAGAAGCACCAGCGCCATGATGTATATTGAACGAGGAAGCCGCCTGCTATCGGGCCAATCGCTACTCCCGCGAGGGGAGCCAAGGTGTAAACCGCAAGAGCTTGGCCTCGTTCACGGGGTGTAAATAAGTCGGCGTTGATGCCACTGCCGATCTAGTAAGATGAACCTCACATTAGGAATCTAGAATGCCTTCTTGTGAACGGGACAAATGACATACTGCAAAAGGCCCGGCTCCACCCAAACCCGCAAAGAAGCGAAAGACAATAAGCTGGGTCGGAGTGCGCGACACCCCACAGAGCGTATTAAAGACGATATAAAATATATTTGCCGATTGAAGAATCAAAGAGCGACCAAACACCTCTGACAACGGGGCTGTGAATAACGGTATGAAAGCCGTTCCTAGTAAGAATGCCGACAGAGACAACACCGCTAGGAGGCTTGAGGAAAAGTGCAGATCCTCTTGGATAGCAGTCAACGCTGGGGCCATGGTGGCGGAACTGATCGAGGAGAGGAAGTTGAACAGGGACATGGGAAGAATTGTCGTCCATTTTCGACTTTGCGGCCAATTTTTGGGGTTCTCTGGGTCGTCGGGACCGTCCCATGTTACCTATACATGTTCGATTTAGTTAGAGGCAGACTCAACATGGTAGGATCAAGTACTTACAAGGTTCGGAACCGATACATTCTGTGATTGGAAAGTGGAATTATCATTGGGTAAACCACCAGTTGCCTTTTCAGCCATAGCCCGAGATAAGTTATAAATATGGATGTACCCGAGGCGATTATTCAGGCCAGGCGATGGCAATTATGAGGGAGTCGAAAGAGAGAGATGACATGCGAAAAGGGAATAAGATGAAAGTACAGACAGAATGATGGTCAAAGATTGTTTTCCAGATGCAAATTGATGGAAATGGCGAGTTGGAGGGATGGGGAGTAGAGGAGACAGAAGGAGCAGTAAGAAGGGGGAATGCGAATCACTGCCCGGGCCAGACCCAGGTACGGTAACACTTTACATTCCGGATACTGCCAGTAGTGTATTGCCGGCAGAAAACGGCAATAACACAAGATCATACGGTACTTTTCATTTCCAGGCGTAACACAAGTGCGGGTCGGTCCGCCAAGTGGGTCCCCCTGGGGTTACACCATGGAATTCCCGGCGAATCCTTCAAACTAAGACAATCAACATTTGCTCCTCCACATGGGCCTGAGCTTGTTGCCTGTTGGGTGCATAGGATGGATAACGAGGTCAGCGAGCATCGTCTTACTGTACTCAGCTTAGTCCACACACTCATCTCCAGATACTGGTCGGTTAGCACGGCACACCTAGGAAGTACACCGAGATTGTTGTCAACATTCACAATGGGGGCTATCTGACCTCAGCCGTGACGTGTCCGTTAATGCAATTACGATAGACTTTTTAAGTGTTGTATTACAATGACAGCCGTCTTTGTCAGTATAGTAAGACATTTGTGTCTTATCTTTCTGATCATTCCAAACCTTGAGCTAAGCCCTCGAGGGTATGATGCTGTGATTGAAGCCTACTCACGTCCATAACGCAGTCGGCTCGAGATACAAAGTACCAACTACTCTATCCTTTGCAAAGCAAAAGCTCCAGCTAAGCACCATGTGGCTCTACTTTGTGCTGGTCACAATACTAGTGATCGCAACCCGGCACATTGCCCACCGGATCAAAAGATGGAAGACCAATCGTCACTATGCCTTGAAGTACGGCACCAAAGACCCTGTCATACTCGCCGGTATTGCCCCTCCAGAGGGAGGAAATTACGACAAGGAAACCATGCGAGCATTTAAAGAGCATCGAGGTCTTGAACTCATTCAAAAGAGACACATTGCTGGAGGCTACACCTTCCAAACGCACACCATCGGTGGCCGGATCATCAACACCTCAGAGCCCGAAAATATCAAGACCATACAGGCCAGTCGGTTTGAGGATTACTCTCTTGGTTTCAGACAGGTTGCTTTGGGCCCATTGCTGGGTAAGGGCGTCTTCACCAATGATGGCAAAGACTGGGAACATTCTCGGGCGTTGGTCCGACCGAATATGAGCAAGACACTGTATACCGACTTTAGCAACTTGGAACGACATGTTCAGGAGATGCTTTCGCACATGCCGAAGGACGGAAGTACAATTGACATTCAAGACATGTTCTTCAAGCTAGCATGTAAGTACTACCATCAATTTGGAATCATATGGCACTATGAGCTCACGATCTCATAGTCGACGCCTCGTCTGAGTTCCTATTTGGAGAGTCAGTTCGCGCCTTCGAAGCCGCCGAAGATTCTGATGAAGCCAAGTTCGGTGCCGCTTTCGACTATGCTAGCGGAGAAACCGTCCGTCGTCTACACTATGGCCCATACTTGTTTTTGTACTTCAACAGAGACTTCACAAAGGCATGCAAGACTGTCCACAAGTTTGTTGACAAGGTGATTGCCAAGGCGGCTACTCGCCGTGCTCAGGGGAAGCCTAATCAGTACATCTTTCTGGACAGCTTGATGGACTCCGTTGCAGACCCTCAGAGACTGCGGTCGGAAACACTTAATGTCATGCAAGCTGGTCGCGACACAACTGCCAGTCTCCTTGCAACTGTATTCTACCTCCTTGCTCGGCATCCAGAGATATGGACGAAGCTGGATGCTGAGATCGGGGAATTGAACGGAAAGCCGCCAACCTATGAGGAGCTGAAGAAACTCACGTATCTGCGCTACGTGATGAACGAGAGTAAGTAATCGCGACCCTGATATAACAGTACTGTTGCTGAAAGTACGACACACCAGCTCTCCGTATTCATCCAGTCGCCCCCATCAATAGCCGCGTCGCCGTGCGCGACACGATCCTTCCAGTCGGAGGAGGGCCAGATCATAAATCCCCGATTTTCATCCCCAAGGGGCAGAAGTACGCGATCCCAACAGCTCCATGTTCCTTCAAGTGATTAATGGTCTTATTAACAAAACCAGAATCTCATTCCCCACCTACGTACTCCACCGCCGATCGGACATCTACGGCCCCGATGCCCATGAATTTCGACCCGAGCGATGGGGCGAGCCCACCTTCCGCCCGGGATGGGCGTATATCCCATTCAACGGAGGGCCGCGTATCTGTCTAGGACAACAGTATGCGTTGACGGAGGCGGGATATACGATTGTGCGTCTGGTGCAAACCTTCAAGGCAGTGGAGCAGCGCGATTTCACACGTTACAAGGAGTCTGTTCGCGTTTCAGCTAGCATTTTTGGGGGTGTGCAAATTGGGCTAATCCCCCGGGAGTAGTGGGAGGTGATTGATGGGGCGGATTAGATTGTTCTAGGAATCGTATAGCTGCAACGATGATTTAAATGAGCAGAATTACCATCTAGCTGTTCCGCACGATGTTTGTGTAATCAGAGTGACTTGCAATAAATCAAACGATGAGCGGCTATCATGGCCAATGTTTTCTGATAAATTCCAGTCCTTCTTTAACCCAGTCATCTTCCGCAGTATGCATGACTTCGAATCCATGATCTCCCTTCTGAAGACTTAACAAAACCGGTACTTCAGGCAAGGTCACCTTTAGTCGATCCGCAAACCCTGTAGCACACACCGATGGAACCTATTAATTTCCTGTCAGCACATCCAGACCCCAGTCTGCATTCTAGCCCGGTTGAGCCCCACTGAAAAGCTCGGTAAGAAATAGAAAGACCCGCGAAATAGAAGGTAATAGAAGTTGGGCAGATCTCATGAAAAAGGAAAGGGAGAACATACCACAGAGTCCTCCCCTCCCTGAACAAGCCAGATGGGGGGCAAAGAATCAACCTTCTCTATCATCTTCATCACATCAAGCTTGTCATCTGCCTTCAACCCCAACCATCTAGGCAAGTAGGCCTGCTGCAAGACACACGTCAAGAATTCCCACATCTCAACCGCATCGCCACTCGTCCTAATCACCCCCTCTTTCATATTCCTCGTATATTCTCGTATAATGATCTCGGCCTTTCGTGGTGGCGGCGGCCTCTTCCCTAGGATCAGTTTTGGTCCAGGGACTTTATAATGCGGGATATCGGTGTAGAGGGAGCCCGCGATCGACAGCAAGACTCTTATTTGCGAGAGCTGCGGGAAAAGAAGCGATGATTGCACCGCGAGATAGCCACCTGCTGAAGTCCCTGCGCATGCGACCCGAGAAAGGTCCGGGCGAGCGTGCCAGGTGGAGCTTTCTGTCGGGAGGGTATTGCGGAGCCAGATCCAGAAGGCTTCAACATCGGAAAGGATATCCGCGGCGTTGGACTCGGGGATGAGCCTGTAGTCGGGGGAAATGATGATTGAGTCTTTGGAGAGGCATAGATCCAGCATCCTTATTGGAGGGTTGTCAATGAAGACTACATTGAAGGGATGAGGTATGAGTTTGTTTACCATGGCGCAAACCAGCCTTCGTACATGCGGTCTCCGATGATGAATCCACCGCCATGCCAATAGACTAGAACCGGGTACTCGCCGCTTAGTTTACCTTGGAGTGACTTTGGAATCAGGATCGATGAATTGAGAGATTGGGTATTGATGACTTTGTACGTGAGGTCGACCCTGTCGAAGGGAGCGAACTTGTTGCTCATGGTGGCGGGTGTAGAGGTATAAGCAAACTGTTAAGGAGAAACGGACCAGAAGGAAAGAAGGGAGCACCAGGGGAGATACTCTGGCTTTATAGATGCGATGATCCACGTCGCTTAGATTATGCATAATCCGTGGCCCTGAACCCTAATTTATTGGCTAGATATCATTTTGAAGGTTATGTCTCAATGAGTAACTATAGGAGTCTACTTAGAATATGAACCCTGGGTTGAATACCAGTTAGATGCGGCAAAGCCACTATTTACTAGAATACTTCTGTTGTAGCCTCTTCGCGGCCAACCCACCCAGCGCCTCAATAGTACCACCGTTCATCAATTCCAAGACCGAGACATCAACACCCAGATTCTGCCTCCACCAATTCCGCACCTCAATCGCCACTAGCGAGTCAACTCCAACATCAGAAAGAGTTACGGACATCGGAACTTCGTCTTCCTCGCGCATTAAGAAGCTCGCCACACAGTGTGCCAGCTCGGCAGCAATGACATCCGCAGAAGCCTTCTGCTCTAGTTTAGTCGGGTCGCACATCATGCTAGCAAGGAAGTGCTTAAGCTGGTCAGCACCGTCACTTCTCTCCGCTTCAGACGTTTTTTGGATATTGCGGTAGATTGCCATCCGAGGGTCCCGTTTCCACATGCTGGCATTCTGAGGATCCATGATGGGGATACGCGAATCTAACGCCTGCACGATATGGCTGGGATTTTGGAATCCGGCGAATGCGGATGGTATCTTGGCCGGTGCATAACGAGATGAAGATCGCGCGATGGTGAGCTGCAAGCTGTCCAGGAAGTTTTGCTCTGTCAACAATGTTTCCAGGGTAGCGATCAGTGTCTCCCTGGTTGCTGGAGTCCGGCTCACGTATCCGACGTCGTCGACCGGACCGATGTTTATCACTGAGGCGGCAAGGCCCATATTCTGGCGATACTGGACGAAGGAGTCAAGGAAGGTGTTAGCCGAGGCGTAATTGGACTGGCCATAGTAACCAAAGGTTCCTCCAACCGAGGAGAACAGAACAAAGAAGTCCATGTCTTTGGGAAGGCACTCATGCAGATTCCATGATCCTTGAACCTTGGGGCGCACTGCCGTATGCCAGGAGTCAATATCCATACTGAGGACACCGACATCGCGCAGGACCATTGCCATCTGCATGACACCGGCAATTGGCAGAGAGACTTGGTCAACAGCGTGCTTAACGGCGCCCGGGTCGGCAATGTCGCATGCGAAGCACTGGGTAGAGCAACCCATTGTGTTCAACTCATTCAGGAACACGCGATCTTCCTCGGATTTTCCGGCAGATCTGGAGAGGAACATGAGATGGCGTGCGCCGTTGAGTGCCATCCAGCTGGCGATCGCTTTACCCAACCCACCAAGACCACCGACGAGGAGATAAGAAGCATCACCGCGGAACCGGGGTTGGGGAACGGTAGCAGTCAAGGGTAGAGTGTCTTCTTCGGGGAATTTGATCACAACCTTTCCGATGTGAGTTCCCTTTTGCATGAATCTGAAGGCATCTTCTGCATCCTCCGCATTGAACGTGGTGATCGGCGTAATGGGCTTGAAACAGCCATTGAGGTATTCATCCACCATGAGTTGCAGAAGACGCGCCACGGTCGACTTGTGCGTGACAAGAAGACGAGCGATGTCACCGCCGATGAAAGCTCGATTATCCTCAAACGGGTCCAAGGCCAGCTTTCCTCGGCCAACCATGTCGCGTTTGCCGATTTCAGCCATGGCACCATAAGGAGCAACGCATTTCCATGATGTGTGCAGCAACTCGCCCGATAGCGAATTCAATACCAAGTCCACGCCCACTCCATTGGTGGAGTTCATCACGCCGTCTAAGAAGCTACTGTCTCGGGAGTTGAAGATCCGGTCCCTTGGAACGCCAAATTCATGGGTCAAGAATGCGGCTTTTTCTTCCGAACCGACAGTCGCGTAGATATCTGCCCCGATCCACTTCGCCACATTCATTGCACAGATACCAACACCTAGGAACATTAGTGCCTGACTGCATGATCTCTCAAGTTATGATGACTTACCTCCGGCGGCACTGTGAATCAATATAGATTGGCCCTTCTCAAGTTTCCACTTCTCAACGAGGAACATCAGCACGGTGATGTAAACAACGGGCATTGTAGCCGCTTCCTCGTCAGTAAGCTGGTCCGGAATCTTAACGCAGAGACTGGCCGGTCTGTTGATGACGGTGGCCATTCCAACGGATTCACACCCGATAAGCATAACCCTATCGCCCACAGCAATGTTCGATACTTCGGACCCAACCTTGGTAACATAACCAGTACCCTCCAGTCCCAGTGGGCTGCTACCGTCTTTAATAGTATCTCCACCGGGTATAACGCCCATGGCAATCATGACGTCCTTGAAATTGAGACCTACAGCTGTCATCCGGATACTCGCCTCTTCGGCGCTTGGCTCACCCAAGGGTTGGCTGGCCCAGTGAAGGGTTTGCAATAATCCAGGAGTGCCAATAGTCAAACCCTTGGTTTCGGGCTCATCGGCAGTCTCACAAAGTGCCTTCTCTACCGGTACCCAGTGGAACCGACCGGTATTCAATGCGCCATTCGACCAAGCCCATTCCATGTCTGGATCCAGTTCGCCGATATCATCTCTGGAGCTTTGCAATGTTTCAATAACATCAATCACAGCCTGGGCAGCCTCTGGCTGCAAGTCTTCAAGCTCAAGCGTAGCAAAAGACATCGCAAGCTCAGACCTTATGGTTCTCGCCATTCCGAGAATCTGCGCTGCCTGCGGATCCTTGGGATTGATCTGGGCGGAGGGTGAAAGCCAAAGGACTGTCGATACTTGGAGGGAGTCCACGAGACGTAGGAAATTGGTGAGATCATCTTCGGAGATGTCTTGTAGCAGTGGTCTCTCTCCAAGGTCCATGAGCGAGATCAAGTCTTGGTCAGCTGGAAGGTCTTCTCCCCATTTGCGATGGTCCACCTCCACGCCTTGATTCTGGAGAAGGCGTTCTAGCTCTGACGCAAATTCGCTGGGCTCTGCAGCGTGAAGCAAGGTGACTCTCTCGGCGACACTGTCTTGAACAATTGGCTTTGCGATGATGTTGGCGTTGTAAGTGTAGGGCTGCTCATTGTCGAGAGTTACGGAATCGCAGCCCTCGAAGCCCGCCAGCCGTAGTCTTTTGTCCCATTCATCGGGCGAGATAAACGGGCTTCCGATGCGACCGTCCTCTTCGCTCAGCCACCATCCGGGAAATTGGCCCTGCATTACGTTAACAACGCCCAAAGAGTAACCTAGTTTGGGACTGGCCGTCAATCACGGAAACGCATATAAACAAGGCCGGGCTTACCATAATGAAGCTCATGGCGCGAGTTACTACTCCGGTCAGCGAGATTCAGGGGGTAATTGGGAGTCAAACATACTAGGACATAACTCCTGGAGAAACAATTGACCCTTCGGTTGGAGCAAGGTGCGCACGTTGGTCAATGTATCCTGCAGAAATGGCGTGGCGTGCAGAACCTATCATCAGTCAGCCAAGATTTCCTTCTCATCATATCCTTCTGCGCTCACATTAGATGCGATAATTAGGTCATATTCGCCAGCATTGAACCCTTGCTCCACAGGATCCCTGGATATATCGAGGGCCTTGTACTCAATACCGTCATAGTCCTTGAACCGCTCCTTCGCCTGAACAAAGAAGCCCGATGATATATCAGTGTAGGTATATTTCAGATACAGTCGCTCGTCGAAGTCGGATTTCAATTGCTCCAGGAATTTGGCTGTCAACCCGCCCGTTCCTGCGCCAATTTCGAGAATCCTCAACTGGGGCTTGGCATGGCCCAGCAGTTGCATGAAGTCAGTGAAATCCCAAATGTCGTTGTACCAACTGTAGATTCCGGTGAGAACACCATCCTGGAGTAGGAGATCAAGGTAGTCTGTTCGTCCTTCGTACACGTTAACAACTTCCTCGAAGGCCCTCTTGATGGCAGTCGCGGGCGCCCAGCCACCCGACGCGACACAGCGGTCGAAGACCTCTGGAATGAGGTCTTTGCGCTGGATCTCATTCATCTTAGTCAAGTCAAGGGAGTCATTCACCAACGGGTATTCTGGCTGCCGGAATCTGTCATGTTGCTCCTCTAGCCACACGCGATATTTCTCCATGTGGGGGTGAGAGGTGGATCGGCCTTTCAAGGCGTTTCTTGCTTCAATAGAACATAGAACATAGAGACGCTCAAGATCCTGGATCTGGTCTCGGATATTGAACTTCAGCTTCATTAGATCGCCGGCTTTTAGGAAGTCGAAATGCGGCTTCCACTGGAGCTGGAGAAATCTCAGTTCCGCCGGCTGATCGACACCAGAGTCCTCCATAGCCTTTCCTCTGAATCCCTTCAGGTAAAAGACCATCTCGTCGTCTGTGATGCCGTACGAGGCACCCTCGACTGTACCAGGCTTTCCAGCTGCTGCCGTACTAATGCTAATACGCTTCCCGGCTGCATCGCCGATATACATTTCCTCAATGAATGTGGGCAGGAACAAGGACTTGAAAGTCCGGTATATTCCTTGGCACGTTGCCACTGTCAAAGACTGGAAAACGAGGTCAAGAGTGGAAGGATGAAGCATGTATGGGGACTCGGCAGGTTCTTGCTTGTCCAGGATCTGGGCTGCCGCAACCTTGTCGGCGACACTGGCTGCCATATCCTCTAGACCAGTAAACCTCGGTCCATAGTTGAGACCCACTCTAGCCATGGTTGTATACCAGCGCGTCGACGAGACCTGCCTGTCAAGACTCTGAATGTTCTTTCGTGGGAATGGGGAAGCACGACCGCTACGCACGAGCCCAGAGCAGTGTTTATTCCAAGCGGATCCATCATTGGAGACAATCTGGAAATCATACCAGTCACTGTCCAGAGTCGCGGTAAGTCGTTGGGGTCGCAGCGTCGTCATAATCTCGACTGGTTTGTCATTGTAGAGAACAAGAGCCTTGCTCAGCTCCACGTCTTTCACCGTGTAGTCTCGAATGTCGTTGACTTGAAAGATCGCTTCGCCGGCCATGGCGATGTATCCCGCACCCGGGAAGACGATGTCATTTCCAACACAGTGGTCTCGCAGCCATGGGACATCCATGAGTCGCAACTCATTTCGCCACATCGGCGACACCTCGTTAGCTTCAATAACACGTAGACCCAGCAGGTCATGAGGAAGATGTTTGCGGAACCTCCAATTCTTCATGATCCGTGTTTCTCCCCAGTAGCTTTTGTCATAGTGCCAAGGGTAGGTGGGCAAGTCAGTAAGGACATATGCTGAATTAGATGATGGATAAGAGATCTGAACCCCAAGACAATGTAGTTGGCCAACTGCCTCCAGGAACGAAACAGTGTCGCTTTTGCCGCGGACCAGTGCAGATATATAGTTGATTGAGGTTGATTTCTCGCTATATATTTGTCTCAAGGGTCCAGCAAGAGCGGAGTGCGGCCCAACTTCTAGGTGAACACTGCATTCTTGCGAGCCAGAAATCAATGCACAGACGGCGGAATGGAACAGCACAGGGCTTTCCAAATTAGTTTGCCAATATTCCGGTGCGAAATCGGATGCTTGGTGGAGCTGCTTTGCTTGGACGCTGGAATAGAAAGGGATGTTCGGCGACTGTGGAAAAAGATGTGGAGTAATAAGATCGCGGTAAATGTCGCCAACGAGGGCCATATGATCTGTTTTTCCGTAAGCTGCGTCACTTGTGATTAAATAAGGAGATTACTTACGCGAGTGATAGGCCATTTCAACCTGGAGCCTGCGCGCAAACGTGTCGGGGTTCCCTTCCTTAATTCTCGCGAGCGTACTTTCCAACGGCTTCGAATCGCCAGAGAGAGTGACGCTCGACCCACTGTTTTCGCAGGCAACCTTGACTCCTGGTTCAAGGTACTTCGCAACATCATTTTTGGACATGCCGACAGCGGCCATTGCTCCCAATCGCTGAGAAGATCTGCAGACATACCCACGATAGTACGCGGCGATGATCGCCTCTTTCAAGGACAAAACCCTAGCTGCGTAGGCGGCAGCAATCTCACCACTTGAGTGTCCAACCACCGAAGAGGGAACTATATCCCAGGTTTGAAGAAGGTTAACGAGACCCAGCTGAATAGCTGTGCACAACGGCTGGGCATATTCCGCCCGACCAATGATGGCTCTGTCATCACAGTTTAACAACACATCTGTTGAAAGGTTAGCAGGAAAAGAAAGCTAGAGGACGGGTAATTTGACCTTCAATTGACCACGACGGTGCGTGCTCAAGCTCCTTCAAACTCCGGTCCATGGACCTAATGTCTTCAAGAAATGATGGGTAATCGAGCATGAGCTCCTTAGCCATATTAACCCTAGATATAGTCTAACATTAGCAATGTTTGAACATGAAAGGAATGCTCTCTCACCATTGAGCGCCCTGTCCTGTGAACACAAACGCAACCTTGCGAGCACCTTGAAATTTAAAAGCCGTGGAGACGTGGAAGCCTTCGGAACTTCCATCTACAACACTGAAACTTCTTAATTTCAGGTGCTCCCGTCTCTCTACCAGGGTGTAGGCCATATCCCTCGCATTTTCTGGGTGCTCAGCGAGATAGCACTCCATATTATGAGCTATCTTGTTCAAAGCATCGACGTGGTTTGCAGAGAAGACTAGAAGGCTTTTCTCGGGCTTCTCGATGGCAGGAGCTTGGCTGCCTGAGGGTTGCACGCCATAAGCTGCCGCTGAATCAATGATAAACTTATAGAGTCAGTATTCGCTGCTTGTGTTGTTTAATGGAAGCGATAGACTTACATGAGCATTTGAGCCACCGATGCCATAGGAATTAACGCTTATACGTTCGACACGATCCGTTGGCCATGGCGTCGGCTCCACAGGGACTGTCAACTTTGCGGATTCCCAAGGGACTTCGAAACATTAGCATCACCAATTGTTCTACTACTCTCGAACGAAGTCCTTACTAGATGGGTTGGGGTTATTGAATTTGATGTTCGGGATAATCGTGCGATTCTCCAGAGATAGCACAGCTTTCATGATGCTGGTCAACGCAGCCGCTCCCTCGCTGTGACCAAGGTTGGGTTTAATCTGTCTACTGTTAGCGGGCCACGCAACAATAGAATCGGAGTAAAACGTACAGCTCCGATATAAACCCCTTGCTCAAAGCACTTCCCAATGGCCGTTGCCTCGATAGGGTCACCGATCTTGGTACCCGTTCCGTGGGCTTCCACCATTGCTGTATCTGACAGTTCAAGCCCAGCAGCCTTGTAGGCTTGGCGAATGACAACATCATGAGCATCTGGGTTGGGAAGAGCCAAACCGTTCGTCTTTCCGTCCGCGTTGCTCGCTGAGCCCCGAATGACTGCTCGGATCGGGTTTCCGTCCTTTATAGCTTCATCGAGGCGCTTAATGTAGAGGGCCGTGACTCCTTCACCTCTCGCATATCCGTCTGCTGAGGCATCGAATGTTTTTGATGATCCTTCGGGTGAGAGTGCCATTTGTAGACTCATGCTGATGGTCATTCCCGGGGCAAGAATCAAATTGCTGCCGCAGACAATTGCAGAGGAAATCTCTCCCTGTCGGATTGCTTGTAAGGCCTGATGCAAGCTAAGTCCTGCAGAAGAGCACGCGCTTTTGAGGATCATACTATAATATTGTTAGACCTATCCTACTCCATCAAGCGTGTTTGAAACAGCAGTGCGTTGACTTACCTCGGACCCTTGAGATCATATTCGTACGACACACGATTCGGTAAAGCGAAGTCCAGACCCCCAAGAACTCTATAAGGATTATACTCATGTGTATCCTTGTGTTGTAGATCCTGCCAATCCTCGGAGAACATACCGACGTAAGTCCCGATATTCTTCCCGCGCCAGTTCGTCTCCCCTGCGCTCTCGAACGCTTCTCGAACCACCTCAAGCACAAGTCTGTGGTTAGGATCCACTTGCTCAATTTCAGCGGGAGTAAAGGAGAACATCGACAAGTCAAATTTTGAGAAATCAACGTCGTTTATGAGATAGCCATGTTTGGTGCTTATAGTTCCGTGCTTCCCATGGGGACTATAGTATGCGTCCACATTGAATCGGTCTTGTCCAATGACCGACCTCGCATCGCCTTTATTTATTAAGAAATTAAATAGGTCTCTGTCGTTTCGGATGCCTCCCGGGAGCCTCATTCCCATGCCACAAATCGCGATGGGGACTGATGGGGTTTGTTCGGAATCTGGCATGATGGGACTGGATTGATCGCTCATGATGTCCGTCTCATGATGCCCGTTGACTCCGTTGACTCCGTTTGTTTCAATAATAGGCGTAAGGCCGTTGATGCCACCGTTGATGCCCATGCTAGTGACAGCTGGTCGTGTTCAAGGAGGTATTCCGCTATAAGTGTTATTCTATTGAGAGAAAGGAATGTTAGTATGTTCAACTTGCATACCAAGCGGGAGCGTTCAAGGGGTTGTCAAAGACCTAATAGTATTGCAAGTAGTTTTTGCTACCAAGTAAATTGCGTCGTTGACTTCTGATTTGAGGGAATCTCCGGGAATTGGGTGAATAGAGATAAAGTATTGACCGCAATAATTAGCAACCGCGACGCGAAAAGTAATGTAATATAAGATTCTAGATCGTTTCTCGAACTACAGACCTTCTCTTTAAATTAGGTTCCCATGAACGTCTTTCCACTGCCTAAACTACTCGTTCCGTACCATGTCTTACTAGGCTATCCCATACGCCCCAACGATTCTTCTCACCGGATATTCACTCCGTATCTGAAACATATCCCAAAACTGTTGATAAGACGCTCCAGTGTAATCGGGGCCAAATGTCATCCCTCTCACGTAAGAGAACCATACGAATAATGTTGACTTGTTCTCGTAACCATTGTAAAACTGTTCACAAGTTCGGATATTTTTATCACAACTAGAGCCGAGATTCTAGCCGTCATTGAGGCAGTTATCACTTTGATCCACATATCGGCCCCCAGACGGAATCCCTCCGCCGCCCATATAGCGGATCTTTCGCGTTTCTAGAATACATGATACCAACATTTGAGTGCGCGAGTTAATGTGACAATGGCGAAGTAAACCGAGGTAGACAAGCCGTTCAAGGCTTACTCCGTACTCCGTAGTGGTGCGGATCAATCTTACAACCCTTGTTTATCAACCGTCCAAGCGAAGTTAAGGATCCGCTCTCATGCAGACGGGCAAAGTTCCCCGTCCAGTCAGCATTTGCTCTATGTGGCCTCAGATGAGACATCTTAACATGGACCGAGGGTATCTTGGAACGACTCTGTTAAATTACGCTTCCAAGGAAAGTTCGATCTTGATCACATGTGGTTCACTTGGCCTAAAATAGTCCATAATGGCGCACGGAATTGTCGGCATGGCCTGATGCGCTCTCTCATAGCTATGCCGAATACAATACTTCGGAACCTTACCGGTTATAATATGATAATCGTAGAAGATCTTGTCGCTTCCCTATCATGTTCATTTCCGTGTCTCAATCCAGCATCACAATATCGCAAGTGCTCCCGAAACTCCACCTATAGACAAAGCTTGTTGAGACAAGCAACGTGGATGCGACTTGGCTTCCTTGGCTTGAGGTTTTTGGCCCCAATTAATATAAATATTCCGCGCCATAATACAATACAAAGTAGTTACGGAATACAACACTCCGTGCCCAATCGATCCTTAGCCCGTTATGCACAGAAACATCATAAGAAGGGAAAAACTCGCTACATCGTATCGCGAATATAATCCACATCTTGGCCCCTTCGCGTCCGTGATACGTCGATAAGCGAGGAAGAAACACTGATCCACAAACTAAAACTAACCACTCCGTAACTCAGTCGAACATGCATTAAGCGACTATTGGCGAAGGAGCGATATCAACTAGGCAGAGTGGCTATGCTAAGCTTCGCGCCCACCACGCCCGGTCCGTAACCTGACCCTAAATACGGAATAGAAAGTGGGTAAATGGTAGTGTGTGGACTGTGGAAAGATCCAAAACGCAATCGGTTTCGACGATTAACAATCTCCTCGGAAAGGAGCTTCCGTTCTTGCCGGTTAGTGCTTACGGGCTACTTTAGAGGATAAGCATTGCTGGTGTTGAGCTTGGAACATCTTTGTATTTACTGTTTAGTGATTCGGTAATAACGAGGTATTATGACTTTGTGTCACGTTGGTTCTTGACCGCCTAGGCTTTGGCGAAAATATTGGTTGATATGTCTTACCGCCCAGGCGGTGGGAGACTGCGTGGTGTGTATATCAAGGTATTGGAGCCTAGGTACCACCTTACGCCAACCAAGGTAAGGTAAAATACTGCGAGTGATTCCGATCCATGTATTTTTCAAGACCCTAACGAATTGTTTCCGTGAGGTTGGACTCTAGGCACTGGTCTCACTACTCCGTGTATACTGTATGCTAGAGGCATGCCTATACAGGTAGATACCAATTAGCAGTGAAGTCCCTGTGGAATTGTTGGGAGCTTGAGTCTGACACTGACCCCTCATGAGGCTCGGATACTTCTGCGAAAGGATCGACTGGCCAGGTCGGCCTAGGAGTTGGTAGCTGGAGACAGACACCTAACTATTGCCTCGGGTCCTACTACAATCAACTCTTCAAGGCCATACATCGTCCTCTGCAATCTCTTATATCAGATTTCCTGTTCTCGTGATAATCAAGACCCGAACATTCTCTTTCGATTCGAGTCTTCCTCGATGTAAGCCAACAGCATCATACGCCAATCCATTATCATGCCCTCTCTACTACTCGCATCCTCCAATTTTATTTCCGGTTCACCGGCCCTTCTCATCCCACTATGCCTCGCCTCTGTCTACCTGATTTATTCCTTTCTCATTGCTCCTGAATCATCACAGACCTCCTCCGCCGCCCTATTCACTCCTGACAAAACCAGTTCGGGGAATAGAAAGAAGAGATGGCTTTACGACTCAGTCAGCCTGCTCCAGGAGGGGTACCAGAAAGTAAACATTAGTCTCTAGCAGTTCTTCCTGGAGTATCTCTAATTTCTTGTTAGTTCTATGGCAAGCCATTCAGAATCTGGACCACCGAAGGAGAGCAGGTAGTCATTCCGCCGGACTACGTGGATGAATTGAAGATGCTCCCCGATCATACGTTTCCATCTGCGCTTCGTCATGTGAGAATATACTGGCCTTGTTCCAAGTCTCCTGGTCCGTTCACTAAGCAAGCAGTACTGACCAGACTTTAGTTCTTTTTACATAAGTATCTATGGCCAATTGAGGTGTCCAAACTGGACTATGGCCATGTGGTTATGAAGAATGATTTGAATAAGAGCATGGGTTAGTAGATCTTTTGTGTTTATGAAGGGTCATGGAAGGATTAAATAATAACCCTTGACATGCATGATAGGCAGGATATTCCCCGAAATGCGTGACGAGGTCGACACCGTATTCCCTCTTGAGTTCCCGGAGAGCAAAGGTACGCCCACTCAGCCAATAACGTGAGCAAGTCCACGAGCTTCTAACTTGAACATGAAATACAATAGATTGGCACGCCATTCAAGTCTACCCTAAAATTCTACGTCTCGTCAGTCGCGTCAACGGAAGGATCTTCGTCGGAAACCCACTGCACCAGAAGGAAGAATGGATCAACATAAGCTGCAATGCAAGTCCCCTCTCCCGCCTCCATGTATATTTGACCCAACCTCAGATATAGTCTAACACCCTGTGTTTGTGAAGTATACGAAGAACGTTTTTCTTTCCTCCGCCAAGCTCCGATTCTTCCACCCTTGGCTCCGCCCTCTTGTTCAGTTCTTCATCCCCGAGCTACGAACCGTATGGCAATGTAACAGCAAAGCCCAAGAGTTGTTGTCTCCGATATTACGAGAGCGACAGGTCAACGAGAACGAAACAGGCTACAAGAAACCAAATGATTCGATCGAGTGGCTAAGAGACCTGGTTCCGGAACCGGACCGGAATGACCCGCTCTTCCATGCCATCTCGCAGTTGGGTATTGGTGCGGTGTCGGTGAACACGACAACACAACTGTTGACAAACTCTCTGTTCAATTTGGCCACGTATCCTGAGTATGTGAGCATTCTCCAGGAAGAAATAGATGCCGTAGGAAGCGAAAATGGAGGGCAGTTTACACTGGAAAGTATGGGGAAGTTGAAGAAGTTGGATAGTTTCATTAAGGAGACGTTGCGGTTTGATGGCCATCTGACAGGTAATTCAGCTACTAATCCCCTTTAATCTATGTCATGACGCTGAGTACTAACCCAAATTTTCTCAGCAACCTTTCAACGAAAGGCACTCCGTCCCATCACCCTCTCGGATGGCACCTCCATCGCACCCGGCACATTCACGCTGGCGCCAGCCAACGCCGTCAACTTCGACAACGCTATTTACCCTAATGCCGACACATTCGATGGCTTGCGTTTCTACAAGCTCCGTCAGAGCTCAGTCGATGAGGAAAACAAGCACCAGTTGACGTCAATTACCAAGACACAACTGCAATTTGGGAGTGGGCGACATGCGTGTCCAGGGCGATGGTTTGCCAGTCATCAAATCAAATTGGTCTTGGTAAAGGTCATTGATGGGTTTGAGTTGAGGTTGAAAGGGGACCAGAGGCCCAAGGGATTACTGTTTCAAACTAATCAGCTACCTGATCCGAAGGCGGAGATTCTGTTTCGTGCGAAGTGAGGGGGTTCGTAGGTCTAAATGAGCAGGGAACAATACATTGGGTGGTTGCTAGCTCTTTGCCTCGCCTCTATTTGGTTCCTTCTAGTCATGACCGGCGGCAATAGCCCAATTAACAGTCGGCTATCTCAACACAGGCAGCTTTATATTGCACTCCAGATGCAGATGGTCATTTTCAACCTTAACACACAATAAATTATAGACCTCCCCGTCCACTTCCCATATCCATGCTCATTAATCCCCCGTTGAATCAAATAACGTACTGTCGACCGATTAGCTTCAAGCATCTCCTGCACTCTCGGAAAATGTATCTTCAAACTCACCGGTATAAAGAGATATGGCACCTGCTTTTCGTACTCCCTCCATGCGTCACCATACTTTCTCCGGCATTTATTAATATCTCTCCTCGCCCGGTGGGCAATCATCACACTAAAGAACACCGGATAAAACCAAGGAAACGGGCTCTCGAACCCCGTAATAAGGCCCCACGACAACGCGAAGAACATGTCACAGCTATAATGCACCTTGCGCGCCAGGCCATACCATCCATCCGCCAGGATCTTGTCACCCGTCTTGGTAGGGATGGTCCTGGGGTTCTTGACCTCCTGCCAAGGAAGTTGCGGGAACGTTTTGCGTTTCACGAATGTGCCGCGCTCCATCATTCTGAAGGAGTTCTTTTGGCTATTCGCTGTGTCCCAAACATAGTAGACAAAGAGATATGAAATGAAGAGAGCCGTCAGGGCGTATTTGTTCCACGCATAGGTGGCGGGGTCACGGTTCGCGAGGTACAAGACGCAGTGGCAGTAAGACATAGGTACACCAGCCATGTTCCAGAAAATGAGCATAAAGCCGAGTTTCTCTTGATACATGTCCCACGTAGTAGTGATGAGGTGCTCAGCCTTGGCGCAGGCGTTGGCATATAGGAAATATGCCATGACCAGGAAGAGGACTTCGCCGGAGACGTAGCTATATTGTTCGTATTGGCGGGCTGCGGCGGCGCTACTGAGTCCGAACATGATGAACCATGGGATGCGCACCTCATAGAACATCTTGAAATCGAGGATGCCGAATAGTCGGGGATTCAGCTCCGCGCCCATGAAGAAGTCGTAGATCGGGTAGCCGGTTATGCGATGCTGGGCACCCCGCGCGAAGGCGGAAAAGTACGCGACAAAACTGACAAGGAAGCCAGAGATGATTGCGACGGACATGATGGGGCCGAACAGGTCGAGAAAGGTATAGATCGGGAAGAGGTTGGTGGCGTGCAGCACGCCCATGACCACAATGGTGAGGTAGAAACTGGTATAGGCCGAGCAGTGGTATTTCAGCTGTTTTCCACCTTCGTGTAGTAAGGGCTTTCCGTAACAGGTGAAGCCGGGCATGAAAATGTAACATGCCGCCTCGAAGATATAGTAGACCCAGTAGATCTTCCATGCCCTAAGACTTGGGAACGCATAGTCGTACGCGAGATCGAATAGATGCCCTGCGAAATTAGCCCAAGACTGGCCCTTTTCCGGGAGCGGTAGTTGTCCATCATAGAAGGTAGCCCCAATCCACATGTAATACATTAATAGAGGGAATCCAATCATCGCAGCAAGGTTCCCCAAGGAACCGCCGAACTCGAAATGGCCCGAATAGTCGACCTTCGGGTCCATGCCGGGTCTCCAACCTCCGGTGATGTGTTCATTGGCGAAGTCTTGAGCACTCCCAGTACAGTGACCCTTCGCACTGGGCTTCGACTTGTCCACAATTTCTTGGCATTGAGCCATGATGTTTTCGTGTCCCTGAGCCAGCTCAAGGGTCTCGTAGTTAGGGTATTGCTGACAGTCGTCCGCACACTGGATAGGAAATGGTAATAAATTTGATAGCCGGTCGAGATATTGAGAGAAAGGAGATAAAAAGCCGACCTTGGGAGAATCCCTGGATCTTAATGTTTCTAACACATACCAGGTCAGCAATACTGAGATTCTTCTTATACAATAAACGGAAAGCGTGGCCTCCGTGGTCTCCGCGGTCTCCGCGGGCGGCATAAGCACACCCCCAAATCATGGCCTCGTCGCTACGCCAATTGCAATTTTCTTTTGTAAGCACTAGGTCGTTTTGAATTGTACTGCAGGGATGCCAGAGTCCATGGTTTGCTAAATCTCACTGTGGCAGTGCTCCCTGTCATCCTTCGCAACATCGACTGGCTAAGGTGAGGGGGGTAAGAGAGCTGTACGGTCTTGGCACAAACGATGCAATTTTGCTCCTGATGCCTGAGGTTGCAGTCTGCCAAGCATTCGCTTATGTTTACCCCTTTCCAGGTATGCAACCTACTAGGAGGCTCTCTTTTTCCTCAAGAAATTCCAAGTTACTTCTCTGGATTAGTTTAGTCCTTTATATTAAACTGTTATCGCCAGTATTTTACAGTGGGAAAGCCCTCAACCATGTTTAGTAAGCGCTGCTGTATGTAGTTTGTTTTGCACCTTTGTGGAGATATATATCTGTGAAGAGACATGGCGCGGGTGCGCTGCATTATAGCGTTCACAAATGTGTTATAAATCACAGAATTGTTACTATTCGTAGTAGCCAATATGAAGACATACACAGCTATGACAGTGGCGAAGGAGATGTCAATGCGAGTTACGGGAACTTTTGGCCATTGGCGACCGGGGTAGAGCCCGATGAGGAGCAGCATGCGGATATAAAGAATGGGAAAAGATGTATATTATTGTTATGTGTAGTACTCCGTAATTTAAGGCTAATTGGCCTTCTGCCCACTTGGAATGCACTATCTAAATCCTGATCTCCAAGTGAGGTGAATTGACTAGATGTTGCCCACATTGTACTCGGCCATCAACAAATAGACCATTTCAATAACCCGACAAAACCCCATCATGCAAGTTTTAGGCCACTATCCAACGTGGGTAGCCCTGTTCCAATGAATATTTCTTCTAGGCGCAACTGCCATTCGGGTTTTCAGAATTGGGCTCGTTCTGCGTCATGCAAAGTTTGGAACAGCATGGGGTCTGAGGATCGCAAGGCTGGCCTTTCGGTGTGCAGGCCGTAGCCGAGGCAGCAATGAATGAAAGGACGAAGACAAAGAGACGCATGGTGATGTTTGTTTGTTGATGGTTGGGCTGAAGGCAGTTCCCGAGTTAGTTTCGAGGGGTCAAGGGGTGAATGCCAAGATTAGCAAGCAAACATACAAAGGGGAAATTTCTTTGTGATCTCTTTGCTTGTGATCGGTGAATACCCCGGGCGAAATCACACGTCCCTGTATGGAACTTCGTATAACCTTGTTGAGGCAACAATTTGTAGAACCCGAGCACAGCGTTGCATCTGGGTTGTAGGGACTGGATGCACCTCCGAGCGGGCAGGGCCTTAGAAGTAAATATGGCTTCGGCCTGTGGAGTACTTCGTACATACGGAACAGTAAATCCAGTAATGCAGGCTTTTCTATCTCCCAGAATTTATCCGAAATGAGGTGGATCTGAGCCATCAACTACTAGAACTATCGCTTACCAAGTGGGTATTGTGGTACATTGGGTAAATATTCCACAGGATCCATCATCTGCGGGGATTCTAGAAGGGCGATTACAGGTGAGCGGCTTGACAGGGCTCGGCGTTGACTGTTGGTTATTGAGGGGTAGGCGGCACCGTGGAAACTTTGAACCTCGGAGAACGTGTACTTTCCGTCCATCGAAGGATCTATCCTTCATGATTTATAATGCTCGAAATGCTAAAGTTTCTCTAGGCACAGATCATATCCATGGCCACAGGTGATTAAAGGGTGAATTCAATACCAATAGCACAAAGCGAGGAGTCTCAAGGGATGTATCCCTTGCTAGACCCACTACCAGCCACCAAATATATCCAGCGGTAGTATGTACGGGGTACACCGCTACCCCACTTTTCCATAGACTGCAACGCTGCTCGGCATTAGTGTAAAAGTCGGATGCAATATGAAAAAAAAGGGACATAAACCCAATCTCGTGGAATAGGAATGCGGGGAAGCCAATAACCATGCCCACTGATGGAAGCCCACGCTATAACGATAGTTCTGCCTTCGGATATGCCGGGTGATGGACAGGCATTCAAATCTAAGTGGGTAGGTAATTCAGCTGTTAGTTCTTCTTGAAATGATTTGTATGAGTATTGATTCCGTAGGATCCTCGCTGGAGCGCGGAGAGTTTCCCATTCTCACCGCTATTCTATGGTATTCTGTAGTGGCTGGTAAATGCGGCATATGCCATCTTAACTAGTAAGAAATGTCTCGGCCCTGCTTTCGACTACGCTTGTACTTGGCGTGTCATCTAGACTTTCACTTTGGCCCGAAAACCAGGCGAAGTAGCGGTGTCTTGGATAGAGCTTCGTTGAATCATAGGTAGCTGGTGCGCGTATTAATGGGGTGAAACATTATTCATTTAAGCCCGAACAACCTCGGTCCATCTTCAATAAAGGCGAGTCGTATGGAGAGTACTGGATAATCCGGAACTCGCTCGTGTTCCCCCATTTGAACTTCTTATATAGGCTTTTTCTTTGTTTCTTTTCGCATCAAAACAGCCTCGCTCGAATTTGAATCTTGTGGCATATCACAACGTCACCGTGCGGGGGACCAGGATAGTAAATTCTCAACTAGTGATCTAGCACAAGTGGTGTAGTAGCCTGAATCTGATCAGAAGACATCGGGTCATTTGGTGGGTTAGGGTTACACACATCACATGCTCTGCTGGTCATCGCATCAACCCTGGGATATCAAAGACATAAAAGGGTTACGATACCCGGGCGTATAGACTTATAAGAGAAGCTCATTCTATGCCCAATGATACATTTCTACGATCATTCTTCCCAGCTCTATTACAGGGGCTTGCAATTATCCTCATTTGTCCTCGACCCAGCTTTACTCAAGCACATTGAGCAAGAAAGCTCCTCATGTCCCAGGGCATTTTGATCAAGTGAGCTGTCACGAATCCCTCCCATTGAAACGATACGGCATCTCTGGCAGCTATTGTACTCAACGGTGCACCCAGAAACCATCGCCAATCGTTACCCAATCTCCTAGAAATGTTGTGTACTGCATTGGTACTCTTCGGTGTTATGGGCCAGCTACTTGCTCTTAGCTTGCCCGCAACGAACACGCCTATTTATCATGACCCACCCCATCTCCCCAGTCAGGACCCATTCTACAAGCCGAACAACGCATCATGGGTGTCGTCCCCGCCAGGCACAATCCTTGGATCTCGAAATGTGAACGTCGGCTCTACACTCATTAACCTCTCACTTATACATTCCGCATACCAACTCCTATACCGCACTACCAACGCACACGGAAACCCAAGTTACGCGGTAACAACAGTCATCATCCCGGTCAATGCGAAAACCAACAAGCTCCTGTCCTACCAGATTGCCTATGACTCTCCTGACAACAACTGCTCGCCTTCATACTGGGTCCAGGAGGGTGTTCCCCCACACCGGTGGGAAATATTCGGGGAGCTTGGGACATTGATTCAGACGTTCCTTGCCCAGGGTATACCGATCAACATCCCAGATTATGAAGGTGTGAATGCCGCGTTCACAGTTGGGACTCAATCGGGCTATGCTGTATTGGATTCCGTACGGGCTGTCACAAGATCTGAAAAAATCACCGGAATCAGCCCAGACGCCCAAACCGCCATAGTAGGATACTCAGGCGGGGCTCTGGCTAGTGAATGGGCCAGCGAGCTGCATTCCGTATACGCCCCTGATGTACGAATCTCCGGCGCAGCGATCGGCGGCTTACCGACCAACACGACCAAGACATTCTTCGCCATCGATGGAACTTTGAGTGCAGGACTCATCTCGGCCTCTTTCGATGGCATCGCGAATACGTTCCCGTGCTTTTCGGCGTACATAGATCAGCATTTGCTGCCAGATCATGCAGAAACATTTTATTCGACGAAACGCCAATGCACGAACGGAGCAAGGGGCGGCTTAGCTCCGTATGCTAACCAGAGCATAATCCCATACTTTGATAACGGTGATAGGATTGTTTATGACCAGGCGGGTTTGTTGAACTCGATTGGGACGATGGGTTTACATGGCATTCCAGACTTCCCGATGTACATTTGGAAAGGAACCAGGGACGAGGTAGCAGTCCCTATTGAGGACACAGATGCCTTGGTGGAGAAATATTGCGCGGAAGGCACTAACATCACCTATGTGAAGGTTGAGAACGGGAATCACTTGCAATCAAGGGCAGTAGGCTTACCTGGAGCGGGAGCTTTCTTGAGAGGCATATTTGGGGGTCAAGTGCCGGATAGGTGCACAACTACGACTATTCCCTTGATTCCATTATAAGGTGTACTGGTTGATGTTACGGATAGTACCAAAGACGCGGTCAGGTATGGGTTCTCGGGCTTTTGTCATGAGTTGGAGAGCGAACTGAAACGGAATTCATAGTTGTTAGGCAGAAATAGTGACATTATTAAGGTGCGGGCAGAAAGTTGCATTCTTCTATCCTATACGTCCTTCTGCAAGAGTCGGAAGCTTGAGATGCCACCTGTAAAAGATCGAAATGTAGAATCATATTGACCCTTCAGAGAAAAGCCACCTTGGTCTACTAAGCTTGCAGATGTAGGTTAGAGGCCAAGTGCCCTTGTTCATTAAGTCTTCCCGCTTTTCGTTTTCTATAAAGGGCAAAAAATACTTCCATGCTCTGATCAACATCCACAGCACGGTTAGAGCCATGGAAGCTAAATCGCATTCACCGAAGAACACCATTCCACGCGTACGCATCCACGCTTCAGATCTTGTCCACAATCTTAGAATCTTCTTCATAGCTAATGGTGTTGCTAGCACCATGTCGTGCTTTCATAGTTGGCGGGGAAGACGGAATTCATTTCTGCTGTAGTTTTTCGCGCAGCATTGTGGTCAAGATTTGAACATGCCTCTCAATGGCGATAGGGTCCCATTGATTGAGGAACTTTAAGGCTTCGCGCAAGATGTAGATAGCGGGATGGGCAGGGCTCCCGGAACTGAAACACATAGCATCGTCCCGAACCGCTAACGGGTTCGTTTCCCAGTCTAGGCGAGGCGCTCCGAGAGCAAGAGACCTCCGGCCGAACAAGAAGGTTTGTTCCAGAAATCAGAACCAGCAATTACGTTTGCTGTTGGTACTCCGTGCTAGGCAGTTTTATCAAATAAACTACAATATATGAGAAAATACGACATCTAATCTGAATAAGTCCATCGGGATCTAGTATTTCTGCCCATACCTCTCCTCAAGAAATAGGGACGACTCAACACCAATTCAACGATATCACTCGGTCATGTTTCACGTCCGTTAGATATAGTCCGGTGTATAATCACCTTTTATAGGTATCAAGTTTAGTTAGTATTTCAAGTCCCCTGTCCGGGCGTTCCCGAATCGCCAATAGATATTACCATATCAGGTAGAACACAGGATCTGCAACTTTCATTGATTTGACATAAATCGTCTTTTCGATACTCCAGTTGTTGCATTAGAGGCGCATCGATGGTGAAAACCTGGTGTCGACAAATTATATCCAACAACTAAGAATAGATACGGGAGGTCAGGTGCAGTTTTGGAGCTTTTGGGCTCGATAAAACGGACTGAACGACTAGAAATACCTCACCATTCCCGTACCGTCTTGCAGCAAGATTCAGCAGAGTCGCTATCAAAAAGCATAGGTTGTTCAAATGACTTGATCTGATAACGTCTGCCTAGTAAACCCTATATTATGGCTTGGGGATACGGCGCGGTCAAAAAGCGTCCGAAATCAACAAAGCTCCTCTCATGGCATAATTCCAGCAGCAGTTGGGATGTTATTCAATAATTTTCATCAAATATTAACCCGTTCCGCTCAAGCGCTCTTCACACAGTCCATCAAACAGCTCATTCTGTGACGCATTGAACAGCTCCTTGCAGGCTCCAATTCCTGCCCTGGCGGAAGAACTCGTTGAGCTCCTTAACATCACCTGTTACATTACCCACCTTCATTTGGTCGAAATGGACTTTTTCTTCTATTTGGGCCCCCTCCCCGGCGACAGCTCTTACCCCAAAAGCTCAGCAATTATAGTCAGCTGATTATTTAAATCGCCCTTTAAATTTCCGTACTTGATTAAAAGGATGTTTCCATAGCCTCGATGCTTCTGCCAATTGAGAACGTGATGACATCCTGTATGCAAGCAGCTGCTCGCTAGTTTAAAGTTACGCCAGAAGGTCACGTAGCTCCCATTTACCCATGGTCCAGCTAACTCAAAATGAGAACGGATCACTTTCTGAGAATGGGTTAGAGATTGAGGCTTCGTTTCTGCCACAAATCCCCGCGGGATGAAGCGATACCTGGCTCCAAACCATGTGGAGTTGGTCTCCACGCATTAGTCGCAAAGTTAGAAAGCCCCCGGTCATCCGAAATGGAAAGGTAGTAGGGCCTCATCCACTGACCAAACTGTAAGAGTACGTCACGACTACTTCCTTGGGGAATGTCTGGTTTATTCCTGAGTACAACAGCAGCTTTCATTGCACCCTATTGGTATGGAAGGCTCATACAGTCAGAATCAGTGCTATACATCCTTCCATGACGTTAGCAATTTCAACGCCGTATCGGTGGTCTGTAAGAACATAGCGGAACACATAAATAGAAATATCCTAACCTTTCCAACGGAGCCTCTCGAGGGATTTTCAAAAACCTAGTTTTCATATCTGGACCTCCATCAGTGTCTACAATCCGCCTACATATCCTTCGTTCTTATCTCCTGCGCTCTTGTTTGCAGTTGTATGTTTCATCTGAATCTTATCATTTATTGAAAATGGTGTACGAGCAAGATGGCTTGATCAGAATTGTGAACAAGAGTATCGAGAGCATCCTGATTGCCAAGGCAGATGCCCAGCCGTATGTGACACCTCAGTTTATGCTAGAATTTACCGTTTGGCATGCTAAATCAAACAGTGGAAAGTTTCACGAAGCAGGCGACAAAGACAAGGAGATCCCTCCTCGTGATCTGAACGATACGGAGATCAAGAGCAACGGGGAACTTACCGTCTACTTCTGCGGGCGCGAATATGAACCTACTGATACAGCGGGCTCTCTTGATCTTGTAGATCTTGAGGATGAGCGGATTGCTACTCTCGACTGGAAGGTGCCATACTGGTCGAGCACAAACACTTTCCGTGTGCAAAACATTAGGACCGGCTATGACGTGTCGGCTAGTGGCTACAGAACTAGTGGAACTGGACTAGGTACTGCCCTAGTCACAGTATCTAGGCGATGAAGTTTCAGTTCTTATAACACTCGTTGTATCTATCTTTGGTTAGTACTCTAATTCAAAAAGTAAATGTATTGAGTCATATAATCGCAATAATTGGACTTGTTCATGTTATAGAGCTATTGATTCCGAGTTCTTTCACCATGTTCAACCGTGCACATACTTGGTGCTCATATTATTATCATGGATCAAGTCGTTCGTTGCTGGAAGAAGCAATCGTTTAACTAAAGGGCACCCTAGTAATAAATTTTCTCTTGTGTACTGTCTAGCGTTTGTGAGTTTTTAGTGCATTTAATCAGGACAAGAGAAAGGTTTGTGCAATTGGTTGCAATAACCCTACTCTGCTGCATCCATTTCAGTTCTTCCGTCCAGACACGAGCAGTAGTTGATCGGATAGTTTTATTTCCATTCAGTAATCCCATAATCTTAACGCTGGTATATTTCGTCATGACCTTTCCCTGGAGAAGCAGATCTAACTATTTTTGTTTCGCCCACGTAGTGGGCAGACAAATAGGAACAAATAATGTAACATATTCCTGCGTATAGTAGAGGAATGCTCGTCATTGATTATGACGTTTCCGGGGTAGGTAGTAGATTCTCGACCCATAAGTGCGAAATGTAACATTCCCAATGCAACTTCATTAAGCCTTCTGCCAACCATTCGGCTTCCATTAGATGACAGGTACGTGGGGCTTCTCCCTGGAACAAAATTTTAATATTCTTACTAGAAGATTTATTATACGTATGTTCTATTGTATTATCCTCGTAGTATAATAATATCCTAATAGCGGCCTCGCTCCTATCTTTGAGTATCCAGCAAATATTATCCAAAACTATTCGAGCTTTGGGCAAATTTATAAATATATTGCTTGCCCAACGGCTAAGGTATGGCGACAGATCTCTCTTTACAATGGTTACGACATCGGTACATTAGGAAATATACTAACAATGTCAATAGATTGAAGCTCTCATCAGCTTGATCTATAGTTTCTCAAAATGCCATCAATCTCCGCTATAACTTATCTCATATCCTTAGTTTTCCTGCTGGCTAGTAGTTGCTCCGGTGACAATGTTCCAGGACAAACAGTGCTCGGGACCGACAGCCGCCGGCCCGTATACCTCATTGCCCACCGACTCTTGGAGAACAAAGCAATCCCGCAAGCTCTCAGTGACGGCGCCAATGCGTTCGAAATCGACGTGGCGCCTAGCAATGGAATCTGGTACGCCTGGCACGCTGACAAGTTCACACCCGGAGACAAACCGAAAGATACCATAGACGAACTTTTCGACGCCGTTGCCACCCACCGTCGAAACGGGAAGCCTATCACTTTTGTTTGGCTCGACATCAAAAACGCAGGCGATTGTTCCTCAGTTGGCAAAGGCTGCATTATAGAGCTCCAAAGAATGGCACAAAAGAAGCTAGAACCAGTTGGTGTCCGAGTCCTCTATGGCTTCGATGTCGACGATGCCGACAGTGATGCCTGGATGAGGGTTGCTCGCTCGCTGAGTGCAAACGAAGCAGTTGGCGTAAACGCCAGGGCGCAGCACGCCATCGATATTTTCTCTCGAGATCACAATAAAGCCATGATTCCTGCGCATCAGAGAGTTATGTCATTTGGTTTTTCATTTCTCTCCTTGCCTAAAGTCAGGGAATGCCACAATGATAGGAGGAACTGGGGAAAGTATGCCGGTGTCTGCTATGAACTCAGCGTAGCGGCTAAGGAGCGCGATCGTGCTAAACCGAGGCGTCCTAGGCTTGGACGAGTTTTCGGTTGGACAATCACGGCAGCAGAGGAAAACAGCGAGGTTACCGAAAATCTACTGGGGTTCGCAAAGGTTGATGGTCTGATCTACGGAGAGGTCCTCTCGGAGTACCGGGACAGCAAAAGCAATCGCATTGCTGTAGAAGAGATGAAGAAGTGGTTGCGGAACAATTCCAAAACACATCGGCCGGCGGACAGGGATGATAGTCCCTGGTAATCTTTGCTAACGCTAAAGGAGGGTACGCTGTTTCCTCGCAGTGATCGAGTTCTCCAGATCTGACCTGAAGCTTACTGGTTCCGCACCATACGGTGATATTCTTGGGGCCGACCTGATCAAAAAGTCCTCAATTTCTTTCTGCCCACTTGTTTATAAACTGGAGTAGGGTATCATACTCAGTTAATATTTTATTTGACTCTTAATATCCGCGAACTATCGAAACATGAAATTAACATCTTATTATTATATAACGTGACATTATTTCTAATATGACTGACAAAACATTATTCCATGCGATTTTAGTTAACTGTAGTTAACGTAATCCACAAGCGAGCTGCGAATCTAAGCGAGCTGCGAATTTTCAATCAAAACTCCACCCTCTTTATTCAACGCGTCATATCTTCAACACCAAATACAACATGCCTCCTTCTAAAGAATCACGTATTCAAATGGCTGTTTCAGCTTATCGAAAGGGCCAAATTAAATCGGTATTATGCGCTGTGCAGGTTTTTGCGATCTCTCAAAGTACCCTACGTAATCGACTCAACGGTGCAACATCACGATCAGAAACACGCGCCAATAATCATAAACTTACTCAGTTTGAAGAAGAAACGATTTTTAAGCAATTACTAGATGCAGATATGCGAGGATTTCCAATGCGGCCCGAATTCTTACGCGAAATAGCAGGAATCCTATTTCGCGCGCGTCTTCGAAATCCTACAGCAAATGTTGGTTCTAACTGGCCATATAATTTTATCAAACGTTATCCTCAACTACGCACACGATATAATAGACAAATTACATATCAACGTGCAAAACAAGAGAATCCAAAGGTTATAATATCATGGTTTCAATTGGTCCACAAGACTATTCAAGAACACGGCATACACGAGAACGATATCTGGAATTTTGATGAAACTGGCTTTGCAATGGGGCTCTGCTCAACTGCTAAAGTAATTACCGCAGTGGAGCGTAGTGAGCGACCACGCAGGGTTATTCAGGGTAATTGTGAATGGGTTACAATCATCGAAACAGTCAGTTCAAACGGCGTACATATATTATCCATTCTTATACTGAAAGGGACCCAACAACAAGCTGCTTGGTTCCAAGAATCTAAGCTTGTTGGAGACTGGTGGATTGCAACAAGTCAAAATGGCTGGACTACCGATGAAATAGGTCTTCTTTGGCTAAAAAATGTCTTTGAACCCTCTTCTAGGCGTTATATGACTGGTGCAAAACGCCTACTCATTCTGGATGGCCATAGTAGTCATTTGACTGCTAAATTCGACGATTTTTGCAAACAAAATGCAATAATATGTCTTTGCATGCCTGCCCACGCTTCACACCTTCTTCAACCGCTTGATGTGGGTGTTTTTGGCCCGCTTAAACGCGCATATGGAAAGCTGCTTGAGGGACGTATGGTTGCGGGTAATAACCATATTGATAAAGAAGACTTTTTATCGCTTTATCCAGACGCCCGGGTTCAAGTCTTTACTCCTACGAATATCTGCAGTGGCTTTGCAGGAGCAGGATTTAAACCACTTGATCAAGAACGAGTTCTTTCGAAGCTTACCTTTCGACTACATATATCTACACCTGCACCGTCACTAGTTGAAGGATCAATTTCTTCTGCTTTCCAGATTCCACAGAATACTCGCCAGCTAGATCGAGAGATACGCAGCTTACAGAACAGCTTTAGTGCTAAACGAAAGCTTTCTAGTAGCCCAATTGCTCATATTCAACATCTTGAAAAGGCTGCTCAAATGGCGATGCAAACCAACCTTCTTTTACAGCAAGAAATCAAGTCTCTACGAGCCGAAAACGAGCGAAAATACAAAAAGAAAGCAAGAAGACGTGCTCTACTAGGAGAGAATACTCTTTTATCTGTACAAGAAGGCCAAAATCGCGTTCAGCAGCTGGATATGCAGTTTAATGAGCAGTCTGAGGAACCTACTCCGGTGCCTCGTCGACGAGCTCCTGCCCGCTGTAGTGGCTGTGGAATAGTAGGACATACTATACGAAATTGTCCTAGTAAATAGCTACTTTTTCATATATTTAGTTAGTCAAATCTAATGGAGTTAGTGGTTAAATAGCTTCAAGTAGTGGTTGCATTGATTGAAAATTCGCAGCTCGCTTAGATTCGCAGCTCGCTTGTGGATTACGTTAATTGTGCTTTATTTGTAATACAACGGAGCACCACACCTAGATCACTGAGTTACGCTCTGGACCTCTCCGCTGGGTCCAGGACGCAGGATACGTTCCATGTGCCTTTAAATTGGGAAAGGACGCCAAAAAGAACTATCCCAACTTTCGGGGACAGCCTGTCCTGACGGTGTCAAGCCGACCCACACACCAACTCAACCCCGATTCCATTGCACCAAAAAAGACAGAAACAAAAACATACAACAGCCGGGATTCGCTGGTGGTCACCCACCCAACTACTAACCGGCCGGCGTGTGGCTTAAGTACGGCTGAGCGGACGGGAAGCCCTGTTCTCCACACCCTGTGGTCGTATGTACTGATTTAGAGAAATGACTTTATCATATAATACCTTACTTGGCCATGCTTGATTGTGAACTGTGCTCAACTGTCTTCTTAAAATTCTCTCAACCGCGGTGCTGGTATATCATATCCCAGGACCCTGGTGCTTATCTTATTCCGCTTTTCGATTAGTCGGGAAAGACATTCGTTTGCACCCTACAACGGTTATTCATTCAGTTCAAAGGGCGTATTTGGTATACATTCAGCAATTGCTCAAGAGGTATAAGTAGATAAATATATTCCAGCAAGTTCTTAGAATCGAAAGGATTGGGACGTGCTCAGACAATACAATATCGCCAATGAAATCTAAAGTTCCAATCAATAAATACAGATCTCTTGTTGCTCCACATACTCAAATTTGCTGCCCTGCTGTGCGATTCCAGGAAAATAACACTCTCCCAGCGTCCAGTACTGGTTTGTTTCTGGGTTCCGGCGGAGCAAAATTGGGACCGTAGCACCATGAACAAAACAAATTGTATCTCCAGGACAGGCGGCTGCGGGAACCAAGCCAACAGATCCCTTACTCGTTGTAGCCACCACCGCTGGTCGAAGGCCCTCTGCAAATAGAATGGCCGTTCTAACATACAGCCAGAGACCTCTCTTCAGCTCTCGACGCAGTTCCGCGGCGAGAGAGACAGGAGACCCCGAACCCCAGTGCGTGCCGCCTTTCATGAACTTTCGGAGCTCTTCGTAGGAATTCCGATAGTTCGGCACTACGCCGTTGACCTCGGGCAGGTTCGCCGCATTTCCAATGGCTAGCTTCCAGATTAGATCGTCGTGTCCCTGTTTGTATCCTGGTAAGGACTCAACCGTCTTGAATATCTCGTCGAGGTACTCTAAGATATTCTCCGAATCGGAATTGCACACGCCCACAAAATTCAAGGGTTCGGACAAGTGACCCTGGATCACGAGGATATGGCGCTCCGGATCCTTGAAGAACGGCGCTTGCACTGCGTTGAACGCGGACTCAGGACTCCCGCTACCGCTAAAATTGATATCTGCCGATCTCCAGGAAGTGACTGTCCGTGGGTAGGGTGTAGAAGTCCACCGCGGCACCCATGATGGCAGGTTGTCTGGCTCGCTGCTGACTGCTGCACGGGATAGTAACTGTAGGGCATCCCCTTGCTCAACAAACGCCGCTGCATATCTGTGCAATACATCCGTCAGGCTCGACCGATAATCGGGTCTGAACTTGTTATTCGATGCCTCGCCTGCAAGGGATCGCAACGCAAAAAGCTTATCACGCAGAAGGGAGCATTCGGTGTGTTGGAAAGCATCGAGAAGTTCCATCAAGCTGGGTCGGCTGGTCGTTTTATCCCAGTACCGCTGGCGTTCGCTGCTCAGACTCTGTATATTGTCGGTGTGACGAATACTGGGGATCTGAAGGTTGGAGATTGAAACTTTTGCTAAGTGGATGTAAATCTTGATCCCGTCCTCAAAGTCGTCCCACTGTAATTGATCCCGGCCGCAGACCAGAGTCAATTTCCTTGCAAAAACCACTTCCTGGACAATCCAAGTGCGACGAAACCATGGCCGTGCGATCAAGGCATTAACGGCGGCCCATCTGTCTGAGTTGACCCTCATGTCAGTGCCACTCAACTCTTCCAGAGGTATGCGTGCAAGGCATCTCATTGTGTCAAAAGCAAGTCTGCTGTCGCCGCTTTCTTTGCCAACCCAACCTAGAATTCCCGCCGCCTGACGAAAGATTTCATGCAGTATCTCAATCTGTCCAGCTTTCTCACTTTCATCTTCCTGGTTTATGCTGACTGCATCAACCCAAATCACCCTAGGCCCGTTCGTATCTCGAAGCATCTGCACTATGGCAAAGTACAACGATGCGGTCAAAGCTATAAACCCCAGATTCGTCCTTAACTTGAACGGCTTTAGAGACGAGCCCCATGTGTATGAGAGACCGATATATTCGATATTACAGTCATCCAAAGAAACCTCTTCAAGCGCACCGGAAATGGTCATGTCGTCCTTGTTTTCGGCCTCCAGCCTTAATAATCGGATTGAGCCCTTGCTCTTGAGGGGTTGATATAAATAAGAATGTTCGAGCGGGAGCGTGGGACATAGGTGGGTCTCCAAGAAGTGAGGACTGACGGTGATCCTGTCTAGCTCATCTCCAGTGAACAACTGCAGGTTGCCTTTCACATGCTGGGCCCATGGGTCTACAATAATAGACAACTGTGGATGCCCTTCCGTGATGCAAGTTAGCCTCAGAATTATGTAAATGGCTGTATTCGGGTTCGGATCAATTGAGATTTGGCGTGCCTGAAATCGATCAGCAAGGCGAATTCCTCTATCTTGAGAGATGATTGTCTGAGTACCTTCTCGAATCGCACAGGAGACAATTCTAACGAGTCTTCTTGTCCTTTCATTGACGTCTGCACGTCAAGATATATCTTGGTTGCTTTAAGGAGCGACTCCCGGGCTTCGCAATTGGCATATTTCCTGAAAAGATCTTTCAGGTCTGTTGAAGGCTCGTCAATCTCGAATGTCGCTGTTGGCTGAACCTCTGAGTCAAAGAATTGATACCCGGCTGCCGTTCGCGCAGAACTGGCCCAGTGTGAGTTAGGACAGTACCTGGGCCCATGAACCTCTCGAAGGATTTGAGACACCTGTGAGTCCGTTAGAAATATGATGCCGCGGTATGGTTTCTTTGTCACCTTACAAACAATTCCCCGAGAAATGTGGCCTCGGTTTGCGCCTCGGACTTGATATTGACAAAGGCTGTAAGAGATCCGTGGACATCTGTACCAATCCTAGCTGGAAGGGTTTCCGTCTCACGAATGGTCTTCCTATATGCTGCAGTATATTCCAGGTCGGAGAGAAAAATCACCTGCACAATATCCGTCTTTGGTGGCACTGCGTTCCGGTAAAGATCTCGCAAAGAACAACTCGGAATACCAGGGTCAACAACAAAAGGGTCGTGGCCCTCGATATAATAGTTCAGCCTCCGCTGGACCCTGGACTGTATTGAGTATCCCTGATTAATGTGGGATATCTTCGATGCTGGCTTCTTGCTGGATCGCCGAGGAGTGTAAACTTTCATTGGCGACTGGATGGGGTCATTCCTCTGCGAGGAAGACGTAAGCGGACCTTGCACGCTTGACTTCTCCATGCACTCAGAAGGGCTTGAGGTGGGTGATGCTTCTTTCTTGCTAGGGGATGGGTCATCACCTAGGCAAAGTACTCTACTGTTTGGAACAGCCTCGATAGGCCGCTCAACTTGTTCGTGTTCATTCAGCAGATTCTGTGAAAAGAACACACTATGCAGTGCATATCCACGCTTTTGCAAGACCGCTTGAACAAATGAAGGATCAGGATGGCTCAGTATCAGGATGACGGTATCCAAACACTCTGGGTCTTCCATTCCACACCGTCTCGCTAGACCAAGTGATACTCGGAATGGCATATACCCTTTGCGAATGCTTTCCCTGTCTAGGTATACTTTCAGCTTTGAGCCCTCCTCGACGAGATATCCGTTAGCCTCTTGTGGGTGGCTTCCAAACAAAGCCCCCGCATACTCCACTGCCCATTGCATAGTGACCTTTTGGGCTTTGTGAACTTCGATAGCTCGTAATGACTGAGCTTCCGGCATGTTTTCCTTATGGGTCAGGCTGTAAAGTCTATGCTGTTAGATACATCATGATAGCCCAGAGGGATTTGAACCTCCGCTTGATGGAATCGAACCTGAGTAGAAAAGAAACCTTCTGCTGCAGTTTCCTGGTAGCTGCACGGTCAATCGAGCTGGATCCTTCGTTGTAAACATGGCTGTACGATATTTTCGAGAGTAAACGGTCCTCTAGGCCAAAATATCGAATGAGGTGCTGCATTTGAAGAACGTCCTGGACATCAAATGCGAGCAAAGAAGAGCATCCTTTGAACGCGTGGTAAAGATAGTCTCTATCCGCAATGAACCACATTTCCTGTGCCGAGCGAAAAGACAATGACCATTCAAAATCTCGGATGGGAAACCGGACTTCCGGTCTAGTCCTGGTTTTTTTGGTCAACCCAGATTTGAATATCAATTCGTCCGCATCCCGAAAGAGCTGATATCTTTCGCCCTCGTGACAATTACTGGCTTCAATCAACAGGTCTTCCGGCACGGCGTCTTCGATACCAAGTATCTGCCGAAAAAGCTTCTCACATTCGGGGTAGAAGCTATTTAGTCGTGGAGTAAGTCTGACGCTTTTGGGAGCACCCCAAAAGCACTCTTCCGGTGTGCTCCATTTTTGTTCAGCAGTCGGGACATAGATCAAAGCCTTCTCCTGGAACTCCTTTCTGTAGGAGGAAAAGAAGTTAGTCAAATGGGCGGTGCGTATTACATCATTTCGCTCACCTTATCAAGTCATGGTCTTGCGTAGCTCCTTGTAGTTCTAAGTAAAGCTTGCCGACCTCTTCAGTATTGATTTGGTTGTTCCTGGCGCTCTCCAGCCATCTCAGGCAGAACTTTGCATCGAACCCTGTAATCACACCTATTCTCTGCAAGAACTCCCAGGAGGAATTGTTAGGGTCCGGAATATCAAGTATCGGTAGCTGGGTATCTTTGTATTCTGTCCATTGCGGCAGGGGAAGACATGTTTCGCGCAGCATGTGCTTGCGGCCGTTCGTGCACTGGACCTGCAGTGAGCCCAGAGTCTTATATATCCTTCCGGCTTCAGCCTTGTTCCGCCTCAGTGAGAGGGTATAGTCTTCCCAGTTGTCTCTTAAAAGGAGGAGCCAATCTTTGGACGGAACGACATCTATCAAATGCCGAAAGTCCTCCGCAATGTCCGATGTGCCTTTATCCGTGTTGAAAAAGACAAGACGAGGGATGATTGAAACCCCGAGTTCATCGCCCAACCAGCGGATGAACTCATGTTTCTTCGAGATCGGCTCCAGCAATCGGGGGTCAAGAAAGTGAAAGTGATCACCTGTATCCTTGAAATACCGACTAGCAGAGAATTGTTGATCGAGGTCGAGGTAAACTGAAAAGGAAGGTGCAAGCTTCCCACTTTTGGTGGGCACGTGAATCGTGGCCTGTTGTCGGTTTGTCCATTTGCTGGCGAATAGAAACTGAACATGGGCCAAGGCACTGTTAATGGAAACTGGAGGGGTATTACTATGCGTATCAAGGATCCGATCCTGGACCATATTGACATTCAATGGATATGCCCCTAGGCTGAGATAAAGGTTCTCCCGATTGGTGTCCTCCATGGCATCTGGCGCAATTAAGTTCAAGTCAAGCCCCGGAGGAATGTCAAGGTTGATCGATAGATTCTTCTTAAACAGATTTCCTTTTGATGCTTTTGCAGAGACCCATCGCCCATCACTCAGTGGGATGATCGGAAGATCGAAAGCCTTGGTAATATGCTTGCTTTCCGCGAGAAGAGTTTGCGCGAGATGGATATGCCAGCGAGGCTCTTTCGAACAAAAGCCAATGCGTGTATCGGCAATTTCATATAGCTTCTCGATGAATCCGTTGAAATCGAGCTTCCGCACACCAAGTAGTTTGAGAAACGACCAGTCATCATCGGAATACTTGTTTGATAGACAGACAGCCATACTTGCTTCGGTTTGAAACAGAGGCTGGTTATTATGATCTCTGTATTTCATTGGTACGTAGACCAAACAATTGGGTATCCTCGCAACACCATCTTCAGAAAATAAGACTCGTTCTTGTGACAGTCCGCGGTAGAGTTCGTGGTCAATCCCCTCAAAGTACTTGTTTGGGACGTGTTGATTTGGTAAAAGCCTCGGCCAGGCATAGCGCAATTTGGGCACACCTAAACAGCTGTAGACAGCTCTGATGAAAGCTTCCGGAATTGCTTCTCTGATTGCGCGGTTCTTTGAATTGTCGATTGCTATCTGCTGGCGATTGGGCGATAAGACGAAGTCCGCTTGTACAATAAACTAGTTGATCTCAATCACCACGAACAGCATCTATAGGGTCAGATGAATTACCTTGAATCCACAATCATCAATTGGGAGAAAATTGTAGAATGACCTAGTCTTCTGCATGCCGTCATCGATAGGGAAAATGATAACAATTTCCGTGCACTGACCAAGAGCAAGTTTCAGCGGGACCTGATGCTTGACAACAAGCCATGTTACTTCAACAACACCATCTGAGACCACCGAGTAGAAGCATGAACCATCTAAGGTACGGCCATCCAAAGGACGATCCTTCAATCGTTCGAGCACTAGTCTCTGTCTTTCACCCTTGAGGACTGGCTTATCAAACTTGATCCGTCGGAGTTTGCGAAGGAATAAGAGTATCAATGGACCGGATTCGGATAGCTCTCGAGACACCTCCCAAATCACTTCGGAATTGAGGAGGCGGAGGTACATGGATGTGCCTGTTGACTCATGACCTTCTGGGAAATTTTCATCCCAGATGGGTGCGATCGTCCCGAGCTCTTTATCCCCATCAAACCGGAAGGAGTAGGCGTTGGATGATATCCAGACTGTCTGCGCGACCGCAAAAACCGACTTGAATCCAATTCCCTTCTCGCCAATGAACTTCCGTTCCGTGGTTGGACTGATCTTGCTGCTTTGCCCTGCACTGCAAATTGCATCGACGTTCTTTTTGGTAAAGCCTGTCTCGTTACAATGAAGTAGCAGGGCATCTTCGCTGCACTTGATCATTAAGCTCGGTGTCTCCCAGTAGTTATATTGATTGTCATCCGCGTTCTGGATAAGCTCTGACAGGAAGTGAATCCTTCTGTCGCTGATATGAGGAAGCCTGCGTGTTTTGGACAAGGCGTCACGATATGTATTAGTTCTCGCTACCTCTTTTGTTTAGTGGGTAGCCCAGCGCATCCTTTCGCGCCGAGCATGAAAGCACGCACAGATTAACTACGCCTTTTACCCTAGGCTCCTTACTTAGACGCAAAGCATCTTGCTGCAGTCGTTCAACGTGTCGCTTGGCCTTTATGCGCCGGACTCCACGCCAGAAGGATGTTCTGAAGAAGACTTTCGGCAAGAAAAGCAGTGTCGAAATTGTCAGGAGTAAGACTGCAAGTATTGAGTAGCCAGAAGAAAGCGGCATGATCATCGCTGCGAAGCATCAACCGACCGCTTTATGATAAAGCCCTTATTGTTGTATCGAAAACACGTGGCATAAGTGATAAACAGCTTTAAAGTTATGATAAAAAATTGTTTCCGAAACACATTGGCAGAACTTCAAGAGCATTTTAGGTAGCTGAATATGGAAAGCCGCTACATAGATATGATGTGTAGAACAAGTCTCATTTGCCTCACCTGCGTTTTGGGCATTATTGCAGACTAGGCTACAGCGGGCTATTGAGTCCAACAATAAAAATATTTCTAACATGCATTGTGCCAATAGTATTCCAATACTAAGCTGAACTCGATACATTATTAATCTTTTATAATAAGTTTCTAAATTTAACATTACCACTCATTCTGTCTTCTACACACACGCAATCTTTATCTACTCCGTTCAACTTAAATGTTACCTGCTTATGTTGTTCGGGCCATTTCTTCGAGGAAGATAATTCTAAACTAAATTAATAGCAGTAGCCAGCTAATTAGGGTGGCAATCTGCGTATGCACGAATTAAAGTGGGAAGATTAGGCGAAACAAGTACGGAGTAGAGGTTTCTGGGTGAGGGAAGCAGCAAAACAAAAATCAATAAAGTTCTTTCGATACATCATGTCCACTTGAACCCCCAAATTCGAAATCTGACATATCTAGACATTTATGTCCTGAACAACAATTCAATTCCATCAAATTTCGAAGCCTTGCGGCAGGATACAGCGAAATAGAAATAATAGTCGGCAGGTCATATTGCCTCGAGTCCTGTCAGTAAACTACTGATATTTGGCTTCTACAACATCGCAACCTAACAGTTTAACATTGGTCTAGGCTATCGTGGTCCCATGAAGCGATGGCAGCTTCGTATGAATTCAGCTGCTTCCTTAGCGGCTCATGTGCATACGTGTCTCTAATCAGCACGACCCCTCCGTAGTAAGCCTCCAGCCTTACTTGCAATAATCAATCAAGACTCGTGGTTTGTTCTGATAATGGGAAATAAGAAACTAAATGAACCAATCGGTCACTTCCGTTATGAACTGTCATTTTATTTCAAGATATATATATCCTCGCAGATTTCAGGCACTATTTTCCGAGAATGACAACTACTGTATGTAGCGGCAATCCTTCTCCCAGATTACAACGTGACCCCTTCAGGACGAGTGCCCTGATCGTTCCAACCAGACTGGGCATTGATGTTTTCCGGTATGGAATTTATCATGCCCAACCGAAGTGCCCAGTCTGCCCTGCCCGAATCTTTTATCAGAGCCTCGGCAAGATCCAGTCGCCGGCGAAATTTCCGCCGCGGACCCTGAACAGTAACGATATGACCGTGCATTTGGAACTTCCGCGTAGAAACATTGACGAGCGCTAAGAGACCTGCACTGCCAAACAACAGAAGCATTAGAAGGACTTTGCCAAATGGCTTCGCATTGCTGGCCAGGGCGGCATTGATGTACGCCAGCAAGGTAGCGAAGCCGGAGGCGGTGCTCTCAAACCAAGTCATATCGCGTAACCATTGACCAGAAGTGACAGCCTTCAAGTCGTTCACAGCCCCAATCATCCTAATCCAACGGTCCTGGCTGAGCAAGACTAGGAGGTCACCATCGCCGTCCTCTCGCGCACCTCTCCACCCACGACTCCCTCTGGCCCGAACGAGAAGGAAGTTGATCAGGCGGTTGATAATCAATAGAATAATCACTGACAGACCCCACCAGTCTCGGCTGTAGACAAGCAGAGAGAGGACACTCAAAGTACTTCCGACTGCGAAGAAGTAGGCTACAATTCCGACCGGCGTGGCGGTATCAACGGCGAATAGAACGTCCAGCCAGCGGTTTTTCCCTGCCGTATCTGGGATTGCATTGACCGAGAGAGTCGTTAATTCTCCAGTGCGACCGACGTTTTTGAGGAAGTAAATAGTCGCGGGGTTCTCAACGCGAAAGACATAGCCGGTAGTCATAGCGGCGGCTGCAGGGTATTCACCATCGTTGACCCCGGCCGCCTTCTGCTGGCAGTGCAATCCAGGCGATAGTACAAAGATATCTAGGAATGCGGCGCTACCCGTCAATGCTGTTCGTTGCGCAACGACCGAGATATCAGCCAGGGAAACGACCCCAGCCAGGTCAAGCGAGAAGGACCAGGGGGCTGGAGAATCCATGGAGATTCAGACGTTGCTCAACTGTGTGAAGTGAGGAGCCGAATGTGTGGAAGTGTAGCAAGAAAAGCAATGAGGAGCGCAAAGTAATATGGGTATTTTGGGCACCGCTGACTTACAGTGAAGGGCAGCCAGGAGTTTCATAAGTCTTGGCCACACCAAGCCCCATTTTGTCAAAACACGACGTGGGCCAATGAAGATGATTTGAATAACGCCCTGCATAGGTAGTCACCCGCGTCACTGATTGTGATCCATTCTGGTGTTTTACCATCTCACTCAAGTAGCTACTCGTCCTGCATGAACGCATGCTACGTAGCCATACTGGCCATCTAAGTGGGTTGGTTAGGGCGTCTTCTTCCTTTGATAAATATATGCCTCCGCAATCAGCACGTCGTCCTCTTCGAGATGCACAACATTTTCCGCCGTTTCTTGTATACATATATCCTGATGGGTAATACTGTAGCCAGGCAATCTAGTGCTCAGTTCTCTTGCCATAGTCTTGACGGTTCTCATGAACAGGTTTCCCAATTATCGGGCCTCGCTGGTTGACCACTTAATATTCATCACACCTTCTGATCCTTCTCATTAGAAAGCGCCCAGAAACAGTAGCACCCCAGCTTGGTTCACATCACTACATCTCCAGTTTAACACCATATAGGATATCTTGGCGTCCAGTCACTCTCTGAACTGCTTTCTGTAAGTACAACTTGGCCTGTGATGGACTGGGAACGAGCTGTAAGACCTTACCGCGCCTCGCAAAGCCGAGCAACAACTTGGAGGCTTTTGATTACTCCGAACAAATCAAGCGATTGAGGACCCAGGTACCGGACCGTGTAGCACTAATATACCTGTTCACGATTACAATTTGTTACTTCTTTTACTGCGCCCTTTTTCCGTCGTCGATCATAGGGTTTCGAAAGCTTGTTCAGTAGAGAACCTCGTAACATACTTCAGTACAAAATAATAATAATAATAACAACAATATAAAAAAAAACAGAAGAAAAGAAAACAAATCTCAGAAAGCGAAAGACCGTAGCTGACGAGAGACAAGGTCCCATGTGATTTCAAAGCAAGAGGATCGATATTATTGTTGAACTAGGCGACGAGTAAGACAAAGATGGAAGGGGTGTTGCGAAGGCATCTATCTTATCGGCAGTAGATTGATGGCTTGTCTGTTGTTGGTCCAAATTCTGAGAGTAATTGCTTGAGACTCGTGTGATTTCTCAAATCTGCATACCACATGGCATCTCTTCCTTCAGCGTCAGTCATTCATATCCGCAGTAGCAGTCGACTCCAGAAGTAGGGATGCAATGTCCATGTCTCCATTTAAAGCCGCGATCACTAACGGGGTGCAGCCGTCATTGTCGCTAATATTCGGATCGGCGGAGAAACCAAGCAATAGTTGAACTGCAGCCTTGTAGCGACGAGTTGTAGCTTCAATTGTATGATCTGAAAAACAAAACAACAAAAACATACAACAGCCGGGATTCGCTGGTGGTCACCCACCCAACTACTAACCGGCCGGCGTGTGGCTTAAGTACGGCTGAGCGGACGGGAAGCCCTGTTCTCCACACCCTGTGGTCGTATGTGCTGGTTCAGACAATTGCCTGTTATATATACCTTGTTTTCTTGCATGCAGTAACCGATGTGACCTTTCATACTATCCTAGCCATCCACAAAAATCTTGGATGATTCTTTCTGCTAATTCCAGCAGACGCCGCTTAAGATGAAGAATCCCCGAATCCTCCCAAGGAATCTCCTAAGTGATCCGTCGAAACTGCAGAAGCCGACCCAGCGTCATCGTCAGAGAACCGAACGCCGGCTTCTAATCTATCTTTGTAGTATGACCGATAAAGGTTCCCCTCACCGTCGAAACCAAGATACCGTGGACAGGAGATGCTCCAGAGCATCGTCCCGGCTGTGAGAGCTTCTAGTGCATCAAGCCAACAAACAACAGACGGGGAACAGCTCCCCAAGGTGTCCCGCAAGCCGCGATACTCATTCTCTAGTTCTATCGCCTTCTTCGCTGTGGCCTGTAGAGCCGCTTTCGCCGAAATTGCTTCCGAGTTCATGTAGACATATACTCCGTTCAGGCAGGCAACTTGTCCGTTGGACCGGGTGAAGGCTTCATACTCCTTCTCCCAGGAATAGTAGTCATTGTAGAGACTTAACGCAGCGCAGAGAGTGGAGTGAATAGGGGCGAGCGTGGCATCCTCCTCGCTAGTCAATTCGATTTGTGTTGCGAACTGCACCAGAGCTGTGACGAACCTGGCCGTCGTTACCGTCAGCATACCACGGATATCGAGTGGGAGGGGAGGTGGACGAGGTTGTCTGGGGGGGTGAGTTTTACTTCCAACCGAAATCTTCAGATCGATCCCTCATATACTCGGAGATGGTCTCGTACTGGGTGTTATGGCGCGTTTGGATCCTAGCATCGGCAACCTTCCAGTTCTGCCATTGATGAAGTAAGGCTCTGCCAAACTTGAGGTTGCAAGCCTGCACTTGTTCAGCTATTTTAGGTAGGACTCTGGCCCCGCGTGCGAGGAAGTGTTTGGCGGTTGGAAGCTAAGCGCATAATTGCATTTTCAAGCCCCTGTTATCATGGCGTGGCTTACAAGGCTCGCCTATCTAGGGCTGACTTACCTCTGTTGGATCCAAGTTCCCAAGATCTACTCCAGTAGGGCCATGTTAGTTCAAAATTTGATAAATATACCGGCGAGAAAAGAGGCAGGTCACGATCCGGAAATAACTGACCGTCCTGTAGGAGGCTGACCTCCACGAGGTAGGATAATAGAGGCATGCGATCCGGCTTGCAAAACGAAAATGCGAGCGCGGGCAGGCAGCCTACGGTCAAGTGAAGAGATTTAATGACCTCGCCTTGATGCTCTGCCCCCAGAAGGTCGAGTTGGGCCTGAATACAAGCATCATCGCAGGTTTTGGGATCCTTGTATATTCGTGGTTTAAATTGAGACAGAAACTGCTCGTCCCTTTTATAAAGAATAGGATCAACGGCAAGAGTGGTCTCTACGGGGAAGGGCTCCATAGTAGTTCAAATATAGGAATGTAGGACCTGTTAATATGATCAATGTGTCCGCCTCGGATAGAATGATATCCTGGAAATACCCGCGGAAAGCAGTTCAGGTCGCCTGCAATCTTGGAGCAAGCGAGGAAGAGGAGGAGAGAGTCTTTGCGAAACCTCAACTCTGTTACGATAAGAACGCGGGGGTCGGAGAAATGCCGCTGCAGGCAGGGCCAACTCAGTCCACCGTAGACGGACAAGATCTACCCGATCCACTGGCAATCGGAGATAGAGGTCTTACTGGTTGTACTATGACACTAGTCCAGTGTGATGAGTTGCGACAAAGTTAATATCTCATCAAGACGGGGTTTGACCGGAACCTCCCCATAATACCGTTCCCTTAACACATCTCGTGCCTTTGTCTCTGGTATCGTACCTTCCTCAAATCTGTACCCATCGCTTGAAAGACGAATTCCCCTTCCTACCCGTCATGGCCTCCGCGACCAGCAAGGCCGAATTCAACGATGCTGTTCACACAGTTCTGCAGTCCGTTTTAACTGAGACCAAGGCACACAGAGTCCCGGATGTGACAATTGAGCGTTTGAAAAAGGTAGGAGCAGAGAAACGCATCCCTCCACTTGAACATCCTGTTACTGCACAGTTATTGATTACTTTTTCTCTGGTGCCTGGAGTATAACACGGGGAATGAACGAGTGTTCCAAAGCCGTCTTGTCCCCGACACGGGAGGGCTGGGTCATCGAAGTTTGGAAGGGGTATATCTATATTGTGGATGATATCATCGACGGGTCCGAGATTCGGCGCGGACGGCCCTGCTGGCATCTCCTACTGCCAGGCACTGGGCTGCAAGCCCTGAACGACAGCTGCATCCTCAAGTCGCTCGTCCACCTGGTTCTCAGGCGGTTCTTCCACAACAAATCGGCCTACCCACGGCTGAGTGATGTCATGCAGGAGATTACCTATCTTACCGAGCTGGGCCAGAATATGGACATCATGATGTCTCAGCAGAAGATCCGGCGCTCTGGACGCGGGCCGAGTACGAATGCATGGCCACCCTCAAGTGCGGCTATGCTGCCTACTATCAGCCCGTGGCTTACGCGCTTCATTACTTGGATCTGGCGACGCCGCATAATGTGAAGCAACTCAAACACATTCTGCTCCCTTTGGGAGTTCAATCAGATTATCAATGACTATCTGGATATGTTCGGCGAAGTTGCGCAGACCGGGAAGACGGGGACAGACATCGAGGAGAATAAGTGTTCCCGGGTTATTATCCGGGCGCTGGAAATATGCGATGAGAAACAGCGGCTGTATCTTCGAAAGCACTACGGCCAGTGTGGAAAGAACGAGGCAGATATGATTTGGGTCATTTTTCGCTCCCTCCCCTTGATTGAAGCATTCGGTCCGGAGCACAAACAGAGGGCAGATGAGATCCAGACGACGATTCATGAGTTGAATGAAAGCGAGGGTCTACGCCAACCCATCTTCCAAAATTTGCTCGATTACTTTTGTGGACTCTACCAGCCAGAGAGACCTGTTTAAGTTCCACGGAACACCCATGGGACTGACTTACAAACCAAGTCATCCTGAATAGCTAGCTTATATTGACATAATTGACCCATTCTACGGTACTAGATAAGCTATACTGCTGTATAGAACCCCGTTCCCATTCATGATAGCTCATCTCGAAGACCGGTGTTTATCGATGAAAACTATCTTCTAATCTACTCACAGTGCCGAGAGTCGATGCGTAGTAGTTTTTTATCAAAATAAGAAGCACACTCTAACGTGTGAATGGTTGTATAGAGCGCTACTGTGCGAGCAAAAGACAATACGACTTATTAAATCACGTCTTAATGTAGAATCAACATGCTGCCCTACGATGATCAATATACCCTGTTCCTTCCACCCCCTTGCATCTGACAGGTCACATGGCTACTGGGCTTACTACTACCCCACTGTCTAGGCTCTTCCTCTTGTCCTTTGCTTCTCCGTACCCTTTATCGCCACCTAATTATGGCTCATTCCATCTCACCCCCGCAATCCTTCCAGGTATGATGTTCTCTGCGTGTTGGCATGAGTACTGGATCAAACTGAATCTATTAGGCTATCGAACTACATGGTCATGAGATCGTTGCAACCGAGATTGAGCTGTTAGATCAACATCGACCAGTGTATCGCGCTAGACTCGAACCAGACTTATATCGACATACGATCCCGAGTACAGTCACCTCCGTTATTATTAAACAGCAGAAAGATGAATGGGAAGAAGAGTTCGAAGATGAGGAGAAGGCTTACAACAGATTGAAGAAGCTTCAAGGGGAAGTGATTCCATATTTTTATGGCCGTGGCTGCTTCAATGGGCAACCTGCACTTATACTATCGGATATCGATGGAATTACATTGAATGATCTGGCTCACAGCAACTACGACGTCCCCGAGGCATCGTTAAAAGCTCATCTGGAGGAGGTTTTCGATGCTCTTTCGACACATGGTGCTTTGTATCGAGACCAGAAACCGGATAACTTTTTTTTGTGTGGTGATTGTGACATCGGCTTTAGCAAAGCGATGGTGGTTGACCTCGAGCAGGTTGAGTTTCCTGGTCAACTTCGCCCTTGGCAATATTCTATCAACAAGGACGGAGCGAGAGCTTTGATGGAAGAGTTCAAATACAAGCGTGACCCCCAGCGCGAATCAACTCCACTTGACCTCTGGACTTCTGGACATCAGGACGGCAACCCACTCAGAGAATTAGAAGGTTTTGCGTCCGGGGTCAATCAACAAGGGATTGGAAGACCTGAACCTATTACGGCGTAAGGGCAATATATCACTGTGTAAATTTACAAGACATCTTTTCTTTTTCTCTGCTATGCTGAGGAAAACGCTAAAAAGTCAATTGATTGGGTGTGGTGATTGACGACATACCTGTGTTCTGTTTGTATTTTTGTACTAGCCCATCTTCCCCCTATATATCTACTAGGTGAATTTTCTCGCTGATGTATGGCTCCTAGGAAATCTAAGCAATGTGCCTTCTTATATCAGCCGCTGCTCATAGCTGAGTTTTAATTATATCATCCTCGTTCTAACATCTCCATGCCTTTGCTTAAATTCGTCCGGTCTAACATTATGAACATGCGGCAACGATGGAGCTTGGAAATTCTTTATTGAGACTTATCCCGCGGACAAGGAATGCCATTTCTTGTGTCGTCTATTAAGCTGACAGAAATTGTTATTCTTCAAGAGTGGTTGTATGTGGGTACATACTTGAACGTAGCCAGCAGCACACCAAACCCTACTTATCTGGTCAGCTCTATTCTTGAGTTCTTAGTTGGTCACAACATCTTTAATCGTCTAGCCTGAGCTCTTCACAACACGATTCACGGTGTCCTTGACACTCTCCAGCTCCAATCCTAACACATCGTTCCCAAGTCTCTCATCCCTTATATAATTTGCATTCAAACCAGGGATATTACCGAAAGAGATAGCTCGGACCAGGTTGAACGCGCCGCTGAAATCACCAGCTCCAAGCTTTTGCATTCCGTCATTAACCTGCTCGTCAGTCGTAGTCTTTGTGACGTCCCATTTAGCAGCCGTGGCCTCCTCCAAAGCGGCGAGAAGTTCCTTGTGGCTGGTCTCAACTGACGCAATAAATAGGTACTGATCCTTAGTCGCTTCGGGGCGTTGGAGGGTAGATACCACGGCCTGTGCGAGCTGCTTCTCATTGCTAAGGGTGAATTTCTTGTTTCCCCCGTTCCAGATCGTGGCTTTGCGGTTAGAGATATCAAATCCCAGGAAGCCGTTCTCGAGGCCCTAAAGCCGAAGTATCAGATATACTTTCTCTGATCCAGGGATAACTTTGAATACATACCCAATCGAACAGAAGCGACGGAACGATACCGGTCCAGCTGAGTCCCTCAGACTCTTTGGTCTTTAGATACTTGAGAACCTCTGTCTTTTGGCCAAACAGAGGCAACAGCCTCACAACGTTCTCGTTCTGGTTGCTGGCGGAGAACTCGGACGGGATGAAGCGCTTGACTCCGGCACGAAGAGCTGCATCAACAAGCTTCTTCTGCTCAGCGAAGCCCGTAGCTCCGACCGTGGAAATTACGGCATCCTTGCCCTTGAAGGCCGCTTCGAGATCAGATTCCGAGAAGTCGGTTTTGCGGACGGTGACACCGGGAGGGAAGGTAGCTTCGCTTTCTTTGCGGGTGATGGCAGTGATAGAGAACAGGGAGTACTCGATCAGGCCGTTGAGAATTATCTTTCCAATGCTGCCACTAGCCTGTATGTAGTTAGCATATGAGCCTTTTAAAAGTAGGTTGTTGTTCACGTACACCGACGATGGCAATGTACTTGTAACCGGTAGACATCTTGATATATGGTCTGAATTAGAAGTATCGATCCTTTCAATTGATTGGACAATAAATTGACAGTCAGATGTGATACTTTTCTTCGTGCTCAAAAGAACACAATCGAGAAGAACTCGGCTTTATTTATGTCTTGTTGTCTCTCTCGCACGGCCTGCTCGAAGCTGTATACTTCCCAAGTTCAGCCTCTCCACTAATGCTTAGCTAGTGGCCCCCAACAGACAAGAATCCACTAAGTTGCTTATTAGAAATACGGACCTTCCCTCCGCTCTCCGCTCCAGCCAATTGCCGTTCCAACTTGCACCTCCAACAGACTATATTTGTGGAGCTTTTCTGGCTCGACTCATCCCCCATTATTATCCCTCGCCCGTCCCGACCCTACTCCGTACTTACCCTATCAACGCATCACCCATCACACCGAGAAACCAACAACCTTCTCATTCTCGCTCTAAATCAACCGATACAATTAATAATAAATGCCTCGCAGAGTCATCTCATCGGGCCGATCGTGCCTCGAATGCCGCCGACGGAAGATCAAGTGCGATAGATCATTCCCGTGCGCTTATTGCGTCAAAGTCCATGTGCCATGCTCCTATCCACCGCGGAGAGCGGAGCGGACGCGATCGCCCAGTCCGAGGCCAGAAATACATGGAGCCGACCTTGAAGGACGCGTCGAGAGGATTGAGAATGCCCTAGACAGTTTGACACGGGATTTCTCGCAGATTAAGGACCTACTGCTGGCAAATGTCGGTCATTCCTCGAATTTGTCCGGCAGCAATGGCGAGAGAAATGATCACTCCAATGTCCCCCACGAAGATGATACTGCATGTCCTTCTAAGGACTTGCTTCAAGAGGTCTGCAGCCTGTGAATATTTGATGGGAATGAAGTATGCTAATTCTGAGGTAGAACCCTGAGCATGATGATATGCAATGCAATGATTCTAGGGGTCTAGAGTCGCCTACGCGCTGTGACCCGGAATATATCGCCGGGGAAGACATCCAACTGCGCTCGTTGTTTAAGTCTGAACCGGTACCCAATCTGCAGCATTTACACCCATCCCCAGTGACCGTATCATTCCTATGGCAGAAGCACTTGGAGAACGTGGATCCACTATTAAAGATATTCCATGCTCCCACGGTGCAGAAACAAGTCATGAATTTTGTCAGAGGACGCAAAAGCCACGACTTCCCAGCCGAGTGCTTGATGTTTGCGATATACTACTCTACTATTTTGGCGATGGATGCAGCAGAGTGTCAGGCAGAGCTCGGAGAAGACAAAGAAGAGTTGCTGAATAGGTACTTGCACTGTTTTCTGAGTCCAGTAGAGTGACAAGGACTAATTTTCGAAGATATCGGACGGGTGTTGAGAATGCCCTTCTGGAAGCAGATCTTGTCAACTCCTTAGATTTATCTGTTTTGCAGGCTTTCCTTATTTACCTTGTGGGTGCTGAGGATCCGAGTTTTCGCGAACAATTCTAACAGGATCATTAGGTATGTGGCAGACGGGACAAAGATGGGTCTAACGTGCGCAAATTGATGGGTCTTGTCATCGGGATAGCTGTAAAGATGAACCTTCACTATGACGGAGAGAGTCAACGTATCGAACCATTCGAAGTCGAAATGCGACGTCGTCTTTGGTGGCACATATGCATCCTTGACGTTCGAGCTGCGGAAAGCGACGGGTCGACACCCTACATTATGGAATCTCAATTCGATACCAAACTACCGACGAATGTCAGCGACGCCAATCTCAACCCAGATATGGGTAGGGCTCCTCAACCGCAAGTTGGCAAGACGGAGATGTTGTTCAGTCTGATCCGATTTGAAGTCAGCTATTTTGGTCGTCAAATCATCTTCCCTGATCGATTTTGTCGCGACAATGAATATCATTTACGGTCGCCGTTGGAAAAATGCACATTAATCGACAAATTCAGAGCGTGCATCGAAGAGCGATACCTAGCTCATTGCGATAGTAGGATTCCTTTTTATTTCATCACGATTGCCTCGACTCGACTTATCCTTGTGCGCTTCAAGCTCACTGTTGCAAAACCTCGCCCTGGGCTAGCCCAGAAAGACACAGCGCTGCCAGGTAACTTTCGAGGCATCTGCATAGACGTGTTGCAACATGCGCGCGCTTTGCGACGGTATGAACATGGAAAGCAGTGGCTCTGGTTGTTCCAGACATACGTCGAGTGGGAAGCGCTCGCCTGCCTCTTACTCGATCTCTGTCTAACACTATCCGATGCTCCGGACCGGTTTGTATGGGATGTTGTAGAAGATATATACAATCACTGGAAACAGCATGAAGAGGTGAACCGGTGGAGACGGTGGAGAAACATCGAGGAGCTTTACACACAGGCATTGACTATGCGAGACAGCCCCAAGAGTATCATGCCAAGCCCGGTCTCGAATGATCAAGACACGGCAGCCCCTGATATCGAATCTTCTCAACACCTCTCTCGTATGTGGGAACTGGCTAACGCTGCGGCTGTCACTACTGGGGTTGATGGCCCATCGGTGCCGGTGACCGGTAACGAGGCGGCAGAAATGCCGACATCTGGTACTGCGTGCGAATGGAGTGTTGGGTTGTTTGGACAATATTTTGAGATGATGGATGGTCCGCTCACATAGTTCAGGCGTGGGAGTCCTCAACCGCTTAGAGAGGGTTACTAGTTACGGAGTGCTCTGCGCGCGCATACTGGGGGAGCAATTGGCGGGACCCACCACTAGCTGCGCCCTGTTAACTCAGTCCTCTGGGCTTTTATCCACTATTTATCATCTCCCTGACCATCGTAATTCTGACTCAACAACATTGTTCTGCCTCACTTTGGCGTTTTATCGTGGCTGGCAAAGGCAGTAACACGCACCTACCAGGTACTGTTTCCCTCATTCGCCTTCAGGTTTCTATATCGCGATCGCGGCACTAATCAAGCATTTACATAGCCGTTGTGTTGCATGTTCATCTCGGTGATCCACGTGGACGCGTATCCTGCTCCCTACCTATACACCCACCATCGCCATGTCTCTTGTTTTAGGCAGATCCTTACACCTCTCTGATACTTTCTGTATCAGCTGTGGCACAGTCACTCTTGATACCACTCGAGCAAAAATACTCTTAATCCGGTGGAACAAAAACCAAGAGATCTACCTACCCAAAGGACGCAAAAACATCGGCGAGACGCTGAAAGATGCCGCACTACGAGAGACCTACGAAGAGACAGGTTTCCGAGTAACTCTCTTCCCTTTACCGGTTCCAACACTTGCAACTCCAGCAGGTGATGCTGATGCCGTCGGCGAACCGAGCAGCGCGACCACAGAACCTGTTGCGGTTAGCGAGCGGCTCGTTCACGACAAACTCAAGATCATCTTTTGGTTTGCTGCCAGAGGAGACTCAACCGCGGCGCCGGATACGAGGACGCAACAGGAAGGGGAGGACTTTGAGCCACTTTGGTTGGACCTGGATAGTGGAGTACAGTCTTTGAGTTTCGATGACGATAAACAGATTGCACGAGCGGTTATTGATATAGCCTCCACATCCGGCCACTTGGGTTCGGTGCAGCATTGATTGTTATTAGAATTGTTTGCTGTGTCGAGATGAGTTCGGTTTCCGGGCTGTTGGTATTTTCAACAACTCTTTGGTACTGGCCCCAAGAATCATCGGTTCAATTTTATCACAATTTACTTCATATGTTGTTACTCTCTCCTACCGGCATGCTGGAAATAATCGGAGCTTCGCACTGTTAAGCCGGATAGAGGGCCAAGGACTGATTTGATGTAGCCAGCGCCCCTCATAGAAATATTGCCTCTTGGCACTAATAGAATAGAGCTTTCGATGGGGAAAATAATTTCCTGAGTTTTACTCGATTGTAGCTCTCTCTCAACAACTGAGGTAATAGTATAGCATTAAAATGATACATGTAGAAATGACAAAGAGAGAAGCAGTGGCGCAACTCATATCACGGCGCACAAATCGTCCTAACAGGCCACTCAATCCACTGATGATAATCCACTCTCAAAGACGAGCGAATCCCCGAGATGACATGCATATCCCATCTCTCCATGAACCATGAGGGGGCCATATATTTCAACATCACACTCCAATGCGCTAGAATAACCAATGCTAAAGAATCCTTATCCTCTAACCGCCGCACGAAAGTCTCGGGAAGCCGATATATCCACCCAATCACGGCAGGCATCAAGTTCGCCCCGTCATCCCTGATGCTGCGGATATTGTGCATTTCCTCGAACGAAGCGATAAGCTTATCCATGGCTGAGACGTACAACTCCTTCTCAGATTCCGGAACGCTCTGGTCTAGAAACTGACGCGCGACAGTAAGATGAGCTCGCTGCTCACTTAACTCGGTTTCTAGAGCGGGAGTCATCTTCGGCGATTCTTGCTCCCCGGGGTCTAGGATTCCAGAGAAGACTTCCGTGTGTTTAGAGAAGAGGATGTATCGAACACCACGCATCAGGACAAGCCATTCTGATTTCCCTGATTCGCTGAAAACGAGATATTCGCCTCGACGAGGGCCGCGGGCAAAGTAGATGAAGCAGATAAGTACCGCAGAGAGATAAACCATCTGGCAGTTATCGGAGTCGAGCTTGGATAGGATATTCGTCACTGATCGAACACCGAACGTGAAGTGACTATCTGCCCTTGTGACATAATCATCGCGACGGTCGGGGTTCTCGTATGCGAGATGTAAAGCCGCGATTGCTAATGTAAGATGGTGAATAGAGGGAAAGCTGATCCCAGAACGTGGTACGTGCAGCTGCCAGATTTCTCTATGCTTGTCTGATGGGTCCCCAAAACTGGAATATGTTTTAGTGACGAATTGATGAAAGAGTTCTAAATCCGCGAACGATATCCCGCCGCTTTCGTGGTGGCTTGCCGACAGATCGCATTGAACTGCGGTGGAGGTAGAGTCCGTTGAATGGTTTTCATCAGCATTTGGCGACTCTGGCAGGGGTTGATATTTAGACGGTTTAAAGCGAAATCGACGAGTAGGAGTCGATTTATTAGGGGCCGATGTACCCTGAGACGGTAAAACCACGGGAGCGGAGAAATCGCATTCAACTGAATGGTGCAAGCAGTTGGTACATGTAGGTTTTTTCTCATCACACTGGAATGTGTCAGCTTGGTACTGGTCAGTCGGATCTGGAGACAGGCAGAGCGCAGAACAGAGAAAGTGAATGATTCTGTCCAATCTCAAAGACCTGAACATATACAGTAAATGATTGAAATGAATGGAGGACCTGAAAAGGGGAGAAATAGGAATAAAGGGTGACAAGTGCTTATTGAATACTTACTTTTACACGTCGCTTCTTACAATTCCTACAGCCTAAGCGAGATTTATGATGTGATCGCCTAGAGCGAATCTTGTTCTGCAGCTCAGAGTCCATGTTGGGGCGATGCGGAAAACTGCGTATTCGTTTTCTTTTGGCCGTCTTGGGAGGCGATTTCTCTCCCGGTGGATCAGCGCCCGTCACGTGTAAGTAGAGGCCTTAGGCAGCAATCTGGCTAGGAGTGGTGAGATCATAGTAACGTTGGCAGCATTTCTAGGGCCAGGAAGACAACACACTAGATAACCCACTATTTAACATATTTGGTTCCTTGTGTGTCGTCTGTTTGGTCAAGAATGGTTGTGAGAGTCCTGCCATGATCAGAATTGATATGAACTGTTTCAGAGTATATAATTAGTGACTAGGCCACAAGATTTCCACGGAGGAAGAAGCGGTTTTCCATGAATTAGCCATACCATGACAGACACTGGCATTGGCTGAGAAAGCTCCACGAAGCAAACATTCCCAATTTGGACTATCAACTTTTAGCTACCTTTTCAGAGGACCCGCTACTACCAAAGCCCTTTCGTTTTACAGACAATTTAGGATCCCTGAAGAATCATTCCAGATTTTCGATATGAAATAGAGTCGGTGTAATCTCTCTGCCATCTTCAACCTTCTGTGTGAAGAAGTACTGAAACTGACTACAGGCTGTAAGGGAGAGATGAACAAGTCAATGGAGCCTGTGGGATACTACCACTAATACAGCTTAGTAGGCTTATTATCTGCTGGTAAGAAAGAAACATTTATACAGGGTATGCCGATAGGAGGATACACGCAGAATTCCTAGGAAATGATTCATACAAGATTAACTGCTCATCTACTTCCTTCTTCAATCCCTTTGCTGCGCCCGATATCCCGTCAGCGGCACATCTGCCGACTGCGTCTCCCCAGCCAACGGCCCATACATCTCATTCGCCTTATTCATCGCCCTCAGCCTCTTGATGAGCAGTCCCGGATGCCAGATAATCAACACCGCGATCGAGATAAACATCATCACCGCGTCAAAAATGTAAATATACACCTCCTTCTTCCCCAGATCCGAATCCGACGCCCCGAACTCAATCGTTCTTATCAAGTTCCTGATCATGAGCGCCACACACGAGACGTAGATCGCCCACATGTACCGTTCCCAGTGCAGTCCACCATTCTGGTACGCGACCGGCGTGGGATCGCGCTTGAGCCGCTGGTGGAATTTAAACGCCACCCAGATAAACACGGCGAAGACGACTAAGGCGAAGATTAAGCCCACCAGGACAACTTTCACACCGATGGCCATAATATCCTGGTCTCCGGTGACTTGGACGCCGGCACCGAAGATCTGCGTCAGAAAGCAGAGCACGTCGTTGGTCACGAAGATGAATGTGAGCCATTTCGTGCGGATGCTGGAGTGGTGTTCGGCGTTGCAGACGCGGATGATTCGTCCCAGGATCATGTAGATGGTTGCGGCAACGAGGGGAGGCGCGCACATGATGAGCATCTGTTGGAGGGCCCAGGAGGATATTAGGGTTCGGTTGTTGTGTGACCATGCGCGGCCGTAGTAACTGAATGTTTCGCCTAGGATGAGGATATTGTTAGGGTTTGCTGTGGTGGTTCGGAGATAGTAGGTAGAAGGGAACGTACAGACTCCGCCAAGGAGTAAGGGGATGAAGTAGGCGGCCCGATAGGGAAACATGAGGACCAGATGTATAACTGTTGAGATACCGAAGATAGCCACGAAGGCGTAGCCAGCTGTTTTGGAGGGATTGTAAGGGTAGAACTCAACCCAGGGATCTGAGCCGTTTACACCAGGGTGAAATTCGAAATCCATTGTTAATTGGTACGGTCAACAATAAAGATGTGATGTGTTTTATGAGAAGCAGAAACAAGCATTCCATTATCCTGCCCGGAATTAACCCAGACTTATATTGTCAACATACACCATTTGACTATGTAGACATGCTTCTTGGATACGAAAGAATGACTAGATCGGGTTAAACTGCGGGCCCATAAAACGACGGTGGAGTGGCGCTAATTTTAGCCTATCGTTGATTGTTTCCCCGTGGTAGATTTTTCATGTATATTGGTGGATCGGGGCCATCCGCGCGGGCCAATGCGAGTTGTTACTGAGGCCCAGTAGCTGCTAGCTAGGCCTGTGCCGCACTCTTGTTGCCTCAGATTTGTAGATCCCAGCAAAGACTATAAACAATCCGGATATGTATGTCTTCCGATGCGTACATTGCTTCCTTTCTGGGATTGAAAAGATTTTCATTGCTGCCTTGGTTGATCTTTGAATCTTGCCTAGCGCTTCGTTCTCTTACATCACTTAGGTTCATTTTTGTCTACTCCGGAGCTGGGTAGTGTAATGACAAACTTTACAGTCAATGATAAGGCCCCATAATAATGAGAATGATCGTTTTAAACTACTATAATCTAAGAAATAGCCTACAGACCCATTTCTCTTGCCCCTTCTTGGCTTCACCAGGGACTGGCCTAATTGAGCTTGATCCTAATTATAGATCCCACATGGGATTGTCTTCTGCTGCGTCCATAATTGGTTCAAATCTTGGCCCAATCCTAATGTCAACTTCTGCAGTAGTGCTTGGTGACGTTGGCTGGCTTCTATCTGCTTGTAGGCTTCCAACGATTACTTAATATGGCCGATTGCGATAGTAGATCATGTTATGTTCTGAGTCTGACACGATCTGCTGTAATTCTCAAGGCAGCTTCGAGTTGATCTTGTCTATTTGTATGGGTAAAACGGACAAGGAACCCGTATCTCGTGAACAACAAAACCTACAGATCCATCGCGTAGACATCTTACTCCGACCTTACATGCTACATCGAACACCGAGGTCATAGATCATAAATCATCCACATTGGTCTATTCACATATTCTAAAGTGGATCACGCTAATATAAGAGACGTCATCAAATCATGCTTATTTGCCGAAAACCTTGAAGCGGTCCTCGAGAGGCGCGAAAGCCTTCTCGCCGGGCTCGCCGGCAGGGGTACCGAAGACGAGCTGGGCGTCGAGCTTCCACGAAGCGGGGATGTTCCACTCCTTCTGGATGCCCTCGTCGATTAGGGGGCTGTAGTGCTGGAGGTTGGCGCCGAGACCCTCGGACTCGAGGGCGGTCCAGACTGGAAGACATTGTCAGTTGAATGGTCTTGAGCAGATTGATGGCGGAGAAGGGGTGTAGGGCTCCACATACCGAGATACTGCGACATGGCGTTCGACTCCAGGGCGAAGGGGTCGAACTTGTCGGCGTAGATGGCGAACTTCTCCTTGATGGGAGCCAGGGACTCGTAGTCGACGAAGAAGAGGACCTGGGTCGATTAACATCGGCAATCAATGAGGAAAGCACACGTAGGGATCATACAGTCCCGTAGGCAGCACGGAAGCTCTCAATCTTAGGCTTGGTCGAGCTCTCAAACGCCTCCTTGGGGACAGCGCCGGCGGCAACAAGTCCCTCCAAAGCGGCAAGAGTGATATCCCAGACCTTCTTGTGCTCTTCCTTCAGAAGGAGGACGACACGCGAGGTCTGGGTGTTGAAGGAGCTGGGCACGTGCAGGACGGAGGTCTCAACGATGTTCTGGATGGCCTCATCGGAGATGGGGCTCTCGCCCTTGAGCGCATAGTAAGTGCGACGGGCCTTAACCGCCTCCAAGATGGTGGCGGTGGCGGGGTTCTTGAATTCAACCTGAGTAGAGCCCATTGTGACTAGATTGACGTGTGAGAAAGGAATTGAAGTTAATTGAATGCTTGAGAAATGAAGACCGAGACAATTGGGCACGCCGGTGACTTTATATCCGAGTGGACACCTCTCCAACTCGGTCAACAAACATCGGAACACCTTTCCACCCCGCTATTTTGGCCCCGAAGTGTGTGACGGATGTCGGCATTACGGCATTCGATGACCGATTATTGCGAATGCCGCCATCGCCAGCCAATAGACTGGCGTAGCGCCGGGGAAACCTGGCCTTTGTCAGCGCAGTGGGGACATTATTAATAGTAGAGCGGAATCTTGCGCGCTGGAAGTAGAAAGCGCGATTTAGTGGGGATGAATAAGGCCTTAGAAATTGAAAATTGCGACAGATTGGAAATATCAGGCGAGGTTCCAGCCGCACGCGACTCCTGTAGGAACGTGGCGGAAGAGTAATCAATAATTCAAGGTTGCAGCCTACGGACGCATGATGGTTGCTTACGCCGGAGTATTGTGAAGGCAGCAAGAAATGAAGGGAAAGAGTCAAAGCGACGGATGAATGTTTGTCCATCAAGACTTGGCGTTCTCGTGCCTGTCGGTATTCGGAAGAACCAAAATCCCGCCTTAGCAGCCGTTGATCAGGATGACTCAGCGGATAGATTTTTCCAAGACTTCCCATTGGACGGTGGCTGGACGGTAGCATCCGGCAGCCCTAAATCCGTTTGCATCACGACGTTATCGACAGCAACACTCCAGCTAGTAAATCTCCACCAACTGCTTCCCCATCGTACTTGATGATACTTTACTCAACTGCAACAAGCTCCACCTCTGAGTGCGCAATCATTCGTTCTGGTCAATGACACCTGCCCAATATCCGGAACGGCGAAATGCCGCATACTTGGCAGGATATATGGGTGACATCACGAGGTTTAGACTACACTTCCATGGGAATATTCAGTTAAGCTATTCATATCTCCTCGGAGCCCTCGCCTGCAGACCATGGAACGCTGTGCGTGCGTTGCAATCAATATCCTTAAGCCCCTCCTTATTACTACCTACACAAGCGCGTTGCCATGGATGTATCTATACGGAACTGATTTCCCGTCTAGCGCAATTGAACTACGCTCTCTCTTGGAATTTAGATGGGGCTTGAAGTGGGGGGTTCACACCTTGAAAAGTTCTACTTTTCTTGCCTTTACTTGTCTGACTTCCTATCTTTAGGGCACAGCACAACGTTAACAGCGCTAAGTGCATCGTGGTATGATCGCGCCATTATGCTGGTGTTGCTATCATGGACGGGGAGCTACCTTACACCCTGTAGCTCTGCTGGGGATATTCTCCTGGTGATGCTTTCAGCTCCCCTTATCATGCTGATGGGGCCTTCTAGTGGAGAGCTGTATGACGATAGAGACTCCCCTCTCCTACGACCGCACCCCATCATGTAAAATTTCTGTCGCAGACCCATGGCAACGTCGAGTCGACACCTCAGTCGTTTCGTGATTGACTTCCAGGAACAGCTAGGAACCAGGACCGTGGAAAAATTATAAGAAGGGCCTCAAATCTTGTCTTGGAATAACCAGCAATCACAAGCGGGCTCGGCCTTTCAATTCACATTCACCTTCGCTCAAGACCATTCGGGTTCTTACACCTTTATAATAACTCCTATCAACTCCATCAAAATGCGTTTCTCTCTCGCTGCCCTCTCTACCGTCCTCCTTATGGGCGCTGTCTACGCCGCCCCGGCCCCTGGTGGCAGTGACGACAAGGACGACGGCAAGACCATCAACATCGACCACCTCCAATAGTAGGTTATCCTTCGCATCACCTACCTTACCTGTGTCAGAACCTGTCCTAATGGCCTTATCCAGCATCACCAACAAGTACACCTGTGTTGAGGAGAACCACACCATTGATCTCGGCCTCCTGGTCGAGGCTGGTGACGGCTGCGCCAAGAGCGCCTTGCTTGAGCTTGGCCTCCTGAACATCCTGTAAGCCAGTGCATCAATGGCATGGCTACGACTAGGTTGGGGTTTTGAAAAGCCGACCTACTAAAATTGGGAATATTATAATCAAAACGGCGTTATTTGTTTTTTGATGGCTTATATGCGAGACTGTGTTCAAAATGTATCTAGGCTGTGGTGTTAGCTAGGTTTCCAATGATCAAGACATAGTTGTCGCAATTGTTGCGCATCTACAGCGTAGTAGAATTTGTGTGGTGGGTATCAGATAGTGGGATCCATTCAACACGGAAGAGACGTAGTATTTCCAACTATAGATCCCAAGTCCCGTGGATTAACTTCTGTTCGAAATCATCCTTTACTCTCAATAGCTTTTCCTGGGTCCTGCCGTCATCTCACTCTTGAATGCTTACTGATCAACATGCGCAGCGTACCTGTAAGTGATGCCTTGATGCCTTATTGCCTTACTGCCTGGATATCTCGGACGAGAACGTCACACGTCATACCCCGCATCTCGTTCGTTTCCCCTCACTTCCATGTTTAATGTTTACTTCTCTTTCCATTTCCCTTTCTCTAGGTATCAAAGGGAGAGAACATTTCCAATTCACTTACCCCAGTCATCTCAATCCCCGTCACAATGAACAAACCCCCCGTCGTCTCCCTCCTCTGCGACCTCATCGAGGTACCCAGCAACAGCGACCACGAACAAGACGTTGCCCGATTCCTTGATAATCATCTCACCCAACTCGGCTACACCGTCGAACGACTCCCCATCGCAGAGAACTCGACCCGCGAGAATGTCTACGCGTATCTTGGCTCTACGCGGAAAACTCGCGCCTGCCTCTCGGCGCACATGGACACCGTCCCGCCCCATATTCCGCTGCGCATCGAGGGCTCGACGATCTACGGTCGCGGGGCCTGCGATGATAAGGGGCCCATGGCTGCGCAGATCATTGCATTGGAGGAACTGCGTGCGGATGGGCTTGTGAAGGAGGGGGATGTGGGATTGTTGTTTGTCGTGGGCGAGGAGAAAGGTGGGCCCGGGATGATCGCGGCGAATGATCAGGGATTGAGCTTTGAGGGGGTAGTCTTTGGGGAGCCGACCGAGGGGAAATTAGTGGTTGGGCATAAGGGACATTTGGTCTTTGAGTTGATTGCGGAGGGGAAGGCCTGGTATGATTATTCTGACGGTTTGCGATTGTCTGACTAGACTAACTGACGAGTGGGAAAGTCACTCCGGATACCCCCATCACGGCGTGAACGCGAACACGGCACTAGTTGCAGCCCTGAATGATTTCCTGTCGACTGAGTTTCCCGAATCATCCCTTCTTGGCCCCTCGACTCTCAACATCGGCAAGATTGAAGGAGGCGTGAGCTATAACATTGTGCCGGCAACTAGCACTGCTCTCTGCGCTGTTCGCGTGGCAACTGACATGGCTGGGATCAAGAAGATTGTCGCGGACGTCGCTTCTCGACATCCCAATGTTAGACTTGAGTTCAAGTTCGAATACCCCGAAACATTGTTGGATCATGATGTTGAAGGTAAGTGGTATCCACGAGTCGTTATTGACCAGGGACTCACGATTGCAGGCTTTGAAACGGCTCCAGTGTCGTATGGAACAGACGTACCTCGCTTCAAGGGCAACCACAAGAAATATCTCTATGGGCCCGGGTCGATTTTGGTAGCACATGGAGAAAAAGAGCAGATCGAGCTGAGCGAGCTGCTGGAAGGGGTCCAGCAATATAAGAAGCTGACGCTTCATTTGTTGAAAGGCGATGCATGAACAGAGGCTAGGCTTGTGATGATACGGCAGCATATCGAGACATTTATGACTAGGGTCACTGTATTGCGATACATAGACTCAGGGCTAAGAATCATCATGAATACGCTCACAGTAGGTTGCACCGCTCGCCAATTCCAGGCCAATTCAGCTACCCCTAGTAAGTACATGGACCAGACCCAGCTGATCGAAGGTACCCAGTAGGGTAGGTGCTTCTGTTCGCGAAGGAGGAAGAAACGACATTCATGGAAAAGATACAACCCACGCCCAGTATGGCATTGCACGACGAGATTCTCGGACAAACGAACCTAGCTTGTGGCCGGTGGGCTACAAGAGAGCTATATAAGAAGCTACGGCGCAAGCCCGTGGGTTACTAGAGTCTAAAAGGCTACTGTGAGAGATTCAATCGAAATGGAATTTTCAAGACCACTCATGAAACAGACGACATAAGGTCCCAAGGTAAAGATAAAGAGTGATACAATGACTGTTATGACTGCCGGCGACCATGGTCTCTCGGTAACCTCCTAGGATTGAGCCTGTGCATATCTCCTACTGCTAGGGCGCCGGTTCTGGTTGAGGGCAATGGGTTGCGGTCGCTATTCCCTACTTTGACTTCTCAAGATCTTCCTGTGATGTCTCCATCGGATCAACTGCCGGGTCAGACTGAGCAGCGCCGTCTACCAGAGTTTGTTCAGATGAACCAAATCGGCCTGGTGTAGTCTGTGTACCTGATATCGGATCTTGGCTTGTCGCGGCGGGCTGGCCAGATGCAGCCTCTTGCGTTGATCCTTCACTCGATGCTGTCTGCTGGCCGGACGAAGCTTGCTGGCTTGAAGTGCTTCCTGTGGCTTCCTCGCTAGTTGTGCCTTCATAGGATGTTGTCACAACTTGTATTCCTGATCCTCCTTCAGCAGGTGTACCCTCTCGGGTTGCTCCTCCTTGAGCCGCTGTGCCTCCTTGATCGGATGTGCCCTCCTGACCGGATGATACAATGTGATCTGGTGCCGCTGTTTGACTAAATTCAAGTGGCCGAGTTGGTGGGTCCAATGTGTCGGCTATTAAGTCAAGCCATGCATTGTAGAGTTCGACGCTTGCCTGGCTAAATTTCTTGCCCGCATCACCGAATTTGACGACCCTATCCAACAGGATGATCTCTCCGCCATACACTATGTCCAGGGCTAGGTGTATGTGTCGGAGCAGAAAAAGTCGTTCTTCAGGGATCGGTCCGGAGTGGTCGCATCCGCTGCCATGGTTCGCTAGAGACTGTCCGTGTTCTCTGAGTGAATCTTGCTCGTTCCCGAATTTGGATCGCACTTGTGCCCATACTCTGTCCATGCATTGATCAACAACTGACGGAATCTTAGTAAGGCTATGTATTAAGGCGTTGAGGACTGTTCATGAAGGGCTCACATGAAGAGACCTCCCTGCCGATTCTCTCAGCTTCTTCAACAACATCCGGCAGGGACGGCGTTGATACTCTGGTTTCCCCTGAGCTTGAGGGGCTTTTTCCCTGGCGCGAGTCTTTGTCCTCGCACTCTATTTCAGTGTTGTGTGCTGGGACAGGGGTATCTAGGGAGCAGGAGCATTAAATTCAATCATCAGTGGTTACATATCATGGGGCTACTTACTCCCTAGCAGTGTATCCTCTCCATTTATATGTGCTAGTATATCATTCTCTAACCGTGCTACTATGGTTCTCCATGGTGGCAGCGGCTGCGGTTGAAGAGGGTTGTTATTCCCGGGGCGAGTAGAGTGTTCATCATGATCGAGGTCGGTGGGTTCTGTATCATTTTGGTTTGATCTAGACCTTTCTGGAGAGCGTGATCTTGATCCGGACTGGTGTCGTGCTGGTCCCCTCTCCTCTTCTCTGCGATCCCTGTATTCGTCTCGTCCGCGGTGATGGAAATCCCGGCCTCGGTCATTTCCGCGACGACCGAACCCGCGAAAAGACATGGTGTGAGAGTGTATGTGGAATGAAAAGGATTGATGACTATAGGGAACTGTAGTAATGGACTGGATAAAGTATGTTGTTGCTGTGAAAGTAAGTATGCGCGCGAATAGAGAATGTGGTGATAGTTGTTGTTTTTCTGTGAGGTATGTCCTCGTAGGTAGTCTTTTCGTATGGTGTCTTATTCGAAGGAGGAACGGCGTCCCATCGAAAGGAGCAGGTGCGGTCCGCTTCTAATGACATAGCAGTATCTCCGGTAGCTGATTCCATGATTCACACAACATTGCTGGGGCTGGCAGAACAGTTCAAGGCAAGTACACACCCGTCGCCTGCCCTCCGAGGAATGAAGCCTCCGAGTCAGGTAGTGGGATAGAAGACGTTTCAGTACAGGTACACCCAGCCGGTAGGGCAGCCTACCGGCACAGGACCCCAAGTGGACATTAAACCCACCCCAGGGGCCATCTTCGATTATCGTTTTCCAGGCAGCGTTTTGCTAGGGCTCTCGCTTTTAGAGTCTCCGGGCCCTTCATATCTTTGCATGTTTCCAATCTACTATCGCTGTAGAGTTGTTAATGAAATTGGATTTCCTGGAAAGAAACTGATATTTCTGAGTCTTGATGTAGAAATAGCTTGTTATCTCAATATCAGCGTGTTTTGTTTCATTTTTATTCGTCCTCAGGAATATTCTTTTTATTTTTCGTTGTTATATGTGAAGCCAAATAATATGAGATCAGCCACCTCGGTTTGAGAGGCATAACAGGTTTGATGTGTATGTACACATTGCTCCAAAGCTCACGTGGATTGATAATGCAGATGATGGAATTGCAAGTGCAACATCTTTCTGCCTTTTGTTTGTGGTCATTTAGTTTTGAAGGGTTCATTCGAATGGGAATAACAAAAGATGTTTACGCCGCTCTTCCGTAATTCGGGACCTGGTCACTCCGGAGAGCTGAATCAGACTCTACTTGCTGTTGTGGCAGCGTTTGAAAACGGATTTCCTTGCCTCTAGCCAATTCGATTCAGTGTCCTCCGACCTATACTTCGAGACCCGAACTGTGCATCTCATTTCGTGACAGCTCAGAGTTCCTGAGAGCCAAGAGAGACCAATAGACAATTTCACATGCAGTTTTCTAGGAAAGCTGATTCGGAACAATTATATGCTCACAAGCCACGGTATACTTATACTCTCCTCTATTTAACCTATGCATGTACGTCGCTCAGACCCACCAGCACCAAACGTCGTATTCAATACGCATCTTATCAGCCTTGCAGATCAGTCCCTCGGCATCAAGTCCATGATTTGTGCGACCCATCCACTAAGCACTCACATGAGCTCACCCATGACACAAACAACGAATCGATCTTCCTCTAATTTCACACTCCCATTGCCATATTCCCCGCATCTCATCCCCGGATTTCGACACCCGACGCTGCCATCTTGCCCTCCGACGCCAACGGTATCCCACTCGCAGGTCTCCAAACATAACATAGTCCTTATCTCCAGGATCGACACTCATACGACATCGGCTTCGTTCCATCCGATATTTAACACGTAGATCTTGATTCGTGCTTGATCACGCATAGTTTGTTCCTCGGTTGACGGGTACGGATGGAGAAGGAGCCAGACAGCCCCGAACGGCTTGGCCCCGTGCCTGATACCAGCACTGTGACCACTATGGTTCGTGCGAGATAGTAGTTGCTGGCATGGAATCTTGTGTTGTGGTGACGGCCCCGCTCTTCTTCATCCTCGGTCCGCGTTGCCGTTGGGATCGGCGCATGTGGGCTTCCTTTTGGTCCGGGGTTTAGTGAGCGTAGCTTGTTTCGGATGCATCGTGTTCGATACGTAGGGTGGTGGACTGATGGAGATACGATGGGATCCGGTGAGGATGGCTTTTATGATTTTATGCATGGTTTATTCATGAACAAATCATGCGATATATGTACCGTTTGGGTATCGGTAAGACGGGGTATATAAAGGAGTATATAGTTGTGTAGGTTCGGACGGCAGAATCCCAACAATTCACGATGGAGAATTCCGCGTCAAAGCAAGTCATGACGTTGAAGAACATCCCAATCAAGACAATCTTGTCTACCATATGGAACGATCCCTGGAAACGTATCGCTGCCTCTGCTGGCGTGGTAGCCACCTACCTTCTCATGGTCGCATCTCTGCGCTTCCAACGACTGCGTTCCGTCAAGCGTCAGTATCGCAGGTACGCTCGCCGAGAGAATATGGCGAACATGACCATCCACGATGCATGGGCAATTCAGAAACATATCCTCCAGTTGGAGTTTCCATCTGCCGCGTTGAAGGCTCTACAGTTTGCACTGTTCCGAGTATGCACTTATTCACCTGACCTGCAAGCCCTAATCCACTGCCTCTATCCTAACGACTCCAGACTTACGGCATCCCGTCTATATCCTCCCTGCTCCTTAAAACATCCCAATTCTCAAACACATCTACATCCTTCAAGCGCTACGCCGACACCGGCGCCCTGATCGGCCAATTCATGGCCTTCGAGCCGACCTCCGACCGCGCCATCACCGCTATTGCCCGTACACGATTCCTACACATCGGGTACCGGAACAGTGGCAAGATCCTCGAAGATGATATGCTATATACGCTGAGCCTGTTCGCTCTCGAGCCGATCCGTTTCGTGGGTCTGTTCGAGTGGCGCAGTATGAGCGAGCTGGAGCGTTGTGCGATCGGAACGTACTGGAAGTACATTGGCGATGCTCTGGGGATTAGCTATGAGCAGCTGCCGTCAGGGAAGACGGGTTTCTACGATGGGCTGCATTTCCTGGACGAGATTGGTAATTGGAGCCGAAAGTACGAGGAAGATAATATGAAACCGAACGTCGTGAATAAGGAGGTCGCGGATCGGACGATGGATGTGTTGGTGTATCCGTTGCCTAGGGGGTTGAAGGATTTCGGGATTCGCATCGCGTCGTGTACGATGGATGATCGGTTGAGGGAGGCAATGATGTGAGATCCCCTTATTCTTACTTGATGTCTGTCCTCGATTGGATGATTGGATGATTGGTTGCTAATGTTGTGGTGTTATTGCAGGTATGACCGTCCATCATGGGTATATCAATTCATTTTCTCGTCTATCATGGGCACGCGCAAATTTTTCCTTCGACACCTATCGCTACCTCGTCCGTACTTTCTCCGCTCAGATGTTTTCACCGACGAACCGAATGAGCACGGTCGCTTTTATGTGCGCGTTTGGGTCGCCGCGCCGTACTATGTGCAACCTACCTTCCTGAATCGATGGGGACCGGGAGCGTGGGTTAGTCGGATGCTGGGGTTACCGGTGCCCGGGGACGAGGGCGACAAGTACTATCCAAACGGATATGATACTGCTGATCTGGGACCGAAGTATTTTGAAGGAAAGGGGCGAAAGACGGTGCAGGATATCAAAGATGAGTTGTGGAGGCAGATGAAAGAGCGGCCGTTTGAGGTGGATGTATAGATGGGTTGGAGACAACCTAGTGGACTCCGAGCCGCTGCTACTCCTTTTGTTAGGACATTTATCCCTGCAGAGTTCAATGGAAAGGCATCACCTGAGCAATTAATTCATTGTATCACTCCGTGTCACTGTAAGACGAAGTCATGTCGTCATCGGGCCCGAGCCAGACCGCAGCGGCAGCTCGAACGGCCCAGCCCTAATGGCCTAATGGGAGGCGCCTTCTTCCCGGGAACCGCCCAGCCATTATCTCCTTCTGACATCACTCTCAGATCCTCGCCACCCGGGAATTGAAGCAAAGATAAAGAAAATATGCTAGGGATTTGATTGTACCTTCTCCGCATTTCCAACGTTCTTGAATCATATCCCCCACAGCCCGCACCGCAACCATCATCTCCATGCAAGCACTTCGCCGCCATGTCGTCTGAAAGCAGTGTGCGCAGCGTGCGCAGCGTCCCGTTACCCATTCGTCCGCCGGGGGATATGGATGCTTGGATCCTGGGATGTGGTCTTCCCTCGCTCACGGCCGCTGTTCACTTGATTGAGGAGGCGAAGGTGCCGCCAAACCGGGTCCACATTCTGGAGACGCTGAGCGTTGCGGGAGGGAGCACGGCTAACGGTGGAGATGCGGAGAATGGATACGATTACCGTGCCGGCGCAATGCCTTCATTTAATGATGTGTGCGTGGAAGAGTTGCTGTCGCTGGTGCCGTCCAAGTCGCGCGAGGGAAAGACTGCTCTGGACGATATCCTGGAATATGATAAGGCCAATCCGGTGGCAGAGGGAGCGGGGACACGGTTTCTTACAGCGAAGGGGGGAAAGCCATGCCGCATTGCGATGAAGAGCGTTACTCTAGGCCTACGAGATCGGATGGACCTTTTCATGCTGACGTCGAAGACGGAGAAGTCGTTGGGACGATCGCGCATTCAGGAATACTTCAACGACAGCTTCTTCCGGAGCAATTACTGGTTGACACTGGCCACAACGTATGTTTTTCTTTGTCACTGTCTGACACTTCGTATTGCCAAAGCTGTTGCTGACTTGAGTTGGTTCTGTGTGAGCCAGATTCGGTTTCCAGCCGTGGCACAGCGCCGCCGAATTTCGTCGCTACGTCGGTCGCTTCATGCACGATCTCCACGACCTGAATTCGCCTCGTCCGCTCGATCGAGGACACTTTAATCGACACGATGCCATCATGACCCCGGTTGCCCGATTCCTCATGTCTCGGGACGTCGACTTCCAGTTCCATACCACAGTAACCGATATCATCATGGAACCACGCAACGAGTGCGGTCGCGTTGCCGCGATCAAGTGTGTCAAAGACAAAGAGCCAGAGCACACCATCACATTAGGCGGCAGTGACATCGTCATCGTCTCGCTCGGATCCGTCATGTCCGGTGCAACGACAGGGGATAATACGACACCCCCTTCGCTCGAACTGATGGAGATAGAAAAGGACCTCGACGAAAATTGGCTTCTATGGCTGGAGCTTAGCACTACACACCATAAATTCGGGAATGCATACAACTTCTGCACACGCATGCAAGAATCAAGGCTCGAGACTTTCACGGTCACTCTACGTTCTGACACCTTCTTCAAGAGCATTGTGGAGGTTACAGGCAACCCACCAGGCAGTGCGTCGTTCGTCACCCTCAAGGACAGCAGCTGGTTGATCAGCATCAGCATTCCCGAACAACCTCTTTTCCCGGACCAGCCGGCCAACATCCAAGTCTTCTGGGGCTACGCACTGCACCCAGAAAAAGAGGGGAACTTTGTAAAGAAGCCAATGCTCAATTGTTCCGGAGAAGAGATAATGACAGAGCTTCTCGGCCACCTTAAGCTTCCACACGATGGGATCTTGGGTAAAAGCACTACAATCCCTTGCGTGGTCCCTCGCATGACAGCTACACTACTTCCTCGAGCCACTGGTGACCGACCGCATGTAATACCAGATGGTATGACGAATCTAGGCCTCATCGGACAGTTCGTTGACATTGAAGACGAGGTCGTCGTGACCACTGATTATGGCGTCCGGGGTGCGCAGATGGCAGTCTATGGCTTAATGGGACTGGATCGGAGAATGCGGAAGTCTAAGAGAAGCTCAGCCATTAATCTACTAGGCTTATTATAATTTTCTCTTGGTTTACCTTGAGTTTTGGGCGCTGGTGCTGGGTGTTGTTTCCCTTTCCTCATTTTCGTAGGTTTGAGGATAGCAATATTCTATTGCATAATTTATTTCGTTGGATGAGCCACCGAGGCCCCTCAACTAATTATCGCAATCAGTCGATCTGATTTTTCCATTGTAAACCGTAATATAAACCAACAATGTGCAACGTCTACCCGATAAATTCACGTCCTAGCTCGCCCTTCTATTGCAAGAAGATGGATGTAAAGCTTATGATACGCAGTGTGCAATTTAGAAATGGTGACGGTGTTAATATTGAAAACAATGAAGCTCCTCGAAAGAAAATAATTACAACATGAACCACCTAGCTACCTGTTCCATCAAGGCACTTGACGTGCAACATATAACTTCTTCTGAAGATGACTGCCCACGATCATCAAATTCAATGAGTCACAGTAATAGGCAGTAAAACAGGACAAAAATTCATTAAAAGCTCGTCTATCCACGTAACATATGCCGGCTATGTAAACGTCCCTCTTCTGGACGAGGGGTAACAATTCGGTTTCTGTAGCCGTGGGAAATGCATCAACTTTGGGGGCGATTAGCCTTTTGCCATTTTAGCTGATGTATGCTTATTTCTACTTACCATGAAGGATGTTTGAGAGTACGGAGGAAATACCCAAATGTATGATAGAGATAGGGCTCGGTGGCATATAATGTAGTGGAAGTGCAGACTTGTAAGATGAGCAGGGGACTGATGGAAGGGAGAAAGTTCAATATATTCTAAGATTCATTAATCTAGCTTTCAAGGCTTGCCATAGTTCAACATGCTGCAATTCACTCACCCCTCCTTTCCTTGATGAATATCCAGAGTATTCCCTGCAAAGTGATATAGTGAAGTCAACAAATCCGGTTATCGCATTCACTCATCCAAGCCGTAATCCATCTATGCATTAAGCAATACACATGCATGCTTTGCGAAAAGAAGAAAGAAGGAAACAGAGATAGAGAAAGAGAAACCGCCTGTATCTCTTGATAAACGCATTTTCTTCATCCAACCAAGCCCCGACAACCTTCAGGCCCGGATATGCCTCCCTTAACCCACTCATATCAGCCCCAAAGCCTTATCAAAGAACCAGTTGATTACCGAGCTAAAGTCTCTCGCAAGCTACAATGCGACATACACCACTTTCCTCCACGTCGTCGGCACTTCCCTCCCCGTGTTTGCCCTTATCATGCCCTGCAGATAGGGAAACCTTTCGGCGGAATGCCTATGGGCTGGGATTGTGCGTTCCGTGTTAGGCTAAGTGTCTCTACGTCTGTGTCCAGAGCTATCAGGTTCGTGCCACAGTGGATCCTTGATTGCCTGTGGCGCGGGTAATGAGGAGGGTGATTATCATTTTCAATACCAAAGCTCATCGACGCATTAACATGGGTGGGAAACAATAGAGGCATCTGGAATCTGTGGAGATATAGAGAGTGACGAGAGCGATGCTACAGAGCAACGGAGGTTGGGCATGATGAGGGTGGTGATGAGATGAAGATACGATCATGCTCACAAGGAGGTCAGTCGGAAAACTCAGGGCCCGATCTACCCCGACATTAAGCCAATATTATTAACGAGAGTAAGAAGAGAAGGTAAATTAGGCACTCCAGCCTTGCGGAGAAAATGAGCTACAAAAGAAATCAGATCCTGCCAACACCCGCATTGGCCTTGACCTTCGCCGGCACATCCGCCACGCCGATATGACCAATCAAGGAGTTCTTATACTCGGCCGCCTTGGTGAGAACAGCCTTGTCGGTCTTGGAGGTCCACGTGCCCGAGTTACTCAGGCGGTTCCATTCGCAAATGTATCCCAGATCCGAAGTACAGGCGCTGGCAGAGTCGACGGTCGGCACGTTGTAGATCAGGGCGCCACTCTCGAGCGAGGTCTGGGTCAGAGGAGTATCGACGTTGTCGAAGTAGTTGCCCTCAAGCAGCACATGGGTGTTGGTGTCGATGTCAAACGAATGTCCGCCGATGTTCTGGAAATAGTTGTTTACGCCGTGGAAGAAGATCTTCGAGTCGGTGTTGTCGGTGCCCATGTGGGGAGCGCGGCCCGAAACGTCGTGAACCCAGTTGCCCGAGAATGTGTACTGGTCGTTCTCACCGATGAGAAGCATGGTCCAGTAGTGCTTCCCGTTGCATCCAGCAGACCACTCGGTGCGACCATCGAACTCGTTGTTCGAGATGGTGACGCGACCGGCCTGGCCCCAGCCGCTGACAATTTGTTGACGGCCCGTCAGGGAGAACTGTTCCTTAGTGTCAGGGGGACTATGTCCATTGAACGTCCTTAGAATATCCATACCTTGTTGTGGTCGATCCAGACCTGGTCCGATCCGTCCAGAGTCAAGGCGTCTCCTCCCCAGACATACTGAGGGTTCAAGTTCTGCGCCGATATCAGCCATTCAATCTTTGCCCTTGCGAGAAGTCAACGCCTACCGTGATGTGAATGTTCTGAATGATCACGTTCTTGTTACCACCCCGGATACGCAATCCCTTGCCCTTGAGCACACCTTTGCTGCCAACACCGACGATGCTTTTGTTGGAGCCGACGTCCAACGGCTTGCGAGCAGCGTTGTCATAGGTGCAGGACACCCAGGTGCCATCATCGCATTTATCCTGGATCCAAGCCTGACCCTTGGAGGTGCCGCCTTCGCAGGTAGTCGTTCTGGTGCTGCAGCACTGGCCGGAGGTCGAGCCTTCGGTGCCGGCAAAGTCCCAGGTGCGGTCGATCAGAATGGTACGGGGGGTGCTGTCGGTGATCCACTCGACAAGCCTAGGATAATTAGCATCGAAATCGGATTGTGATAAAGTTATTGTGCATCATGGAAGAGCACTTACTGCTGGAGGCTGGACGGCGTGGCCGCTTGAGCATTACCACCACCGGTAGTTCCGGCGGCGAAACCCTCTGGGGTGCCTTTGACCTGGGCGTAGGCAGTCTGGGCTGCAAGGGCCAAAAGACTCGAAATGACAGCACCCTTCATGATGGCTTTTTTTTGATCGAATACTCGATTGATCTAAATTCACTGGGGTAGAGAATCCATATCACAGGGAAACCCCCTTCCTCTTTAAATACCCCAGTAGATTTTCTTCGCGACCCAAAAATAGCCCATCGAGATAAGCAGCATCCAAGACAGCCAGAGTCATGACACTAGTAGAGACAACTGACACGGCGATTTCTCCGACAAACCTCCATTCCCCTGTCAAATCATCTTCAATTGTAAGCCTTGAAATCCAAGCGAACGCAAGTAGAAACGTCGGAGAAATGCCTAGAGGAGATCGTCGTTTGACCAACCTCAACGGGCAAACTCGGCAATGGAACCCTGAGAGCCGGCGAACACCTAGATTTCGCACTAATGGCGTGCAAAAGCCAAGACATGCTGTTTCAGGAACGGCCTAACGTCCCCTGGCGTGGTTTGCGGGAATTGTCGCTTCGCCAGGCCCAGTTGCCAAGAGTTTTGGCGTGCCAAGACGTGCGATATAGATTGTTTTGCTAGGCGAGTCAGACAGAGCTGGTGGTGCAACCGACATTATTCACAAGACGTAGTTACCTCAATCTGGACTAAAAGAGGTGTTTTATATTGTGGCTCACCAGGGTACAGGGACCTGGGGTAATATTGTCCCCGCGAATCAGTTTCCTTGTCGAGTGAGGAGAGGAGGTTCTGCATGTCGGTATTCCTGGACAACACGGGGGTGGATGCTCTACTCCTCCACGGACACGGACATATATTAGTGTTCCTAGTTGCCTAGAATAGTAAAATCACCTCGCTTGGTTGGTGGCCTGTTGGTGCACACCCTTGCACAGCTCTGGAGGGTCGAAAGTGGGACTGACCGGTTTTGTTCCTGGGCCCTGGATCCACACAAGCACCAGCACTAGCATTACATCTCCATTCAGCATTGGTGGTGTGATATTCTAATCCACAAAACATCACCGAGGTGAAGGCCAAAAAATGATTGACCCTGAACAGAGAACCATTCCTATGTCAGGCACCCAGAATAAATATTTCCCATACGTTGAGTTTCTTTGCCAGCATAAAGTTTCGTACCATCGGTTCTTTAATTGTCTGACCTTGTGCTCTTGGTTTATATGCCCTAGGCTTAAAACTTTCAGACGTATTACGATACTTCTAAAAGTCGGTATCACCAGGTATATTCTTTCAATCTTCATCCCAATGCACTAGCCTATATTACCTAGGTGCTGTGTTGAGAGTGCGAAAGGCCCTGCTTGATCCAGCTATATTCATCTTTCAGGTACTTGTGCGCGCGCTAGTCTCCGGAGCGAGCGTGACCCTCGAAGTTTTCCGTATGCGCAGCTCTTCCGCACAACTGGCCGAGCTTGCCACTGGCTTCACTCGAGGTAATCTCTTGGTACGTAACAGTGCGAAGGAAATTACCCACCCATAGCTCGCTAGTGTACCGAGCTGCTTTGCGGGTAGGAAAGACCTGGGCTGTACTAATGACCTATTCGTCTGTAAGTATCATGGCATATATAAGGATCAATGCTGAATGGCCTACCTTAAGAACCCAAGTAGTCTCGCACCTCCTGCTCTATGGCAAGTTGTCATTTTAAAGCATTCATTACGACACAGTGCATTGCTTTTCGTGAAGCTCACTGTACCATTGCTTCGAGCTCATCTAGAAAAAAATGTGCCATTTCCTAAAGGCATTCATTCATACAGCTTTTCGAGTGAATGGTTTGACACGGCTTCCATCAAACCGGCACGATGCCTTGGGTTTAGATTTTCATCAGCTATAATATCATGAGAATATTATGAATAAGTTGGCTTGTAGATTGGACGTGACTACTGGTTGGGATCACTAGCCGTCAACCGAGGCGCCCTGGAAAGATTTATAAGCAGTGGTGAAGTACTTTAAGGTCCAGAATCATTGAATGTGGGGATTAATATTCAAAATAGCATAAAATCAGTCCATTGAATTACTCAAATATAACGATCTAATGTCAGAGTTTGGAATCTTTATTTTATTCTCTATTTTTATCTTCTCTTTTCCTTTTAACATTTTTTTGTTGTTCTTTTTTTTTTCTTTTCCCTCTCGAACATCACGGGAAACGGGAATGGATTTGCTCACTCTCAAAGCCCTAAAAGCCCTCAAAAGCCCACTTAGCCACCACCACTGCTCTGGTCATGATGTATCTCATCTAAAAGTCTCTCAACTATTTCTTTTTTTCTTTTAACCTTTTTTTACCTTTTCTCTTCTCTTCTAAAAATTACTAAGTATCCAAAAAAAAAAAAAAAAACACAAAACACTTTCATTTTCACAATTTCATCAAACGCCGTACGCCATGTCACAAAAGAAAGATTGTTTCAATCTGACCCTCGTTCCATAACGCCAATCATCCCATAATTCAAAAGCCAGAGGAAGCCAACTACCAGTAAACATCACATCCAGGCAGCATTTCACTCAGCAGGATGGACCAAGCTGAGCTCTTTGTGAAGGACTTATCAGGTGAAGGAGGCGAAGAGCTCCGACGGTGAGCATAGGTCGGCTTGGTCACTCCCTCGACGGACTTCAGTGGTGGGCTGATGCGGTATCGAGGGGGCACCCATGGCGAATTTTTGGCTGGAGGCACATCCTCGGGCTCTTGCGGCGCCCGGTCCTGGTTCACTGGATATGTCGGGATCAAAGGCGACCGTGCGGGTCCTGGAGGCGTTGGCAGACGGCCCCTTGGCAGCGAAGAATAGGTTTCTTCACTGGCGCCGAAGACCAAGGTTCCCTCGCTGGGGGCCTGGGCGATATTCTTCCGCCGAGCGTCCCTGAGAGATTGGATCCATTCGGTGAATTCACTATAGCGTTTCTTGGGAGCTTGGGGCGCGGCGTGAAGGGGCATACTCCACTCTTCAATGAACGCCTGAAGCTTAGCTTCTGGCTCACTCCGGACACCCTTCGGGGCTATCATGGGATTATCCGTGGTTTTGCCCTTGGGGGTGGTGTCACTGCCCTGGCGTTTAGGCCCCCAAAACATTCCATAGTTGTAGGAATCGAAATAGGGTTGCATCACTGGGTACTCTTTGGACGGCTCTTTGGATGCTTCCGCGTCGGTATTATCCATGCTGTCCTCGTCTTCATTGCGCAAGATATCGTCCGAGTTCGAGTCCGAGTCCGAGTCATCACTGAAATAGGAGACCTCGCGACCAACACGGGATCCTTGGCCAGACTCCCTGTCGTCAGAGGGGTCAATGAGCTCGAAGTCATCGCAGTCAAGATTACTCTCCTCACTGCCAGTGGGCGTCAGTTCCTGATTAGAAACAGGGGACTGGTAGAAATCCGCGGCCTTGTTGGGAAACTTGACAACAGGCGACTCGTCGGGCATCTCTTCCCAAGGCTCATAGGTGAAATCAATCTGACGCGTTCCGAAGGGGCTCTGAGCGTCGTCGAAATCCACAGGATCACTCCTTGGCTTTGTATATTCCGGGACCTTGAATCTGGGGGACGGAAGAGGTGTCCGCTCACTGATTGCATCATCCTGGGCGTTCGACAACTCAGGGGAAGGGGTCACCCGAGGAGCAACGCACGCGTCAGTGTCGACAGGGATGTTGGTGATGATGGGCGCAGGCCTTTTTCTCTGTCGCTTTGCTAGCGGCTCAGCCTCTTGTTCATTCTTCAACTTAGTATATCATCCATTCGCTGTTCGAAAGTAGGAGACTGCAACTGAACAGGAGACGGATTCGGTACTCTAGAAGGATTTTCAAAGGCACAATCAGTCAAAAACGGGTCACCGGCGTTGGGCTCACTCAGGAAAGCCAAAGAGTCAGAGGGCGTGACAGGGGCACAGGACTCCTTTGCTGGTTTGAGGGGGTCGATCTCGCGGGAGGCGCTCAGTTCCACAGGAGAATGCTGAGGAGATTCGACGCACGATGGGGAAGCCTGAAGCTCAGAGGGGTCCACATACAAGGGGGCATTTCCTGCGTCCATCTTCCGCTGGCCGTCGTCGCTGCCGACACTTGCGCAACTCGGTTCATAGGAGAAGTCCATCGGAAGGCACCTGTGAAGCACACATCTCATAGTCGAGAGGGCTCTTTCCGCGACACTGCCCAGGTTGACGGGCGCAGTGCCACTGAAAGGGTATCCTTTGGACACCAAATCCGTACCTTCAAGCTCGGTATATTGCCAGTCACTATCATCAGGTGGGTTACGTCCAACGCTTGGCTCAGCCTTACACTTGCCACAGTCATTGGCATCATTACCAAAGACGAGGTCATGGGTGAACACGGACTTTTCGCAGTACATCTCGCTCTTATGCTGGCGCATAGACACGAGGATGTCGGGGCAGCTCTCCATGCCAAAGGTGGCAATGTGGCCGCAGCCAGGGTAGTGATGAAACTTGTATCGACACATGTTGACTGAACGTAGCTGTTATCTCCTCTCACCGTACCAGCTGGTCAACAGTTAGTATGGTGATTGGAAAACTTGATGCGAACTTGCGGCTTGAGTGGTCCAGGAACAAGCGATGAAAGCTTACCAGAAGCCTGAGCACTTGTTTCAGTTGACTGTGAACAACCGAAGCCGCTGGGGATAAATTCTAGAATACTCGAGGAATTCGGGGGATATTTATAAATATGCGATCTAGGACTTCCCCTGGACAATTCCGGTTCAGACAATGTGATTGTATCGATATAGAGGAGAGTCGCGGTTCTTTGTTGACTATTTCCGGCATATGCCACAAAGCCGTGTCCTTTGCGCTGGAATTTCCACTTGGACGCACACAAAGATCACAGCATATGGACAGCAGCTATTGACTCTTTGATTGCTCCGGAGACTCTCGCAATCCGGTCAGGTACCGAGTGCCGGAATCCAACAACCACCACGCCGCACACTCGTGCAAGAATTTCAGCACTGGTCTCTCCAACGGTAGCGTTGCCTGTTTCTTGTTCTCTTTCGCTTTCTGAGTCCACATCGCCGTCTCGTTGCAGTAAACCACCTCGTCCTCTTCCTCCCAGTACCGAATCGCCAGTCTGCCTTCAATAGGGCCCTTGGCGTCAATCGCGAAGACTACTTTGTTGTCCTCGCGCTCGCATACCCGGTATATCCCATTAACCACGTCTCCTACCTGAAACCTGAGAGACTGTATATGCGATTCGCAAAACGTACATTTCCTCTCCGGCGTCGCGATCAAATGCAAAATATACGCTTGCGGGAAGTACGCAAACGCGGTCATATTCCGGCGAAGAAGGAGCACAAAGAGCTCTGAGAGATCTTGCGAGGGAAGATCCCGTCGTGATACTCGAGAAGCAACTCGGTCGTGGAAACAATGAAACTCGTCTGAGAAGACTGCGTCTGGAATCGATGTAATCGTGTTCCGGAGAGTCTCGGGAAAAGCACCCTGGCGATGTTCATGAGAAACTCGCTTGCTGAGAGACTTGTGGAATCGGTAGACGGACAATGCGACCCCAGAAGACAACAGGATGGACCATCCAAGCAAGGAGGGCATCGTGGTGGTTTCTAGCTCTGATTTTGCTGATCAGACTCGTGTTGATGTTGTAACAGGGTGTCGTTCTGTCGTAGCGGCAAAAGAAAAGCATATAAACTTCGGCTTCTGTTGAGACCAGGTGTTCAAAGAAAACAGTCAATCGTGTAGTGCTGATCAGCGGGTCTTTATATGCTCTGTGTACTGGGACCTCGTATTCGACTCTTGGCTTTGGCGCAAGTGACTTTGCGAGTACGAGCGCTTCTTTTGGGCTGTATGACGTCACTGATCTGAACCTATATCGCATTTTCTTTGCTAATCCCAACCATGACTATGCGCACTCCTCTTGGTATCATGCAGGGTTTTATCGTGCAGGTGGAAAGGGCGATCTTGAATGACCTTTACGATCTACAACATAGAATCAATCACGAGCAAGAAATTTCATGTTAGCGAATAAATTAATCGAGCAGCAACCACCTAAACCATCCAAATTGAATACTCCTGAACTCCAAATTCATTATCAATCTCAGCCATAACACCCATGACAAAGGCAGAGACAAGACTGCATAGATCAGGTATAGCTTCATGATCACCTTGTCCACATCCACTCCTAATCTGTCAATCCATGACCATTCCCCTGGAGATCTCTTCATTATCGACCTCCCTCAATTACCGACTCTGTCCCCCTTCGGTTACACCTGCTCGACCTCCACCGCTGCTTTCTTCGCCTTCCTTGCCATCCACTGTCGATATAGGAAGAGCGATACGATTCCGAATCCGACGATGAACACGATGCAGAAGACCAGCACCACGCCGGGGTTCCTGCTGGCCCAGTTGCTTCGCTTGGTGATTGCGCTGATTGTTTCCGCGTCCGGGAGTTTTGATACGGCCATGATCTGCTTTTCTCGCTTCCTAGTTTGTTCGAGAGATGTTAGCTTTGGGTCCTTTTTCGCGGTTGAGGCAACGTTATTTAAAGGCAAGAGTACTCACGAAGAGACGAGGTAGGGGGTATAATATAGAGTAAGGATGTGTCTGCGACTTATCCGGTGGTTGCGCCCGGGTGAAAAAGGTACATAAAAGAACGAAAACCAGCTCTCTTAAGGGTGAGGACACAAAAAATACAATCTCAGCACCAGTATCACTCTCTAAATACACGCCCACTGCGGCAGTCCAGCGAGGCAGCGGCACCCAAACCACGAGCAAGTGACCGGGGACGAAGAGCACAAGGGCAGTTGAAGTGGTGTATAGGAGAGGACGAGGATACTCCGGCTAGGCTACTAGCCCTGTATCCAGATGTGTCGGGAGCAGCGGAAAGGAAGGATGAAAGTCGATATCCATGACGTGCAAGAGAGGAGTGTATGCCACGTCGCCTCGGGTCGCTGGTCTGGGGTCGGTCTGTCAAAGAGGGGTGAAAATCCTGGATCCGGCGGCAGCCACGGAATGAGGACGGAAGTTTATTGTGTCGTGTAACTTGTATATGTGGTTTGAGACCATGGTCAGTTGTCTTTCCTTTCTTCGTGCTGGCGTCGTGGATTAATCGTGTCATAAGATAGAAGTAGATCAGGCGGATATGTTTGTCAGCCCGGCGATGTTTGAAACCCAGCACCATTTACCCAAACCCCAATATATATTTCAAGAACTTCCTTCACCACATTGGAAATATACAACCCCCATCCCTGTCAGTCGAGACAAGGTTTACTGATCCGCCCGTCCCGTCGGCGTCACCACTCGATCATATCCGCCGGTTATAGTGGACCATGACATGTTCGAATTTCTATCAGGTCAGACGAGGTCATATATCAAGCATTTATTAAAGGCTGATCTGCAGGAGAAATTGGAATTGACATGCACGATGTCAGATAGGGTTGGAAGCCCAGTAGGGATAGAGCTTCACCCTCAGGTATAAAACTAGTGACGTCATACATCACGACAGATTAGATAATCAGTGCATCACATTGTTGAAACAAGGAAGTAATTTTTTGACGGGGTGTATTCAAGTTATGGATATTTCATAGTAATACTGCTGCTTCAAGAGACGTATAGAAAGGCTGCACATTTTTGAATGGTAAGAGTATGCGATCATTCGACAGCTGTTCTTGTCAACCAGGATCATGTATATCATCTAGATCTACGACCTTCATAAGTTAGTATCCATGCCGTATTTCTAAATCATTTCCTTAGTTCTGCTCTTGGTGCTCCAGCTCTTAGCAGAGCTAGCAATGCACAGCTAAACTTTATGTTCGAAGAAGATACTCTTCGCGGTCCCTTCAGTGGCATCAGCACACAACATAGATTGCCTTGTGCTGCTATCATATTTCCATATAATCTGCCTCATCTTACAGTCAGCCTCGTTTCTCCCTATTATAATTGTACAATAATTGTACAATCATGTGTCAAAAACTATTACCCCATCATGCTGATACATGCCTTATCCCATATTAGCCCGATCAGATCTGTACATGTATAGCCATCACACGTAACGTTGCGTGCATCGACAGCCTACTTAGCTGATCCTTGAGAATCCCTTCGTTCATCCTCTTCGTGTCTATTGTCACCTCCAATTTCCTGCAAACTCTCCCTACTCTCCAGTCCCGCCCTATTCTTATCCTCCTTCTTAACAGATTTCCAATCCAGCACGACGGCCCCCAAAAACCCGATCGCCCCAAGCGCAACCGCAATGTAAAACGTCTTCATGATAGCTTGATTATAACCCCAAAGCACCACATCCACCATCTCGTTGGGGACCTTCTCCCACGGCACACTAGCGCCCTGCATCACAATCTCACTCGACAACCGGCCACCTAGCATACTCAACTCCGACGACAGATGCGTGTGGAAGACAGTCTCCGACACTGCTAGCGTCACGGCTCCTGCGAGAAGCTGCACGAATGATACCATTGTAATGGCCATCACGCTGTCTTGTGGCTTTACGGCAACCTGCGCCACCATGAAGGCGTTCTGGGTGCCGAGGCCGGCTCCTGCCGCCATGATGACCTGGTAGCCGAGCCAGGAGGCTGTGCCGGAGGTGGGTTTCAGAGTGGAGAGGAGGCCCGCTCCGATACTGAAGAGGATGGGGGACAGGATGATGAAGGGCGTGTAGTAGCCGATTAAGGTGACTAGGGTGCCGCCGATGAGCGAGAAGACGACCATTCCCAGCTCGGTGGGAAGGATCATGAGGCCGGAGTGTGTGGCGGACACGTTTTTGATGGATTGGAACCATATCGGGAGCTGGTTTGCTGTTAGCTTTCTGGCTGTGTTTCTAGGACTTGGCTGCAGAGAAAACGTACGTAATATACCATAACGAACAACGCGCCCATCACACATGCCACGTACCACAGTCCGCCGATGATGTTGCGGTTACGGAGAATGCGAAGGGGCACGGTGGCTCTCTCTTCCTTTGACCAGACCTGAACGGCGGAGAAGGCTAGCAGGAGCACGCCTGACAGGACGAACAAGAGGATAATGCGCCAGCTGTTCCACGGGAAGTCGGATCCACCCCACTGGATTGCGAGCAGTAAGGTCACCACGCCGGGGATGAAGAGCAGGGTGCCGAGGGGGTCCATCCGCTTGGTCTTCTCCTTGAAGTCGAGATGCCGCAGGGAGGGCGTTTTGGGCGAAAGGAAAATCAGAATGCCGATGAAGGTGATTGCTCCGCAGGGCAGATTGACCCAGAAGCACCACCGCCATGTCGCGTGGTCTGTAAAAGCGCCTCCTAATCTTCATTGTTTGACGCGTCAGCATAGAGTTGGAGAGTTAGGGCTCTGGATGTACTCACGGCGGTCCCGCAGCGCTGGTGATGCCCCGTACACTTCCCAAACAACTAATGAAGAGCGGGCGTTTCCGCAAGGGAACAATATAGAGAACAATAACGATCGCGCCCGAGTCAATACTAGAAGCCCCTATACCCGCCACACATCGTCCGATAATCAAAGCCACCGATGACGGAGCCACGCCGCAAATCAATGACCCAAGCTCGAAGAGAGCCAACCCGGATAGGAAGACCCATTTGGCGGGATAGAACATGTATAACTTTCCCCAGAGCATTTTCGTCGCGCACATTGTAAGCATGAACGAGCTGCTGTACCAGCCGATGTCGTTGAGGGAGTGGAATTCATCGGTGATTCGTGGGATAGCTGTCGCCAGAATGGTTTGATCCTAGATCATGACCGATGTCAGTAGGTCTTTTCATCATGTATAGATGGGGATGGGATATCGAATGTACCGACCAGACAGACACAGAAAAAGCTGAGAAGCAGTGTAGCGGTTAACAATATCGCCTCCCATAATGGCGGATACTCATGCTCGTCCTGATCGTTCTCTGTAAACTCACCAGACCGATCTAATGTGATATCTGGTGCTACTGCTTCCTTCCCCTGTTGGGTCATGTTCAATATTCTTCCTGGGCCGGAAGATCGAGCTCTTGTGTTGAGTATTTTGTTGGAATTGGGGAAAGGGGCTGTCACTGGAAAGATAACGGTTATTATCTGTATCTTGATTGTCACGCAAGGGTGATCCAGGAGGGAATCTAAACAATCTAGGGGTTGGGGTTGAATCAAGGGGTTGCTAAACCCATCACAACATACATGTGCGTCTCTCCTTCCTCGTCGCTTTGTTGTTGGGCCCTTATGTTCGCTTCATCTAGAGAGTTTAGTTTCCAATTCACAGCTTCTATTAACTATACATGAATCTTTTTGTTGTTGAATATTCAAATAAGACTTCGGCTCACGGCCATTGTAGCTGGCCAGATTCTATATCATGTCAATGAATTGGAAGTTTGAGAGCGAACAAACACCAGCCTCGCTTTAGTCTGCTAAGGGGAAGCCTCTTCATATCCATTAAAAATAAATTAGTGGGGAATCATGGGGAGTGTCAACGATTGTGATGCAAGATCTATCCGATCTACCTTCATAAGTGGTGTTAGCCTTTCCAACAATAGCCTTCGTCAGTTGTGTAGTGTCCGACCTCCTCACTTTATCCCTTGGTTCACGTATAAAGTCGCCTTCCACTGTACAGTCATTATTATTCCTAGAAGCTGGATGAGATGCTATCGCTGTGCGTGCTTTATGCTGCTTTTTTATCCTTTCGTTTTGGTCTCTAATATGATGAGCCTCAGTCTACATAGATTCGTCAAGGGATTCAAAGCCTATACATGTAATTTACCCTTCTTCATAAAGAATTGAATTACCGTCATCATTTAAACACGCCTTTTCATACATAATTTCTTGCCTAATTTGGCTTTCATGAATTCCCAAAGTACAACACGCCTTGCTGGTTATCTCAGGCCGCAATCTCCTACAAATTCCAGAAATAAATGAAGAAATTCCAGGGCAGGGTCTAATTCATGCCCTAGTGTTTTCTCTCCCTTGCTATGTCGACAATATCCACCGAAGGCATGATAGTCCCGGGCTCCTAAAGCACGTGGCACTCGACTTACGTCTAAAACAACAGATCCCAAACGGCCCCAGAAGATCTTAAGCAACGACCCCAAATCTCGAGTGAGAAACCAAGAAACTAAATCCCGTCCTGCTCGTATTCGCCCACCCACCACCAATCAGTCCCCCGTGCGACGTTCCATCCTGCAGAGCCCAGAGATTTAGATGAACAATCAGATTTTCTCCAGTCTCTCCTCCCCACTCGCCTTCTCCCGACAAGGCTCGGGCCTTGAGCCAGGCCAATGATGTCCAACTTGCCCTGGATTTCAGAGTCCTGTGTACCCTCCTGAGCCGCAACTCGTTCCTTCTCTGGAAATAAAACATTGACTAATCGCTGGGATCGATACGACCGGCTGGCTTTATGATGAATCTGACAGGGGAAGACATCATGCTCGGCTGTCTAGCCCGCAATGATTCCTGCATCTGGGGCCTATTCCCCACTCCTTCCCCCCCCCCTGAGCCTGACCAGGTTAGGTCAATCTGGTAGAATATATTGGCATGACCTGCCATTCCCCACTCTGTGCTTAAGATCTCCCGGTATTCAACTGATGCAGTGTGAGTGGCATCTCGACGTCGCTTTTTCCCTTCCCCCCATCTGCGCATCTGCGCCGGCGCCTATATCTCTATCTGGATCTATACCTCCATTTCCAAGATGATCCCTGCATCGCTCTCCTTCTCCCTTATCACACTCATCCTCCTCCTCACCAAAACCGCCCACTCCTGGACCTTCGTCTGGCGTAACGAATCCGGCCCCAACGTCGTCCACGAATCCAAACCCGCCAAATGCGTCCGCATCTACCACGAAAAAGGCGAGGAGTTCTCCTGGGACCCCGAAGGCGCCTGGTGTCTTCGGATCTGGGGCGAGGCCGCATGCGAGAATATGATCGGGTGGGAATGCGAACACACGCAGTGGCGCAAATCGGCGTCGAGGAATCTCTCGGCGTATGATGTCTATGTTATGCCGAAGGATGTCCAGGAGGAGTTTATTACGGAGACAAGGACGAGTTCGAGTTCGAGTGAGACGGGGACGACAAGTGATAGACAGGCTAGTACGACTGCGGACTCTAGCTCCGCGACGAGGACGGGGGTCTCGACACCGACACCGACACCGACGAGCGATGCGGATTCCGACGATGATTCGGGTGGAGGATCATTGTCGGGCGGCGCGATCGCAGGAATCGTGATAGGCGCTGTAGCAGGTGTTTCTGTCCTCGCGACGTTGTTTTTCCTCTGGGGCCGACGGAAACCTCGATCGATTGATGAATCTGGCGCGGGCGTGGCGTCGGATACAGCACCGCAGGAGACACACGCAGGTTCTCGCTCTGGCCATCCTCCTGGTTCTGGATATGGGTATTCACATGGCGGTGCAACGGGCTCGTCGAACGGCCCGCAAATGACGGAGGCGACGACACTGGTGGCCTCGTCTGATGGGGCCTCGAGATATGCAGATGGTGCTCAAGCGTATCGTCCGCCTGGTACGGGCCTGCCGGTTGAGTTGCCCGGGGAGATGGGAGGTGTGGAATTGAGTAATTCGAGGCAGTTGATGGAGATGGATGGGGAAGGGTATGTGAAGCGGTCGAGTTCGATTGCAAAGGAATAGTTGACGGTTTTGACCTGTTGGGTTTGTATATATTCAGCGTCGGGATGGATGGCGCTCATAGGGTTCTGTTACTCAAGTATGTAATGTTTAGATACCATCTAGCTTAATGATATCGTTGGTCTTCTCTCTCGCTTCCCTTTCTAGTCTTGGTCTTATTCAGCCAAACATGATAATGCGACCGTAATCTTATCATCTCGATCTAACCCGAAAGCCCATTGCATCCATATAAACACATAATCAATCAATCAAATGGTATCACACGCACATAAAAGCCTCTCAAAATACCAAACTCCCAGCTCCCAATGATCTAACTCCTCACTCCCTCACAGTCTGATGTACCTCGGTCCTTCCGCTCGCATGATACGTCGCCAGCATAGTTCCGCACTTGCCACAGAAATGATTAACATCTTTCAGCGAGGAAAGTAGGTAAGGAATGCATCCTAGACAAAAGCAGCAGCAGATGACGGCCGCCCATCCACTTTATCATCGTTAGCCAGTCTTCTAATCAAATCCACCCAGCTCCCATTGTAATACATACTGCGTCGTATTTCCCGATTCGGCCTCCACGCGTGTCATTTCCCGATAGCTGCAGACCGGACAATCAACCGGGGCTGGTCCCCGTTGGAGGGTGTGAAGTGGCGATGATGTGTTGTAACCACTCGGGTGCGGCATGCCGGGCTGCCAGACTGGGGGCTGCATGGGAGGAGCCATGTGTGCGGTTGGGGGGTGGATAGGAGTAGGTTGTTGGAATTCAGGTTGGGAGCGAGGTTGATTTTCGTAGAGAGGGACAGGAGCTGTCAAGATGGCATGTTAGAAAGGCAAAGCAAGGAATGGGTGAGTAGGAGGTAAGACGTACTGGAGCAGACTTTTTCGTCGTGTGACATCTTGAAGTACTCGACTTTATTGTTGGTTTAAAAGGTTGGAATCGTACTGTGCAGATTGGTGGTAGAGAATCCAAGGACGGACAAAGGGGGTGAGAACTATATGCGTATGATGATATCGGCCATCAAAGAAAGCTACACGGACGGCAAGGGATACTTATACCCAACGTCAAGTTGGCAACACCCCTATCTGTCACCGTGTCACGGCCACAGCCCCAGACCCTCGAGATCCATGGCCCCATGGGTCTCGTCGTCTCTAGATCCGCGATCGCGTCCAATAACATCCACCTGCCACACGAGCCATGATCTAATAGCATCGCCCAGCCAGTTATGGAAGGCTTGGGAACAGTCAGGGACGAGGATCGCATCCACTGATGGACATGCCAAGGAAGCCTTAATGCCAACAGTAAGAGTTTCACACGAGGCTCGCACGAGCTCCGCCCTGGAAGCGGAGCTTTTTGGCCCCCAGAGCCGCGACAGAGCCACGATGTTTTGTGACTTTTGTCCGTTGAGCCGTAGGGCGCGTCGATCCCTTCCTCAGGGGGTGACATCTCGCGAGGCGTTGTTCTTTATCGCTCATTCTGTTTCATGTTGCAATGCGCCCGGAAGGTTCCCTTCGTGGAACATGGAACTACTGTGTACGTGTGAATTGTACTTTGCATCAGGGGCTTGGCTGACCGATATTTAATTTCCCTTCATTTTAAATTTAAATTGAAGGTCAAGAGAACAGGATGCCGTTAGGTGCTTACTAGACCCGTGCCGACTAACCCATAACAGTTAATGATCTTCACCTCCTGGCAGTAGATTGATATCATCAGACTTTCGTGGCTCCTTTCGCTCTCATTTTCCGCAGTTGCGGAGAACGTCGAAGGCCATGAACCAAGCTGTGGTCCACCAAGCGCGATCTCATACCTCGATACAGTAGCAACGCAGATCATTACTTCATTTGAAAAACCATCAGCGGGTTAAAGAATTGGTGGGTTTCATAGATCATTTCACGCCTATGGAGTAACGAGTTTGAGATTTAATTCCCAGCAAAAGGCAGCAAACAGGTGAGGCATTGATGCCTGTTCGGGAGCTCTATTGGCTGGTTGGAAAGACATCAAGTGCCCGTGTTATCAAGAAAAGTGAGTTCTTTGCAAAACATCAGATCAAGGGCATTGATTTGAATCGCATTTCCTCGCCGAAGATGACGATTTTAAGCTTCTTTGCGCCCTCAATCTGTCGTTTTCGATCAGCAACTATCTCAGGGAATCTAGTATTGAAGCATGATGCGATAGGCTCACTTACCTGTGCGGCGAAACCTCACGTTTCACTGGTCACAGCAGAGACCGACCAGCCAGCAAGAGGAGAGACCCATAGCACCGTATCCCTTAAGGCTTCCCTCGAGGCCATTGTCTTGAACCAGCACCCCCCGCACCCCCGATGGTTCAGATTGCTGTAATAGCATCTTGGAACCGTGCATAGGGGGTGCGGGCTTCGCGAAGCGAAGGCACATTGCCTCCCATTTCCGCAATGACGGAAACTGTCTGTGCCCCAATCATCAACCGGCGAAACAAAGTAGCGCAAGTGACTACACCCCCCGTACATGGAGTGACAAGTGCACGACTGACTCAGAAATGCATACAAAATATCAGTATTAGATCGCCTTCATGAGTTGGAGACAGAGAGACAGATCGGGGCTGAACTCACCAAGGGTTTCTCAATCCGAGTGAGTTTCGCCAACGCATCTAGGTGTCAAGGCAGGATGCTTCAGAAGGACCCTCACGCAGGGTATATTCATTCTCAGGCGGCAGCTAGACGGTAGGCATTGTATTTTGGCGCTTGCTGTCTAGTCAGGATAATTGTTTAGCAAGTCCGCTGTCTGTGTGATCAGATGAGGGTTTCGTACCTTTTTGATTTTCAGCGTGGGGCGTCTGGCTGGGGCGGTTGTCTCCGCTGGGTAGGACCCTTGATTATGAATCTAGCGATAGTATTGCGATGACCGGAGGGTGGCATTCTGGTTCTCTTCAAGGTGGTTGATGACAACAGAAAACCAGAGGGTGGGAAGAGATGTAAAGACTGAGAGAGGGAGAAAGTGAGAGAAAAGGAAGGTACCAACTGGGTGGACCACGCAGTAGCCTTAGGCCAACAAGAGGGTGTGGGAATTCATTCACTCATTCCACTACACACTCTTAACCAACAAGATCACATTCCTCTCTGTCAATTGAACTCTTCCTAGAAATTCCCACCTAATGCGGAAGGCTGCTCCCAACAAAAAGACGACGTCGAACTTATCCTGCTACTCTCAACCAAACAGACCCGGCCCGGCCTTCACTACATCGCAGAAAGAAACATCGTGGGCTACTTCAGGTAATTGTATCAATTATCTCGGCTCTTTCTATTGATATTTTCCCAGTACTAAAATCAGCGTAACTCCCAACTGAAGCCACTCAAGCCCAAACTTATAGAGAAGTCAATCAGTTACAAGATAAATACCGCGTGGATCAGATGTTAAGGATAGGTCGTTCGCAATTTCATCCATAGGAGATCGAAACAGCTGATGCCTTGTTGAACGCTCTCCAGTCCTGCGGTGATAACTCACGTCTTCTGAAATCCTAGCCTCGAAAAATTGGAATTTTCTTTGACAGTCTGTGGCTCTGGATTCGAAACCCGTATGTTTGCAGGCTTTGAGCATGCCTTCTGGTTCCGGACCAGGTTTTCAGACTCGCGAGAATTCGATAAAAGCGATATAGGTTCAACGATGACAGATAAATGCTGGAGTAGCTGGTAAAAACGGCAACTCGGACCACAGATTCATAGCTCATGGTGTTTCCGTATTTCCACACCAGGTTATCGTTTTCTGGGCAGCGCTTTGCCGAGCGTACCCGTTCATTCATCTAGGATCAGCCACAGGTGTCGCTCCCTTCCTAGATTCTGACGTACACTTGAGACGCCAATACTAACCACGACCTCCTTTGACACAAACCCAGCCGTGGCGCTGCGCAAATCTCATAACCGCCACAGTAATACAGGTGTTCCTAGCCAAGCGCGACGGTATGACATCTCAGTTGACTCAGCGAATGGTAATCTTCTGGACGCAGAGCCAAGAACAGAGATGTGCGAAAAGCGCGGGAGGACGACACCGGGAAGAGACTCACTGAGCCTTCTCCATTATATGTTCATCTGTCACGGGGATTGCGGATGATAGAGCAGCGCCTTGAATGCTAGGACAAAGTCGCTAATGCACCAGACCCCACGCACAGAGCTGCCAAACCACATCCCACCTCTATGCCTTTCTAATCCAGGACCAGATGTGGCCGGTACTTGGAAACGTTGTTCCTAATACTCCGACATCTTTAATTGGGGAAAGACATCGTTAGAGGGCTTTGCTGAGCATTCAAAACACTTGCTGTAATCCGTTTCCGACACACGAAATATTGCTCGGGTTGGAGTACCTCTGACACCTGAGAGGCTTTGTTCAAGATCTCCATAATGATGCACGGGCTGGCGGAATTGTAGTTGGACTCACTTGTAGGGATATCGTATGTTCTTCGGCTTTTCGAATTGGGCCCCATGATACGCTTTCAACTGCGCGAAGGCCCAGGATCTAGGTTGGAATAAGGACCGGGACAGGATGGGTTAAGAGAGGGAGCAGAAGATAGGCCTTGAGATGGCTAAATGTGTGTCGTTATTGGAAGGACCAGATAGTAGGCTCCGGATGTGTTGCTCCGGATGAATGCCTGTGTGATGTAGCCGTATCATAACAACAAAAGTTGGGAAATGCACGAAAGACGGATGCTTGATGAGGTGCCGTTTGGTAGCAAGAATGAACAAATACATCGGTGAGGCGGATCGCGGGGTGAACTTTTGGACCTGTGGGTATTTCTGATCTCCCATCTTCATGAAAGAATTGATATGCCTGGCGAGATCGGGTAGACTGTATCACGCGATCGAGTTCATTTTCATCAATAGCAAGTCGCCGCCTCGCATGCCCAGAAGCTGGGAGCTATGTTTTCTTGTTCGCTTGGGCCGGTGCAGTGCCTAATTTACGACCCTGAATCGACTGGTGGCTTCCTGCGCGTACAAGCTGCGGGCTCCTTCTATGAATTGCGCTTCCGTTCTTGGGCCGCGATCGCACAGACAGGAGGGCACTCGTGTTCGTGGCTGTGCTGCTTCTGGTTGAGCAGAAACCCCACGAGTTGATCGGGAACCGTGCATGCTGGTTGATTTTCCCACGGAGTAGAAACGGTGCAGGTTCTCCAGAGCATAATGCCGCACTGCAATATCGTCGAAGAGGACACAGTGCATTGACCAGGCAATAGGGGTAGACAACCATATTTTTCACGAGATCCTTGATGCCCGAAAGGAAGAGCAACCCAAAACTTACACTGGCTCCCCTGAGTTTCGAAACCACTAAAGTAGCCGGGGTGATTCTCCCAGTCGCTGTGACCCCACAGGACCTCCATTCCAAGTCCACTAGCAAGGTCTATGTTCGACGCAAGCTCCTCTTTCCAGTACGCTAGAAGCCCCTTTGGCGCAATCACCAATATTATCCCCTGCACATGTGGCTCCATTTTGCGTGCTGGGCTTTCAGGATGACAGGATCACCAAATCTTCCGCGCTCCTTGGCTCGGACACTGCACTGAATGACCCCGTTGGTTTGACCGTTTCTTCCAGCTCCTGATCATTATACATGCTGTATATTTCGCCGAATGTATCGGCTAATCACGATCAGGCCCGATACTGGCACCGTCTAAGGAATGATACGTCAGATCAGGGCTGTGTAGGAGGGAACAAGAGGCTCCTGATCCCTGTCCGAGCGACACATTCTTTCCTCAGCCCTTCCTGTGATGGGATCGTGGGGCGGACATAACAAGTCGAGAAATATTGCGCAGGAGGATACTGCACAACAAGTGATTTGCTCAAATCTCCTTTCAGGGAAACATGGTCACCACACGTGTCATTCTCCGTGTTGCGCAAATGTCATATTCAAAATTCGGTCTATAGCCGTTGTCCTGCGGCTTCTCAGGATTGTTTGTATAAGGACATCTAAAAGAGCCGACTGGTTCTGCGGTATCCGGCAGAGTTCTGCCAATCTACCAAAGAACCGCTGGCGCGGTTAATCTTCCGGTTTCATGGTTGCAAAATACCATGTGGGCCGTCATGTGGTTTGGAGGATAATGCTGGCTTGGAAAGAGCGATAGTCTGAGGTGTGAGTGTAGGTGACAGTTGTGGCAAGCGTACCGTGACTTCGAGTATCCTCCTAGAAAGACCATCGGAGGCGAGTATGATTGTACTGTTGAAATGAACAGATCGAACAGATTATTGCCAAAATATCGACATCAAGACATTGGCAGCTGATTTGTGAAGCAAGACTCCGTCAGCTCACATGGACTTTCTTCGGACAGCAGAAACAGAAGTCACAGACTATCATTCCATCCTCTGTAGCGAAGCCGGTTGATGAATGTTTGGACTCCCGCCAAATCCGGATGTATGAAGCCTGAATGGAAGTGCAAGCTTCAGCGAAACCATGACCCAGAATCTCTTGGCTAAACTGTTACTTGCTGCTCATTCAGGGCGGCGATACCGAAATCAATCATAAGTTGGTGACTGTGCCAAAGTCGATACCGACGTTGCGTCAGTCAAAGCTTATCATAGGCGACAGATCGTGGACTATGCTGAACCTGTTCAATGTTGTCAGCTTTCACGGTGGATTGTATGAATCGGGCAGCTCATACTTGTCACGAGCGCAGCTCATCTCATTGACGTCCTTTAAGAACAAAGACTGGGCTTAGACTTGATCCAGACGATTGTACTTCCAGGTGAAAGGTCTCCGTTCCAACTCTCAATGTCTCCAGTTTCTCTATTCGCTCTGTTCACGCCACCGATTCGGGACCCGACGAGATCAAGAACACGCCAACATTGTCGGTTGAATATTCTCTGTCTCTGACCAGTCTTTTAAAGTTGACGTTTATCCATTTGTCCGTCGAGAAACCCCTCGGGCATTCTTCCAAAGAGACTCGATAACATAGGCCTCCGTCTCCTCGGTTGTGGCCGTCTTTAGACTCGAAACAGGCCACAAATGAGTCGCAGTCAGATAAAACATTCCAGGCAGTATAGGACTCGGGATCTCTCGAGAGGTGTTGCAACATGGAGATAATAGCAGCCGAACCTGCCGAGTTGGAGAAACCTTCTTCTTTGGCCCATATGTCGTGTGGCCTTGGTGTAGTATTGCGACTCAAGGAATTCCAAATCATAAGCGAAGAGCCAATACAGTTGAGCTGTATTCTAATAAAGGGTGGTGATTCGAAGCAATCTGGGAGCTGATCGAGACAAACAGATCTGATGAAATCAAGTTCAAGATGAGATTCCAAGGCTATTGTTTGCTTTCAGAAATCTCTCTAGCACCGCAATTCGTCACAGCTTGAAGGACACCGTTGGATGTATAGCACTGGTTGTTGGGAATTGAATGCTACATAGCATTCACAAACAATGACGGCTGAGTCCGCCAGCAAGGCATTCTTGTCCATTGACGCTGGGAAAATGCAACACAGGCGTCGTGCAGTGGAGATTAACTCAGCACGATCGGATGGAGCAGACACAGGAGGAAGATCACAAAGTCAATGTCCTCTGAACAACTGTCCTTTGCGTCCTTTTTGTTACAATTCACTTATCCACAATGCGTGAACTGCGCGGAAGACAACTCAGTCGCCAACTCACTTAAGATTCGTCACGGAACCTTCGAAATCCGCGCTCAGGTTGTAACTCATTCAAGACCGGACAATGGTGCACCGTTTGCGTCTCAGGATCTCAAACTCAAACATCAGCCAATTTGCGTATTCCGGGCCTTTTCCCGGCAATGAATCTGGCAGGGATAAATTCTCGAGGTTGGCAAACCGGTTCCTTATTCGAAGTGTAGCTTATCAGCGGGAAAAAAAAGTCGGAAAGTCCGTTCGTGGCATGATTTTGACAAGACAGTGAAGTAGCAAATGTTCTAAGGACGGGCAGGCCCAGGAATTCACACATTCGTGGATAAACGAATGCATAATCACACCCCGAAAACAGTGGCTCTGGGACTCTGGCACTTCTCGCACTTCTCGCACTTCTCGCACTTCTGACACTTCTGGCACGGTCTCCATCTAAGCTGGAATACTGCAGTGTTCAGTGTTCCTGGGTATCTCTTAGCCCTGTGGAAACCGCGGCGAGACTGAAAGTGCCGAACAATTCGTGCGGGACATATGTCGATTTGACACCCCGTGTCGATATTCAAAACCTCCCCAAAGACCGCCGCATTTCGACCAGGATATCGATCTTTGGGTGAGATTTGTGGACAAGGTTTCATTGCGACCACCTAGATCCCCTGTGGTGCGATGGTTGGCAGCACAGATTAGTCGAATAACAAGTACAACATGAATGGAACAGGATATGAATGCCCGGTGGCAGGTAAAACCTTTCTCCATGATTAGATCCACCATGCCGGTCAGGATCCAAGGTGCCCTCTTTGCCCGCAGTATGCTTGGCCCCGACTGGCTTTGTCTGGAAGAGGTCAATCCGAAAGCGGTTTGCAACATGTTGGTATATGATTCTAGCATATATGTAGGGGTCATGGCGATTGAATGCCTAAACAAGATGACGGTTAGTTTCTTCGGTCGATTGGGCCGAATAGAGCCGACAATAGATTGTGACGTACCGTCCAAACAATCAATGCTGTGGCAGGATTGTTCACCAGAACCAGCAGACTTATCGGTTGACGCAAGATGTCCACCCCGGTGTCTTAAAGGTGTGCGCTTAAACGTTGCTGACCAGCTCACCGGATCTGTGAGGGCGCATTGCCCTATCTTGAGACAACAGTGCTGGGCTCGTTATATTGGCCGGCTCAGCGTTGAGGGGGTGATTGTGAAATCCACATGCCGAATTTCTGATTCACATATCGTCTCCATGGAAGTCCGCTCGCCATACCTATCTCGCAGTGTTGTATCTTTGAACACACTGCGATGCCCCCGATAAGCCCGCCCATGCGACCAGCGACATGGCATATAATGTCCAGTGCGCATTGCACGGAATAATCAGCATATTCTGTGCGAGCTGAATTCCAACGCACATCTCGTTCGGCTGAAGCGAGAGCTCAGGCTCGATCATTTCATCCCAGGCATCCCAGACCTCAGCGCCACCTTTCGCAACGTCTGCGAAAAGTTCAACCAGTTTCATTGCATCAGGGCCTGCCTCGACGAACTTTTGTGGGTCGAATGTGTTGCGCGAAAAATTGTTATCGGCATCGATCCTTCGTTTGCAGCTTTGGGTTGTCAGTCGCATTCGGGGAGCTAATGCTCGGCAGGAGCTGGTACCGTAGAGTAGACACCATCTTCTCTATCTCCTTCACCATCCTGCACTAAATATCCAGACAGCAAGATTGTGGTGGTCCGTTCCCTTCCCAGCCTATGATATTCAAGCCAATGATAATTGGTTGCATCCCTCCTGTGCCGGTCTGTTGAGGGCCATCGGCTCAACCGAAGCAACAATAAAATGCAACGCGGCGTGAGAGAATTGAAACAAAGCCACGCGATACGTTTCTGCCAACAGAAAACGACTCGTCGGAGGCTTGGGGAACTGTCAAGTTCATAACGGAAAGACAACCCCAGAGTGCATCCATTGTCGAACAGTATGCATTGTTATTGCGATCTGGAACCCCCTGGCTTTGTTGCCGATTTCCAGAACCTTAGCGAGGTTCGCGGGTCTGTCCTCTGCGCCATTGTTTTTGTCCAGATTCTCTGTCGTTGAGTATCTCCACCACCTCTCGGAGACACCACCGGGGATGCGAATCAGTGGCTTCTGCAAGGTTCATTCTCCAGGGATCGACGGATTATTGAAACAGCTGATCCTAGGCAAAGGTTGCGAACCGCAGATGGACCGTTGCATTTTACTAGTGGTGAGGATAGTAGCACTAGCGCAACCACCATGGTGGTTTTCGAGAAGACAACGCCGCTAAATGGGAGGACTGCCTGGTCATTTGTTAGTAGTGCCTTGGTGAACTGAATGAGTGACATACCTCCTAGTATCTACCAATGGTCCACAGAGATCCTGACTGGGTATCCGTCTTGACCATGTGAGTGTCGTTTCGCATGTCAACGTCCAGTGATCCTGGTGTATGAGATCTCAGCATCAGTTGCATTCATCCAAGTACATGGGTTGATGTGAACTTACTCCGTCACTCATGTCATGCTCGTTCGGTGACTCCATCAGCAAGGTGTGCGTCTCCAACGCCAGGCTGCAAATGATATGTGCGGAATGAAGTTTGTCTTTGCACCTTGACCCACGAAGAGACTGAAAGTTGAAGAATCCATCGTCGAAAATGAATTGAAAGATCACGCGAAGAAACCCGGAAGTTGTTTCCCAATAAGGGCAACTCTGACTTGGGCAAGATCATGAGGAAAGACTGGTACTCTACTTGAGAGTCATCACTCGATGCCCCCGGCTCCGTAAGGGCGTTCTGCCCTACAAAGGCCACCCTCACCCTGGCAAGATCCGGTACACGTGCGAACGCGTTGCGCGTTGTATCGTTTCTGGTCTTGAAAGCTTGGTACTTGTGAAGGTCTTGTTGGACATCAATATGTGGAAGAAAAATAAGGGTTTCTATATAAGGAAGGGGCAGGGGAGTATATACGAGATGCGCAAAAACAAAGGAAATTGGACACAGACAAGACGAGGAGACAACAGGAGGAAGATTTTTCAGAAGCTTCAACCAAGGAAAATAGTGCTATATTTATGCAAATCCGCCTGTGCAAGTCCAAAGTTGACGTTCCTGGTCGATCCAGTCGATCCGACCCCCTCGTCGACTTCGGCGTAACTCCGAGGGCATCCCACCTCGGCCTTCGCAGCGATCCCACGCCGGCCGTGCCCTATATTAATCGCTATCGCATCTCCAATTCCGTCTCCCCGACAGTAACACAAACAAACAACAAAATCTAAAATGTCAAAGCCCGCCATCGGATTCGTCGGCCTGGGAGCCATGGGCTTCGGTATGGCCACCCACCTCGTCTCGCAAGGCCACGCCGTCCACGGATTCGACGTCTTCCCGGCCTCAGTGCAACGCTTCCAAGCGGCTGGAGGCATCGCTGCCTCGTCGCTGCAGGATTCCGCAGAGGGGAAATCATTCTACGTCTGTATGGTTGCCTCCGCGCCGCAAGTGCAGTCCGTCCTGTTTGCCGATGATGGAATTGTGCAGCGTAAGACCTCCCCAATCAAACCCCCTTCGGACCGACTCACTGACGATACCAGACCTCCCTCAGAACGCCACCCTCCTTCTCTGTTCCACCGTGCCAGCATCTTACGCTCAATCTGTCGCCGCGGAACTGCAGACTCGCGGCCGGTCGGATATCCACTTCATTGATTGTCCCGTTTCGGGTGGCGCCAAACGCGCCGCCGACGGAACACTCTCCATCATGGCCGGAGGGTCGGACGAGGCGCTCCAGAGCGGTCGAGACCTCCTTCAGACTCTCTCGGCGGAGAGCAAGCTGTATCTGGTTCCCGGGGGCGTGGGAGCCGGCAGCAACATGAAGATGGTTCATCAGGTTCTGGCGGCCATTCACATCCTGGGAGCCAGCGAGGCCCAAGGACTGGCGGCCCATCTTGGTCTGGAAGCCCGAGACACGGCCAGTAAGATCATGGCGTCTGATGCTTGGACATGGATGCATGAGAATCGATTTCCTCGGATGGTTGACGAAGACTGGAACCCGGGCGCTAGTGCGCTGACCATTATCCTGAAGGATGTCGTACGTGGCCATCTCCCTTGCTTTGGCGTTTCTGTTTGCAATGACGACACACCCTGAGTCTTTGACTAACCAATGATTCACCTTCTGTAGGGTATCATCACCTCACAAGCCCGCCAACACAAATTCCCCACGCCTCTCTGCTCCACCGCCGAACAAACGTACCTCGCGGCCATGTTACACGGCTACGGTCCCAAAGACGACTCCGCCATGGTGCGCCAATACTATTCCTCGCCCATCGCCGACGTGCAGAGCCTACCCACCACAGAGCAAACGCAAGAATCGCTCCAGCTCGTTCTGGACCTCATGTTAGGCATCAACCTCGTTGCCGCCGCGGAAGCCGTCTCCCTAGCCCGATACCTCAAAGCGGACATGACGCAGTTCTACCGATTGGTCAGCGACGCTGCAGGTGCCAGCAATGTGTTTGTCACGCGCGGATTGGAGATGATTGAGGGGAATATTGGGGCCCAAGCACCCAGGGGCTCGCAGACCGTGGATGAGGTAATTAAGAGGTTGGAGAATGTCGTACAGAAGGCGCGGGACCTGTACGTGCCGTTGCATCTGGCTAATGCGGCGTTGAATATGTTACTTGTTGCTAAGAGGGCTGGGTTCGGGGCGGAGGCCAGTACGAGTGTGATTAAGGCTTATGGGTATGAGTATTGAGGGTTTGCTTCGTTTCCGCTGTCTCTGTGATGGGTTTTGTTTGTTTGACAACGTATAGTATACGATCTGACGGGATCTTGATGACTGAATGTATTTTCTCAAACCCAAGCTTTCACTCTTTATCTCATCTCCAAGGGCTATTTTCTCCTCCGTCATTGAAGACAAGTGGGTCAGCTTAGGTCCTGCGGGTGTTAGAATCGGGAGATAAAGCACATATTCCCTTGCATGACACACTGTTATCTGCAGGTGCTCTTTCCGCCAGGAACATTTTCTTGCTTGAAACCTCGGTGCCTAGACGTCTTGTTCTATTCCTCGGGTGTTGCTGGTTGGATGATGTGTTGCATGATCAAAATCAAGTCTGGCCAGCATCCTAGCATCTTTCTTCAGAAGCGGGCGACTGGAATCGGGAACGTGCATAACCAACAAAATGGCACGTAATTACTTGCTCATTTCTAATTCTGGCTTTTGCAAGTTTTTCCTTTGATAGAGTAGGAAATCGAACAGGGTAGAAGCAGGCGAAAAGAATCAAATCGCATCGCTGCATCCACAACCAACCCCTATCCAGTCCTCTATACCTCTCGACATCCATTTTAAACTGCCTTAGCCTGGTACCTCTTCGCACTTGTACACCACTCAAAATGTGTCTGCATCAATGACGCCTCCAAACTCGCCAACGCAGCTTCCATCTCCATTCCCGGCACCACCCTCGCCCTCGCCTCCAACCTCTCAACCCTCTTCAAAACCCTCTCCAGAAACAGATTATGCAAACGGCAAACCTCCCCCGTCGCAGCTCTCAAACCTTCGTTCCCCACCGCCCACTTCCCGCTCTTCTTCATCTCCATCCCGCCCAGTAGAAACACCACCGCGTTCACGGCCTCCCCGGTGCGTATATCCTTCTCCAGCCCGATCAAGTCGTTCTGTAGCCCTGCGACGATGGCGATGTCATTTTGTAACTGCGTGGTTTCTTTGCTGGGCGGGTAGGGCTGGTTGTAGGCGCTTCGTATTAGCGCGAAGGCGGGTTTCAGACCTATTGTCTTGCGGCGGATGGCGAGGTAGGTGTCGAGGGTTTGAGGGAGGGATCCGTTCTTGAGATGGATTTCTTGCAAGAGGCCTGTGAATACGGTGCATAGTTCTGAGAAGAAGCCGGTTAAGAGGGAGCGGTTGTGGTGCGTCATGCAGTGGGTTTTGAACTTGGTGATTGTTTGCGTGATTGGGGGGTGTTTGGAGGTGTGGATGGCTGGGTTGTTAAGGGGTCCATTAGTATCGTATTTCTTTTGTGACCAGTCCTCAATCGTATGGCTTACTCACGTTCATCTTTCAACACCGCAATCGCCTCCTCAATCGCCTTCCCTGCGTCTTCTAAACTCATATCCTCGAGTTGGTCATCAACCGTACACAACGTCTCCAGCCACGCCGCCATGCAGATCCTGATATTCTCTTGGCGAATCTCCGGAAAGAAAAGGCTGATGGTATTGACGCTTGCGATGCTTTGTTGTATCGGGGAGCCATCATGATTGTCTGCTCTTTGGAAAGCCGAGAGGTGAAAGTCCAAGTGTGCGCGCAGGGTTTTGAAGAGGTGTTTTGTTTCCTGGTTCTTGCGCTTCTCTAAGTTAAGCTCGACACCATCCGACTTGATATTGTAGTCGGGGACTTTGAGCTGTTGGACGTTGGCGATGAACCTGTGGTTCTTGGACTTATGTTGTTGCTTTGATGGGGACGAACCTGAAGACAAACATCGTAACCCTTCAGAGTAATCAGGTGGCTGTTGACATCGGGGTGGGCTGAGTGGCGAGTATATTGATGTAGGGTTGCGGAGTCTGGCATTGTTGCTTGATGGTGGTAATAAGGTCTATGATGGACTGGTTCTGTCTCTTGGTCTTGGTGTTCTGAATGGCATTGAATAGTATTTATATGAGTATGTATAGTAACTGAATTTATGTCCAAACCCCTCTCCTTAAATATCTATACGCTTTACGCTTTACTCCCGGATTCGCATCATACCGCAACCTTATGAGGTTCTATTTACAATATCCCATGATGTTGTCGTTCTCTGGACATCGGGATAGGCGAGGAACGACGTAATCTGGATAATCATTCTGCTAAACTCCTAGAAGGGCGATAGGATAAATTGATGGACGGTTTCGATTCGCGTGAGATTGGCTGGTTGATGGATAGACGAAGGTCATTTCGTCATTCACACTCCTCATCATTGCTCTGATGCCATCGTGAATAACTTAGAAGTCAGGGGAAGTCACAGTTAAAAATCCTCAAGAGATAATATTGCATGACTGTTCAAAGGCCCTAATTAAATCGGCTGCGTCAAGACCGACCGTCCCTAGCAACATATGAACGAAAAGTCCGCCCAATAAGCAAAGGAGGAGACAATGTATCTGCGTCTCTCCGTTTCTAGAGCTCCATTTTACAGATCTAGCAAGTGAAACCAGGTTTGAGATTTTGCCATCGGCTTTGTAAGTAGAATTATACGTCTGTCTTGATCCAAATACGATATCGTACCTGTGTATGTACTGAGTCATGCAGTCCGGAATGTCGGTGTAGCAAAACCGAGGAACTCCGTACATGTACCAAATCTAATCTAGCATGCATATTCTGCATTTTGCTTGATGACTCTATCTTTCTTTTCGGTAGGGGTCGTTCCGCGTCGGGATTTGCTTCAAGACGGGAGATGCACGATGATATTGTGCATTCCACATCCTGCGGGGGGAATTCCGACACTGTACCTACCGGTTGTCTTGTCTTTTTGATGCAGGCATTACAGAGATAGGCTTCTCTAGGGTGGTGTGCTTGAAACAAAGGTTTTTTTTGAGGTTTTTGAGTCTTACAACAAACACCAGCTAGGTGAACCAAACAGTTCAATTTTCATTCTTTTTCCCTCGCTCCTTCTCTGTAATAAATGGGGGGGGTATAGAGTGAGGCATCCGAATATTGTGAATATACGGAGCTAGTTCTAACAACGGCCTAAAAAAATAAACTACAAGGGACAAAACGCCATAGAAAGAAACCAGTTAATAATTCCTATAAGTTTATACACTGTTCTCTCGGCAACCCCGCCAAATCGCAGATCAGTCCTCCGGTAAATAAGGATAGATTGACGTCAATCGGAGCAACTCCGGCATTCGGACAAATATCCCGACCTCAGGCACAATAAACCCATCTATCAACAGGAAGGTAACTGGAAATTAACTCCTATATCTATAACCATCCTTTCTTCTCTACCGATTCCTATTTTCTTTTCTCTCACTCTCTGTCTCTCTCTCTACTACATAACTCGCCCTTTTCCCTCCCCAACCAAACCAATACATACATCCAAAATGCCCCTCACCAACCGTGCCACCACCCTCCTCGACCACGCCGCCACGAACCACTACGGCGTCCCAGCCATGTGCTGCTACAACCTCGAAGGAATCCTCGCCACGGTCCGCGCCGCCGAAGCCAAGCGCTCCCCAGCCATGATCCTGCTCTTCCCGTGGGCCGTGACCTACGCCTCGGGGCTGCTCGTGCACGCCGCAGCCGAAGCCGCGCGGGCCGCGTCCGTGCCGATAACCGTGCACATGGACCACGCGCAGACACCCGAGATGATCCGTCGCGCGGCGGACCTGGGCGGCTTCGACAGTATCATGGTGGACATGTCGCATTACGAGAAGGCGGAGAATCTGGCCCTGACGCGGGAGCTGGTGCGTTATTGTAATGAGCGGGGCATCGCGACGGAGGCCGAGCCGGGGCGCATCGAGGGCGGGGAGGACGGCGTGGCGGATACGGTTGATCTAGAGGGGTTGTTGACGACGCCTGAGGAGAGTCAGGAGTTTGTGGATACGGGGATTGATTGGTTGGCGCCGGCGTTTGGGAATGTGCATGGCGAGTATGGGCCCAGGGGGATTCAGTTGGAGTATGATCGGTTGGAGGGGATTAGGGAGAAGGTTGGGGACAAGGTGAGGTTGGTGCTTCATGGGGCGGATCCGTTCACGGAGGAGATTTTCACGAAGTGCATTGAGTGTGGCGTGTCGAAGGTCAATATCAATAAGGTGTTGAATAATGAGTATGTGAGGGTGCAGAGGGAGAAGGCGGGACGGGTGCCGTTGACGACGCTGTTGGAGGAGGCGACGGATGAGATGCAGAAGGCTGTGGAGAGGTGTATGGATATGTTGAAGTCGTCGGGGAGGTATCCTTGATTTTCTGTCTTCTCCTTGTCTTTCTATCTTTCGACCTCTGGTTGCTATACAGGTTGAGTGAGATACTAGGATCAGGCTATTGCTGTGGATGGCTGGACGTCTTGTGTATATAAGCTTATGATGAGAAATAGGTGGAGAATTCAAGTTGCTTATTGGGCGGATGATATTATTTGTTTGTTCAAATTACTATTGCGAATATAAGAAGCTCTTCGGGGGTATGATTCATTGGCGGACAACTATATATTTCCACCCAGGCACCGGATGAAATTGCCCCCCTGATCTCGATCATGAAACAGTAAAAGACAACCATAACGGCTAGATTTATAAATGGGCAACAGACACGCCAACTAATAAATTATAAAAAAAGACCAGAAGATCAATACAACGTGTAGGAAGTAAACGGACACTGTCCGGTGAAGTGACATTTAAAACAAAAAAAGATGGACTCTAAGGGAATCGAACCCCTGACCTCCCGCATGCAAAGCGGGCGCACTACCAACTGTGCTAAAAGCCCAATTGAGATGTTATCCACCTTCATTCATAGCTCTATATGGCAACTCTCTCGTCTTGCCAAAGGAATGCCGACCAGGTTGCCGACCGTCGCATCAGCATTAATTGAGCTTCTCTCATTCGCTTGAAGCGGTTATGGTATCAACCGCACTCAGTCCAATGGAGTGCTAGGCATTGATGTACACCTGTAACTGATTCACTCCACCTGTACAATTGAAGAACCCCAAGTGAAAGAAGTTTGTCTGATAATGAATATTCACAATTTACACCTAATGAAACATCCGACATGAAATACCTCACAAGTCCGAGGGAATAAAAACAAAAAAAGGAAAAGAAATGAAAAAGCTAGATAGCGACAAATGAGACATCAAAGGAAATAATGATAAGGTAATAAAAAAGAAGGATGCCAAAAGAATATCACAGAATATAAACGCACAAGTCTCTTTTTTTTCTCCCTTCAAGATTATCCACCTTAGTGAGCGGCCATCAGCTTCTTGATCTCCGCGATCGCCCGGGCAGGGTTCAGACCCTTGGGGCAGGTTCGCGAGCAGTTAAGAATGGTATGGCATCGGTAGACGCTCATGCTGTTGTCCAGCGCGGCCTTGCGCTCGGCGGTCTTCTCGTCACGCGAATCGGCCATCCAGCGGTAGGACTGCATGAGGATGGCGGGACCGAGGTACTCCTCGGCGTTCCACCAGTACGAGGGGCAAGAGGTCGAGCAGCAGGCGCAGAGAATACACTCGTAGAGACCATCCAGCTTCTTACGGTCCTCGGGGCTTTGACGGTGCTCCAGACCCTGCACGACATATCGTTAGCATCGATTCGCCACACGTGGCTCGGGAGGATCGGGTGTCGACTTACATCCTCGGTCTTGGTCTCACGCTGCAGGTAAGGCTTGATGGACTTGTACTGCTTGTAGAAATGCGTCAAGTCGGGAACCAGATCCTTGACAACGTAGGTGTGAGGCAACGGGTAGATGCGAGACTCCTTCCCCGTGTCGGTCGGGATACGGCCTATTCTCCCTGTTAGCGCCACATCCTCCATCACCGCCCGAATGGCAAAAGGAAGGCATACACAAGCAGGCCAAGGTGTTGACACCGTCAATGTTCATCGCACAGCTACCGCAGATACCCTCTCTGCAACTTCTCCGGAAAGTCAAGGTGGGGTCCATCTCGTTCTTTATCCGGATGAGCGCGTCGAGCATCATGGGCCCGGTCTTGTTCAGATCCAGCTGGTAGGTCTGCATGGAGGGCTTCTCGGTGGGCTGATCGGGGTTCCAGCGGTAGACGTGGAACTTCTTCACGCGAGGGTTCTCGGACATGTTGGGGTCCTGGTTGGTCGAGGTCTTGGTCTCGGGGACGGTCTTGGTGCTGGCATAGCCGCCAGCTTGAGCGACGGGGTCGACGGTCGCATAGGAGCGAGCGAAGACGGCGGGGCGGAACAGAGGCCGCGAGGATGCGACGAGGCGCGAGGTCGAGCGAAGAGCGGCCATGGTGGCTTTTGTGGATCGCGCAGGAATCAAGGGTTTTTGGGAAAATTAAGCCGGAAAAGGGAGAGTCCAATCGTAGGGCGGGTAATAGCCGCAGGGAAAGAGTGAAAGCAGGAGGGGAGAGTGGAGTGGAGGAGGGGAGAAGTGAAGAGAAGAGAAGAAGCCGAGATGGAGAGGAAGCAGAGCAGCCAGCCAGCGGCAATTGAGGCAAAGCAGAAGGAGATGAGGCAAAGGAAGAGGTCGCTTTGGGAGCTGCGAGTCTTTTTGCCTGAGGGTTACCTCGGGTCTGCCGGTCACGGGGCTGACTCAGCAGCCGCCAGCCAATCACGGGTGGGCTAATTGCAAGCGTCGGGGATACACGGCGACACTTTGATTGCTTAAACATTTTGCCAGTCAAGAATATTTATTCCTGTAGCATTGGATTCACACTTCTATATATTTTCATGATTTCCTACTTTTACTTCTACATGCAGGTTATCCTTACTGCTCGCATGACATTACACCATGACCTCCACAACTACCTGACAAGGTACTTGTACTTACGTCAAGGGCACCGTCCCAAAGGGGCAACGGAACCGACTTTCCGGCAAGTTGCCGTCATGTGAAGTTCTGCCGCCTGAGGCATAAAGGCATCCCCGTCGGCAAAAAGGCATTTCCACTGCCGCTAGTCCGTTTCGGTCATATTGGCCTGAGGACAACCTTCTCACGAAATTATAGGGAATTCTGCTCAGCACACTTTGTTGGTTCAAAAATATTCCAAAACGAAAACTCCAAATAATTAACACTTTTTACACACTGTCTTGGATGATCAATCTATCGCCCAATTGGACACTTATCATTTCGCTATAATCCAACCCCCATTCCCAGATTATGATCTAATATCGTTCCAGTCCTCATGTAAACCATTGAAACAAACCCGAGACGCAGGGGCCTGAACCGAAGCAAAGCATCCCCGACAGTGGACCCTCCACCTAGTGTGACTGTGATACAAATAAAACCTTATTGATCAAGATCGTGTGAACGGTTACCCAAAAAGTTCATACTCCTAATGGTCTAGAATCATCGATGGGATTTGGGTCTGGGAACGTTTCATCGAAGTGATACCTATGATCTTCCATGGTAGGGCTATTTAGTGAAACGACCTTGCGAACGCTGAACTGGCGATTGACTCGTCCCGGTAGATTAAAGATCTGCACGAACCGGTGATCTTGGTCTGAGCTGCGAGTGCTAAGTCATTCATTTAGACGTTCTGTTAAGATTCGGTCGCATCCAGGAAGTCAAACTGCATCTGATAAGAAAGGAAGAGTCAGGGCTACATGGATCTCGTGACCTGTGTCTCTACCGGTGTACTCTGCAAGTTTACCAGAAAGGAAGAAAATCATGTGTAAATAAAACCACCCAGGGTTTCATTGAACCAAATTAGACTAATATTCACTAGGAACATATGCAACAGGCACAAGTTATATATCTAAAAAAAGAGAAAGTCTCAAACAATCTCATCCATGCATGAAATGATCTCCTCGTCCACTAGGGACGTTTCACGAGGATCTGCAAGGGAAGTGGAAGTAAAAAGTAGCGTTTAAACCGCTTACAGATGGCCCTGGCCAGCGCTGGAGGAGACGCTAGAAGCAACGTTGCCGTAGGCAGAGGCCGAAGCGATGTTCTTGCCCTTGAAGTTAGCCAGGAAGCTTTCGTCGGCCTGGTTGAAGGTGCCGGAGCTGCCGAAGCCGTTGAGCTCGCAGGAGCGGCCGAGGTAGGACGAGCAGACTTTGTTGGTGTTGGCGTCGGGGGCAGTGAACAGGGCACCGTTGATGGGGGACTCGGCGACGACGTTGATGTTCTGGAAGACGTTGCCCTCGGCGAGAACGTAGCCACCCTCGCCGATCTCGAAGGCATGGCCGGTGTTGTCGTGCCAGTAGTTGTTGACCTGGAAGGGGTGGGTTAGTGGTGGGGTTCTATATGGGATGGTAGGTAGTGAAGGGACATACGGCGTGCAGGAGGGTGTTGCCCTGGACCTTGGGGGAGCGGCCGGAGGTGTGGTAGATGTAGTTGCCCTTCATGGTGACCATGTCGGAGGAACCGTCAAGGTAGATGGCCCAGTAATGGTAGCCGTCGCAGGTAGCGGACCAGTCGGACTCGCCGTTGATGAAGTTGTTGGAGAGGGTGATACGGTTGTCGGCCTGGGTTCCGAGGACGATGTGCTGGCGACCGATACGGGCAGTCTGTTCTGGTTAGATTCGGTAGATATCATATGGATGTGTAGCAACGTACGGTGACGTGGTCGATCCAGATGTTGTCAGCATCGTTGACGGTGATGGCATCACCACCCCAGACGTACTGAGGGTTGATGTCGGTAACGGCGATGTTCCTAGAGGATGATTCATTAAGGAATATTTCCAGATACAGAACCAATTGCAAACTCACTGGATGATAACGTTGGAGGTACCGCTGACCATGCGCAGACCCTTACCCATGATCACACCCTTGCTGCCCTCACCAATGATGGTCTTGTCGGAAGCGACGGTGATACCGAGAGAACCGGCGTTGTCACTGGAAAGGAAAGGAGTCAGCAAAGAAACTTAAATCTTGCAAAACTGAAGTATCCAAACTCACTAGCTGACAGAGACCGAGGGGGCGCTGGACTGGTAGTTGTTGCACCAGTTGTCCTTGTTGATGGCCAGCTGGCAGCCGGAGCCAGTACCCCAGGGAGCGCAACCAGTCTCGGTGGTGGTACCCTCGCTTCCGCGGAAGTCGAAACTATACAGATGTCAGAATCAGATCGATAGCCACTGAGAGTGAACCGGGTGATCGCACGTCTTGGACAGGACAACGACACGGGGAGAGCTGTCGCCGAGGTATGAGACCAGCTCATCGATCGAGTTAGGGTAGACAGGAGTGGCGCTTCCACCTCCAGTCACGCCCTTAGCGAAACCCTCGGCGGCGCCGGAGACGCTGATGGCAGCAGCAGTGCTGGCGAAAGCAGCAGCCGCCGCGCTGAAAAGCCCGGTGTACTTCATGATGGAGAGAATGACTTGAGACAAAAGAAAGGAAATCCAATAAAGAAGGTATTAATTAAAATTAGAAAATGGAAAAGAAAAAGAATGAATGAATGATTTGGTTAAGAAAAGAAAGGCCGTATGGAGGGAAGGGAACCCCGGTCTTTATATCTATAGAATCTCCGGAGAAATAAAATCCTTGCAAGGCCATGCATGCCTCCTACCCCCTGGGAAGACAAACATGGAACCCAGTCCATCATCACCGCTATCCAAATCATCCAATAAACCGGACCGCAAGAATAAATTGGGGTCCACGAGCATGGCAGTGAAACAAGCCATGGCAGCCGGCGATAACAGGCGAGTGCCCCAGAGTAAAACCGCACCGTTTCCAGTCCGCCGAAACTAAGAGGCAGAGGCCCATCGGCGTGGGTAAATTCCTGGAGGAGAACAGGCATGTCCGGTGCTCAACCACGTTTCTCATTGCGGCGTTCACGAACGTGTAGATCCATTCCGTTAATGAGGAGGTGGACGGTGGAGTGATTCGGGAGATTTACGGTGTTTCACGATGTCCACTAAGGCGCTCTTAGTCTTAGGCCGGGAATAGTCTCCCCCCTTCGAACTGCTGACTGGCGGTGGACTGCTTTCACGTTAAAAGCAATTACTCCGTCTTGGCGACTTGCTCTGGGGTGCCGGACAACTGCCGAAATTGGAGCGAGAGTAGAATAATCAGCACGGAGTAATATATCGTTACTGTTAGGCGCTGTCTGGGTGACTGCTGACCGGAGATGTCATATTCCTTCGCCTTATCTCGACAATATGACAAGCAATCTGTAAGCTCCCCTCGACCAGCCCTCTTTCTCCCGTCTGAATTTTCGTCATTTCTATTAGCACTAAAGGGGCAAATTATACGCTGTACGGCGTGAAAAGTGAAAACTCTTTAACTCCGTTTGAGATCGTGGCTAATGTGGACACCCTCCAGCCAGGAACGGTGATAGTCCGATCCACCGGCCCACCGACTCGGTCTTTGGGATATAAAATTCTCAGATCATATCGTTCTCCGTCCTACTCCGTCGAATGCTTCCAGAACGTGAAACTACCGTTCTGTTCAAGATTCCGTCGACTTCCGAGGAATCTTTAATCGCCAAAGTCCACAGAAAGCAGTCAGCAGGCGCGATAATATAGTCACAATTGAATACATCAATAACCAACCCGTCATTCTAGCCTTACAAGTAACAACGCCAAGCTAAGAACTGTCTGGTTTTCAGCGGTACATCACCCAAGAAGGCAACTCAATCCCATCCTACCACTCATCTAGCTTTCCAAATTGTCCTAGCCTCCGGGCACCGGGAAATGACATTAATATATTTTGATTACCACCAGGCTAGCTCGCAATTAGAGTATAAGCTTGCTTGAAATAAAGCTTATTCAGCGGGCTGCAGTGCCACCGCCCACCGTCCAAGATTGTTCTGCTTCGCTGGAGACCGGATTGTGCGCCATGCGGGGCCCGACGAAGACTGATTCAAGTCCTTCCAATTAGGCTCTTCCGCTCAGAGGGTCGCAGGATTTGATTACTCGGGGATAATGCTAAAGGTGACGGACGGTGGCTGATGGCATGATGTTGAGACAATCAATTGAACGAATGGAAGATGTGGCAGTGCTTCGTTGAGATATGCAGATTGACGTAGACGAGAATAAGAGTAGCACAACAGAGAATGAGAAATTGTACTTGGGAAATTTACTTGACCATGAGAAAGAGCAAACCTAATAAAAATCCGGATGAAAAATCAAGCCTCACCGGATGATTGTCTCTGTCAACTAACCCTGAGCCTTTCCGGGCACAATCTCCTAACCACCATGCATCGTTCTAGAACCCGATTAATATACATTAATTAACCTTTCAACGGAGCATTTAGCCTTAAATTGCTAGACTCCATGCGTACGCACTCATCCATGCAAATTGCACGCTTAAATAGCAGCATTACTCTGTAGTCCGTACCTGACAGTTATGCCCATGCCGGCAGTCTACGGTCTGCAGCCCACAGGCGGGATTAACTAGAGGCTAGAGGCTAATTGAACTAGTCCATGTCTCACTCGGAATCCACTTGAATAATCAAGTCTTTCACTTTCATATATTAAACGCCATGTAGACTTGGTCTAGCGCAAGATCGAATAGAAAGATGAAATCCTTCTTTCCTTACGTTTTATCCCCTTTTCCCTCTTTGGCAATATATGATAGGGATGTTAGGCTCGGCGATGCTTTCCATGTATGATTCATGAAGATGTATACTGTGCAATCTCCGCGGGATTTAAATCAGTTCTTTGGAAGAAATGTTCTTTCCAGGCTTGATATTCGGACTAAAAAGGCCGATTACATATGGTTGATGTTTCTAACCCCCTACCCGAGGAACAATGACCTACCAACCTCCTTTTCGCCCAACTTTCGGCGGAAACAAGTGAAGAAGACGCTGTTGCTTGCCTATACAGCCAGATGAGAAGACAACGCGAGGTTTGCCACGAGGATGTCCTGAGATATGTAGGACTCAACCTAAGTCGGCGTTTGTGGATATGGCAGTCGACGATAAGATCGGCGGAGTATACACATATGGCCTCACAAATATCTATTGGGCTCAAGGAAGGAGATCTCTGTTTCTCGAATGCATATGACGGTCGGTTGTGGCAAATAAGAAAAGGGTACATGAGCGTTGAACGGTATGGTAGAACCTATACCGGGATAGAGGTCGGAGATAGCTCTGGATGTTGATCAAGAAAACAAGATATTTATAGACAAGTAAATGTTGCAATAGATGCTCTAGACCGCTTTCAATGGGTTCAATCGATGATAGCCAAGGAAAAGATGAACGCCTGTTCTTTCTTGAGCCGCCAGGGAAAATAGGAGGAAAAGAAGAAGTGATTATTAATAGATAACTGAAAAAGCAAGGGCTGAATTGCGCAGTATATTGTAGAGAGTAGATGCTCGATGACCTTAACTTAAAATCCAAAAACGTTATGATCTTTGTGATACCCCCAATTTTCCAATGCCGTCGCGACTGCCGTAATCAAGGCAGGTGGTCCGCATAGAAGTGCGACAGTCTTCTCGTCAGGCGCAAACGCATATTTACGGAGCATTGACTCATCAACATGCCCGCGCAGTCCAGTCCAGCTCGGGTCTGCTCGGGAAAGGATATGGTAAACGCGAAGTTGATCGGGATGTTCCTCTTCAAACTTGGTCAGTTCGTCGTGCATTAAGATGTCGTTCTCAGTTTTGTTGGAATCCACGACTTTGATCTGCGTCTTATCCTCTGGAGAAGACAAGATACGCGCGATGACTTGGTAGCCGGGGGTGATTCCAGAGCCGCCAAGAATCAACTGAATGCGATCAAAATGGTACTCCACGTCGTCAATCAGAAACTTTCCGTTCCCTTGGTAGCGGATCTCGCCGGTCGGCCCGGTGATGTCGATCTCTTGATGCTCGCGCAGACAGTCGAGGATGTTGCTCATCGTGCCGCCTGGTTGCTGCAGATCGGGCTTGTAGGTTTTGACGACGAGGTCAAATGTTCCGTCTTCCTCTTCTTCTGTTACCGGTCTGACGGGCGTATATGACCGGAAGACCATTTTATCTTCAAAGTGGAATCCGACTTGCACATGCTGCCCGGTTTCTAGACCGAGCTTCTTGCCGTCTGGCAAGGAGAACTTATACCGATTCGTGTCGTTAGAGATTGCAGTCTTTTGCAGAAACTTGGCTTGGATCCATCTTGGAAATGTTAGTGTGTGACTTGGACAGGGAAGCGTATAGCATACTTGTGATGTTTCAGGGCCATGTCAGGTTTGTCATGCGATTCATCGGCTTCTTTCTTCGCTTCCTCTTCTGCGAGCTGTTTCATATAGTCCTGCGTGTTCTTTGTAACCACGCCAATGATGTGTTCTGTGACGTAATTAGCGATATCCATGTGTTAGAACAGGCATGACAAACTTTGAAGTTCCTCGTGAGCCTGAGTATCATGGATAGACTCAAACTCGTCCGTTGTCTGCATATGTACCCGGCCTGCGTGTGCTAAAATGGCGGCTTGACCCCCTGGATGCCACCCGAGAACGCTGGTCGCGTCGTATACTTTGTTATTGATGACGAGCCAACAGTCCGTTGCGGTCGAATGCTTTTCGATTTCTTCACGATCGTATTGCGTGACCGGCGTGTCACCCTCTTGCTTCCAGTCGTTAATCTGATTCGCGCGGGAGGACGCCATCCATCCACCATCGCCGCTCGCATTAGTTGGATGGCGGAATTGTAGGACAGATTTAAAGGTATCCGGGTCTTGAACAATTTCCGACTTTACCACAAACTGGGCATTGTTCATCATTCTGTGACCAGTAAGCCAATGCAATGATGAGCAGGAGAAGCGTTTAACTCACCCCTCAAGATTCCACCGGATTTTCTCTGGTTGCGTATTTTTGTTGACATCCCAGCATCGAACTGTGATGCTTTCCGCTTTCAGAAGTTCCGCGATGGGAAGATCATTGTACCAGTGCAGCCATGTCCAGAACTTTCGTCCATGACGCAGGGGTGCATCCGGATACTGTCGCTGGTAAGTAAAGGGCCATGCAAATCGGAGGGCAACCCTGTGTTAAGCTCACCTGACGTGTACAATACAGCCAGCTGTTCCCTCCATCCAAGCTAATCTCGACACGTTGGATTTCATTCCCACCACCATTATATGCGTATCCCTGGACCCGGTATTTCTCTCCGTTTTTGGCACCCTCAAGCTTAATCTTTTCACCATGATCAGGTCTCATGATGACCGAGTTCAGCATCTGTTCCATGCATGCCGTGCTGGGATGATTGTACATGGCTTTGCCAAAATCCGAGGATCTATCCTCCACAAAGCTGGGAACCACACGGTTGTCATATATATGATAGTGACTGTCGTTTTCCTTGTCCGTTACCCAGATGCTTTGCAACCATTTGACACAACGACCGCCGACAAATCCAGGAACAATGAGTCGGACGGGGTACCCATGGTCTGCGGGCAATGGGTTATTGTTCATCTCGTAAGCCAGTAATACATCGTTTTCCGGATTCATGATATGATCCAGTGAGATAGAAGTCTCGTATTTGCCCTCGGCGCATGTTTCCGACCCTTGGAAGTTGACATAGAGACGTTGGTTAGGATAATCCGCCATCAATTGCTCGATTTCCGCCATGATTAACACGTCGCGTAGAAGCACACCCTTCCAGTATGCGCAGCTGACTGCTCCGGCGCCCCAATTGAATCCCATGCTTCGCTTGACCATGTTGACTTCTTTTCGACGGTTGCCGTCACAGGCAAGCACAACGGGGATGTTGATGCTCTGGAATTGGTCCACCAAGTCATCCATGAATAAGCTCAAGGATATTCCTGCCGATATCTCGAGCTTATGATTTTCCCACAGAAGATGTGGCACGGGGCCATGGCTGCGGACATAGTGCAGGGAACTGGGAGTGATGATACCTGCATCCAGAAGCTCCGATAGGTTAGGCTCTGCATTGAGAGGATGCCTACCGGTTTGCCGAATGAGACGATCCGACCGAGGGACCCAATTATCGGGCGTGAGCTTGTCCTGGTCGTTGACATCCGCAGGCATAGGCGCATCTTTCACGGGAGAAACGCCCTTTCCGTCGTTGATCTTCAAGGTGCGGAAATACTCAGCTTCATCCTGGAGATTCTTCAGGAACGCCAGTTGCTCAGGGGTGTACTTGTCATTTGCCGTCCCGTTGATGCCGTTAGCCTGCGTATGCGGCTTTTTGGGATCCTTCTTGTTGATCGGCCAGTCCTCCTCATATTTAATGAAGTCTTCGGTCGTATGCAACACGTATCGCCAGTGCTTAGGATGCACTTCCGGTCGAGTTAAGTGGAAATCCTATTGAACGAAATAGAATTAGCCTATTTCCCCTTAAGAGATCGAAAGGAAAAAGAAAAGGACAAAGCAACCACTTACCTCCTGGTCCTTCATGAAATCCCTCACCGTAAGCAACTCTCCCTTGGCCTTCATCGCCTGCAACATCTCCACCTCCTTCTCTGACAGCTCCTCTAGCTGAAATCGCGGATCATCCCCATCGTGCGTAAGACCCGGGAACCGATCATCTTTGTTCCGGAGGCCAACGCGATGACTATGAACCTTGTTCCAATCGGGCTCATTGAAAATGTCCTCTCTGGTCTTGGTGCTCGGCGGTGGGGAGATGGCAGCGGGAGGAGACATGTTGGTAGACTGTGCTTGTTCTGTTCAGGTCTGATCGATGAGAAAGAGCACCGAACACCCCCCAAGACCGTGAGATTGGGGGGGTTTTGTAGACAACCCGACACTGGTTAAAGGGAACTATATGCGTGGCTGGCTGATGAGAACGGACAGCTGTGCATACATACATACCATGCAAGTATGTGATGTCCGCTTCCGGCGCCACATTCTCATAAGTCATGACTCGACTTGTTCGTCCCGTCCCTCGCTCCCGATCAGGGCCTCCAATCATCGTCGAGGTATTGATATTTCTTTTTGGCCTCTCTTCTAAATGGATGGAGCTCACTGGACCACAAAGTCTATGGATGCATATAGAGACGGCATGCTAGCTCCATCAATTGACATTTGGACTAGACCTGGCAGTCATGAGACCAGCAAGTGCAATCAGCCGCACAGGTGTCGGCTGAAGGTTCTGTAAGGAGCCCTTGTTTCTGCGCAAGCCTGCCATGATCATAATCGAGATTGGAATCAGCAATTGGTTGCACAACAAGACCATCAGGTCGCGCTGTCTGGACTGGGTCAAGAGAGGATCGACAGCCGCAGCGGGTGCCTTCCGGACGCGGGACACGGGCACGACAACACGTGATCTTGGAATGCTCTAACCGAATTGAGGAGAAAGACCTTTATTGCCTTATTGCCTTACTGCCTGGTGATTTTGTTGTGGCCTTGCGGCCTTGTTGCCTGAGAGGTTCCCTGTCTCGTGTGGTTTCCTCGAGGAATGTGGAAAGTTACAAGGAGACAGATGGCTCTTGAGGAGGACAGGTTGCTCTATATGCGCGATTGAACCAGATCAATAGAACTGATGAAGAGATCTTGATACAGAAAAGCGACCATCTAGACCATGCAGCATGCCATCATTGTAAATCTGTATGCCTGCCCAAAATGCTATCATCTAGAGGTAGGTATAATCCCAATTTTCATCGCTGCATATCTTACAACAGAGACGTGAGCACTCAGTATTACTCGGCGCTTCACAGATGTCAATCCAATTTCTAATCCACAAATCCCTCCTCACCTCAACAAGCATAGAAAGCAGAATACTACCTCACCCTCCCCCAAACACCCCCCAACACGGCCCCCAGAGCCGCAACACCCGTACAAACCGGCCAGAGAACCCTAAATCCATCGACGTAATCATCTCTCTCGCCACCAGGCATCAACGCCCCGAATTCAACCATAAATGAAACCTCCCCGGGAAACGGGAACCGCCTCTCCACGTCCCAGAACAACTGATTGAGCATGATGGTCCCACTAATAGGAATGGCAATACACATGCCCCATGTCCTCAGGATAGAGTGCAGTAGGATCGGCGGGATTTTGCGCTTAGCGTACCCCTTTGGGAAGGGGTCTGTGTCGGTGTCGGACTCCGAGTCGCTATCGGGGTCAAAGGGACGTGTGAACATGCATCGGATGAAAGAAGGGGTGAGGAGGGCGTGGGAGAGGCCACAGATGAGAAAGAGGATGACCCAAGCCGAGGTCGGTGTCTTGAAGTCGAGGATTGTGAGACAGCCAGTTGAGATGGTGGCGAGGGCCCAGCCGAGGCGAAGGATCCAAGGGTTTAGGTTTGGTTGGTGGGAGAGGAGGCGTACTTTTTGGACGAGAATGAGAAAGGGGAGGGCGAGTGCGACGAGGGCTACGAGGCCTAGGCCGGTTAGGGCGTGGGGGAGGTATTTGACGAAGATGAGGTAGAGGGGTAGAAAGTGGAGGTGAGCTGATATCTGTCATTTTGGTTAGCTATACTCATGTGAAGGTTGGTTGTGGGGACGTATAATCCGGGGAAGACTAACGATGAGTCCGTGGATAAATCCACTAATGTGTATCATGGTCGTCGAGAGCGACTTAAACATGGCGGAGCTGAAAAACGGATGCACCGTCCAGAATCGCTCGTAAGCGACCAAGACGAGCAGCAGGCTTGCGCCCACACATATCGGCGCCAATGTGGCTGCCGTATCCCATGCAAAGCGTGTGCCACCCCAACTAATTCCGATCAAAAGACATCCAACTCCTAGCAGAATGAGGAGCGAGCCCAGCCAGTCTGTCCGGCGCAGTTTGCATATATAGCCCGTCTTGCCCTGTCCACATCCTCGCAAGTCCACGGCGAAAGGAACGACAAGCATTCCCACGGCGCAGAATACAAAGCTGGAATAAAATAGCCAGATTGTCGTTGCATAGTCGCCAAAAAGTCCACCCAGAATAGCACCAACGATAGACCCCGTCACCTGCGCACGGAAAACATAGTTCGAGAACTGAAGCTGATAATACTTGGGTATCGAATTCGTGATGATCAGAAACGATGCAGCCAAAATTCCACCACCACCTGTTCCCTGGAGTGATCGACCGGCGATTAAACCAGCCAAGTTGAACGCACCCCCGCAGACACCTGTTCCGATTGTTGCGAGTACCACTGCAGAAAGAAGGATCGGCCCGTGCCCGAATACATCCGCCAGCATAGATGAGATCGTTTGACTTGCTGCATTGGCGAGGAAGTAGGATGTATTGATCCATAGGACATTTTCGAGGGGCTGACCTAGATCGTTGGCCAATTCCTGTTTGGAAAGAAAACATGCACGTTAGCGGGTGGCTAGTTCGGTAGCTTTGCCAGGTTTTTGGCCTGCCCGAGCTGCAATCGAAGACATACAGGAACCAAAGGAATAACCACCACGGCGTTAAATGCATCCATCGCCACTAGGATGCAAATACAAGTCATAAAGAGACATTCTGGGACGCCTGGTTTCCAGCCCCCTTCCAGTCCCGGTTTTTCTTGGTGACAACATTCTAGATCCGGGTTGGCGTGTGGGCTATTAATATTATTATATTCGTCGCCAAAGCACTGAATGCTAGTGCGAGGGCCCTTCTTGGAACCGCCTTGGTTGCCATTGTCAGCCTTTGCAGCGACAACTTCGACTAATTCTATTCCTCTACCCATTTCATTTGCTCAACGTTAACATCGAAAGCGATATGAATACCATAACAGGGAGGGAGTTTGGACACGGCGGCGTCATAAATGGGGCAGAGTTGCGGCGGACAAGGTGAAGCGGCGCAATTCAATCCGGTTGTACAGCATCGGTGAATTTAATAAAAGATTGGAAAAACTCTGAAATCACACATACCTTCTGGAGAGAGTTAAATATACCTGTCACTTTGGTGAAGTAAAGGGCTTTTGCTCTATGGACACAAGCCACTAGAGTGGGAGAGGGGATTCCGTCGCGCAAGGGATGATGGAAAAAGCTATTGATGCCAAAAAGGGGTGTCATCCATATTGTTGGGCTGCCTGCGACCTACTTACATACGGATGAGACAGCACCGCAGGTCGCAGAAACTGTGAAATCGCCTCATTATGAAGTTTATAATAGAGCAAATCACACCTGGGAAGTCGTCATCACCATCAATTTTGGGAGTTAGCGGGTTCGGTGCATTCCCTTCTGCATCAGCGTTTGGTCTTTCGCGGGAATGATTGGCCCAGTGGGATGTTGGAATGCCAACGCAGGTCCCAAGTTATGCAGACCGCAAGAAATAGGCTGACCCAGTAGAGTAATGAATGACGTGGATCATGGGGGCCTCCCCTTGCATGAGTGGCGGTGTTGCAGATATGCTCTATCAGACTTTGTACTCCGTACTCCGCATTGGGTTTGATGATCGGACACCGAACCAATGCATGTGGATGATCACCGTCGGATCTGCCTCAGGGGAAGTGACACATTTTAATATTGCGAGACGATCAGCACCAATAAGTACGCGTGTCAGATCCGATCTGTGATTCAGCCGCGCCATTGAGGCAAGACATAGCCACCGATCCCCACGAAAAACTGCATCGCTCGGCCCATGAACGCGGTCACGTCTTGTCCCAACCAGTCGGGAAGAAGCTGCGCTCTGGTGGACTCCATCTGCCGGATATACTTCCCCGCGACCTGAGCTCGTCAATCTCCCCATCAAATGGCTAGGAGTTAACGAGCAGCTTACAAGAATACACTCCCCTCTCGCACCCTCATCTACCGCGATATTCGCAATCGCCCCCGCCACGCCCTGTGGCGTGTTCGCGTCCAAACCAGCTTCTTCCCACTTCTGCGCGAACCCAGCCGTGATCTGCGTCGGCGTGAAGAAAGGCGCGACTGCATTGACTCGGATCCCGTACTTTTGCGCCGTCTGCTGAGAAGCCCGCAGAAGCCCGATGACGCCGTGTTTTGAGGCAACGTAGGCTGCAACTCCCGTACCACCGAAATAGCCAGATGTGGACGCTAATAGCACGATCGAGCCGGGAGTCCTGTTGAGTTTCATGTGATGCATTGCGAGGCGGAGGGCTTTCTCTTCGGTGATTAGTCGACTTGCCATGCTAGCTATGGATGTGATGAGGAGAGCCTGAAGGGATGGAGATTCATACTATTCAATGTCCCTTTCAAATTGATGTCGATCACTCTGAATCCCTCCACTGATTCTGTCAGGTTTCCCTCGTCGTCAACATCATTCAGGTCTAGCACGGGGCTGGATTCCATAGTTCCTGCATTAGCGATTACGATATCGACCAATCCAAATTTCTGCGCAGCCTGGTTGAATAGCGTGGTCATGTCAGTCCAGTTGAGAATATCCGCTGCAAGGAAGACCGCGCGGTCGGGATGAGCGAAGGACTGAATGAGACACTCGGCCCTCTCACGGCATGATTCCAAGTCGGAGATGACTACGTTGGCGCCATGCGCGTTGAACAATGTCGCTGTTGCGGCGCCGATGCCATTGGCTGCGCCAGTGATAATAACCGTTTTAGTAGCAACCTGGGTAAGAATGGAGGCGTCAAGGTGGTATTCCTGCATTTTGCGATCTGATTATTTCTGGGATGAAGAATGCAGGAGAAAGGGATGAAAGTGTGGAAGAAAAGAGGGAGAAGAAGAAGAAGTAGAAAAGAAAACAAATGACGTGATGAGGGAGCGGGGTTATCGGTGCTTTTGTCAGCTGCTCGTCTGCGACTCTACATATGCAAGGCAGGAGATGCAGGAACACTGTAAACTGTTATCTTTGCTTTGTATTGTATACGGTGGGTACAGGCACTACGCTTGTCTATGCCACGTCAATGGCTACTCTAACTTATCGCGATCGGTCGCCCTCGACAGTCGCGACACATCAGCCGAGGATTTGGCGCTGTGTGCCGTGCTCACAGCATGGAACGAAAAGTCGAGTTCTCCGACCAAGGTTTTTACATCGCTAAAATCCGTCAGTCAGGTTTACTTCAAGTGACGGATACTCCACTCACCGCATGAGTCTATCCACATCGCCCACAATGCAACGAGTCGAGATCTGAAGCACGGCGAAAGTCGCGAACCCAGGCTCCGCGATGTGCCGCAGACTGAGAATGTCTTTGTCCAGAGCTTCGAGCCTCTTGGAAAAGCTATAAGGTCGAGGTGTCTTGAGGTAAGGTGGCAGCGGTTGTCGATTGGTGATGCTGGCTGATAGAAGGCAGAGCACAGAAGTGATCTCATGAGTCGTGATGCGTGCGCTGGCCACCAGTCTTCGAAAATCGTGAAGCCAGACAGAGTTGCTGTCTTCGGGATCGTCACCTAGCTGCAAGAGGGTGTCTGACGCATATCCGAGAAGACTCAGATAACTGACAATGCTGGTTAGGGTTAGCGGGAAACACGCAGAAGCAGAGCACGGAGCGAGTTTGATTAAGATATACCTTTCTATGCATGATATGATAGAATCATATTGCTTCTTGGGAAAGCGACCACCGATCGGCACTTCCCATTTCAAAAACTCGGAATAAGTTCGCAAGCCAGTCAGCATAAGCATCTGCTTAGAAAAAACCTTGTTCCGGGCCTTCAAAAGCCGACGCCCGGACGAGGTCTTCAACGCGACGTCGCCCTCGTCACCGCGCATGCGAGCGTTGACCGTTTCATGGATGATCGAATAATAATTGGCCAGCAAATAAAGCGAGGCTCCTAGGCTCTGACGCAGGACGGAGTGTTCCGAGATAGGATACGGAAAGAAAGTCCAAAAGAACGAAACCGCAATACCACCGGTCACTGTCGCCAGACGATAGGGCGCAAGAAGGTGAATAGGGTAGAATGGCTGTCCATTGGACGTCGCAACCTGCTCGCCGACCTTGCGGACCTGGAGCTCGTATCCAACGATCATGGACGTGGATATGATAGTAATGATGCCAACAATGCGGAACCGGAACATCTTGATCGGAATGTAAAACATGATAGATACGAATATGAAGAAGAAGACAATGACACCGGGCGTCTTCTTGCCAGGTATGAACCAGCACAAAAAGCTGAGTATCATAGCCAAAACTGTCCCCAGGATTCGAAGGACAAAGCCAAAGATACTTTGGCCGGATGTGGGAGACATGCTGAGGTTCACCATGACCATGGCCCACACAAAACGCTGCTTGATGAAGAAGGTCTGGGTGTCATGGATGAAAGCCACCACCGCAATGGTCATGGTCGCACAGGCTACCCGGAAACCATACGCGGACTCGGATGACCGTAAGAGCGAAGGAATAACTCTGATTTTGTCCCCGAGCTTTTCCCAAACGGTATGCGAGGGAAGATGCTCCGGATCCCTGCGATGCCTGTAGGCCTCGCCAAGCTGCAAGATGTTGTTCTGGGTGTGCATGTCACCCATATTGTCGTCTTCGTGGGAATCATCTGCCTTGAACACGCTTACTCCCCATTTTCGCACACGCTTCCAGCCTGGGATTATCAGGTGCTTCCTAGAAAGTTTTCCACTTTCGACTCTCTCGTCTGCAAACCGGACGAATTCCAACACAACATGACCAGCCGAATTGAGCAGTTGTTCCATCTGCGACGAAAGTTAGCGTTGCGAATCATTTCTCACCATACCAAGCAAAACCTACATAGAGGAATAGGTACAGTTGTCGCCTACTTCGATCACGACCGATTCCGTACTCGTCCTTGGGAACGTCGTCCACGTTCAGATTTGCGGATGAAGGCCGTTCAAAGAAATCGGCGGGTAGCTTAATCCCTTTTTCTTCGCTCCAAGTCCTCAGAGCAAGCTTTTTGGCCACCTTGAATTCGCGCAGCTTTCTTTCGAAATGTGTGGCAAATTCTTTATCGCCGGGACCAGGGCCAGCCTCCACGTCTGCGGATCCATTCGCTAAATTTGTAGCGGCTTTCTTGGGGGGTTTAGCCAATTTGAGCACAAACAAAGCATGCTGGAGACCTTCATCAATTGTGTGAATCATGGAATCGAATGGATCATGGACCGCTCTCATTATATCGTTCCACTCCTGCACAACCCGATGACGAATGACGTCCGGCGGTTCAGTTCCCATGGGATCGATTGGCTGGTTCCACTTGTTGTAATCGGAGAGACGCTGGAAAATATCGACGACGAAGCTAAGTCCGACGATTGGGATCATGATCTGCCGCAGGTGTCTAAAGATAGCTTGCAGGTCGTCGGGCCCTAGGTTTCCGATCGCCATCTCACGCTTTGCAAAGGTCAAATCAGCATGGAGCTTGGCGTGGAGATCGGTGAGTTTTCGAACGGCCGCCCGAATGGCCTCAGCTTCGGGGCTGTAAACCTTGCCCTTCTCTGTGATTTTTTCCACGTGAGAATCGTACGTCTCCGCGCGTCCAAACATATCGTCCCGTTCAAGTGTGCCGAAATAAGCCGTGTGCGCATTTAAAGCCGCACGCAGACCTCCGATGTAACCTGCCATTTCCTTGAAGACTACTTTCCTCGACGTGACCGGGAAGATGAAAAGACAGGTGCCTGTAGAGAAGGCTAGACCGGTAAGACATGCCTCGAGTAGTTTTGTGACCATGCTAATGGATGCGGCCATTGTCGGCAGCCGCGGGGCGTACACAAACGTCACATTGGCAACGATTGAGTAGATGATCACGGGAAATTGAAATTGCTGGTATTTGGCACGGAACGAGTGGACGAGATAAATCTCGAAAAATAGCCAGACGCCGCTGACCGCAGAGGCAGACGAATTGTACGGCGTCGCAGTGATGCCACCACTCCCGTTCGTCGCAATGTTCGAGCTAGAGGAACTGGGAATGGAAGACGGGTCGGTATGCTCGCGGGCTTTCACGCTCGAATACATCATCAGCAGAGCCACGGCGGATGCAGTGCAGACTGCCAAGACATCGAGAATCATCATCTGAATGAACTTGGCGCGAGGCATGATGGCAAAACCTAGCACCGACACGATGGCCACGAGGTATCCGACCGTGTTAAAGCGCGAGGCAAATGCATCGGCTTGGTAGCTTGTCGACGTTAGTAGATATTCCAGACCGTAGTGGCCCGATGTCGGACAGATAGATTTCATCTTACGCCGCTAAAGCTATCGTTGGCGGGATTGCGCCTCTGCCGGCATGATCAGTCCGAAATTCTCTGCATGGTTGGATGCAAGGGCACTCACTTCATCATCAACGTCACGGTCGGGATATCCAACTCCAGCCGTGCCCAGCCATTCTTGATCCTCGTTCCCAGACTATTCTTGGGCTCCTTCGTTGGCTCGGGCGGGTCTTGATGGGACCACTGCGAATCAGCCGATTGACTCGAGCTGGTACGCGAGGCCATGTTGACGCTTTCTGGCGAGGAGTGGCTCGGCGACAAAGCAACACTGGAATCTGCGTCCCCAAATCCCGAGCTGCAGGCGGACCTTCTCCGCCCGTCGTTTTCAGTCCCGCACGTGATCAGACAGCGAGTGCATCGAGGCTTCCCAAACGACCGTTCAGGTGGCGGGAGAAAGCCGAGGGCGATGGAGATGATAATGCGGGGATGTAGCGAGACGGGGAAAATTCTGTTTTGGCGAACATTAAAAAGTCTGGCATGGGAAGGAACAGGCGAAGATTGAGGATCGGCAGGCCAAATTTGTGTGGGGCAGCAGAAGAGCAGTTGCCAAGAACCACGTGCGTCTACGAAGTATGAGTTACAAATTGCAGAGAACATTGAGTATGTATGCCACGGGGCACTACAACAGTTGCTAGTATAGGAGTCATTGTCATTAATCCCTGATCAGTCAAGGGTCAAATGAATGCAGGAGAAAAAGGAGGACGTGAGGCTGCCCGACTGCACCTCGGGAGAATTGACGTCATCGGCATGGTCCATCCTGCTAAACATGCGAGGCCTCCGCTAGTCGTTGCCCTATCAATGCTTAGTCCCCTCGCTAGAATCGTTTGTGATCACAGAGTGCATTCCTGAAAAATATCTAGATGCGTAACCATCGACGACTCCAATATGAGTTATGAAGAGCTGGGACTCTTTCGCGTATGGCCGTTTGATATATCGAATCGTAGTACGAAAAGGAACGTCTGAACAGCCAAGTTTTTTTATGGCAAAGAGATATCTATCTACTGTACGGATAACCAACCCCATGCGCAGGTTTCTTTCACGGCAGCCATGGATGGGAGAGCAGGTCCTCCGCCGTGGTCCGGTCCTCGGGTCTCCATCGTAGCATTCCAGAAATAAAGTCTACAAACTGGGGCATTTCACCGTCACCATCAATCTCCTTAGCCATGGAAACCAGGTCCTTTTTCCCAATAATATTCGGGTTTTTGAATTGTCCTTCAAATCTGTTAGCTACGTCTAGCTGAGACACAGCTAGCATACCTTCAGCGTCAAAATACCGAGATGCTTCTTTCCCCCGGCTAAGAAGATCAAGTGGAGGAGGCCCCAGGAGCGTGATTATCTGACCCAGATGTGCTTCGTCTGCAGAGCCTGAGACGCGAGAGTCCGGTGGCGTATCGAAGAGTCCGCGGCCATAGAACAGGTCCCAAAGCTGATAGACTGTTAGTGGTGATCAGAGTTGTGATAGTGAGGTTTTACCATAACCCCCAAGTTCCAAATGTCAGCACTGTAGCTCCAATCGCCTCCGAGACAAACTTCCGGGGCCCGATATCCCTCTGGCTGGATGGGGTGGGTGTTCGGAGGGCCGTCACCGCGCACGGCAAGCCCAAAGTCAGTTATTACCGATCTACCTAGTTCGTTGGGCGACAGTCCCCAGTAATTTCGGGATAAGTATATGTCCCGATCGTCCAAGTGTTTCCGTGAAGAGGGGTTGTTCATCTCATCCTGTGCGACCGAGTTCAGGATAGACGGGTTGCGTAGGGACAGTAAGATGTTATCAGACTTCAGATCTTGTTTGTTTGTTAGTTGTGACCGATTCTAGAAGTGGTTCGGTCGGTTAGATGACTAGTTACCTGTGTGAATAACATGGCATTCGGTGTGAAGGTACCGTAGCCCTTCTAGTATGAGTTTAGACACCGGCTTCAAGACGTCGAGGGGGATGGTGTTTCCCTCGAAACGACGCTTCAACATCCATAAGGGTTCACAAAGCGCATCGAAGACCATGCAAACATGAGTGCCGCCCGGACTAGCAACACGAAACGAGTCTAACAAGATGGCGACAAAGTTGCGGCCTGGATGCTGGGGATTTGCTTTGGTTATATGCTCAGTAATGCGCACCTCCTGCTCCGCAGACTCCTGAGATGCATAATTGCTTGCGTTGACTTTGATGGCCACATATCGGGGTGGAAGCCATCGCCACCTATGACATAGTGAGATATGGGTTGAAAATACTTTTAGATGACATTCGCATACTGATGGAGATCCCGTGCTAGCCATACTGTCGAACTTGTTCCCCAGCCTATTTTGGCGGCGATTTGATATCGGTTATTGAGGATCTCATAAAGACGTACAGGATAAAAGTGCTGAGGTTTATAATGGGGGGTGTGTTCTTCCTCAACCAAGTCGGCCAAAGGGAGTAATCTTGGCGGGAGAGAGGGAGGTTTGTAGGGAACGGATTGGATAAGCCTTCTAATGTACATGGTCACACCGAGATGAGTGAGTCGTTGCTCACTCTGGCGTTGACCCTTGCTGGGCGGGTTTATATAAGCGCCGTATGAATCATGCACGGACCAACACTCCCTGCTAAACATGCACGTACTGGGTACCGATTTCGTCCATTCTAGATATTCACGAAGAATAGATCTCATGTATAGAATCCCCTTTCTGAGATTCATGGGTGGTCAATTCTTGCAGCCAAAGTATCTATTTAGCTGTAGTTTATCTATCTCCAAATCGGATCCCACTAGCCAATCCCACACAAAAAGTGATAAAGTAGACAACGACATAAGACTCGTACACTAAGTCAATACATAAGGATCAGCTGACTGTTGATGTTCGAATGCCTGAGGCAGCACGCCAAGCATCGTGTGTGTTGACCCCTCCTTGTCCCTGACTTCTTCTACAACCTCCCCCATCATCATCATCATGATTTTGTTATGTCCTTTCATCGGATTATCAAGATAGTCAACACCGAACATCTCTATCAAGACGTGCTACCGAGTGTGATAATTAGGGGATGAACCTGTCACGAAAATATATCCACGAAACGTAACATCTTTGACTCAACTTTGGTCCCTAGTGGTTGCCATTAGGATTTTGGCTATCGGATTTTTATAGTGTATTTTTCCCGCAACTATATTAGGATCTTCAGCGGCAATGGATATACTAACGTTGCTAGATGTGAGCCATCGAGTGATATCCGGATTGTATGCAGAACAGCCAAGGCGCATGCTTCGATCCCTCAGTTACCCATCTTAGCCATCAATAACACCCATCTAGATTTATCAAAAAAACATCTCTCTACCGTGATACCTTCTGAAAATCTCAATAACTCCGACAGCAATCCGAAGTCATGGTTGATATGAATTGCGAACTACGGCCCTCACTATGAGATGTTGGTAAGCCGATATGCCACTGATTCCTTGGAATATTCAATCATCTGAAAACTCAGAAGTAATTGACAAGATTCATTTCATGGCATACCTACCCTACTCCAAACTCTGTCCAGCATGGCCAGCAGAAGGTCTCACGTCCACGGAACGGACTCGGAACGGCGGCAACGGCAATTTACGCGGCACTCAGGTACCACAAAGTTTGTCTGGGAGAGAAAAGTCAAAGAATGAGGTTTATCCCAGCCCTGTCCGAATATTGAAGCGGATTAGACTTCAGCAGAACCATGGTTCGGTACTTGAACGATACAGAGCCTTTCTGGTCTTGGCATTGTCTCAGATAGCTGTCCAACGCTAAGCTGTGCTCCATGACAGCACATCTTCCCGGACTCGATAGTGATACATCTTCAGTCGCATGTGTCTCATCTTATCCATCAGCTTGACCCAGTTGACACATAATGCGGCCCCTCTGGCCCCTCTGTTGGTCCCAAATGACACATCTCAAGGGTGATCTCCCGCCGCTTACACACACCGAAAATCGGATCGTCGGCCACAGTGGCAAGGGGCAGATTAACCGACCCGGGGAAAAACCGCTCAGTTCCCTTGATCGATTATCAACGGTTCCTTTCGAGAGTTCATCACGATTGGTCATCCCCTGGCACGAACAAGGCACATTGTTGACAATTTTTTTTCTTTTCCCTCGGCCAGACTTGGCAGTTGGCATTTTCAACTGCCGCCCAATAGGGCAGGGCCAGCGACAATCGGCAAGTGACCGGTGGAGGTCCGTAACCGCCCTCAAACATGGACCTGCTGCAGAATCAAGAATGTGATAGGCCGATATGAACATCCGGAATTCTAGAATCTTGCAGCTCATGCACCCCTGGTTTCAAGGGACCACAATGGCGAATACCTTTTTTCGCGTTCCTCACGCGAGGAGCTCTCGGGGGTACAAAAGCCTTCAAGGGGGCCACTGTCCTAACGGACTTCTTGTAGAACACACCCTCTATTTTTCTCCGCCATGCCTCTGTCACCACTGACCACGTTACTGGCTACTGCTGCCAGCACCCCCTTGCTTTTCTCCACGGGGGTCACGGCGGAGAACGCCACGTCCAGAGCTCAAATCGCAATGGACGTGCTGCAAACGTGGTATAACGGCACCAGCGGGATCTGGGATACTTGCGGATGGTGGAACGGGGCGAACTGCCTCACGACGCTGGCCGACTTCGCGCTGGCGGATGAGTCGGTGAACGACGCGGTGGTGGGCGTGCTTGGGACCACATTCCAGGTCGCGACGATCTCGAACCCTATTCCCGAGCGCAGCGGCAACGAATTCTACAACATTACCAACGAGAAGCAGGCTGGGTCACCAAATGCCTATCAGTGGATGGATGGTTCTTATGACGACGACTCGTGGTGGGCGCTTGCGTGGATCGCAGCGTATGATGTCACGGACGATGATGAATACTTGGACTTGGCGATTGGCATCTTTGACAGACTGGTATGTTTGACTTTCTCCCCTTGCATTTTCCCCGGACTGTCCTGGCGGTGATGGCTGATGGGCATTCATGCAGAGCAACACTTGGCCTTCGAAGTGCGGGAACGGAGGAATCGACTCGGATTATTCACATGTCTATGTCAACGCTGTCACCAACGAGTTGTTCTTCTCCGTCGCGGCACACCTGGCCAACCGCGCCTCTGACAGCCAGTATTATGTCGATTGGGCCCGTAGTCAGTGGAATTGGTTCAATGCTAGCGGCATGATTAACGAGAACTATACCGTCAACGATGGACTCACGAACGACTGCGCTAACAACGGCGACACAATGTAAGTTCCCTCAAGATTTACGTTCCATAAAGCCTTTCCCCTCTTAAGCTTTTCTGTTTTGTTAAGCTTTTTATCGTGGCGCTTGCTTGCACTCAATCCCCCAAAGATAAAAACAAGGTTAACAAGAACCGCAGTTGGACCTACAATCAAGGCGTCATAATCGGCGGACTTGCCGAATTGCACCGCTCGGTCTCCAACTCATCAAACTCTTCTTATCTCGACATGGCCGGAAAGATCGCCAAGGCGGCGATCAACGAGCTCGCCGACGACAACTATGTGATCCGGGAATCATGTGAACCGGACTGCGACGCCAACGCCACGCAATTCAAGGGCATTTTCATTCGAAACCTAAAGCTTCTACACGCCATCGCGCCGGACGAGGAGTACGCGAAGGTAATTCGCGCATGCGCCGATAGCATCTGGGACAATGATCGCAGTGATCTGAACGAGTTTGGAATTAATTGGGCCGGGCCTGTCAGTGCGATCGATGCGTCCACGCACAGTTCAGCGATGGATGCGCTGGTTGCGGCCATTGACGAGGATTGAAGATCCATGCTTTTGAGTTGAAAGATAAAAGACACCGACCGTTGAAACACCCGCTGCATGTGACGCGCTGGCCGTGCCGCGATCTCGCCAGCACGGGTGTACTTGGATCAAGTGGTCCGTTCAAAAGCAAACTTACACATGACTGATCATCCTCATGAGGATTCTCGCTTGAGTTTCCTGGACGGATGAGTCGCAAGACCTCGAAGGCTTCACTCCTTGGTTTGAAACTGAGTGAGTGAAAATGACGAACTGCTACGCGCAGTATGCGAACATGATTATAGATTATAGATCATAGATAAGATAAAGCGGGAACGCAATAAAAGTCATCTTGCATTTTAGAGAATTCATTTACTTCTCGAGAAGAGTTTCACTACGAATGATTATGAGAAGAGATATAGCCACTAACCCTAACTTGCCTCGCAGAACAAATCAGCTAGTCAAAGAAAGACTGAACTGTACTGCCACGACCTGATTATAAGGACCTTGGGCCTTTAGGTGAGGTTTGCGATAAATGTGAAAGGTAATAATATTCTCGGATACCATTTTGACCTAAATTGCCGGTTCTAGCTCAATCCCTGCCCTAAAACATGCATTGGAGTGTTAAAAGTCGTAAACCCCAGGTTCAAATTTATAGAATTTCGTATCTTACCACACGGCACGAAAGATTCGCATTTATTGGGGACCTTGAGGTCCGAAAAGCCTACTATCAATTTAAAATGCTGTGGGTTCAATATGCGCCTTGATTGGTGCAGCAGATAGGCCGAACAAAAACGTTGACAGGCGTGTTGATAGTGCGAAGATTTTGCGAAGAATTGGAATTATCAATAAATAGTTGACGTGATGAAAGGATTTTATGCGCGCGCCGCTGCACCTTGCATGTATTGATACGGCATTGAGGTCTGATTTTAGAGAGCGAGATCAGTGGTCACCTGGGAACGCGGTGGTCAAGAGCGGTCAATCAAGGCATAGTAATCCATTAATGCGCACTGGTAATTCTGCCCTAATGGTTCCTATACCCTATATAGATAGTATAGTGGAATACCTTGATCATGATCAAACCAACAATATACTCACAATTGTGTTTTCTGAGATTCCCGAGATTACCCATCATGTATAACATCTGATTCATAGCAACGGGGCATTAGTCGTTTATGCCGAGTGTTCTATTGCTTCACTGTGCGCCTCCTCCATAACCTCCACGTCGCAATCAGCGAATGCCTTGTCACCAAATGCAACCGCAATCTCCTCCAGGGAATGGTGTGCCGTCTCCACATAGTAGAAATGGACAAGAATTGCGGACGAAATACAGAATCCCGCAATCACAATATAAAAATAGCCGTGGATACCAGCGAAGGCATCCGGGGACACCATACCAATGATGAAGTTGAACACCCAATTGCTAGTCGTGGCTAGGGCCATACCTTTGCTCCGACCGCGTAGTGGGAAGATTTCTGCAGGTAACAGCCACGGCATGGGTCCCCAGGTAAACCCATACAGAATATTGTAAAGCATAACGAAAGCATACTGGCCGTTTGCTTTGACTTGGATATCGAGGTCGATTTCCGTGAATACGCAAACAATTGCTAAAAGAATCGACATACCGAGACCTGTATGGAAATAGAATTGCCAGTTAGTCAAACATCCAACACCTTCATCCGGCAATGGAAAGACTGACCTCCAAGTATGAGTAAAGGTTTGCGGCCCCATCTGTCGGCCAACCACCAGGTAACGACAGTCGCAGCCGTATAGGGAAGAGCGTTTGCAGCCGTGTACAATAGGGACTTTCGGTTGTCGAAACCGGCGGATGAGAGGGTACTTGGGAGGTAAAATGAGACAATGTTGATGCCGTTAATCTGTGCAAACATCTGGACTGTGATTCCAACGATCGTTCGCTTTCGATAACGGGTGAACATTTCCTACCAAATTGTTAGGCATTGTTCACGATCGCTAGATATCATGTGGGCTGAGTAGCCGGTGACAGGAAGCAACTTACCATCCAGCTGGACTTTCCCAGATTACTCTCATAGATAACCGCCTCATGAATCTCGAGGAAGGTTCGTTCGACGTGATCCGCTTGCGTATCGCCGTTAGAATGCAAATCTGCGATCGTCTGCAGACTTTCGTCCACAAAGCCATTGATTGCCAGCCATCGGGGGGTCTCCGGCAAGAAGAAAGACATGGCTAACAACACAAAGCAGAGAGAAATCTGGACAATGAACGGTCCCTGCCATGACAGGTGATTTGGCATAAGGAAGTTGAACCCGTAGTCCACCCAACATGAAAGCATATATCCTGCAATCAAGAAGGTATACTCGATTCCAACCATCAATCCTCGACGGTGGGCCGGCGCGATTTCCGTTTGAATAATAGGTACAGTCATAGAAAGAAATCCGACACCGACTCCCTGGATGGTACGACCCGCAACGAATGTAGCAAAGCCAGGTGCAAACATCTGGATGAACGAAGCGAAGAAGTATATGAAAGCGCCAACGCGGACGCATTTCTTTCGACCGATCATGTCTCCAAGTCGTCCGGCTATGAGAGCTCCGACTGCCGCTGCTGCTTGTAGACATGCGACGGATATCCCCGTTATCGAAGGATCGACTCCACTTGTAGTCCCGTCGGCGCCCCCATAGTCCTTGAAGAAGCGGGAGACAAACACCTCGTTGACCAGCAAGCCGGACATGATACCTATCAAGTCAGCTGCTAGTCTTGTATTCCACCTTGATGACTATTACCAGAGTTGTAACCGAAGAGTGCATCCCCCAAACTGCCGAAGGCACAGGTTGCGTACAATAAGAGCGCGCCTTTGAAGGGATATCTAGCCGAGATTTTCTTCGGCTTGAGCTTCTTCTCCAGCCACCCCTGTTGCTCCTTGGCCTGCGCAGCCACGGCGAGGGACCGCTCGCGAATTGACGAGTAGGGTGTTGTCTCGGTGGATTTGGTGACACTCATAGCGCCGGTGGAATGCTCTTAGACAAGCACAGCTTATTTCAAAGAAATTATTCAAAATCTCTGCTCAGACAGCTGTAAGCAGTCGGTATGAGGGGTCTATTTCTACTCCGGATTCTGTCCCGTGGGGTAGCGCCATTTTCTTCAAATTGCTGGGGAAAGAGACTGTGGGTGGTCACCATCGGCATCTCGAGAAATGCCCGAATTTTCGAGTTTCACGTGGCCCGGGGCTGTCATTGGAAGACGCGGGGAAGCTAACCGTCTCGACTCTTAGGCAACCCGAAGCCAAGCCGTGAATGTTTAGCCGGGGACATCGAATGGTGCCAATAATGTGTTCCCGTTTGTTGACCTGTGGGCTCTGCCGGTCGAGGCGGTTCCGGAACAGTGGGGCCTGAGTCTCGGTTCCGGTGGCAAATATCACGGTTCCGGACGGCTAGATAGATTGATCACCAGTACGGAGACATCGGATCCGGATTGCGAGATTTAACGGGACCTCAAAGAGTTTGCATTTGACCTCGGGTGTTCTTCTCGTGTGGTGCGTTTCACTCGTTCGTCAGCTATAGGTAAGGTGGGTATAGTCTGTCGTTGTGTGTGTGTGTGTGATGAAAATGTTAGTGTCCGGATCCGCTGAACAGGTAGAATGTTCCGCTGAGATCTATCCCATTTCCTCTAGCCGAAGCTGGTCGGTGGAGACTCAGCAAGACCCATTGATTGGGAACCAATAACTGTGATTGATGTTACTGGCTCAGCTCGCCTGCGCATATACATATAAAGCGTTGGCAATCCCCTGGAGGATTTTAGCCAAAGGAACAAACCCAAACATGACTGTCATGAACAATTCCCAGGTTAGTTTGTATCCAGATCACAGGCAAAGCAAATGATTGTGTGGTGAATAGCCTTATTGATAGTGAGACATCTAAAGCTCCCGAACGAGGCTTTCGTGCTGCACCCAGGAGGCCAATTTTCGTTTGAGGAGCGCAGCAAACCGACCATTCAATCTCCCCGGGATGTTGTAGTCCAAGTTATGGCAACCGGCCTCTGTGGCTCAGATGTGAGTTGTTACATCAATGTTGCGTGTGAATGTCCATCTTTCCAAAATGGGCTAATGCCCTTTTCTTGATAGGTGCACTACTGGCAACACGGCCATATCGGTCGATATGTCGTCGAAAACCCTATCACTCTAGGCCACGAGTCAACAGGAATTGTAATCGAGAGTGGAAGCGATGTAAAGGGTCTCGCAGTCGGCGATCGCGTCGCCTTGGAGCCAGGAATCGCTTGCAATACCTGCAATCATTGTCGCTACGGCCGATATAACCTTTGTCAAGACATGCGCTTCGCCGCAACGCCCCCGTACGACGGAACGCTCGCCAGATATTATCGCCTTCCTGCAGAATGTTGCTTCAAGCTACCATCACATATCTCCCTGCGAGATGGCACTTTGATCGAACCCCTTAGTGTCGCCGTGCATAGCTCTCGACTGGCAGGCAACATGCAAGAAAAATCGGTTATTGTATTCGGAGCCGGACCCGTTGGCCTACTCTGTTGTTCCGTCGCGCGAGCATTCGGTGCATCGATTGTGGTTGCAGTAGACGTCGTACCAGCTCGGTTGAACTCTGCAGTCAAATATGGTGCCACGCACACACATCAGATGACAAGCGAGACGGCAGATAAAAATGCGGCGGATTTGTTGACTGCGGCGGGGCTGCTCGATGGCGCTGATATTGCTTTGGACGCGACTGGTGCGGAACCTTGCTTGAATTGTGGTATCCTCTCCCTCACGCAGGGCGGGTCATTTGTTCAAGTTGGCTTGGGAAAGCCTAATCTTTCTCTTCCGGTCGGTCAGATTTGTGACAAGGAGATTGTCTTCAGGGGCAGCTTCCGGTATGGACCTGGTGACTTTCAGTTGGCCGTTGGATTGCTGGACTCGCGACGGGTGAAACTTGACGGTCTCGTCACCCACGAGTTCCCTTTCACTGAAGCAGAGCAGGCCTTCCACAATGTAGCGGCACGGTCTGGAATCAAAAGTGTTATATATGGACCAGGAGTTGACGAGGAAGCTGCAAATGTAGCATCGAAATAAGAATCCAATCCCCACACACGAGTGTTCGGTCCTATTGCAATACACAAATAACGTGCCGTGTCTCATTTCCAAGATTATCCGGTGGCCATATTAAAAAAAGTTGTTGAATCGTTCATATGATAATCATGTCTCGTATTGGTTTCATGTCATGTCCCACAGCCAATATAACCCTCCTTCGGTATTGTCCTCATAAATGCCTTCTCCCAAAGGCCGAGAAATCCCAGGCATACTCCAGACATCAGTTGATTGCCATGGGATTTCCTGCTGTATGCCTGGCTCACTTTCATGGTATGAATCGTCACGAGTCTCTGAGGGAATATTGGAACCGAAATCTGCTGGCCCCAAAGCTAAAAATCATTTTTCTGCATTAGCAACCTTCTCATTTTGAACAGCAGTTGTGGCTTCAAACTTACCATGCTGAACAGATGTCAAACTGTCGTTGAGTCGTACAGCCCATCTCAGGTCCGAAAGTTTTTCATTCATAGCAAGATGGTGACGGGTATCCAGTGCAGCATCTAGCGGCAGCCGAAGAGTATCCTCCACAGAGAACGAATTTGAATCTGCCACAGTGTGAAGAGGTATGTGGCTCACTGCTTGGCCGTTCGCAGTAATGGGGCCGAGCATGGCCGCCGATTCCCGACGGAGAAGCATCACGACAACATTCTTCAGAACAGCAGTACTTTGTTTGGATAAAGCAGACCGTCTGCCAAGCAAGTCTTGCAGACGAAGAATTCGAGTGATAGTTCGCTTGACTTCCTGCGCGGTATCAGACAAGGGTTCGGAAAGAGCCATAACAGCCAGCACTATTGCAGCGTTAAACAGGTTTATGGCGAGAAATGCGACGAGGTGGCTATCTGTGGCGAGCTGCGCAAGAGCGGGTAGTTCTGTGATTCTCGATGTTCGTGTCGCTGCTTTCATCCATAACTCTGAGCTGATGGTATGACTGCCGAGAGTTGGAGATTCAGCTTGAAAATTTGTTTGATTCACTGAAGGGGAAGGGTACATGGGCGTATTCATTTCGCTTTCATTGGGTGATCGTTTAGTGGCGCTATAGAAATGATCGACTTGTCTCGCTAACAAAGGACGATGTAGCACGATGAGAACATTGTCGTAGGTGAGCTGTAGCGAAAGGGATTGTAAAGCATATGCTCTTACTCTTGGCCCACTTCTGGGATCAAAGTCACGATCAAGGTCCAATACTAAATCATTTGGCAAGCAGGATCTCCATTTTTGGAGATGCTGTGTGACCCTTTCGACAAGAGCAAAATAAGTGTGTCCGTTAAGATGCTCCGAAGTCCTCAAAGTCCGTGAGCCGAACACAGCCTTCAGAGCTGGCGAGGCAATCAAGTAAAGCTGATTTAACTCCCGTTGGTACGTGGAATAGCACATAGCGTTGCTTTGTCCCGCAGGCAGATCAATGAACTTCGGGTTCTCGAGCACGTCTGATGGCATTTCGAGATTGCAATCCTCGTCGTTTATGCCCAGCGGACGACCATATGTAATCGATGCAAACCTATCCCATGTGTATACTGTCCACCAAACTCTTTTCCTTTCTTCGACATCATCAAACTCTCCTCGGGAGAGTCCTCGGTGCAACCCCAAAGACTGTGACATTTTGATGGTCGCACCCAACAAGGAAAATGACAGGTTGGGTCGGCCGTGGTAGACGTGATAGGATCCTAACAGAATGCAGGTCTGGGCGGCGGTCACTGAAGGTATATCCATCAAGTCCACCAAGTTTGATTCAACAAGCTTCAACAATCTTGCTCCCACTGTTTTGAAGTCTTCGGCTTTATCGGTTAAGTCACCACCAGTTCTCTGAGATCTATACCACGAGGCCATTGCAAGCATCATCGAAAGTAGGATAAGGAATGGTCGTTGAGAAGGGAAAGCACATCCATCATTGATGGAAAGCAGGCTCTTTCGAAATTTTGGCTCGTAGATGACAAGAGAAAACCAATGCACGGCATCAAAATAACCCTCCAACAGGCTAAAAACAATGTCCATTGGAGGGAAACACTGGTCTATAATGAGGGATATGGGAAGTCGTTGGCTATTCGCCGACGGGCTTGCACGGGGGTTCTCAAAGCTGGTCTGATAACCGGGGATAGCGGAAGTGGTCTGTTCATCAATGTGGTGATTACCAAGTCCACATATCCTTTGAGCAATACCTATAGCCGATTCGGCTTCACCGCAATTCACGGATGATGGTGCGTCATGCCCATTGGGGATGAGTTCGTCGCCTCTCGAGTGCGCATCTGCTGGCCCTTGGTCATGCGATTCTGTACCCCGGCCAGGGACCATTCTAGGCGGGAATTTCTCATTGGAATTCACTGGTGAGATCTGGGGTCGGTGATGGGTCAATCTGGAGTTTCTGGTGCCCAGGCGTCTATTGCTGCATGTGAGCATTGAATCCATCGCTTGCCGATGTGGGAGATTGTCAGCTCTAGACGTACGTACTTCGGCGGGTTCGCTCTTCGTGATCGAGCTGGTGTCGTGATTGGTAGGCAATCCACATTTGCCCGGACGCACACTGAGCAGGGTCGAACAGGATCACACTATTCCTCGTTCAGCATCTGTCTCGAGTTTCAGAATTGATGTGGCCTGGGGTGGTTTACCCGTGCTTTGTGGCGCCGGCACCTTTCGCAGGCGCTCCTCACTCTGGTTGGTAACAGAGACCGGACATAGGCTTCGCCAAGGTCCTCATCCATGATATACAAAGGACAAGTGGTTGCAGAAGCAGGTCTTCTAGACCTGGAGTTTTCGGTGCAAGTGGATTTCCGCAATGTTAATGGAAGCGCTACAGACGCACCCGCCTCCGCTCCTGACACACCCCACGTGACTGGGACGGGCCCTTAGTCAGCCCCCGTGCCTCCCAATCTAGTCTAGTGTCATCGGATACACTCGTATACTTATTTCTTCTTATATAGTAACCTTTCCATAAACAATCCTAAATTCTTTCTATAATACTATCTAGAACACACATAAAACCCCCATTCTGAACTTCTGAGCACCAGCTGTTCCTTCTTATACTAAAAAGCGTGGGTATCCGCCCCGAACAGACAGAACCACTCCATATCCACATACCCCAGGGCCCAGTCTTTTCACAAACTAGAAACCAAATCAACACACGCTACGCCAAGAAGCCAACGTCAATCAATCTCACCCCAGCAGGAAAGCTAAATCCTAGCGCTGCCGGACGAAAATCCTCAAAGTCCGACTACTCTAAACAACGCTAAACTCGGCTCTTCCCCGCCCCCAACGGTTTCATTCTCCGGGGGCCTCGGGACCCGGAGCCATTCAGAGTTCTTAACGAAGCTCCACTGAGGATGTACGAAGTTCAGGACTATAGTTCTGCATGCTAGTGGACAGGGATCTGAGATTACCCATCCCATCTTACTGTGTTCATCCACTACTTGCCAGGTGGCGCTATGCAGTGGTTTTGCAATTTTCAATCCATCTGTATTGCTCAATCTCACTGCATACGCATGGATCGAGATATAAGCTATACGAGGGAGTGCGATTCGCTGATCGAGAATGTTATCTTGCGCTAGTTCCCTTAACCTACCCACCAACGTCAGATTTAAAAATGCCAGGTAATACCCACCTACTGTGTATGTGGCATACACCGTATACATTGATTCCACAAAGTTCCAAAACACCACCCCCACCCCGCATAAGACTAAAATGTACGGAGTAGTAAACCCTCCTTCAAATCGGACGTCAATCCCTCCGCCCCTCCGGCTTACCATGTGGTGGCTGTCCGCCCGGGTCGATCACCCCCCGAACTAAGAAAAGGTATCCATATTAGCTATACTTAGGATTGTGGTTTGTTCAACATCTGCGTCAGCGGCTTATGCACGGTCATACTAACAACTCTCTTTTCGAGCTCGTCTCGAGTAACTGACGCGAAGTGTTTTGATCAAGGGTTGGTGATAGGTTGGTCTAATATGCCGGCTTGGCTGCTTACTGCGTATTAAATTAGGTGAGGTGCTGGGAGTTTGCTCGTACTGAGTACGGGGGACGGAGAGGTTTGATGTCCGATATTGCATTGTTAGCTTGGTTTGAAAAACTGGGCCAGACGACCTGAGGTATTTTGAAGTAGCCGAGATGCTCGAGTAGTGGGTTGTTTGGGGATTGCACCTCTATACCCTCCCGCGGCATACTTGATGCTGGTGAAGATTCTGTTTCCGTTGAGAGTCTAGATTGTGTTATCAAGGAAAAGAATTGTTACTTGTGCTCGGTTGTAATGACTCTGTTGAACGCCTGGTACCCTGTGTTGTTGAACGTTCCTCGGTTTAATTAACATCTGTCTGTTGTCTGCCCACCATTTTCCGGTCTTATATCGTTTCAATGGTCTGACATGACCTGACTTGATAGCCTAGTCTGCTGCCATCAGTCACCAGGATTCGATGTTGGTTTGCTCCTATCCTATCGGACTTGACGTCTCCGGGGTGGCCATGCTTCAGTACGCCTTAGTCAACTTCCACGTAGTAAAACCAGTTGTCGTATAAATCTCTTATTCTGCCATCTAGGCTCAATTAATCTATATATTCCTACTGATCACGTTGCCCATATACTATTCACACTACACCCTACGCCACAGAAGACTCACTCGAACTGGTCTATCAAAACCTCACCAACATGGGCTCTATCAACGACACCCCCTCCCTAACCTTCCATCCCCTCCATCCCACCTTCGGCGCCGAATGCTCAGGCGTTGACTTCTCCAAGCCCGTGCCCCCCTCGACCATTGACGCCATCAAAGCTGGTATGGCCAAGTACGGCTTTCTCGTCTTCCGGCGCACCCAACTCGACGACGCCGGCCACGTCGCCTTCGCCTCCCAACTCGGCGACCTCGACGACTCCACGACCTGGATCAAACCGGGTCAGAAGTACCGCCTGGATCCATACACCCAGCTCACGGACGTTGGCAACATCGAAGCCGACGGCAACGTGGTCCCAACCAGCAGCCTTCGCCACCAAATGGGTCTCGGAAACGGCCTGTTCCACGTCGACTGCTCTTACAACCCTCGTCGGGCGGGGTTCTCGCTTCTTCGTGCCCATCAACTCCCGCCGAAGGGCACAGGCGGGGGCACGGCGTTTGCAGACACGCGCACGGCCTACGCTGAGCTCGACAACGACACGAAGGCACAGATAAATGACTACGTACTGTGCCATTCTCTGTGGCATAGTCGACGGCTTGGGGCGCCGGACTGTGATTTCCTGAAGCAGATGAATCCCGTGGAACTTGGGATGGCGAGACACAAGCTGGTGCAGGAGCATGAACCGAGCGGACGCACGAACTTGTATATTGCCTGGCATGCGTATAATATTGATGGGTGGACGAGAGAGGACAGTCAGCCGGTTATCGAGCGCTTGTTGGAACATGCGAGTCAGGATAAGTATACGTTTCAGGTTGATTGGGAGAATAATGGGGATTTAGTCATTTGGGTGAGTCTCTTTCCCCTAATCATTATTTTTCTCGCTATAGTATTCTGCTCTCTGGTGGTGGTTATGATTAAATGGATGAGCTACGGATGTGATAAACTAACAAAAACCAGGACAACACATGCGTCATGCACCGTGCCTGCGGCGGCTCCTTTGCAGGGAAGTACGTCCGCGACATGAGACGCGCGACGGTGCACGATTCCTCCTCCACGGCGTGGGGACTGAATGAGAAGACTGATTCTCGAGCTGGTATGTTCGGTGCTGGAATGCCGAAGCCAACGCAGGGATAGATCTGAGACGTAGGAGGGAGGGGCAATAATATGAAATAGCGAGGAATATATTCAACACTTGACGGAATATTCTATCTAACCCTCCTCTCTTGTCATTGTCATTGAAATGTTATGGAACGGTTTATGTGTAATGTTAACAGAAATGTGTGTTTGAGTGGTGTACTTGGGTAAGATAAGGAATCAACTTCCTTTGTATGCATGGTATGCTATTCAACTCAATTGTATATGCGAGAGGAGTCATTCTTAACTAATTGCCCGCGATATATCATTCCGTAAAGGAGGTTCGTATTGTGAGTCTTTGAGCATGACCTCGAAAGCTTTCCCATCGATGCTATACAAGAAGCCCGGGCAGACCTTCTACGCACGCGAAGAAATGCAAGATTCGTGTCCCTTGTACCAGACACTTTCTATTTAGGTAAAAGTACCCAAAAAGCGTCCACAGCCAAGAAAAATGAAACAAAGAGCCTGTCTCTGGAAACTTGGAAAACGAGTCTAACAAGCAAGAGTGACTAAAATAAGACAAAATAAGACAACAGACGTCCGAATGGGAAAGTCAAACAATACGCCCGAGGAGGAATAATGACCAAAACACCATACAAATCCCAAAACCGCAATCCTACTCCACAACTAAACGAAGAAGCGAAGAAGGATGCGACACGAGGCGCCCTAATGCACCTGAAGATGAGGACCTTATCCTATGCGGTTAATATTGCGATGTGATCGGGATCTTTCCGGGAAATGTAAACTAATACCGACTCAGCGGTTTTTGAAAGATTGATAAATAGGTAGATTTTTTTTTTTTTCGATATTAATATTGATCCTTCGAACTAAGAGCTCCTGCGGCGAGTGTAGATCCCTGTTGTGTAGGTCGGTAACGGGGCTTGAAAAATACCCGCATCATCACGGGAATATCCCCGAGTCCAGTACAAATGGAAAGCCCGTATTGCAAATCTTGCTGAGACTATTGTTTTATCGCCACGGCTTACCGATCAGAACACGCCACGGTTCTACTGTTGAGTCCTCTATTGGGCATTATTCTGGGTTTTGGTCTATCCACGTATGTCATCAAGGTTGAACTTTTCTTGCATACGTACACTCTGATGGAAGATGGAATAGAGACTTGGCTTTATGGTTATGAGTAGTATTTCAGGTTGTTTGTAGACCTGTAGGTATCTATACCTAGATCATATGGAGGGTGTCTAGTTCAATAGTATGAATTTGAGTCAATTATTGCTGGAGATCTACTACTCGGCCTTGCCATGTTTCCGAGAATGGGTAAATGGAATATCCCCCAATCATCGAAATTATGTAGGAAAGTCCATGTTCGCATGTTCATGCATTCAACTGGTTGGGATCATCGTAACACATCCGCGCTCTCTGCATGGCTACTACCTAATTTAGCTATCTGTATCTGATGTCAAGAGACATGCAGTCAAAAGAGGAGATACGACGGAAACGAGATTATACGAGTACGATGTGTCATGAGGACCTCAAATGTGAATGAACTCATATCCTTATTCATAACCTAAAATGTCTGCCATATACTCCGATAGAAGAACCAATGATTCAAATGCAAAAGTCTCAAAGTACACCGAACACCGGCATTTGAAACCAAAAACATATACCAAACTCAGCCATCTAAGCCTTCGACGCCTCCCTCTGCGACAAGATATGCGTCGCCAGAGCCCTCAAGTTCGCTGCGTGAGTGATAGTCGTTAACGCCAACTCCACGCTCGTCTCGCGCCGAATCCAGTTCCTTAGTTCAACAGACACCAAAGAGTCCAAGCCATACGATGAAAGAGGCGCGTCGGCTTCCACCTCGTCTCGCTCGATCATAGTCATCGCAGAGACCTTGGTGATCAGGGCTTCGATGAGACCCGTCAATGGGTCGGCAGCTGTAGTCCAGGAAGCCAATGCCGCCTGACCGCTGCCACCGCCGGTCTCGGCTGTGTCACGCTTGCGGTGATCCTCGTTGAGACGCTCCCGGATGTGCACGGGGTGGAAGTACTTCCAGGGAAGGTTGTCGACGGATTCACCGGACAGGGAGAGCTGGAACGCGGTGGCCCGGCCGTTGTGGTTCAAGGGAGAAGATTGGCCGATCACGGCGCCCTTGACCATCGTTTTAATGTCGGCCATCGTGAGCGTGGCGCCGAGTGCGCTCTTCAAGCTGGCGGTGAGTTCCCGGTCCGCAACGTACCCGACGTCGACGACGACAGGGAGGGCGATGGAGACGGTGTTTTGGCCGCGGGAATTGCGGAGCTTCGTGAAGGCGTCATAGAAGGTCTGAGGGAGGGGTTAAACGGTTAGTAAATCTGGGGCATCGATTCAAGAGCTCTAGTTACTTACTGATGTACCGCCGTAGATACTTTGTCCGACGTTGCCGGTGTCTCCCAGGAACGAAGACAGAGCAATAAAGAAGTCGAGATCTGGGAACAGCGCATCCAAGTTCCATGCACCTTGGATTCGAGGCTGGGTAATGGTGCGCCAGTCCTCATATGCGGCGTTCTCAAGCAGTTTGTCCTGATGGCAAAGTTAGTCTGGGGAACCGAAAATGCTTGAATTGAGCAGACAACTTACACTCAACAGCAGCGCACTGTGCACCACACCACGGACCGGGGGAAGGTCCTTGATTGAGTCCATCACTCTATCAAGGCTCTCCTTTGAGCCAACATCGCAAGCAAGAGCCCTAACATGAACATCGGTACCTTCGTATTTCTTCAGGAGCTCTTGGACCTCAGACCCAGAGGCGCCGCTGCGACCGAGGACGACCACATTGCGGCCACCGTTATCGATCATCCAGTATGCCAGCGAGAGACCAATACCGCGAGTACCTCCGGTAATGAGATACGTCGCATTGGGGTTGAGCTCCACGTGTGTTGGTTGTAGGGAGCTCTCCGCCAGAACACGTTCCTCCTTGCCAAAGGTGACAACGACCTTGCCAATGTTGTCACCGGATCGGAGAGTGCGCAGCGCCGTCGCGAACTGGGAGATAGGAAGCGCTGTAACAGGCTGAAGTGGCACTATGACGTTGCGTTGAAGCAAGTCGACCACCTCCGACAGGGTATCTTTCAGCTCTTCTGGGCGGTGCTCGAAGAGCTCTCGGATGTCAACACCACTGAACGTAACATTGCGGTTGAAGGGCTTCATTGGCAGGTTTGTGTTCTGAAGGGCGTCCTTTTTGCCAATTTCCACGAACCGGCCAAAGTTCGCCGTCAAGGCCCAGGTCTCGTGCAGAAGCTCTCCGCTGAGGGAGTTCACAATCACATCGACTCCCTTTCCTCCCGTGGCAACAAGGATGCCATCGCGGAATTCGGAAGTACGGCTGGAAAAGATCTGCTCCTTGGGGATGCCGTATGTCTCGTGGAGGAAAGCCCTCTTGGCCGGAGTACCGGCGGTGGCGAAGATGCGAGCACCCAGGTGCTTAGCAAGGACAACAGAAGCTTGGCCCACTGCCCCGGCCGCTGAGTGAATGAGAACAGTCTCATTTTTGCGGAGCCGGGCAATGCGAATTAGAGCAAGCACGGCGATTGAGTAAGCAAGTGGCAGGCTCGCCGCGTCAGTGCTGCTGATGTTGGATGGGAGTTTGGCAGCATGCCAGGCGGGCATTTTCTTGTATGTGGCAAAGGCACTGCCATCAAGGGCAAGGAAGAACACCTTGTCTCCTTCCACAAGATTATTGACGCGAGAGCCGGTCTTGGTAACCTTACCAACTCCATCAAAGCCCAGATGAGACCAAGGAATTGAGCCCAAGACGAGGTCAAGATCGCGCGAGCTGACACCTGCCGCTTCAACCTCGACCACGACCTCCTCCGCGCCCAACTCCTTCGTCGGGTCACTCGTTCGGCGGAAGTAAAGAGAATCAGGGCTACCCGCCGCATCGATGGTCATCTCCAGAGCCCCTTCGCCCTGCCAAATATTCTGCACTGTGCGGATAGGGACGCCCTGCTCGCCGGCGAACTGCTCCTTACCTCCCTGCATCTGTCGCATCCGAGGCAGATGGATCGAGCCGTCGTGCCAGACATAATCCTGGTCCTCGCTGGCAACAACTTCTGGATCGCGCAACTTCTCTGCGAGTTTGGTGATAGCAGATGCGCCTTGAGAGGTCGTAGGTACATTGTCAAACCACAGCAAGTTCTTGGGCTCATTCTCCAGACGGAAAGTGCGGAACATTCCCTTGATAAACTCGGCCTCCGGTGTATTGCCTTCAGGGATCACCCACAGCAGCCCAGTGTTGTGCACGAGGAAGTTCTTCAGAACCTCAAAGGTGTCTGCGTCGACGTTTGCCAGAAGGCTCTGGCGCGGAGAGTCGATGAAAATGCAGTACGGGTCATCTGCAGGAACAACCTCACCAAGGGGTTTGACTTCGGTGGCACAGCCAATACTCTCGGAAACATTGTCGGCCACAAGCTGAGCGAATTCAACTTCCTCATCATCAAGGAAGGGCCCGCAAACGGTGATATGGGAGTCATCTGCATGTCTACCGACGCGATGCGAGCAAATCACGCTCAGCATTTGCTCGGGCTTGCCGGGATAGTCCTGGATAACAGCATCAACTCCAGAGAAGCCGGAATCCAAGAGACAACGCTTCCAACCATCCACTGACAGAAGAGGACCTTCCTCGTGGTCACGGTAGTGGTCCTCAGCATACCACCAACCCGGTAGCAGAGCGAAAGGAAGCGTGGGTGGCGGGTGCTGGCCAGCCTCTAGCAAAAGAAGCTTGCCTTTAGGTTTCAGGAGACTTCGCACGTTTGTCATCGTCTCGACCATGTTCGGCGTTGCGTGCAAAACATTGGAAGCAATCACCAGATCATAGTCCTGCGTCGCAAATCCCTGGCTCACAGGGTCCTGGCTGACGTCGAACTTCTTGTAAATGATGCGGTTGTTCCAATCGGCCAGCTTCGTGCGCGCATTCTCGAAGAACCCAGTCGAAATATCAGTGAATGTATAGTCGAGGAAGGCTGGCACTTCTCTGTCGCGAGACAGAGCTTCAAGCACATGTAACGTGGTACCGGCAGTACCACCGCCGATTTCCAGAATGCGGAGATCCGGCTCGAGATCGGACAGGTGAAGAACCCATTCACCCAAGACTTTGCTAAAGTGCGCGTTTCCTACGTCGGCTTCGTAGTGACGCGTCAGGAGACCATCTTTGAGCATGATCTCCAGAGGCTGTACCTCTCCGCGCAGAATGGGAACGAGCTGCTCGCCGATGGCGCAGAGCAATTCTCCCTGGGCATCGTGGGTCCGAACGTCTTCAATCAGCGCAGTATGATCGCCACTCAAGTCAAGGCCCTCTCGCGCGACCTCGCGAGAAACAGCTCTTGCTGCCCAACCCACAAAGCGTGAAAGGTGATGCGGAAGCTGGGACCGATCATCATTCGCTGTCTCCTTCAGAGCCTTATTCATGAAGTAGGCAGCAGTGTGGTTCAACAAGCGCCGGCGTCCGTTTTCCTCCTTCGTCAAATCTCCAACTGAGAACTTGCCATATAGCTCTGCAGGAGGGATGAAATCAAAGCTAGGAACCAAGTCCCAGCACCAGGTCGATGGAAGGTGGGCAGCTGGATCATCGCCTTCGGCTGACAGGATGGAGCGGAATGTCACCGATTCCCATTCAGCTACAGGCAAGAGTCTGTTCTGACTTTGAGCAAAAGCGGCGACGCCAATATACATACGGCCACCCTTGACATCATAGTCCAGGAGACGAGTGACGATGGTAAATTTCTGCTTTGGGTCACTGGGGATGCGGTTGGAGACTCGCAGACGGCTGATGTAGTTGGGCATCTGCGCGGGTCGTTTGCCATCGACTTCTTGAAGAGGACCACCACCCTGTAGGAAACCATCCAGGGTTGGTGGGTCGACAGAAACGGGAGATCCATACTGCGTCGGCAGCGAGGACTCGAGGTCGCGCAGTTGCGCTTCGATGACAGTGTATCCTTTGCCTTCGAGGAATTTGACGGTGCTTTGGAAGGCCGGTCCATACCGTGTACCGCGCTGTCCAGCCGTCACGTACTCTCTTTGCGCATCATGCTCTTTGAGACCAGTGACATTAACCAAGGGAAGGGAAGATTTGAATGTCGGGGTTTCGGTGGTCATCTCGGTGGACTCGGGTTCAATTCGACCATAGCAGTGTCTTGTCCACCCTTCAGATTCCTTCCAGGTAGAGATTTCAAATGTCCAGACTGTAGAAGAGAACGTTCCCGTGCCTGTGGGAGCTGGTCGCAGAGTCGTGGTCATGTCGACCGTTTCTTCTTCATCAATTTCTAGACTGCGAATGGCATGGAAATCGCGCACGACCACGGCAGCCGCCTCTGTCGAGACAGTTCTTCGGACTGCTTCAATAGCACACGACAGATATCCAGTCATGGGGAAGACCACAACCCCAGCCACATTGTGGTCGCGAATCCACGGGAGCTCATCAAGATTGAAGACCTGACGGTATGACCGCTCGCTACCGCCGTTGGAGGCTGCCTTCCGACCAAGCAGTGGGTGGTAAGGCTCTCCGGGGAACATCTTCTCTTGCGTTGCGCGAGGCTTGTGCTCATATTTCACTGACTTGTCCCAGGCATACGCCGGGAGGTCTGTGAGGACATGGGCGTTGTGAACACCAGTCTGGTTGATCAATCCCAGTTGAATGGTTGGACCCATGGTGAAGATGCTGCCGGCAAGGCCGAGCAGCGCTTCATCGCCAGGAGTACCGCGCACTAGCGAGGCCAGATAGGTGAAGGAAGTTTGACGCTGCCCGTTGCGCTGGCGGATGAGGTCGACAGTCTGCTTGATCGGACTCTTGAGGGCCGCGTGCGGACCGACTTCGACAATAACGTTGGGCAGCTTCTTACCATCTTCTCCCTTCGGCGCGAAAATAGCTTCGATTGCGTCCGTAAACCGAACGGGTTGCACCAAGTTCTTGACCCAGTAGGAAGCATCCACAGAAGCTGGGTCTACGACGCCACCGGTGACGGAAGATACGAAAAGTGCACGGTTGTCGCCCTCGGAAACGGCGGAATCCTCTGCGTTGCAGTAGGGCTTGATGGTCGCCAGGTAGGAAGCCGCTACTTGCTCCATGTGCTTGGAATGGTACGCCACCTCGATCTTGAGACGACGAGCAAATATGCCCTGTGCATCTGCGACCTTGTGGATATTCTCAATGGATGACTGGTCTCCCGAGACAGTCACGCTCTGTGGGCTGTTGATAGCGGCAACAGTAGCGTATCCGTCGGCATGCTGCTCGATGAGCATCGATGCGTCTTCGAAACCAATACCCAACGCCAGCATACCCCCCTTCTTGGTTTGTTCGCGAGCCAGCTGGGCTGCAGCCTGGCCACGGAAGAAGGCAATGGCAATGGCCGCTCGGAAGGAGACCAGACCCGCAGCAAAAGCAGCACCGATCTCTCCACTGGAGTGACCGGTAACCGTCGTGGCAGTTATTCCCCAGCTCTTGAGCAGTGTCACCAGAGCCAGTTGAACGGCAGTGCAGGCCGGCTGGCTGATCTCGGCCTCGTTAACTCGCGACTGGGCGGCTGGCTTGGCCAGCTCTGAAGTCAAGGACCAAGTCGCCCCCATTTCCTGGAGATGGGCTTCAGCGCGGTCAATGGCATTTGCGAAGGCCTTGTAATGTCGGAGTCCGGAGGCCATCTGAGCGTGTCTATTCCGAGTCAGTTGAGGATTGTCAAAGGATCTGAGGGACTGAATTAACGTACTGAGCGCCCTGACCAGTAAAGGCGAAGGCAATAACCCGATCCCTAATTTTGCTTGGCTTGGATGTCGATAACTTCTCCTTGAGACTCTCCACCGAATTGGCTGTCGCGGCAACACGGTATGCGTGGTGAGTGCGGCGCTGGCCCAGAGTGTAACTCAGGTCTTTCAAGGATTCAATTGACTGGGGGGCTGTTTCCAGGTACTCCTGGAAGGATTGCAGATACGATGTGAGACTCTTTTCCGTTTTGGCGGAGAGGACAAATAGTCGCTGTGATAGGGAGTCCGGAGCAGAAACGCCATTGGTGCCGTTTGCCGCATCGATCAGGCTGCCATGTCCATTGGCACCATTGGCTTCAACGCCGTTCGTGCCATTGATGCCGTTTGCAACACCGTTGGTGCCGTTAGCAAGCTTGGAGCTCGAGGGAGCTGCCTCGAGAATGACTGCAGAGTTACTTCCGCCGAAACCTGCATTCCCGCATCAGCAATCTAATACATCTCGTCAAAGCCAACGATTCACTTACCAAAGTTCGTCACGATCACTCGTCTTGGCTCGTTCTCGGGCCAGGGAACCGGAGCTTGGGCAACCTTCAACCGGTCTCGTCCCTCGATCTTGACATTCATCTTCTCGAAGCCAGCTGTGGGCAAAATGATCCCTTTCTTGATCATAAGAATTGCTTTAACAATGGCAAGAATTCCACTCGCGCCTTCCAAGTGTCTACAAAACTAGTTAGACGGGGGCAGCCAAGCGATAAACATTCAGGACTTACCCGAAGTTTGACTTGATGGATCCAATGTACAGCGGATTGGAGGCAGTTCGGTCCTTGGCTAATACGGACGCGAAGGAACCAGCCTCAATAGGGTCACTGTTAAATTAGCTTAGAGCATGGGAATGACTGTTGGAAATACTCACCCGGCTTGCGTTCCAGTTCCGTGACCCTAGTGATTGCTTAGCAATTGCATTGAGGACAAATAAACAGGCAGTACAAACCTCAACAACAGGTGTCTGAGAGGGATCCAAGCCAACAGCTGCATGAACCTCACGCAAAAGCCTCTCTTGGGCTGACCGGCTAGGCATGGTGATACCTTCCGAACGACCGGAGTGGTTGCAGGCAGAACTGCGAATGACGGCATGGATGGGATCACCATTGCTGATGGCATCATCCAAGCGCTTTACCAGCAAGCATGCAGCACCCTCACCACGACCGAACCCAGCGGCTTTGTGGTCATATGAGTAACTGCGACCATCGGGCGATAGAGCTCTTTGAACGTATGATTAGTGTGAGTCAGGTATGATGAGATGAAAATCGACCTACCCCATCTTCTCTAATGTGATCCATAGACTAGGACTGAGACATAGCGCTGCTGATCCCACAAAAGCAGCAGTGCAGTCTCCATTCCTAAGCGCCTGACAGGCCTGATGAGCTGCATAGGCACTGCTTGCGCACGCTGTATCAATAGCAACGCTAGGGCCATTGACATCGAAAAAGTAAGAAAGACGATTGGCAAACATGCATGAGGCGACGCCAGTGGCCGAGAAAGTTGATGTTGAATAGAGGTCTTCGGAGGTACGGTGCGCATATTCTTGAGATCCACAGCCGACGAAGACACCGATCTTCTTGCCCGCCAGATCGATGAGGCTGTGCCCGGCATTTTCGGCCGCTTCTAAGGCACATTCCAGCATCATTCGATGCTGGGGGTCAGAGTTCCGAGCTTCCTCGGCTCTCATGTTGAAGAAACTGGCATCGAAGCCGTAAATGTCATCGGGAAGGAAATGCGCACCCTGTGATCGAAAGCTGCCACTTCGCTCTGCGCCCGGGTTGTGGTATGCCTTGTGGTCGAATCTCTCAGCGGGCATCTCAGTCCATGCGGACTTTGCTTCTGCCAGGTAGTCCCATAGTCCTTTTCTCCCAACGCCAGGGGCGCGGTATGAAAGGCCAACAATGGCAATCGGGACGTCGTTGGTCATGTTGAATTGTTGTGGGATGTAAAGTATTTCGTGGGTTCGTCAGTGGTGTGTGAGAGAGGTAGAGAAGGTGGACAGCGGAGACGGTTATATAGCTGGATATCTGAGATATTATCCAAGCTCAGAAAGCGTTGGGGTAAGATGATTGCCTCATTGTAAATTGGCCACCAATGAGTATGCCTCCTGTCAGATACTAGTCGGCTCGTCTATTCCTGACGTTAGTTGATAGTGCATGTCCTATCTGATCTCCCAATAGTATCCGGAGTATACATCGTCCCGCCATTTTCAGGTGTGTGGTATCCTTGTCCGAGTAGATCCTTGAGCATAGAATATTGATAAACCAGGATAATATTCCTTCCATTCGTAAGCCGGAGTTTGAGGCATGAGAAAACACCGGTCACATCAGTCGCCACGCACAGCTTGAGACTCCATAGATTCCTTCATGGAACCTGGGTCACTGAAACAATCACTATCAGTCTGGTTGGCAATCAGAGCCTGGGGGCCGAAGTCAATTGTTGCCATTGGATCCTGGGGGCTTGGTTGTTGAGCAGAAGAGCAGGATGGAGGATGGAGGATGGAGAACGGAGGGCGGGGTTTACCAAGTAGAGGTTTAGTTTGCTTCAAACTAGTCGTCCCACGTGGTGGGGATGGAGTAGGACTGACTGGAGTCCGGCACGTAAATTTAACAATTAGAACACCCCTTGGCTACTACTTTTTTGTAAACGCTTAGGCGTCTCTTACGTTGGGTTAGCAAAGGCTCGTGCGGAGTGGGTATCTGTCTGGTGGAGCTCGGACTATACATCCAGTATCATCGTCCTGATAGCTCTTCGACACCTTTGCAGTTCGATTTCATATGGAGAAGTGTACTGAAAGGCCTATTTTTCCAGTTAAACTTATTCAGCAGGTTCTTAACGCAATGTTTGGGCGCATCCAACCCTATCTCCCATTCCCTGGTATGCGATATCACGTCGTGGGAAGTGTATCGCTACGTTGACCACATTGGGATCAGCCATATTTGCCTAGTAGACGCACGCAGCATGCGGCCTCCGCCTTGCTATCTCCACAGAAATGTAGATAGTAACCCCTCAATCCCGGTTATATTAATTCCGTACCAAGCGAAAGCCACAGACGCCAACACGCCGCGTTAACCGGTTGTAGAATCCTCCATCGTCTATTTCTTCCACATGCGGATATCAGTATCTTCCTTCGTTTCTTCCTTCAATCCTCCCCTCAAGAGATGCGCTCTGTTACACTTCCTTCGTTCATTCCTCCGTATGCATGCTCCAAGTATACAGAACGCCATGCAATCAGCATGCTTCATTCAGCGGAGACAAGCATGCTACAATATGTGGCTGACTCTATTTCTCATCGCGTCTAGTCAGACTACGTCAGAGACTACCATAAGCCTCTCAATTCCTGCTCAGAGGGCATGTCGAAGCATTCTGGCGCATAAACTGAGCTTACTTTAGGGTTGCTGGAAGAGGAAGTTGGCCAGGGTTGGATGGGAATGAGTGGTGATAACAGGACTTTTGAGGCTGACTTTTACGGGGGGTGGGATGAGCAATCTGAAACTACTTGATCGCCTTCAGCATTCTGCACTATATCACTATCTCACTATATCCGCGGATCCCTGCACATAGTATGTACCTAGAGCCCCTTTGGCGAGGCTGTATTGAAAAATACCGGTAAGTTTCACTCCGGTACCGTGGTATTTGACGGTATTTGGCAAGAACGCAGCTAAGAATATTAATAGAGTCAACTGTTGATCGACGCCAGCCTTCCATTGGGAAGTAAGCTGGTCGCCTAAATCGACAATAATTCAGTTCGGGTCCGTTGGAGCTCCACCAACGTTTCTTCGCTTTCTTTTATTTCTCCTCACTACTATACTTTCTCCCCCGGGACCGGCCCGCCGGGTGGCTGACATACTAAGGTCACTCAGGCCATGCACCAAGCACTCTAAATACCGCCACAGCGTCACTCTCTGCATACGTAGACCGGCGCCACTTAATCTAACGGACCTGTCGAGCTTGTCGTGGCCTTGAAACCAGCCCCCACAGTGGAATCGGAGTTCTTGTTCTCCGGAAATTCGGCCTCTTGGTCGGCAATCTGGACACTTGGCCGGAGGGGTTTTTGATCCCTATTCGATCTGTCTTAGAACTCGCTTTACCTTCATATCCTTGAGACTTGGGCCAAGTGTCGGATGCAGAGTCGGAGCCGATGACTGCGCCGCACTATGACTATGCAGGTCGTAGTTCAGACCGTCGAGGTTTTTCAGATCGAGTGTATATTGCCCAGGCTTGGTATGTTACAGGCATCCTACGTGCCTCACTAGTTATCTAACTAACTACCTATTGTGCCTATTCGCCGACAAACCGACATTCTTCTCCCGCGAGAACACGTTCAAACTCACATCAGATTCAAGAACACCCAGAATAAGAGCGATCGTAGTCCCAACAGTCCAGCGGACTCTAATCTGTGGAGGATCTCCGCGGTGGCCGCCAGTAAGCCCGATCAGGAAATGAATACCAATCTCGACATGACTCGGTGAGCTTCAGATTGCAGATCATTCACGCTTTAGGAAGGTAGCTTAGGTCTGACTCTTATGCATTGCCTAGCGGAGCAAGGATGTCGAATGTTGACAGCCTGCAACAGACCAAGGTCAGCCCACAAATTCTTGGTTGTCTCATTATACGAGCACAGGGGGCTTAGTCTGATATGTCGTTTTGATTGATGACCGATGAATGATGACAAACCAATGCTCCTCTTTCTTACGACTCGACAGGGATGCTCATCCATCAATAATCTTCTCAATTACCTACGATGGAAGTGCCTATCTTCCTGGAGCATCCAGAATAGGAAGGTCAACGGGTGTGGATCTGACCCTAGCGCCGCCCAAAAATTCTCCGTTCCCCGATGAGCTCCACTGTAATCCCGGGGATCGCCCGACGATGAGAGGGTTTAATACTCGTCGCTCTTATTTGTGGTGTGCTGACCGGACTTTGTCCGAACATGTCATCCTGCGGTTTCTTGGATTCTGCTGGGCGCTGCGTAGTAGTATACTGGCCAAGGCTTCACTCTGCTTGGTGCTTTAATCTAGTCTTGAAGAGACCGATAATAAATAATTGTATAGAGCGATGTCACCTCGTATTGCGAGATGCAGGATAACAGATACCAGATACCACTTTAGGCTTCGCTGGCCAGCGGCCCAGACAAGCGAATTTTTACTACATGAGACATTCGTTCCGATTTGAACAATGCGCTCTCTCTCCAGAGGTGCGTGGAGGAGTGGTGTCTCTTGGGAAGGTCTACCGTAATCTCCAAAGTAGAACGTGCTGGTTCGGTAAACAATTCTGTTTCATATTCTTATGTGGGCTTGTTATTGCGTAGGTTCAGGCAGGACACCCATGCAGAAAGAAATACCGCAATCCTGCGCTGTCAACGCGCTACGAAGTCTAGATTGTGGCTTCGAAGGGTTCTTTTTCTTTCTGCTTTTTGGTCTACGTCAGGAAGGCTTGGTCCAGGCTCAGGAGATTTGTACTAGCTGAATTGGTAGGATTCCTTCTATTATCCACCTGGGGTCTATCGTATCAACATGAGCCGCAGATGATGAAATACATGGCTGGTGAGATTGTTTGCTCACGTTCACTGTGGTGAGGATTTCGTTGTTAGTAGATCGTACTTCTAGATACTCTTTACTTCATGTATAACCATGAAGCAAAACTCATCGATAGTTGACACTATATTCAATTCAGACAAGTTATGCCTCAATACGTCTCACCGTCACTAAGTCTTGAGGGCCTCGCTGTGGGGAGGTCGTACTTCTGGGAGTCTTTATTTCAAGTGTAACCATAAAGAAGATATCTTCGATACTCGAAACTATATTCACTTCTATGAGGTTATCACTCTAATATCTTCTAAAACATCGGCGTTCGCGGCGTCACAACAGATTGCACCTTGACCTTCAACCACTCCCTTATAGCCCCCCGATCCAATTTCCCCGACACAGTTCTCGGTAGCTTTTCCACTATCAACCAAATAGTAGGCACCCTCTCAACCGGCAACCTAGACCTGGCGTAGTCTCGAACTTGACCCAACCGTTCAGTCGCAGCATCCTTCTCAGTATCCGGTAGGTCCTGGAGCACGGCAGTTCGCGGAAATTGCGAATCAGCCAAACACACAACTGCAACTAGTTGCGTGCGACCGGCCGAAATCTTCGCGGAGGTGACGATCTCCCGAACATGGGTACAGCGAGCCAGAAGACTCTCCAGCTCCTCGAGCTGGAGTTTCTGTCCACCAAGCTTGACCTGGTTGTCTTGGCGGCCGACGAAGGTGATGCTTCCGTCCGAATTGTATTTGGCCAGATCGCCGGTGCGACAGAAGCGGGTTGCGTTTCGCTGGTAGGTTGAGGCCCAGAGAGGTGGCGAGATGAAGGATGGGGACGTTCTGGGGTCGTCGTTGAGGTAGCCGCGGGCGACGGAGGGCGATTCGATCCAGAGTTCCCCAACGTCGCCGATGGGTGTCAGTTCGTTGGGGTTTCCCGGCTTTACGATCCAGATGGCGCTGCCGATTGGGAAGCCAATGCTTTCTGGGTTCTCGGAGTTCGGTTTGAATTCTGCGATGGTGCTGAGGAAGGACGCCTCGCATAGTCCATAGCCGTTGAAAAAGCGGACTGCATTGCTCCAGGCGCTAGCCGTCTCAACGTCGATGGGCTCGCCGAGAGAGACTAGTGATTGTAGACAGGAGCACTCATCAGGTGACATTGTCCGGATTACTCCTGGAGGTAGAAATGCCCAGTTGGCTTTGCTGGACTGGATGAAACCAGGGAGATTCGATGCACTCGCCGCCTCAGACGGTATGCAAAGGCATCCACCGAACAAGAGAGCCGCGAATATCTCGCCAATACTGGTATTGGAAACTGGAGCAGCGAATTGGAGCACCCGGTTCCCAGACTGCAAGCCGAGACGTTCAGCGAGGGAGGTCAAGGACGAAGCAAGATTGCGGTGCTCAACCGTGACTGCCTTCGGAGCCGTTGTGCCACTTCCACTCGTAGAAACGATATAGGCGAGATCTTCTGGTGAGCTCGTCCTATTACCAACCGGCCCAATATGCTCTGGAAGTGCAGCCATAAATTCTTCGCTAACGGCAAAAACATCCGGTGCTAGATTGGCGGAGTTGCTATACTCTGCAGACGAAGTCAAGACGATTTTCACGTTCGTTGTAGAGACGATAGCGGCTCTGTAGTCATACAGAGCATATTTATCGATCTGTACGCATGCTCCGCCCGCTTTGAGGACCCCAAGCACGGCAACAATAGCCCAGAGAGATTTTTCGAAAATTAGGGCCACTGGCTTGTTAGTAGTGACACCCCTTCTCCGTAAATCATTCGCAAGGAGATCCGACAATCTGTCCAGTTCTTCATAGCTCAGCTTCCCATCGCTAGCTTCCACTGCGACTTGTTCTGGGCGCACGCGAGCCTGAGCACGAAAGACGTCGTGAACACACTTTTCGACCGGATCAGGAATGCTTTTGTTCCACTTTAGAATCTCTGCACGGTCGCGTTGATTCAATAACTGTAGTTGCCCCAGTTTGGTTTGCGACGGAACCTCCGTGAGCATTTGCAATGTGTGCTCGAATTGGTTCAAAACTCGATCCAGTTGGCGCTCATCCAGAACAGCAGGATCGTTCCTCGGTTCAACTAGGATTCCATCGTCATAGAGGCTGCACACCAGTTCAAGGCTAAAGGAGCCCTGCGGCCACAACAAGCGTTCAAACTGGACATCTGTCGCCTCTGCAGCGATCGGTAACGGTGGACGAATGTTAATCAAGGCCTGAAATCCGGAAGCGATACGGGCTGCATCGCTGAGGGCGCCGATGCTCTGAATGCCATATTGCAGGGTAGGCTGTGTTTGCAGTTGGCGCAAAGCCGTAGCTCGATCTTTGATGAGCTTTTCGACCGTTAGATTTCGCGGCAGCTGAACCTGTACCGGCACTTCAGCCAATGTGGGCCCTAGAGCGTTTTCCAGGCCGTTTAAAGCAGATGAACGACCGGACAAAACAAGACCGAACGCAACATTCTCGCTGCCCGTATAAACACCCGTCGTCAAAGCCCACGCTGCCGCGACAAACGAAGATAGATGGGAAGGAGACAACCCCTCGCCAATTCCCTTCAGTGCAATTTTCCGCGTCCCTATCTGCTTCGCATGGGGGGCAAACCCGGGGCTCACTGTCGGAAAAAGAGAGGGAACTCCTTTAAAGCGAGGACCCCAGAAAGTCTGTGCCGCAGACTCGTCGATGCTCGCGACATGCGCCACGAAGTCTTTAAATGGAGGTCGCTTTTTCGGCGATTGGCCATGATATGCGCCCACTACATCTTCTTTGAAGAAGGTAGTCACGGACCAGTAATCCATCACTGCATGATGGATCGTGGCCACAAACTTCCTACCGAAAACGGTAGATCGGAAGAGAGGTACCCCCAGGCCTAGTTTGTGTGCGTTCTCATCGTCAAGATACGCATCGAGGTCCCCAGAGTTGGTTTGCGTGACATGTTCTTCATTCGTGATAACCTGCAGTATTCCTAGTCGAGTATTGACGAACCGCGTGCGTAGAATGGGGTTCGCGGCGACCACTTGGGTCAGAGACTTGCAAAACCGATCAATATCGGCTCCAGGCCCAAAAGAAAGAGCTAAGTGGAAGACTTCGGCTCTTGCAATGAGTCGGACTTGGAGAGGGGTACAGCTGTATACATCCTCGATCTGCTCTTCGGGCACATTGCACGTTTGGGCGATTTCTGTTAGAGTCTCGCTGTCGATATCGGCTTTCGACTTCACTCTTTGAGGTCCCATTGTCGAACAGCAGAACTAAGTTCGAAAAACAAATGCAATGGCGTAAGGACCAAAATTGTCGTATGAGAGGTGCTTCAAAATCTCGATAATGCACCGAACAGAGCTAATCAGGATCAGACTAAAACTCTTGGTTTCATGGATGGCAGAACTCACAATGAGAGAGCAACATAATGCCTCTTATCCATTTGCACGACCCAATTTGTAGTAAAGTACGGGGGGCTGGCGTTACTGGCCCAACTCTCGCAGGCCTAGCCATTTTGATACCGGCTCAGCAGACACAAATGGTGGCAAGCGCCTCTGACATTTGCTTATCCAAGATCAATCGGTCCTGGGTAAGCTGGATCGGCCAAATCCTCGAAATATTAATCCTGCGTTGCTTTTTCATGCTACTTGACTGGTTGAGATTCTTCCGGTCAAACCGAAACCATAGGCCCACAGTCCCGGGCGGAGTGAAGCCCCTGCATAGGAAGAATGGCAGATAGTGACGAAGTTCTGGCCAGCCGCACGTCAGAAAGTGAGAGGATAAATCGGATCCTCGTGACTTTCGGGGCGGCGTAATTTGTGTTTCACAAGAAGGCCCAGTGAAACTTTCAATACCAGACGTCCCAATCGATTTATTTCCACGGAGGCGCTGATCAGGTGACTCTCACGTGTCGACGTGCTCTCCGGACAAAAACGGACTAGCGCCATCGCGATAAGATTGCTCGCGCGGGGTCTTTTTCTCCCACCTTTCGATCATCCTCCCAGGTCGTGTGTACGGCGTTTTGGTCATCTTTCAGGGACTCGTTCTTTTCAATATTCCTATGGATAGTCTAGAAGACAGATGCGCCTCGCTGCGCGCTCAGATTGCCGCTACGGAAACCCAGCTGGCGGGTTTGAAACGCGACCTGGAGAATGCGGAGCAGGCAGCCTCGACAACCAGGGCGCAGGAGGCTGCCACCACTCGGAATGAGAACAGGAAATGGCCACTGTTGGGCGAGGAGTATCGGCGCTATGGGAGACAGATGATTGTTCCGCAGCTGGGATTGCAAGGTTGGTTGAGGTCAAGCTAGCACTTTGAACATTACGTTAACGAGGCCTCGGTTGATGATACAGGGCAGTTGAAGTTGCGCGCCGCTAAAGTATTGCTTGTGGGAGCTGGAGGTCTGGGATGTCCGGCCGCCTTATATCTGGCCGGCGCGGGCGTGGGTACGATAGGCCTCGTCGATGGCGATACGGTTGATACGTCGAATTTGCATCGTCAGGTTCTGCACCGAAGCGAGAACGTGGGGAAGTTGAAGGTGGACAGTGCGATCGAGTACCTGCGCGAGTAAGTAGCCACCCTATTTAGCATGGGCGCCGTTCAAGGGGATGAGCTGACCGGCTGTGTGCTTAGGTTGAACCCCCATCCTACATACATCCCTCACCGAGCGCACCTCTCCCCTCAGGAAGCACCAGGCATCTTCGAGAAATATGATTTGATTCTTGATTGCACCGATAATCCGGCAACTCGCTATTTGATCTCTGATACCGCTGTGCTTCTTGAGAAACCCTTGGTTTCGGCGTCGGCCTTGCGCACTGAGGGTCAACTCATGGTGTTGAATAACCCTCCTCGACCGGTCGGCGACAAAACCGGAGGCCCTTGCTACCGATGTGTCTTTCCCCGACCGCCGCCGGCCAACAGTATTCTGAGTTGCGCTGATGGGGGGATTATCGGTCCTGTTGTGGGCACGATGGGCGTTCTCCAGGCGGTCGAGGCAATCAAAGTAATCACTGCCGCAGTTGACGAAACAAAGCCGCCCTCGCTGCTTATCTTCTCCGCATACTCGGCGCCTCAGTTTCGATCTATCAAATTGCGATCCCGTCGACCGAACTGTGCCGTTTGTTCTGCCGAGGCTACCGTCACTCTTGACTCTGTCAAGTCGGGGTCTACCGATTATGTTTTCTTCTGCGGCACCGTGAACCCAGAATCGCTATTGACTCCGGAGGAGCGGATCTCGCCATTGGAATACCAAACCTTGTATTCCCAGTCGTCGGGAGAATCTCAACCCCAGAAGCAGCCCACTATCATCGATGTCCGCGAAAAGGTCCAGTATGATATCTGCAGCCTGGACAACAGCGTCAACGTTCCCATCTCAACCATCTTATCCGGAACAGCCACAACAAGCACCGAAGGCAGCGAACAATCGACTCCCCCATCATGGCTTCCAGAGCCCATCGCCTCTGACTTGACTGGCCCCATTTACGTTGTCTGCCGTCTAGGCAACGACTCCCAGATCGCCGTCAAAAAGCTCAAAGAATCAGGGTTAGATCGCAGCGGCCAGCGAACGATCGCCGATATCCGCGGGGGATTCCGTGCCTGGCGCGAACAGGTTGATCCTGAATGGCCCGAGTATTGAATGAGACAGAAGGGCGACAAAAAGAAAAAGAGAGAAGACACGACCTGATGCATCACGCATGTATTAATCATGAACACCGTACATAGAATCAGCAGTATCATTAGTTAGAACCAGCAAGCCACATCACAGCGTCTTGTCAACCGGCGCCTCATCCAACCACGCCCATTCAATCAACACGCGACCGAGATCCATGTCCGCGAGCCGTTTAAACACCGCCGAAGAAACGTCCAGGTCGGTGGCCTCGCATCCAACGCCTACATTGTCATCGTTAGCACTTGAGCTATGTTATGTTTCATTTCCTTCCGCCTGTCTTTCCCTCTTGTCCTTTCCAAGAGGAAAAAGGGAATGAAGAAAAAACCTACACCGATCCACAACCATCACATCAACACTACTCTCCCCCCGTTTAACTCTCAACTTCAGTCCGCACAGGGGATTCGCATTCGGATTCGAGCCCGTCGACGCCGCATCGAACAATTTATGCGAGACCGCGCATATCATGTCCGAGCTGGAACTGGTGATGCCGCAGGATCCCAGTGCCGGGTCGTAGTAGGTCAGGTCGCCTTTGTAGGGGCCGCCGTGGGCGGTCGGGAGAGGGAGGTTTGCATGTCTAGAGTGGTTTGAAGCGCGTCTGTCAGTATTCAATTTATTCGAACTGCATTATTTCATGGGTGGCTGTTCGGATGCGTTGCGAACATAGAGGATATACAGAGTGTGAACAGGATAAATTGAAATAGTATAGAGAAAGGAGATCAACTCACCCACTCCCCCTCCTCGTCAACCCAACAGCAAGTCCAAAAACCAGCGCAATCAGCGCCAAACACCCAAAGAAGGCCACGACAATAATCGTCCGTTTGCGCTGTGACAGCGCGAACCACCGCCGGGTCCCGTTCTGCCACCATTGCGGGCCTGAGCCTGGCGACGGGGCTCCCGGCCCCGTAGGCGGAGGCGGAGGCGGAGAAGTCGCTGTCGTTGTCGCATTCTCCTCGTCCTTGGGTAGAGGTAAAGGTTTGCGTTTAGGGACGTCCATGTCCATACCTATACCCAAGGGGCGGTTATTTATCTGGAATGATTGAAATGGGAAGGATGGGGGAGTGCATGATGGATGAATTGGATCATTGCGACCGACAGATTTGGGAAAAGATAGGGGTCTGGGGTACTTGTCGCTAGACACTTTAGGTGTAACTCGCGCCTTTTTGCGACGCGAGGGAAGTCAGTCCTGATTGGCCTGAGGCTGTCAGGCACCGGCTGCCCCAGGCATCCCAGTCAGGCGAAATGCTTGGCAGGTTGCACCTCAGGCATTAAGGCATCAGGGCATCAACAAGGCCCAAGTATATCATTTGCGGGGATTCTATTGAAGATGTCTACCAAACGATTCCTATATGTTCTTCTTCTATCCGTAATAAGTTTACCTTTATCCACTGATGTGCCAGAAATAGCCAAACCCTAGAATAAGTTCGATTTCGACAATCAACCAAGCATTATAGCAACCATATGTTGAGAAATATTAAATGCTAACTACTGTCCATACTAAATAACAACCAACCCCCCTAAGCATTATAGTTTGGTTATGTCATATAAGTTCAGTCCATTTCAAATGAAATTCACAAACCACACTCCCCAGCCTCATGATCATCATCCTCATCCTCTCTATCATCGACAACGTCCCTCAGCTCAGCTCTCGGCTCAACCACCCTCTTCAAAGTCTTCCTAACCAGCGTCCTCTGTTCAAATGCATACGCCATCCCAACTAACTCCTTCTCACTCCACTTCTTACCCAAGAAGCTGATTCCGAACGGGATCCCCGGCGCAATAAATACCATGTCACCCCGATCATTATGCTCGATTGCCGACGAATTCGGAAACGCACCCATCGGGACCGTAATGGCCGGCGCACCGACTAGAGCCGGAATATCGGCTGCGATGCCCGTGGGCAGGATGATGGCATCAAGCTGGTGACGGGACAGAGCGCCGAGCAAGCCGCCTTCGCCACCGTAGTAGAGGCTTTTTTGATACATGGCCCAGAATTCAGGCGATGTGTTTGAGAGGCCGGTGGAGATGGCGAGGTCCCAGACTTGGGTATCGCGGGAGGGATATTCTTCGAGGGGATCCTGCTGGGTGAAGCTGCGGATGTCGGAGAGGTTGTGGAGGTTGTGTGGGTTTGTGGTGAGATTGTCGTTGAGGTAGTCGGAGATACTGGAGATGAAGTCGATGGCCATGACGGCTAGCGTCGTGTTTCTGTCCGTGATGTATTCCTCGTATGCGGTGAAGTTGGTGTCGCGAACAATGACGGCGCCGGCTTGGGCCATCACTGACACTGCGGCCTTGAAGGCCGTGGCCATGGGTGTAAAGCTTCCGGTTAGAGTGCTTAGGACGTTCTGAGGGATGCCGATTCGCTTTCCCTGTAGACCGGAGAGCTGGCAGGCGGCGACATAATCGGGAGGAGAGGATCCGTATGGCGAGGCCAGGGTATAATTGTCATAGGGGTCTGGTCCGGTCATAGCCTGCAGTAACAACGCGGCGTCTTTCACGGTCCTCGCCATGGGTCCGACCGTATCTTGACGGGGACTGACGGGGATGACCAGACGGCGAGAGGTCAAACCGACTGTGGGCTTGATGCCCACGATATTGCTCACTTCACTTGGAAGGAGAATACTCCCGCTAGTCTACGAAATGGTTAACCCATCCATCCTCGTCATCCATTCAAACACAAGAAAGCAAAGCCAGATAAACAAACCCACCTCCGTCCCCAGTGCTGCAAAGGCCAATGCCAAATCAGTAGCCACGGCACTCCCACTCGAGCTCCCATTGGGATCCTGCTTGGGATGATAAGCTGCATATGTCTGACCGCCACGCGCGTTCCACCCGTTAGAGGAATTCATCGACCGGACATTCGCCCACTCCGACAAGCTGGTCTTCCCAAGAATGATCAGTCCGTGGTCACGTAGTCGAGCTACGACGGTGGAATCGTCATCCAATTCAGCTCCCACAAGAGCGTACGAGCCAGCTAGAGAGAGAACACATTAGTCTACTGGACACGAATCAAGATCAATGCCGCAGGAAGGAACCACATACCAGCCGTCTGCATCTTATCACGCGTTCCGATATTATCTTTCACGAGAACCGGTAGCCCATGAAGAGGTCTATACACCGTCAACAATAAGCCATTGTTCCATCAAACGGAAGGTAGAAGACATACCCACGGAGATGACCCCCCTCTCTCTCCTGATCCAACTGCTCGGCAATTTTCAGGGCGTCGGGGTTTACTTCCAGAACTGCGTGGAGGGTGGAGTTCACGTCGTTGATTCGTTGAATGTACGCCTGATATCGTCAGTTCGATGTATGTCCAAGTATAAACCCCACATCACAACGATATAGGCACGAGGAACAACATACATTGACCAAATCCACACTCGTGAAGCACCCATTCTCCAAGCCACCATGGAGCTGATCAAACGTCGCATCGGTCAGACTGGGAAGGGTACAATCATTTCTCTTCGTGCCAACGACTATAGACGAGCGTCCATCGACAATAGTACCCAGGAAGAACGCAAAGAGAAGAAGCCAAATATGAGAAATCATGATGAAATTGTTAGGGAGAGCAATGAAGAACAGCAATAGCTTAAAGCAAGAAAAGAATGGTCCAGAGTGACCTAGAATGCGAGGGTTATGCGATGGTCTCCCTGTTGGCTAGGGGCAAGGTCACTAAACGTAGGCGATTGTCAACAGAGAGGTATATGTGAAGTGATTAAGATTTGGAAATGATGATGTTTAGCCGAGTGGTAAAAGGAAGGACGTTCGACCTCGCACAGGAAATGCAGTGCCACGATTTTCATCTCCACTAAAGGGCCTTGTCTCCGCGTTGTGAAACCCCAGACTCAGAAACCGTTGAATTTATGTGCATATCATCTAACGCTCTAGCATACCGTATCTAACCTCTCGGCCATCTAATTCACATTTATCCCAAGTCTTCCAGAGTATAAAGTCATGATACAATCATTTAACGTCACCACAGACAAACACACATAGGACTCTGCCTAGTGCTTGTCCTGCTCGCCAGGAGCAACATTCACGGAAGTAACAGGGCTGTTCTCCTCATCCGTACGCTCAATATGAGTGGTCACCCCCTTGTTCAGAGTATGTTCCACCGCCGCGCGCCGGTCAGCCTCGTCCACAACGCCAAAGAGGACATCCATTTCCTCCAGGGTTCGGCCCTTGGTTTCCTTGGCAAAGAAGAACACAAAGACACCCATGGCCAGGCAGAAAATACCGAACATGAGGAAGGTTCGCCAGCCCGTGTTGTGGATTGCATGAGGGGTCACTTCGGTAATGACGAAGTTGAAAAGCCACTGCGAGGTGGCTCCGAGACCAACTCCGTACGCTCGTAAGCGGGTGGGGAAAATCTATTGACACCTCAGTCAGTGGACAAATTTATTGAGAGTGTGGGGGCTTAAGGACACATAAGGAAGAAGGCTGATATCGGAGCGGTCAGGGATATAAGACAGGAGCATCTTACCTCACTCATGTACACCCATGGAGTGGGACCCCAGGAGAAACTGTATCCGATCACGTAAAAATAGATCATCACGACCATGGCAATGGAGGCCTTTGAGACACCCGAGCCAGCCTTGTCCGGGTCAGGGGGGTTTGTGGCTAAGACAGCGCCGATGATAAACATCATGCTGGCCATCCAGGCGGAGCCACCCAGGAGACTCTTTTTCCGACCCCATCGGTCGATTCCAATAAACAGGAAGATGGCCGTGGCGACGACCTTCACCGTTCCGTAGACACCCGTAGCAAACAAAGAGGAGTTAGTGGCACTGAGACCGATCGTCTGGAAGATCTGGGGTGCGTAGTATCCGATACTGTTGGTGCCCGAAAACTGCTGGCACAGCATGAGAACGAAGGCAAACAGGAAGCGGTTCCGGTTGCTCTTCTGCAGGAACTCCTTGTAGGTAAGACCCTCCGTGGCGGCGTTCTCTTCTGCGATGGACGCGCGAATCTCGGCAATCTCTTTCTGAACGCCTGCCTCATTGGGCGACTCATTCCGGATGTACGCGAGCGACTGCAGGGCCTCCTCGTGGCGGCCCTTGCCCGTCAGCCAGCGGGGAGACTCCTTTAGGAAGAACAGGCCGATCAGCATGAGACCGCCGGGAATGAGCTGGATTGAGACCGGAATACGCCACTGCTTGGTACTGGAGGGCACCCGCAGGGCAACGCCGTAGTCCAGCCAGTAGGCGAAGGTGCTTCCGATGACCAAGAATTCCTGAAACATGCCGGCAATACGACCACGGGTCTCGGGAGGAGCGTTCTCGCCCACGTAGACAGGGGTAATGCTAGACATTCCACCAATGCCCAGACCCGCCACCACACGACCGGCATAGATCAGCCCGATTTCATGGTGCGCACCGACTTGCAGCGCAGCTCCGACCAGGAAAACCATGGTAAATATCATCAGCGAGTAACGACGTCCCAGACGGTCGTTGAGGAAAGCAGCAGCGATGGCACCGAAGAAACAGCCCGCCGTCAACAGCGACACGACATTGGAGGAGACCTGAGCATTGGACGACGACTCGAACCCGTCGGAGTCGAGAGGCAACCCGAAATCCCGTTTGAAACTGTCCATGGCCAGGACACTACCCATGACACCGGTGTCATATCCTAGAAAAACATTCCACATTAGCCAATAATAACATATATCGGTTCAGAACAAGACACGACGAACCGAAAAGCAGAGACCCCGAATAGGCCACCGTTGTCAAGATATAGACACGATAATTCTTGAAGAAGCCCATGATGACGAGAATCCCCTAGCCTAGGTACACAAAAGGGAGGGCTTTCTGGGGAGAGAAAAAAAGGGAAAGAAACTGGGGCATCTTCCCCAGACACAGGCCCTATTTATTTCTTTTTCCTCCCCCCATAAATCCTACCCCAACCCATCCATTCCTTCCTCCAGACGAGCCCCATCCGTCATCACTATTTCCGATGGGCCGGAGACCGGATGAATGACGATCGTAAAGATGGGGAACACTTATTGGGGACAGCAAAGGGTGACCCCAGTTTCTTTTGCTCTCTCTCGGCGCCCTGTGCTGAATCTAGCAACGCCGTGGGAGGACACCGACTCGGCAATGCTTCTTTCGATTCCGGGGGGTGGATACGGACGGAGAAATTATCGCAGTCGTGAGGAGATGGATTTTTCCGTCCACTGAACGGCGGTCACTAATGCGCCGCTAAGAGCATCGTTTCCGGTCCTTTTGACTGGGCAGCTGTCGGTGGCTGCGATATAGGGCGATCATGCCAGGATTAATTTTTCTCGTCCATCCCCATTGCCACGGAGAGTCCACATTCCGACAATAATGATGAAAGAGGGATATCGGTGCTGCAACGATTGCCAGAATATGGGCTGTTGGTTGCATTGAAGTGGATGAGAAAGAGAAAATCCATTCCTTCTTGGAGGCGGTCAAAATGGCCTCGATGCATGTGACCTGCGCAACCCTCAACGTCTTTGGCCTGTCGCCCTGCAATGATATTCCTAGTCCGACCAATCTGTACTAATCAATTAATTAACCTTGTCTCACACCTTCATCCGCAGATATTTCTCTTCTAACCAGTCCTCAATCCCTGCTTATCCCCTCTCTTCCTCCCCTCGGTGTCGCCATCACCTTGATATGATCATTCGGATTCGCCAGCTCCTCAAACCCCTTCTCAACAATCTCCTCCAGCCTCACTTTTCTCGTTATCATGCGTTCAATGCCTGCCAATTGACCTGGTATCTTGCATAAGCACGTTCTGGTCCGGACGTAACCGCATTTAGAGTGACACTCACCGACGACAAAAGCAGCTACCACCTCTTGGAAATCTCGTTCGTCATACGCCAAGGACGCTTTGTATGTAAGCTCCTTTAGCAGAAACTTGAGAACAGGGATGGTAATCTTGAGCCAATCAAGGCGTCAGCCAGTCAGCCACTTTTTCTTTCTTTCTTGTCTATCCCGTTTCCCGTTCCTTTTCCCCGGTCCGAGGCCAGTCGGAATCCGCTCTCCCCCGGACGGAGAATATGATATGGAATGATATGATGTGATGCGAACAAGTGGCCACAGTGTAACCGCATATGTACTCACCGGCACCTTCGCAATCGCCAGATTCACATACTTCCCTGCGAACCTAAGCGCCTGGCACGCGGCGTCCATCCCAGACTGGGCGCCCGCGCAATCAAACACGATGCCGACGCCTTCGCCGTCCGAACTCGCCTCCCGACACCGACTCACCACGTCCTCGCTCGTCGGATCCAAAACCGTCTGCACGAGGCCATTAAACGCTTCCCGTCTTTTCGCCGCCGGCTCCGACACGACCACCCTCTCCGCTCCCCTCGCCCGCAGCACAAACGCAACAGCCACGCCGACGGGGCCTCCGCCCACAATCAAAACGGGCGTTGACTTGACATGCGAATCGGGCTCCTGGCCGTTGTTATGAAGCCCGGACAGTCGCACGGCATGCCACGCCACCGCTAACGGCTCGATCAGGGCCGCGGTTGCGAGATCGACGTCGTCGGGCAAGACATGCACGCTGGACGGCGACACGGCGACCGTGCTGGCCAGGCCGCCGCCGCCACCCGAGAGGCCCATGAAGCCGACGGATCGGCAGCAGTTGGTTGCTGATTTGCTGCATGGCGTGCAGCTAGAGCAGTAGAGGCGTGGGTCGAGGACTACTTTCTGTCCCGCAGTGAGAGGGGTGCTTGGTGGCGCTTGAATGATTCGGCCGCTGATTTCGTGGCCCATTGTTACAGGTAGTGTTTCCTGCGTCAGAGGATGTGGGCCTCGTTGAGGGCTGGGGATTGCGATGGGTCCTGCATCTCTCATATTAGATAACACTGTGAATGATGGGATGGGGTGAAATAGAGAGCTTACCAACGAGATATTCGTTCAGGTCGCTGCCGCAGATCCCGCACCATTCGACCGCGACGAGGACTTGTTCCGGGGATGGTGATGGAAGAGGGATCTCTTCGATGCGAATATCCCTGGAGGCGTAGTATCGGGCGGCTTTCATCGTGGCTTTTTGGTGTTTGACTGGATCTTGACTGCGACTATATGATGTTGCTGAAGGGAGATTCTCAAATGTTGGCACAAATGCGGGGGAATCTAGTCACTCTCTCCATCTTCTGCCTGCTCGTACCTCGGTTTAATGGGTTTGCTGGCCAATGGATTACAGCTCGTGTGACGTATCTCCTCAAGAGGGGGAACATGCTGGATTTAACGCTCAACAGAAGGTTGCTCATCTCAACAAGCTTCACCCAGACTAACTTGAATACCACAGCTAGCGATAGAGATGGCGAGTTGAACCGACGGCTATATCTTCACATTTGAAGGGAAATACACCAACTACATACAATCTCAAAGCTTATAGTGCGCCCTCGGAACATTATCATAGTAAGGCACCACTACCATCCCCGGATCATCCGTCTGTCCGACCATCGCCGTCGTCATCGGATGAATCGGCTTATCATCCACGATCAGATTCACGCAGCTAGGGCCCTCCTCCTTCTGTAGTCTCTTCACCGTCTCCGCAATATCATCAATCTTCTCCAGCTTGGCACTGGCATTTCCCAAAGCCTTCGCAACAAGGTCATACTCCGCCACGGGGCTCAACGAGCTAACAGGTCGGGCTGGGTTCTTGCTGCCATATACCAGCTGCTGGCCGTTCGAGCTCATGCCCCAGCAGTAGTTGTTGACCACCACTGTCAATATATTCAGATTCATGCGCTTGAAAGTATCGAGTTCCATGAAATGAAACCCGGCTGAGCCGTCACCGTGTATCATGACGATTCTGCGATGAGGCACTGCGATGGCGGCTCCTAGGGCGTACCCGAATCCGTTCCCTAGGAATCCGAGGTTTCCTGTCGAAGTCAAAACAGCGCTAGGTGCACAGAGATGGACCACATCGCTGGCCCACCCGGAAGCCTCGCCGCCGTCCAGAATGACGATGCTATCTTGCTCGATGGACGAGAACACATGCTTAAGGGCGTGGTACGGGTGGAGCCGCCCGGAAGGCTGTACCTGGGGCTCAGTTTCAAAGGGAGATGGCAAACTCTTCAGGGATAGTGTTTTTTGGATCCAATCTGAATCAATATTGGAGGACAAGAAGTCGAAATTGGCGTTAAGCGCGGCCAGGAATTGGCCTACGTCAGAAACAACACCCAGATCAACAGGGAGCGTCCTGCCTATTTCGCCGCCGTCCACGTCGACTTGCACCAGTTTGCAGTTTTCCCCAGGAATGATGGCGCCGCTGCGCAATCCGAGAAACATCCCAGTTCTTGCACCCAGGAGCAGCACGAGATCTGGTTTAGGACCATCAAGTAGAGCGAGTTTGCCGGCGGAGCCGCCATAAAATGTACTTGAAGCCGGCACAGCAGGCATTCTAGATTTCGGCGAATGGAAAATAGGAATACCGCTGTTCATTGAGAACTCTACGACCTGGTTTCCAGCCTAGCAGCCGCTCCGTTAGTCTTGACAGAACCCAAAAAGCACATCCAAAGTCACATACCTGCTCTGACTTGACCCCCGTACCAACAATCATCACCGGTCGCTTCGCAGACTTCAGTAGCTTCGCGGCAGCCTGGACAGCCTCGGTATGTGCACCAGGCGCAAACGCCAACGGCGAGGAGATCGAGCCCCATGAAATCAACGGCCGATGAACCGGCGAGAAAAGCACATCGATCGGAAAATCGACCAACACCGGTCCTGCTCAGGAACTCTGCGATTAGAAAATTTCTTACAAATCATGAATGACATGCACTGAACCTACCCGGAGCGCCCGACAACGCCGTCCTCACAGCCAACGAGATAATCCTCGGCGTATCCTCCGGGTTCGTCATGCGGTGCGCGAACTTGGTAAGCGGCCGCGAGGCCACCACTTGGTCGATAACTCCTTGGAGTGAGTTATTCTCTGCATCTCTCAACGGCGGAGACGAGGTGATGCAGAGGATCGGATGGCGATCGGCCAGCGCCGTCGCGAGGCCAGGAATTCCATTCGAGAACCTTTGCATTCGTCAGTCCCTGTGGCTAGTGACACGACATACCTAGAAAGTCAAGAGTAGGATATCTGCGGGTCCTCTCACCCGCTATTAGCCGTCACAAAACACACCCCAATCTTAGAGGTCAGTGTCGCGTACGCCTCTGCCGCTTGAACGGCGACCGTTTCATGACGCGTATCGATAAGCCGGATGCCCGAGAACTCGCATCCCATGAGAAACGCATCCAGATGGCCTCCGTGCAGCCCGAACGCGACCTCCACACCGATATTCCTGAGCGATTGTGCAAGGAGGTCGCCGCCGGTTAGTTCTCGGGTCCCGGGGTCTTGAAGCGTGAAACCGGCCATTTATCTTGTTTTCCTGCTAGCTATTCAGAATGGATCCTTGATTTCAGGGTACGCTATCGTGCAAGCAGGGAAATGCAACTCCATTGTCTCAATGTTCCTATAAAATGTCTATAGCTTGATGGTATCCGCACTGCGTTACCGAGGAACAGTTCATCGGTAGCACAGATAGTGCGGGGTTATGACGTGGGCAGAGAGCGAAGGATCTCCTTCAGCAAGGAGAGGGGAAGATGAGCTTGCTCTCCCTGCATTTGATTCTGCATAAAAACGGGTGTATTCTTTGCAGTGTGCAGGTTCGATCAGGATAAGGACTAGGCAAGAGCCCTACTGGGTTGTTCCATGGCTTCCACGGCGCGTGGCGGTCTGCTAGGGATGGCCGGGATGCGCAAGAAACAGGGATTTCCAGGACCTGGGAAGATCTGTATGTAAAATGTCGTAGCGACAGTAGAATTCATAGAAGCACTTCACTCAAGGATCGAATGGCTGATGTTGACGAGACGAAGTTGTTGATGGTCTGCCATCGCCAGTATGTGCTGACTCATCAGGCTGTGAAGCACGTGTTGCAGCGTGCCTGAATCAGGCAGGCCATCGACACCTCAGGTTTGAAAAAGATAACACATCTGTGAAGAACAGGAAAATGCATACTGCCTTATGATCAGAGCGTGCTAGGTCAATTTCAATAAGGCTGCCCCTTGCGCCATGATGTCCGAAACAGACCAGGGTATTTTACCACCTGACTACAAGACATGAACGCACTCGAAGTATGGGACCTGCAACGAAGTCGAAGCCAGGGATACTATACCTATCGGCGATTCAGGCAGACAGCCAGCCCTACAGTCATAACCTGGAATGAACCATCCGGACAGTCCACGGGTACATACCCAGTACAAACTATATATCTTCACCAGGTCATACTATCCACGACATTCACTGCCAAGATATATACCTGGTGAACTCGATGGTCGGCAAGTCCACCACAACCCTACTTTCCTCTCCATTTCACCTTCATACGCAACAATCTCAAGGGCTTAGAGTCAGTATTCTGCTATAACTTGCAAATAAAAATAAATAAATAAACAAAAGAATGACCCAGCTCACCTGACCATCCAATCACATGACCTAACAGGCTAACCCTCGGCCGATGATCGACGGAGCATGTGGGTGGATCATTGGTGATTATCAGGGGAACCCAAGTCCGCACGCACTCCCGAAGAATGCATGATCCGCTCTGCAACAGACACTCTAATTCTTGCATCTTCGTGATTCTTGATTCGGGGGCCACATGTGGGCGGTTGACTGGCTCTGAAGGCTTGTTGCGAGGGGGGATGCACTATTTGCGGACGATGATTTGCTGGTTTGCTTGTGCATGAAGTGTGCATGAAGGACTTATCTATGTGGTTATTGATTTTCATGCGGCACGATAAGTCGAGAGCTAAAAGGGGCACATGCGTTGTTGACTCGATGCTGTGTGATGTAGGGAGAAAACCGACATACCGACTCATCACTTACCTACTAATTAGTTAGCTTGGTCTGATTTCTGTGAAATGGGAATTGAGACTCGGTATCTTGTAGACTGGACTCCCCCCACCTTTGAGAATGTTGTCCTTTTTTCTTTGTCTCTTTCTCCCCCCTGGCTTGGTATGCATCCTATCAGCATTCCGACTAAATAGCGCCAGCGACAAGAAACGGCTGGAATGCTTCTCTGCGCACTCTTGTGTAACTGCAACGGTAACGCAGACAGGGCTTGAGCCTGGCGACAGGATTCGACAGGATTCGACAGGATCGAGGGCCCTGTACTCAAGGGGACTAGCTAGTTCGAGTCTGGCATCAGCCATCGAATGTAACTATAGAGAAAGGGCTTCTTGAGTAACCTGGTGCCTCTTCCTTTTTGTTGGAAATAACCGATCCATGGATGGGTTGCATGCATGGAAATAGGTACATGTCCATGCCCATATCGCACTTGACCCACTATCATCTCTGTATTCCCTGCCTATTCGCAAGCCCTAAATTGGTCTAATTGTCCTCACTTCTCAATCATGCTTAATCTTGTTAGTCCCTTAGTCCCACCATCACCCCTCTCTTCCCCCCCTTTGGGTCTGTCTGTCCCCCTGTCTGTCTGATCGACCCGATTTCCGTAGGCTAGATTAGATCATTAAAGACGATGTTCTGTCCCATCCACCTGTGATCTCACCATGTGCGACCTTCCCTTGCACCGAGTGGCCTAAGCCTATACGCTCCCTACGCCTGAGCATGGAGTGACCCCTCCCATGATCTCGTCCATTCGTTATTCACCATCCGGTCTCATGGTCCAACTGCCCCGCGCGAAAGAAAGCGGGCACTTACGCTCGTTTGCATTCAAAAAAAAGATTTTCCCGGTTTTCTTTCTTCTGGCAGATTTGGATCATTGCATGTCAACTAGAAAAGCTGCTTTGTTGCACGCTGTCGCTGTTGCTGTTTTCATCTGCTTTTTGATTGTAGGACAAGATCTCCCCTTCTACCTCCCGAAGTTTCAAGCAACCTCGTGGCTGTTTCTTCAACCTGGCGATCCTAACGACTCTCGTTCCAGGTTTTGTCTTCCTAGCCATGGCGTTGTGTGCCGCCATCTTGGTGCTCACATTGGTGAGACCGATAGTCTGGGCCGCCGATTTGACCTCCCATGTTGATCTTTTGTGAGTTTCCACCCCCTAGTATCCAGAGGATGGTCTGTGCCACCAAGCTTGTATATTAACATCACTCGACAACAAAGTTTGGGCTCCGAGGGTGGCGGCAATAACTTCCCTGGAGTTGCTCGTCCATTTGGCATGGTCAAACTGGGTCCAGACTTATACATCAAGGGAACGGATGCTTATTCCGGATACCTGCCCAATGGCGAGTTCTCCGGGTTCAGTCTGATGCACGAGCAAGGCACGGGAGGCGCCCCAAAGTATGGCACGGTGGCGCAGTTGCCATTGATTGGCAATGTCACCAACCCGCTGTCAAATAAGACAGTTGCCCGATCCGGCACAGACGAGGCGTCCGTGGGCTATTATAAGGCTCAAACCTCGGATGGAACTGTAGTCGAGCTGAGTGCTTCTGCCCATGCCGGTATCTACCAGTATACCTTCCCCGAGGGATCCCAGGGAAATGTCCTGGTCGACGTCTCACATGTGCTGCCCTCCTTTCGAGGCCAGGGCCTGGGTCAGGGGTATAAGGGAGGAAATATCACTGTATTCCATGACGGCCACTATGAAGGTCACGGTGTGTATGATAACGGATGGAACCGTTCGCCTGATTGGTCCATTTACTTCTGTGAGTTTCTTGAGCCATCCTGTTCCTGCATCTGGCGGGCCGATTTTCATCTGAACTGACTGTCGAGCAACTAGGCGGTTACTTTGACAATGCTCCTATCAGGAACAAGACCTATGTCGGGACTGATGCAGGGGGTAGCGTTGAGCAAACAAACGGGTCCGCGACGTCCTCGGAGGGTTCGACTCGAATTGGAAGCGTGTTCTCTTTTCAGGACTCCAAGGTGACCTCGCGTGTTGGGATTTCGTGGATCTCCACCGAAAAGGCTTGCAAGCACGTGCAAGATGAGATCCCAGATGGAACTGACCTAGATACCGTCGTCAAGGACGCCAAGTCGGAGTGGGATTCGGAGGTCTTGTCCAAAGTCACCACGTCAAACAACAACCAGACGAGTCTCACCTTGCTCTATACCTCCTTGTACTTTATGCATTTGATCCCAACCAACCAAACTGGGGAGAACCCCGGTTGGACCTCGTCCGAGCCATACTATCAGGACATTTTCACTTACTGGGTAAGCACTCTGAGACCAACCATGAGGCTCCATGACATTTCCGATGCTAATCATTGACGGTAGGACCTTTTCCGCTGTTCCACGGCGCTGATGCAAGTCCTGCAGCCCGAGGCATATGAAGAACAGATTCGATCTCTCATTGACATCTGGCGTAACGACGGCTTCCTTCCGGACGCCCGTTCGTCCAACTACAACGGCCGAACCCAGGGCGGCTCCAATGCGGACAATATCCTGGCCGACGCCTATGTCAAGGGCGTCCGCGGTGCCGTGAACTGGGACGATGGGTACCGGGCCATGGTCAAGGACGCAGAAGTGGTCCCACCCAACGACCCGGTCGACTCGATGGCACCAGATTCCTCAACAAAAGAAGGCCGAGGGGCCTTGGCAGACTGGAAGAATCTCGGCTTCATCACGCCAAAGTATACCCGCGCCGTCACGAGGGCCGTCGAGTATTCCTGCAACGATTTCGGTGTGCACCAAGTCGCCTTGGGACTCAGAAAGGACGAGGATGCTGAGAAATATCTCAATCGGTCCCGGAATTGGCAGAACCACTGGAACCCCAACGCGACCTCCTTGGGATTCTCGGGTTTCGTTGTCCCGCGCGATCAAAATGGGTTCATCGAGACCGATCCTTTGGGAGATAGCGGCTACTGGGGCGACCCTTACTACGAGGCCAACTCGTGGGCGTACTCCTGGGCTAGCGTCCATGATATGAAAAAGATGGTCCAGTTGATGGGAGGGTCTGAGACCGTCGTAAAACGATTGGATACCATGTTCACCGAGGGTGCCAGTGGCTCCAGTGGAATTATCTTCGACTCCACGAACGAACCGTAAGCATTTTCCCCTACTGAGCGATTGGTTCTAGAACACTCCGACCGGCTGGAAGGAATCCGATCTTGATGGAGACAGCTGATAGACTGACTTTTTCGCCCAGCATGTTTAATATCCCGTATCTGTACAATTATGTCGATCGACAGGACTTGTCGGTTGTCCGTTCCCGCCACGTCGCAAAGACTTACTACCATACGGGTCGGAATGGACTCCCAGGAAACAGCGACGCTGGAGCAATGCAAACATGGCTTCTGTGGAACATGATTGGCTTGTATCCCATCACCGGCCAGACGACATTCCTAATCCACTCACCCTGGTTCGAGTCCCTGACGATCGATCTCGGAGATGACAAGAAGCTGAATGTCACCGCCAAAGGCGGCGATGGAAATGGTGACACCAACATCCATGTGCAGCGACTCCGGGTCAACGGGAAAGACTGGAAGAAGAACTGGCTCACCTGGGACGACATTTTTGCCGACGGAGGGAGTCTCGAGTTCGAACTGGGCGGCAGTGCAAGTGACTGGTTCACAGGGGACTTGCCACCCAGCCCGGCTTCTTGAGATTGCACAGATGATCTGTCAGGAGAACTGGAGACTCGGGGTCTCTGAAAGTGGGTGCACTGTACATAGCAAATTAGCGCGTCACGACATTTCGAATAATATAATTGGGTTGGAAAGGAGATAAAGAAAAACCCACAACTCACCAATCGGGGTACTACTAGGCTTTTCCTTAGTCCGAAGGCCTACCCCCGGTAGCCCGCACACCATGTACTCCGTAGGGTCCATCGAAGTTCATCAGTCATCGACATGGACCTACTTACGGAGACCCTCGGGGTGGTCCACTCAAGTCACTGGGTGGACAGCGACCCTGTAAGGCCGGTAGAGGCAGGTACCCGAGGATTGTTTGTTGTTGGTTGGTTCTGAGATGATCCTACGGAGTACAGAGAGCGACTTGATCCTGATCATCACAAAGACCTGCCAAACTGTCGTTGAATCATCCTCGGGGGGGGACAATTCGGCATGATGAGAAATCATAGCAAACAGCCGCATGATAGCCGACCGAGACTTCCAAATACCACGCATTGGTGGAGGATCAGGGAGAGAAACGACGGCAAAAGTTGGTCGGGACGAACGGAAGAGTGGAAGAGCGACTCTCCATCGACTCCATCGACAGCTTGGCTGAGAGATTTAATTAGTGATCTGGACAGAGATCGACGTCTCCACAGCAGTCACTCCAGCTTGCAGATCGCTCGCAAGGTTTGGAATCATCCAGTCCGCACTTCCCTATTCAGTTGTTCCTGACGACGATGCCATTGCTATTCCTCAGCACACCCCACTGGGTTCTGCTGCTCGATATTTCCCCTTTTCTCTTCCCTGTTTTTTTATAGAACGATGCTCATCCGGATGTGCATATCTGCCGTTATGTCAACGTGTGCCAACGGCCTAATGCTCGGAAACTTAACCAACTATTTCAACCGATAACAACGATGAGCAGTTCAGTGTTACAGGAAGCATTTGAGGTGGACTTAATGGGCTCCGTAGAATCCCTAGTCAGTACTGTGTACTCCGTATGCCAGACAGTCAGTCCGTCGTCCGGGCGTCTCTCTCTCAAGTTCGGGGCCCACTCTCTCTCCCTCTCTCTCTGATTGTCGGCAAGACCCGCGAATTCCTAGGATTCAATGCCAGCGAAATAAGAACTCAAATGCCGAGCGATTCGCTCTAGCAGACAAGAGATTTAATTAAATGAGAAATCGAAAAGGTACAAGTCACTAGCAAACCTAATCGCGAAGGAGAGAACCCTTCGACCGAGTCCCTGGATAAGAGAGTAAGAGACAAGCGCACATTTGCCGTGGTGGGCCCGCGGAGGTCTGAATGGCGCTTCCTGACGAGTCATGGCGTCGCTTTGTGTTTGCCTCCCATTGGGTCTGCTTATCTGGAATTGTAAGCTTAAACTTCCATGGCATCTGCTAGAGTCCCCAGTTCAATCAAAGTCGGTATCGACCCCAGCACCGGCTCATCTTTATTGGCAGGTGGTAAATGCAAGGCGCGCTCCAAAGCCGGAAATGCGAATTCCAGATCTCGTTTATCGCGCTGGATCGATCACTTCAGGGATTGTAATCAGAAATACTCCGTATCTAAGAGTAGATGCATGCACGTCTCATGTCGGGAATATGACATGTCCATTTGCTGTGCACTGAGCCACTGACGAAGGGGTCTCTTGTCGGACTCTCCGGCACCCCTGAGCAGTCAGTCTAGTCGTTTGCAAAGTCTATATCCCAGATACTATAGGTAATAGTGAAAATGGCGGAATTTCGCCGGTTCCTTGATTGGGTACCAAAATTCTCAGACACCACGAGGTCATGAAATCTCCGGCTGAACGATGGTAGTGGTGCTCGTTCCAATAGTCCCGATAGTCCCGATGGCGTTAGGACAAATTTTAGAATTGTCCGTCAAAAGTATCCGGTCGAAAGTGGTAAGGTCGAAGTGCAGATCCTAATTGGCAGTGACGGCATGGAAGACCCGGAATTTCCATGCAGCGTGCAAATCAGCGGGTCCTAGCAACTCTCAAAGCAGCAATAGTGACTAGGAGTCCGATTGCAACTATCCACCTCCCATATGGCGCTGAGTCGGATTGTCGCTGGATGTTCCTCATCCCAGAATCAAGGAAAGCAGTGACAAGGTGATTATTTGTGCTACAATCGTGCTATTTTGCCACCAAACTTTGATTGCTGTGCTCACAGTGCCATTGTCTCCTGGCTGGGAGTTTTCGAGGCAATGATGGTGATTGTGGTCGTGGTGCGCCAGGCAATTGCGTATTGCACCATACCGATCATCGCGGAACCGTGAAAACATCAACTCCATAATTCGTATTCTGTGCCATACCCTGTATCCACCATCTAGTCATCCGAGGGTTCCATCCATATGGTATAGTCGAAATTGCCCCTATGAGCAATAATCTTGTTCGTCCGTATGGAGTCGACCCGCCCTGCTAGCGAGCATGAGGTCCAACTGCCAAGTTCGAATTGATAGCAAGAAAGAATTATCCCTGATCATCTGCAGTATATAAGGGCATCAAGTTGCGCCCTTCTGTTGTCTTTCTTCTCTCCATCCAGCGGCGCATCGTTCTCTCATTCCTTCATTCCTTCGTTCCAACCCAGGTCATTCTTTAATACCTACCTGACATCACTCTTTTGATACCACTCCTTTGGTCCTTATTTCTTTTACCAAACCAACATCATCAAAATGAAGGCTTCTTTCATCACCCTCCTCGCTGCCCTGGCCACCTCGGCCGTCGCCGCCCCTGCTGGTGGTCTCCCCGTTGTCGGCGGCATCACCAAGACTGTCACCGAGGGCGCCTCTGGCTCTTCCGCCTCCGCCTCCACCACCCCGGTGGCCTCCACTGGCGCTGACGGCCACATTGTCAAGGATGCCGGTCATGGTGTCCACCAGGTCCTGACTGTCACCGGACCTAACGCTAAGAAGCTCCTCGTCGAGCTCAGCCCCGAGGTTGCCGGTCTTCTGGCCGGTCTTGGTCTCCCCGGTGTCGGTACTTCAGTCGGTTCGATCGTGAAGACTGCCGGCAACGTCGGTGACCTTCTCAAGGACCTTGGTCCCGTTGTTGACGGTCTCCTGACCGTTGTCTCCAAGGATCTCGGTGCTCTCCTCATCCAGCTCTCTCCTGAGGTTACTGGCCTCGTCTCCGGCCTTGGCCTTCCCGGTGTCGGTGTCCCCGTTGGCTCCGTCGTTGCCACCCTCGGCGAGAACCTCAAGCGCTCCGCTGACGGCAAGATCGTCGAGGACGCTGCCCCTAAGGTCAAGGACGTCCTTGAGGTCACTGGCCCCAACGCCAAGCGCCTGCTCATCCAGCTCAGCCCTTCCGTCGCCTCCCTCCTCTCCAACCTTGGTCTCCCCGGTGTTGGCGAGCCCGTCGGTGAGGTTGTCAAGACCGCTGGCAATGTTGGTGATCTCCTGAAGGACCTCGGCGAGCCCGTTGAGAGGCTCCTCACTGTTGTCGGCAACGACGGCTCTCACCTGCTCGTCAAGCTCTCTCCCAACGTCGCTGGTCTTCTCTCTGGTCTCGGTCTCCCTGCTCTGGGTACTTCGGTCGGCTCTGTTGTCGCCACCCTCGGCAAGAACCTGTAAAAATTGTGAGTTCACTTCATTCTTGTCCATCGTGAGAACAGCCTGCTAATTCGAACAGTACGCCCAGCCTTGAACCATTAGCTGCGGTCTGAAGTACAGACCGCAACCAATTTATTCTTCATCGCGAGAAGCCTTCGAACTCGACATGCGAGCAATGAATTAGCACGAAACCGATGTACATTAATCAGATTGTGCTGCGCCTTTTGGAGTCCAGATAGAGAGATCTATTTCGTTGCAAATATTGGCGGCACCCAGGAATATAATTTTAATACCCCTAGAATTTTGAAGCTTTTCTCATTACACTTCGTCTTTTTTCATATGTAAGCATCACTTCTTGACTTGGGTAACCGACCCCTTTTGGTCTCGGTAGTTGTAGAATTGGAGACTTGGAGACTTTGGAGTCGGGTAAATCATGGCTAAACTCGGGTCCTTGTTAGCGTCGTGCGGCCACACGATTGGCTATGGCACCCACTTTTCTCTGATGGTAGGCAAATAGTAGTCGATGGTTCCCATAAGCAATGCTCTAGGGTGTTTCAGACTCCCTGGAATATTAAGGGATGAGCGCAAACTCTTCATCTCCTGGCAATCTCAGCCAACACTCAACAGTCAACACGTCGTTGGAAATAAGCTTAAGCTTTTTAGTCTCTCTATTCAGGTCGTAGGTCTCGTGGCAGAAATGTCATGCTGCGGGAAGCATCTCGTTTACGTCAAGTCTGTATCACGTTGCAAGTCCCGAATGCTTCAAGTACACGGTCATCCATCAATTCCGGTATCGGTAGTAAACACAGGGTGCTCTCCAATTATGCCTGGGTCCGCGATCGAGTGCAATTTATCTGATTCGGCCACCAGGACATAAACAATTAAAAGCTCCGCGGGATTCCAGGGGCATGACCGCTTTTATCAACACCACACAAAGCTTGGCGTGTTGGAGGTTTCAAGATGTGCCGCTATTGTCGTTATCTGGTGGCCGGCCCAAATTAGATGCTTGATGATGCCAGAAGGAGTCTTTCAGGGCTGAAGGTGGCTCCGTCGAGAGCGATTTTGAGTGGTCGAATCTGCCATAGTTTGTTTGGTAGCACCTGAGCTAACTTCTGTTGGATATTAAACGCTCTATATGGATTATGGAGCTTTTCGAGCCGTTTCTAATTCCGGCTTTGGTCGGTCTCACTCTCAACCATACTTATTCTCTCTTGCCGCAAGGCTCTTTTGCTTCTTTTCTTCAACCCTCAATCTTTCGTTTTTATCCCCTTCTTCGCCCTTTTTGTCTTCTGCTTGTTCGTTTCTGTTTTCAATCATTTGATACCACAGACGAACAATGCTTTTTAATACTGTTTCTTTGCTCTCCCTTGTGGGCCTGGTGCCTACCTTTGCCGCTGCGCGGCTTTCCGGCTCTGTTGGGCCATTGACTTCGATCTCTGACAAAGCCGCTGTCAAGACTTGCAACGTCCTTGATTACGGTGCGGTCGCCGACAAGTCCACTGATTTGGGCGAGCCCTTGTTATCCGCATTCAATGACTGCAAGTCCGGTGGTGTCGTGTACATCCCGGAGGGAGACTATGCGATGTCGACATGGGTGAAATTGGCTAACGGTAAGGCCTGGGCCTTGCAGCTTGATGGAACCATTTACCGCACCGGTACCGACGGCGGCAACATGATCATGATCGAACACACCGACGACTTTGAGATGTTCAGTAGCACCTCTAAGGGCGCCATGCAGGGTTCTGGATATGAATTCCACAAGGACAACAAATGGAGCGGACCTCGCCTGCTGCGAATCTGGGACGTTACCAACTTCTCGGCCCACGATATTATCCTGGTTGATTCCCCGGCTTTCCACCTTTCCATCGATACCTGCACCAACGGCGAGATTTACAACATGGCCATCCGTGGTGGCAACCACGGTGGTCTGGATGGTCTTGACGTCTGGAGCAACAACATCTGGATCCACGACGTAAGCATCGATGCCTTCTTAGCTCGATTTCTCAGCAACTAATGCCCGCTCAGGTCGAGGTTACCAACAAGGATGAATGTGTCACCGTCAAGGTAAGGTTCTAACTTGCAGATCTGTCCACCATGGAAACCTGACTCTAACGGTATTTGCAGAGTCCTTCCCAGAACATCTTGGTCGAGAACATCTACTGCAACTGGAGCGGTGGTTGCGGTATGGGTTCTCTCGGTCCCGATACTGAAATCAGCGCGATCACCTTCCGTAACGTGTACACCTGGAACTCGAACCAGATGATGTTTGTCAAGAGCAACGGAGGCAGTGGCACTGTTTCTGATGTGACCTTTGAGAACTTTATCGGTAAGCGACAATGTTTTGCGATTTATCCCATGACGCTAGGGTTAAAGGCTGATCGTCATTATCGTTGCCAGGTCACGGCAACGCGTACTCCTTCAACATCGACAGCTACTGGAGCAGCATGAGCAGCCAGGGCGGCAAAGGAGTCGAGCACAGCAACTTCACCATCAAGAACTGGAAGGGCACTGAGGCCAACGGCGCCGCGCGTGGACCCGTCAAGATCATCTGCCCCGACGGCGTTCCCTGCTACGATATCAACTTTGAGGATTTCGCCATGTGGACCGAGGAGGGTGAAAGACAAACCTACGTCTGCCAGAACGCCTATGGCTCCGGCTTCTGTCTTCAGGAGGGCTCCGGTGACTCTGACTACGCCGTGACCACGAGCACCGTCACCCAGGCTCCGTCGGGCTACTCTGCTCCCACCATGGCTTCGGACCTCACCGCGGACTTCGGTAGCACCGTCTCCATCCCCATCCCGACCATCCCCACCTCGTTCTACCCGGGTGCTACTCCAATCAGCGCCCTCATGGGGAACAGTGCTTCGGCTTCTGTGAATGCGCGTGAGGCCGTCGTCGTCGTGAGCTCGGCCAAGAGCACCGCTGCTGCGACCACCACCCAGGAAGCCGAGACCACCTCGGAACCTACTGCCCAGCCCACTGGTGAATTCCAGGCTCCCCATTTCTGGCGCCACCATCATCGCCATGGACACTTCTAGATAGTTGTTGACAAGACATGGCGTTGGTCTTTCGATTCTGTCGGGGGTCCGATGTCGTTGACGGCTTCAATGGGCCAAGAGTATCTCCTGCGGTGATCCGACTAATTTTAAATCGCAAGCTATTGAACCGTGCCCTAGTGTATCATAGTTTGTTCAATTAAAAATCTATCCGGGTTGCTCAATTGATCCGTGGTCAGGGGATGGTTATTGGGATCGTATGTCAGTACTGGAGTAAAACGAGTACGACACTTTGAACAATCCATCCACTCCCGTAATCATCAAAGATAAAACCCACCTCAATAACGATTGATGCATGATAAAAACTTGATAAAATGTCGATCGCGTTGATAAGGCGGCGTCTTAGTGGAGGTAAGGGATGGGAGGGTTGCAGGGTTGTTGTACAAGGAAGAGATGTTTGTTGACAATTGAGGGGGTGATGTCACATGGGGGCTTTGGCCTCGACCTTCCCCCGCATGGCATTCAACTCGCCTCTCAACAGTTTTCCTCCGACCTCTTCTGATTTCTACTCCTCTCAGATGATCCTTTTTTCGCATAGTTTTGAATACAATCCTTTTGTTTTGCAACGTATCTCTTGCCATTGGCGATCTAGAGTTTATCTCTAGTGTTGTTGACCCAGAATGGCCTCCACCCAAGCTCCAGACAGCTCCCAGCCAGTGCCAGAGGATGGCACAGGTACGCCCCCAGATCCAATTTTGTGATATTTTGGTCTCTTAGAATTTATTGGCTAACGTTTCTCAGGTGTGATACAGTTGGATCCTTGGCTGGAACCTTTCCGGGAGGCTCTGCAACGCCGATTCGGATTTGTTAAACAATGGGTGAAGACTATCAACGACACCGAAGGGGGACTGGAGAAATTCAGCAGGGTCAGTGACTTTTACGATTCCGAAATGACTCTCGTCAATTGATATATGATGGAAGACTGTGATGGAAAAAACCATGGCACGGTGGTCACGATAGCTAAATTGATGATATAGGGCTACGAGAACTTCGGCCTCAACGTCCACCCGAATGGTGACATTACCTACCGAGAATGGGCCCCCAGTGCTATTGAGGCGCAGCTGGTTGGCGAATTTAGTACGTCTAAATATTTGAATCTTCTTGTAAGCCTCGCTGAGACTAGCAGACAACTGGGACGTGAGTGCCCACCCAATGACCAAGAGTCCCTTCGGTGTCTGGGAGGTTACTGTATCGGCAAAGGATGGAGTTCCGGCCATTCCTCACGGCAGCCTAATCAAGGTATTCTCCCGTGGAAACACGTTTTGTGCTCTTTCATCGCGGCTCACTTCTGCAGATCACAATGGTTACGCCCGCTGGAGAGCGAATCTATCGAATCCCAGCATGGATCAAGCGCGTGGTGCAAGATCTCAGCATTTCTCCTGTGTATGATGCGGTTTTCTGGAATCCACCTGAATCAGAGCAATATCAATTCAAGCATGCGCGTCCCAAAAGACCTGAGAGTCTCCGTATCTACGAGGCCCATGTGGGAATCTCCTCGCCAGAAACCAAGGTGGCGACGTACAAGGAGTTTACGGCCAACATGCTGCCTCGCATCCAGTATCTGGGCTACAATGCGATCCAGCTCATGGCCATTATGGAGCACGCCTACTACGCCAGCTTCGGGTATCAAGTGAACAATTTCTTCGCCGCAAGCAGTCGCTACGGCTCGCCTGAAGACCTGAAGGAGCTCGTTGACAAGGCGCATAGCTTGGGACTGGTGGTGCTGCTTGACGTAGTGCACAGTCACGCGTCGAAGAACGTCCTCGATGGGCTGAATCACTTTGACGGGACCGACCATCAATACTTCCACGGCGGTGGGAAGGGTCAGCATGAGCTCTGGGACAGTCGACTGTTCAACTATGGCAGTCACGAGGTTCTGCGATTCCTTCTAAGTAACCTGCGGTTCTGGATGGATGAATACAGATTCGACGGTTTCCGCTTCGACGGCGTCACTAGTATGCTCTATACTCATCATGGAATTGGAACGTACGTACTAGACTCGCCCACAATTGTGCTACATAAGATTAACTGTCTTCTAGTGGATTCTCTGGCGGCTACCACGAATACTTTGGGCCATCAGTGGATGACGAGGGCGTCATGTATCTGACGCTTGCCAACGAGATGCTCCACCAGCTCTACCCCGATGTCATCACCGTCGCAGAAGACGTCTCGGGAATGCCAGCGCTCTGTCTACCACACGCTCTTGGAGGTGTTGGCTTCGACTACCGTCTAGGCATGGCCATCCCAGACATGTACATCAAACTCCTGAAAGAGAAATCCGACGACGAATGGGACATTGGAAATCTCTCATTCACCTTAACCAACAGACGACACGGCGAGAAAACCATCGCCTACGCCGAAAGTCACGACCAAGCGTAAGCCATCTGTTCCTCCCCTTCATCAACACAATCCCACCCCAACTAACAATACCCCCCAGCCTCGTCGGCGACAAAACCCTCATGATGTGGCTCTGCGACAAGGAAATGTACACGCACATGTCCGTCCTCACCGACTTCACCCCCATCATCGAGCGCGGCATGGCCCTGCACAAGATGATCCGGCTGGTCACGCACGCCCTCGGCGGCGAGGGCTATCTGAACTTCGAGGGCAACGAGTTCGGCCACCCAGAATGGCTCGACTTCCCGCGTGTCGGCAACAACAACTCCTTCTGGTACGCGCGTCGCCAGCTCAACCTGACCGAGGACCCTCTGCTTCGATACAAGTTCCTCAACGAGTTCGACCGCTCCATGCAGCTCACCGAGGCCAAGTACGGCTGGCTCCGCGCCCCGCAGGCATACATCAGTCTGAAGCACGAGGTCGACAAGGTGCTGGTCTTCGAGCGTGCCGGACTTCTCTGGATCTTCAACTTCCATCCCTCGCAGAGCTTCACGGACTACAGGGTCGGTGTCGACAAGGCGGGCACGTACCGGATTGTATTGGATACTGACGACAAGGCGTTCGGCGGGTTCGGACGGAACTTGAAGGAGACGCGCTTCTTCACGACGGACTTTGGTTGGAACGGTCGGAGTAATTATTTGCAGGTTTATATCCCGACGAGATCGGCTTTGGTAAGTCTCTTCTTTAGGACCAAGTGGTATAATAAAGATAAGTACTAACGTGAACCAGGTCCTCGCCCTCGAAGAGACCCTCTAGATCTAATCTCAACAGCATACGCTTGCCATCATGTTCAATGACTATCTTTGTCGGCTACCAAATGTGGTTAAACATCTAGGCAAGCATGTAATAGCACAGCATGATCCGTTTCAATCATTCAAGTTCGATTTATCTGACTGTCTGTTTTTCATTCCCCATCCTATCCACTTGATGTTCCTCTTCTTCCCACGCTTGTCGTACTCGTGTCCACCTCTGTAGATGTAAAAGCAAAAACACATGACAATCCAGCGTCTATCCATCTACTGCCCCATCCAACTCAACCCAAGCCACGGTTGATAATCTCAAAAAAAGGCTCAAAACACAAACTCGTCCAGAGATAGAGATAGATAGATAGATAGATAGATCCATCAATCCATCTATCTATCTATCTGAAACAAAAATCAAGCTGCCCTACATATACATACCTACCAAGACGAGAAAGAAAGTAGACCTCCCTCATCTTCATCTCTGAGTCTTGAAAAAAAAAAAAAAAAAGAAAGAAAGAAAGAAAGAAAAAAAAAGAAAAGAAAAAAAAAAAAACCCCCTTCGTATGTATCCTACACGCCTTGATTACTTTACTTGGCCTTTTCCTATCTTGTCTGAGCTGGTCTGAGCTACCAATAGAGAGAGAGAGAGAGAGAGAGAGAGAGAGAGAGAGAGAGAGAGACTCATACCTATATCCCCTTAGCTAAGGTAGATAGACTAGACGTTCTGGCTTAATCAAGAAGCCCGGACGAACGGAAGATAATAAAACGAAACAAACAAACAAACATAACAAGGAATCATGCCAAATCAGTCCCATTATCAATATCCGAATAATCTAACTAACTACCTACCAGGGAACCAATGCAAGCCAGAAATGATGACTAGATTTAGTTACATGTTCAACTAGTTGACTCCTATGGAGAGATAGGAGCGGCGACATACGGTATATAATATCCGGTAAAGAAAGCCAACTCCCAACTCCCAGCTACAACTACAACTACATCTACAAAACCAAGAAAAAAGGTAAAAAAGAAAAAGAGTCTCAACAAAAGAAATGAATACAATTGTCCCAGCCCCAGGGTATCAGGCTGACTGTGGTCATTTTAAAAACTTACTTACATGAGCACATAGGTAGTGTAACACAAAGTCTAGAGTACAAGAAATGAGGTCTTTCCACCCCAATTTCCCATCCACAATCCAGACTTTAAAAAAGGGTGGTTGGTCCGAGGGTTAATCAGTGGCGCTCTTTTTCTTTTTTGTTCAGTTTCAACCTTTCTTTCTTTATAGAAGGGATAGATAACCTCTTTTCTTTCTTTCGACTTCCCTTTTTCTTTATTCGAGTACTGTACACGTATCGATTCGAAAACGGAACATTTCAAAGTGAAAAAAGGTAGTCCATATTCTAACACGGAAAAAAAGGGAACAAAAAAAAAAGGGCGCTCAAAAACAATATTACATTTACTGGCCCTCAAGCTCAGCCAGAAGCTTCTCACCCTTGGCGCGGGCGGAGGCAAGGTTGCCAACCATGTAGAAAGCGGCTAAGAGGAAAGTTAGTAACAAGGTCGATTTCAAATAGATCAGGGAGAGGAAAACTTACACTCGGGAAGGTCGTCACCCTCACCGTTGATGATAGCCTTGAAGCTGCTGATGGTGTCCTTCAGGTCGACCAGCTGACCCTCGATACCAGTGAAGACCTGGGCGACGGTGAAAGGCTGGGACAGGAAACGCTGCAGCTTACGGGCACGCTCGACGGTGAGCTTGTCGGCCTCGGAAAGTTCGTCCATACCGAGAATGGCAATGATATCCTGGAGGGACTTGTACTCCTGGAGCATCTGCTGGACACGGGTGGCGGTGTTGTAGTGGTCCTCACCCACGATACGGGGGTCGAGCATACGGGACTTGGAGTCCAGAGGGTCGACAGCAGGGTAGATACCCAACTCGGAGATACCACGGGACAACACGGTGGTGGCGTCCAAGTGAGCGAAGGTGGTGGCGGGGGCAGGGTCAGTCAAATCGTCAGCGGGCACGTAGACGGCCTGGACGGAGGTGATGGAACCCTTGGTGGTGGTGGTGATACGCTCCTGCATACCACCCATGTCGATGGCCAGAGTGGGCTGGTAACCGACGGCAGAGGGGATACGACCCAGCAGGGCAGACACCTCAGAACCGGCCTGGGTGAAACGGAAAATGTTGTCAATGAAGAGCAGCACATCCTGACCCTCCTCGTCACGGAAGTACTCGGCGATGGTCAGACCAGTAAGGGCGACACGGGCACGGGCACCGGGGGGCTCGTTCATCTGACCGAACACAAGGGACACCTTGGACTCGCCATCGAGCTGGATGACACCGGTCTCCTGCATTTCGTGGTACAGATCGTTACCCTCACGGGTACGCTCACCGACACCGGTGAAGACGGAGTAACCACCGTGAGCCTTGGCAATGTTGTTCTACTATGCATTAGACAGATACTTTGGGGGATGATCCGGTGGAGACAACTTACAATCAACTCCTGGATGAAGACGGTCTTACCGACACCGGCACCACCGAAGAGACCAATCTTACCACCACGAGCGTAGGGGGCGAGCAGGTCGACGACCTTGATACCGGTCACGAGAATCTCGGCCTCGGTGGACTGCTCGGTGAACTCGGGGGGATCAGCGTGGATGGGGGCGTACTTGACGGCCTTGACGGGGCCACGCTCGTCAATGGGGTCACCAGTGACGTTGACGATACGGCCAAGGGTGGCAGGACCGACGGGAATCTTGATGGGAGCACCGGTGTCACGGGCAGCGGCACCACGGGTCAGACCCTCGGTACCTAGAGGTGCAAGTCAGCTAGGTTGCGGTCGATGGAAGATGCGAATCGGCGGTCAAGCATCGAGACGAGGGATATCAATATCAATGTTGATATATTGCCAAGCCCAATGCATGACGAATTGCCGCCGAAGGGAAGGAGAAGAAGCTTACCGTCCATGGCAATAGTACGGACGACGTTCTCTCCCAAGTGTTGCTAAAGTCAAAGTTAGCTAACTGAGCTTTGTCAAGGACAGAAAGGGGATTGATGTCATCAAAAGACAGAGCAATATCAAAAACACAACATACAGAAACCTCAAGCACCAGCTTCTGGCCATTGTTCTCGGTCTCAATAGCGTTGAGAATGGCAGGGAGCTTGTCACCATCGAACTTCACTGCAGCGGAGAGTCAGAAATCGTGTATCGAGCTTCTCAATTGGATGGAAATCGATGGTTGTTGAGATGGAATCGAGGCGCGGAAAAGATTTTCTTCGCGTAGCCCCGGGTAAGGGAAGGGATTTTTTTCCCGCCCTCTCGGTAGGGAGCGACCGGATAGCAACATACCGTCAACGACGGCACCAATGACCTGGTGAATCTTGCCGCCCTGAGCGGCCTCGGTGCTGGCGAAGCGGGCCAGGGAAGGGAATCCATTGATCTTGGAGGGCTGGAGGGCGCGACGAGCGACGGGGGTAGGTCGGGCAAAAGCAGCCCTCCCGAAGGTCCGGGCGAGACCGCTGTTGGAGAAAAGAAGCTGTTAGCAAAGGAAAAAAGGGGGGGAGTAGAAGACGAAAGGTCAAAAGTGGGCGGGTCAACACACCTCTTGAACATTATGATGGTGTTTAAGAGCGAAGATGGGGAAAGATGAGGTCAAAGGGACGAGAAGATGGGGAGAGGGAAGAGAGAGGGAAGGGAAGGGAAGAGGTTGAGGTTGAGGTGGACACGGGCGACTGTGTCCGGCTTAGCCTTTCCGGGGCGGTTTTGCCGACGATCCCGTGATGTACCGAGCAACGCGCAGCTTCGTTTTCCTCGTCAAGTTGTCTGCACTTCTCCGTTGCCGGGGTTATGGTGGTATACATATTAAATTAGAGGTGTTCTACAGTATTATTCTATCGTATGCTTACTGTTACGGGTGTACGTGAAGCACTGAAGAAGAGGTGGTTCCTCCGGCACTTACTCCGTAGTTTTCCTTTCCCAGCTTTGCCCTGATGGAGCTGGACAAGGAAGAATTCGCACACAAAAGAGGAGCTTTCTTGGCGCCCGTCGGAAGGGGAACTGGGAAGGGGGGGAAATGGTGCCAACCTGGCCAATCGTCGCCGGGAATGTCCTTCCTTTCCCCCCAGCCAGGGGAGACCATGGGCGGTATTATCATAATAATTATGAAAATTCAATACATGCTAGGAAATAAAATAAGATCAATATAAAACAAAAAAAAAAAATATAAATAAATCCACAGAATAAAAATAAAATAAATGTGTCGGTGGAGGACGGCGCCGACTTCGTCCGTGTCTGTCCTGTTTCGGACGAACGCCCATGAAAAAATTCTGACGTGTTCCCGTGATGCTCCAGGTAAACATCGGTGTATGCTCGATGCAGTCGACATACGGTGTACACCTCGTCTGGAGGATGTACTGTCGGAAAAACAAGAAAATACAAGAAACATAATTATGATGATCAATCTAACATGAACAACAATTTTGGCAAGGAATTCGACCCCCGTCAATTACTCCATGCCTCCGTAAACTGACCCCGGCCGAGTGTTAACGTCATCTCCTGGGATATATCCAGTTACCCAGAGTAACCATCCCCAACGATAGAACAACATACTCCGTATAACATTGATAACACAGCTATTCTCGATAATAAACATGTAAAAAAAATTATTCCTAGAGACAAACCCCGACAAGTCCCGCCCTACAGACCAACTAGAGACTGCAACAACCTTCTATGGCTACAAAAGAGATCAATTGATTATGGCACAGTACGAGATACACAGGGTCTTTTAGGGTTGGCGGTGGGGGGGCTGAGATTGGCAAAAACAAGTAGGACACAAGACGAAGAAAGGGAAGCGCCCGACGACAGATGAAAGACACGGCTCCAACGCGTCCGTCAGGGAATGGGTGTGCGTGTTGGGTTGGGCCAGAGCAGGTCTGTCCCTATTTTGCTAATACCTAATCCTCCCGGATCATGGTCCTCCAGTTTACGACTTCTCGGCAGGGGGGCTCTGCACGAAGCCAGGGCCCTCGTAACCCTGGGCGCTGATGCCGTAGATAGGGTTGATCTTCTCACGCTGTTGGGGGGAGGGGTCGTTAGCAATTGCCCTTCTCGGATGGGGAGTAGCAATGTCTGTCTGATGTAACAGCAGATCAATCGGGCATGACGTACCAGAGCGTACTCGTTGCTGGCCTCCTGCCATTCCTTAGACATGGTCTTAGGCTGGGGCTTAGCGAACAAGTGGATGACGTAGAAGATAGCCACGGAGACGGTGGTGAGCTGGGCGACCTTGATGAAGATCTTAAGACCCTCTCCCTTGGGAGCCTGGGCGCGAGGGCCGTGAGGACCGAAGGCAATCCAGTAGGCTAGAGAGTGGGGGGAAAGAGACGATGATTAGCAAAATTCTGATAGAGCCGGGGCAGCCCGGGCATATCATCGTGGAAATGCCTTACCAGCCTTCTTCTCCTGCAGGGTCATCTGGTGCCAGTCGACCTTCATGCGGTCCCGGAGCTGCATCCACAGATCGGCCTGCTCCTGGGGAGGGAGAGCCTCCCAGCGCTTCTCGATACCGGCGAGTGTGGGATTGGCGATGGCATGCTCGGAGGCGGCGCGGGTCTGCTGGGGAGCGACGGCCTTCTTCTCAGCCTGAGGACGGGCGTTCAGGCAAGACAGGGGACCGGGGACGGCGCGGAAGGAACGAGTGGCAGTGGTGGGCACAACCGAGCTGCGAGGAGCAGCGCGAGACACGGAGCGAAGGAACATATTGTGGGAGAGGCGAGCGCACACTAGACAGAAGAAAAATAGTCAATTGATGTTCAAATACAGAATCTTGGGGATTCGGAGAACAATTACCTCGAGGGGGGAAAAGGAAAGGTAAAATTGGGGGGAAGAGTGGAGGAGGGGGGAAGATCGAGACTCGCGATGGGAGACGAAGACGATGTTGGACTGTGGTTTGAGGTGGAAAGGCGAGCATCCGGACGGGCCAGCTTAGTCCGCTTTACCCCGGCCCTGATTGGTCCACGTCCGCCGGCTATCCGACCGTCTTCATCTCTTTCGGTCGGAAGGTCTATGAGTGACCTACTTATGACTTAACATCCTGGGTTTTTTTAATCTTTTCTAAATGGAGTACTGTTGTTATACCCTATGGTTTTCACAGTATCTCAACAAGAAGTCTCAAAGAAAATAAACAGAATTGAACAATATCCTGGACGAATCCTTCGCTGACATCTGCCCATCCCTCGAATCCCGAAAGCGCCCGGAAGTCCAGCTCTAGTTAGTGCCGCCATCCTTATCCTTCTACGCACAGGCCTAAACACGAGAGATCCATAGATGAATGGGAGGTGATGCCGTGTATTCTACTCTACACCGAAACGCTGCAATTCACTCCCCATACAAGGCAGCACTATTCTGTACAGGCAAACGCTGACACAAGAAAGAAAGAAAAGCCCCCTCGATCCCAATCGCTGGTTGGCGGAAAAGAGTGCCCGGGAAGAAACGACGATACGGTCACTATGAAGGGCAGACAAGTCGTAACGATCTCATATTGGAACTAAATGTGTGCAGGGAGAAAGGAAAGGTTCATGGGTGTTGGACTTCATTCCGAAGTTTGGCACTCCGCCGTCTCGAAACGGAGTGGTGCCGTGTAATCGCCATCACACGCGCACAACACACAAAGCTCACCTAAGCCCGGACCCAGCCGGCGCAGGTCATTTATTTGCCGGCCTTGCCACCGCTGGCCTCGGCCAGGACGGTCTTCCATTCGATGTCGCCCTTGTCGTCGGCGTGGATGGAAGTGTGGATGTTCAGCGCGTTCTTCAGGTTCTCCCGAGTGCTGGCGTAGATCATGGACCACTAATTTTCATCAGTTAGCGACCGCTTCCTCCGACCGAAAGACGACAGCAAGAGAACAACACAAGAAAGACAAATCATACCAGAGTAGGGGTGTCGCTGGGAACCCAAGAGATGAAGATGATCTTGCTTCTACAGACGCAAGTCGAGTCAGCCAACCGTTCTCCCATTATATCCATTCATCCGTGCACGATTGTTTCGCGGAGGGATTCCGTCGTACCTCTTGCCCTCACCGCCACCGAGATCGAACTCGACGTCGTAGACAGCATAACGAGGAGCGGGGTTGCCCTTGTCGTCACGAGCGGCCTCGAGGTGAGAGCGGAAGACCTCGTAGTCGGGGTCCTGCGAGACCTCGTCGATGACGACCTCCTTCTTGTTGTCGGCGATCTTGAAGATGATGAACTTGGTCTTGGCAGCCTTGCTACCTCCGCTCATGCGGAATTCGTTGAATGCATTAATGCACTCATCGGTGATGGAAACACTGTTGAACACAAACACAACTGGTCAGCACTTGGTTCGACGAGACCTGCGTCATCGGATGTCCCCGAAGCGGGTCGAAGAGGACATGTGGAAGTGGCGGCGGTCCGGCCGATGACATACCCAGAGGCGAGCTAGAAAGGCAACGAAGAAAATCAGCATTGACAACTTATCAACCCGAAGGGAACGGTCGAGGGGAGTAACACGCACCGACATGGCTGCTAATGTGGAGAGAGAGGAAAAAGGTAGGGAAGTTGATAAACCTGCGCTTAGGGGGCACGCGATGTTAGTTGCCTTGGATTTCTTTCTCGCTCGCTCTCTCTTCCTTGTTTATAAGCCCCCTCAAAAAGAAAAAACAACCAACAACCAGAATGACGTTCGTGAGAGACGAAGAAAAAGCAACGCTCGAGATGGATTCAAGGAGGAATACTCACAGACTGCCTGCAGAGAGTCAAGGGAATTCAAGGGGAGCGGAAGAGGAGAAGGGAGAACGTAATAATGGGGGATGGATGGGAACCGAGATGGAGAAGATAGAGGGGCATTTTGCGGCCGTCGCTGGTGGGGGGGCCGCCGGACCCTCACGTGATGTGGCCGTCGCACCACCAGCCGCGTCGCCGCCTTCCCCTGAATTTCCTTCTTGCATTACAGTAATTCTACATGGATCAAGCGATCCGGTGTCTGCCTACCTCCAGATACCCCCCGGTGTGGGGAGCTGAGCAAGACACCACCCGTAGGCATAACCATTCCTCCTGTTCTTAGCCCGGCGTTTCTCACCGAAACTAAACTTACCGTTACTTCCAACCATGGGACTAGCTCCTGCTAACCGAGTGTCATCACGTCAAGCCAGCTTGTACCTGTACCTGTTTTCTTGAACCTACAACAAATGACTGAGTTACTCTACGAGTGAGCATCTACTATCTCAATATGACGGGGCAGACCTTGAGTTCGACTGTATCGTTCAATCCTGGTGACAGTTTGGCAATATCTAAATATCTATGTACATACGTCAATATGCACTCAAATCGCTTGGCTATAATAATAACACCCATCAAGTCCGAATTCGCAGTCGGTGTCCATTTCGTACCTGCAATAGCCGAAAGGGAAGAAGACTTGGAGACCGTCGCAGTCGTCGGCTCCAAAGCTGAGCAAAGACACAACAAGGGTACAAAAAGAGAAAGAGATGATATACGACAGGGGCTCTCAGAGCAAACAACCGACTATTTGCCTTCGGAGCAATGTAATAGACAAGAAAGAATAGAAAATCGAAACTAGGGGTATAATATACGAGAAGTAAAAGCCACGTCGGGTTGTCTCCGAACGATTCCGAAGGTACCTGAGGGATGACAGGAGACATGCGCATGACTAACGCTGGCGCAGATGATCGTCAAATAGAAACGGCGCCCTCCTTTAGGCCTTCGTTCTTCACCTGAACCTATACGTCATAGGCTCGATCATGCCGGTAGGACATGTCGGCGAGAACTCCAGCGTTGACGGGGATGGGGTTCGAAAGACGGCTTCTGCGGAACATTGACGTACGTGGCGAAGGCTGGAAAGGCTTGAATGAATAACAATCACAAGAGAATAGACAACGGCGCTATCATGAAAGGCGTAAACCGGCATGTAAATTGTGCATGCAAAGGAAATCTTAACATGGCTGACTGCTGGTCATCGTTAATCGTCGTCGCCCGATCCTCCGTCGATGATCTTTCGCCAGTGTTGCGGAAGGCAGACGCAGACCAATGGAAAGGCTTTGATGTCTCCCACAGGCGCCGGTGATGCGGCCGGGCGATGCGAGCCGTTGGACACCCCGCTGTCGCGCTGTTCTCGGTGTCGCGCGTCATAATCTTCGGCATTCTCGGGGATACGAATTCCTGTGGCCCAGCCGTCATCCCATATACCAATGATCTTCAACATATCTCCGCGATCCAAAGAAAATTCGTCGTTTGCGCGAGGCTGGTATGCCCACAATGCGGCAACGCGATCGCCGGGTCGAATGTCATCTTGGGAGTAATAATCCTGGAAAGAGGAAAGCTGCTCGGATTGTCCACTGGCGATTCCCTCGGGAGACGAATATTGGCCGTTGGTGCCGGAACGAGGCGAGGTGTCGCTACCTGCGCCGGCAAAAGCCGAGTTGCTCGAGAGCGAGCCGTGTCGCTTGCCTGCCGTGGGGGGTATTCTCTTCGACATCGCTCCAGGGCTGGCTCCGTAACCTTCGGAGTCGGATGAGTCGCTGGACTTAGCACCGCCAAAGAAAGCCGCGGAGTTGCGAGACCGCGCCGGCGACGAACTGGGCATCTCTCGTAGGGCAGACATTCGCGCAACCCTTCCTCCCGGGATGGCAGCGAATCCTTGCTGACCGGCCTGCATTGATGGCGATCCTTTTCTTTGGGGGTTGGGTTGATTCAGGGCCCCTTCGTTCCCCGTTCGGCGCCTTCGTCGACAGTAGATGAGACCAAATGCCGCCAACGCAGCCAACAGGGCGACTCCGGCAACGGAACCAATCACAACTCCGGCAATCGCTCCGCCAGACAAACCGCCGCCTGAATCACCCGCAGTGGAGTTGGATGTCGAGGTAATTATTGGTGGTAGAGTCGTCGTCGGCGATGGCAGCGTCACATCCTTGCAGCGGCTTCCGGCGCTTGCGTTCACGCAGCAAGAATCGGTGGAGTTGGGGGAGCTTCCGGCGCAATAGCCGCACAGGCCCACCAGATTGGATCGGAATCCACACTCCTCCGGCTCGTTATCGGCTGCCGATATACAGGTCACCGTAAGCGAATTGGCAGGCAGGGCGCAGACAGTGAAATCGGAGCGGATTTGATCCATGTAGTTCCCGTCTCTCTGCGGACACAGGTCGGCGTTAACCAGGATTTCTTGTTCGCTTCTGGCCATCAGCGCCTAGAGGTATATCGTTAGCAAATGGGTCTGACTATACCATGGGTGGGCGCCACATACACAATCGTCAGCACAGAGCGGTCTGGATTCCTCGCTAGACAGGTTGCAGTCATTCTTCGAGCTCTGCACGATCCCATTGCATATCGAGCTCGTGGTATAGCGGGCGTAGTAGTCATCGGTGTCCGTAAGATTAGCGCCTCCACAACCCAGATAATCGACGTATCTGACCATTACACGACGGGCGTTAGTGGATCGCGATAGATTAGAACGGCACGGGTTGACGAGCTTACTTTCGCTTGACGTAAGAATCTTGGACGTACTTGTCCAACGCTTCGTCGAATTGGGTCAGGTTCGAGACGGATTCCATGAATGGACTTTCATATGGTTAGCAAGTCTCGGCGTGTAGAAGGGCGTTTGGCAATCTCACAAGTTGGTGTGAAGACTAGAGTTGGTCGATATCGAGGATCCATTGAAAGCCGGGCATTGCTTTGATCCGGTGAGGGAGATGCAGGTAGCCATGGTGATCCTCTACCCGGCCAGGGCTTCCTTTGGGGGCTCTACCGTCGCAATTGAGAGGTTGCAGTTGACGATGTCGAAGTTGATAAAGGTCCGTGTTCAAGTTGATCGCAAAGTTGAGGATCAAGATCGCGTTCGGTTATGGAATCAATTGGAGGCGACTCTCATATTGTTGCACGTGCGCGAGTACTGGGAAAAAAGGAATGGACGTCGGTCTCAGGCCACGGCGGTTGTGAACGCGTCGAATATCAAAAGGAGCGAAATGAGACCCAATCCAAGAAAAGGGAAAGGTTCCCAGGAATTGTCGCAGAACGGAAGGTCAAGTAATCAAAACGAGCGGCTTGGCTCCCAGAAAGAGCCAGGAGAGTGAAGGAGAGGACCCTGAAGAGGGAGGGAAAGAGAGTGAATGAGAGCGACGAGGAAGAGGAAGCAGGCGCTTTCCAATTCCAGGAAATTGCTTTGTCCTTGCCTGAGGCCCGCACAGAGGATCGACCGAACGAAAAGGATTTTCTGCCGGGACCGGGGCGATAATAATTTAGATTCTAACGACGGCGGCGAATGCAACCGCAATCTTTCCACTTTCGCAAGGGCAGACAGGTCCAAACTCAAAAAGTCTATCGTCAAAAGGGGGGAAAACCAGAGTCACGAAGCAAGAGTCACGACCGGATGGGCGATGGGCGGTTCGCAAGAGGAACCGGCGTCTTCCCAATTAAACCCGACTCCACACGAGAGGAACTAACTTGCTTAGGATGGTAGCACGGCCTTAGTCTCACTGGTCCAGAGCTGCTAAAAAGATGCTGCCTCCGCAAGGTTCCCCTGCTTGCTGCGGTGCAGATAAAGAATTGAGGCAGTTGATCGATAGTTCGACTTAGCGACAGGGGAAAATGCGATCCGTCGGTTGAGAGATCAATCGATGAATTGATTGCTCTTTCGGGGAAAATCAGAGCAGTTATGCCAGGGCAAACAAAAAGAAAAGCCCGATGCAGGAACGACCAAGGTTATCGATCTATTTATTTGTACGGCGTGATGGACACTCGAAGGTGAATCCAGCGTTGACGTGGCACGCGGTGAGGCTTGACAGGAGGCTCGCTACATCATTTCAGGCACTCGGTCTGTTGGACTGATTTTTTCCTATTTTTTCTAGATTTTGTTTTGATTTTTATTTCGACATCTCAACCACTCCATGTGTTTTACCGAATCCACACGAACGGTGGAACTTCGCGCGGGACCAAAAGCGAGGGTTCCGTGGAACAAGGTAAGGACGGGTTGTTCTATTATAATTAACATATCGATTGTAGGGGTGTTGGGCCATTGTTCTGGAATGTCTTGATCGAGTCGGTGAAGGAAGGTCAGGCTCGGATTAATGACGAGTCTACACTACAGTCACTCTACTCCGGTAGGGCATCAGTTGATAACGTTGTTCATGTCACTCCCGCCCTCGTCGGCCCCGTCGTTTCGCAATGCGTGGCATCCACCAGTCAAAAGCACCGCGGCTGAGCTGGTCGATCCCTATTTTAGCCTCGCCGATGACTTGGCAAGGGGTCCTGCCTCGCGGAATTTAATAGACGCATGCCAGATCATTCGAGCCAGACAGCCGTGTCCAGGTTTTGTTTCAGCAATCAGTAGTCAATTTGAAACACCACCTTCCCATGCAAGGGTTATATTATGGGATGCGAGGGTTGAACGCTTCGCTGGAGGTGATCAGGCTAGTACTGAATACTCGCCCTATATATCAAATTTGAGGCACATACCAAGGGCGCGTCTGGAGGTGTCGACATTCGTCGTATCTGCAAGGTAGATCTGATCTGAATGATCTGGACACTCCATGTTCAGACAGTATCCACCCGGGTCATAGTGATTGAGTGGAGGTCATTTATCATTGTTATCATTGAAGTACTGACATCAAAATCTAGAAATGTTGGTGCTGTAATCTCGTCTCTGTTAATACACTAAAGGCCATATTCCTACCTCTTGAAGGCTCAAATTCACATATACAGGTGCTTGGTTCGCTTGAATTAAACACCGTATAGTTGGATCAATAGAATCCTGTTGTTCGTATATATTTAGTTCCGCCGATGCGTAACCGTAGTTCCCACCCGAGGACAATGCCGTTCAGCCTAAACCTGAGTAAGGTGCATCAAACACAAACACAGACAAAGCAATAGGCAGGACAGACCCACAGATTTATATTGCCAACTCGTTAGTCGAGATGCGTTGGTCCTAGGATACGATGAATGTTGGGGTTATCAACAAGCACGTACCGCCGGTAGTGACATAGTAAAAACCCGATACTGTGACTGTCGGGGAAAAAGTGCAAATAAATTAGACCAGAAGCTTCTTGTCTCGGTTAGTTCCTCGCGGGATCTAAAGGTACAACCAATCTTTGTGGCAAGTCGCTGAGTTGAAAGGGTATTTCTGATATCTATGAATGGCAGTGGTATATATATCAAGGGTCCACTCTCAGGATATGTTCGTTTATGTTGGACGTATGAAATAGAGGGGTTCAATTGTACAAACACAACACAATAGCTTCTATTATTCCATTGGCCATCAGGTCGATTAAGCTCTCCATCTGTATACAATGTCTACAATATACACTGCCTACAACTACAAAGTGACTGTTGCCTGGACCGCCGCATCAGGTGACTCCGCGACGTCATCTGACCGCAGGCATCCGACGTTTCGTCATTCCAAACATTTCGAGGCGATGTCAGCTTTGGTCCCCCCCTCACATACCTCAAGCATCGTGATTGACTGCTTCGTTTGCTTAACAATTAGAGACTCGTGTAAATAGGACCCCTATCCAGTCTGTGACTTACCATCCCCGCCACAATGTGTGGTTCAGATATCTTCCTGGGCATCCTCGCCATCTTCTTCCCCCCCGTTTCAGGTACGTGACCCCTCTCTCGACCTCTCCAGACCCCTCTATCCTTGACTCTCTGCATTGATATAATCTTCCTGCTAACACCCTTGCCCTCTAGTATGGATCAAAGTAGGCATCTGCACAGCTGACTCGATCATTAACCTCGCTCTTTGCTGCCTCGGCTACGTGCCGGGCCTGCTCCATGCCTGGTACATCATCCTCAAACACCCCGAGCCGGATTATGACGACCCAAGCTACGAGCCCGTCCCCGGTGGTCCTGCTCGGGGCAGGGACGTGGAAAACGGTCGCGTGACATACTACTACGTTTCGCACCAACCGGGCCAACAACCACCTCCCAGAGCCTACGGCACGCTGGGATCGCAAAATCAAGCCCAGACAGCCCAGGACGGCCGCCAGGCCGCTCCTAAGCCGCAGCACGGCCACGCCGCCGAGGGTGGAAGTAGCAGTCAGTCGCATGATGATTCTCGGCCCCCACCGACATATGCGGAAGCAGTGAAGGGAGACAATAAAGTACAGAGCGATGATTGAATTGCGATAGAAGAGAAGCAAGATATGAGGTGAATGTTAGTTGGTCGAGGGCCACTGCCGTTTATTCTATTCTTGCTTGGTGATCGCTTCTGCTGTCGACACTGACCCTTCCCCTCCTGCCACCTTGATAATCGGAACGGAATTTTCTATGAGATTACCTTGGCCATGGAATTTGCTATGTATTGTACTTAGGATCACTTAATGCTTATGTTTATCATGTCAGCGAGTCAATAATAAAGATACCTTGGGATTTTCGAATATGGTCAGCCCTTGCTGCTGACTTCTGCTTCTAGTCCGGGGAATAAAGATCGCCTGAAGTCTTATGTCCAAATGAAGTAAATATAAACCCATATATAACCCCCGACCTTGCATTCACAAAGCATACAAATAACCTACCGCCAAGCGTAGTTCGCAGTTATCGATCATCCGATCTTATCAGAAACATGAAGAAGCGCGGAGATTCCGCCTGAACTTCGCTTTCCCGCCCGCCTTTCCCGACCTGCGGATCAACCCTTGAACGGTCAACTCCAACCCAACCCAACCGACCCAGCAATCTGGCCGGCTTCTTCGTGGCCCTCCGACCCGGCCATGCAGTCCATGCCAGTGCTGTTCCGACAGTCTCTCAGACACACTGTCAATCTCACCAGACCTTCTGCTCCCGCCGTGCGCTCGCCGCTGCTGTCGACCGTTGGCCCGAAAGCTCTTCCCGTCGGCAATACCCCCCGGCGAAGCTTCTCGGTCTGTTTACAGTGCCAATTCCGGAAACAGTCGGTTCTGTATTCGACTAATGAGTCGGATAAACTGAAAGATGGGAAGCCGGCGGATCAGTCGGTGAATGCAGAGCTGGCGGAGGTGGTGCGTGACGGCATCCTTAAGACCGAGGTGGATGCGGGGAGCAGCAACAGCAGCAGCAGCAGCCAGGGATCTCCCACTGCGACGGAGAGTACAAAGACGCACAAGCCTGAACAGTCTGAATTAGGGGGAACCCATGAGGGCAAAGGGCAAAGCTCATCAGGGGATGGTAGTCTTCCGTCGTATCTGGAGAATCGCAGATCGCAGTTTGCGAAACAGTTCGGGACCATGATGGATAACTTGCAGTCGAATGTTTTCGTGGCAGGCCAGCGATTGAACGATTTGACTGGCTATTCATCAATTGAAGCGTTGAAGAACGAGATTCATAACCAAGGTACGTTTCACTTCTGCAGCAACCTCTTCTTTACACAAGATGTCCTGCATTCTAACCTTCACTCCCTTCCAGAGGAACGCCTACGCACCGCCCGCCTCCGAGTCCGCGAAACCAAAGATGCCTACTCCGCCGCTATCAACCGACGATCGACCTCCCAGCGTGAAGTGAACGAGCTGCTGCAGCGCAAACACGCCTGGTCGCCTGCGGACCTGGAACGCTTCACCCATCTCTACCGGAACGACCACACCAACGAAGTCGCCGAGAACGAGGCCCAGGAGGCCTTGTCGGCGGCGGAGCGCGAGTCGGAAGAGGCCGCCGCACAGCTAAGCCGGTGCATCCTCTCTCGATACCACGAGGAACAGGTCTGGTCGGACAAGATCCGTCGCATGAGTACATGGGGCACATGGGGACTGATGGGCGTCAACGTGCTCCTCTTCCTCATCTTCCAGATCGCCGTCGAGCCCTGGCGCCGTAAGAGGCTGGTAAAGGGCTTCGAGGAGAAGGTCATTGAAGCTATTGAGAAGGAGAAGGTCTTGACACAGACTCAGGTCCTTGGTGCGGCGAATGTGGTGGCTCAGCAGAGCCCTGTCCCTACCACTACCGCTACTCCCGAGATCGCTGAAGCATCTTCTTCCACGACGGCATCTGAGACCTCCGAGCAGCCTGTCTCCAGTGTCAGTCCTGTCGAGCCCGCCGAATTGGCCCCAGCCACTACTACTCCCACCACGCCAACCGAGCCCACTCCCACCCCCTCCACCGAAAACCCCGCCGCCTGGGACGATACCATCAAAACGCAAATCTCGCGCCTCTCCTCCCCTCAATCCGTCGAATCCTGGCGCCAGTACTTCCACGACCTCTTCAGCGACCGCAGCATCACCATCACGCAGCGGGATCTCTCCTCCGTGGCTCTGCAAAGCGCCGCAGCCGGCGCGGCTATCATGGGCCTTGTCATTGCATTGATACGACCGCGGTGAAGCCTGCCATAAAATCGCAAATGCATGGATAGATATCGAGAGACAGAAACGAGGGGATGTGCGTGTGTGCCCAGCGCAGCGTGATGTTTCTTCTTTGTTCCAACGGTCCATTCCGGATCGAACACGTACTGTACAAATATTCTAACCTACGTATCTAGATATAAATAGACTTGCCTCCCATGTGATGTATAAATTGATCAATTCTCCTGTCCCTTTGATATCTCCTTTGGCATAGAACAGTCCGCTTATTTTACCTATCTGTATACATAAGCTCTTGGTAGCGGTGTGAAAGTAAATATAACGCACCGGGTGCGCCTCATGGAATATACAGGACATTCTGGTCCTCCAACACAGGAACCAATAAGTGGATTCAGCCGTCCATCAGTCTGCAATGGACATCGAGCTCAGCCTCACACGCAGGAGTAAACAAAAGATCATATGTAGGGAAACTAAACTCTAGACAGAAGGACGACGGGAGTTATCTGAAGCAATCAAACAAGAGGCCCAGCTTTTTTTTTTGGGTTTATTTTTAGGATCCGCTTTATCATATCGATGGATGCATATTAAAACAAGGTCTCTTTAATCTTGACACAAAAATAAAAAGACATAAAACAAGAGAGAGATTTCATCTAGAAGAACACACACACAACATACACAAACCTGTCTTGTCTCTGGCCCTTATCCCCTCCTCCTGGTTCTCCCCGCTCTTTCGCAACTCGCACTCACACTCACACTCGATATACCTGTCCATCGTCTAAACAAAAAAAAAAGGACTAAACATATGGCAGTAGTGGTGGTGGTCGTACACGTACAGAGCCCCCAGTTCGGTTGTTTAAAAGAACAAAGAACAAAGAAAAAAACAAATGATGGATTGTCAATATACAGACTCAGTTTTGTTTTTTGCAGTTAATCTAACCGATGACCAGGGTCTCGTCGGTGGGGAAGCTGTACTGAGGAACCTCGAGGTTCAGGGGGGCAGGACCCTTCCTTATACGGCCGGAGATATCGTAGTGAGAACCGTGGCAGGGGCAGAACCAGCCGCCATAGTCACCGGCCTCACCGATGGGGACACAACCCAAGTGGGTGCAGACACCTGCAAGAGTGAAACGGTTAGGGAACAGGATATCGCAAGGCGTGGTCGGGAAGAGTACGTACCAAGCATGACGAGCCACTTGGGGTCCTGGACGCGCTCCTCGTCGGTCTGAGGATCACGGAGAGTGGTGTGGTCGATCTGGTTGGCCTCGTCGATCTCGCTCTGGGTGCGGTGACGGATGAAGACGGGCTTACCACGCCACTTGATGATGACCTGGAGAGGGATTGCGGTCAGTCTTGAGGCCTTACAGACACGATTAAATCGTAGGCTCCCTGGGATATGGACGTACGTTCTTGCCCTCGGGGATGGCACCGAGACCGATCTCAACCTTAGCCTGGGCGAGGACGTCGGCGGAGGCGGACATGTTGACGAGGAAGTCTGTTGATAAGAGAAAATTGAAGGTCAGCCCATTGCGTTCCCGACCGAGCCCGCCACCCATATCCAATTGTTGATTCCCAATATCGAAACCCATCACCGTCGATTCCGCCACTTTCCCATCGGATTAACGACCAGAAACCCAATCACGTACCCTGAACGGTGGCCTTGGCACCGACGGCAGAGGCCAGACCGAGCGAGCCGGCCATGAAGTAGGAGAAGACCTGGTTGGAGCGGGGGGACTTCTTGGAGGAGTATTTGCTGAAGTCGGGGATCTTGGTGGTCGTGGAGCCGAAGGGGCTCTGGAAGGAGGCCTTGGAGGCGTCAGCGACACCCCGGGACTGCTGGCAGGAGGCGAGGGCAGCGCGCGAGGTGGTCAGCTGCTGGCGGGCGCAAGAGCGCAGCAGAGAACCGGAAGCGGAGGCGAGAGACATGGCGACGAGGAAGCAATTGCAAGCAATCGCAACAAAGACGACCGTAACGGTGGGGGGTGGGAGGGGAGGAGGGTGGAGTTGAAGGGGGATAGAGGAGGGAATTTCCTAACGATGAAGGATGAAGTCGGCCGGGATGGACTTGCGGGAACCAAACCAGAGCTTTCGCTAGAAGCGATCGGAATCACGGGGCGCCTCATTGGCTGAGGGGGGAGACCGCCTTAGTCAGATTGTATACTTACTTAGTTAAATAACTGACCTCATATTTACAGATTGGATTTCCATTGAGTTATATAGTAATGAATTATTATTCTTTATAAGACAATTGTGATTTTTATTCTTTTTCTTTTATTTTTATCAATGAGTTTCCAGTCCAGCAGGTATACTCCGTCCTCCCGTCACTCGACCGATTCATCCCGACCGCTGCCTTTTCTGGATCCGTCATTTCCCGTTCCGTCCCTTCCTACTTTCTTAGTATACAAGCACGAAGGACTAGATACTCACAAGTAAAAATCCAATTAATAAACGTTAACCCGTATATTTACTCCCGAAACTCCTCCAATGCTCCTTTTTAATTGCCAGTTTCCCAACTCTCATATCATCCATCGGCCATCTCCACGTCCCCGTCTTGAGTCCCTTCTTGAGTCCCTTCTTGAGTCCCATTCTGCGCATCCACCGTGCGATCAACCATCAGCGTACTGATAGCTCCCGACGCATGCATCACCGTCGGCGCTCGAGGACTCTTCGAGAGCTTCTCCTCCGATACGCGCTCCGGCTCTTCCGACTCCCCATTCGTCTGCTCCGCCGCAGGTAGGGCGCCGTTTATCGTGCGTTGTCCCTTCTCGTACTCAGCTTCCTTGGTGGCCTCCTTTGCCCGCTTTTCCTTGAATTGTTTGTAGGTGGTCGTTTTGGGAATGACGTCGGCGAGGAACTCTAGGTTATCGATGCGCGATACGGCCGTAGCTGTTTGACTGAGATTAGTATCTTTCCGTCATCTGGGAAGGAGTGCGACTAACCGAGATCTTTGTATTGGATGTTCTTGCGCGGTTTTCGTTCGGACTTGACGACGTTGTGGCCTTGTTCCGTGAGGTATTGGATGAACATTTCCTGATCGGTCAGCTTCTTCAGTGGAGTTGGAGCAACGCGCGGGACGTACGGTAGCCATTGCGATCACAAAGGTGGCGTTGCTGGAACATTGTACGATGTCTTCGTCTAGCTGGATGATTTTTTTGATCCGGGAGACTTGACGCAGTCAGCAATAGAACCTTGCAGAAGAAGATTGGAACGCACTGGGAAGAGCGCTCTGGCCGGTGATCTCGTCGGAGGGCGCAGACTCGAGCGCGGTCTTTTCTTTGGGAGGCATCGTGTCGCGTCGTAAAATCGTCGGAGGGATTCTGGGTATAATAGAGGATGGAGAAACCGAATCTGACAAAATTCGGTGTTGATCAATGAAGTGTATGTAGTTGGTATTCTCCGATGGCGTGAGGGAAGCGTGGAGGAAATCGAGGCGCGTGCGGTGGAATCCACGCGTGGCGGAAATGAGTAGATAATCGCAGATAGTAGCCCTGGCGATTCGACTACTGTTCCTTCCGGCTGCTAGCCAGGTTGTCGCGATTGAACAAGATGCAAATCTAAATTCAACAGAACTACAGATCATGTCTGACTTATTCTAATTCCTCGAATTCTAGATCCTCCATCACGGACGCCTCTCACGTGGGCGGAGAAGAACAAAGGAACCCAACACGGCAATATTAGGATTCCCATCGATCGAGACCGAGTCCAGACAACCTTCGTTCACCTCACCAGCGATGCCCTTCCTTGTCGCCCACGAGAATGATATGATATGAATTCAATGCGCCCCCCGTCTCCTTCCCCGCGCTCCCCCTCCGTCTTATCCGAGCGACGGATTCTGAGGAGGCTATCGGGCTTATCCTCGCCCGTCGACCAGCAGCCGTCCCCCGATAACCAACCGACCGCCATCACCGAGGAGATCAGCGAGATAAAACGGTACGAGGACTTTACCACCATCGACTGGGTGCAGGATGCGGTGCAGGAACAAGCGCGACGTCGAGCGAAGCGCCGCGATGGCTCGGGCTTCTGGGATCAAGAAGGCACCTTTGGCTGGCGACGAAAGGTGCGCGAGTCCTACGACGCCGGTCAGGCCTGGCTCGTCATTACCCTCGTCGGCGCGGCGATCGGGTTGATCTCGGCGCTCTTGAACATCATCACCGAGTGGCTGTCCGATATCAAACTGGGTCATTGCACCACGGCGTTCTATCTCAATGAGAACTTCTGCTGCTGGGGCGCAGAGGGAGGTAAGCGGGTACAACACCCGATTTGCGATAGAGAGGTTGACTGATGGGCTTCTCTGCAGGATGCTCTGAATGGAAGCATTGGACCTCGCTCTGGCTTGTGAATTATATGATTTACATCTTCTTCGCGGTAGGTCTCCAGCTGACGTGGCCTGGATTACCCGGCTAAGATCATCTAGGTCCTGTTTGCCTTCGTCGCCGCCAGTCTCGTCAAATCGTTCGCTCCGTATGCCGCAGGCTCCGGCATCTCGGAGATCAAGTGTATCATTGCGGGGTTTGTGATGAAAGGGTTCTTGGGCGCATGGACACTCTTGATCAAGTCCATTGCGCTTCCGTTGGCCATCGCATCTGGCCTCTCTGTCGGGAAAGAGGGGCCCAGTGTTCATTTCGCTGTTTGCGCAGGAAATGTGATATCCCGGTTCTTCAGCAAGTATAGACGAAATGCATCTAAGACTAGAGAGGTCTTGACAGCGACAGCCGCGGCCGGCGTGGCTGTCGCATTTGGAAGCCCAATTGGAGGAGTGCTCTTCTCCTTAGAGGTATGCCTTGGATTAAGTTGGATTTTGGCTCGATTCTAACTAGACCTAGGAAGTCGCATCTTATTTTCCACTTAAAACGTTATGGCGAAGCTACTTTTGCGCATTGGTTGCAACTGGTGTTCTGGCGGTATGTCCCCTCTCTCTGTGCAAACTAACAAGCTAATAAAATCTAGGCAATGAATCCCTTCAGAACCGGACAATTGGTCATGTTTCAAGTACAATACGACCGCACGTGGCATTTCTTCGAGCTGATCTTCTTTGTCTTCATCGGCGTTTTTGGGGGTCTTTACGGAGCGCTTGTCATCAAGTGGAATCTCCGCGTCCAGGCATTCCGCAAGAAATATCTGTCCCAGCATGCGGTTATGGAGTCTGTTATCCTGGCGGGTATCACAGCTGTCCTGTGTTTTCCGAACATGTTTTTGAAGATTAACATGACAGAGATGATGGAAATTCTGTTCCGGGAATGTGAGGGTGGCCATGATTACCACGGGCTTTGCGAGTGAGTCTCCATCGGCTAATGATGAATGTCAATGGTTAATGAACTTTACTGATGGACCAGACCGAATCGTCGCTGGTATATGGTCGGATCACTGGCTGTCGCCACCTTCCTCCGGATCTTCCTGGTCATCATTTCCTACGGGTGTAAAGTGCCGGCTGGAATCTTCGTGCCATCGATGGCCGTAGGCGCGTCGTTCGGGCGTCTGGTCGGGATCCTTGTGCAAGCGCTACACGAGTCCTTCCCGGACTCACAATTCTTTGCTTCGTGCGATCCTGACGTTCCGTGTATCACACCCGGCACGTACGCCTTCCTCGGTGCGGGTGCAGCGCTGAGTGGGATCATGCATTTGACCATCTCGGTGACGGTCATCATGTTTGAACTGACTGGCGCACTGACTTATATTCTTCCCACCATGGTCAGTTTTCTTTCGTCTTAGTACTGAATCCTACTAATTATGCTCAGATCGTCGTCGGCGTCACCAAAGCGGTCGGCGACCGTTTCGGCAACGGGGGCATCGCAGACCGCATGATCTGGTCGAACGGATTCCCCTTCCTCGACAACAAAGAAGACCACGTCTTCAACGTGCCCGTCTCCCACGCCATGACCAGCGACCCCCTGTCGTTGCCCGCCTCCGACTTCCCCGTCCGCGAAGCCGAGCACCTCCTCAGCGACAACAAATTCCAGGGCTTTCCCATCGTCGAGGACCGCTCCTCCAAGATCCTCGTCGGATACATCGGACGCACCGAACTCCGCTACGCCATCGACCGCGCCCGCGCCGAGGGCATGGTCTCGCCGACCGCGCGCTGCGTCTTCACCAAGGAAGCTGCCGAGGCGGCGGTAGCGCGGCGGGCGTCGGCGTCAGCATCGGCGTCTTCCTCGTCGCGCGCCAATCTCGTCCCGGACACCTTCGATGCCATCCACCGCAGCTCAGGCACTTCGTATGTGGACTTCAGCCGCTACGCCGACCACACGCCCCTCACCGTGCACCCGCGCCTGCCGCTCGAGACCGTCATGGAGATCTTCAAGAAGATGGGCCCGCGCGTTATCCTCGTCGAGCACCGCGGACGCCTTACGGGTCTCGTCACCGTCAAGGACTGCCTCAAGTACCAGTTCAAAGTGGAGGCCGAGGAACAGGCCCTCGCGGCGACTAACAATCCCCAGGAATTGCGGCTGGGCGAGCATCTGCACGGGCAGGGCGATACCTTGGAGGAGCGGCTGTGGAGTTTTGTGCAGTCGTTGATCTCGAAGATGCCTGGTCGGAAGACTCGACCAGGAGTTGGGGATGGATATCACGGGGTAGGCGGCGACCAACCTAATGGGGGTGTGGAATTGGAGGATAGGCAGTAGGCCATGTTTTTACTGGACCGGTTTAGTTAGTTTTGATCATTTTAGATCAGGAGGCCAGGTTTGTCAGTTCTGTATACATTTACTTACTACATAGAGGATTCTGGGTCTGGTATCCAGTATCGAATATAGACGAATCCATTATGGTATGCTATTCCATTTTCATATCAACTACTCACCATTTTGCTGGTATCTAGTCTATCTACCAACCTACCCCTGCTGTGCCTAGACTCCCCAAGAAGTGGAGTTTGCTTTATACACAATCCCACCTCAACAGAACAACACCAAGCACAATAATCCACCCCAGCTGTACATAAGTGCAGTGCCAGCGTAGTAATAGTACACAATATGTAGTATAGTATATAGTCAACTCCTGAACACCTAGCCAGTATGTACAAACAACCGAGACAAAAGTAGAATAAAGCAACCAGGTCAGCTACAGTGCTGTACCCTTATAACCAGCCTAAACTCCCTCCATCCCCTTCCGCTCCTTGCTCTAGGTAGGTATTATACCATTTACCATGAAGCATACACCTACCCCCTTAATCCTATACAGTTATCCTTCATGCCCCTTCTCATCCCTCCACAGCGTATATAAGTATACCCCCGTAGCCCCCTTACCCTCTATACCTCCCCCCCCATCATCCTGATATGATAAGGTAAGAAGAGAAAAAAAAAACACAAAGGATTATTGATCCCTCATCCCCACAAGCACACACCCACCCCCCATCAGACCCGCGCCAACCCACCACAGCGGCGCCACATTCTCCTTGAAAACCAACATGCCCAGCACGGCCGTGACGAGGAAATTCGCCGACGTGTTCGTGATGGAGACTTTTGTTGTCGAGGGCGACGCGGTCAGTGCGCGCGTGAAGAGCGCCCACATGGTTACGTTGCTGAGGAGGTTGAGGCCGAAGAATATCTATCTCATTGTTCTTGTGTTAGGTTCGGGGGTCAAAGATTTGTTTGGAGGAGGTAGGTAGGTGTTCGGTGCATCAGGTAGTAAACAGGAGGTAGGTATGGGGTGTGAAGTAAAGGTGGACGTACACCTCTAATAACGAGCTCCATGAATGGATGCTGGTCGAGGGTGGCGTTGAAGAGGGAGAGGAGGAAGGCGGCGAGGGAGGAGGTGTGTGTGTCTGTTGTCCTGGGTCATGGGTATTCTTGGTTAGCATTCAATGGTTCTATGTAGTAATTGTATGGGATCGGACAAGGAAAAGGGGAGGGAGAAGGTACAGCTTTGCGAAGAGGCCGTTCAGAGCGGCGAATGCGCCGCTGGTCAGGGCGAGGATGATCCAGCGGGAATGGCGCTTTTGGTCGGATTGCGAGGGAGGGGTCATTATGAGTATTATATATAGTAAATTATAATATATTAAGTAGATATGTATGGATATAAATATCGTATGATATTGGAGGATTGAAGTGAAAGAGGGAGATGGTAACGCGACGGAAGTTGTCTTTCTTGGCATCTTATCTTATCTAAAACCCCCGTATAGCTTCACAGCTCATGTATATCTACAGTACATCTACGGCGACAATCGCTGAATCCGCCATCTATACGTCTCCTTCTCTCTACCTCCCGCCCCATTCTCATGCACCCTCACATATCGAAACCGATCATGCAACCGACTGCGTCTCCCCTGCCAAAACTCCACCGACTCGGGAACAATCCTCACCCCGCCCCAGAACGGCGGCAGCGGAATCTCCTTCGTATCGGCAAACCGCTTCTCCATCTCCTGCACACGACGCTCCAACAACGCCCGTCCATCATCGATATCCGTCTCGTTCACATCCCCGGGGATCGCCGGCACCACGCCCGTCACCTCGTCGGCCGCCAGGCTCTTCCGCCGCCGGTCGATCAGCAGATGCGGCTCCGTCTCCCAGAGCACTTTACTCTGCCAGCTGGCCCAGGCGCCGATCTGGCTGCCTCGTTCGCGCGTGCGCCAGTATAGTTCGCTTTCGGAGCGGCTGAGTGGCTCGACGAGCCCTTCGATCCGGACTTGGCGTTCCAGCGTCGACCAGCAGAACGTCAATGCGGCCCATTTGTTGCCGACTTGGTCGAGTTGTAACTCTTCTTGGAGGTTGAGCTCGGGCGAGGGCTCGGGCATTGCGCGTAATACGTCCCCGTCCGCTCCGTCCGCCTCGTTCGTAGTGCCGAATACCTGCCCTCCCTTCCCCTCCCGACTTCCCCAGTTACTATACACCACCCAGCCCCGCTCATCCAGTTCCTTTAGATACACGATCCGCGCGCTGACACGGCCCTCTGGCAACGACGCCGTGGCCAGGGTACACGTCTCTGGCGCCGAGGATGCAGGTAGCCGGGAATCGCGGAACCAGGTGTTGAACTGATGCAGCGGGTTGGTCGGGTGCATCTGCGAGACGGTGAGCGGTGGGTTACTGACGAACTGGTGCGCGCGGGCCGGATGCGAGACGATCTGTTTTTCCTGGACGGAGTTGGGGGTGCTGGTTTCCGAGCGCAGGGATTCGGCGACGAGGCGTGTGGCGGCGGAGGGGGGCACGTCGGGCGTGCTTGGGGGTGAGGGTTTATTATCGTTGTCGGGCGTGGCGATATCTCCTGGGGCGACTATTGGAGTTAGTATATTGGGTGATGGGATAGAGGGAATGAATTGAGATAGAGGGGAGATACAGATTAGTTTCTTGGGCCGTTTGGTGTCGGCGTCCCCGGTGGGGTGCTTGGGGTGGTCCATGGTGGAAGTAGAGGAGAGTCTTGAAAGGCGGAGATGAAGATGGAGGTGGAATTGATAGAGATGGAGAGGGGATTGAGGTAAACGGGATGGTCGGAGAAAGCGCATAGACAAAACCGTAGACTCCGATGAGTTGAGGGAAGATGAAGTCGGAGAAATGAGGAGGCGATAAGAAGAGAGACGTATGTGGGGGTGGGGCAAGTCACGTTGACTTCTGGTCTGATCAGAACTACATCATCTACACCTGCAATCACAATCACATCTACGTTTACAATAAATCCTCAGAAGATCAAAATTAATATCTTTGTTCAATTCAATCAAACCCTGTGGCTTGACGAGGCTGTCAGAACAGCATGAGTTGAGAGTGGTCTAGAAACAGACAAAAACATATAAACATCGAAGATATACGCAAAAAGAAAATCCCCAAAACCCATGGTATACATCATCTGGTCAGAATCCCCGTCTTTTTTCACAGAACGCCGTCACTCGCTGAATGCAAAACCGAAGAATAAACCGAAAAACCATTAACAGAACAAAACAACGGGGGAATCATGGTTGCCTCCCATAAATGCCTGATGCAGACAAGAGACCGTCGGGCTGGAAATCAGCCAGATAGACAGGGATCCAGCCCTGAGGAGGGATTAAAAACGGATTAGGATGCTTTTGTTCCAGTCAAAAAGTAAGGCTTTTTGATTCCCGAGGAATCACGAATGGGAAGGCAACGTCGTCCAGATGACGAATGCAAATTATACTCTCTTTCTCTTTCTTCTCTTCTGTTCAACCTCCCTCCCTCTCTCTATGTATGTGCTTAGAGGGAGGCGGTAACGGCCGCTCCGCCGACAAGATCAGCGATCTTGCTGGCAACGGCGCTGGGGTAGCCTCGAGAGAGCATCTCCTGCACGGTGCGGGAGGCTCCCTCGTGGTCCTCAGACAGCAGGAAAGCCCGGGTCATGGCCTCGTAAGTGCTCGGCTCCCGGCGGGTCACTCCGATGCTGTCGTACACGGCCTTGGCCTTGGCAATGTTGCCCTCGGCCGCCCACCCCTGGATGAGCGTGTTGGCAATGTACGCCGTCATCTCCACGCCGCGGCGGGCCATGTCCTGCACGATCGCCTCGGTCTGGCCCACCTGCTGGTGAGACACCATCGCTTCGAGGAGGGCCTGGTACAGACACGGCTGCACGCGCACCTTGCCCTCGGCCACGACGGAGCGGAACACGTCGTGCGCGGCTTCCATGTCGTGCATGACGCATCCCTTAGCGTGGATGAGCGATGCGTAGTGCACCGCCTCGGGTCGCTGTCCGCTGGCCTGGATGCGCTCGAGCACCTTCTCGGCCGCGGGCATGTCCACCGGCTCCAGCGAGGCGTACGCGTCGACGAGCAGCTTGTAGGTGTGCATCGTGGGCTGGATGTTCCGCGCCAGCATGCGCTCGTAGTAGGCCAGAACCTTGCTGCGGTCACGCTTGGTGTTGAGGAAGTACTGGATCATCGTGTTGTACGGGGCGGGGCGGGGGTTGTAGTTGGGCATCGACTCCATCTCCTCGAACATCTCCTCGGCGAACCGCTCGTCGCTGACCCGGCAAAGGGCGTTGACAATTGTGCCGTACGTAACGCTCGTGGGACGAACGTTTTTGGCGCGCATCTCAGCAAAGTACAGCAGGCAGTCATCGATGCGACGGGCCTTGCCGAGCTTGCCGATGAGGGTATTGTACAAGAACGAGGTGGGTTCGACACCCTCGGCCACGGCGCGGTGGAAGATCTTCAGCGCTTCCGTCGCCTCGTCGAAGGTCTTGGTAGATCCCTTGAGGGTCGCGATGTAGAGTCCGAACGTGTTGGCCGATGGCGCGGAGCCGAGTTCCAGCAGCTCGCCGTGGTACTTGGCGGCCAGGCTGCGGTCGCCCAGCGTCAGGCAGGCGGCGACCATGGCGTCGAGGATCGACACCCAGCCGTACTTCACCGCGTGGTACTGGGGCAGGAGAGGCACGTCGCGCCGGGCCATGCTCAGGATCTCGTGGACGAGGTCCACGCGGTTAATTTTGGCGGCGGCGGTGATCAATTTGGCGTAGGTGATGTAGCGAGGGTGACGACCGGCGCGGCGCATGTTGCGCACCCGGTTCAGCGAGTCGTTCAGATGCGACTCGGCACGGCCGCTCGTGCGCTCCAGCTCCTCGGCGATCGTCGCCGATCCGCGAAAGTCGGTGGCGTAGACGTAAGGGTCGAAGGAGTCCTCGGCGGGCGCGGTGCTCGGGTTCGTCGAGAGCTCGGAGACGGGGCTCATGTGGCGATCGGAGACGAAGGACAACGGGGGGCTAGAGGTGAGGCCGAGATGGTCGTGCCAGCGGCGGACCATGTCGGGTCGGCTGTTGAACAGCTTGCCCACGGCCTGGTCCACCACGCGGGTGGTGAAGGGGTCCATCTGGAGACCGGTGGCCAGGGCGATGTCGAGCATGTGGGCGAAGCGGATGGGGTGGGCGACGTCGAAAGCCGCAGCGTTGCCGTTGACCAGCATGTTGGCCTGGATCTGCAGGGCCAGGGTTAGGTCGCGGGCGTTGAGCTGCGAGATGCTCATGGGACCGAAGCTGGCGACAACGTGCTCGGCGACCGGGGAGACCATGCCCCCGTTCTCAGCCATCGACCAGAGTAGAGTCATGGCGGCGGGAGGAGTGAGGATGGCGGCAGATTGGCTCAGGACGCGACCGAGAAGGTGGATGCTTTCGTTGATCTGTTCACGAACGGGTTTCAGCAGAAGGGGGTTGTGGTTGACAGAAGACGACGAAGCGTTGCGAATCCGGGTAAACATATTGCGGGCACCCCGTAGGGCCTCCTCGATCTGACCATTCTTCAGCAGGGCGGCGGCGTACATGACGGTCGGCTGGATCATGTCCGACGTAGCCTGACCGGTGGTGCTCAGCGCGTGCCACAGGGACCGGGCCGCGGTCACATTGCCTTGTCGGACGTGCAGCGCCAGCAAGGAGACGGCGGGGGCCTGTCGGAGGGCCCATTCGGTGGGCAGACAATCATACGCCTCGGAGGCAGCCTTCAGGTTGCCGGCATCCGCCGCGGTGATGCAGATCTGGGCCATGGCATGATCCAGCGCGCTATCCTGCAAGCGGGTCTTGGCCTGGTCTAGCGCCCTATCATGCTCGCCGGATTTCAGAGAGTGGCGCACCAGCGCGTCCTGCACAATCACCGACTCAACGGCGCTCTGACGAGTCTCGCGGTTCTCGGTGACATCGTCAAACGAGGACCGGATGCGTTCCACAAATCGGAGCGCCTCCTCCTCCTTGCCACACGAAAGGTACGCCTTGACCAGGGCAGCGTATACCTGCGCGTCCAATCGCTGGACGATGCTGAAGGTACCGTTATCGTCCGACACCGCTAGCGCCCTGTATTCGTTGTAGCACTCCACGGCGCTCCGCATATCTCCGGTTGAGGCAAACGCGTCGATCATCGAGGGGAAGATCGAGGCGTGCGGGGTCACCTTGTGGGATTCCATGTGAGCGTAGACGCGCACCATGTTTTCGACGCGGCCCTCGGCGGCACAAGCGGTGATCAGGTAGCGGTAGGTGTCGAGGGAGAAGACCAGGTCGGCGTGTCGGGCGATGGCCGTGTTGAAGAGCTTCAGGGCGATGTCGAGCGAGTGATCCTCGTCAAGGATTGCGCGTTCCAACTCGCTGGAGTGCAGCATGAACTTGCCGTCCTCCTCCATGCCGCCAAATCGTAGACGATCCTGTTCCAAGAGTCCCTTGGCCTTGATCGCATCGTGGGCACGGACGACGAAAAGCTCGACCAGCGTGCGATATGTCTGCTCGTCGGGAATCACCTTGCGACGCAGCATGTCCGAGTAGACATCCAGCGCCTTCTGGATGGCCTGGGCGCTATCACCGTGGAGTTGAATGGCCGATTCCAGCAGGGCATTGTAGGCCCCGACCGTGGGAGTCAGACCATCTCTCAGCAACGTGGCAAACGCCCCAGGGATCTCGGCGTACTTCTTCGTCGACGCCAGCTCAACGATGCGATCGGACGCAGTGTTGGAGAGCTCCGCCGTGGCATCCGAGATGGCAGCGACGTCGTCTGGTAGATCGGGGAACGCCTCGGTGGCGTTCTCGGCCTCGACCGCTTCTTCCGCCTGTGCTTGCTCTTCCGCAATCTGGATCTCACGGGCCACAGCTTCCTCTACCTGCGCACCGACGTCGGCATTGGCCGAAGCCTTGGTGAGATGCGGCGACCGGTGAAGATTCTCGTGCGACTTGGACGCGCTCTCTTCCTCCTTCGCCTTGGCAGTTTCTTCCGACGACGGCTTCCACCCGATGCGTCGTTTCATCTGCAGCTGCTTCCAATCGCTATCATCTCCGGTTTGCTGGGCATGTTGCCAGGCCTGATAGTAGGCGGCTAAGCCCACGTCGCCGGAGCCGGAACCGCCCTGACTGGCCTTAGCGCCGGCGCCGGAGGAAGAACTGGACGGTTGGAAAACATTCTGAAGAGCGGATCGGGAGAACTTGGCGGCGGGTTGATTTGCTATTTGGTTGAAGGTGGCGGAGGATGTGTAGGAGGACTGCGACGCGGCGACTACGGATTGAGCATAGCCATGGGTGAAGGCTTTTGTGAAACTCTGGCGCGCGAGGTGGGTAAACGGTTTGAAAACCATTTATCTGGCGGGCGACCTCTTCAGGGAGAAGAGGCAATGCTGTAGGAAGTTAACGCGTGATTCTTGAAGGATTTTTTTTGATATCCACACGTGCGTGTCCTTTGCAACGCTGGACGCACTTTGTAATCAAAATAATGGAAATGATGCAGGTTCATTTGACGATGACCAATCGCCAAAGGAACGCGCCCGGTAAGGGGAGGAATGGATATGATTAGGGAATGGAACGAGGGTGAATCAATTTCGTGTGGGAGAAAAATGAATGGAAAAAGCGAGAGAGCAGAATAAAAAAGGGCCCGTCAGCGGAGGAAAGCGAAGGATATTTCAGAAGAGCCGAGAATGATCGGTATCACTGGCTGGCCTGAAGGGGACTAGCGCCGATCCCAGGCCAGGCGATACCTGTTTGGGACGGGCGGACCAAGGGAGCTGCGTGGAGCGTCGGACTTAGGCGTCTGCTCCGAGGATATCCTCGTACTTGACATTTATCGAGTATGGACTAGGGTAGGAGAAGAGAAAGATTAGGAACTACGAGGCTGTGCTGCGGGATGCCTCCGTACAAAGGTCCTGCGGTCATGAATCCCATCTCATACTCCGTCAATTGAAACGCGAGGAAGCAGAGTTTTCACTGACAGGGATCAACCACGGATGCCTCAGGCCAGGGGACACGCGATCAGGTGGTCTTCGCCGGTCGGAGCGGCTTCCGAGTCGGCCAATGATCCGCCGGGAAAGAGCGGGGCCGCGGGAAAGAACAGGAAGCTAAACCGCTCAGGTAAAGTGCCTGGCCCGTGACTCCCGTGACTCACGCCTTGTCTTTCCGACTCTTTTTCTTCCTGCCAGTCCGGACTTTGACTGCGCCTGCTCCGTCGCTCGGATCCTCCGTGGGCCGAGTCTCCGGAATGGAGTACTTTTGTCTCTCGTTAACCTCCCAGGGATGAGGCATTATTCATCTCACATCCTGACGATGATTCACGGTGGGTTCGAGCATTCCAGAACGATGTTCTTTATAAATAGTTGGGTGGATTCACATCCAGATGGAGCTATACTGATACGGAGTAGTACACGGTGTACAGTGTACACTCATAGATCCATAGCTCTCACTCTGACCACACAATGACATCAAGTTCCTTGATTCCGACCTTTATTCCTTATGGACAACCCCGCAGGTCACGCACATAAGCCCCTTTTTGACTTTATCAGATCCTCCCCGACGTGGTATCTAAGCTGTTAATCCCACGAATCCTATGCCCGAATCCTACCGCGCCGTACGTCATGTCGGGGCTCGGAGATTATCAACCTGCCAGGCCGAGTGCAGACCCCGGAGTTCCAGGGTCAGCTTCCGTGGCAGCTACTGAACTCTGCGTCTGCATTGCGTTTCTGGATGGTTGCCTATTTAGATAGCTACGGAGGTCGGGGAAATGGAGAAATCCGCTCACCCTCGGCTGGGCTCGTGCGAACTACTCCGTACACTGTACTGAAATCCTGTTTCATCTCTTCCTTGTTAGTTCTGGATAATGTGCTACTGGTCTGGAGTTGATTGGCCTAGATGTAGATTCCTCCGCATGCTTTGGATGGATCCGGGGATGCTGCATACCTAGTCAAATATAACACTGGATCCTCCATTCAGTGCATCAGTCACTACCCTCTAATCAAATAGGTTGTCAGGGTCTTAAGCTAAAGAATATCGGATGATGATTAATATCTTGAGAAATTGGCTCTAGGGTAAGACACCCTGTTGTTGACTCTATGGCCTAAGAATTCATTCATAGAGTAGAAAGAGCTCTCTTCTGCATCAATCTGCATCCAGTGAACACATGCAGAATGGACACAGGTAGGCATAGGCATACTGATGTGAGTGAATCGCATCCTCTGAGACCAGATTAAAGCCCCAACCCCTCCCATAACGTTTGCGTTGGAACATGAAGCCGGGACATTCTGACTTTTTCCTTTCGGTAGTAGATGACAGGAGAAAGTAGAGAGAGAATGAATAGATAGTATTTTCCAGTTTCCTTCCTCCCTGACTCTTGTGTGTACAGGCACTTAGACTTTACCGAATTGGTGTATTAGACGTCTATACAGCGGGATATTTTCCATAGAGTAAACATATTAGTAGTGTACTTTTTTCCTAGCTACTACTGTAAGAATGGGCGATAGGCCATGGGTTTCCTCAAAAAGACAGCTGGTATTAGTTACACCAGTCAATGGTTCGCAGGAAAATGTCCTTTCCAGCTGGAATTGCGGCTGAGGATTGTCTATTTTTACACTGTTGATAATCACTAATTTAGTTGGATAAAGTAGTCAACTATAGCCAGTGGGTTTGCATATAGATCCGAGACACTTCAATTCACTGTTTAGGTGTTCACCGTCGAGTGTATCTATGAGATTGATAAGCCACTAAGATAAGACCTTAATATAAATGTATCCCCACACTTCCCTTTGAACATCCTCACCACCAGTCCAGCTCAACACCTCACTAAAGACCCCAACCTTCAAATAACATGTCCAACAGTCCACTCGTGCTCCCTCGTCCGGGAGCTTCTACAAGTTCTACAACCCCAATCCCAGCCCCATCCGAATCCGCCTTCGTGGCCACCTTCGGCGCCCTCCTCCCCGCAGCCCAGTACCTCCAGACCCCCCACGGCCGCGCCGCATATTACTCCCTCCCGCCATCATCAACATCATCCACATCCTCCTCCTCCACAATCACCCGCGTGCTATTCATCCACGGCGTCCAAACCCCTGCCATCGGCCTCCAGCCTCTCGCGCGCGCCCTATCCTCACGCTTTCCGCACGCACACTGCGTCCTGCTCGATCTCTGGGGCCACGGGCTCTCCGAGACGCCCGTGCTCCCACACGAGCCGGCGCTCTTTCATGCACTGATCCTCGCCCTCCTGACGCATCTGGACTGGCCCAGCGCGCATCTCATCGGGTACTCGTTCGGCGGATCCACGGTGGCTAGCTTTGCGGCAACGTACCCTGCGCTGGTATCTTCTATGGTGCTAATTGCGCCGGCGGGGTTGTTAAGTGCGGCGAACTTCACTGACGAGCAGAGGGGGTATCTAGCTGGTGGGGATGCCGTGCTTGAAGATAAGGCGCGCGCGTGGATTCTCGAGTTCCTGGAGGGTGGAGACCTGGTTGTTCCATCGGACTGGAAGGAGAGGGTGAGTAGGGGGGAGGTTGTTGCTGAGGCGGTGCGCGCGTGGCAGATGAAGGAGCATCGGGGGCATGAGGCGAGTGTGGTGGGTGTGTTTAGGGATGGAGGCGTGTTGGATAGACATGCGGAGTTTGAGGAGGTGGTGAGGAGGGGCGAGGTTAGGGGGTTGAGTGTCCTTGGGGAGTTGGATGATGTTTGTAGTGTTGGGGATTTGGAGAAGGTTGGGATGCGGAATGTAGTTGTAGTGAAGGGCGTGGGACATGCGGTGGTCAGGGAGAGGGTGGAGGAGGTTGCTGGGTTGATTGAAGAGTTTTGGAAGATGTTGTGCGTGATGTGAATGTACTAGAGCGCGGTGTTATAGAAGTAGAGCTGTGGCTGAGAGCTATCGCTTATACGAATAGACCGATTTGCCCAACGCCAATTCTGCGATACGAAGTCGGATGCTTTTCCACTGGTGCGCCAAAAGCTCACAAACCCTATTCTGCTGAACAAAGAGATTATTGGAGAGTTAGCTTCAGCTGATTAGAAGCTTCGACGGCATATAAAGAGAGTAAGCTGTCTTACTCTACCAACGCCATCACAAAACGTCACCACCCATCTATCAACCACAGTACATCCCCTTCTCATCATGTCAGAAAACACACCAGATCAGCTCCCTCGAACGATGAAAGCATGGACATTCAGCCATTCAGGACCTCCACAATCAACACTGCAACTATCCCAAGACCTTCCTCTACCAACCTTCCGCACCGAAACCTCGCTCTTAGTCCGCGTATGCCATGTCTCCATTCACCCTGGCACAGTAATCATGATGAATCTAATCCCATCTCTCTTCCGACCATCTTCAACTATCTGCGAGACAGATTTCTCCGGAATCGTAGTATCAGTCGGCAAGAAAGTCCCCGAGATCGCGTCCTCGATTAACACTCGCTACTTTCCCCCAGGCTCCGCCATCTTCGGCTCCCTCCCCGTCTCCAAACACCTCAAAGGATGTGGAGTCCTGGCTGAGTACGTCGTCGTCGAGATGGCCTCTGTAGCTCGGAAACCTGAAAATGTCTCGTTCGCCGAAGCCGCCGGACTGCCTGTTTCGGGCTCAACGGCTCTCACCCTTCTAGACGCCGCGCGACTCCAGCCAGACGAGAAACTGCTTCTGAATTCTCCGTGTGGAGGAATCGGACACTTCGTGGCCCAGTTGGTCAAGACACAGGGGGACCACTACATCGTAGGGATCTGCTCTAGGAGATCCGCGCAGCTGGCTCGGGGACTAGGATGTGACGAGGTGATAGACTATCACGCGACAGACGACGGGACCAGCCTGGAAGCAATTCTATCGTCCAACTTCCATGGAGACAACGCATTCGATGCGATCATTGATGCGCACGGATCTCAGCCCCTGTGGCATTCTGCACCGGGGTTCTTGAAACCTGGCCCCGGCCATGCATATACGTCTGTCGGGCCGGCGTTGAAGTCATACACCTTCCGCGCTATGTGCCGTGTGTTGAAGGATATGGCTCTTAATCAGCATTTGCCGAGGTGGCTGGGTGGTGTAGCGAGAGAGTATAGGCAGGTTACGTCGATTGTGGACGTTGAGAAATTGGAGCGGTTGAGAGGGTTGGCGGAGGAAGGGAATCTGAAAACGTTTATTGGAGGAGAGTGGGATTTTGAGGATGCTATTCAGGTATGTTCCTTCACTTGTTGAGGTTAGAAAAGAAACTGATATGTAGTGCAGGCGTACGAGGTGCTTATTAGCGGACATGCTAAAGGGAAGTTGGTTGTTCGCGTTTGGGATCCATCTTCTGGTGCGAGTTGATTTGAACGTTTAATTGATTCTGATGATCTAGGGAGACTGGTAGGCTCGTTCATGCTAGAAGGGATTGTCGAAGCTTTGTGAAATTGCTGAAGAGATTGTACCAATAATAGCCATTTGTAACCAGGTCAGCCTGAACATCTGGATACTGCTTAATTATTTGACCAGACGATGAAAAGTTGCCGATATGCAGTGCGAGGGAATCTTGTTGATTTATCCTTAGATCCACTGTTAATAGTCAGTTGTTATGTCTCTGTTGATGCACAGCCCATGGCTATACCCAGCACACTGTATGATCTTCCTGAGCAGGGCATCGTGATCCCCGCCCAGATGAATACATATTGTGGGTTAGATGAGATGCTCTATAATGACTTCGCTTCAATATTTGAAATAGTGCTCACGAACTCTACATCCTTCCAGTTCTAGAGACAAGGAGTATGTGGAAGCAAGGAAGTAAAGTATAAGATGTGCATCAATTGGATGCACAACTGACAAATCAACATTATGCAAGACACCTGACAAACAGACCATACCTATTTCAGCTAGCATCACAGCCACACCGTCAGCCACTGAAGAGCTCCAGCCACAGAGAGAGCAAACAATGTAAACATGGGCGTTCCTCAGTCGGCAATTCTCTTGTCTTTTGAACAACCCTGGGGCAAAGTCTTTGATAGACCCTTGTCATAATACAAATTTGAGGGGCATTGATACCCCCGCAGCCCCATGGTTCCTTGCTGAACGCGCGTCGTGGTTCCTTTGCATTCACCGTTGCGATACCCCCCTTATCTAGGCGGGGTTCCTGGAGATCCCCCCAAAATTTCCAGTCCGACCTGAAGATCAACACGATTCCACCCTCCGATGTCATTAGGCATTTAACCTCCTTTTTTTCACCTCTTGATTCTCTCACATAGTGGGTTTTGCTTCCTGGGAATTCGGTTTTGCATAACACTCTTCCTCACGCCGTGCTTGCTGACCGTTTGTTTACTCCCAGTTTCTAACTGCCCGAACATAACTACACGCATTTGCGACATTCTCCCTCGATAGATCAATCTATTCCCGACCAGACAATCAGTCCAATGTCTGCACTTCCTCCTGCTGTCACCGCCTTGTCCGCCCCGGGCAAGGTTCTACTCACTGGTGGCTACCTCGTTCTCGACCGCAACTACACGGGCACAGTCTTTGCGCTCGACGCAAGGATCCATATCGTGGTGCAACAACTGAGACGTGGCCACCGCAGAGGACCGTCCGAGTCAGGGAAGTCCGGAGAAGGCGCGCCGACTGGAGCCGTCGAGGAGGGCAGTGCTGTGGACGAGAAGGACAGCGAAGATATTGTCGTGGTGCGCTCGCCGCAGTTCATAGATGCGTTGTGGGAGTATGGCATCCAGCGTTGCGAGAACGGCGGCGGTATCAAAGTCGTCCAAAGGAATGATGGGTAAGACTTCATACTGTTCTCATGCCCAAGGTCAAAAACTAACATCGCTAGACGTCACAACCCGTTCGTCGAGACCTCCCTCAACTACGCGTTGACCTACATCAGTTACGTCGCCGACTCCAAGGACTTTGGATCGTTGTCAATCACCATTCTCGCGGATAATGACTACTACTCTGAGACCGCTTTCTCCAAGGCGTCCGAGCTACAATATGCGGGGCGATTTGTGAACTTCGGCGTGCCCCTGCACGAGGCGCACAAGACGGGTCTTGGCTCCTCTGCGGCCTTGGTTACATCTCTCGTATCTGCACTGGTCATTCATCGAACAATGCAGCCTGATGACCTCGGTGCCGCTCGCGACAAACTGCATAACCTGGCGCAAGCAGCCCACTGTGCGGCTCAAGGAAAGGTGGGATCCGGTTTCGACGTTGCCGCCGCGATTTACGGCTCTTGTCTCTACCGGCGATTCTCCCCCAGTATCTTAGAGTCCGTGGGCGATGTCGGAACTCCCGGATTCGAGGAGCGACTGTTCGCAATCGTCGAAGACGTCAACCCCCAACACCCCTGGGATACGGAATGTCTGGATTTCGGCATGCAGTTGCCCCGCGGCATGCAGATGGTTCTATGTGATGTCGAATGCGGCTCTCAAACCCCATCCATGGTCAAGAAGGTGCTTGAATGGCGCAAGCAGAACCAGCAAGAAGCCGATCTGCTCTGGGCGGCCCTGCAATCCAACAACGAGAGACTGTGTCTCGAGCTGAAGCAGCTCGCGCAAAACCCGAACCATGAAAGGGCCACTGACTACAGTGACGTCCGCAGCCTGATCCAGCGCTCGCGCAATCACATCCGCAGCATGACCCGGAAAACGGGCGTGCCGATCGAGCCCAAAGTGCAGACCGAGCTGCTGGACGCCATCTCCGAGATCGAGGGGGTCGTCGGCGGCGTGGTCCCTGGCGCTGGTGGATACGATGCCATCACCCTCCTGATCCGAGACGACCCCGAAGTGATCCACCGATTGAACGATCTCTTCGAGACCTGGGAGAGTAAGGTGGAAGACGACTTTGGTGGTAAGATCGGCCAAGTGCGTCTCTTGGGTGTGCGTCACGGGTCCGCCGGAGTGAAGAATGAATCGTTGGACCAGTACTCTGGCTGGGTATGAATCCCTTTCGAAGGATATCCCCGAGGAACACAACGATAAAAGCCAGGGCATATTTCTCGCAACGCAGAATGATATGCATGCCTGACGGACCTGGTTTCAACTTACCTATCGCCGGCTCGGCGCAGATCCCAGCTCGATCTGCTCTCTTTGTGCCTTCGGGCACACCTTTCACTTTCCATTTAACGATAGGATGACATAACGACGAGCATATTGCATGTTTTAGAATAACATAATCCATCAGATCCAATTCACTCCAATTTGACATTCATCAATCAGACTAGCTGGCGCCTCTGGGAAGATACGACGTGATAACTATATTATTCTGCGAAGTCAGGTCTCCGGAGCTTGTCAGGCGGCCCGTCCTTAGAAGTAATCGAGCTGTCTTTGCCACGTGAAAGTAAGCTTATCTATTTCCTCGGTGCGTTCCTGGATTGCTGGTTGATTTGCTATCTCCTACATACACTAAACGGCAAATTAGGCGGCAGGAAAGGAATGCTCGTAAAACACAAGATTAACAAGGTTTGTGACGTTCAGTCTGTTGATTTCATGTCGTTGTACCGGCCTGACAAGCTGACAAGCTGACAAAAGAAAGGATCAAGCATCTCCCAGATTTCCGTACATGGACATGATCACGTTCACGGCCCGCTTAAAAGTGTATTCATCGCCGTCGGCGAGCTCCCTCAAAACCCAGCGACGTGTATCATCACCATGAAGCCCTCTGGCAAATCAGGTCCCCATTGTCGGCCAAACGTCAGTCCCCAAAACCCGAGCCTCCAGTTCTGCGCCCCTCTGCAAGTATTGATCCATCGACTCATCCGGGTCCTGCCTCAACAGAAGGATCTGCCTGATGGCTATCTGCTGCCGAAATTGCTTATCGATATCGTTGATCCCGTAGTGGGCCCTGAACAGCCTCTGGAGGGCATCCCAATCGTTCTTCTGCTGGGGGAACAGATAGTTATACCAAGTTCTGGCATTTCCTCGAAGGTTTTGTCGGAAGAGGATGCAGCGGTCCCGATTTGATGCCTCTTGCTCATCGCCGTTCTTCGAGAGGGCGTAGCTGATATCGTCTAGGTATTCTTCCGGGTCTTCTTCGCCGTCAAGTCGGCCGTAGAACGGGTTTATGGAGGAGGCAATAGACATTCTTTCGAGGAAGTTGATGATTGTTGATGAATGATAAGTAACGAATCGTATTCAGCTGGATAAGGCTGAAGGAACGATCGTGAGAAGTAGTAAATACTGAGAATATTTGAGTCAAGCGATATGGTGATAGTGGTGTTAATGAGAATTGATGGTGGTGAGGAGAAAGAAAGGAAACTGAAGGTGAACCAAGGAGTTGAAATGTCACGTCCTTTCCCAGTCTAGAAGGCGCTTGCCAGGCCCCGTTTCGGCAGGAACTGAATTCGGAAGGCAGCGGTCAATACAAGGTTGAATGCATTTCATTTGAAGTGTAGACGAATATAAATCCAAAAGCAATACCAAACACAACTGAATCAGCCAGCTGAACTTTTTGGTCTAGTCGGAAGTCATACCGATACCTGGAATTTCTACAATGACCCTGATCCTCCGCTAAAGTTCCATGTAACCATCGTCTTTCTCGTCTAGTTCGAGCCCTTCTAACAGGGTGCTGAGTCCCGGTGCCTCCTCGTCTCTTTCCTCGCTCACAAGGCTATATATGAGGCGGAGGGATGTTCATATCGAGATCTAGCCAGTCGGAGAGCCCTAGGATACTGGGGATGTCAAGGTCAAGGTCGAGGTCGGTGGATTCTAGGTCTGGATGATGCTGCGGGTAACGGGTTAGATCCAGATATATGAAGGTAGTGGCAGGGGGTTCGTTGCTTGAGGAAGGTAGATAAAGAGAGAGGGGAGACAGTGAAGGAAAACATACCAAATCGAAGTCCAAACCACTCAGCCCCAGCCCCTGAACAAATAGGCCTTGACCCTCCCCATTCAAACACAATCCCCGCGCGGCCTTCTCTTGCAACAAAGAAAACGACTCGCCCAGACTCTCTTTCACAGTCTCATAAACCACCCTCTTCACACAGTCCCCTGTCTCCATCGCCCGAATCTGTCCCAGTATCGCCGCCAGCAGATTGTACCGCTTCGAACTAGGCGTTCCCAGCCCGATGACCTGGAACAGCTGAGCCAGGATATGTCGCATAGCATTCAGAATCGGGGCTCGTGATGAAGCCGCAAACTCGTCCATACTTGTCATCGTCATATCCCCCGTGTCATCCGCAGTCTCCTCAATCTGCCATGTGACTTCTAGCCCTAGTATGGAAATGATATCTAAACTTAGTGGTCCCTTCAGGCAACTTCGGCCAGTGATCAACAACCGGGAGAGGTCGTCCTCAGGAGGAGAAGGGAGGTTAAGGGGTTGAGCGTAGCGAGCTATTGTCATCGCTGTGTTGAGGCAAACCTTGCGCGAGAAGTAGAACTGTGGGTTCTTGGGGGACTGTAGCATGAATGGGGTGTGGAGGATGAGGAGCCAGCGGCGGAGAGTCATGTCGAGGTAGGTTTTGTGGAAGGGGGCGGGGTGGAGATGGCGGGTTGTGTTATTCTTGGGGGTGGAGTTCTCTGTTGCTGAAGGGGTGTTGATTGTGGAGGCGAAGAAGGTTGTGATGTTGCGATATGCGGCTTGGAGTTGCGTTCCGAGATGAATGGTCTGCGTGTAGGAGAGGGCGGATCGGTTGGTGAGGGCTTGGATAATTTTTGCACGAAGTGGAAAGGTCTGGTGGAGGAGGCGTTGGATCGATGTGTCCGTCATCTCGGCGGTCGGTCTCGCTGGGACCGGAGGAGAAGATGAGGAATTCGGGTCCGGGTCGAAATCGACATCGTTCAAGTTCGACGGTGGCTGTGTATCAAAATCTGGGATGAGAAGGGGCTGAATAGATGAGTCCATTGAAGCCTGGACCGCAAGTTCGAGTATCGTTGCCCACAGACGAGCCCGCATCTCGGATTGAAAGACCGATAGGGCTGGAAAGTGCCTCGAGTCTAGATGAAGTCCCATCGTCATGGCTCTCTGCATAAGCGAGCCTGCCGAGAGCCACGGCGAGGCGCCCATGGCGTTGATCTGTCGCGCGATGAGTAACAGACAGAAGACCTGGATTCCGTCAAGCCCTAGGGTGACTTTCTCCGACGGCCCAATTAGCCACCACTGCGCGGCATGGGTCCAGGTCTGTATGATATGAACGTCGTGGTCGGTGCCGGACTTTCCACGCTGCGGATGAAAGACAGTACCGATGGCCAGGATGAGGACGAGTTTCATGAGGAAGGCAGTAGAGGTAGTAGGTGATGAGGAAGAGCGCCGGGCCCAGAAGTGGTGGTATTCGCGCCAGAAGGACGGGAGATGCAGGATGCGATAGATGGGTTCGAAGGTGCGCAGATAGCCGTCAACCAGTTCATCGCAGATCTGACGTGTTGGGATACTCGTCTGCACGTCTGGGACTGGCTCGTTAGGCTGGAAAGATTGCCGTGCTTTAACGGCGTGTCGAATTCCGCGACATTCTTTGATGCGGGTCATCAGGTCGGTTTTAAGGGTTTGAAATGCAGAGTCTGGCTCCTGAGATTGTATGACATGGTTGATTTGGAGCTGTGCATCAGTTAGTCAAACACTCACTAGATGAAACGGATGTTACCTTATCAATAGTGTTTGAGTAGTGACTCGGTCCCAGCAGCTTCATCTTACTAGACGAAGCATGTAGACGCGGATGCACAGCATCAATACATAGTCCATCCTTTTCGCCTCCCTGCACCTTCTCAGACAACGAGCCCTTAGACAACCGCTCTTCGATCCCTTGAAGACGACTACTTAGCTCCTGCAACGTTCCATCCCGATCCGACGCCGAAGTATCTCCCTGACGCGAGACCAGATCTTCCAGGCGCTGCAAACGAACCCGAATTTCACTGATCGATGAACCCTCAGTATTTACACCCGGAGACCCAGCTCCCTGCGAGCTCTCCCGCGATGACCCAATTTCCACATCGGCATTAGAGCTCGGTGTGGGATGATTTCCAGGCCCATGCGGACGTGATGTCCGAATAGGCGATAGAGATGCAGTAGCAGCAGGGGCAGTAGTAACAGCAGCAGTAGCAGCGGTATTGCGATACGAGCAGCTCAATGAGCCCCGTGCACGCGTACAAGGACCGCAAGGCGCAGTACGATCGCAGCGGACTTTGCGGTGTCGGCATTGCTCGCAGGACTTGGCTAGACGGCGGCGTTTACGCCGGTCAGGTTCGGTCATTGCTGTTAAGCAGGTGGTAGCGGCGTTTGTCTGCTGCTTAGTGAATGCTTGAGTGAGAGTGCTTTAGGCCGAAGCCGATGAATTCGGTATATTGATGGATGCAGAAGATAAAATGGTATGGTTGTTGTCCTTCGGGATAATAAATAGAGAAACCCCGAGAAAGTAGGCCGAGGCCGAATGAGTTCGGTTTTGGGAGCGTGATAAAGCCGAGAACTGGGATCTAGTAAACCGAACTTCGGCCTTTTCTCGGTGTTAAGGGCTCAGAGATCGGAGGTAAACCGCCATGCTGTAGTACATACAAATACAGCTACCTGGCTTAGCTACCAGGTACTATCATCCATTGTTGAATAAATTTAACTGAATAACTTACTCACTATGCGCGCTCCTACCTCCTCTCTCAGCTACTCTCGTTATCAGCGACGCATTCATCCCAGAGGTCTTGGGCCTCGGGGTTTCGGAGGGCTTGCGAAGGTCGTGGTCATGGGGTCTTGTCTTTATTTTGTTTCGAAGAAGCTTCTACAGTGAGTGTGACTACTATCGGTATAAAGGACGGAGATATGCTAATTGTGTAGTCTTCACCATCAGCCTCATCTTCCTGCGTCGAATACAGCATCTGTGTCTTCGACTGACACTCAATCATCTTCTCCGCATCAAGTCAACGGAACTTCGAATACGTCTAGTCGATAATCTAATTCCTCAATGGAGGATAATCAAAGGAGATGTGGATCGTCTTCCTCTTTTACATTGATCATAGGAAGATTGTGTTCAATACGTGTTTTTCATACAATAGCCTACCTCGAACTTGTACATAATAGAATTTATTCAAGAACACTTACACTCAATATCATGGTGTTCCTTTAGCAAGTGAGTGTTATCAACCATGACACGTATAGGCCTGCCATTAGCACTGAATACATGAAACTAGAGTAGCGATAGTAATCGGAATTACCTAGCGTATGATCCGTGGATAAACCTATACTATAGATACACATAACAATTGAGAATTGAGATGTAGAAGAACTATAGTTCGTCCAATCGCAGAAACACACTTTCCTTCTCTTGTGGTCGTGCCGATAATGTTACAAATGGGTATTACACGCTAACAAAAACAATGAGTATAGCAAAAACCAAAGAGAAGTGGAAACAAGAATATAATGAGGGGAAAATAGGATAGAAAAACAGATGTAAGAAAATGCAGAAGACGCATAAGGGTAATTAGACGCTATGCAAGGATGAAAAAAAGTAAAAACTTCAAACAAAAATAGTATATAATCCAAAATACCAAAAGAGAAGTAATAAGAAAAGGATGCAAAAAAGCAAATAAACAAAGTCGCAACCAAAAGCCGAGAGTATAAATAATAACAAACAACGAGCAAACGTCTATAGTTCGTGCAAGAGGACACCGACTCCCACAGATGATGGCAATGCGCCATTGGGAGCGTGCCCATAATGAACCAGGTTCAGCGTGACATTCCCATACCCGATCGGGTAATCCATGTCTTTGAACTTGCGAGTTCTGAACAGGTATTGAGTAGCCTCGATCGCATCGTTGAACACATCCTCGGGATGTATGGACTCTGTCTCAACGGTCAGGCCCACTCTCACCATACCCTGGGGCGGTTTGCCCGCGGGGTTGGCATACTCGCGCTTCTCGCTGCGCACAATCAGCGCCCCCCATGCGCAGTACAGTAGTTCCTGCGTGTCGTTTAGGTTCTTGCACAAGCTCTTCTTGAAATCAACGTACAGGTTGATTTTGAGCTCGTTGCCAGGGTCCAGCATCAGCCCGGCGCTCTCTAGCTGCCGGCGCCGATGTAGGCTTTGAAGCTCGCGATCAGCCTCCGGGGCCTGATTGTCTGCGCAAGTCTTCGCATTAGACGGCTTCATGATGAGCCGCTCGAGGGTGGCTGGATCAGGAGCGACGTATTTCTCGTCCTTCATGGCGTTGGCCACATTGGATACGATCTTAGGCTTCTTCCGGGGCCTGATCCGAACAGGCCCTTTGTTCTTGCGCTCTTCGTAGAGAGCGCGCTGGAAGGCCTTGTGTTGCTCAATGAGCCGGAGCCGTCGCGTCAACGAGCTGGTGTACTTGTAGCTCGTCTTCTCGGGCGGCCCCGGCGTGAAGTCCGTGTAGGGGGAGTAGGAGAACTCCGAGCCCCCCGAGCTCTCTGGACTGGCCATTGTGAAAAAGTCTGAGTCAGTCTCTGACATCTTGATTCTGAGTGTGTGTATGATTTCACTTTGCCTGGTGGCTTTTTCGGTGTAGAGTCAGCTCAGGGATTGGGGGTCAGGAGTAGCTTACTGGATCTTGCAAAATAAGAAAGATTTGGTAGTTACTAGCTGCATTGACCTCCGTTTGTAGAGTTGTTCGTGGGTGATGGAGAGAAGAGGTACTTCTGGTGTGCATTTACGCCAGGGTATTTATAGCCTGATCCCTGGAGTATATACCGGAAGATGCCGTCTTCAGGGGATGGCATCTTTGTTGAGCTGATTTTTTTGTCCGACATGGCATCATAGGGCAGCTTCCGGTAGTTTGTGGTCAGGCGGATGGCTTTCCCTCTGATCATGTGAATGCTTTGTTATATCCTTTATTCATAAGATTTTTGCTACTCTATCATCCGGTCTGAGGAGCGGAGATACTCTGGTGAATATGGGATTCCCCACTAAGTGATGGTTAGACCTGGCTCAATGATGTACAGTACCACAAGATGTACAAGTTCGTTTGAATGATGAATGAAAGCTAGAGATTAAACAAGGGTTTGAATAAACATAACGTAAATAACATTCAGGTTGATATCCCCGTGTCACGGAGTATCCTTTTCTGGATGTGTCCGGTACGCGATGGGGTCACGTGATATTGTAACATGGTTGCTTCAAAGTCATCAACCTTCGGCATATTGTCATCTCTTCCAGGCCTTTAAATCTCAAATCATAACAGAGTGGCCACTTCGCTCTCTCAAACTTTCTGACTAGTGCCTCTTTTTCAGAACTCATGCGGAAATTTCCTGCAAATGCAAAGGTCACTAAACCTTCAAAACTCATACCTCCCTAAGGAGCTGGTCTAGACATCACCCGACTAGATGCGTGGAATCCGGCAGCCTCAGGGCAAAAATAATGAGGCTGGAACCTGTCGGGTCCCTCAAATGACCAGAAGCTGACTGTAGGACAATGTAAACCTGTTCGCTTCTAACCAAGCAGTTCAACGTCAAGGCCGATAGCACGCATGAACAGGTTGACGTTTCCAAGTCGCTGAGCACCCATATCCACGGGGAGTGTCTTGCTGTATGTCACAGTCTCCATCACACGGTCCCTAAAAGGTGGTCAGTACAGTTTTTCAAACGAGTGCTAGTGTTTCACTTACTTCACAGCAATGACCAAGCGCTGCTGCTGGTCTGGACTAGCTCCAATACCAACAGCAGCCAAGAACTGCCAAACATACATGTCATCGCCGGTATTGATCGATCCGGGGAAGATATCGCCAAAAGTCGGCTCCAAAGTGTCGAATAGCACATTAAACTTCTCCACCCACTGCTGCCAGTCCCGTTCCGAAGCCTGTCCGGCTTCCTTGACAATCTCTGCTCGGCTGAGTAGCATCGTGAGAATGCCCAGTCCAATACGGGTTCTAGCAACCAGGTGCACATGCGTCTGCGCGATGACAAGTCCCAAGAGTCCAATGATGATGTTGAAGGGGGCCTCATTGACGTAGCCGAGCAGGCTAGGCATAACGGCCTGGGAGAAGAGGTCAATAGCCTCCCGAACGGCCAAGGAAGGCTGCGTCTCGCCGGGCACAGGCTGTGCGCGCTGAACAACATCCAAGGTATCTAGATGGACAACAATCATGGTGAGGATCGTAACTCTCTGCTCCTGATCGATATGTCGGAAGATACGCGGGATGGCCTTCTTGCCCTTGGGGTACGAAAGGAAAGCGATGAAGGGATGAGGGGTATTGGTGTTGGGGACAATAGGCTCCATGACCTTGAGCTGTTGCCACAGCTTTTGGTTCAGCGAGCGGACCTTCTGCCGCCATTCTAGGTGCTCTTGGATAGCTTCAGGGTCATTCTCATCCGGCGGGGGCGGCATTGTGCGCTCCATGTCCTCCAACTCCATCAGTGTGCTGTAGACGCCCTCAATGTTGGTGAGAATAGACTTTCGGTCACTGACACTCAGATCGGTGTGAGGCTTCTTGGTCACCTTTGCTCCATCGGAACTCTCCGGGCGCTTGAGGTTGAGCATGGGTTTCGGCGTCTTGGCATTACTGAAGGAAATCTTGCCCAAACTTCCCTCAATAATTAGCTGCTTATTTTTCGGCTTGGCCTTGGCAGCCTCGACTGCACGCTGCACCTGCTGCTGCATCCTTTGCATGTGGTTGTCCGCGCTCTGGGCTTGTCTCCTGGATCCATGGCCACCTAGACGGTTTCCTGTCTGGAGAAGGTAGGTTTGCGCAAAATGGCCGAGAGGCTGGTGAGGATGCTGTCGGGGAGCACCACGGATCTGGCTGTAGACTTGGTAGTAGAAATCCTCTGCCAAGATAGCTTCCGAATCCGAGTCGGCAACGTTTCCAGCCGCGGCCACCAACTGCTGCAGCTGAATCCGGGTGATAAAGTTCTTGTCTTGTGGCGTCATCAAGCCGTTGCCCCGAGATAGAAGGAAGATCTTATGATTGCGTTTGGCGCGTTTGGCATCTTCCATCAAATAAGCTATCCGTTGCTCTTCCGTCAGATGCATCAATTGTTGGGGGTTGGTAATCAGAGGCAGGGAGTTGTTAGCAGCTCCACGAGCAGCCTGGGAAGGCATTTGCTGCTGTTGAGGTCGCTGTCCCCGCGGAGGGATCGCTTGGCGCTGGGGAGGCGGAGGGGCCCCCATGTGCTGAGGGGGAATGTTCGCATTTTGTAGAAGATGTAAGGGAATGTTCGGCGCGTGTCCTGGAAGAGGGAACGGTTCCGGAACCATGGCGGGGTGATGCATGAGTTGCGCTGGCGGGATACCCTTGGCAAATTGCGCTTGGATGAACTCCGGGGGCAGGTGGGGAAATCCTTCGGGGACGCCAGGCATATGCTGAAGCTGCTGCAGAGGATGAGATGGCTCAGGCATCGATTGCGGCAGCGATACGGGCAGTTGAGCGGGCATGGAAGGATGACGCAGCTGCGCCTCGACCTCTTCCAGGCTCATCATCTTCTTGGCTTGTTGAGGAATTGGGCCCGCAGGTTCCGGCTTCTTCTGCACGCCCCAGACACTGGATTTGGCCTGCAGGTCAGGAATGTAGCCGGGGTCGTTGTATTTCTCATATCCCGTACGTTTCGGCTGCTGAACTGCATCGCTCGTCGGAGGAATATCGGCAGGCTGCCCTGATACTGGGGCCGGGGGAGGCATTTGAAGGTTGTAGCGGACCTGTTCCTCGCCGATGACATCCGCGACCAAAGCAGTCTTCCCAAAGAAGTCGAAGTCCTTGCCAACGGCGCCGGGTTCGGGGCCCCCGCCAAAGGTATCGTCGTTGAAGGCATCCTGATCGTCGTCGAGGCGATCACCTAGACCGTCGTACGTATCCTCAAAATCGATGCTGCAAGACCGATTGCCGTGAATTAGTCAATTGGATCTTGTGTTCCTAGTTGGTGCCAATCAAGTACAATCTTGATCGTCGTGCTAGAAGATGGCCAGGTGCACTTACGCATCATCGTCTTCGTCCTGAAGCCCTTGAGCTCTTGCGCGAGCGACTTCGGCAAACGGGTCAGGGGTATCGAAAATACCCCTCTGCTCGCCCGGAGGAGGACGATCCCTCGGGAGGGTGGTATCGAAGCCGAAGAAAGACATCTTCGGGAGGGGAAGGGTGGATAGGAGAGGGGTGGAAGGTGGAGGAGGGGAGGGCGAGAATTAGCAGCGCATAATTGGTAGTGCGGGATGAAGTTGGCCTGCCACTTGGTTGGGTCTGATATCACCCGCTTAGGATTAGCCGCCGGGCGCCCAACCGGGTTAGCGCGGTGTAGCGGGCTATGTTTATGCCTGAGGCACCAATCGGTGTTTTCATTTAGTGCCTGAGGCATCGACATGAGGATGCATTCCCTTGGATGTATTTCGATCTGTAGGTCTTGGATTCAGGTTACTCACTAATCACAATATCTAAATAGTTTATGTTATTACTAGCGAGTCGTGGGCGTTTCCACATTCTGTAGAAGGGTGAAGAGGCCTGTTCAATCTATATGACCTGGCTCTATATAGTAAAAATTGAATACTACACTGCGAACAGCGAATGGATAATAATGAGCGAGCAATGATGTCCAAAAATTATACTCACTCAAATCGACGGCAAGCAGAGGAAGTGTAGCAACTAACCGGAACTAGTTATTATAGCTGCCTTCTTCGTCTTCTTCTTCTTCTTCTTCCTCTTCCTCCTCCTCCTCTTCTTCCTCTTCTCCATCTTCTTTATCCAAGTTAGTAACTCCCCGAAGAGCTGCAATACGGTGCAGAATCCATTGCAGTTGTAGCAACTCGAGCGACGGCAAAGGAAAGTTTGTAGGATCCGATGTCTCGAGTTTAAAGACCGTTCCACTTGTAATTATCTCCCCCGTCGAGGGATTTTCCAACATCCCTCCAAAGTGGCTCGAGTTGTGGCGGGGTTCAAGGGAAGGCCGACGGTTGATAGAAACGTGCTCTTCAGTGTAAGGAGCAGGCATCCAAAAGAACTGCACAATCATGATATCTGATACCTTTCCGATGGGTCTCAGTGCACACGCTGCCTGCTCCCATAAACAACGCGCTGGCAAGGTCATGAGCAAAGTATTGGGCATAGTCTCTATCCATTCAGGTCCTGGGACAGCAAGCTTCCATGCTGTGACTTTTTCCTCCGTAAAAAGAAGATCGAGAGTTTTCCAAAAGTATTTGGCTTCTTCTGTGTCCTCTAAAGAACAGGGGTAAATATGGCATGTATCGAGCAAGTCGCGGCTTTTCGTGATAACGCAACTGCCTCGATCCCGTACAAGACAGCATTCCCGACAATGGGTTTTACAGGCATGCTGATTGTAATCAGTTTTTGGAGAAGGACATTCTTCGGATTCAGAGCGGGATCGTTCCTTTTGTGGACTTTGGTTCTTAGAAAGCCCTATGTACAGTAAGTGAGTTAGCCGCCCCCTTTTCGCAAAGGACCAAGTATCAACTGACAGGACTTAATTATATTATCCAAGGGATAGTGGAAGAGCATAAGAAGTCTCGCGAAATTTTGTACCATCTCTTTGTACGAGTTTTCCGATGACTCGACTAACCCTCGAAGCTTCTGAACATCGGCGAACCACAGAAATAACCATGAGGTTACTGGGATTCTATTTACTCTAAGACAGCTACCGATTTTCGCGATCAGTGTGGCTCTCTCAGGGTCACCCAGTTCTTCCGAGGCAGACATCATCAGAGAGACGAAAGGGCAGGGACCTTGTAGATGTGGCAGATTGAGAGAGATAAAGGTATCAAAGAAGCTAACAGATGCCAGAGCTCAAGGCGAATTTGGATCAAGAAAGAGAATAAGAGAAGAGAACTCCGAGCCTAGATCTAGATTGAAATCTAAATTTAATCACTATGAGTAAGAACTCCGTCAGACTATCATCACAACGGAGACTTTCTCCGCCGAAGTGCCCTCTCCTTCACTTATTGAGCGAAATGCAGTAAGGATGTTCATGTAGTATTAGTAGTATTCAACGTCCAGCCAAGGAGCGATAATGGTCCTCTTTGTTTACTTCCTATTGAGGTACTCTGTACATAAGGTCTGATGACGAAGTAAGAAGTATACAATCTCCGTTCAGGCGACTATATGATTATGTAATACTGAGAGCCTGAGACACGGTGACGGCCAGCCTTAAAAGATGCTAATCTCCCTCAGGGTGCCACTAATTCGAATTAATTACTATGGAAATACCCACCACTTCCACCAGTCTGGCTGAAACCCGCGCCCGTCGTACGTGGCCAGGCCAATAACGACCCATCCGCCCATTTCGTCTTACTCGACGTTAATTCTATTCTTGTCCGGCTTCTTTTTTGCCTTCGCCGCTTTTCTTTTCCTTTTCCTTTCCCCTGTTCTTCTGTCTCTCTTTCATCCATCCCTCCACCTCCATCGTTTTCCATCAGATGTAACTGGGGACTGCCACGGCCGATTTATGACCGGATTCCTCCCCTACGCCCCTAAATTCGTGCATTGACTGCATAACAATCATCTTCCGTCGCTGTTGTCCGCGCCATCTGGCATACTTGTCGGATCGTCCGTGTGGGTAGAGCCTCTCTCCACATTTCTATAAAACCGGTCGGAGATCTTAGTCGACACTCGACCTGCTCCTTGCCTCCCTCCTGTCGCTCGTTTCACACGTCTCCAATTATTCAACCCCTCCGACTTCCAGCTAGGCATCCGAATTCCGGCTCCCCGGACTTGACAGTCTTGGGCAGTTCTCTACACAATGTCGTCCGGACCAAGGTACATGAGGTACCTGCTATTGGCAGCCGTGGTAAGTTGGCCAGCCAAAATCTATCGGTCAAGGACTTCTTGTTGCTGACACGATGCGCTTGTTTACGTTAGGGAGTGGCATTTTTCTTCTTCATCTCGAGAAGCGCGATTCCCATCCCCGAAAACATCGGCGCCAAATTGACACCTCACACCAACAAGGATGACTCCGTATCATCCAATATCTCCCCTCCCAGCGAGAACCCCGTCAAGCAACCCTCCGACCAGGCCTCCGGAAGCGCTGGCGCTCCTGCGGCCAACCGCGTGAATGCGACGTTCGTCACCCTGGCGCGTAACTCCGACGTGTGGGACATCGCCAAATCTATCCGACAAGTCGAGGATCGGTTCAACCGGAACTACAACTACGACTGGGTGTTCCTGAACGACAAGGAATTCGACGACAAGTTCAAGAAAATCACCACGGCGCTGGTGTCCGGCAACACGCATTACGGCGTCATCCCGAACGAGCACTGGTCGTACCCCGAATGGATCGATCAGGAGAAGGCAAAGGACGTCCGGAAGCAGATGGGCGAGAAGAAGATCATCTACGGAGACTCGGAGAGTTATCGCCACATGTGCCGTTACGAGTCAGGCTTCTTCTTCCGTCATCCGTTGATGATGAACTATGAGTACTACTGGCGCGTGGAGCCCAGCATCGAACTCTACTGCGATATCGCGTTTGATCCGTTCCGCTTCATGAAGGAGAACAACAAGAAGTATAGCTTCGTGCTCAGTCTTTACGAATACTACGATACCATTCCTACTCTGTGGGACAGCGTTAAGAAGTTCATGGGTAACCACCCCGAGCACATCGTTGATGGAAACTCGATGGACTTCTTGAGTGACGATGGTGGAAAGACCTACAACAAGTGCCACTTTGTAAGCACCCTCATTTACTCCATATCACATGGTTCCGGCCTAGCTAATAACGGCAACAGTGGTCGAACTTCGAAGTCGGAAGCTTGGAATGGCTGCGCTCCAAGGAATACATCGACTACTTTGAGTCTCTTGACCGGGACGGTGGCTTCTTCTACGAACGATGGGGTGACGCGCCGGTGCATTCCATCGCCGCCGGACTTCTTCTAAAGAAGGAAGAAATCCACTTCTTCAACGAGATTGCCTACTACCACATCCCCTTTACTCACTGCCCAACGGGCGAGCAGCTCCGAATGGATCTCAAGTGCCACTGCAACCCCAAGGACAACTTTGATTGGAAGGGTTACTCCTGTAAGTCACCGTAACACCTTACTTGACCGTTTTAGTTCGATTGTCACTGACTCGGTTACACAGGCACGTCGCGGTTCTTCCAGGTCAACGACATGACTAAACCCGCAGGATACGAAGATGAGAGTTGACTAGCCGTCGTCGGGAAGGTCATCCTGGCGGTTCTCATCGTCGGTATCATCATCCTCATTATTAGCGGTAATCTTCGCGCTCGAGTATTCCGTGGGGGAAGACGCGTCTCCGCGGAAGTGATCTCGAAATCGAAGACTTTCTTGAAACGATAAGTGACATCTATCATGTTATGTTACCTGTCGGACTTTTTGTCAATTTTATTTCGTATAAAATCTGGGCGTTCATGTATCATGTTTTATTATTGGAGTTTTCTTTCCCTCCTTTTACTTTTCTCTGTTCTTCGACAGCTCGTTTGCCCGCTTTTATTCGACATGCACAGTATATCCGGGGCAAGCAATCTGGCTATATCCACTTAAGCAGCTACTCTAGTACTGCATTTATTGTCATGTGATGTGATGCGATTGATCGGGGAAGAAAGACGGAAGCAAGCAAGCAAGCAAAGAAAACCATCCGCAAAGAAATGCTTCATAAATGTACATAGGCGTTTTCTGATAACGACAACAATCCGTTTGGACAAAAACCAACATAGAGATATGATAAATAGTACAAGGCAAGGAACAAACAAGAATCTCTCATCCAACAACATACAGCGCCTGTCTTCGTCTCCTTACTTCATACCTTAGTCTTCTTAACCTAGGCACGGTACAGACGGACTGAAAGACCAGGCCCATCAGTAATTAGGCAGCACCGGTGTAACCACAATCCCGACCCTAGCCAATCTAATCGCTCTTGGGCTTCTTGGTGCCGTATTTCGATCGACTCGTCAAACGGTTGGAAACACCACCCTGTCACAAAGACGGTCAGATACATATTCTGGCTGGCAGGATGCGCCTCTTCATAAAGAGATAGAGAGTAGAGAAATATAGACGAGACATACCAGATCCATAGCACCTCGGACGCAGTGATATTTCACACCGGGACAATCCTGGGCACGACCACCGCGGACAAGAACGACACTGTGCTGCTGGACGTTGTGGCCTAGAGACATTCGAAAAAAAAAGGCCATATTAGGTACCAGTCAAGAAATAAAGCATAGAGCATCTAAGAACCCGAATGTATTGCCATAGGAGAAGAAGCATATGCATGAAAAGAGAGGGTAGATATAGACAACTCACCCTGACCCGGAATATAAGCCGTAATAACCTTCCCATTACTCAACCGAACTCTTGCGGTCTTTCGCTCCCCCGAGTTCGGCTTCTTCGGCTTCGTAATACCAGTCTTTAGACACACACCCTTCATCTCTGGCCGATCCTTCAGCGCCGGGGACCGCGAGCGGCGCGCCCGCTGCGCGCTCCGGCAGCCGCGCCGCACCTGGTTATACGTCGTCTGGCGGAGAGGGGAGGTCGAGAATTGGCGGAAGCCGGGGGTCGCGGCGGCGGCGATGGCGGAGGGCGTGCGGAGGACGGGTTGGAAGCGCGGGAGGAGCGGCGAGCAGGTCGGCGTGGTGGTTTTTCTGGGGAAGGGGATGGCGGAGGGACGCTGGACTAGAGTCCGTAGCGTGCGGAGCGTGAGGGAGGAGATGAGCGATGGCATGGTTGTTTTGGGCCTCAAGGATTGGGCCTCAGGGGACGGAGGGTTGTGGTATTGGAGGATTGGGTGGATGGGTGAAGCGCTGATCGGGGGAATTTGCGATAGATATCATGTGACCTGGAGTGGCGGAGATGGTCGCTGTGCGGCGCCGGAGGAGGAGGAGCTGGCTGGACGCGCTGGCCGAAGTTGCCTGGCGGAGCTGATGACTACGCAGGTTATCGGCGGCGGTCGATGTCAGAGCTTCCTTTCCACCTTCGGCTTCATCTTCCCTCTAGCTTGACCTTTCTTGCTGAACGTCTTCCTGTCCTTCCTGTCCTTGGGAAATTGGTTACTTCTACGATACACCGTTTTGTTCAATACCCATTAGATTTACTACCACCGCCAACATGGTATGTCATCCCCATCCATTAACCCATCTTAACTACCTACCTATCTACCTCATTTACCATCTACCTCCCATCAACCATCCATCCAACGCCAATCCAACCTCCCTTTCTAACTGACACAAAAACACAGTCCCTCCGCATCGCACCCCCCGCCAACCACCCCACCTCAACAACCAACACCTCCACCCGCCAACAGATCCCCATCTGCCTCCCCCGACCATCCAAAGGCGCCCCCTCGGCCCCGGGCCTCCCCGACACCCTCCGCGAGAAGATCACCCAGCCGGCGCCCTCAGGCCCCCCGTCGTCGCAGACCGGCGTCCCGGCGTCCTCGCACCCCCTGGAAGCCCGGCTGCACGCCTGGCGCCAGACCCAGGACAGCATGAAAATGGAGACGCTGCGTCGGGCCTACGGCATCGCGGAGCCGGTGCGTCGCGGCATGGAGCTGAAGTTAGTGCGCGATGGCACGTTCCGGCCTGCTGTGCTGGGTGGTGCTAGGGCGGGGAATCTGCATGAGGACATTCTGGTCTTGGGTGGTCGGGATGCGGAGATTGGTTGGGAGGATGTTTTTCAGGGTGTGTTCCCCCCCATTCTCTTTCTTTCCTGTTTCCTTTGCGTTTGCCTCGCCGTTTCTCAGGGGGGGCCTCTATGTCTGTCATGCGAGGTTCTCCTTGGGATTTTGGGTTCTATGGCAATGGGATAATGACAAATGACATTAGAATCGATACTAACTAACGACTTCAATAGGCGACGAATTCAAAGAACCCCCTACGTTCCACGACGAGATGGAGAAGAGACTGCGGATGGACTAGATTCGAGACCCTTCTCTCCTTCCTTTTCTGTTACCTTTATTCTGCGTCCGTTCGTCTACTTCCAATATGATGTCCATTGTTCATACGGATTCGCCGTTAGATTCCATCTAGGCGTGGTTGTAACATGATTCTGATTTTATCAGGGTTCTTCCTTTCTCTCTCCCTCTCTTTCTTTCGTACGTATTATAGGGAGTTGATAACCTTAGGTACCTGGGTCCAAGCAGGGGGAGGGTGTTGACGTAAATAAAGTAGGCAAGCAACTAGCTGACCAGGGCCCTACTAGGTAGTGCCTAATTTGGATAGTGGAGGTGAACAGGGAAAATAGACGGTTTGTGGTTACACAAGAATTTGTCAGTCGAAGGGATGACGTTTACAGTAGTTATGATTTCTTCCCGTAGGCTTTTTGTGTTTGGATTACTGCTGAAGGAAATAAAGAAAAGTTGTTTGTACACGCCAGCTCCTTCATTGATAGATAAACAAGAAGCGCCAGAAGAGACTATATACGTGCACACAATCAATGCGCAGGTGTTGCACCACATCAGTTGGTGAGGTAGGTACTGGGTCCAAACCCGCCTGGAGATTGGGCCGAGCTAGAAGAAGTCCCGGTGGAACGAGTCATACATACTGCCAAATTTTGACTCCTGAATGACCAAAAGGAAAGAAAAAGAAAGAGACAAGGAAAGTGTGGGGATAACCGAACAACGAACAAATGAAAGGTCAGGTCATATTTGTCAATCGGATAGCAAAGCCAGAGATGCTACAGTAAATAAGCAAAGGTAACGACTCCGACCAATCCAATGAAATTAGCAAAAAAAATTTGAAATAGAAAAGGGGGTATATAATGAACCGGGAGGCGGGAATGAGAAGCGTCAAGCTGCTCAATTGGTAATGCAGGGCCGTACACGGGGGCCGTTCAAATAAATTCCGGATGGAAAGATGTCGCAGATGTCTCGGCAGTGAAGGAATAAATGCCAATTTCCAAAAACGCCGTCCAGCTGACCAGCCAGATATTCTGCATCGAAGCTATCAGACAATGATAGTCTTTGCCCAAGCAACTCGAGGATAGAAGAATAGAGAACGAGCAAGATGGGCGAGATAAGATGGGACTTGGGGGTTGTTCTTTAGGCCCAGTGATGTAAGCCAGCCAACCAGCCTGCAGTACATTGCTGCGGCCATGGCGAGGGGACAAAGAACTGTCGATCAACGATATTCTGATGACCGGGGGCCCCCAAACCTTCCAGGTATACGGGTACAAAGGGTACCAGCTTATTGAATGACACAACGGCAACCGGGGCTCCGTTGACTGCCCTCTCGGTCGCGCGGATATTGTCCCTTGGTTCCCTTGGTGTCTTCGTCCTCGATAACCTCTGGAGGCTTGACGGTCATATGGACAACATTGGGAGCGTCGTGGTTGAATTTGGAATCTAATCCGCAGGTCAGCCTCAGGCCATTTTCTGCGAAAATCGCGAGCAGTGAACCGTAGTACATACCAGACAGGGGTGCTTTGTCGTCGAGGAGTTTTCCGAACGAAATTAATCGGATCGAGGTGGGCGAAGCCGGTCGCGGTTCCCATTCTGAATGATCATGCGTCAGTACAAGCGGGGCGATACATCCGGCAAGGGGAATGAATACCTGGTCGCCATCCCTTCCAGATGAGCTCCTTCAGGGTGTAGACGCTCATGGCGAAGGGATCGTTGTTTTCCACATTGACGGACTGTTTGCGAAGGTATTTTCCATCGATCTTGAACGGATGCCGGGCCCCGGTTATCAACAGGAGTGTGATCAACAACGACGGACCCGAATCTTCGTCTTCCTTCGCCGAGGTTTCGGAGACCGGCGACGTTGACTCGTGAGCGACTTCGGGGGTTTTGGGTTCGTTTGACTCCTCGGCAGGAGCTTGGGTGGTCGGGGGAGCTTGGGTTGTCGGGGGAGCATTCAGTTCGCTGAGAGCATTCGGTTCGCTGACTTGGGGAGAAGCGACCGGTTCCACGCTCTCGTTGCCGGCAGCAGGTTTCACATCCGTCGCGTCAGTTATCGTGTTGTCGTGAGGAGCGGTCTCGGACTGGACATGGACAGGAGGGTTCGGGTCCTGGGCGGGTTCTGATGAGAACGGGGCGAGCGGAGGTAGTTGGGGAGGCAAATCCAGCGAGAGGGTGGGCGCAGATGCTCCATCATTTTTGGTATTGTCATCCGGCAGCGGATGGTCGTTGGGAGCCATGACGGATGAGAATGTCGTTCGAAACGAGGGGAGGCAAATTCCACCACAGGGTTGAAGTTGGTCGTAATAACGAAGGAGTGGGAGATTAATAGGGGGGCGGGATCGGTCGCTGAGAGGCGGGAGTTGATGTTCCAAGTGCACCCGACTGATGAAGATAATGATGACGAGATGATCGACGAGGGGAGGGAGGGGGAAGGGAAGGACAAAAGAACGTTAAATGCGAAGCAAGCTAGAAAGAGGAGAAGGGGGAGCGAGAGAGAGAGAGAGAGGGACAGGGAGAGGGAGAGGAGGATGTGAAACGATCCGCGGCTAAAGGAAAGGAGGTCTGCTCGTCGGTGGTCCAAGCAGAAAGCAGACTCCTTAATTGGGGGAGAGGTGGTTCTACTGTCCTTGGAGGTACACAGTCGAGAGGAAGGGCGAGAACAATTGAAAGAATGGACAACAATGAAAGCAAGAAAGAGAAAGTCAGCCAGTTAGTCTTCCAAGTCTTACTGAAGGACAAGAAAGAGGAGAAAGACGAGGCAAAGACGCTCATCCGGTTGGCTCGACGGTCCGGAGGTGGGCCTTTGCCGAACGGGTACCGCGCAGGTCTCTTTGCGTAGCGTTCATCGCTGAATGGTACCACGGGGGTACTTTCACTTGCACTTGCACTATGCCTCTGTCGGAGTCCTCTGTACTTCTGTCCTTTACTAGGTCCCCTCCAGTACGAGTCAAGTCATGGAAGATCTTCCGGTGCAATAGCGACCGGTCAGACGACATAGGATCATCACTAGCTCAGGTTACGTGAGGGCGAACTGTCGATCCGGCCATCATGCGGAGATGCTGCAGTTGCTCGCTGCTTTCCTCGTTATCCCGACCTGTCAGTCCACGGGGATTTCTTTGAAGAACGGTGTATGGACATTGGACAGATCAGAGGATATAGATAGCTTCGGGGAGAGCCGTCCTTGGTGAGACATGGAGTTTTCTAGTATATATTCTCTCATATATTCAAATATCATATTATGTAAATCAATCCTCACTCCGATAAGGCAGTTGAGCTAAAAAAAGGAAGAGCTTCTAGACTTTGGCGGTGGCGAAAAACTGCATGTCTCGAAGGTCTCCCTTATCGCTCGTCCAGTAAGTATATTAATAGTAATTGGTTATTGCTGATGTATCCCTGAAAATCAACCTGATCAAACAAGAGTCATCTGAAAACATCATCATTTGAAAAATTAATTAATTAAAATGATAGAGCATCAAGTGGTGTGATGTGGTGCGGTCATTCATCCCTTTATCTCGGAGAGACGAAGAACAAGCAACAAAAAGGCGCACGTTAGCGCCATACCGCCAGTCCAGCTCTTTTCCAAGGAAACCAAGGATGTTCAGGAACTCGGCACTTAGTCCCATCGACTACGCTGGACGCTGTCAATCGCAATTCCAGTTTCTGTACACCGGAGGCATGCCCTACCGGCCCCATCGTTCAGGAGAAAAGCGTGCATCGCCTGATCTTCCCGACTGGTCTTGTTGTTGGGACGAGGAATGTTCGCTGGCAAGTCTGACCATCCAGAGGCACATTGGCACATTCTCCGTCCGTTGATCGTCACCATCAGAGCTTCCTCGACCGGATTGTTTGGAACGAGGACAGCAACGTGCATGTTTTCACCGTGACATCATCTCCTTCTTGGGCACGCCCTTGCAGCCGACCAGACTCTACCATGGGTTTGGAGACGAACAAAAAAAAAAAAAAAAAAAAAAAAACAAATCCCGTTCAGTAGAACGAGGATAAAGAGAGCTGGCAATGTCCCACTCCAACGAGTGTCTCAAGAAGGAAAAGAATTACCTCAAGCTAAGTTGGGCTACGATCGTGGCAATGACCTAGAGTGAGAAAAAATTTTTTTTTCTTTTTTTTCGAGTCAAGTGAGCCAACTAGCACACGAATTAGCGCTGTCACGCAACTTAGGGCCGATCTATATTGAGCGTCCCCAATCTAGAACGCGTTCTGGTGCGAAAATCGTCCTTCGATAACGGCTTGGGTTATCCGGGTCATCTGCCCTGGAGCCTTCATCACCCATCCCTGAGAGATATTTATTTACCATGTTCCCCTACGTCTCCTGAAGTCAAGTTCATCTCACCACACATTCAGAAAGGATGTTGCAACATTCATTGCGAGACACTGCGCGATCGCTGGCGGGCGGTCGTCGCAGTGCCGCCGATACGGGTCTCGACATTGTTAGTATGGAACCCGCCCTATTCATCCCACCCTGCGCGAACAAACCGGCGGTTTTCCGAGGAAGCTGTATCGTGAACGTGCATGAGAAATTGCCCGTGAAGAGGTTGACGGTGAACCTCCGTGGTACCTCCAATGTGAAATGGTCCTACGGTATGTACACACGTGATGCGACGCCTGGGAGTATACCTGGCTGACACTTGTCCTGCTCAGGCCGCCATGAAATGAGAACCTTCACAGACTGCAAAATGGTTGTCCTAGGCCCTGAGAGTTCGGACCAGGCAGGCAAGATGCAGAAGGCTGCATGCGTGGAATCGCCCGACTGCGACCGCGAAAGTTGTTCTGCAAGCCAAGAGAACGGCCGACTTTGGGACGCACTCCAGAAGCGGCTTCCTTCTAAGGGCACTCGCAAAGCCGGTGGCTCGAAATACGAGCTACTATCGCCTGGAACTTATGAATACGGCTTTGAGATGGTGCTGCCGCCCAAGCTACCGGAATCTATCTGCGTGCGCGGCAGCAATGTTCAGTACAACGTTGAGGCATGCCTCGAGCTTCCGGGGCGCTTCAGTCACCCCATTACGCAAAACATGCCGATAGCGGCCGTTCATTGCCCGGAAGACGATTTCTTGGAGGATGCCGAACCGGTCTACATTTCGCGTAATTGGCGACACCTACTTCATTGCGAGGTTACCTTGTCAAGGAGAGGCGCTGCGCTTGGCGATCAATTGCCCGTTGTCGTATCCCTCGAGCAGCTGGGCAATGCGAAACTACAAGGATTAAAGATCTACCTTTCGGAGAACACGCAGTATCTGCAGCGAAACGGGTTGGAATCCTGTCTGGGCCCTTTCAAGAGGGTTCTCCTTCACGAAGCGGCGGGCGACTCTCTGTCCTTGACATCGTCATCTCAGCCCGACGCTCAGGGTGAGTCTACGGAATCAAGCAGCGAGAGCACACCCGAGGATGATCTGGGATCGGATGCGACCGAGAAACCCGGAGTCGCCGAGGAGGCAAAGTTGGAGATCAATTTGTCGTTGCCCAAGGCCATCGCTTTGACGAAGCCCGAATCCGATGGGAAGCTCAACATGCACTTTGACACCAAATACCAAAATGTCCAAGTTAGCCACTGGCTTGAGGTAAGTACCCACGCCGACACCATTTTTCTTCCGGCGCTCCGGGACTAACGATGGCTCCTGAATCAATAGTTCGAATTCACCTGGTCTCGACACGGTTCGTCCGGACCGACTGACGTCGTGAAGATGGCTCGAGCTCCGTTCGTCCTTCGATCGTGTTACGCTCAGCCGGCCAATGCCTCGCTCCCCGCCTACGATTCCGAATCTGAGGGCACCCCAAGTTACGTGGACGCCGTGTAACTTCCGACAGTCGAAAGCCGCTGGGTAACCCCAATGTCAATCTTACATAAGGTCAGGCGAAGCTTTTGCCAACCATCCGACTGCATCCTGCTGTGGACGAGCGGATTGGTGCGACGAGCCAAAAGCGACCTCGAACACATTGACATTGCTGCGGAAAGAGTTACCCACCGAGCTAGGATATACTAAAGAATCTTATTCAAGAAATGGAGAACTTTCTCCACCCCCTTCAAAAGTCGCGTCGACTTTTCGGGACCAATGTGGTTGCCGCAAAATGTGGGTATCTTCACTGCGAACCGGCCGCTGACTCGGCGCCGTTACATCATGTACTTGGGCTAATGATCTTCTCTCTTCAGAACCCCGTGCAGCAACGCATCATGCACGCATCATCGCACTGGAATTTGCGTCAGAATCGTGCTCCCTTACTGAGCTATAGCTGGATCGCATCGTTGATCTGCTCACCGACCCAATCAAGGGATTAGGGCGTGATGTCAAGCCGGAAGGAACCGTGGGTTGGACAAACTGTATCTGTATAGATGGTAGAGGATCTCAGAGTCAGTCATCTGGGAAAATGACAGAAAGTATATCGCCTCGATTTATTACTGCATGCGGCACGTAGCGTTCACTCTCCCTCGGGATCTCGTGGCGCAATGTTTCCCGAACTCTTCTAGAGTGTTTTCCGACCTTCTTGGATTTTATACCCCGAACCTCTCCATCTTTCATCCCCATCTTATTTTACCCCGGCTTCACTTTTCCCCTTCGTACTCGCTGTCACCACGGAAATTTTATACAAGCTGTCTCGTATACTTAGCACAAAATGGCGCCGCCCACCTATGCGGGATTGTCAGGCAAGAAACTGAGCTGGACAGTTTCTACCATCGCGACAATGGGTTTCCTACTCTTTGGATATGACCGTAAGTCCTTAATGCCTGTCACTACCCCTTGAATGTCTCGCTCACCGTTCTTCCAGAGGGAGTCATGTCCGGGATCATTTCCGATCCCGCTTTCAATGACATGTTCACAGCGACTAAAGGAGACAACACAATGCAGGCTACCGTGACTGCTGTCTACGAAGTTGGTCAGTATAACAACTCCCCGGGCATTGCTCGTGCAGACGAGCTGAGATCACCTCTCTATAGGTTGTTTATTCGGAGCCATTGTCGCGCTATGCTTCGGTGAAATGCTAGGCCGCCGCTGGATGGTGATTATCGGCGCAACGATCATGATCGTCGGCGTCATCATTCAGGTATCTGCCATGCCCGCGTCGCTGCCTCTCCTGCAATTCATCTTCGGTCGAGTCATCACCGGCATTGGCAACGGCATGAATACGTCGACTATCCCTACGTACCAAGCGGAGTGTTCCAAAACGCATAATCGTGGTCTCTTGATTTGCATTGAGGGCGGCACTATCGCTATCGGCACGATGATCGCTTATTGGATTGACTACGGCGCCCACTTTGGTCCTCAGGATTTGGTCTGGCGGTTCCCGATTGCGTTTCAGGTTGTCTTTGGGTTTATTATCATCGTGGGAATGTGGTATCTTCCTGAATCGCCTCGGTATCTCATTGGACATGGTAAGGTGGATGAAGGCCAACGAGTTCTGGCTGCGTTGGCTGGGACTGAAATCGATCACCCACACACTCAATTGGAAAAGAACCTGGTTCTGGACTCCGTTCGAGCGTAAGCACTTCCCAGACAACCGCAACAACTCCACAAAACTAACCCATCTCAGCTCCGGCAACACCGAATCCAAATTCAGCGATCTCCTCACCGGCGGCCCCTCGCAGCATCTCCGACGCATGCTGGTCGGCTCCTCCTCTCAAATGTTCCAACAAATCTCCGGCTGCAACGCCGTGATCTACTACCTGCCCGTCCTGCTGGAACAATCCATCGGGCAATCGCACAACTTCGCCCTCCTCATCGGCGGCATCAACATGATCTGCTACGCCATCTTCGCCACCTTCTCGTGGTTCTTCATCGAGAAGATCGGTCGCCGCAAGCTCTTCCTGGGGGGCAGCTACGGCCAATGCGCCGCGATGGTCATCGTCTTCGGGTGTCTGATCCCAGGCGATTCGCAGACCGCAAAGGGCGCCGTCTTCGGTTTCTTCATGTATATGTGTTTCTTCGGCGCGACGTGGCTGCCCTTGCCGTGGCTTTATCCGGCCGAGTTATCCCCGCTGAAGACTCGGTCTAAGGCCAACGCCATCTCTACATGTAATAACTGGCTCTTCAACTTCACCGTGGTCATGATCACCCCCGTCATGGTGGACCATATCGGCTGGGGCACGTACCTATTCTTCGCGGCGTGGAACGCCGTCTTCATCCCGATTATCTGGCTCTTCTATCCGGAAACAGCGGGTCGGAGTCTCGAAGAGATCGATCTGATTTTCGCAAAGGGGTATGTGGAGAAGATGAGCTACGTGCGGGCTGCGAAGGAGTTGCCGAAGTTGTCGGATGAGGAGATCGAGAGTAAGGCGGCGGAGTATGGGATTTTGGATAATAGTGAGAAGGTCGAGGAGCGGGTTATTGAGAATGATCCGGCTGCGTCGGCGGGACGGGCGTCGTATTTGCCGACGCAGTTGTGAGTGGATATTTTGTTTGTCGATAGATAGACAAAGTTAATATACTTGAAGAGGGAGTTTCCTGTTGGTTCGCCGTTCTATGATAATTTTGGGGGGTGGGTTATTCGGTTTGTTGCTTATGCTCAGAGATGCGATATATCTAATTAAACATCACTTTCATTGTCCAAACTATATATACATGTTAAATCCCCGGATAGCACCCAGTTTACTCTACTTTCTGCTCCAGATATAATAGAAAAAGTGTGGCCTCACCCATGTAACCTAGGAAGGCAAAACTTCTGGCGTGGTACCAGATAGTATTGAACACATATCTCCAGAAGGCTTATCTAGGCCCTCGTACAGGCGTGGATTTAGCGTAGGAAGTAATCACGATGTTCGCAATGTTATTTCATGTATCGCCCACTGCTTAGCTCAGGGGGTTCGCGATCACTGACTGATATACGTATGTATCTCGAAAATCCGGAGTACGAGTTTCTTCAATCTACTACACGAGCATCGGATATCTTAAGCGAAAGCCATAGTATTAAGATAGATAGTAGAAAAGGTAAACCCGAATCGAATGTGAGCACTATTTAACAGGAGAAAACGGCCTCAATCCAGTTTCAGTCCTCCTTGATAGTCGAGCCTACAGGACGGCTCACCTCATACCTGGCAAAAAGACGCACGGGTGCAGCTTCATCCCCTTGGGATTCTACCTCAAAGCTCATAAGCGGAGAATACTGAACCACTATGTTCTTGCTCTCGCCATCGTAGTGGGCCTGTAGAATCCTGCCGTGCTTTGGGCCGAGATAGGACAGAACGAGAACCGATCATCAGATTAGCATTTTAATATGATATAGCCAAGCTCGAGGGGGTTAGAGCGGCAACTCACTGGCATGATAGAATGGAAGATGTAATCTCGGCGCTTGTACCGGAACTGGAGCACTTTTAAAATGGCCTGAAGTTCTCCAATCGCAAGAGCCTGGTCCGTTCCGTCCAAATCGTGGAACATGCAAACCACTATGTGAGGGTAGTCAGGACTCCCATATTCTTCCCCGGACTCCCAGTACCAGGGCCCTGACGTCTGCTCCAGCTCCAGATCATCTCGTGGGTCTCGTCGATCGCGATCGCTAGAGATTAAAGATGAGAAATCAGTATCCAATAATCAAAACACAGGATGGGAAAGATCGTCCCCAAAACGTACGCGTGAACACGTTGCAAGGAAGCAAAATAATCCAGCCCCCAGGGGTACTTATCCGGAACCAGATAAAGGCCCTCGCGGGGTTCTATAACAAGGCCCTGAACCTGTTCAAACAACCCTCGAGTCACTTCCAGTGTACTCTCTTCTTGAGGCGTGAAATGTTCGCCTGCCATCGAGCCCAGGCCATTATCTGCCAACGGATACTCGTCGATGATAGATGCCACGAGGGGTTTGAAGAAGCACGGTGAAAAGTCCAACTCATCTTCGAGATCAATTTGCCTCGGTCGGAACCCAAGATTTTGAAGCTCAGGAGTTGGGAACAATCCCTTTTTCAGGGCTTCTACATCCTGGAGCATCTGACCCAGATGCTTGAGGATATCTGCGCGGTGGGACTGCAGGTCGTTATACAAAGTCAATGTGGCCATGGTGTTCGCGGACAGAGAGTTGGTGGGGGTGGGAGTCCTAGTGTGGAGGTTGGTAAAGTGAGGAGTTGTGAGTCGAATCCAAGATAAGTTTTAGCTCTTCATCCAGGCTTTTGTCATTTTGACCTTATCGCGTGTCATGATGGCTGTACCGTGGTGCATTGTTTGCCTGAGGCTCGACCTGCCAAGCAACATCTCACTCGATTATTTTCTCGATCTTCGGTATGTCTATGATGTTTGAGCTGGAACCCCCATAGCTACCGTGCAGTGCATTGTCTTCCTGTCTAAGCAGCTTGAAGTCAATACTAGCTAGGATCCCATTGTTACCACGGTATTTCCTCGTTCCGCTCACCAGGAATTGCGTTATGCTATTATTTCTGGGGTTCTTCTCTTTACAGAGCAGGGTATACTATGAACAGAATTATACCCCATATCCTATATTGGGCCACTTTAGCAAACCCTCTCGGTTGTTCCGGCTCCGGAAGATCAGCGCGGCCCGCGATACTTCCCATTCGAGGCATAAGTGATTATTCGGATCGACATGAGGAAGACGGCTGGCGGGGATACGCAGCGGCAGTTTGCCGCTGCGTACGCTAAGGTACTCCGATGTGTGCTTTCTAGATAAGGAAGAAACCCGAGGTACGCGGTTCTTGTTGACGTATAGACAGACATACTGCAAGGGCTAACGAACCTCTGACTAGTCTAGACTTTACGTCTAGGTAGCAGATGTCGGTCGCCAATAGTTCTGGCGAGGAATAAAGATACATACTCACCTTTGCTTCTTGATTGCTGGCGGGTTGAGCAAACTCCGAGGGTAATATAAAGGTTTGTTTCAGTGCGTCATGTTTTTGGACTTCTTTCCCGTTTTCTTGTTTATATCTATGACACTACCAGATTCAGTACTACATAGCGAGTCAAGAATTTCAATAGGGCGAGTGGATAGATAGGATAGCCGGTTGGGACTGGAAAAGACCTTTTATAGAGATATGCACTGCCTGTATAAACTGAAGTCTCCCATCTTACAGGTTGCGCAGCTTGAAGTCAACATAACTTGCGGGTCCGAAACCTGGTACAGAGTACAGGAGCAGCAATAATCAAGTATTGCTAGTCGCTACCGATTTAGACATTGGAGATTGATTTCAACGTTTCAACCGCATAGTGAAAAACAGATCAACCAGCAGGTTCCTTACACAGATAAAGAGCACAGCCTGCGCAGGTCACTAGGATTAGACTTTGATTAGGTACAGTAACTACAGTACACCTCATGCCGTTGACCCTTTAGTCTCTCATGAATGATCGTAGATCTGAGAATATGGCCCTCTTGATTGGTCAATATTTCAATAAGTGGGGCAGACATTACCGGGCGGTTCGACGGGACGGGCCGCTTGGTCTTCCATAGCGACCATCACCGCACCCCATCGGAATTTGCGGTGCTGTGCCATTGTAGGTATCTGTTACCCCTGATATCTATCCTTCGGCCGGCTCATATTAGGCACTAGATTGTTGACTACCATTGCAATAAAATTCATTGCAATACATGAAACAATAGCCTCACAATTTAGCCTGAGCCTGCGAATCCGTATTCACCTTCTCATGCTCCGCAAGAAGGCATAATCTCCCGCCATCAACTTCGAACATCCTTGTCTGCAGGAACGCCTGTTTCTCCCCCATATAAGTCAACTCGCAAACAGCCCTCACTTCAGCGCCCCGAGCTATTGGTCGCAAGAACGACGTTCTCAAGCCTTTACTGACCCCATACCGTGAATAGAGACCCGGTTTGGACATTGCAGCTAATAGGATGGTGGTCAGCTCGTCAACCAAGGTGATTGCACAGCCACCATGCATGGTTTTGTTGATGTTGGACATCTCGAGCGTTACGGTGAATCGGAATGTCACGGATGGTGTGGGCTCTAGGGAGAAGTCTTCGATTCGGAGGTGCATCGTTTCTGGGGAGGTAGGCCACAGCTAAGAAGGAATTAACACTTGCGTATGCAGCTTGGGGATTATGATAAATTCGATGAAGTGGTGAAAAGTGGTCTAACCTTTTCTTTTGGATTTTGAGGGTACATGCCCTGGTACACTTTCAAGAGACCATAGAGCTTTTTCTTGAAGCCTTCGTGATCAAGTTGTTTATGGGACATTGTTGGTTCACATAGATATAATGGTTCTGGGGTGAAATATGAACTAACGAAGAAGGTATGTGTATTCTTGATTGATGTAGTTGAGGAAGTGAAATGGTCGACAGCAAATTGACATATTGTACAAGCTGCCTCCTCTTTCAAATATTACGGTCTGTGGTGGCTGCAATTAAATTGGCAGATCGAAAGTATTTGGACCCTAATAAATGTTGAGTTTAGAATATGCTCAACATTCGTCGAAAATTTGCGTGTCAAACTATATCCACACATATGAAGATAGTGAGCGAGCAGTTGTGGCGGCAAAAAGGAACCTTATTTGACAGGTGTCTCTTTGAAAAGAGTGCCTTTGAGATCGAGAGAATGTGCCCCACTCACTCCCAATTGACAATAAAAACCTATAGCCGTTCTAAGCACATAATCAAGCCATAGTTCCCAGCATGTTGAGCTAAAGATCTGATCTTGGGCCTTGTTGGGAAGTTTGCCGGTGCGCTGCAACGTGAAGAGTCCATTACATAGATACACACTCTAATTATGAAATCAGGTCAATGGCCACTCACTATGTTAGAGCTTTCATAACTGTATCCATCTCACAATAAGTCTGTTACTGTTCTGTTACCGCCGGAGATTTGCTTGTCGGGGCACCACCTTGGGCTCGGTCAACTTTTTCTGCCCAACAGTCTGAGGCTACTATTTGGCCTGCCAAACTCTGGCTACTCATGTGGAACTACATACGTATGTTCTAGAACACAGTTCGAGTGTGAATACTACTTAAGTTTCAAGTCTGTCTTGGTCTATAAATTATCTAGAAAGCCACGCCCCTCGACCTTGGTGAATAAATTGCGATGACGAACTAGTAGTTTCATTTCCCAGATCTGAATCCTGAATTCCTACCTATCAGTCCTCTCAAAGTAACATAACACATCTTTTTCCAGCCGCATGACTCAGGCCTGTCCAGTCTCATTGCCGAACATGGGCTTTTCTAGGCTCTGCAACCCAAGAAACTGGGACTATTGTGCCCTTCTCTGTGGCAACCTATATAGCCTGAGCCTGCTTGTCGCACTCGCAGTATCTGAGCTTCTGCCTCCAATCGCACCATGGTGGGATGCTGAAAGACTCCATGCTCATATATTCGCTCACAACCGCGGCATCCAAGCTGGCACAATTTATTCATGATGGCTGGCGCCTTCTATCTCGGTCAGCGGCAATTTCCAAACAAATCAAACTCATCCCCGCGGTCGATCCCATACTTCCAGACCTTCAGCTGGCCTGTGGAGCGGCGGGCTTTTGCAGTTTTATGATTCCGTCTGTCTGTCTTTCATTGTTGACGTTCCGGGATTATGGCCCGCAGTTAACGCAGTTGATCAATGATGCGTTATGGATCAGCGCTTTGATCCCGTGGCCTATCTTCATGGCCCAGTGTCGGACAATCGCGTGAGCGATCTTCTCAGATCGGAGTGCAAAGCCTGTTCTTTCGAGGAGTATGGGTGTGATGAATTCGTGGCTTCAATCGTGTGGTCTTTGGTGGCTGGTGTTCATATCAACCATACTGGTCCTTTTGCGTGGAATAGAGGTTTTGCGTTCTGGCCTAATATAGTGTTTATGGGGCTTGTTGTTGTCTTTGATGGATTTGCTTTGCTGAGAACCTTGCACTATCGGACGGATGTTGAAAGAAATAATACGTGATTTGTTGAGTTCATACCTATATTTAGTAGCTATGTCGATTTAGCTCTTTTTTAAATCTTTCCATATTTCGGTTCACATTAGAATACGGACGATTGACTAGGGCGATAGAACACAGATCTCCTTGTCCATGGCAGCGCATCCATCACCTCTTAGTACTTCCTGGCCTAGTTCCAGTAACACAAAACTTTTTACATAATGTACTGACAGCTGTGGAGGTGGCTATATGGCATACGATGGTTCATTAATCTATGGAACAGCCCCATACCCCTTGCCTCTGTATTATACCTCGTGATGTCTCAGCAAAGCAAGCATCCACATTTGGATGTTAATCCCATAATAAAAGCAAGGTATCTTCCAGACAGCTCGCTCGGTCTATCCCAACGGGTTGCAGTCATCAGAATAAAATTAGGCTAATCTTCCTGGCTTACGTTGGAACACCATTTGAAGTGAAGCTATTATCACGCATTTCAAATATGGCTCCTTGCTCCCGGTGAGTTTAATATAATGTTACTCTTTAACACATAAACATGCTAGTCCACTGATAATTGAAGGTTCCTCGGACCATATGGGCTTGCGGAGGAAAATATACTCAATTATAACTTTAAGACATAAAAGCTTCAGATCAAATCATTCCTACTCCAGCCAAACCTTGACAGCCACTCTCAACGCTTCATCAATCCAATCTTCCTTAAAAGATGAATCTGCCTCAAAACCATGTGGACCCGGTCTCAGAGCCAAAACAATCTTATCCCCTCCCTGTTTATCCTGCAAGACCTTCCTCGCCCTCTCGACAAACCTGACACTGGCCTGATGTGGGACAGACTCATCATCGACACCGTGGAAGATGACCAGACCACCACGAGGCAGCCTTGCGTCTGGTTTCTCCAATCTGGCGAGCTGGAAAAGACGATCCGACTGTGATGAAGTGTCAGAGCCACGGATCCAAGTCTCGTAGCCCTTCTTGTGTCGAGACATTGCCGCTGCAATAGGCGTTCGCTCTAACGATCTATCGGATGATTCAACATTCTCGACGTTCATGTTCTGAATATATTCATCGTAGACAGAAACGGGTAGATCTGGGAATTTTGCATTCCACGTTTGTGGATGCAACGGCACTTTATCCCAATGAAGTGAAGGATAGGCTGCTGTCCCAGCGCGGATCTCGTCCGGATGACTCAGTGTTAAATAGACGCTCAATAGCCCGCCTGCTGACTCGCCGGCGGTTAGAATCCGGTCCAAGTCAGGCTCTATCGGGGTCGAATGGGCTGCTAATAGGTCTTTGGGATGGGTCGAATGTAGCCAGGTCCAGAAATCTTCAACGTCGTCGAGGATATCGAGGCCGACGACTTCGGGGAAGAGTCGATAGTTGGCGGAGATGATGATTGCAGATGCAGATTCCGCGAGGTCCAGTAGCCATTTAGGAAACCAGTCTTCATATAGCGAGTCGCCGGTTACCTGAGTATGATTGTGAGTTGTTTCTAGCAGCTCATATCGTCTGGGGAACACATACTAGTCCTCCACCATGGAATCGAGCTATAATAGGCCTTTTTCCGGCTGGCAGTGTGCGAGGGATTATCATATCGACACCGATATCATGATTGCCTACTCGTTTGTAGCTGGACTGGATGACAGTAAAATTGGCAAACTTCTGGCCAAAATTCGAACCCTTGTAGGTTGTCATGCTGCAGAGTATTTGTGATTGGAAATGTTTGGAATAAGAGAAGAAGATAGAGGGTATTAGGGATCAATGATAAGCGATTGATGTTCAAGTGATAGTTCTTGGATAATGGATTATCAGAATAATGGGAGTATGAGCTGGAAGTCTACTATATTTATAGCTGCCGGCGGACAGTATAGCCTATTGTTGGAATTCGAAGGATTGTTTGCATACCTCGACAGACCCTCTTGTTAGTGTTACCATGAAGGCTTATACTAACGCCATTGGACCGTTGATTGGTTCAGAGGTCCTGCACTAGTGGCATTTGCTTGGTTTATTCTGTTTGTTCTGTTTGGAATCATTTGCATCTATTGTTTGTTGTGTTTGCTCTCTTTGATAATACCTTTCAACCAATTAAAATATTCAGCGCCAGATGTTGTCCTAATTGGGTAAGGTTATGGCCCGGAAGCCCTAATTGCCAGCGCATGAGGCGAACACCTCTATCATCTTCTGGGGCTGTCTCTCTCATAATTTTCTACGGAGGATTATGCTGAGGATCACGGCGGAGGAGGGGCTCTGACTCGGTATACACTCAGTGCCAGGAAGGAGTTATTCAACATATCGGGGGGTAATCCGACTCTTCGCTCGGTTTGGTCCACAATCTAGACTCATTTGTCTCTCTCATGGCTGGCCAGCTTGCACGATCGTAAGTTTGCTTACCACACCCGGAAAGACCGGTCCATTATATCCATTGACGGTGCCTCTAAGTAGTTCACGTATTACGCTTTATCCCGAAACCAGCAAGTTGTGCAGAATGCAAATGCCTTCCCGGATAGTCTACCCCTTCACTTGATCATGCTGCTCCAAGAGCTTTTCACCACTTGCGTAAACATATATCACATACCATCAACCAGTTAGCCCTTGTTTGAGGTCAGTCACATGTGTAGCGAGAGCGATGGGGCTGAGATATGCGAATCTCAGGGGTGGAACGAGACCCAAAGCTCAGGCATTGGAGGGAGTTATGATATTTCTAATCGCATGTGCAGTACGGAAACAATCCGTTAACCAATGGTCACAAACCAGAAATGATATTTACATGGATTCTGAGGAGATCGGCTGCTTGCTGATATCTGCGCAGAAGGCTGGATTCTTCATCCTCCCGAGGACCGTATGCCGCAGCGTCTGCAAGGGCGATTTGGCATACCGGCCTCCTGGATGAACACATAGTGCGGGCTTTTGGATGTTGGCACACGAATCACAACAATCCAAGAAATACCGCAAGGACCCGAAACCTTGGGAATCTGCGAAAATGTTATCCCGGCGTATCTTAGACCTTGCAAGATACTAGACATAGTAGAACTAAGAATTATCACATGAAACGGCGAAAATCATTTTTTTCTCAAGTACAATGTTCTGGAAACACGTGAGTTATTCTCAGTGGCCCCGAACTCCAAGTCCAACAGATACGTAACTAGGCAAACCACTTCCTCTATCCTTCTCAGCTGTGACAATCACTGATGACTCAACTGAAGCCCTCGCCAAGCCAATGCCTGCAACCAATTCTCTAATAGGTATAGCCAAGAAAACGATCACTCAGCCTATGTCTGTCTTTCCAGTGACCCACCAGTAAACTCCCGGTTCTTTGGGATTCGCTCGAGAGTTCTCCGAGATATACCAACAGGAGCTGAAAGTAGCAAAGAGTGATTTTAGAAAGCCTTCTTCTTTACTTTCATGATAGTGGCCGGCAAGGAGCGGCTGGATTGCTTCCGTTGCTTCCTGGGCGTAGTAAAACGGAATTTTGGGGAACAGATGGTGAACCACGTGGTAGTCGATGATTTCGTGGAAGAAATGTCGACCAATGAACCCAAAGCTGCGGCCAACGGTGCATAGAGCGCCTTTTGTAAAGGACCATGCTTCTGGTGAGAAATGCGGGACTGAAGGGTGGTTGTGGTGGAGGTAGGTAATTGCGACTGGCAGGTCTTATTTCAGCAATGTTTTGTTGATTAGAGAAAAATGAAAAGGAAGATTCAAATCTTACCGATCCAGTGATGAACCCAAAGATATGGGACGAAGTATAGAAGAACAATGTCTACCAATCCCACTTTCATGCCAACATAAGTTAACATGCACCCAGTCGCAAGTAGCCCAAGGTCGGAGAGTATAATGTAAGCCCGCTGTGTTGAGGAGAAGATCTCACTGGTTGGGTCGTAATGTGAAATAATCCTACTTTGCAGCTGGCGATCTTCATCAAACCCACTCTGCTTTCCACCGCTCGCGTAGGAGATCAGATACATCTGCCATGCAACTAGTTGATGGCCGATCAGGTACAGCAGCGTTACAGATGGCGTCTCTTCAAGAAGTTCGGGGATTTGGTCTGTCATGCCAATATTGTGCTTTTCCTTGAACTCCGCCTCGCTGATCGGAACGAAGGCCGTGTCTTTAGTTAGGTGTCCGGTATAGCGATGGTGGCGCGCATGAGTGATCTTCCAGGATCCTCATCATGATATTCACCAGGTCTTTTGCAAGTGTTGCTCTTTTCGATTAGACATTTAGACGTCATGTCCATTGGATTTAGTTAATGCGTCCCACCTTCTTTCTTACGTATGTGGACCAGAATGTTAACGTCCCAATCTGTAAGCAGCGGAAGGCTAAAAGTAGACTGGAAAGTAATGATTTCAATGCAACATCTAAAGATCTTCACATGAGTTCAGCTTGTATTATGCTCCTATATAATCAACTAAACAGAATCACCTATTCACTAAAAGAAAATCCACAATTCCGGCCCTTTATCGTTGCGAAAGGGAGCTGTGACAGAGGATATATAAGCATCTTCAAGCGATATCAATCGACCAGTGAGCCTACTTGACTACGAAAATGGTGCCTTGCGAGGAACTTTATCTTATACTTCGTGAAAAGGTGGAAAGCGACCCATCTGCTTCCGCCTTGATCTTAGTCGTCTCTTTCGCTCTTATAAACCATGTCATTACCATCCTAGAAGCCATACGTCCCCCGTTAAGGAAAGTCCCAGGACCATGGTATGCACCCTTGACGACGTTACATCTTCGATATGGTTTTGCCACTGGTAAGATTTGGAAGATGGTTGAGAAAGGTCACAAAACGTACGGACCTATCTTCCGTCTAGGTCCTCGCCAAATATGGGTTTCGGAGAAGGCAGCCATGAAAGCTATTCTGCAAACCATGGACCTTCCTAAAGTGAACATGTATGCAGAAATCTCGCGTGATCCCCTGAGTCCCGGGCTGTTTGGAGAGGTGTAAGTTCATCAAGTCGCTTGGTTATCACTCGCAATAGGTGCTAATGTTGCATAGTCGACCGGGCCCTCACAAGAACTTGGAGCGATTTTTATCACCCGCGTTCTCAATGAGCTACGTGGATAATCTTGACCAATTCTTCTCGCTGTGTGTAGGCTCGTTAATTGACAAATACCGCAATCAAGCGTGCCCCGAAAGTTATCTTCAGGCACCAACAACAACGGAAATAGACCTAATGAATGGCCTACATAATGTGGCTCTTGATATGTGAGTTTCATTTTACTGTAGATAACAACCATGAAAAAGCCTTCTTCATCACTCGATCGCTTCCTAGAATGGGCGAATGCTCTTTTGGTCGAGGGTTCGGGCAGACAAATCCTACCAAGGACGAATACCTCAACATTGAGGAGAGGATTTGGAAACACATCACAGATTCTATATTCTCGGGCATGACACAACGGTATCAGGTATAATAAGCCCTCCATCATTTGTCGCGATCGTTTACTGACTCCCCAATAGAGAGTTTATTTGAAGAAGCTTCTGAGAAAACTCGGGTTCAGCCTCCAGTATGACTGGCCCGCAGACATGATCACCGTAGGCCGGACCGTAAAAATTTATTGATCTGTTAACACTAATGCACATACTGCTTCAGGGCATTCAAGCAATTGTTCACAGTCGCGCGGCGGATAAAACAGCTTCACGTACAGATCTCCTGCAACGTCTCATCGAAGACGGCACCCGTCCGGACAACCTTCAGAAAATGACATCCCGTGATATCATTCATCAAATGGCCGAGATTCTTCTTGCAGGGTCTGAGACTACGTCAGGGACTATCGCCTGTCTGCTTTTGGAGCTCGCGCGCAGCCGGGACAAAAAGAAGAAATTGCTCCAATCACTCCCAGTGCTGAGCCCAGACGATCCTCTTATTGATGATAAGACTATACGGACAAGTGATCAATTCAAGTATCTCAATGCTTGTATTAAAGAGAATCTGCGAATGCATCCGATCGCGAGTGAGATGGGGCGCAAGACCGGCAAGGAATGGTGTCATTTAGCTGGCTATGATATTCCTCCCGGTACTGTTGTCTCCGCAAGCTACCGAGATCTGAAGCAGTGAAAATTTCTGGCCTGAGCCTATGAAGTTCTGGTCAGAGATATGGTTAGATACTGAAGAGGAAAGGGAGGGTGCTCCCAACCCTGAGTGAGTGTCATATGTCCTTGTTATATCATCTGTTGTACTAACAACTACATAGTCTGGGCGCGTACTATCCTTTTTCTGCGGGAAGCCACTCATGTATCGGAATGAAGTAAGAGCACCCAGTACCTTATATCTAATTTTGGGATACTAACTGTGTACAGCTTTGCATGGGCTGAGATGCGAATGGTTGCAGCCAATGTCCTGTCCAGGTTCGACGTCGAAGAGATACCTGGTCAAGATGTTGACTATCGGCAATATACCACCATGCAATTCAAGACAGGGTCATGGAAAGTTCTTCTAAAGCCAAGGGCTAAATCTGGGGGGTTGTGAATGGGTCAAAGGTGAAGAGGTGGAACCTACAATCCCGGAAGTGAAGCCAAACGCACCCGAGTACACTATCAACCCTGCGTTTGTTGTAGCGAAGTCCATGCAAAAGATGAAGATGCCGGTTAATAAGAGCCTCAATCGTGAATACGTTCAGTTTGCCATATCTGTCAGCCTTCTGAAAATTCCGTGGATGATACGGCCGGATGTCGACGCAGCGCTGAGAATTGCATACAAGTAGCCTGCAAGCGTTGGGCCCATACCTCTGGTGACTGCGTATGTCGGGATGCAGCAAATCGGGGTAAAAATGCCCATGAATCCACCTTTTCACTTGTAGGCGAGACATCTCCCTCAGTCGTTTGTAGATGTCATGTTACACTGAAACGCCTGCAAGACCTTGCACCACTAGAAAAGAAGGTAGTTGAGTGGCTTTGTATTATATAAGCTGGACCACTAGGCTAGAGCCAGCTCCAACCTCGAGGAATTGAGGCAGAATATAAATTGGAGTTCAAGATAGAGCAAGGAGGCAGTATACTTGCCCGTTTGGGCAACGCCCGGAAGATGACTAACTCGGACTCGGCAAATGGCAGACCAGACGGACCAACAGCGCAGCTTTCTACGGCATTGGAGCCGGAGAATGGCACGCGAGACGGACATCAACCGCAACTTCTATCTTTGAAAATCAGACCGGGGACATTCCTTCGGAGATTATTTGTGATGTCTTACGATTGATCTGATTAGACACATTTCGAAGCATTTCGGAGCTAAGAAACTGCATATATCAAAGCAGATAACGATGGCCGAGCCCGGACGTCGACGCAGAAGGCCAGCTGTGTGAGTCCGGACCCACCTCTTGTCTATCTGCATACTAACGACAAGAGCCGGACATAGTTCGTGCGCTCTCTGCAGAAGACGCAAGCTTCGTTGCAATCGGGAGAACCCCTGCAGCAACTGTCTGAAGGCAAGGAATGCTAGTTGCATCTACGAAAGCCATTCACCGTCTCCACAGCCCGCCCCAACATTGCGCAGGCTAGCTTCTGATGAGAATGCTCCGTATACAAGCAGACAATCGACTGTTTCGAGCAATCTATCAAGTTCCTTAGTTAGCTCTGCAATTGCACTGTCGCCTGCGAATCAAAGCTTTAGTCAAAATGTTGAGCTTATGAAATGCCGAATCAAAGAACTTGAAAAACAACTGTCCAAAGCGACTTCTAAATTCACGCCTCGGTCTCATGCTTCCCCTCCAAACTCCGAGATTGAAACGGCGGCATCACAAATTGGTGGGACTTACTACTTCCATCGTGAAAATAGTCTATTTGGGCCACCGCAAGGATTAACTCGCAGTGTCATGCATAAGACTCGTCTGTTTGGTCAGAGTCATTGGATTGTTGGGATGTCTCTTGTAAGGCCTCGTTACACGTTCGTTCGAATCTTCATTGGAGACTCAACTGACTCATATTTTTATAGTTTAAAGACTTATTGAGTCCTATTGACCCTATGTTGCGAGACGGGATACACGAGGTGTTTTCCGGGGTGCAGAAATGTAAATCCTTAGCTAGGGTTATCAAGTCACAGCGCGCGCCTCCCTGGCCCACTCCACCGACTCCTGATCTACCGCGAGTAGATGTTGCTAATGAGCTTGTTGACTGCTATCTCCGAACCACGGAGACGATGCACCGAATCCTTCATGTTCCCAGTTTTAGACGGGACTATGAAGCGCTCTGGATAGCGGAGGCTAAGCCGGATCCAGGTTTCTTGGTCCAACTTAAGCTTGTATTTGCTATTGGTGCAGCAACCTACGATGAAAACTTCTCACTACGTTCATCGGCAGTTCGGTGGGTATACGAAGCTCTTACTTGGATCTCTGAACCTGAGTTCAAATCTCGTCTCGGGATTCAATTTGTGCAAACCAACATTCTACTCTTGATCGCTCGGGAGACAATAGGTATTGGCAGGGATTCAATCTGGGTCTCGGCTGGCGAGCTTCTCAGAAGAGCAATGAGTATGGGTCTACACAGAGACCCATCTCGGCTGCCGACTAAGAGTACCTTCATTTCCGAAATGCGCAGAAGGCTGTGGAATACCATTCTGGAGCTAGCCCTGCAGTCAAGCATGACTGCCGGGGGTGCTCCGCTTATTTCGCTCAACGACTTTGATACGCAGCCACCGGGAAATTTCGATGATGAGCAACTCATTACTGAGGGTTCCGCCCCGATGTTGGAGAATGATTTTACAGAAACATCCATCGCAATTGCCCTTCGTAAAACATTTCCTTCGCGGCTTGCGGTGGCGAAGTTTCTAAATGATATCAGCTCTCAGGGTTCATACGAAGAGGTTCTACGACTTGACGCAGACTTGCGAGCGTCATATAGGGCCCTGACTCGAACTCTCCAAGGTTACAAATCAGACAATGGGAAATCACCGACACAGTTCGCCAGCCGCATGGTCAACTTTATTATGCACCAGTATGTATCCGCTCTTCATATACCTTACTTTGGGCCGTCTTTACGGCAGACAACATATGCATTCTCTCGAAAGGTGGTCGTTGAGACGTCGCTCAAAATCTGGTATGCGGTATATCCAGCATCGTCGGTCATGAACTGCCACAGTGGTAGCGATACATTCTCATCAAACCGCGACGACTTTGCAAGACTCGCAGTCTGTGGCTCCGGATTCTGCCGCACTGTTGCCTTACAAGCTACCTTACTTATCTCTGGGGAGCTCAGAGCCCAGCTCCAAGAAGACGAAGGTCTCGGTCCTGTCACCTTGCGACCAGATCTTTTGGCTGCGATAGAGGATGTGAAGCCTTGGTGTATGCGATGTATAGAAGCCGGTGAGACAAACATTAAAGCATACCTGCTAGCTTGTGTAATCGCTACGCAGGTCCAAGCTCTCATGCGAGGGCTTAGTATGGAAGAGGTTTCGCGACTCCTTATCCAAGCCGCAACTGAGGCCGGGGATACCTGTTTATCAATACTTGAGCGAACTGCGGCGCAGGGTCAAGCGAATGGAGCCTTAAATTCCCACCCGCCAATATCTTTGGACACCCCATCCGAGGGCCTGGGGGATTGGGATCTTACAGTGAGTTTAGCATAGTCCTCTTTCCGGTGACCGTTGCTAACAGTTATATCAGATGGCAGATGCTTTGTTTAACCCGGGTAATATGGAATCTTTAAGCTGGGCGTTCAATGATGAGGCGATGCAGGAGGTTGTTACCTGGTGGTGAATCCGCACATCTCTTCAGCACTGTAAAGCCGCTTGTAAGGGTGAGTATGTATGGCGTTATGCTTTTATTCGGGCTTTCCTCTTACCAAAAATGAGGGTAGACCAGGCTGGCAGGAGGTCTTCAAGGGATATGCATGTACATAATCGGGCTATTGCTGGATCGGCTTTCCTGGCGAAAAGGGCACCAACAGTGCAGTGTACATTATACACGCGTTTTCTCTTTTCTCTTACATGATGGCAGTCTTTCCTATGGAAAGAAACTTGATCAGGATGTACTGTACTATCTGAAGGACGGGACGGCAAGCAAACCTCCATACGGTTGCAGAGTTGTTAACGGAAAGAGTTTAGCGTGGATATCGTCTTCACAGAGAAACGAACTGGCGCTAGTCCCGAAGAGTTGGACCGAGCACACATTAGAAAAAAAAACTAACTCCACTTCACATTGTCAATGTGAGCAAAAAGATTGACCGACGCAGGGGTCGAACCTGCAATCTCTTGATTCGTAGTCAAGCGCCTTGCCATTGGGCCAGCCGGCCTATTTGTTGTGTATTGTTTAATAATGCATTAAATATGTCAGAATGTCATTTCTGCTACTTCTCCCTACAGACTAGACGGACATGCAACCGACAAGAACCGAGCAACTACATACCTCCACGTTTTCGTCACAACAATCATAGAAGGAAGGTACTCGAACCCATTTCGATATTGTCGCATTTATTGTAGCCAGGATCCGTGAGTATACATTCCTGTTCGTGTTTACGGCACTGAATTGTCTATATCAGTTTGGAACTGACATAATGAAGATATATTCGGAGGCAAGCTCCCAAGCGTTTCGCCGTTTCCTTATGAGTATTCTCCGAGGCATTTTCTAGATAGTCAGCGCCCTGAAAGACCTCGATTCTTCCTACATCAATCAGTCGATAATTCAATATCCTGTTTTTGAGCTGCTCACATTCTCAAGTGAACTTACCTACTCGGATTTCCCATCACCAGGTTAGCCGATCTGAAGAAATGCCTCGAGTCAAATCCCTTTGTCGCCTTAGACAAACTGAAAGCACCCAAGTATACAACCAGATGTTGCAAAAACACATCATCTCCAGGCATTCGCCAAAGAAATCATCAGGCCTAGGGTGCGGAGGTTATATCGGTATGATTTGTGCTGCTCTCGATATCCAACTGCAACGACATGTGAATATTCCCCATCTAACTGTGGTGTCAACTCTCTCGTTATCATGTCTCGCTCCATCCTCTCCCCACTCTCCTCCAAGGTCCGAAAATGCTTGTCGAGCTTATCCATATCAGGCGCGTTCTTTCCCATCTCCTTGATCTGATCACGCAGGAACCGATTCTCGGCCTCGAGGAGCCGCATCTCCTGCACGTACTTCTCATTGCCCCCTTAAACTCCTGCGGCATAATCTCGAAGTGAGGTTCAAGTCGCTTTTCGGCTGTCTCGTCTCTCTACTATCCTCTTATCTTCTCTCATCATCTCTTCTCTCATCATCTCTTCTCTCATCATCCCTTCTCTCATCATCTCTTCTATCCATTAAGCAAATAATAGTCCTAACGTTCGCTTCCTACCTTTTGATGGTCTTCAGCCATGATCATCCATCTGTTTCTATGCATGTGTTTTCTAAAAGACATATTTACAGGGTAAGTTCTGTTCATTTTGTGCTTCCCACATCTGCTCATCAATATTTCGCTTAAACGATAATCTATAACAACTACGCCTTTCTCAGTTTTTACAACCCCGCTTTTCTTCTATTCGGTTGATCTCCATTCCGGCCTCGTAAATTCTAGAGCTCTCTAATCATGGGCCGGACGGCGGCTATAAATGCTTGAATTGCTCGATCGAATTTCTCTTCCTCTTCTCTCTCGCTTCTTCACACATCCCATTCGGCCTCGGAGAAAGACTCTCACATCTTGTATCTTTCTCTATTCGATCTATCTCCATTCCGACAGGTACATTCTAGGGCTTCCTAATCACGTGCTCTACAGCTGCCATAAATACTTTAATCGCTCGATTGATATCATCATCTTCTCTCCTCTTCACACATCCCATTCCTCCTTGGAGGCAGGTTTTTGCATCTTCTTCCCCTATTCTACCCATTTCCATTCTGATCTGGTACATACTAGATTTCTCCAATCACGTGGTGAACAGCGGCTATAAATTCTTGCATTGCTCGATTTATCTCTTCCTTTTCTCTCTTTTTACACATCCTACTCGGCCTCGGAGTGAGACTATCACATCTTATATTTCCCTCTACCTACTTCCTATCCATTCCGATCTACTGATCTCTTCAATCACGTGTCCAGCGGCGGGTATTTATACTTGTATTGCTCGGTTGATTCCTCTTCCTCTTCTTTCCCTTCTACGCATCCTTCTCGTCGGGGTGAGACTTTTTATATCTTCTATTTTCTCTAGTCCATTCCTTTCTATTCTGATCTAGAGCATACTACGGATCACGTGCTCAGCGGTGGGCACAAATACTCGATAGCTCCGTGAATAGCTCCGTTGAGATCTTCCTCTTCTCTCCTCCCCACACCTACTTATTCTCGAGGCGAGACATATTGTCTATTTCCCTCTATCCCATCTCTCTCCATCTCCATCTATTACACCCCTTTCCATACTGACCTAGAACATACTACTCTCAAATCACGTGGCCAACAGCGGGTATAAACTCTTGAATCGCTTCGTTGGTTTCTTCTTCCTCTTCTCCCCTACCCCTCATCTTCGGAGTAAAACTCACATATTCTATTCATCTCTATTCCATTCCCCTCCATTCTGTTCATCTCCATTTCAATCTATTCCATTTCTTTCCATTCTGGTCCAGTACATACTACTTTCAAATCACGTGGCCAACAGCGGATATAATAATTCGAATCACTTCGTTGATTTCTTCTTCCTCTTCTCCTCCCACTCATTCTCAGAGTGAGACTTATATCTTCTATTGCCCTCAACTTCACACTATTCCATTCCGTCCTGGTCTAAAACATACTACTATCGAATCACGTGGCCAACAGCGGGTATAAATCCTTGAGTCGCTCCATTGATCTTTTCTTCCTCTTCTTCTCCTCTTCACACCTCTCACCCAGCCTCATTTCCCTCTCTTTACATCAACACCTTGACCATTACCGTACTTTAGTATGCAGCTTGCGCAAAAATGGATCCCCAGCAAGTGGTTGAACACCACTCCGAGCATGAGCTCGAACAGAGCAGAAGACTGAAGACCGAGATGGACTTCGAGGGGCAGGCTCCTAACTTCAAGACCAGTCCTTCTCTCAAGTCCGCTAAATTGTATGACCCCACTGAAGTCAAGATCTGGGATTCATCACCTGTTATTTCCACCTTGTCATCAGTTTCAGCTCAGAATCAATCAGGATCTGATGCCAATTGCCCATCGTACCAGACATTGCCAGATTGCTTCGATGATACTCCAATGACAGAAGATGAAATATCGCGGATGTTCGCTTTGATGAATGACAATTCAAATGAAGAGCTGTTCGTGCAGCAGCCGAACTTGGAACTTCCGGAAGTTCTTCTACCAACTTCATTTCCCGAAACTGGCGAGGCCTCCACGGATATTATGCCAGACGTAACTAAAGAATCAGAGTGGCCTCAGGATGACAGTTCGGACCAGATGGAAGCAGCGGAAGCCGAATCTTCTGCAAAGTGAGCACCACACATGAGAAGAAATAGCAATGATTGTGATTTGCTGATTTTATTTTTAGATTTGAAGCAGCTCAGGAATGGTTCGATAGTTTGGAAAACCCCACCATGGTTGATTTGGTCACATATCGGCGGGCTATAATGGACGAAAATGCGCGCAAGAAGCAACTTGTCAGAAGAAAGGCCGTTGAGGCTCAGATGATGAGAGATAGAGAAGACCTATCCGATGCTGTCGAAGATGAGCAAGTCTTTCCTTCGCAAGGGCAAGATAATGCAGTTCTGGATGAAAATCGCGAAGGTACCAGCAATGCAGCTTCAAACCAACCTCAGGCGACAAAACAACGACGCAAGAAGAATTTAATCACTGCCAAAGAAAAGCAGAGAAGTATTCAGCTCGGGCTTGATATAGTGCTCAGAAAAGTGCAGCCGAAGAAGAGAGGAAGGAATGACCGAGATTCTGCTTCCGATGCACCAGATTCATCTAAACGCAGCAAGAAGCCAAGAAAGTCCTCTCAGAAGCAGATGCATAAGAAGATCATGTCACTTTTCCAGTCCAATTTGATTCAAGATGCCCACGCGAATGCGCTTCTGCCAGCAATTCCCCGCTTCAACAAAGCCGATAAGCAGAAGGCTCTCACTGAACTTATTGCAAGCATCCCTAATGCGGACCAAAAGGAAACCAACTCCGACAAGAAGGAGATCATAGAAGCCTCGAAAAAGTTCAATCCCAGCGCCAAAAGTGACGGCAATAATGGCTGGAAGATCAGAGGCATCAAGTCGAGTTTGTACCATTATCAGGTTCGTTACCCCCCAGAAAGTGGTCCTGGGATTTATATTGACAATAGCAACAGCTTTTGGGGGCAGGATTCATGGTATGTATTTCTGGTATAGTCTAAAGGTTCAAACTAACCTGAACAGCGTGCACGGGAATTATCTGACCATGCTCCTTTCGGTGGACTTTTGTGCGACACCATGGGATTTGGCAAGACTATACAAGCCATCGGTAAGTTTTGCGACTTACTTTTTTTACTATGTGGTCTTTGAATGTATCTAATATTGTAACAGCGAATGTCGTCGATGGGAGGCCCGCCGACGAAGACGACCCTCTGAAAACCACATTGATTGTCGTGCCAGCGCATCTTGTCGAGCATTGGTGGGTCTTTTTTACTCTTACTCTCAAATTGAAGGCCTAACAGACTAACATACCAAGGCGCGAGCAATTTGTCAAGCATTGTGAGTCGGAAAAGATGGTCGATGCTCTTGTTTACCGCTCGAACTCGAGATTGGACACCTTCAATGCTATCAAGGGTCTGCAGAAATGGGAGGTTATGTGAGAATGCCCGTTTCTTATACCGAATTCCCAGGTCCCTAACATACTAATATCTACAGAATCACAACGTATGAGGAGGTTCGACGTTCTTATCCAAAATCATCGGTTGCGCCTAAGGTCACCGACCCAAAGACGCTCACGGATTGGTGGTATGAAGTCTTTGAGCAAACTGCTGGTCCTCTGCATCGGATCAAATTTTTGAGAATCATTCTCGATGGTAATGCCTACCTTATCTTTCTACCGTTGCTCGAAGCCATCTAACGCTTTGTACATAGAGGGACATTTTATCAAGAACCATGTTTCTCAAACTTCCATCGCGGTGCGTGCGCTTACCGGCCAATTCAAATGGATTCTAAGCGGGACTCCAGTGCAAAAGTAGGTTCCTTTTTTCCATTCTTTGCATGGAACTATTATAGTGAGGGACGGACGATTAATTATGGGCTGTTTTACAGTTCTATCCAAGAATTCTACCCACTTTTCGACTTTCTTGGAGTCCCGGGGAATGAAACGTTTGAGACCTTCGAGGAATACTATTACCAAGTGGGTAGCTTTGTGATGCGGATTTTCATGCTCTACTAACGTCAGAAATCAGGATGATGAATCGCAAAAGCGTTTGGTGAACATACTTCGCACGGTGATGTTTCGGCGAACCCATGCCAGTCGACTTTTTACCTTGCCGGTTATCAAATTTCCCGACATCGAAGAGCGAATCGTTACGACCGAGTTCTGCACAGCAGAGCGCGAAATCTACGAGGCCATCGTCGATGTGTTCTTTAAGAACATTAACAGTAAGAGAGCCGACAGGTTTTCAACTTTTTGTTTCCAACATCTTTCTTTCGAGAGCATGACTAATCAAAAAGTTCAGGTCTAAACGCAATCAACAACCCAAAGCTTGCGCAGTACCGATGCGTCCTGACGATGATGCTCAAACTGCGAATGTTTTGCAGCCATGCCCTCACAACGCAGAGTATGCTCAAGGACCTACTGTCCGGACCGCTTTCGAGAGAACTCACCAACATTGAGCGAAAATGTAGAGATCCCGAAGATCCCTCCGTGAAGATCTCCAAGATGATTCGGGCCATGGCCAAGGGTACCACCCTGAAAGAACAGCAAACACAGGCAGAAGATCCCAAAGATTCGACACCTACTATCCAAGGCGACAAAGCGAAACTTATTGCCCAGTTTCACGAGAAAATGTGCAAGCTGCACGAGGAAGAGCAGTGGGATGAACGACTGGATCGAACAAATTGTCCCAGCTGCAAGATGGTCCCTGTCGTGCCCGTGATCACCTCATGTATGCACTTGTACTGTGAGGAATGTTACTATTCCCTGAGCACGAACGACCCTTCGCCCAGCAATTCGAACCCCAAGTGCGCCGAGTGTAACCTTGTTATCGACGAGGCAGCATTAGGCGTCGAGGTAGAACACGTCGATGTCTCCACGCCCCCCTCCAGCAAAGCTGCGCAGCGAAATAAGCAGAAGCCTGAGAGAAAGTGGGCAAAGGGCAGATCCGGGGGTGGCATGTTCAGAATGTCCACACCAAGATCCGAGACTGCGCCGGTGCCCGAAAAAGAAGAAGAGACGGACTGGATTCCCGTCTGCGCGGCAAATTTCCCCAGTTTCCCCAGTGCCAAATTAACCAAGATCAGAGAGACTGTGGCACATTGGATTGCGGAAAAGCCCGATGTCAAGGTGGTCATATTCACTCAGTTCTTGGATTTTGTGCGCATCTTGGCCATTATGTGTCATGTTGAGAGTTGGCCTTATGCATGCGTGGGTACCAAGCTTATTTCATGCTCATCTTAGTATCTGAGAGACTAATTTTCTATAGTTGACGGGGAAAATGCGCCTTCACGCTCGCGAGGAAAACTTGAAGGAATTCGCTCACGACGGTGAGATAAGAGTACTTATTGCCAGTCTCAAAGCAGGAGGCATTGGACTTGACATGTCGATGGCGAACAAGTGTATTCTGGTCGATCTGTGGTGGAACGAAGCCATCCAAGATCAGGTACGTAATTTCCAAATTTGTCACTGCCCACCCCCCTTTTTACTTTCGCAGAGACTAAATTCACTCCCCTGAAGGCATTTTGTCGTCTTTATCGGATCGGCCAGGACAAGAATGTCGAATTCGTGAAGATAATCGTTAGCAACACCATTGACGAACATCTACTCGATCTTCAAACCAAGAAGACCGAAGAGATCTCTTCCACTATGGGCAACGACGTCTTAGCAGCCCGAGAAACTGTGAAAACACTGTTGCGGCTGTTCGGAGATGTCGAGGATAACGAAGATGGCGGGCTTCGTGTCGTTCGTCACAAGGATAAGAAGGGAAAACAGGCTGTGCATTGAGCTTAGGGGTTATCGTTTTCGTTCTCATTCAATTTTCCTTTGGGGAGTTTTGTCTTTTTGAATTTCCTTTCTTGAAAAACAGAATACTAGTTGAATGGGCAACGGTCGATTGGGGGGTGGATACGACATTTTAGGGGCATTTAGTTTGGGCTCATTCTCTGCGGTTACTTCTTTGACGCAGGTGGATTTTCGGAGTTTATTTGGTATTTAACTTCTTGCATGCAATCTGAAAACAAAAAGCCATTTTGGCAACACCTCGTTACCTCCTAGATCCTCAAGAAAGCTCCGTAGAACCCATTCAATAAGCATATGAAATCACCCCACTTAGTCAATTACGACATACGACAAGAACTGCTTCACTAAATCATGAAATCATACAACTGGAAATCGAACCCTAGGTCTCCTGGGCCGACGAGGTCCTTGGGTCACAATTTCGGGACAAATAGGACTCATCGATGGGATTTCAGTCAGAGGCGAATAGATCGTAGACAATTCGGGGGCCTCAGCAAGCGTAGGAAAGGGTCGGTAGAAGTATCCCATCTCATCTTGGTAGTGAGTATTCATAGAATGGTCGTAGCCACTGTTCGTCAAAATCACATCCTGGTCCGCCTCGTCGTCTGCATCGAAATCATCGGGAACAGAAAGATGGGAGTGTCGTGGTGGGGAGGCGGGTAGGAGAACTACTCCCTCTGCTTCTGAGGCCCAGAAATGTCTGAATGGCCGGTCGTGATAAGTGTTCATGGGGGTCTCTTGAGTGTGAGCATAGTCGGGGATATGTTCAAGTTCGTGGTCTCCGTCTTGGATGCTCCGTACAGGTTCCATGGCCGAACTTGAGTTTGGAAATATGGAAGTTGCCCGGTCAATGGAATGTCCTCTCGCATGAGGAAGGTTGCTAGCGTAAGGAGTGCTGCCTGCATTGGGGTTCTCGGCTTCGTCATCAGCGTCTTCGTCTCCTTCATAATTCTCCTTGTTATCATCCACGCAGGAAGCATATGAAGGCCAGGTATGACTAAATTCAATATGCGAGGTAGCAAATCTCATGACGTCGTCGGGGTCTTCGAAGATGGTGAATCGGTTCGATGGGTGCGAACCCGTGGATGAGAAGCTGGTTATGTTGCCTTCAATGGAACACGGGTGATGCATCGAAGAGAAAGACGAACGGCCGGTTTCGAGCTCAGAATACGTGGTGTCTTGGTAAGGGGCGGTGTCAATAGCCATCGGGACGCTGAAGTTTTCTGAAATGTCTGGACTCATCGTAGTATGAAGAGGTTTCATCATTATCGGAGTATCGTCTTCATGGTGTGAAAGAAAAGAGCCCACTGCGTTGGTCTGGTACTGGTACTCAGGCAGATCATCCCCTCCACTGTATACCCCTCCTTGTAGGGTGTCGATTGGTCGCGCATCATCTCCAAATCCTAAAATTCTGGGTCTTTTAGGTCGGTTATTAGCGCCATGATCCGAACGATCAGTGCTGTCGTCTTCAATTTCAGTAAACGTTCGAGTTCGGCGGAGTCGGAGGGTCAGTGGTCCCTGTTGGTCGTTCGCATCAGTCCCAGTGACATTGACATCAACCGGTTGGTGGGGGATTGGTTCCTATAATTCACACTTTGATGAGTATCTGAGGAAGACATCATCATACTCCCTCCAGGGGAAGTTCCGGGTCAGAAAGACACTCACATGCTGATCGACATCAAGACAAAGCTCAAAGTCGATTCGATCCATCATAACAGGCTAGATGAAGGCATATAGTCAGCTGACATTCTCTCAGTTGAAAGTAACCAAACTACGACAGAGCTGCATGGGCTTAGTCTCGATATTGGGAGTGGTTACAGGTAAACGAGGCATAATTATGGTGGATAGTGGTGACGGGGCTGAAGGAGGATGGAGGGGCGTCTTTACCATCGAGAGAAGACTTCTTATAGAGTAGAAAAGAATGGCGAAAGCCTGGGTCTTATCCAGCGTTGTCCTCAGCCAAGTGGGGATTCACCTTAGAACGAAGCACATTTAGGCGAAAGTGGTAATAGGGATGCAGGCAGTTTCAGAAAAGGCGGAACTTGCCACTTAGATGAGATACCTCGAACAGGGAAAGTCTCAGAACCTGGGATGATGAAAGAAGACAGGTGACGGGCATTATGGGTGAGAGAGAAGTGGGAAGAGAAGAGAGGGAGAAGGCAGCCGGGCCAGAAGAATTTACTGAAGTCAACACTAGCCCCCTGACAGTAACCATTGGTGGATTTAAGGATAAGTCTACGACCAAGGGCCCACGAAGATTTCCACGTCAAGTAGTAGATTCAATCGAAGCTATCCAGCCATCTACCTAGATATACAAGCTTGGAGAGCGTTGACAGCCGTGGTGATGCCAGATACTCGACTAGGAAATTGTTTTCACTGCATAACTCTCCGTTGTGTCAATCTTCAACTTCATGGCACAATTACGATCACCCACTCGCTTCGAAGGTATTCCTCTCATGCGCAAACCAACTGAACCAGCAATCTGTCTTTTCCTCGACATCTGCAGATTCCATTCCTATCTGAACTGCCCCGGGCCAATCATACCACCGCGCGCATCCCCACCAACCTGACCGAACATATCCAGCAAGTGTCTAGAGGATGGCGGCGGTCCCTGGGGACCAGGGTTCCCTTCGAAAGGACCCTGTCCGGCGTGACCAACGCCCATAAGAGCCTCGGCGTTGGGTGGCATCGGAGGGAATCCAGCCGGGGGAGGGCCGTTCATATACCCAGGAGGTGGCATCATGCCGGGAGGAGGGGGAAATCCAGCCGACCCGGCGCCGCCGGCGCCGCGAGGGAAGGGCTGTCGATCGCCGAGGGGAGGTACATTGCCGTGCATGGGCGGTATCATGTTTGCCATAAAGTTGGGGTTGATGCCCCGGTTGGGCGTCGGAATGCCTGGCGGAGGGCCCATGGGGGTCGCCGGTCCACCGGCCTGCTGCGGAGGCATCTGGTGGTGGCCATTCCATCCGGGAGGAGGCATGTGCTCGAAGCCTGGGGGTCTCTGCATGCCCATGGCAGGAAGTCCTTGACCCTGCGGGGCCCGCGATCCACCAGGGGTGATGGGAACCTGGCCGCCTTGAGGGAAAGGCAGGTCATCAAAGTAACCCATTGGCGGCCCGTTTGCGGGTCTCCGCCGAAACTGTTCAGGATCCGGCCGCTGCAAGTTGGCTATCGCCGGGTCATCAAGGAAAGGTGGCACCTTCTGTGCGGAGGAAAGTCCGGGAGGAGGGTGAGGCAATCCTTCTTGCATATTCATCAAGCCGGGAACCGGGCCAGCGCTCTGTGGCTGACCCTGGCCGCCCTGTCCCGGGCTGGTGATGGGGCTCACCTTAACTTGTTGCATGAGGCGAAGCAAATGTTCTCTGTCTCGAGCCTGAGGATCCTGAACATATAGGTTCTCCTTCAGAGGAGGGCCAGCATGCCGAATCGCTGCATCCGGCATGGCTACTTGTTCGGGCCGTCTGAGTTGCTCACGAGTGGGAGACGAGACCGCACTCTGGGTTTGTTCCATGTGCACGAGAGAAGGGGGGCGATTGGCTTGCACGTTATCGTTGTGAGGAGTCGCGTTGCGTGACTTGCTAGTGCCCAGCATTTGTAGGATGCGCTGGAAACCCTCCTGGTCCGCATCGGCTGAAGGCGTTGCCGACGACGGGGGTTGAGGCACGGGAGATCTGCTTCCCATTTGAGGAGGAGGGTCGGGCTCTCTGGCGGCAGGGCTCCCGGGAGGAGGACTGAACAGTCCAGCAAAGCGGGAAGACTTGGCCGACTTGCCCGGCGCGGGCGCGGTCTCTTTTTTGGGCGTTGATTCCAAAGGCAAGGCCGTGTTAATGACTGGGGACGGTTTGCCATCACCTAGAAGCCCAAAAAAGCGTTCCATCGCCGTGTCTCCCTGGAAAGGAGCGCCGTTACTGCTGAAAATTTCACCATCGGTAGGCTTAATCTCGGCTTTGTCAGAGGTGCCAACGGATTGCTCGACGGGGGATTCTTTCTTCTCCTCCACGGGTTGAGAAGATCCCGCCTTCATCCTTTCTTTCCACCGTTCAAAATCTTCTTGAGTATGCACCCGGCGAGGCTCGTCCCTGTCGTTAGAGTCCAACCACTCGGGCTCCTGTTCGAGTTTGGCGCCGCGAGTCCAATCACGATCCGCGCCGTGTCGGTCCCTACGCCATTCGCGATTGCGGACCGGTGTCTTTTCCTCTTCGGCTTCATGTACATCCTGGGTGGGTTCGTCGCGGAACCAGCTTCCTTCGTGGCGCGCGCGACCTGGCTGGCCGTCCCTGCGGGGAAAGAAGCGACCGTCCTTGTTATCTCTGGCTCCTCTGTCGAGATTGGGGTCTCGTTGATCGCGGTCCCGGGTCAAGTCCCGGGCACCCTCCCAGCGGTCGAACTCGCCGTTCCGTCTGGGCTTTCGCTCCTGTTCGTCTGGGCCAAAGGTGCGACGCGGGCGTGCGCTGTTCCAGTCTTCTCGGTCTAACCGTCGACCATTGAACGTGGTTTGTTTGCCATCACGCCGATCAAAATCTCGATCGCCAACATCTCTTTCCTTGAAGAATTTGTCGCGGAAGTTGAACCGGTCATTCTTGGGGTCATCTGCGTCGGGTTGCTTTAGTGGTCGTTCGGTCGAGTCGATGGAACCTTTGGTCGTCACTCGAGAAGCGGACGCAAAAGCAGTCTTCGGCGGTCCAAGAATGATGTCCTCTAGAACAAGATGACAAGCCCCTCAAGTTAGCGAAAATCACCCTAGCTATGCCCGACGCTCTGTTTGGCAAAAACCACACAGAGGATCGCAGACAGATTCGCCATAATTTACCTGAGTTCGAACCACGTGATACGTGGCGAGCTTCAAAGATGCTCGATCGTCGCGGGGTGGTTTCAGTCGGGTTATTAGGATCTCTGGGGTTGGTGGTTTTGCGTTGCGTTGTTGGGTCGGGGATCGGGCTAGCAAAGCACAGGCCAAATCAGTCTCACGGGGCACAGAGAGCGCAAAGGAGAGCGATGGCGGAACGAAGACAAGCGACGACTTACCCCATCCATTCTTCTACGGGAGGTAAAGTAGTAGGCTTAGTGACCAGAGGCGACGAGCGCAGCCATAGCAGCTCATCGATCTGGTAACGTCGCGCCATGGAGATCGCAGACTCTGTGTGCGGAACGATGATATCGGCAGGCTATTACGTTGTTTTCATTGGCTCGTGACGATCGAAAGACGCGAAGATCGGAAGCGTAAGAAGAAGACACGATGGACAGAGAACTCAGGCGAGTAAACCCGAGGATAGAGGGCGAAAAGGAGGATAGGCGGAGAGCGAGGATGGATGGAGGATGGGGAGTGGCAGTCGTTTGAGAGAAAGAAGCGGGAGGTGAGGCCGGCAGAAATTACGTACCGTAGGGAACCCCGACCGCCACTTGGGTTTGCTTGGTCAATAGGACGTTGCAGCAAGAACAAGCGACTAGCGTGATTCCAAGTACGGGTGAAATTCCGTTAGAGGGAGGGAAAGGGGGGCTGATCAGAAAAGTGACTGCGAGACAGGGGATTCAGGATGATTGAAAGTCAAAGAGAGAAGCAAGTGGGGGAGAGTCCCGTGAACTGCCTTCGCTCCCGTCTTCTGCCGTCTGTCACCGCCCCGCACAGATCTATATTGTATTGTATGGCTTCAGTTGAGTACATTATCGCCTAGATAAATTCATCTATACTCCAATATCGGTACATGGGCATCTGCTATTCAGTTAATTCCCTCTCGTCATGTTTCCAACCGCCTTGCCCACGGCTCCTCCGCTCCACTTGGCAACCCGTTCCTTATCCGAGGATTCATGCAAGGAGTTGGTGATGGCCGAAAAACTCGACGCTTCTTTGGCACCGACGACCGGAATCTGGCTTTGAATCCAGCTGACGATTCCTGCTCGGGTGATGAGGGTCGTGCTACCTTGTACCTGCGTCGAGCGATAGATCAGATGCAAAATCTTTCGTTTGACCGAGACACTCGTGCTGGGAGACTCGTAGAAAGCAAATGCGCGCTCGAACACATTGGCGCGACGGTAGATTTCCATGTCCTAGTAGGCGAGTCAGTGAAAGAAGGCACACGATAGATAGCAGAAAACCCATACAGTTCCGGTGCGAAGGCCTTTAACCAACAGATCTAGGAGCCAATTGGTCTCTTCAAAATGACCGTCATCCAACTCGGGTTCCCGCAGCAAGATCTTGTCGATCCAGTAGGAGGGAATCTTCTCAGGTTCCCAAGTAGGCGCTTTCTGGAGGAAAGCGTTGACCTTGCCGTAGAGCTTGTGCGTGGGGTTTGTGAGAACTGCAAGACAGCTGGCAGCACATTCTCCCACTATCCACGGCAAGGGCGATTCAAGGCCAAGCAGTTTGACAGTCTCGTAAAGCTCTCCGGTGAGGATATAGACCGATCGCCATTCGGCATATTTTGATTCCTAGTCCCGTTAGTCCCATCTCGGCTGCAGATGTACATTGCAGACTTACCCTGAGTTTAGCCATGAATCTAGCGATATTGCTGAATGCTTGTCGGCGCACTTCCTCGTGCTCCGAACACAAACAGACCATCAATTCCGCCACTGGACCCTGCTCCACGGACACCTCCAGCTCTCCTTTATCCCATTTGTGCAACTCATTCCGCTCGTCACTTTCGACGGGAAGCGCCCCGAACATCTCCAGTAAGTCCACGCGCGGTTGCTCGCTTCCTACAGTCGGAGGGACCTTTTGATCCAAATTCAGGCCCTTCTTCTCCAACGGGTCGTCCTCTGTATCTTTCAGTGCCTTTTTCAGGGTGGACTTGAGCTGTTTCTTATCGGTGGCGCCCACCAGGGAGTCACGAACACCCTTTAGCGCTTTCGAGTCTTCCCCAGCCTGCTTCAATCTCCCCAGCACTTGAGCAGCCCATGCACACACGGCACTTTGAGCATCTGCGTCTCCAGATCTTACAACAAATGGCCACTGCTCACTGATAGCCGCCACGATAGAACTGGTAGGTTTAGATTCGTCTTGTGTGAACGATCCTAGTAAATCTTGATAATGAACTTGTTTTTTGGCAATGCGGCAAACGCAGTTGTCGAAAAACGCAAGTTGGTGTTGCAAGCGTGCAGTATCCGAGGTTTCGAAGCTCGACAAAAGTGCGGTAAACGAGGATGCACTTTGCAGGATAGAGTTCTCAATGAGCACCGATCTCAATAGGCGATAGATATCACCAAGGGATTCCTGGGACGACGCTTCCACGAGGACCTTCGTCACAGAGGTGAAAGCAGAAAATTGCATAGAAGCTAGGTTTCTATTAGTTTGTGGTTTCTAGCTTTCATCGGGAATGAGGGGATAAAGCGACTCACCAGGTTGTTGCCACCAACGGATCGATGCCGACTGCTGCGCAATCTTCAGGATGCTTTGCAGCTGACTGAGCAACAGTTCAGAGTCGTCCGATGAGATGGTGGGCTCATCAAATCGTTTCAAAATTTCAACCATTATAAGTGAAACATCAAGGACCTCCTCAAAAGCGGAATCCGGAGCAACCTCGTAGAAACAAGAGAGCAATTCGGCAACGGCTTCCTGCTGTTGCAAATCTTCCTTGGCGGTTCTTTTGTAAAGCTGAATGACATCCTTCACGACGGGGCACCGACGAGAAAATTCAGCGACTAATTTTCCCGCAGCCTGTTTCCAAAGCGGCTGGCTGACTCCGTGGTCGGAGTTGAAGATTTGCAGGACCTTCTGCAACTTCTTGAAGGAGACCGTGATGAGACGAACAGCGAAGAGAGTAACGATCTCCGTGTTCAGGTTCAAGCACCGAGTGAGAACCTTTTGATTCAGCGGACGCGGTAGAATGTTTTCGATTACAACCGAGGGCGCCGGGGGCATCGGAGGCAGTTTGTCTTTCCAACCGCAGTTCCTCGGAACCGGCAGACTCACCGTCGAGAACAGAAGTGCAGATTCGGCCAGCCATGACGGCACGGGCTTCGGATCCGATACGAACATGATCTTCTTGCTAAAGAAATCGGCCACTAACTCAGGCGCGGCCTTGAAGATTGCCACAAGCAACTCAATCTGAAGACTGTCCGTATCCGGGCGAAGTGCCTGAATTATATAGGAGAGCACTCCGTTGCGGACTGGCACGGATTCCCGGTACTTGTCAACGTAGACTGCAGAATCGAGTCCCAACTCAATTGACGCGTCGTTATCCGCCGGCAAAGATTCAGGGTCGCTACCGTTAGGGTACCAGCCTGTTTCCGGTAGCAACACGCCGAGCTCAGTCTTGGTGCAGATGTTCATCAAGATCTTGTGAATCTCATTCGCGACAGAGAACCCTGTGGGATTGGGATCCTCGGACTCTCGATCGTAACCATACAAAGTCACCAGTCGCTCCAAATTCCAACGGCTGAAGAACAGCTTCTTGGAGTTCCGGGGAAGCGAAGCATCCTGAACGATATCGCGATCAACAGCCTTGATCACGTCGATGACAATGTCTCGCGGGTCCTTTCGGATGTGCTCGAAGAATGCTCTCATGAGTTTACTTTGCTCGACGATGTCGCTTTTAGCGGTTGTGTGCTGGACTCGCAAGTTCGCCAGGACAAATCTCTGAGCATTGCGACGCAAAGTCGACTTCTGCGCATCATCGGAGGCCTCTTCCAGCTGAGCTTTGTTCGGGGTCAAGAACACCTCAAGGCGCTTGAAAGTGATATAGCGCGCCCCGTAGACTAGACGGGCAACGGCACCTCCATCGAAGCTGACCACCTCGGTAAGAAGACGCAGACACGGGGAGATCAAATGTTCCTTCGACTTTGTGGCGGTCAACCCACGGTTGAAAAACCTTAGCTGCTCCTTTTGCATCAAGAATTTACACAATGCCGTTCCGAAGTCTCGGAAGTCCAGATTACTAGATATCGTCTTGAGGAAGAGCGCCAGCACAGAGGGAACCATCGTCAACATGGAGTCATTATTATTAGTGTCCGCGAAGCCCCAGGCCTGGATTAGATCAGGGAAGCAAGACGCCTCCTCGCCATTGTAGGCGATCTGCGAATCACAATAGGCTTTGAGCACGCGGAACTTTTTGGCTTTCTCGCCCTCATTCTCCGTCTGTGGGATGGAGAGCAAGTATTCCTTGAACTTTCTGAGGCCTAGTTTATTCTGTAAGTGTTACCCGTTCATAACAAATGAATGCATGGTTCTTATGCCTACCTTGTTTGGTCTCTTGGATGTTTTGCTGGAAAGTCAGGATAGCACGGAGTTGCGTGTGAGACGTGATGTCGGACTGGACAGTGGCCTCCTCGCCGGAGTCCAACTTCCTCCGTTTCGTCCGGGGGAATTGATTGTCCGTGTGCGACATGTTGGAGCAGTAATTAGGATGGAGATCTTTGAGCAAGAGAGAAAAGATGGAGGATGCATGGATTGATTAATATGGATGACCTAAGGATCTTCCGACAGATTTTTGCGGTCGCTGATTGGCCGGTGCGGCCCGCGCCAAGGCATCGCCGAAAAAGGAAATCGCCTCATGAAGAGTCGAGTCTAGTAGTCTAGTATACTCCTAGTGCATCAAGAAATCTTGTCTAGTGAGTAAACATGCGTGCCAGTGTTATCGTTTACAAGCGAAATTCATCTTCATCTATCATATCTATTGCTCATTAAAATACAGTTTATGTTTCGGATATAAGACCAAAGCACACGTCCAGTACCAGAACACTTCACACGGGTATTCTCCTTAGAACTACAGTATGTACCCAGGCAGCAGATGCAAAATAAGATCTGTGGATGGAAAGAAACAAAGCAGTAATCAGCCCCATGTTCCTCCTCCTCCACCTCTTCCTTGGCGTCTCTGCGCAGACAAACGCCAGTCGTCTTCCCCGGCGAAGCGATTATGCAAGGGTTGAATACGTTCGGCCTTCTTCCTCTTCGAAAGACGGTCCGTGGGTGCCACCTTGAAGAAGGTCGGGGCTGCCTCGACCAGCCATTTCGGCTCAATGGATGTCGTGCAATGCATGTATTCCTTGGTCGTGAGGACAAGAGTATGGTAGATGACATGCTCGGACGGTTTGCCGAACAAGGCAGAGCTGGGATGCATGTAGACCGGAGTGCCCTCGACCAGTGTCTTGTATCCTTCCTGGGGATCCTTGCGGGCCGCATTTCTGAAGAAACCGGTGCAAAGGGCCTGACGGACTTTGGTCGTGTTTCTTCCACACGAGACGATCCGATGGTGATACCGGTCCATGATGCCCATGAGCTGCTGCCGAACATCCTGCGCTCGGCGGATCTGACGCGCCTGAATGAAATTCTCGAAACACCAAGCATTGTTGAACTTGGAATTCTTCCACCCATTGTATACATTGAGCAGCGTTAGATGGTCGCCGTGAGGGTCATGGAACTTGGACTTCTTCTGGTCCGCCTGATGCTGCTTCTCCTTGGGGCGATAGAATACCGATTGTATAGACAGCATAGCGACGATGCTCAGCATTTCCTCCGAGCATCCCATATCAACCGACGCTATAAGTACCTTGGCAAGGGCAGGCTCCATGGGGAAATCAGCCATCTTTCTACCCAACCGGGTGAGAAGACCTTCGTCATCCAGAGCTGACAAAGCATAGAGCTCCTCCAACGCAGTAAGCATGGTGTTAGTTGGAGGCGGGTCCATGAAGTCGAAGTGCAACAGGTCATTGATACCCATGGCCTTCAGCATGAGAATCGTGTGCGAGAGGTTCTGACGCTGGATTTCGGGAATCGTCGTTGGCAACATTTCCGACTGGTATGCGGCTTCGGTATACAAGCGGAAACATTTTCCTGGTCCGGTTCTTCCAGCACGACCAGCTCTCTGTTTGGCTTGTGCCTGAGATACCGGGGTAACCACCAACGAATCCATACCTAGCTTCGGATCGTACGCGTTCTGCTTGACGAAACCAGGATCAATGACGTAGTAGATATTGTCGATGGTAATGGATGTCTCCGCAATATTCGTTGCAATGATAACCTTTCGGCCGCCATCAGGAGCAGGTTCGAAAATTCTGCTCTGCATTTCACTGGGAAGGGCGGAGTAGACAGGGAGAATAACCAACTCCGGGACTGTTGACCCCAGTGCTTTCATGCGTTCGTAGAGAATCTCACAGGCTGTATCGATTTCTTCTTGACCTGTCAGGAAGACGAGGATGTCACCCGACGGCTCGGTCAGATGAATTTGCATAACGGTGATGAGTGCCGCATCCAGATAATCGGATTCGGGTTCTTTGGAGTACATGATTTCGACAGGGTAAGTTCGGCCAGGAATCGAGAAGATGGGGCATCCATTGAAGTATTCTGAGAATTTCTCAGCGTCAAGAGTGGCCGATGTAACGATCAGCCTAAGGTCAGGTCGTCGCTTTATCGTTTTCTTGAGCAAACCGAAAAGGACGTCAGTAGCGATTGTTCGCTCGTGGGCCTCGTCAAGCATAATCACAGAGTACTTTTTCAGATCCGGATCAAGCAAGACTTCTCTTTGGAGCATTCCGTCGGTCATATACTTGATCTTCGTGTCTGGACTGGTACAGTCTTCGAAACGAATTGTATAACCAACTTCTGCACCGAGTCTACAGCCGACTTCTTCAGCCACACGCTTTGCAACCGACATTGCGGCCACACGCCGGGGCTGAGTACATCCGATGATGCCGTTGTTTCCGTACCCTGCCTCTGCCAAATACTGTGTTACTTGTGTCGTTTTACCGGATCCAGTATCTCCAACCACAATCATTAGCTGGTTGTCACGAACAGCATCGAGAAGCTGGTTGCGGAATTTGTAGACAGGAAGACTCTCTCTCTGCTGCTTGATCGACATAGTTGTCCGTTTGCCCAATGACTGGTTTTTGCCCATTGTGACTCGCTTCCATTCCGGCACCGTCTCGTCGGGTTTGGCTTGTTGGGTGGTTCGAAGGTCCGCTGCGAATTTCCGCTCTTCAGGGGCAACCATAGGATCTTGCCATTGAGCGTTAAGATCGACCTCTGCAGCTCGCTCGGCGGCCTTATCCTGTGCTTCTTGCTGGCGTAGCTCTCGTCGGTCTTTAGCCAGCCCGGTTCCTGCCATGGCTGCACGATTCAGAGAGCCATCAGGAGCCTTCACAACCCTGATGGGCGATAATTCTAGAGACATCTTGGTCTGTCCAGCCAAGAACGGCGGCTCTTCGTCTTTAACTTCAATGTCAATATCTTCCTCCTCCTCAAATGTACCCTCACCTGTCAAGGTAGCGTGGTACTCTTCATCGATGTCAGGATAATCGGCCGCCGAGACAGCACCGGACGCGATTAACTGCTTGATCTCCCATCGTTCTGGCGAAGTCATGCGCTTCCGGTTTTTCATAGGCTTTCCGTCTGCTTCCTCGATAATGGGCACATCGGAACTCAAGTTTCCGTATCGGTCCTTGCCGGAAGCCCCATCAAGACGCTCCATGTTGGCACCAGACGCAAGGCGGCGTTGTGGGATGAGATCAAGCCCCGTCATTTGGTCAACTTCCTTCATCGACAGTCCAATGCGCGATCCTTGTATACTGACAACTTTGACCTTAACCGGCTGACCTCGTGAAACTAAGTCCGAGGGATGGTTGACACGAGCGCCTTCCTGCATAGCAGAAATGTGTACGAGACCGTCGACCTTGCCTTGAACGCCTTGCAAGTTCACAAAGGCACCAAAGTCCTTCACTCCAGTAACGCGCCCATCGTAAACCTTGTACAATATCGGTTGGTCATCTAACTCGACCGGTGGTGGTTTGCGGAAGTCATCATCGATTTCGCGATCGCGTCTCTTCCGTCGGTCGCTGCGGCCGTTGCGATATTCCTCATCCTTGCTGCTATATTTCCTGGCCGAGCGGCCAAACTCATCCACGTCGTCGTCTCTCTTCCGATATCGCGGGCTATGGGACCTCGATCGTGAGCGGTATTTATCGTTGCGACGGCGTCCGCGATCGTAATCCTCGTAGTCGGGGCTCCTGCTTCGCTTCCTGCTGCTCCGATCCTCTCTCGTCGTGCGACCCTTCTCTTCTCGGGCCTTCCCCGCTAGCCCCTCCAGCATAGCAAATGTATCATCCATCGCATCAGCCTTCGCGTCGCCTTCGTCCGCATCCTTGCGAGAATCGTAGTCCTCCTCGTCCCACTGCTGCACCTTATCCGGGACAGCCAGGCCCTTAAAGACACGAGCCTTCTTTTCGAGAGCATTCAGCATATCCATGTCGTCGTCACCGTCTGCCGCTTTCGTTTCGGCCTTGTGGGTCTTGTATTTGGGATGCATAGTGAGCACCAAGCGATCGATACTCTCCAGCAGACTTTCCGGAAACTCAGCTCCCATTTCCTCCATCGTCTTTTTGAACCCGGCGAATGAATCGCATTTCAGATGTTGGTCTATCACGAACTCTGCCAGCGTCTTGTCATTAATACCCAGATGGTTTTGAATCTCGCCGGTGATTCGCGACACGAGCGAAAAGAGCTCGAGCGACTGGAGGTCATCCATGTCGGCGGATGTGGTAGTAAGGACAGCTAGAATAGACGTGTGGTAATCATAAAATAAACCAACTCAATAGAGGGTCACTTTCATTTGCGAGGGAGTACGAAGCCCCTCTCTGGCTTGGGAGTTGCGGTTTGCGACGCCTGCAATTCCGAAGCCGAGAAAGCTCCCGGGTGCGGAAAATCGTTGTGGCGCCGCCCCGATAACGATGTACTGTTGGAACTATAAGAATCGACCTCTCGCTGTCTTTACCCAACTGCTGGAAGTGGCTGATTTGAGGCCGGCAATATCATTCATGCAACTGCTATAATATCGTATTAATTGCTTTTCGATTTCGCGACTCGGAAATACATTCGTGGTTTGCGACGAACAAACTTAAATGCGAGATATATTTAACAGCGGTGATTTCATAACATTTAAAGATGCACAGGTACCTCAATAGTAATCTATTACAGCAACCACATTCAGCGGAGCCTTGTCAAGGCAATCCGTAATTGATAATCACTAATTATCTTCTATCAACAGCATGGTAGTGCCGTGATCCTGGTCATAGATTATGACGTTTATTAAGGGTTCATATTTGAATGCCTGAGGCAAAACGCCAAGCAATCGCATTTCTCGCCGTTTCGCCTCCGGTCTACATTTCTTCCTCTCTTTCTCTCTCTCACCTTCGCTCCCATGTCCCCCTAGCCTCCGGGCCCCATTTGCGCTCTTAAATGTACGTGAACGCATGGATTTCGCTCGCTGATTTCTGATTTCTGATCTACAGAAGTTCTGGTCCGTTGTTCTTAGCTGGTGCAATTTCCTCGCCTTCGACTCAACCATTCGCCTCCCTCACGCATTCTAATCCTCTCGCCCCGTCGAGACATGCAGCAGGCATGGACGACTAGAGGCAAATCCTGCCTATTGTGTACTTACCAGGCACTGTTACGCCCCGCGACAAGGAATTTTACAACCACTTCAGCACTGCAGCGAGCCAAGAGCTCGTCAAAGAAGAAATCGGAAAAGAAAGATGCCGATGTAAGTCTGCCATGCTACCGGCTGCGCCCGAGGGCTTCACTAACCAATTTTCCCTGCAAGGAATCACCTGCAAAGCGTTCCGTTAAGAAAACCCTAAAAGACTTCGGTCCACCTCGCAGAAGAGGCGAGAGGGAACAGATTACGGTCACTGATTTCGCCGGGATTACCGAAGCCCTTCTTCAAGAACACCGGGACAGCCTTTCCGACAAATCCATTGCAGCAACAAAAGAATGGCGGGATTTCGAACGATATGTGTTAAATGCGTGCAAGATTGAAACCAGGGGTATGGGCACCCCGACCAGCCCTTTGCGACAACTGAAGGTGGCACTACAGAGAGCATATATCAGAGATGGGATCAACGGACTAAGGACTGAGCTGGGGTATCTCCTTTACGCCCACGGTCTCACGCTCAAGTATTCCACGCCAAACTTGGAACACCAGAAGCAAGTGACCGATCTCAGCTATCCGGCGGAATGGTACCCACAGGCACGGTCCATCCAACGGACAATACATCTACATGTTGGGCCAACGAACTCGGGAAAAACGTACACTGCGCTTAAGCGACTCCAGAACAGCAAGAAAGGCTTCTATGCCGGTCCGTTAAGGTTACTCGCGCAGGAAGTGTATCATCGGTTCACAGCCGATGGAACCCCATGTAGTCTTGTCACCGGCGATGATGTCAAGATCCCCGAAGACCAGTTGCCGTCCGTCATGAGCAATACAGTGGAGATGGTCGATTTATCAGAGCGTTTTGATGTTGGCGTTATTGATGAGATTCAAATGTTGGCAGACCGCTCCCGTGGGTGGGCTTGGACTCGTGCCCTCCTTGGTGCGCGTGTTACCGAATTGCACCTCTGTGGCGAGACCAGAACTGTGCCTTTGATTCGTAACATCGCTGCGCTTACGGGGGACAAACTTGAGGTTCACCACTATGAGCGATTGAATCCTCTCAAGGTAGCAAGCAAGAGTCTTAACGGTAACCTCAAGAACCTTGAGAAGGGTGATTGCGTTGTGGCATTTTCTCGAGTTGGAATCCACACTTTGAAATCAGACATCGAAAAGGCCACCGGGCGACGAGCGGCGATTGTTTACGGTAGTTTGCCTGCCGAAATCCGTACTCAGCAAGCCGGCCTATTCAACGACCCCGACAATGACTACGACTTCTTGGTTGCCAGTGATGCTATTGGCATGGGTCTCAACCTGAGCTGCAAACGCATTATCTTCGAGACTTTGGTGAAAAGGGTACCAGGTGGTCTCCAGAGGCTTTCTGTGCCGGAAATCAAACAAATTGGTGGGCGAGCGGGTCGTTATCGGTCGGTAGGGCAAAAGGATGGGGATGAAAACGATGGGCAGAATGTGGGCTATGTGACGTCTCTGGAAGAGGTAGACCTGCCTTACATCCAAAAGGCATTGAGTACCGAACCCCCTCCCATCAGTGCTGCCGGCATAATTCCTCCGGATTCTGTGTTCCACAAACTGGGCGCCTACTTCCCACCAGGTGTACCTTTGGAATACATCATCAAGCGCACCTTTGAAATCTCTCAGGTCGGCTCCTTGTTCTTTCGTTGCGACCCCAAGGGTCAGCTCGAAAATTCCGAGATCACCGATACAGTCCCTGGGTTACGGTTGGAAGACCAATTGACGTTCATGGCGGCTCCTTTGTACACCCAAGGGCAAGCAGCGAAGGACGTTTCGCGTGCGCTTGCCGAGTGCGTTGCGCAGAACACCGCCGGTAAATTGTTGGATATTCCGGAGCTCAACCTGGAAATCTTGGAGGAGCCAGCGTCTGGCAGCAAGGAATATCTGCATCAGTTGGAAGGTCTTCACAAAGCCCTAATCTCATATTTATGGCTCAGTTTTCGATTTGGCGGTGTCTTCACTGATCGTACCCTTGCCACTTACGTGAAGAAGATGGTGGAAGAGAGGATGATCAGAGCTTTGACCGAATTTTCTGCCAACAAGAAGCTCAGAAAAGACGCCTCGCTCCGACGGCAGATTGCCCTGCAGAAACAAATTGAGGAGCATAAACGGCTTTTCTCCGATTTGGATTACCAGCCTATGGATGGAGAGCAGCATTCGCTTCCGGTCGAGCTTTCTGCGGATGACCATCATTTGGCGGAGACTCCTCCTGAAACCAATCCCATGTAAAAGAGGGGAATTGAAAGATGCATTCCGTTTCTTTGGATTGGGGCTATCACGCTGAATAGCCTGACAAGTGATGCAAATGCTTGTGAACATAATACGTGAAAAACTTGTATATTAGCCATTGGGCAAAAGCATTTGAAGCTCGCTGCTCGATTGTATTATAGAGATAAGAGGGTATTATAGAATAGAGAGGATTTCTTCTGTTCATGCTTTCTCAAGAAGAAGTATATCGTCCTGTAGTGTAAGGAAGCATGTCGGAAGCATCCACTAGCCTCACCGCCCTGGTACTGCCGATCCATCGGGGATGATGCATGGTGGGGACTTGGAGGAGGGTCTCGCTGCTATTGAAACGTTTCAAAAAGACAAGCTGGACGAGCAAGACCTCCCCCGCCCCTGATCGCAATTTATTCCCGGTCGCCTGTGCCGTACTCACTTCCCTATCATTTAATTCCGCCGTGTCGCCCTCGACTCGCAGCTTCGCCGATTCCAAGGTGTTTTTCCATCCTATCGATGCACCGCTGAGGGCTGCCGGTCAGCCAAGATGAGCACCTCCCTACTGAGTATCCAGCGTGATAGTGAGTTATCGATCGCAATCGGGCCTCTCTTGAGAGCTTCCCCGCCAAGTTCCCCTGTATGCTAACCACCGCGTGCCACCTCCTAGTCATCCTTAATACGATCCGTTATACCGCGGGTGATGAGGTATGATCGGCCTTTCGCTTACCGTGAATCGATGACGGAACTGACGAGGAGGGGTTTTTAGTGGAAAGTATTGGTTGTGGATGAGACCAGTCGGAAATTGATCCTTAATGCCGTGAGCGAGGATGACATCCTCAACCTCAACGTCACCAGTACGTCTCCGTCTGCTTCGACAAGGCAGGAATTGCATTAGCTGAATTGTCATCTGCGCAAGATGTCGAACAGATCGAACATCGGCGGTCGCCCAACCCGGGGATGGACGCGCTCTACATCCTGTCGCCGCAAACGCACATCGTGGATTGCCTGATGGCCGACTTTGAACGAAAGAGATACAGAAAGGCATGGTTGGTCTGGACAGCAGGTCGGTCACCTCTTGCGTTCCCCGGTCGCGATCGGCCCTAACATCGCCAATAGTGCTGGAACCGCAGCAGCGCGTGCGGCTCGAACGATCCCAGATGGCGCAAGATCAAATCGCCAGTTTCCGTGTCATGAATGCCGACTATTTCCCGCGGGAAGCGCGCGTTGTCACCTTTCGAGACCCTTGGAGTTTCCCCGTGTTGTTCCACCCGGGGTGTAACCATCTGATTAAAGGGCACCTGGAGTCATTGGCACAGAAGGTGAGAGGCCTAATCGATGAAGCAGTGGACAAACCATGACTGACTGGGATTCAAGGCCGTGTCGATCTGTGTGAGTCTAGGAGAGTACCCAACGATCCGATACTACCGCCCCAGAACCCCCACGCATGAAGCCAGTGTCTTGTGCTCGCACTTGGCCCGGTTCATTCAGAATGAACTAGATCAATATGCGCATTTTCAGCGCGATTTTCCTCCTCCATCCCAGCGACCTCGAGGTGTTCTCCTGGTGGTAGATCGATCTATGGATCTTGTCGCCCCCCTCGTCCATGAGTTTACCTACCAGTCCATGGTGCACGACCTGCTACCGATCAAAGACGGCGACAAAGTTACCTATAAAACGATTGTCAACGAAGGGAGTCACAATGAGGAGGTGAAGGAGATGGAAATTAGCGACCAAGACAACGTCTGGGTCGACTACCGACATCTTCACATGAAAGATGTTCTTGAGAAGCTAGGTGATGACTTTGCCAAGTTCAGGGCTGCGAACCCTCAGTTCGCAGAGGAGTAAGTGCAACCCTTTCCCCTCCTTTTCTCCCATATTTTCTTCTTCCGGCACATTCGTTATTCTGGGCGGAAAAAAAAGTGTCGCTGACATGGTCGCAGAAACAAAGCCAACGTTAATACGATTAAAGACATGCTGGCGGGTCTCACCGAATTCCAGCAGGGCAGAGATGCATACACCCTGCACCTGAACATGGCGCAAGAATGCATGAAGCTTTTCCAGGAGCACAAACTCATCGAAGTGAGCTCTGTGGAGCAATGCCTGTCTACGGGCCTAGACGAGAACTACAAAAAGGCCAAGGGACTCGGTGCCCAATTGGTTCAATTGTTGGATGATGACACAGTCGGACAATCGGACAGACTGAGGCTATTGCTGCTTTACATCATCTATAGAGGCGGTATCCTTGGTGGAGATATCAGAAAGCTTCTGGCCCACGGTCAACTTCCGCCGCAGGACGGAGAAGTCATTTACAACCTGGATCTTCTAGGAGCTAGAGCGGAGAAGCCCCTAAAGGACGAGAAGCCGCCCGTCCAACCACTTTTCGCCAGAAAGCCCCCGTCTCCTGCCGAGGCTGACGAGACCAGCTTGTCTCGGTATGAGTTGAATGTGAAATTAATGCTCGAGGATCTCATCCGCGGAACCCTGGACCCAACCGTGTTCCCATTTACTCGGCCGCAAACGGATGCCGATGGAATGGCACAGCACCAAGACACGCTCGCACAGGCGTCTCTGCGAAGTGCCAAACCGACCTGGGCCCGAACTCGCTCGGCCGCAGAGCAACCCAAGCAGCGCATCATCGTCTTCATGGCGGGCGGTGCCACCTATGGAGAGACTCGCACCTGCTATGAAGTCTCGCAAACCTTTGGCAAGGATGTTTTCATGGCTACCTCCCACCTGCTAAGCCCCAGCTTGTTCTTGCGACAACTCGGGGACCTCAGCACCGACAGGAGACGTCTGGATATTCCGGCCGAGCGCCCCAAACCCACCGCTCCGGCCCATCTGTTCGAGAGAGAGCCGCCACCGCCGCAACCCGCGCCCAAGAAACCTCCTCCTATGCCGAATCTCAATCCTCCAGTGCCTCCCTCGCAGGCCATGGGCGCAATGTCGTTGGGACCCAGTGTTCCCAAACCCGCCAACGGCACGGCCACCGCTGGCTCTCCTGCGCCCGGCCCAAAACCCCCCAAGGAGAAGAAGGAGAAGAAGCGGCATCATTTCTTCAGGTAGTTTCCCTGCTCAACGCCTTCCGAGTCAGCTCGAGCTTGCGATACCTTGTTTAGTCCGCAGCCATTGACGTGCAAGATCTGCGGACGCCCCTACTGTTTAATTATAGCAATGCTGTGATACCATCTTTTTCCCCCCTCATTCCCACCTCTCCCTTTCTTATGTCATGTGCACTCGTGGCGCCGTGGCACCATTCTGACTCGATTCATGGTCTCTTCTCTTGCATCATCTGACGTTCTTTTGTGGCATATTCTCCCATAATCAATTGTATGTAGCTCAGTTCAGACATGTATCCGTCACTTGCCAACCGCCCACATATTCACCATAATGCCTAGATAGAAAATAAAACCCAGGGGTATCACACGCTATTGAACGCCAAATCAACCATTCCAATCCCTCCAACTGATCGTATATTTTTCTTTCTTTCGCCCGCTATCCCCCTCCACTGAGATACTTCTGCACGTCATCATTCTGATAGAACATCTCCCGCAGACGATCTCCTCGTTTCTTCGCGTCCGCATGTCCCTTCCGCACCTGTTTCGCATTCAGCTTCTCGACCTTTGCCGCCGGCGCTCGACTCTTCATTTTCGGCTTCTTGCCCCTCTCTTCCGGATCCCCCTCCGCACCTAATCCCACCGTATCGACCTTCAACTTCCCCTTCAACGGCTCTCGAATCCCCTCTCGCCCCGGAGCTCCAAGACCTCTTCGACTATCGGGATCCCACCCGTAGGCCGAGAGATAGCGCAGGCCGTGCCGAGAGCGGTCGAGATGTGAGGGAGGGTGCGAGTGCGTTAGACACACCTGATGCGCGAGGGAGGCTTCGTGCGGTCGGTTCTCTGTGGCACCGGAGGATCCATCTGTGCTTTCAGCCAGGGGGAGTTGACAGACTTCGCAGCGCGCGGCGGGGGCATCGTGAGGTTGGGACGATGCGGATGGGGATGGAGGAGCGGAATGTGTGGCGTTCGGGTCGGAGGTGGACGGAGGGGGAGTAGATGTGTCCGGTTTTGTGGATTCTGAGGACTGGTTCTTGGATAGTACAATAGAGAGGTATTTGTTTGCGATGGAAGGCCCTGTCTGCGTTGAGGGTGCCGGCGCAGACGATATGCGGGTCGTGTTGAGTTCGTGGTCGGAGGAGCGTACAAAGTTCACGCGTTTGCGACTGATGCCGGCGCCGAAGACTCGTTGGTCTTCAAGAGGGACGAAGTAATCTTCATCGTCGTCGGGGGCCATGGTTGTGTAAGGGGGATGGTGGTTGTTGAGTGAATCCTTTTTTGCATCAACTGCTGTCGGAGGCGGGAGATCGGCCGCTAATCTTTCTGAACGGCACTCGCTCGCGCTGTGTCTGTCCTTTTCCACCCTCCTCTACTCCTCCGTCTGGTCACCTCTCCCCCCTCTCCCTATCTTCCTTCATCCCGTCTCTCCGTCACAATGCCCATCCCCATAATCACAAAGGGGATCATGGAGGGCATCTCTTCCATCCCCTACGCCTATAGCATCCTCAAGCTGATACCATGGGTTCTCGTCGTCGCCGTGCTGAAATACTACTTCGGCGGAGCACGAAACAGCTCCGAACGATTGATGCATTCTAAAGTCGTGATGGTGACGGTATATCATACACTTTCTGTCCCCTTCCAATCATACCTCAACCCAACTAATTTGCGAATCAAACTTCCAGGGCGGAACATCCGGTATAGGAGCCAGCGTCGTGCACGAGCTCGCCACGCGCGGCGCCCAAGTCGTCCTCCTCACGCAACACGCCCCCTCGGATATCTTCCTGGTCGAATACATCGACGACCTGCGCCGATCCACCGGCAACCAGCTCATCTACGCCGAACAAGTCGACCTCTCGTCCCTGCACTCGATCCGGACCTTCGCTACGAAATGGATCGACAACGTCCCCGCCCGTCGTCTCGATATGATCATTCTCTGCGCCAACACGGCGAACCCCTCGTCCAGCGCCCAGCGTGACACGCCCGACGGTCTAGACGAGGAATGGCAGGTCAACTACCTCGCCAATTTCCACCTCCTGAGCATCCTGAGCCCGGCATTGCGCGCTCAGCCAGCCCACCGCGACGTCCGAGTCATCTTCACCACCTGCTCCAGCTACATCGGAGCGACGATCGACTTGAAACAAACGGATACGGCCGCATTATCATCAGCCACCGAGGCCGCCGCGTCCTCTCGAACATCCACCAAATCAACCAAATCCAACAAGCCCCCGAAAAAGACCGCATCCAGCACCACCGCCACCGCAGCAGCAAAGAAGGTTAAAAAACCCAGCCTCTTCGCCGCCAGCAAACTCTCCCTCATGATCTTCGCGCACTCCTTCCAACAACACCTCAACGCATTCAGACGCCCCGATAACCAACCGCCCTGCACGCGCGTCGTGATCGTCGACCCGGGATTCAGTCGCACCCCGGGCATGCGGCGCTGGCTGACGGGAGGCTCGTTGCTCGGCCTCCTCGTGTACCTGATCACGTGGCCGTTCTGGTGGCTAGTGCTGAAGTCGCCGCAGCAGGGCGCGCAGAGTATATTGTATGCGGCGATGGAGCAGCAATATGGTCGGGGGAGCGGCGGGTGGATGATCAAGGAGTGTCGGGAGGTGGATTTCTCGCGTAACGAGGTGCGCGACGAGCAGGTCGCCAAGCAGCTGTGGGAGTTCAGTGAGAAGCAGATCGAGGCGAAGGAGAAGGAGGGGGCGGTGAAACGGGCGTTGGCGCAGAAGGAGTCCGAGCAGCAGCAGGACAGTGCGAAGAATAACACTCCGGGCAAGGGGGAGAAGGAGCCTACTCCGGGGTCGAGGCGGAGTCGTAAGGCGAAGGAAAACAAATGAGTGGATGGATCACTTGAAGCTACCTAACGGCTTCTTCTTCTCAATTTTGGTGCATATAGAATATATAGAGGTTACGCACCAGGGATCAATTACACAAGGCGTTTTACGGAGGAAATGAGTGTCCAGAAAAGGGAGGTGAAAAAAAGGAAATTCGTCTCTTTCAATCTACTAAAGTTCTCGTGTCTATGTCCATGCGATTACTTCTTTGCGTTTCTCTGCTCTCTGCAGAAGCAAGCCGTCCTCTCGTGATCTATTTCTTGAGCTGGTCCAGCAGCTCAGCCGGGGGCTGTTGACGGTATCCCTGGGGGTTGTTACGGGTCCAGAGCCAGAGATCCTCACAAGCCTGCTCGAGAGTGCGCTCGGCCTTCCAGCCCAGCTCGGTGTTGGCGCGAGTGGGGTTGGCAGTCAGGTTGAGCACGTCTCCGGCGCGGCGGGGAGCCACTTCGTAGGGGAGGTCGCGGCCCACGGCGGCGGAGAAGGCACGGATCATCTCGTAGACGGTGCTGCCCTTGCCGGTACCCAGGTTCCAGGCACGGACACCGGGGTTGTTGGAGCGCAGGTAGTTCAGAGCCTTCAGGTGACCGTCGGCAAGATCCAGAATATGGATGTAGTCACGGATGGCGGTACCGTCGTGGGAAGCGTAGTCTGCGGGATTAGGGTCAGTCATGTTGCAATTTATGCTGATTTTTGCCTCGAGTAGGGACAGGGTCCGGAACTCACCATCTCCGAAGACGAGCAGCTTCTCACGCTTGCCGGTAGCGACCTGAGCCAGGAGGGGCAGCAGGTTGTAAGGGACACCCTGGGGGTCCTCACCCATGATACCGGAGGGGTGAGCACCAGCGGGGTTGAAGTAACGGAGGAGGGCACCGTTCCACTTCTTGGCCTCGGCCTCGTTACCGGCCTTGAGGGCGTTGTTGCGCTGGGCGTTGATCACGTCGGTGATGGCGTTCTCGACAGCGAACTTGGTGTTTCCGTAGGGGTTGGTGGGGCCCAGAGGGCAGTGCTCGGGGATGGGGATCATGTCGGGGAAGCGAGTGGCATCGCCGTAGACGGTGGCGGAGCTGGAGAAGACAATGTTGTTGACATTGTGGCGGACCATGGAGCGGAGCAGGCAGATGGTGCCGTAGACGTTGACGTGGTAGTAGTCCAGAGGCTTCTCACCGGACTCACCGACGGCCTGGGGAGATTCGCAAACATGTGAGCCGATTGCGAGGCATTGTGGGATCGGGAGCGATGGAAAGATAGAGTATGTACCTTCAGAGCAGCGAAGTGGATGACGCTGTCGATGTCGGGGTGGGCCTCGAAGACCTTGTCGAAAGCGGCCTCGTCGGTGACATCCAGGTGGGCGAACTCGGCCTTCTTGCCGGAGATCAACTCAATGCGCTTCAGAGCCTCGTCGGAGGAGTTGTACAGGTTGTCAGCGACGACGACCTTGTAACCGGCCTCGAGCAGAGCGAGGGTGGTGAAAGAGCCAATGTAGCCCGTGCCACTAGAGGATTGCGGGGTTAGTTCTGGGAGGTATGTTCCATGAAGAGAAAGACAAGAGACAGAAAGGATGAAAGACAAGAAGCAGATGCTTACCCAGCGACGAGAACTGAACCAGCAGACATTATGACGGAAGCGATTGAAGAGAAATCGGTGAAGAGAGAAAAAGAGAGAGAGAGAGAGAGAGAGAGAGAGAGAGGCTTGGGAGGAGATGAAGCAAAAGAAGGAAAAGGCGGGATATTTAAGGGGAAAGGAGGGGCCCGTTTGCGTACCGTACGCGCGGGCGGTAATTTACGTCTTTCCCCTCCGTCTTTCTTCTTCTTTCTTCCTACACAAATACAACTACAACTACGGAGTACAACTCCCCCCCTCGAAGGATCCCCATCATATGCCCTTCATCTATCATCCTAATCTATTCTTCTCTTCCATCCATCAATTGTCTTCTCTAAACCACCGCTCAAATGACCAATCACCCCTCTCCCATTCATTCTGCATCGGCCCCTGGTCGGTTGCGATCGTCGGTACAGGCCGAAGAGGCAACGTCAACCGGCGGGACGATCATCCCTTCATTTAATGGCTTAATGCGCGTTTCTGCACCGGGTGTCAGATATCTGCCAGGCACCTTTGTCTTACTCTTACCTTGCTGTACGGAATAGATATCGAACGCGTGGTCGGCTTCCCGTCATGCCATGCATTACTCCGTACAGACTCCGGCTGAAAACGGGTCGGGCTATCGGCGTTGCCTGGGAGTCTGGAGAAAATTACTCCGTTCTGGCGAATGTGCCTCACCCTCTCCAGTCTCCAGACTCCCCATCCCACCGGGCAATGGGATTGTTCCGAGCGAAGTCCGCAGCAAGTGGCCTCACCTGTTCTCCCAATCGTCGTCATCATCTCGGCGGGTCGAAGGCTCCACCCGAGTTAGTGGGCTCACTATTCCCAAGAAAACGGACCAAGGGTCCAACCGGCAGAGCCAGTCAAGTTTTCTGCTTCTGGCCGTCGTTCGCTTCGGCTGTCATGCGTTCTTTGGATCGCGTGGTATGGTACACAGCATGTTCGGATTGGCCTCTGGGTCAGGAACGTGTTCGGTTTATTCTTAGACTGCGGGACCAACGGTCTGCTCTGGACCGAATTCACCTGTCGGTTATTATTCCGTACGGTGTAACTACTAACTACACAGTGGAGTGTGATCTCGGTCGGCTAATTGAGTTCTTAATACAATCGACGTCATCGGGTCACCGTAGTGATCGTGAAACAAAGGCCAGTCTTCATTTGTACTCCGTACTACGTTCTGGACTAAGATATCACCGGCCTTGGCACTAGTCCTACTCCAAACAAGCTTCAGAACATATCCAGCCCTAGCGTGAAGGTGCCAATTACTAGGAGTTTCTCATGCTCCTTTTCGCGTCAACGTCACGTTGGGTGCAACAGAGTAGTCTGGTAGGAGGGAATCCGCGGAGACCAAGAACCACGATCTATGAATCAGTTCGCTCGCATCTATACCGAAACACCGAAGTCAAGAAAGGCTTTGTTCTCAGGAATGATGTGAACAGGGTACTTGCTAGACGATACACAAATATTGCTAGGGTCGTAGCAAACAAGTCATTGTCTAAGGGATACTCAAGATGAAAAAACCCGGACAATCACTTCAGTACCTACGGCATCCTTCAAAGAATTCCAAGCTCCCTGGAAAGCTATTGAGGAAGCCAAGTGAGGGAGTTGACGCCAATTATAGACCATTGCGATCGGCTCAAGCGCAAGAGGTCCTTCATAATTGGGCGACAGCGAAGTTATGATGAATCTGTGAAAAACAAATCATGCTTATATATCCGAAGAGGTACTTACTCATCGCTAGGCCTCGATCTTTACTTCATTCGGATCATACTTATGTACACGGCTTCTCTGCAAGGCGCCGAGACTGATTTTCTTTCCGTTTCCCTTTTACCTGGATCGAGTGTCCGTTGAACACTGTGCTTTAACCCGAAAATGTCGATCCAATTCGCAAAACGACTGCCACGTTTCGTATTCCCGTTATACTCCGCAGTTGTATTCGGCGCGCCAGGAAACGCCCCAAGCACAAGCTACCTAAGGCAGCTAAATCGATGGCAAAGCTCATGGCTGGATCAACCATGGTGGTAAGGTGAGGTCATGGTATTGCCCAATGAACAGGTCACGCCGCAGGGCTAGTAGACCTTCTTGCTTCCCTTGGTTTGTTTTTCAAGATTACAGACCGCGAGTTCATGACTGGGAATTGATTCTGCAAGGAAGGATTGAACAGGCTGAAAGACTTGGCTGCCTCCCTCTTGCTGTGTGAGTTGGCAAGGCTAAACTTAGCCATTTCTAAAGACCCCCCAAATGGAAAAGCTAACTTGACAATAGCGTCAACAATCACCCACGTTAACCGCAATATGGAAAAGAAAGCAAAGCAAAAGCTCCCAAAGTTCAAAGGGGAGAGGTGAAACAATTACTACCTCAATAAGTGGCTCCTAGAAGTACTTGCGGTTGTCTTTAGCACCGCTTGCTTTCTCACAATCTGTGACATCCTCCTAGCCTTCGGTAATGACACTCGACCCAAGCTTCCGTACAACTTATCCTTGAAGGCCATTATCTCGGTGCTCGCAACCGTCGCAAAAGATCACTGCTGTTCATGATCGGAGGGGGGGTCGTGAGCCAAACAAAGTGGACCTGGTTTCGCGGTGCCCCCAGACCACTCCTCGAGATGTAGGCCTTTGACAGTGCCAGCCGAGGGCCGTTCGGGTCGCTCAAGATGCTGTTCCGGAAGAAGCAGTCTATAGCATATTTTGGGCGGGAATCATCGTTCTGTTCCTTGTCTTTGACCCGTTCATTCAGCAAGTGGTGAGGTACTCAACTCGATCCGCCCCGTGAGCGGCGTTGCAATCTGTCGTGATCGTGCAGTGGCTCTGATTGATCTTCCCTGGTCTACTAGTTCTTTCTGGGATTCTTTTCTTCATTCTTGGCCTGCTCGCAAACAAGAAGGTCATGATAACCGCGTGGAAGTCGTCTGTGACAGCGTACTTTTATTATGGCCTAGGAGACGTGGGCCCTAGCGATTACACGACCAGCGGTAAGATGGAAAGAACAGCCGGTGACACTCATGTGCAACTGCTATCGTCCGACGAGGACGGGGATCTAAAACTAAAGGGGAGAACGACGGCAACAACGTAGATAAAACACCCTCGTCAGTGGATTATAGACATTTATGACTTGGATGTTCGAAACTGTTAATGTCTTATGCTCGAGCCGAAACACTTCAATGACATAGTCATTCCTAGGCGCCTGGCTCTACATAAAATCCTATCATTATCCTATCAACTCTATTATAGATAATAGGATTAACATATGGAGGCTAATCGAAGACATCACCCATGATATCATTGTTCCTGCTAACAGCCACAATGCATACGACCTCATCCACGCGAGACCAGAACCAGAACACTCGCGAGTCATGGACATTCTCACCTAGCATGGTTCCTAATCCTCCCCTGTCCATTCTCCAGTTCCCCTGTCTGAACTAGAAACTAGTAGCCAATGACCACCGTCGTTCAACTATAATTAGCGTCACGGCTGCATCTCGCGTCGACAAAAGCCCCAAACCCCTGTAGAAAACTACGAACCCCTCTTTTCGTGAGACCCCCTGGTAAACACAGCCTCGAGGCCCTCGTCGTTCTTCCAGCCCATCTGATTTAGCGTCCTCGCATTCCTATTCCGAGGACTGTGGTATGGCTATGTAGTCGTGACGCAATTTCCGTGCCGACTGGGATCATGTACAGCCCCAGGCAGCACAAATCGATATAAATAAAGCCTTGATCCCTTCCCTCTAGACCCAAACACCCATCTTATCATATCCCATCATCGCCATACCCCACCGAAACAAACCGACACAGTACCCACGTACCCAACCATCATGTCTTTTCAAAACCACCACCGCCCCATCGCCTACTCTTCCCCATTCATCCCCCCTCTCTCCGACATCATCGGCCTCGAACCAGAAATCGATAGACGCTGCGCCGGTCTCGCCCCCTCACAAGGTCGTCGGTGTCGCAACCACACGAACCAAAACGGTCGCAGCTCGGCGATGATGCTTCTGCACCAGGGCACTAAGGACCTTCGCGCTGGTCGGAGTATCGATACCCTTTTGGCAGAACTCGGTCCGCATGTTCTGTGTTGGCGGCATAAGGATCAAGCTTCGGGATTGGAGAGGATCTGGAGGGGGAAGGTCAGGGCGTATCTGGATGAGCGGGGGGCTGTTGCTGCTGCTTCTTCTTCTACGGCTTCTAGACGCTCGACGGCGTCGACGAGACAGGCGAGGCCGGATGGGTCAGCGAGGCGAGCAGAGCCAGCGAGGCTTGAACCCCTAACTATCGCTCGGGGGTCCGCTAGAGACAATACGAGTATCAACGACCTGACCGTCCTGATCGACCAAGCCCTTCGGATCAATATTGACTTGAGAAGACGTGTCGAGGAGGCTCGAGGTGAGCTATCAGTTACTGCTGCGCGCTCGTCTCCTCGTCAGCAGGAGAATAGCAGGTCCAGCAGAAGCGCAGTCGTCAACTCCACTAGCGCGAGGGGCAGCACGTCGAGCGGAAACACTCTTAGGACTTCTCCCGAAGAGCGCGTTTATATCACGGCGAGAATACCCTCCACCGGATATGGCAGTTCGTCAGAAATCACAAGAACCGTGCCTCGATCCATGCAGGTGCAGGGACAGGCTCCTGTTAGTCGAACAAGGGCATCAGCTTCTGTTTCAAGCCGGAGTCAGAGTCAGAGCCAGGACACAAGATCAACGACTTCGGATACTGCGGTTCGCAACTCCAGGAGTGCTGGGATTCAGGACCGTCGGGATGAGACTCCACAGGTCAGGCGCCGCAAGGTGGAAGGAGAGTGTGGGGTCTGTTTGTGCGAGTTGCGTGTTCCGAAGCAGGATGACGATGCGGATGATGAAGAGGAGAGCGATCATAGCGAGGATGAGGACCACGATGAGGGTGATAATCAAGACGACAATGACGACGACGATGATGAGCATCAAAATGATGAACTGGCTTGGTGCAAAGCCCGCTGCGGAGTCAACTTCCACAAACCGTGCATCGATCAATGGCTGAAAGTAGCTGGCACGCCCACGTGCCCAGCATGCAGAAGTATTTGGAGTCGCTCAATGATGAATGCGGAAGGGTCTCTTTCTAATTTCGATATCACCGAATGGTTATGATTCGATAAATTATCTATTGCTTATTTGGTTATCATTCACAAGATTTACTCGGGCTTTGCGTCCTCAGCTTCTCTCTCCTATAGTAGATTATCTTCGTTTGATCCCCTCAAGCTAGATGACCAAAATAGACCATAACACGTGGAAACAGTAGCATATGCAATATGTATCATTACTCTTAATCTTATCTTAGGCATTAAACACTAGCTCATCAGCCGCACAGTTGGGATGCAGAACATAAACCGTCCGCTGCAGCTGTTCTCCTTGGGTTTCGTCATTGGCTGTGTCAACCAACCCCTCGCCTCGGATGGGCATCAGAATGTTGTCCTGAAGGGAAGAAGTGGTTAGCATGGTTTTCAGACAGTCTTTCAAGTAGTTAATACTGGGGATACAAACCTTCACCATGCGCTTCAAGACCTTGGCAGACAAGGCACGCTCCCGTTGCAGGTCCTCCTCGGTGTTCAGCTCCGACTCAACCTGCTCGAGGTACCAGACAATCAGGTCCTCCTGCTCGACACCCTCGCCGGACGCCGCCTCATCCTGGCTGAGACGCTGCACGATCAAGTTCAGGATCTTCATGTACTTATCGAACGAGATCTTGGTCTTCTCGCGGGGCTGTTTCGGCTCCTCGTCGGGCACATCCCGCATAGGACTGTCGCCTTCGCCCGTCTCGCCCATTTCCTCATCTTCTTCCCGGTGTTCTTCGGCGTTCTCCTCGTCGTCGACTTCGACGTCGTCTTTCTCGACGGTGACGATACTCTGCCGGAGGAGATCGTAGGCCTCGCGCACAAAGCTAGGTACGATCTCTTCCACGCAGTTGGCCTTGGCAACCGCTTCGGAGAGACGGATCAGGGATTCAAGCTGTCGGACCGTGATGCGGTAAGACGACCGGCCCATGCCACCTTGGGCGTCGTTGGCACGGAGTTCCTTGTACTTCTCAACGAGCAGCGCCTTGGCCTCGTCGGTGAACACCGGTTTGAACGTGCGAGCGAAGCGAATATACCGTTGCAACTGTTCGGTGCTCAACTCGGGCTCCACAGCCTCGTCACGGTTCATGTGCACGTTGACAATGTGGTCCGCCAGATTGCGATCCACCGTCTCGTTGGGTTCATCCCTAATCACGAAGAAGAGATCGAATCGACTCATGATGGGAGCACTGAAGTTCAGATTGGCACGCAATGGCACCTTGGGGTTATACCGACCGCCGATCGGGTTGGCGGCGGCAAGGATCGATGCCCGCGCATTGAGGGTGGTGTGGATGCCGGCCTTGGCGATAGAAATGGTTTGCTGTTCCATAGCTTCGTGAATAGCCACCTGGTCACTGATATCCATTTTGTCGAACTCGTCGATCGCACAGATACCGCCTCCGTTCTAGGAGAGTTAATTAGTATCCCGGGAGAAGGTAGCGTAGGAGATGGTATGACATACAGCAAGCATTAGAGCACCAGCTTCGATGGTGAATTCTCCGGTCTCAGCATCCTTGACAACAGAGGCAGTCAAACCAGCTGCAGAGGAAGCTTTACCACTGGTGTAGACCGCACGAGGATGCAGGGAGCAGATGTATCTGGTGTTGTCAGCGCAAGATCCCAGGACGGTGCCGGTTGATCATGAACTTACTTCAGGAATTGACTTTTGCTGGTCGACGGATCGCCAACGATACAGATGTTAATATCACCACGAAGCTGCATGCTTTCTTGCTCCGTGGTCTTGCTGACACCGCCGATCAGCTGAAGAAGCAAACCCTTCTTGATTTGCCGGTGACCGTAAACCATAGGCGCAATAGAATCCACGAGGCGGGAATATATGTAGTCGGAATGCACCAGTTTCTTCATATCCTCAACTTCCCAGGGAGTTAGGCTCTGAAGGAGCGCCTCTTGCGCCTTGTCCTCAGTCACATCCTCGTCCGTGGGGTTCAAGGCGTTGAGAATATTTTGCGCCTGGCCGTTCGCCGGCTGTGATCGCTGACCCGGAGTGGACAGATCGGGAATGACCATACAAGACAGGAAGCCAAGTCGGTAGGTCAAATCTTTAGCGCCAAGAGCCTTAATGCCTGTTACTCCGCCGCCTCCAACCTCACCCGAACGGAGACTGTCGTCGCGGACGGCCTCCGGGCGCACACCAGGAAGTCCCAACTGGCTCACATCGGGAATGACAATCAAAGTACCGGTAAAGATGCACCGCTCACCAGCCCTGGCACGGTCAACCATCTCACCACGCAGGATCACATCCATGGTACGGGGCATGCTGCCGGTGGGGATTTCATGGGACGATTCCTGCAATTTCACCTTCTGCCAATCGACAAAGGTGCTCTTGCCGATATCCAGCCTCCACCCGAAACGATTGCCGCAGACGTTGTTCGGACATTTTGAGGGCTCGGTGTACTTGAACGTCTGCTCCACATCGGGAATGACCGTCTTGCACTGTTCACATATAAACGTTCCCAAGGACAATTCAGGGCGAATTTCCGACGTTCTCGTGACTGTGCCCGACACGGACAGCAGCTTTCCGATCTGGGAGGTCCGTAGCTGCCGGAGTCGAGAAACTAGGGGTAGGTTGTAGAAAGCCAGGGAGAAGAGTTTGTCGCTCTGCTGGTGGCGCGTCTTCTGTCGGTGGGTTTTTTCCGCTTGGTGGGGGTCCAGCGGGTTCTCGCTGGTACTGGCACCGGCTGTCAACATCGACGAGGTCGCCTCCTGGTTCGAAGGATCGATCTCACGATGGATTGCGTAGTATTCTGGTACATATTTGGCGATCAAATTATGCAAGGCTTGTGTTAGGAAGGGATGAAACCGATAGTATTGGTTCGTGATGGCGTCCGCCAGAATCTGGTTATCCAAGGTAGTCAGATGAGCGAAATCGACGTAAAGGGTCGAAAGGCCAAATTTTTGCATGCCCTGAATTTGGGCGATGTAGTATTTGTCGCTGAAAGCTTGCGACGAGGTCGGAGGGGGTGCCGACGATAGCGGATCGTCGACGAAGGTCTCGAGCAATTCTTCGAATGCCTGGCGTACTTTTTCGCCCGCAACGTCGACTACCGGAGGAGGTCCTGGCAGGTAGGGATTTCGGAGTCGGCTGGTGGTCGACGTGCCGTTCTCGGGGACCTGATCATCTGGAAAGGCATGCGCATCGCTCATGGGACCATTGCTTTCGGACGGGGGCTGCGGCCGCGAGCTGGGGAGCTGGTCGGAATGGAGGCGATAATCACGAGGCCCGGTCGTCGAGCCCAGCTCGGACTGCAGGACGGCGTCAAAGAGGGACGACATGGTGGGACGAAGTGCGGCCAACAAACGGCCGCTGAGGGTGATAGAGTAGGCGAAGTGGTGAGATAGGATAGGTTTGGTCTGCGACGAAGGAATGGACGGGAGGGGTTTGTTTGTCGCAATTAAGCAGGCGGGGGTTGATTTCGGGATGGGTGGGATTTCCCGTTGCTGGGGAAGGGAGGAGTTTGGCGATAATCGCTCTTTTGCTCTTTTTGCTCTTTTTTGAGTGGGACGCGTACAGAACGCGAACGCGTCGGAGAAAGGTTCCTGCGACATCCGACGCGTTAAGTGGTTTTCCTCCTGCTTACTTCAGCGGTGAGTGCGCACGGACACCTCCGCCAACTTGCCATGTTGCCAGGATGAACCCTGCCAGTGCATGCAGGCTAGCCGCATCTGGGCAAAGGTCCTCGAGCCCTCCGGCCAAACGACCAAGCGGATCCTTTCCCAGCCAATGACTCGCTTCCTCAGCCATTGATAAACTTTCGGAGTCAAATCCACGGGGGTTGCACTAGTCCCAATGGAGCTGCTGGTTGAGAACTAGAGGTCGGGGTCGTGCTAGGTTGATAAGTGCTAACTGTATCTGCTACCTGCTACTTGACACTTATGCGCCTTGCCCCCCCGTACTGTACGGTACAGTGGCACTCGCCCTTTGGAGTAGATAAGCTTGCTCTCCCCGGCCATGTCTCAATCTGACTACCTTCTCTGCCTAACCGGCTCAAAAGTCGCCGTTTTGTCTTCAAGCCACGGTCCTGCAATGACGCCCTCAATGCAATTGTCGTATTCATTGGCGCCTTCCTCCTGATCGTGACCTCGACATGCTGTCCTGAGGGCCCCTTCTGCCGCCCCCCCCCTCTCCTCCGATTAGTCAGTCGAATCGCATCGCAGAGAGTTCCTCTGCCCATCTAGCAATGTCTGCGGGCAGTCACCCTTCGGCTGAGTTGACACATTCCGAAGCGGCTTCTGATGCGTCTTCACGACTATCCGGGCAAGGTCGGTGGCATTGGCCCCTAATTCTTATGGCTGTCTCCCCTGTTCTCGTCCACCCCAAACTGACCAGTCATTTCGTGCGATAGGTTCGCCTGACGAGGCTCATCAGAGTCCCGTCAAAATAAAAAGACGAAAATACCCTTCTTCATCAGAGAATAATTCCGCCAAAAACCAACTTTTCTACTTTGTCGACTCCAACTCCTCGTCCCGGGAAAAGCGAGCACATGTAATGCGCCACCATGTTCAGGAGAAACGCAGACAGCGCAAGCATTCCCATCCCCGCAGAGACCTTCTCGGACGTTCGCTTCACTATTTCCCCTGGCAACATAAAACATTGGACTTGGAGGACGAGGACTTTGACTTCAACGAGCCCGTCGGACCTCGGGAAAGCCCAGATCGGATTGAGTCGGTGGCGGACGACAAGGCCTTGGTATGTGAAACCGCCATTCCCGTCGTCGCATTGATTCGCAATTGCCGATGACAATGCCATTGAACAATGTCTATTGATTATGATCGATGTCCGTCTGATTCAATCTTCAACTGCTAATCCTGTTGGGTCACAGGTCCCCGCCGGGTTTCCGATGCTGAAATCCGCTTCCTTCCCCACAGATGACCCACGTCCCGTCTCGCCCGTCAGTTTACTCGATGCCTCCAGAAAAGATCCTTTCGACAGTTATCCCGTTTTCTGCTCCAAAGCCGATCTTGAACTGGCCGACTATTGGACCAACCGACTCACTTACTGGTCTGGCCAGAATAAATATGTAAAAAATCAGATCTTCCGCACAGCAATGAGCCATTCGCTAGCATTCCAAGCTGTTATTCTCTCATATTGCGCCCGCTGGAAACTTCAGTTGTATAACTTATCAAGCAGTAACGAAGCCGACACTCATGTGAAACAGGTAACAAGCGATATCGACAAGGCTTTAACGGGATCCTTCCCCATTAACGCAGACAGCCTTGCCATGGCCATGACGGGGATGGCGCTCCAGGAAGAGCGCTTCGGGACGAAAGAGAAAGCCAGAGGATATGCGGACCAGGCCGTCCAAATCCTGCGGTCCCGAGCGGGGGCCAGCAACGCCGTCGAGGTCTTCTTACACTTCGTGCGATACCTTATGATCCCGCCTCCAAATCCCTCCGGAGGCGACGAGAATCAGCAATGGCTTACCACGTTTCTTCGCGGCGCAGAAGAGCTCATGTTGGAGCACAACACAAGAGCATATCTTTCCTCCGTTCCTCAGCGCCATTCTGCTTTTCAAATGGATAGCCCTCTATTTCCTTTACTCTCCAGCGGACCGCGCCCTTCTCAGATCCCCGAAGATTCACGCATGTACGTTGTCCGGAATGCGCCAACCCAGGAACTCACCCGCACCGCGGCTTTGATTTATATCACGGCAACGCTCTGGGATTTCCAAGATTCTCCAAGCAAGACCGGACGCTTCCTCAACCATCTCTGCACCATCGCCAAAGACCACGAACTCGATCGACACCCGGCCTGCGAGACTTTTATCTGGTTGCTATTAGAGGAGAGCTATGATCTGGACTTGAAAGATCCCGAGCGAGGCTGGTCCACCGGCGAGTTGTTGAAGATGCACAAACAGCTGCGACCGGATCTACAGTTCCAGTTCAACGAGATTCTCTTTAGTTTGCTAATGCTCCTGCCTCCCATTCGAGGCATCGACACATTCGAGGAGGAAATCTGTTCGGCATCCGACACGTCCGACCTCTGAACGACACCCCAAAAGCGCAGCGCATTGTCTACCCTCAGCAATTTTTCTTTCTCTTTACTTGGCACGACACGCACAATTCAGCGGTAACAACTAAGCGGTTTGCAGGCAGCCGTATTACAATACACTTCTCTGTCTTGCATGATTGAACCAACTCGGTGCATTTGTACATAGTAGCACTAGTTTTTAGACCGTGAATAAATTAATGGATGACCCTGTTTTTCTTACTCAATTTCAGCTCGTTTATTTGTTTGCTTATTCTAATCTACAGTGCACTGTGTACAGTACGGTGTACTGTATGTGCTATATGCATACGCCGTAAATCTCAAATGAATCTCAGTCTCACCCCCCTTTCCCTCGTCCCTCCCCCCACAAACAAACACGTCTTCGAATTCTCATTGGCCTCGACGCACGGGGATGCGAGACTCGAGGCCCGATATGCGATCGACCTGCATCCGTCTCCCGCGACACAGCATATGGCAGGTCTCGATGCGGTGCGGTGGGCCTGCGGATAGACACGCAGCTTTCCATTTTTATTTTTATTTTTTCTTTCTAATTCGGCTCGACCCCTTGAGTGGATATCTGCATGAGTAAAAAAGTACCGAATGGACACGTTGACCAATAAGCACGATCTTGTCGGCCTTTCTGACTCGAGGGGTGGGGTTCCAGCTGGATCGTTTCCCGTATTCCGGTAAGGGAGCTAGACCTTAGATGAGCCTGGTGAGGGAGTAGGTATGTGTCGGTCGGGGTTTGGGGTTTTGCGCCCCGGCACTAGGTACGGTGTATGTCTCACTGGTGAAACGCGTGGATCAAAAAGTACTGTCTCGGATGGGGTTTGGGTTTGGGCTTTTTACCTAGAAAGGGGGGAGGGGTTGTTTATGGTAGATTTGTTCTACAGGGATGGGGGTTGCTTGGCGGTTGGTGTTTTATTTGTTGGTTCCAATAAGTAGGTAAGGACACTTCTTCAAAGTGTACTTATGCGTAGGATACTCTGGTCAATACTGCAGGAAAAGTCGGCCTATCTAAAAGGCCTTGGAGGAGTAAGCAAACAACCAAATGCTTGGTAGCTTGCCTCAGGCATTCAAAGGCCAACATACTGCCCCAAGCTGGCAACCATGAAAGCATACAGACTTCCTACATAAGCAATTTTCTTGCGACAAAGGAGGTCACCAAGACAATAAAATGCTCGGTAGGGACTAATCCCTATACCGGCTGCTTCAGCCCCTCGCTAAGGCCTTAAATCGGTCAAGATGGGTCCTATACCGCTTACCCCCTTCGCTAGAGATACGGTGTACATGATCTTGAACGAGATAGATCAGATGAATAGTATTATTCTCTTTATTTTCGCTCAAAGCTCATATCACCGGTTTGTTTCATTCTTGGATGTAGTGTATTCTCTAGAACATAACGAACCCTGTTATATATTCCAACATGATCGACCCCAGCCTGGTTGGTTAGTTCGCTCAGGGCATCGAATCAGACAATCCAAATGAGCACAATACCGAATGCCCCAGGAGTAGACATTGACAATGAGACCAGAGAAGGAAATTCAAATCGCTTAGTCCATACCATGATTGCGGAAGTTTAGCTCGCAATCGCCGGACAAGGAAGGCCCTGGTCAGAAGCACTCTTGGCGTTTCCCTACGGCGGATAGCAGCGGCCATGTTGAAAAAACGCTGATTCTCACTAAGGACGTTCACCGATCTCTTTACCGTTCTCGCTTAAAATGTCTTGAAGCCTTTATTTGAATATTGTGTGTTCTTATTTTGATTATTTAAAATATCTTGTTTTTTTGATTCATAAACACTGTTTAGTCGTCTGACAGAACATTGTAGACCCATTGAGATCGATGCGAGGTTGGAATATCGATGTTCATGACAAAAAAAAGATTCAGCGGCGCGACGTTGTGATTGTTTAACACGGAATAAACGAGGCCCAATTCATCAAATCAATCGTAAGTGGAGTTAAGATCGCGCAGCACAGAAAATTGATTGATTATTCAAATATTATGAATCAATACATCATTCGTGTAAAACGTGAAAACCGAATTCAGCGCCGCGACAATTATTATCATGCTAATCTTTAATTGCGCGGACGAATCGTCGTGCAATTCGACTAATAAATATAATTGAAATGTCTGTGTACAACATCTAAACAAGACTTTGCATTTTTATGTGGTGTTCAGGATTAATAGCCACAAAGTGAAACCAAGTAAGTTACATATTAACATATGTATAGTTTCATAATAGAACGAATTAATGACTTTTTATTCTGCCGGCAAATCCATTATAGGATGTTGCTAATTTTAGTAACAAATTGCGTTTTTTCAACATGGCCGCTGCTATCCGCCGTATTTCCCCTTTCCTGCACGATGGAAGTGTCATCGTGAGCTGTAACCAGGCAATAAGAGATCAGGAAGTTAGGAACCAGTCCGAGGGAATAAGCTCGGTTGCAAGAACGAGTCTCAAAATTAGGAACAACAAACTAAACATAGACAAGATAACATGAATCGTAAGAAACCCCACCCCCCCCCCCCAATCTTCATGAAGTCACTACGGTTCCACCCCGGCCGAATTCACAATCGCAAGGAGGCAAGGGGAGCGAGAATGATATCACGCCCATGTGGTTTTCCACGGGAGAAGTCAATAAATTGGGGATGGAGCTGTGGCTTGCCGGGTAATTGCCTAATGTATGAGATAGAGCCGATCGACCCATCAAACAATTGCCCTCCAGACCAGAACGGGGGACCGAGACGGTCCTGCCGCTGCCCTGTCAGTTGATAGATCAGAAGATGAACATAACGCGAGGATGTAAGCGTCATGGATGCTGTCATCGTTTCAGGGACCATGGATTACCCCTGTGGAGATGGACATGGAGATGGGGAGATGGACCGGATGGCTGGGCACATCGCAGTCGGGTCAGGTGCAGACCCGTTCGTGGGGAGGAGGGGAAGAACGGGGAGATAGGGCTGGCGAAGTGAGAGGAAAGACTCAATCTAATTGATCCATTTGGGCTTTAGAATTGGCCCAAACTTCAATGTTTTTGCGTGACAGCCGGATGGGGAGATTGAATGATTGATGATTGATGATTGATTGCCGTGGCTGGGATTCTTAGACGGGAGAGGCGCCGATCATCATATGATTGGATCTGCACCGTCGACAGGCTCCCTCCCAATCCCGTGGCAAACCTGGGCCTTTCGTGTTGTCAAACTGTGTACACCGGTGTATGTTCGATGCTGTGCCACGGAGGAAAACATGCAGGCTGGCAGACATGACGCCGCTGGTGATGCGGACCGTCGAATGGACCTACGGATGTGGTCTTTTTGAGTTTTCGACGGATTTGACCCCAAATGCGAAGGTCGCGTCATCCAGGATGCTGTCCGGATCAGCTTCAGTCCAGAGTTGACGACGGAGTGACGGATGAACGCCACTTGCTTCAGGTGTCGGGGGCGCTCGTACCCAGGTACCATAAAGGTACCGTCGTCCCAGGGTCACAGCCTGCTATTTGCCACCCAGCACAGGTACCTCCCATGTACCGGGTACCTCGTCGTACCTCATCCTTACGTAACGGCGCTTCATGTGACGCTGCCAGCGCATCCACGGGAGATTTGGAGTGTTCGCTCGCCTACGGAGTCTTCCTCCTACCGTACGGAGTAGGAGTCTGCCAACACGATTCATTCGCAATACTCCCTCGTTCAGTTCATTGATCTTGATCTTGTCCAGCCACCCACGGTCAGCCACTGCCTTATCATCAACAATTAATTAACCAACTAACTAACTACGGATCCAATAGGGCCAGCACTGCCTCCGGTGGCTGAAGCGTCCTCATTTCAGACGGCAAATCCGAGATCGTCGGCCCTTATCGAACTAGTCAAAACAAAGTTGAAGGGGGATCGGGCATCGCCTGGGCCGGCCTCGTCATCGCATTCCATCTCCCGCTCTCTGGCGCTCTCTACCAAAGATCTCATCTTCCGATCCATGTCTGGTTCAACTCTGGACACGCCTCTGACTCGCTCTATCTCCCCGGTGGAGAGCATCCCTTCTTTTTTCCTCCTCTATTTTTCAATTTTTTTCAACACTAGTTCCTACTAGCTCTCCTTCAAAGTAGCTATCCTAGTCGCAACAAGCCAACGAGGAATTTTCCTACGGAACCATTCTCCTGGTCGTCCATTCATTTTCGCCAGAAAAGCCCCAATTGGCATGTTCGCTTGGCGCCTTTGAGTTTTTGGGTTTCGGTGACCAAAGATTAACAACATTATTGAACGATAAAAAAAAATATCCAAAAAGGAAAAAGAGCAGAGGGCATCCACCCAGATATCGCAACCCCTCTCTCCCTTTAAGCTTTGAGTCCCTTGAACTCTTCGTCACTCTCTCTTTTATTTCTTTTTCTTCTTTCCCTTTCCTCCCTCCAAACCTGGGGTTGATTCATTCTTTAATTGGGTTTATCATAGCCCTCGATCGTCGCCTTGATCATAAATCTTTCATTCTCCCCCCTTTTTTCGGGATTCCCGCAGATTCTGCCCCGGTCGGCGAAGCTCCAATCCCGAAACAACTGCTGGCTGCACGTGATAACCGGCTCGTATCTCGATCCCTGAATAAAACTCCCATCAGAAGGGCAAACGATCGAAGCAAGATTCACCTACGCTGTGAGGGAACGGGTCAATCTGATCCACCATCACAATGGGAATATATGATGCTGGCCTAACGGGCCTCCATCACATCCACCAACTGACCCGCCGCGCTGTAAGCTCCCTTTACGTGCCCTCCAATCAGCTGCGATCGCATCACCCTCGAAAGAAAAAGAAAAGAAACAAAGTTCTTAACTAAAGTTGTTGCAGGATGACAACCCGCAGGATACGTCCAACTCGGCCTCGGGATTGGTCGTCACCTTGGTCCCGTCCTTGGTGGTGGCCGTCGCGATGGTCCTGGTGTTTGTGATTCTGCGTCGCAGTGAGCACCGTATGTACATGCCGCGGACGTACCTGGGAGTGTTGCGCCCCGAAGAGCGAACGCCCCCTTCCTCTACTGGTCTGATTGGTTGGCTTCGTGATATGTATCAACTGCCCGACGAATATGTTCTGCAACATCATTCTATGGATGCCTACCTCCTGCTGCGCTTCTTGAAGACGGTTTCGATGATCTGCTTTGTGGGCGCCTGCATAACTTTCCCCATCCTCTTCCCTGTCAATGCGACCGGTGGCGGCAACAAGCAGCAATTGGACCTCTTGAGTATCGCCAATGTCTCGGATCAGACGTACGGCCGCTACTTTGCCCATGCTTTCGTCGCATGGCTGTTTGTTGGTAAGGCTTCCACCAAATCTCCCCGCCAAACCCTGGCATGGCTTTCTTGGGGCTAACACAATTGCCGTTCAGGATTTGTCTTCTTCACCGTCACCCGTGAAAGTCTTTTTTATATCAACTTGCGACAGGCCTACGCGCTTTCTCCGGCTTACGCCAACAAAATCTCGTCGCGAACCGTCTTATTTACCGCAGTCACCCAGGATTATCTGAGTCGCGACAAGATCCGCCGGATGTTTGGTCCCGCCAAGGTGCAAAATGTTTGGATTGCCACGGACACCAGTAAATTGGAAGAGAAGGTTGAAGAGCGCACCGATGCTGCCATGAAGCTCGAGGCTGCCGAGACCAAACTCATCACGCTTGCCAACGCCGCGCGCCTCAAGGCTTTGAAGAAGCAGGGCAACGTGGAAGACGGCCCAATCGTTCCCGAGAACATCGGAGAAGATCCTGATGATGAATCAGGCTCTGTTGCTGCTCGCTGGATCAAGCCGAAGGACAGACCTACTCACAGACTCAAGATGCTCATCGGCAAGAAGGTGGACACGATCAATTGGGCTCGTGCTGAAATCGAGCGTCTCAACCCCGAGATTGAGGAACTGCAAGAGAAGCACCGTGCCGGAGACGCGAAACTAGTCTCTTCCGTCTTTGTCGAATTCTACCACCAGTCGGATGCTCAAGCCGCTTTTCAGTCCGGTATGGTTCCCCATCTGTTTCTCCACACCCCTCAGAAGAATTATCATGCATTGATTTGGAACTAAAACATGAATCTAGTTGCTCATAACCTTCCCTTGCATATGGCCCCGCGATATATTGGTCTCGAACCCACCCAGGTCATCTGGTCCAACCTGCGTATCAAGTGGTGGGAGCGCATTATTCGGCATTCCGCGACCATCGCTTTTGTTGTCGCGTTGATTGTTTTCTGGGCAATTCCTACGGCTGTTGTCGGTGCTATCTCCAACATCAACTTCTTGACGGACAAGGTCAAGTTCCTTTCGTTCATTGATAACTGTCCGGACTGGCTCAAGGGTGCTATCACATCTCTTCTTCCGGTTATCTTGATGTCGGTACTCATGGCCCTGTTGCCTATCATTCTTCGATGTAAGTCAATCCTGTCCCATATACATGGGAGGCTTTCTTGCTGACCCCGGTCTTCGATAGTGATGGCAAAGCTTGGAGGCGCACCTAGCCAGGCTGAGATCGAACTGACCACTCAGAACTTCTATTTCGCATTCCAAGTGGTTCAAGTCTTCCTCGTTGTTACCCTTGCCTCGTCAGCCAGTTCGGTGGCCACTAAGATTGTGCAACAACCTCAAGAGGCTGCTTCATTGCTGGCCAACAACATCCCCAAAGTCTCGAACTTCTACATCACTTATATCCTTTTGCAAGGGCTGTCCTTCAGTTCGGGCGCGTTGCTTCAGATCAGCGGACTGGTTCTTGGTAAAATCCTCGGAAAGTTCTTGGACAACACTCCCCGTAAAATGTACACTCGCTGGTCCACCTTGGCCGGGCTGGGATGGGGAACCGTGTACCCAGTTTTCACTCTTCTGGCTGTCATTGGTAAGATCCTGAACACCAATTTCTCCTTAATATTCTACTGACCTGGACTCGGAATGCAGCCATTACTTACTCTTGTATCGCTCCCCTGGTTATGGGTTTTGCCACCATTGGTCTCTATCTCTTTTACTTTGCCTACCGCTACAACATGCTTTACGTTTCAAATGCGCACATCGACACGCAGGGCAAGGCATACGTCCGCGCCTTGCAGCACATCACAGTCGGCTGCTACCTTTTGATGGTTTGCTTGATCGGTTTGTTTGCCATTGGAACCGCTAGCAGCAGAATTGCGCTGGGTCCCTTGATCCTCATGATCATCCTTCTGGTCTTCATTATCATCTACCACCTGTCCCTCAATAGCGCGCTCACCCCTCTGATCAACTACCTGCCCAAGAACCTTGAGGCTGAGGAGGAACATCTCCTATCGCGCGAGAAGGCCGACTTTGGCCACTCCTCCGATGAAGCGGGACCGAGCGGCCCCGGACCGCGCGAGGGTGAAAATGGTGTGGAGACGGTCGATTCTGCCGAGAAGGGATTGACCGGCGAGGCGTCTCAGGAGGAAGGCAAAACCAACTTCCTGGTCCGGTACCTTCGACCCGACAAGTACAGTGGATACGAACAACTTCGACGCTGGGTTCCCAACGCCCACGAGTCTGCCAGCTATCCTCCCGAAGTTGAAAGCGCGGCATACCACCACCCAGCAATCAGCGCCCAGGCACCTCTTCTCTGGATTCCCCGCGATGAGCTGGGCGTGAGCAAGCAGGAAATCGCGCACTCGATCAAGGTGATTCCCATCACGGACGAGGATGCTTGGCTGGACGAGAAGAACCACATCCACTGGGATATGGACAAGGGTGTCCCGCCCATCTACGAAGAGAAGGTTCACTATTAGGCTCCCCATAGTCTGTTCCGTTTCTCTGCACTCGCGTCTCATGAGATCCAATCATGAGGCCCCAGTCTACGAAGTCCTAGTCCACGGGGTGCATCAGAAAGGAGGTGAATCGCATGTATGGACTATATAATTTTTTTTTGATACCCGCATGATGGTGATGTAATGTATTGGATACTATGAGATATGTGGGGTAATTAACTAATGTTGATTGCTATATATTAACTCCATCTGCTCTGTCGAGGAAGGCCCAGCTCGGCTTTCCTTCGTGAGAGATGGTTTGAATGTTTCTAGATGCAAATCTACGTTATTCAATGTAATAAGATGAATGTTCTTGACAGGCCTCTGATTGCTCGTGTGCGCAGCTCACTAATTATACATCGGATGTGATGGACTCGTCGCAATGCTAGCTAGCCTGTTGTTTTCTCCTTTTGAGCACCTTCGTTATGTGTCCCACCATCTTCTCGTATTACCCCAGCCGCATCTGGTGAACCTTTCTCGATATGGCGGTTCCTCTTTCTTCCGGCCTCACTGTCGATGTCCCCTCTTTGCTACCGGTCATGTTGTCGAAAGTTCCTTTCTCGGCAAAAGGAACTGATTGAGCACCTCGACACAGACGGCACAGAGAAGACTCAGACCACTCTGGCACAATGGCGCAGATCATTAGCATCCAGAACGATATCCGCTTCCTGTCCCTGACGGGGGCGATCAAAGAGGGTCTCAAAATTGAGGACCAGGGGAGCCCCAGTGACTGAAGCGGCGGTTATCATGATCTCTTGCGCACAGAAGGGTTGTTGGGAGGCGGCGGGCTGTTGCACACGAGGAGGGGGCTGATTGCTGAGTTGGTTTCGCAAAAATCTGGTGATTGGACGTGGTGTACCTGGGGGAGCCAACTGCCACTTTTCCACAAGGGCTCGGTGCTGACGACGCGAGATGGAAACGACAAGAACAAAGCGAGTCTGACCGGAGGAATTATGAAACCACCAGTGAGCATCTTCTCGCAATTTTGGCAAAGACTCGGAAACTCCTGTCTCAACAACAAGAGTGGGCCAGCCGTGTGCGTGGTTGGGCCCGCCCTGCCTCGATGGAGGCCAAAAGCAGTCGTCGGGCTGTTTCCCTTTATTGCCAACGGAGGATTTGTGGGTGGTTGTGTTTCCGAACATTATGCTATCTCTGGAAATGCCCATTTGGGAGCGGAGCTTATAGCCGACTTCCTCTGTAATCGATCTGGTGGTCACGTCATGTTGCAGAGTTGGGATCACTTTTATCAATGCTGTGGTGCCCTCCCACATAAACCGAAATGTGATGCCCCCAAGGCACTCTTTGCCGTTGTCAAGTCGCTGGCGAGCTGATTCAGTAATGCCCAAGACAACGAGAAATTGATTTCCGCCCTCGTTCCTGGTTAGCTGATCAAGCACATGTTCTGCTGCGCTCTTGATTTGGGCCATATGACGAAAGTCAAGAAGTGCATAGTTCGAAGGAAGACCGCTCATCAGTCCGTGTTGCTCCATGACTTGCCGGTTGCGGGGAGATGCAAGTGACTGTACTGATTCATCAGAGTCTGTTCGGACAGCTGCCATGCTTGCATATTCTAAGGGCCTGGAGTGAGGATAGGCATGGGATAGAATTAGAAAGGACTAGGCAAGAGGTGCAAAGGGGAGCGAAGTGAGAGGACAAAGAAAGAGAAGGTGAGACGCTTATTTCGAACGGAGGGGACATTCATTCACTAAGTAATCAGTCATTTACTTTACCTAGAAGATAGACTGCCCACAAAAATTCGCAGTAGTCAGGTGAATCTTGAGTTTCTTGACAATGTATACTGGTAGTAACATTCACTTAACTTTTGTCACAACGCTACTGAAGTTCTCAAGATGATATCATAATGATGAGAGCTTGGCAAGGACTTCTGCAAGGAAAAAATTAGTATTAGACATCAACATCACCTGGTTTTACATGTAGCTTTCGAGGACCGCTGGGTGTCTACTTCAAGGTTGGTCACGTGTGCACTAACCGCATGGGGACTAGACCGAGGCCAGAAGTGAGGGCCATTGAAGGCGTATCCATGTGAACAGTTCTATTGTAGCTAGTGCAGGAAGACTGTGTCGACTTGAGCTGAAAGAAACAAGATAGAATGGTGTCTTATCATGAACAACAACTGTCATCGTCGCATGACTAGTACTATCTCACGTTCTTTCTTGCATAGGTACAGAAAAAAGCAGGCGGTGAGAAAGACTAGACTCTTTTCGTCCGTTCATCACCGGCAATTCATCATCTTGCATCCATCTCCATCTCTCTACAATCCGTACATAATCCCCTGACCAAACATGGACCAGCGCGAAAAACGAAAGCTGGATGACTCGGCCACTGACGGGCATAGCACCGCCACTGACAAACGCCCCAGGGTGATTGGCCCCTCACTACCCCCACCATCAGACGCCCCGACGGCGCAAGACGACAGCGCCTCCAACTCCGACTCAGAGAGCAGTGATAACGATGACTTCGGACCCGGCCTGCCGCCACCAGAAGGTTCGGGCCCTGCGGCAGCCGAAACCAGCAGCTACGGTCCAACCATCCCCGCGTCGTCGTCAACCGAGCAGCCAGATGACGCAGGGAATGCGGCCTCCCGGCGCGACGACTGGATGCTTCAACCGCCTGACGACTCGAGCTGGGCGACGCGAGTCGACCCGACGAAGCTCCGGAACCGGAAGTTCCAGAGCGGGAAGCCTGGCTCGAGTCGTCCTTCTGCGCCGGGCGGCGGGGTGGATGCCTCGTGGACGGAAACGCCAGAGCAGAAGATGAGACGGCTGCAGGACGAGGTGCTGGGTGTTTCGACGGCGCCGGCGGGGTCGGGGCCGAGGAAGGAGGATGAGGGGGATTCGAAGAGGTCGAAGGTGATGTCGGAGAGGGTTGAGAAGTTCAATGTATGTTTGTCCTCACCTTTCTTCCCTCTGTTTTAAGACCGCGGTTGAGCCGTTTGCCCGGTTGGACTGAATTACTATGCTTTGGATGGTGGATTCGGGTGCTAAGAATATACAGGAAGCGCGACGGAAAGAGAAGGCCGCGGAGGGGGCGGCGCGCAAGGAGAAGAAGAAAGAAGAGGACGATGATCCTAGTCAACGAGCCTTTGACAAGGAGAAGGATATGTCGCTGGGATCTAAGATTAGTGCGTCGCAGCGGAGGGAGATGATTGATAAAGCGTCAGATTTCGGGTCCAGGTTTACGAAGGGGAAGTATCTTTGATTTTTGTTGCCATGGCGTGGTTTCCATTTATACTCTGTGGACGAGAGGGCTGAGTGTGTTATAACTGGATTGCTTTTGTGTTGATACCGAATTCTTGGGTGATTTGTCCATTTTTCTTTGAATCTAGAATTGGGGTTAAGTTTGTGATATTGGTCTATTAGTTGGGGTTATTTTATATTGATTGGAGAAGCGAAGGATGTCTTGTATCGGCCCTAGACGTATGCAGAACCATGGATCAGGAGGTCTACATTGCGATGAGAACAATATAGTAACTGTAGTGTCTTTGACAGAAGTATGTGTTTTCACATCTTGAGTTAAGCACTGACTCGTAGGTAACGGAATAATTGAAGGGTCGATGCCCAGAGAATCAAATACACAACTGAATAGCGTACTTCTGGCTAAGAACCAACAGGGCTGACTTTGCATGGGCTTTTTAGGAGTCGCGAATAACTTCTGTAGATGTAAGTGGCGTTCTTTACGTTATTGTTCCATGTTGCTAGTATAGACAAAGATAACAGGCGGTCTAATAGTACAACCAATCACTATAAAGTTTTCAGTTTTGCATTCACAAGAAGATGCTTTCCTCTGTCATCGAAGCCTTGGTCTCCTTGATAGGCATTCTTTTTACAATCGCCGCTTTAACCTCACCAATACTGTCCAGCAATTCGACTCCATATTTTTTGCACACGATCTGCACATTCCCCCTCTTCCAGTATCCCTTAGGGCAGACGGCGATTGCTTTCCCCTGGAACCTTCGCGCAGAGCCCAAACTCCATCAAGCTGACAGGCGCCTGAGTAGCCGGATGGAAGTAAATGATGACGATGTCGGCTTTCTCTTGTCGGTCGAGTTCCCACTCTACTTGCTCACGGTACGGAGCAAAGTCGATGTCCTCGCGCCACGAGCTATCCCAATCAGGGCGGAAGGTATTGTATATTGTCACACTCAGGTCGGAAAGGGAAGTGGATAGAGTCTCACGCCAGTCTTGCGTGTCGACATCCTTAGTAGCGGTTCCGGCAAGAAAAATGGACATCATGGAGCGTGGTGGTTCTTTCGAAGGCGCGTAGATGATTTGACTCTGCTTTGGAGCCATGTTCAAGGACGTATGCAGAGATTTTCTTGGTGGCTGTTTGAGAAGAGGAAGAAAGCGAGGCATTGTTGCAGAAGAGGGGATTCCGTGCGGGGTACAAGTCACGTTGCGAAGTGTCTGGACTTTCCTTGTGAACCGAGACATGTTGCGATGGATGATACAACAGTCCTAGTATTGGAGCGAGAATCCACCTATGAACTGCGCACGGAGGATTTCCCCACGTGGTCAGCATCTTCCCTGCATAGTGTGCATTCGTGCTTAATAGTATGCATGACCCCTACCTAGTACTCGTGCTATACTAAATCAACAATGATATTACCTTGTCTTGCGAAGTCGTCCTCGCTCGCCCCTATTCAACACAATTCGTCTCATCTCATCACATCTAATCCACCCATCCTTCAAAATGTTGATTACAGCCCGTCATTACACAAGGCTGTACGATGCGATGCTTGTCAGCTCATCGCATCGTATTGATTTCTCGCCGAAACCGTGCCGCCCCGCGCCGACCCTTTATGCCCCGAAACCAATCCTCGTAACTCGACCTTGGGTCATAAGTCCCGACGGATACGGCGTCAAATCTCCGTGTCCTACGGACCCTGGAGCTTCTGCGATTTCGATTATCCCTATAAATATGCGACACGTGGGAGAGAGCTAGAAGATGCCACCTGACCTGATTCGACCTCGACACGATTCCTTTGTTACTTGAGGCTCAGAATGGACTCGTACCAGAATTTCTTCTTCGAGGTGCCTTCGGTTTCTGTCGCGGCAAAGATCAGTCTTGGATTGTCTACGCTGGTCGTCGCGTTGGTGATATTTTTGGTTGCACCGAGGGTAGTGCTAAATAGCGTTGCAGATGTGAGTTCTTGCGTCACTTCTGTATCACTGACGGGGATGAAACACTTTTGAATCAAAGAAACTGACCGGTGTATCTTGGTGAAGGGCATTCTATCGACCATCTATCGCATTCCTACGACGGATAGGAAGAGATCAATACCAGGGCCAGCATATACCTTCCCCAATGGCCAAATGATCGATAAGTTCCTGGCAGCGAAAGCGAAGAGCTGGGAATGGGAGGAGAAATATGGCAAGACGTATCGCATTTGGGCAGCGAGTATTCCGGAAGTGTATGTTCTATCTACAATATACTGGCCCACATGTCCATCTCCTCTTTGATCGTCCTCGGTATGTTAGAAGCGTGATACTAACTATTAGCAGAGTCATCACAGATCCCAAAGACGTCGAAACCCTCTACCAAGATTCCGCAGACCACAACAAGGCGCACCAAGCAAATGCCGGCTGGCTACTCACCCAACTCCTCGGATCCGGTCTGGGTCTCATAAATGCACCCCGCTGGAATGTGCTCCGCAAGACCCTGGACCCGATGTTCTCCCATCGCACTGCCGTACGTTTCTTGCACGAGAGTCTCTACAGGGGGGCCGAGGAATACGTCGCGGGAATCCATCGGTTCGCACTGCCAGTGTCCAACCAGGAATCAAAGCACCAAAAGGGTGTCGTGATAAACGCGACGCAGGCATTACAGCGATATCCGTTCTTCGAGGTCGCGTCGATGTTCTACGGGAAGATGAGCGACGAGGAGCAAGAACGGCTGTGGGATCTGGGTCGTCGGTATTCGCAAGTTTTTGCGGCCATCGTGGCGGGCGGGATCCATCGGACCAAGTTTACTAAGTATCTTGGGACGAATGCGTATCAGGATGCGCGGGAGTATCAGCGTTTGTGGAAGAGTTTCAACGCCGATGTGTATGGGGCTAGGAAGAGTAGTGCGCCTGAGACGCCCATCGTGCTACTGATGGAGGCGGCAGAGCGAGGCCAGCTGACGGGGAACGAGGTATGCAACTTACTGTTTGATAGCTCTTCGTTTTAGTCTGGACTAACATCCATGGTTTGCTCCAGGTGACAGATACTATTGCGGAGTCGACCTTTGCGAACTTGGATATCGTCACGCATGTGATTTCTTCCTGTATTATTCTCTTGGCAGACTCGCAAGAAGTCCAAGATGACTTGTTGGCGGAAATGCAGAGCAATCAGAAGGGAAAAGAGGAATACATCGCTCGGAAGGATACCCTGCTTCATTATTGCCTTCTAGAGTCCCTTCGTCTGCGACCGGTTCTATGTGAGTATCACAGGATCATACCAAGATCATTTATTCCAGAGATACTGTATACTAACTGCTCCTACAAGCATTCACCTTTCCCGAGAACCCTCCCCGAGAAAAGATCCTAGGCAACTTCATCGTCCCCAAAGATACCACAGTCATCGTGGATGCCTTTGCTATTAACATCCGGAACCCCTTCTGGGGCCCTGATAATCGTGCATATCGCCCCAGTCGGTTCGAGGGAATCAAGCAGAGCCAGGTAGGAGCAATGCCAGTCAAGCGATCTAAATGAAATCAATCTAACCGATATCTAGCTGCGATATAACCTCGCTACATTCGGCTACGGACCGAGAAAGTGTCTTGGGCAGCATATTGCCGATAAGATCATCAAGTCGGTCGTATTTCACCTCTTCAGCAAGTATCGGGTATCACTTCAACCGATGCAGGCGATTGAGGGGGATTTCAAGGTTGATAAGACGAGCTGGGTGGCGTTGTATGATGTGGATTTGAGATTGGAGGAGAGGGCGGAGGCGGCTGGGGAGGTGAGAGATTCCTGAGCATTGTAGGAGATTTCTCTGAAGCAGGATTTGAAGATAAGGTTACGACTCCAAAGCAATAGGCTGTCTCTTAGATTCGGCTCGCGAAAGGCCTAGGTAGAATGAACGTTGAAGTTTATGACCAATTTCTTTGTTTACGATCCCAGGTAATAACTAAGGCGACGTCCAATTAATTCCAAACGAGTTCCCGAATTGAAAGATTCTTCAGATAACACCATGGAATGAGGTGAGCTCGGCCCAACGGCATGTAAAAGTCCATGCGAAGGGCAAATCGGCGAATAAATAGCACTGATGCCGCCGTGCACCGAAGCCGAGTCAGCCAAAATGCGGGACAGTGACAATGTATGTAGAGTGGCACATGAAATTGAAACGAGATGCAATTCCCTAACAAAAAAAAAGTCAATCTACGCTAAAAATCCAGAATGGCCGGAAATATTAAAGCAGAGCTAAGCACTCGCCTGTCCGCATCCAATGTGATTGTGGAGGGCGATGAGGCATGGGAAGATGCCCTCAAGCGGTGGACGAAGTATCGATCAAAAGTCCCTGCTGCAGTGATTCAACCAACTAGCGAGGAGGATGTGATAACAGCGGTGAGAAAGTCAGCTACCAATATGCTTTCGACTGCTAACTTTATCTGGAGGTTTCTTATGCCGTGCAAAGCGACAGACCGTTTGTGGTTAAAGGCGGAGGCCACAGCAATGGATTCTCGACTATCGACAGTCCTGGGGTTGTGATCGACCTTTCTAAGATGCGTGAAGTCAATGTTGACGTTGAGAACCTGCTGGTGACTGCGCAAGGAGGAGCAACCATGGGCGATGGAATCAAGGCCGCCGGGGCAGCTGGGCTAGCTATTGCTACTGGAACGTGCAACGAGGTGGGACTGGTAAGAGATAAACCGACCCTAGTTTCTCTAACAGTCTTCCTAATGGTAATATGAATAGATTGGCGCCACGCTCGGAGGAGGCATTGGCCGATTCCTTGGGCTTTGGGGATATGCCATAGACACTGTCGTCTCCATGCGGGTCATCGTGGTGGATCAAAGCGGCACGGCCCGCGCAGTTGAAGCATCACGCGAATTCAACCAGGATCTCTTCTGGGGACTGCGCGGTAGTGGTCATCTATTTGGAGTGGTGGTGCAGGCCACCTTTCGAGCACACCCGTGGCACCATGATACCTGGCACAGCTGTCTGGTCTTTAGTCCGGCGGATGCAGGGATCGTCGCAGAAGCAATAGACCGCGTCCACTATGAGGGAGGAATGCAAGGTCGGCTGGTATTCTGCGCACCAAATAAACAGGTAGGAAAGCCATAAAGCCCAGTAGGCAAGAATTGCAGGGCTGACTGATGAAATAGCCTGTCGTGCTTCTCCAGCTGTGGTATGTTGGACCACCCGAGGATGCCGCCAACAAGTTCGACACCCTCTTGTCGCTTCCCAGCATGAAAAAACACCCATTGAATTATGTTGGCCGTCTCATTCCGTACTCGAATCTCAACGATTCCAGTGACCGCATCTGCGGCTACGCTGGGCGAAAGAATCTGGCAGCATTCGGGATGAAGTCCATATCTGCTGACTCGTGCACTGCTGCGCTCAGAGTGTACATGAATTTCATCGACAGATATCCTGATGCTGCCCAGACACACATCTTGACTGAGTTCTATGGCATGGACGTGGCGAAACAGCTTGACTGCGACGGTCAGCAGACCTCTATGACCAGAGAGGCTCGGCAAGAGGTCAAATACTGGGTCATGCCATTGGCTTGGTACGAGGACCCTAATCTGGATGGACACTGTGCACGTCTTAATCTGGACATTCGCGAGGCATTTTTGACCCAGTCAGGAGGTGAGCGTCTCAATAGTGTAGGGTACGTTAATATGCCGTTTGAGGATGATACTGCACATAGCATTTTCGGCGAGGCAGAACGACTGGACAGACTTCGGGAGATGAAGGCAAAATGGGATCCTCTGGGAGTATTTCAAGGCTTGATAAGGTTTTGGTGATGATTGGGACATGGTTGAATATTAAATAATATGCTCGTGTAGAGACAAAGAAGACGCTTTTCTGCTTGGGGAGCCCAGGCCATGTGGGTCTGGGGATCGTCGCTGATGTGGATCTCCTGAATGCCATCTGCTTTAAAAATGCACTCGCATCTCTGGAACAATGCAAGGATGTAATCCCGGACTCTTTTCTTCATCCATTGACTCAATTGTATTGCTCCAGGAATTCATTTCCTCGCTAGTGCCTCCTTTAGGGTCGTAAAGCAGCCTCAGGCAAACTCTGAGTCAGCAGGATCAGGGCTATGTGCGCTAACCCCAACGCGGCTAGCGGATCACCGGTCTACAGGCATTCGCATTTCGCAGCTTCCTTTCGTATCTCGTTTCGCCTCTTTGCTCCTTCCAAGTCTCTTGCAGCTATCAAGTGAAGCCCTCGGTGCATGCAGTTTGAACCTGACCATCTGAAAGAGGACAGGAAACCCCCCCCACTCCCAGATCAGAGGACATTGATACCCTCCCGTCCATCGTTTGATGGACTCCACGAAGACCAACCCCACGCCGCTGCCTGGGGGCATTCAGAAAGGCCGTCAGCGAACCATCACTGCATGCCTGACATGTCGTCGTCGGAAAGTCAAGTGCGACCATGTGCAGCCAGTCTGTTCCCCATGTCAGCGAGGCAATCGAGTTTGCACATACGTGAATCCTCAAGTGTCGTCGCAGGCGCAGCCCCACTCGACGGCCAACCGTGTGTCGCGATCTAATCTGCGCTCCGGCCAAGATGAGATCAGAAGCCGTTTGGAGAGGTTGGAAAAGCTGCTGGAAAGGGCGATCGAGGGCGGTGTTAATGCTAACGCCCCACCGCCGACGGATGCGCAGGCTTCTGGTCCCGACGCGTCGCAGGATGGAGAGCAAAAAGGTGTCGCTAGCATTGCGATGCCAGACCGTGGGAACGAAACTTTGTCTGCTGATGGATACGATGGTGCCTTGCTACTAGAACCGGAAAGCGGCCAGTCACGGTGGGTCTCATCCCTGCACTACGCGCTGCTCGCGGACGAGGTATGATTGCCTGATACAGCCTGAGCTACCAGCGACCATGGCTAATTCGACTAGATTCACGATGTGAAAATGTTACTCGGGGACCAGGCTCGGAGCGTTCCTGGGGAAAGCCCATCCTCCGAACGGGATACCACTCCATTTCCGTTTTCCAACACCGGCGTTGACAGCCTTACGCCTTGGCTCCCCAGATCCGCAGAGGATTGCTTTGAATATCTAAAGATATTCTTCTCCAATGTTGATCCGATGACACGTCTGGTGCACAAACCTTCTCTCCGACGACGCATTGCGCTTTACGTCAACCAAACATACGCCATGAACCAGGACGCGGGCGAAGAAAGTGAAGAATCTGTGCCGGACCCCTCGATCCACTCATTTGAGCCCTTGGCCTTGGCTGTTTTCTATTCAGCTGTCAACAGCCTGCCACCAGAAACCGTACTCGCGCAATTTTCTGCAGACAAGGAAACGCTGCTGGCTCAGTTCCAAAGGGGAGTGGAGCTAGGACTTGGGAGGGAGGGCTTTTTGACAACCCCGAACATCGAAGTCCTGCAAGCGTTTGTTTTGCTTTTGGTAAGTTCCAAGTATTGATCTGCATGTCCGTAGCGGAAATGATACTCATAAGCCAATTAGACCTGCCAGTCACGAGAAGATGACATGTCAAGAACATGGACTCTACTTGGTCTTGCTGTTAGAATGGCACTCTCGCAAGGCCTTCACAGGGAACCTTCTTTATTCCCTTCAAAAAACATGGATGTCGTTCAGGTGGAGATTCGCCGGCGATTATGGCATCAAATATGTCATCTCGACTTCAGGTCAGCTGAAGCCAGAGGGCAGGAGCCAACCATCGCCGACGAAGATTACACAACTCTGTTACCCAGGAATATTGACGATGAAGAGCTTGTCGAAGGAGCACACCTCACTACCGATACGTATTCGCCACCGGGATTTACAGACATGACGGGACACCTCATTCGATTAAACGGAATCCACTGCTTCAGGAGAATTGTGCGAAGTACTTACCGCCTAGAACGACGGCTAAAGTCTTCGGCCGTTCAAGGAAATCCCAGCTTGTATCCAATTGCGGAGCTCCAGGCCCTTTTCATCGAAGTCCGTAATATGGTGGGCGACATGGCCTCGCACATTGAAACCGAATATCTGCAGTTCTGCGACGCCAATATACCAATGCAGCGCCTTGCGCTTGGACTTTCGGCTGTAATTGAATGGAGGTGCTGGTCAATCTTCTGGCTACGCACCCCGAAACAATACCGTGAGGCGGTGGTCACCCCAGATATCCGACAAACGTGAGTAAACCGTTGTTATAAGAGCAACTGTCCCCTTAAAAATGATGTACTTACGTCTGACTCTGGTCGGTCTAGCGTATTGGAAAAATCTGTAAGCTTGATGGAAAGCATGAATATGATTCCGGACGACAAAGACGCTCAAAGATTTCAATGGCATATCGGAGGTCACTCCTGCTTCCAGGCAATAATGCATATCGTGTCTGAGTTAGAAACACCAGAGTTCCAGGCGGCTGATCACAGTATCCTTCGCTCTCGTGCCCTGACCGTCCTGCGTGATACAATGAACATGAAGGGACGTGAAATGAGCTCGATATGGAATGTTATCAACCGGATAATCTCAAATTGTTTGGCCAAGAACTCTCAACAAACATTCCCTTTGACACCATATTCGGCTCTCTTCCCTCCTAACGGAATAATACCCGACATCAGCACAACAGCAACCATGGCAGCCCCTCAGACATTTGCAGAGACGCCTGCAGCACAAGGGAGCTCGGTGATAGGTGCCCCATTGCCCGATATTGGTGACCTAGGAAACCTCGATATGCAGGATGTATCCATGTCATTTGACTGGGTGGGTGATCCTACAGTTCTTTGAGGAGCCTTTTGCTAATAATGACTGTTTTAGGGATTTTGGAACTTTGATCCCACTGATATTAACTCATATTAGTGTCTTGCTGGACGCTTGCGAAAGTTACTTCTATTGGTAATTCAAATTGTGTCTAACGATTGATAAGAAAGATAGGCCTCCACATCTTGGTTGTGGACTGTCGACCAGGGAAGCCGCCATCAACGTGATACCATTTCATAGAACAACGAAAAACAATGGAATGCATCAAAAAAGAAAAGTTTCACTCAAACGAAGGACTCTGCGCCTCATACGCTGTATACCCGGGGACTATAATACATGGTCATATAAACGCCTTTCTGCTTCTTATAGGAAAATGACAGGTAGGTGTGTGTGCCAGTAGATGTGGACAACGGATGATGTGGGCTAAATTTGGTTTAGTGTTCCTAGGCCTTTTGTTCAGGGGAACGGGAGAACTTACAACAAATCTTCAAGATCTTTGGAATATCCTCGCTCCAGTTGATTCCATCCCAGCTTTCCAAAGAATTTCTGCAGTCTCCCAGCGATCTGTATATCATTTTCACAATAATGTCTGACAGGAAGATACACCTTGGGTTCCGGGAACCATTTGCCCGGCCGCAGCTCGAAATTGAAGATTGTTCCCGCTGTCCGGTGGTCGTTCTGTGGCAGGTCTGCATTTTCGTCCGCGACGTCAAATATTGTTCTCCACAGCTCGTCCAGCAGCTTTACGGCTTCGGTGGTGTTCTCGTCTATCAAGCGACCCCCAAGGCAATATGCCTCTTTTACCTCCCGCAGCGCGGTGTGAGGGATGCGTACATATATCTTGATTCGAGACTCAGCTTCATCCACACAATCCACGCTGATCATCTCTGCCTTAGCTGCTCCATTCAAGCTCGCCATCCACGCCTCAAGCACGGATAAAGCTGTAATCGCTTGAGGACCCCAGAGACTGCTTTTTTGTGCCAGCCGCAGAATCGAGTCCGAAATCACTTTCGTTGTGCTCTGTCCAGTGATCATCGCCTTCAAAATGGGAAAGAAATAGGCTTTGCTGGTCACGCCACCGGCGTCCAAGTCGAATGCAAGGAAGCTTTGTGTGGTGTGTTCGCCGCTTGGAAGTTTGTCTCGGAATTGAGGGTGTACATCGGGGGACACGAAAAGCTCGGCACGGAAATGTTCGAACATGGACAAATTCGCACCGACTTCTGATGCGGCATACGAGTGCATGAACCGCATGACCGCGGCTTGGTTGAATGGATCTGCGGCCGAGCCTGCATCGAAACCGACAGGCTCAACACCAAGTCGAATTGTACTTTGGGACTCGGCATTTCCATTCACATTCCAACTGGGCTCGAGTGGGGAGAAGTCGTCAGTCAGGAAAGATCGCCAGGGTGCGTTGGCCGGAGACGGCTGGACAGAGTTCTCGAGCGGCGGGCGTGGGCCAAGTAGGGGTAAAATGTGGGTGTGATAAAGAAGCAGGTACTTGTAATGGGTATACAAGGGATAATCTGCCTTCGAAAGGAGCTTGCTCATCAACGGACCAGTTTCTCGCCACCAGAATGCCGTGGAAGAAGTGGGAGCAGGCAGTGGAAGGGCCGTCGTGAGTACGTCGTATGGAGTGAAAAAAGCAAGCGACAAACTGTCTCTCGTGTCGGTGTCACCATTCGTCAACTTCTTCTGCATCTTGGCAGGGGAGCCGTTTACGCCGTTGAGCCGAGTGAGCGTACCCGGGGACGAAGGGAACAACGATTCGGCACTAGCAGACATGTTGAATGGATTCAAGTCAAGTTGGACACCTTCGCTATCCGGAATATCTCTGAGGATCTTTCTACTACAGTGAATGGGTGCATGCGAAGCTAAATATACAACTGCTTGGATGTCATTGTGGTTCACTCAATGCTATTTTCAGCTCACCATCCGCAGCCCCCCAGTTACTCGGCCACGAGTGCTCCAGGTGGCCCTTGATGGCCCGAATACGGCCTGACATGACGCAAAGTACCACAGTAACGGGGCATTAATTTTCGGCGTCCGAATCCATAGAAGGATCCTCCGATAGGGAAGGCTGAAGCCGCTGAACCTAATACGCCCCGGCCGTGCTAGGAATCGAAGACGGGGATATTTTTGACAACAAACGAGCCTCTTTGTGTAGTAAGCCTTATCGGAAAAGGTAACAGGGGGCCGAATAACTCGTTCCATTCGTTTAACTAACGTTTTCTTTGAACCCGAAACAACTAGCAAAGTACACCGTTTATCCTAGGCGGATCCGACCATCACACTACGAGCCGCTAATTGTCCGATACTGCCAGCCACAAACACATCACGGAGACTCAGCTGAATCCCACGCTCTTCACAAAGCTTCTGCAATCTGATGGCGTCCATACTCTGGGCGCCTAGTTCCCAAAAAGACTTTTGGCCATCGATTTCCGGTTTGTCAAGATCAAGACAAGCACCAATAGCCTCCGAGACAATCCCAATCCCAACTGCATCCGTTCCCACCGTTGCATCGACCCCATTGCTCAACAGTCTTTTCTCCTGCAGTTTCCGCTCGCCCAAATCCTTGGCTTCCTGGGCCATCGTATTCGTGCATCCTGCCCCGCCATTCGGTGCAGGCTTGAACGATGTCGCTCCCAGATCTATAATATCACCAGGCGTGGTTTCCAGAATCATGAGCTGCAATACAAACGTCAGAGCAAACTCTAGCCGCTGCGCAGCCTCTTCGCTGATACAGCCCATATCATATTCCATATCGATCAGAATGTCCTGCTGCGCCGTCTCCGTGAATTCGACCGTCAGAGGGAACTTTGAGCCGCCCGTATTCCTGCATGGGATGGGCTGAACCTCTGCACATTTCAGTTCCAGGAACGGTCGTCGGTCAGCCGCAGTATGATACGTGACCATAACTTTGAAAAGGGGCTCAGAAAGGCTGGGTGCGCACTGAACCAGCTGGCGCAACGTTCGGAATGGAACAATATTCGCCAGAGCCTGTTGGCTACTTTCCCGAACTGATGTCAGGAATTGGAAAAGTGTTTTGTGTTCCGATATATTCCTCCGAATACGAATTAACAAGCGATCAAGAAAAAGACCGGTCATGTGTTCTGTCCCGCCCTCCGTGCGATGAGTGAATGGCGCTGCGAGGAGCATGTCATCGCGTCGGTCGACGCACTGTAAGCAGAAGAATACCCCTGCTAGCACAAGCTGATGCATTGTAATTGACGCTTTGGTGGCGAGCTGGGACATGCTGCGGAACATGGACGGGGAAAGGCTCCATGAACGGGTCAATCCCATGTATGTGGCTGGCGCTGGCTTGGGACGGCCGAATGTGACCGGTGTAGGGAGGTCAGACAGATACGAAGACCAGAACGAGAGAACCCGTGGGATTGGCTGTACGGTTTGAGACCAGTGTGCCCAATCAATGTATGTCTTTTCAGGCGTTGGCCTTCTGGGTAGAACGATCCCCGCCCCAGCTTGAGGGCTTGCAGCCAGGAAATCGTATGTTTCTGAGACCTGATTGAGGTACGTTGCCATTGTGGTTGCGTCACCGACGACGTGTGACATGACGACCACCACCATGGCCTGCATCGGCGTCCCAATGACGATAGAAACATCGACAGGTGGTTCCATGGCGAGGTCAAAGGGCTTGGTGACTCGGCCGTGAACAAAAGAGCCCAGATTACCGGTCTGAACGATACGGGGTACCTCAGGGGTACCAACCAACAGTGATCGGGAAAATTTTCCCTGCAGAACCTGATACCTAGAACGGAATACTTCGGTATCTGCTGTCACAATCTGAAAAGCACTAGCTAGAGTCTCAATGTTTATGCCGCCTTGGATTTTGCAGACGTAGTTCATGTTCCCAGCCGGAGAGCCACCTGAGATAAGGTGATTGAGCAACATTTCCTTCTCCAGATAAGATAGTGGGAGTTCACTATCTCGTGGGATGGAAGGTGTTTCTAGGAAGGATGTCACGGGTTCATTTGTGTTGGTTGAATGGTTGAGGAGCTCCTCAATGGCAAGTGACAAGTCCTGAAGGGCGGGATGTCGAATGACAGTTTTCAGCGGCAATGGGCGGATGTTCCACTGTTTGGAGATGGCCTGGGCCACTTTTATCTGCAACAAGGAGTGACCACCGAGCTCGAAGAACCGGTCCTTCGGACTGATGGGCATTAGGTTGAGATCGCGAGCGAGAACCCCTGCCCAGATGGCCGCAACGGCTCGTTGGGTATCGGTCTCTAGCTCTTCATGCCTCGTGTTTAGATTGTCTTCCTGAACTAGGTATTTCTTCAATGCACTAGTGTCGACTTTATGGTTCGCAGAAATAGGCAGCGTCGCAAGTGCGACTATCCTGTTTGGAACTGCATACTCGGGGAGGTGCGACTCAAGACGCTTCGCCAAACCGGTGATGTTGATGGTTTCTGGAGTCACAAAAGCAATGAGGTGTCCGTTCGACACGACGAGAGCGATGTTTCTCGCCGCAGAGGCCAGATTGGAGATTGTGCTTTGGACTTCCCCGAGATCGATTCGGAACCCACGAAGTTTGATCTGATTATCTTCTCGGCCTATGTATTCGAGGTTCCCGTTCTCGAGCTGTCTTGCAATGTCACCGGTTCGGAACATGGCTTGGCCAGGGTGAAAGGGGTCGCTTAGGATGCGCTTGGCTGTTTCATGCTCGTTGTGTAGGTATCCAGGCGTGACTTGTACTCCGGCAAGATAGATCTCTCCACTGACACCAATTGGAACTGGCCGTTTCATCGCGTCAAGAAGATAGCACGATGTGCCGGGCAGTGGCTTCCCAATCGACACTCTCTCCCCTGGACGTAGTCTTGCAACTGTGGAGATTAAAGTGCACTCTGCCGGACCGTATCCATTCACCATGATGCGGCCAGCGGACCATCTGTCATTGAGAGCCTGGGAGACTGCTTCTCCCGCGACAGTGATAACTTTCAAATTAGGATAATCGGACGGATCGAGCGTTGCAAGCAGGGACGGAGTTGCCATTGTTGCATCGACTCTTGAAAGATGGGAGATGGGGTTCTCCGGATCTTTAAGGACGAGCGTTGCTCCAAAGCACAGGGTCGAGAATACTTCCTTGATGCAGCAGTCAAATCCAAGAGAGAGCATTTGTGCGTTGCGTTGTCCTGGACAGGAGTGTAATCTTCCTTCTCCCTGGGAGATCACGTTCAGGATGCCTTTGTGCTGCAGTTGGACAGCTGGAATGTTGTTAGCTTTTGCACGGATTATGCTCACAGAGGAATTCGGAAAAGGGTCAACATACCTTTGGGTAGACCCGTGCTTCCAGAAGTGTATATCAAACAGGCGATATCATCACCACTACCTATGCTGTTGACAGGGGTGATGTCTTCAGAGGCGGGATCTTGCGCCATAATCGACTCAACGTTAAGAGATGGAACGTCACACGGGACTGTGTCTTGCTCGGGATTGGTGTACAGCACAAGCGATGCTTGACAGTTTCCAACCATGTATTTCTTTCTCTCAGTCGGAAGCCTCTGATCAATTGGACAATAAATGGCTCCGGTTTTAATGGCTGCAATCATCGCGAGAACCCACGAGAGGGAGCCGTCACTGACGACGCAGATCACTTCCCCTGGTTTTGCGTGCTTGGAGAGTCGTCTGGCGATTTGGTCGGTCATTTTGCCGAACTCATGATATGTGAGGGTGCTCGCTAGACCCTCAACAGCGCATATGTTAGGGTGTGCTCGGATCATGTTGTTGACTGCCTGCGCTAAGTTCCCGGCCTCACCGGGTATTCCGGCCAGCTGTGCTGAGTCTGGAGTGAAATTACCGATTACAGTGCTGGTGAAGATGGTTGAAGTTATCTGATCTAAGTTAGATATTGGAGTAGCTTCAACAAGTCCTGTGAGGACACTGTCAAATTGGCGCATCATCCGTTGGATAACTCGATCGTCGAAGTGAGATTTCCGGTAGAGAAACCGGACATTGAATTTCCCTTCAGAACTATCTAGTAATACTGTCAACGGGACTTGTGTGGCTTCAGTGTAACGTATATCCTTCGGCGCGGAGACCAAGTTGGATTCCCAAGGAGATTGAGGAAAGTCATATTGGAGGGCGAAAAGCGTCTCGAAGAGGTCTGCTGGTTTGCATCCCGAGGCTTCCTGGATGAGGGTAACGGGCGACCAGTGGAAGTCTAGGATACCGCATAGACTTTCGAATACGGACCGTATAAAACGTTGCACGGGCAGACTATGATCTGTGTTGACTTTGAGAGGCAGAGTGTTGATCATAGGTCCGACGACATTTTCAACTCCTGGGATTGGGAGACTTCGACCGGAAAGAACGGCTCCTACGATTATGTTTTCGGCGCTGCAGTATCGGGACAAGAGAAGGCCCCATGCAGCGTATAGAATCGTCGCTGGAGTGACTGCAAACTTCTCTATTGCTGCGGTCTCAAGAGCTAGTACGCTGGCCCGGAGTGGATAGGAAACATCTGCTTGCGTGTAGTCGTTGATATCGGATGGCGGAGACAATCGAAGTCTTTGAGCGGGAAGGTATCCGTCCAGATACTCTTTCCAGAACGTGACAGCTCTGTCCGATGACTCGGATTCCAACTTGCCGATTGCATGAGAGACTTGAGCAAACTGTGACGCAGGTGGCAGCTTTTGATTGTCGATACAGGCGGCGAAGTCGCGCATCAATGTTGCCATGGACCATCCGTCAACTAGACTGTGGTGGACTCTCCAGATAAACCGAGTGCGGCGATTATGCAACGTGAGTAAAATGACCTGTGACAATGACTTTTGATTCTCTGCATCAAATCCAGGAAACCCATCGAAATCCATAAGCCCTTCAGATTGACTGGCGCAGTCCCACTCGGATTCGCTGACTGATCGTTGTTTCCAAGCAAAGTCAGTGTCGTCGGATATAATCTGAGCACCGCGTGAGGCAGTCAGAACGAACGATGTCCGTAGAATTTCATGTCGCCGGTGAAGACGGTCCCAGGCAGCATGAAGAATAGGCGTCAAATCCTCTTGCCCAGGATGTTCGAATGTAAAGGACGTCTTGATAAATGAATGCCCCGGATTGGAAAGGCTAGCACTAACCATTCGGGTTTGTATGTCGGTCATGGGCGATATTCTTTTGCTTTCAAGAGATCTGATCGTCGATATCTCTTTTTTCAGGTGATCTAGTGAGACTTGGTCCGCATGCGAAGGATAGGGGGCATTATCCAGCCTGACCCGGGCGATTTTGGCTAGCTTGCCCACATCGTCTAGCATGAGAACCTCAGCAACACCTATGTCAAACCCCATCTTTCTCAATATTGACACTAGCATGACAGCGGCGAGAGAATGCCCACCCAACTGACGGAATGAGGATCCCTCATGAATGTGAGACTGGGGCAACCTGAGAACGTATGAGAAGCCCCTTTGCACAGCTTCCAATGCGGGTAACCCTTTCTCTAATTTGTTCGACTCTGCTCCCTGCTCTGCTTCATGCATATGCAGCAACGCTCTTCGATCAACCTTCCCGTTGCTAGTTGTCGGGAACTCATCCAGGGAGTAAATCGTATCCGGGATCAAAAATGAGGATGTAGTTTGCTCAAGGTACTCTCGAAGGCCTGCTTTGGCTTCAACTGGGCTCACAAATGCAATCAGTCGGCCTTGTGACATGAACGCGGATGCGCGCTTGACCTTGTCGAAGGACAACAGCACAGGCTCAACGTCGCCCTCGAGGTTAATCAAAAATCCTCGGTTCTTCACCATGCTATCCTTTCGACCACAGAATTGGATTCCATAATCCGTAATTTTTCCATAATCACCGGTCTTATAGATCTTTGTGCCATTCCGGGTTACAAAGGATTTTGCAGTACGATCCGGATCCTGAAAATAACCGAGAGCTAAACCCAGCCCAGCGATGCAAATTTCCCCCTCGGAAGACTCGTCTCCGTACTCGTCGAGAAGAAGAATAGTGCTATACGAGATTTGAAATCCGATTGTAATGGGATTTCCAGGTAATAGATTCGCCATGAGCGCGGTGCAAGTTGTCTCCGTGGGTCCGTAAGAATTGTAGAGCCGTCGACGAGGCGATGACCATGTCTCGATCAGTGACGGGCTTGGACTCTCACCACCCAGGAAGATTGACTCGACAGCGTCAAAGCCAGCTGCCGGATCAAGTGTCACCAAGATGCTTGGAGTTAATGGCAACACATGACATGTTTTGGCTGCTGCTTCAAGCGTTGTGGGATCAGCCAAAACAAGGGTGCCACCGTTGCAGAGGGTGTTGAACATGACACCAGCACATACTGAACGAATTTAGTGAGAACACAGTCTTATAGTCCAGTTGCAGAAGCTCACCATCAAATGCAATTGAGCATATGAGTAACACCCGTGTGCCGGCCTTCACGTTCAAGTTAAAGGGAAGTTCGCCACCCTCTGTCACATAGCGCGAAATGGACCTTTGGCCAACCATGACTCCTTTCGGCTTCCCTGTCGTTCCGCTTGTAAAGATAATGTATGCCAGATCATTACCTCTATCTGTCACATCCGAGACTCTGTTCAATGCCGGGGCTTCCTTAGTTGTCTCGATATCCTCAATTTCAGTATTTTGCAGTTCGATCCGAGAATACGGGCAGGAATGAATTGGGGACGTTGAAGTTGAAACAATGACATGCGGATCAACGGCTTGAAGGACACTACTTATTCGATCTTCACCCCATGACTCTAAGTCAATCGGTACGTAGGCAGCACGAAGCTTGAGGATTGCCAAAATCGCTGCAACCATTGCAATGGAGCGGGTAGAGAGAAGAGGCACTATGCATCCTGACCCTATTCCAGCTAGGCGCAATTTTTCGCTCCATCTCTCCGAAAGTATATCGAGCTGCGCGTAAGTGATATTGCTCGAGATTTTCTGGTTGGCAGTCTGCGTTAAATCCTCGACAGCGACAGATGAAGGCTGATTTCGCAGTTGGGCGGAAAAGTGGTCAAGCAGGCAGGTAGCGTGGTAATCCATTGTTGAGAATGTGTCAAAGATGGGTTGAATTGTGTGCACAATGATTTATGCTACCCAGATATCTTGGACTTTTGAAATTTAGAAGCATCGATCTCGGGTCCCAATGCCATGAGCTTAGTTTGAAGCTCTCGGCTGAGTGAGACAAAGGAAAAGCCGAACTGCGGCGCCCGAACGGCTTCGGCGAGTTTGTGTTTCTTGCTTTTTCGATATCCTCCGAGAACAGTCAGATCGGTGTTGAGACTGGAAATCGAAATTCATGGGTAACTTGTGGGTTTATCTTCGAGAGTAAGGCCCGAGTTTGGATGCAAATAATTCCAACCGTTCATACATCGTTAAATAGGCACCTTGACTTTCTTTTTGCTCGAAAGATCGGACATCCCAGAAAGCAACGAGAACTCGAACACAATGGAAAACGAACTGGACCATCTGAATTGGAACATCAACCACGCTTTGTCGCAGCTTGAAGGGCCTCTGTCGCAAGAGCTTGACTCGTGCCTCGAAGTCTCCCCGACCTCAATGAGCACGTCCAGCGGGGCCTACCAAAAGCTCCTAGACACTGTGCAAGTGTTGGACAAGCTTCTTGTTACTTTGACCCCGCCTCATATGACACTGGTAGATGGCGTATTTGGTAATCCTTTCCGCAAAGTCATGCTCTACCTCCAAGACGTCTGACTGACCAAATCCAGCCTTCACAAACAGCAAAGTTCTACTGTGCGCATCAGAGTATGCGCTGGCTGACCATGTCCAGAGGCTCCAGCCCTGCAGCATTTCCGATCTTGCTAAGTCCACCGGTCTGCACGAGCAAGGTCTCTTTCAAATCGTTCGATACCTCCGTGAAATGGGATATTTCCACCAGGACCCGAAAACCGGCAGACTGTCGAACAATAGGCTTTCGGACCTGCTTCGTAAAGACCATTGGGCCACTTGGCTCAACTGGGTCGACTTCTTCCCACGAGAGTATTACGACCTGATCTCACATCTGCCTGACCAGCTCAAGCGCGATCAGCCCAAAACCGCCACAGAGCTCTTCTACAATACTGACAAGCCCATCTACCAGTACCTGGCCGAAACAGGACGAATCGCGGGTTTCCACAAAGTGACCGGCACCGGAAGCGTCGTCGAGGCTCCGGGACTGCTGGCTGATTATCCGTGGAACGAACTCAAGTCCGAGACCGTTATGGACATTGGTGCGGGTGTCGGAGACTTCATCCGTTCGTATCTGGAGCGATTCCCGGACGCCACGGCCGGTGCTTTTGAGCTCCCATCCACCGCAGAGATTCTGCAACAAAAGTTTCCTCCAGAGGATCCACTGACAAGTCGACTTGTCTCCGTGACTGGGGGAGATTTCTTCCAGGACGAGATCCCGAAATCGTCTGTCTATTTGCTTCGATGGATCTTGCATAACTGGGGCGACGAAGACTGTGTGAGGCTTCTTCGTCGGATTCGAGATACTATCATCCTGACTCCCGGAATCAGTCGAGTGTTAATTGTGGAATCCGTTCTGTTCGATGGCCGCCTGGGTCGCGGGGCACGGTACGCGGATATTCGTATGCTAGCTCGGTGCAGAAACAAGGAACGCACGCTGGAGGAATACAAAAGACTGGCAGAAGAGGCTGGATGGCGCCTGGACAAGGTTGTCTCTCCGCGAGGTTGTCTCACACAGATTATTGATTTGCGCCCGGTGGGGGCAAGCTCAGTGTCGCCAAAGCTGGACGGCAATGGCAACGGGGGATTGGAATGGGAATCCGAGTTAAGATAAGGTGTTGCAGAATGATCCATGTTCGGGGGTGCATGAGTGTGTGATAAAAGCTCATTACAAATTGCGATTTGGACATTTTTCATGCTCTGGAATTGCGGAGGGTGGTGTGTTGGGATATCTAATCGATAGTCTGTAGAAGCTTGGGGAGATTGTTGCAAGAAATGGTACATCCGAAGTAGCTATGGAGAGAAGGGAAGGAAGATCCTTCTGTGATGTTTGTTATATTTGCAGGCTTGTTTCCTTAATTGGATAAAGGCATCTACTCAAGAAGGTTGGGCCCATCGAAAGTGAAGAGAAGGAAACGGAAGAGAAAGTCAAACCAGCCATGAAAGAAGCGGAGTTCAATTAGTTCAACATTAGGTATGGGTAATTTCTAAGTTAAGCCACAACGCAACAAAGCAGAACCAGACTGTCTTGTGTGATCAAACCCTTTTCAAGATTTGAGGACCACCCTTGATAATCCGGGCAGCCGCCGTACATATTCCTCCAAGGATCATGGTTGCTCCCGCAAAGCACATTAAGCCCGTGAATTTGTCTCCCTCTCTGTCCTTGATGGCTCCTTCGATAGGGAGACCTGTCAAAGCGCCAAGAGCAATTCCCAAGCAAAATCCTCCAAGCTTAACGCCAATCTCGTCAACACGATCTTCCGCGAGGGCGACAACACAGGGGGGTCCCAGGCTGACGAATCCGCCACTGACAAAGCCATAGAGCAAGGCAAAGACGATGATTCCAGCGAGAGACGTGTGGAACTCTAAGGGAAGCCAAAATGCCAGTACCAAGATACCGGACAGTGTAGTCACCAAGCACATAGCGTTGAATTGGCCGATGACATCGCTTGCCCACCCTGGCACAATCCGACCAACCAGCGATCCGGCGTTAGCGATAGCCAAGCTGTATTGGGCGAAGTCCTCGTAACCATGAAGAGAGACCATCTCCGGCAAGTAGTTCAAGGGTGCGAAGAGGCCCCACATGGTAAAGAAGCATCCCAGGACAAAAAATGCCCAAGGCCAGCTCTTAAAGCCACGGATCCCACTTTTTGGAGCAGCGTCCTTTTCTGCCGGGGACACTTTGCTCAATGGAGGAAATGGAGAGGAGCAAAGAAGATTTGCAATCAACAGGAGGATGCCCTGCATCAAAGCGGTCCATCGGACAGCGGATGCAAATCCTACTTGTTGTATCAGACGCGGCAGCATGCATGGATAGATAACGCCACCTGCGCGTCCAAAAATAGTCAGTCATCACAGAACTTTGAATATACGAGAGTCGGTCCTCTTACCTAAACTACTGCCAGACGAGACAATGCCCACTGCTAAACCTTTCTTGGTCGAGAACCATTGTGTTGCGGTAGCCATTGCAGGGAGAGATAGTCCGGCGGCGGCGAGTCCGAATGCGACACCTTGAGCCAGCATTACCTGCCAGTATTGCTTACACAGGCTCAACATGCAAACCGAAAAGACCGCAAAGACACTGAATGGTGGCAGCAGCTTGCGACATCCGTAGACATCAATAAGCTTGCCAACGGCGGGTCCGAACATGAACAGAAGGAAGATCTGAAGAGTGGTAATCCAGGCCAAAGAGGACGAGGTCTGATCTTTGAACATGGTCTCGGAATAATAGAGTTGAAAGATACCGCATCTAGATGATCGATGGTGAGCAGGATTCATGGATTCGGGGCATTGGCAGGAAGTAGATGATACACATACGCGTTGACATAACCGAAGGAGCAGAACTGCAACAGAAACGAGCCCGCCACGCACGCCCAAGCTTTGGCACCGCCATTAGGTGGAACACGCTCAAGCGGCTTAGCATCCGCAGCCTTCTCCTCCTTGTCCATTGTGTCGTTCGAAGGTCGCTGGCCCAATGAGGTCGACATGGTGACTGAAATAGATTGTTGACAACTAACGAACAAGACGTGTGGGAGAGATTAGAGGAGAAGTCTCGAGGCAGGATCTGTGAGAAATCCCCATGCTGTAGGGGTCTATTTTATGATAGCCAGCAGTCATGATGCGAAAGTCGCTCGGGCTCGGAGGGTATGCAAAAGCTCGGCCTCGATGAGCGCGAGAGGAGCAGCGACTCCTGAGGGACTACCGCATTAGGCAATCTCTCGCCTGAGGCAGCTCGGCCGAGGAGACGGGACTGCGAGCTCGGCCGAGGTGGCTTGTCCCGTGACGGGGCGGATCGACGCCAAGACCGGCGATCTCTTCGCTCCTCTCCTCTTAAGAGCCCTCACGCCATCCTCACACGGGCCCAAGCCTGTCAACGCGCGAACTCATTGGGAATCGGGTTGGCGTCTGATCTAATGCAACAATATTTACCATTGCCCATCCCTGTTCGTCTTTGACGACAACCGTTCTGGCTTAGGGAGGAAAAGGTAGCATAGAATGACCACTCAACGTCCATGGCAGCGATCCCGCACAGAGTCACTGACAGCTACGCCTTTTACGAGGGCTGAATCCCCGGTGGCTGCTGCTCATGCCGCTTGTTTCTTACAGTTGGTGTGAGCTGACCCCCAATACGATATGGCGACAGTTTCGAAAATGAAAAGTTCTTTGCTAGCTGTCTACACTCCCCCTGTCATCCTAGGAGATTGCAAGGCTACTCCGTGTCATTGAATGAAACTCAAGCCCATCAGATCTCCGGATCGGGCCAAACGTTTGCTTGAATTAACCATGGGGAATAAGCCTTGGAGAAATAGAGTATTTGTAGGCTAACTGAATATGGGTGCATGGTTTCATTGCATGTCTTGGGTTTCGCCCCCTCAGACTTCGCCATCCTATTTGAACTCCCCTCAGGGGTCTTCTTTGTATATTAGAGGCCAAGCTTCCTGGAACAATGCTGTCGAACCATAGTCATCTGCCAGAGAAACGGCCACTCCTTTGCTTCTGTTCTTGGCACCATCATGACTACGACACTCCCCTTCTTGACCAGCCCGTCAGAGCCACCACAAGACAATCCGGCCCACAAACAAAAGCTACGATCCGCCTGTGACTCTTGCCATCAGTGCAAGGTGAAGTGCTCGGGCGGTTCCCCTTGCTTCCGTTGCGCGTCTAAAGGCCTTTCGTGTCGCTACGGCTATCAGAACCGGGCCGGCAAACCTAAAGGAAGCAAAAACCGTAAGACATTGGAGAGGGCACATCAAATGCGCCTGCAGTGGCTTACAGAGCAGCTGCGGGGGACCAACTGTGAACTTGATGAAATGGCTCTTAATCTTACAGACCCTTCATCACTTTTACCAAGCCCAGCACTCTCGGTCAACCGCCGGAAACCCGTAAGTGATCCAGAGTAGCCAGTGTACCCTTTTGGATAACAGCTGATTCCAGTCCAGGCTCATACCCCGCGATCATCTTCAGGGTCGACGCCTCTTAATCCCGTTCTGAAACCTGCCACCGGAGATATCATAGGTGAAACCGACCCATCACCAGATGGCCTTGATGCTTGGACGATGGAATTGGGGTCCATCATGGATACGACGCACGGGAATCAGTCCGCTAGTATGGAAGGCTTCACGACACCATTGTCGTTCACAAATGGGGCCGGCTATCTAGGACAGCCTAGCGATCCGACAACGCCCTTGACATTTGACTTGCCTTCGCCGCTTCCCAACATAAGTGAAACAGGGACTGCTTGCGCTTGTGTCCAGAAGCAGGCCAACAACGTCACCACATTGCATCGGCTCACGTCTCACCAATCGTTAGATCGATTTGATCTCGCAATGAAGTCAGTCACTGCCACACTTGAGACCTGCGACAACTTTAATGCCTGCCTGGAATGCGAGAAATCCTTCTCGGCGATCCTCCTCACACTGTCTGCGATGGAAATGATTTTCAAACTATTTGAGCAACTTGTCATCGGCAACCAAGGCTTGCTTCCGCCGGAGGATCAACGGTTGACCTTCTGCTCCCTAGGCGATTACAAAGTCAGCCAAGAAGAGGGACAGGCTATTCAGAATGTCCTGCTCAAGATGACCTTGTCCAAGGCAAAGCAAACGCTGGATTCGTTGCACAACCTCATAGACGGGCCAACAGATTCACTAGATGAACTCGAACGATACGAACCGCTTGCTGACCAAGGTACACAACCTACTTTGGGGGGACTTTCCACCATCGATCGCAATTACATTATGCAATGTATCACCCGCAAGAAGACAGCATTAGACGCTATGATGAGGACAGTCACTGTCTAAAAATAGCACCACCTTACACGTTATCCAAAGCATGAAACACAACTTCTTTCTCTTTATTTCACTTCGCTGCAGAAATTGCCCGCTTCCGGTAATCGGGGGTTCGTTCACCTCCGACACGCGCCTCAGTCGGCAGCGTAGTGATTGAAACTAAGCCGCGATGATGCAAGCCATTCGGCAAATTTGGTGAACAAGATCCGTTCTGATGTGAGCAGTAGGATCCATTGTGGGTTGGTCGGTTCGTATAGAGTGAACTTGTCGTTGGCTTGGTCATGGATCCCTGGCTTGGCGACCCATCGTAGCATCATTCGGTGGATTTACAATTCCATGTCATCTCATCCCTTTCGTATGCAAGGTTACTTAGACATGGTGAGATTCATCACGATCGCCCCATAGGTAGCAAAAGCAACGGTTTCTGACACCAAAGAATGCGGGAAATCCTCTGACACATGGTATATTCTGACTAGCTCCCTGCTCCCTGCGCCGCGTAGACCCTTATGTCTCTAGTATCGGACGGGTCAAGAAGAATCTCCTTGTCGTCCGCAACATTCCATGGTCACATGACAGATCGCCATAATCAAAGGCTCCCAGCTCCTGAGAGCTTCTTATCCGTAACGAACAACACACCTGACTATTTAGTCACCTAGGACGAAGTCGACTATGTGGCCGTGTGATATTCAAAATTGCAGCAGACCTGCCGTACGTTCTGACGGAGAATGTATTATCTGTGACCGCCATCTCTGTGTCAAACATATTGACCACGAATGTCCCAAGTGGCAGGTAAGCAAACTAGGTTGTTGTTATCTCACAAGCGACCCTGCTAACAGCCAACATTAAGGATGGTGAACCATACGATTCCGCCGCTCGAGAAGCTGAAAGAAAGGAGATCACGAGGCTCCTTCAATCTCTTGACCTGGGTGCACTTCTCACAAGAGCAAGCCATTTGCGCAATGGCATTCCTTGCTCTTCGCCGCAACCTCTTCTGTACGACAGATCAACACGCTCATCTGTGATGGGAGGCTTGAACTATCATATAGAAATTCTATTCGACGATGGAGTTCGGTGGTTAGTACGTATCCGGAGATTCAACGCGGCATCTCCACCGCCCGAACTGCGTGATTATATCATGCGGAGTGAAGTAGCAACTCTTCAATTCCTAAGCAACACAAAGGTTCCTGCTCCTAAGGTATTCGATTACAGTCTGCAAGGGGAATCTCCTATTGGAGTCGGATACATTCTTATAAAGAGACTCTCGGGGAAGTCACTGCGCTGGTCTCTGGCTTCTCTAGAGCAAAGGAAGAAAATCATGAGTCAGCTGGCAGATATATATATCGAATTGGAATCATATCCCTTCGATACTATGGGATCTCTGGACCGACCAGGGACCAATCAACCCGGACCTTTCGCACGAGAATCATTGACGGACTATCATAATTCGCAAATGCTTCCTCTCGGCCCTTATAATACTCCTAGAGAGTATCTTTGCGCAAGCATTGAATTGATTCTGGGGTTGATCATGAAAGGCGAAAGTTACGCGGGACGTGAAATAGATCCATTCTTAGTCCATCGCTTTCTTTTGAATTCAGTTTCCGAGGTATTGCTACATCACAGATTTGACGACGGTCGATTCTACCTGAGACACGCGGATGACAAAGGATATCACATCCTTATCAATGATGATTATGATATTACAGGCATTGTCGACTGGGAGTGGGCTTATACGGATTCGAAGTCTGCGGCATTCAAATCTCCAATCATGCTTCTTCCCGTCGCGGACTTTTATGATGGGATCAATAGTATTGGCGAGGATGAATCGGTCTTTGCAACAATACTGGAGACTAGAGGCCATCGAGACCTTGCAGACGTAGTAAGAAACGGCCGAATCCTTCATCGCTTTCAGTTCTGCTGCGGGTACGACTTCGCCGATTGGGAAGGCTTTTTGGGTCTTTTCCAGGGTCTTCGAAATGCCCTGAACAAAGATGTAGATATGAGCTGGGAAGTTTGGAAACAGAATGCCTTGAGGAGATACTCGGACGATGAACGGTTGAAAACTCTCTTGGCACGGTATCAGGCACCATGAATCTTTGCCTCTAGGCTTGCGAGATTGACGAATACAGTGCAATAAGATCATACTCTACCTCACTTTGTTAAGGTGGCTTTGTCGCTTCACGATTCCTTTCCTTATATGTAGCTATGCAACCAATCAACAGGTCTTGTTTCCTTCATTCCCTTTGATTGGGAGAGCAACGTCCCTGGTGAGCCCCGCTCTAGGACTATGCGTGGTCTATGAACGATCAATTTTCTACTTAGCCAATTTCATGGTCAGCTAGTCTCTGGGCTTCTCAAAGTATTCAAGGCTGGCAGGTGACGCGCGATGATTTAACGGGAAGCCAAGTGACTCGGTCCGGGACAAGGTTACCCTTTATGCCACATCTTACTTCTCGTCTTGTAGGGGTTCTTTGATAGTCTCATTAAAAGTCCTCTTGTGAAGCACTTGAAATTTAAGCTTTTGTTGACAAAAATGGCCTACATTGTGAGGGAGAATGAAAAGGGTTGGCAGGAAAGTCATTTCGTCCGAAAGATAGGAGGATATAGAGGGGGGCGAATCCTGCATATTAGTTGCTGTTTGGTTTATGAAGAATATTTATACCATTCGAGGCAATAAATTGAGAGGGGTATCTTGAGTATAATACATGAGAGTTGAGTTTTATATCTTACAAACCATCAAAGAGCACCACAGCACTCAAAGTTGCATCCACCGCTCATCAACTTGCTTGAGAAATGACCCACGAGTAGCCCATTCATCATGGAATGGCTCAACTACAACGCCACGCTGCTCAACAGCGCGGTAAAGCTTTTCGCACTCATCCTGCGCATCTCGAAGCGCGTCCTCCGGAGCTGTGTTAAGTTTCTTTCGGCGGTATGAGTTGTTCTCTGGATCCCCATAGTGTAGGTCGAGTACAAAGCTAAGTCGTTTCAGATTTGGTAGAAAGTCGGAAGAAGCGAAGGACTTCATCCAATTGTCCCACTCGCTGGTCTTTACAAGCGACGTCGGACCTCTAAAGCGTAAAGTTGAGAGATTTGGGGGGAGGATCGTGTAGAGAGAGGAAAGAAGGGTTTCACTCTCGAAGACCTCGCCAACTGAAAGAACGAGGGTTTTCAACGTTGACAGCTGCGGAAGGATACATGTAAACAGGCCTTCCTTGGTGAAATGAAAATCTAATCCGTCTGTAGAGCGAATGTTGAGTGTGGAGAGCCGCTCCACGATATGAGGAAGCGCAACCGTCATTCGGTTGAAAGTGTCGATGGAATCATTTTCAATGATCTCCAGTTTGGTCATCTTGCTGGGTACTTCTTTAGGAAGAAGCGGTAGGTTATCATTGCGTGTGGTTGGCGGCAGCGTTGGTTCAATCCCCACCCATCGCTCTTTGATGTTTTCAACGACCAGTTCTGGAATCGATATCATCTGCAATCTCTTCTTCTCGCTGGCGTACCTGGGTTCCTTTTCTCCTCGAGCAATCGCTTCACTGTTCGCTTGACATAGTTCATTACTCGTCGGGCCTTCGAATTGTAGTCCTGATGTTAATAGTAGAGCGAGATGCTTGACTCTTCCTTCGAGAACGAATGAACTCCGGAACACTTCTCCGCAGGCGCTACTAACGCAAAGCCGTTCCAGCGGCCAATGTTCCGGTAGTTCCGCGTCGTTCAACTCCTCGTTGAAACCACTGCACATCTCCAGGTCCTTTATCTGATTGAGATGGTTTCTAAGCAGCTCCCATTCCACGTTCGAGGGTGTATCTTCCGTTATTTCGAGAAACTGAGTATCCCGGGGGATCTTTTCCAGTTGCGCAAGGAGTAGGTCTCGGTGGTCATCTTCTTCGGTTTCATGGGGTCCTTTAACCTGCACTGTGAACCTAGTACTATCTGTACGAGGTAACTCTGTAGTGAAGTGCTTCCGTGTGAATGTATTTCGAAGTGGTGGAGGATGGATAACTGTGAAGACTGTCCGGCAGATTTTCGATCGCGTTGTTGCCAGACAGGTATGATAGCTCCCGAGGGGTGAGAGGAGGCCACGGAAGAGCCTTCGACAGGGCACTAGCTGTTGAGGGGTGAGAGTCATGCTATACGGACAAGGTTGGGTAAACCTACCATGGTGTTTGACCGAAGGAAGTGTGTTTAACGTTTGTTTACCTGCCGCCGTCACCTTGGCGCGTATGTACGGAGTAGACAGTGAATCATGCCCCTGTTGTCTCACGTGATGGCGACTCGAAGACAAGGTGGATTGCAAGCTCCCACCTCCGCCTTCTCATCAATGGATTGAGATGTCAATGATTGCCTAGTTACGGCGGGGAATTGACCTTACTGGACGGACATGGTCATGGACATTGAACAATCCAAGTGGGGATCGGGGATCGGCCATCCCCACGCCTCTCCACAATTCCCTCTCATCTCCGAGAATCATCACTGATCGACGAATGACATTCAGATCTAGACAATCTATACTCAACTAGATACGCCTCAAGGACTTTTGATGCCTCAGAGAAACAATGTGAAAAACGCAAATTGTCCCAGTCATGGTCTGCTCTGCCGGTGGGCTATGCATATATAATGGTACAAATCTCTCCTTTGCACTCAAGCTCGAATTGTTCTACTCAATTTGCCGGGACACTTTCTTTTCCCTTGGAAAGTAAAAATGCTTGAATCTTTACCTGCTTTATTATGCATTCAATCGAAAAGCAAAGAAATAATAACGGAGTCCAGTCCTCTTCTGCGGAGGGTTCAGTCATCGCCCCTGGCCTCCACGATGAGAGAATCGAATGCTTAGAGAAGAGAGCTGCTTGACAAATTCTAATAATCTATCGTCATTCCACCGCGAATACCTTCTGAAACGTCACAGCACACTGGATTTGGACCCAATTCCCAGTCCATCGGGTGCAGACCCATATAACTGGCCGACATGGAAGGTAAGATAATCAGAATATGAGAATGGATGGGTGTGGAGCCATACTAAGAGATATATGTACAACAGAAGACTCATCTTGTATTATCCATTTCACTCCGGTCATATCGCCATAACCATACATTGCTTTGCCCGGGTATCTGGTTCAGAGTAGTCTGGTATAGAGAGTGCGTGCGGGTAATGGCGCTTGTTTGACAAGTCTCCTAGTAACTTCGGCGTGCGACAGGCAGCCGTACAAGGACAGGAAGATAAGGTGGACGCCGACCTCCGTGATGAAAAGGGAAAAGCGGAGAGCGTCGGGCGGTAAGGGAAGGGGATCCATCATTCTGCTGAGGCCCCGCCGGCGTTCTCGACTTTCCTTCCCTGCAAACCCCTCCGACGATCTTTTGCTACTTCTTAGACCTTGGCAGATTCAACACAATAGACTTCTACTAGATTGATTCATTTAGACTGTTCGATCGATATGGGCTCATCTGCCGTGCAAGATGGGCTATTCAAGCCCTATGATCAATTCATCATCTTCGGTGACTCCATCACCGAAATGTCGAGTATCCAGGACACTGGGTTCGGGTTAAACGGAGCGTTGCAAGATGGTATGCGCTTTATTCCTAGTTTTTCAGTGAATCCATACTAACTGCCTGCCAGCGTACCGTCGACGACTTGATGTCATCAATCGTGGGTTCAGGTATGCTCAGTAATATCTACTTGAATCAAATCTAGTGACTACTGGGAACTTTTTCTCATCGATGTGCTGTTTTTAGTGGCTACACAACAGCCCACGCCATCAATGTCTTCCCAAAGTTCTTTCCCACACCAGAGAAAGCCACTGTTCGATTCATGGTAACAGACTCTATATTCTTCGAATCCTCGATGCAAATTCACTGACACCGATCAGGCGATATTCTTCGGCGCCAATGACGCCTGTGTCCCCGGCACCACGCAGCACGTCCCCTTGGAGGAATACAAGCAGAACCTGAAAAGTATCATCCAGCACGAGGCAACAATTGCCCAGAAAACCAAGATTCTAATCCTTACTCCAACACCTGTGAACGAGTATCAGCTGCAAGGTTTCGACGAGGGTAAAGGAAATGCCCATCCGAGCCGAACCGCCAGTTTTACGAAAACGTATGCGGACGCGGCTCGCGAAGTCGCGACCTCGACTGGGGCGGTGGTTGCCGATGTTTGGACGGCGTTTGTTTCTGTTGCGGGATGGAAGGAAGGTCAGCCGCTGCCTGGATCAAGGGACTTGCCTGAAATTGAGGCCTTTAAAGCACTCTTTACGGATGGTACATTCATTTCCTCTTTTTCTTTCTTTCTTTCTTTTTTTTTTTTTTTTGGTTCCGGAAGTGTGGTCCGAATTATCGACAACATGCTAACCCTGTATTTTAGGACTACATTTGACTGCGGAAGGGTATCGCGTGGTCTATGATGTTATTATGAAGACCATTAGGGAGAACTGGCCGGACCAAGACCCCGAGCAGCTTCCCCTGATTCATCCCGGATGGATGGAGGCCCCGAAATGATGGACACAAAATGTAGATACGGTCAGTCAGTTTTTCTTAGATCGATATATGACATAGGAGCGTCAACATTAGTCCTTCATAAATATTTACATCAGACAGCGATTGAGATGTCCGGGTCATTGATCCCTTAAACACTGCTGAAAACGATTAAGTCGACTTTTGCCGACATGGCTTTGACTGGCATTTCGCTGAGAATAGCTTGTGCAAGGCCTAAACAATCGTCCAACATACATTTGACTTTGACTGTCTATACTTCATCTCAAAAAAAGACAAGATCTTTGATTTTGAAACTTTATAACACGAGAAACAGCAAATAGCATCTATAACCCACCGCTTCGCCCTCTTTAATATCGCCAATGACTCACTCCCGAGAGTACTTCATCGTCGGACCATTCCACTTGTGCCGTCCGCGAACCACCCAGTCACCACACGCAAAGAGCATGACAAAGCCCAACACCGGGCCTGCATAGTTCATATTCTCCGCTGTCACAGGTATCTCAGCCGGGAACGGCAAGAAGATGACAAAATACGTCGCGAACAGAATCGCCACCAGATTCACCGGCAGCCCCCACTTGCCCATTGTAAACGACCCCTGCGGGATCTCGCCAGGAGCAGTGAACCGTTTGATGACCAGGAAAATCAACGGAAGGAGGTAAGAGATGTACAAACCCATGGTGCTTAGCGACAAAATGGCGTTGAACGCGGCTGTGGAGCCAATCTGGATGAAAGACAGGGCGATCACGCACGACGCGACGAGGAACAGCGCCCGGATGGGGATCTTGTACCGCGGGTCGACTTTCACGAAGAAGTCAGAGAACGGGAGCCCGTTGTCTCGCGCAAAGGCCCAGGTGAGACGCGTGACGGAGGCGAGGCCGTTGAACAGCGCGATCCACCCGGGCAGCATGCCCATCGCCATGAGGATGTAGGTGGCGGTCTTGGAGCCTGTGGCTTGGTAGGCGATTTGGATGATCGGGTAGCCGGTGGGGCTGAGGAGGGCTTCTTCATAGCTGCCCATGCAGTACAGGGTGGCGATGGCGTAGCCGAAGGCCATGATGGCGTTGATGAGCGTGCCCCAGATCATGGAGCGCGGGATGACCTTTTTCGCGTTCTTGACCTCTTCCGACATGTGGATTACGCCGTCAACTCCTGTGGAATGATAGGTTCTGGGGTTAGAAAGTTTTGAACAACCAAACGATCGATTGGAGGGGATGAGACACGTACCACTCAGAGGTGTCAGGACCCCTAGGAGTCCGACGGAAAAGACCACGCCCGGATTCTGCCAGCCACTGAGGCCACTGACAAATGTATCCCAGACAAAAGCATCGGGATTGCGAGGGGCAAGGATGACAAAAGTTGCAATGGTCACCGGCAGAAAGACAACATGCATGATGCCAGCTACGACTTCGATTACGGCAAGAACGCGACGAGCGAAGACGTTGATAACGATCGGAATGAGGACAACAGCCCACATCAGCAAAGTTCCATGCCATCGTTTGGCTTCATATTCCGGATGACCGAGAACAACCATGCCTTCAATTTCGGTGCCGATGAAGTAAGGTGAAATACAGACTAGAGCAGCCCAAGAGAAGACCTATCAAAGGGTGTCAGCATCAACGCCCTATGGAAAGCACTAGACAGAAGCATCCTACGGTAACCCATCCTGCACGTAGGTAAGTCAGTGTAAATTCGACCTTATCGCGAGCCGAGGAGATTCACTGACCTTGGAAGAAGCTGAGAAAACGAGGGTAGCACGGCGCAAGAACATAACTCCAGTGGTATTGTGCTCCCGCAGTCGGATGCCTGTTCCAGAACATGAGTTTTCTGATTTGGCGATAGGCATGGGAAAGATGATCCTTACACTGAAGCTAGCTCAGCCAGAGAGCTCGCAATAGCCAGATTGCCGACGGCACTGATGATGATGCCGTATACAATGACCGCAGGACCTCCGTTGGCGAGACCAGCCAGCAAACTTCCTCCAGTTGCTTCCCAGGAAGCAAGTAGTGTGGCAGAAAATGCCAGGGATGAAAAGAAATTCAGGTATCTCTACAGGGATACTGTGTCAGAAAACAAAGAACAACGAAAAGGTGAAGAGGGGCATGGCTTACCTCCAATTGTTGTCTCTGGCGGTAATCGGCACTGGCATTTCCATGCGCATTGACTTCGGCCGGTGCTGATCGAACAGCGCTGCCGCTCTTCATCTCAACCTCTTCGTCGTACATTTTCAAACTTCCAGTGATGATTATAGATTTCCCCCGGCTGCGACAAAGAGTCCAAAGACAGAGACAGGAGAGATTGTTCTCTGTGAAAAACAATCCTTTTCTCCTCCCCTGAGAGGAAAAATCTAATTACCGCATCGCATATTAGACGGACAAGTGTTTCCGGCGAAACCCCCGAAAATGGCAAGTTGGCACTGCACCCTGGACCAAATCCATGTCGCCCAAGGCATGCGAGTATGGCGGGATGCAACCGTGATAATATGGACATATGAAGTCGCCAATGAGAAGACGGCACTAGATAACTTAGCACGCTAGGGCTTGCCAGCATCGGTATCGAGGCTGCTGGCCAAGAAGTTTAGTGGGACTTAGTGAAAGACTTAGGGATCGACCGTCCCCACGCCAGTTTAATCTCGGGCAGATTTGAGGTTTCCAAGCCTTTTGATCCTTTCTTCCGACGTGCCGTCCTACGCCCATGGCGGTCTTAACTTTCTTGGAAGGCCGCAGTGCCTCGGATCAAGTGTTGGTGGTCTGGCCAGTATGCGGTAGTGTTTGGGCCTTCTCGCGCGATTAACTCCGATCCTGAGTTGGTCTATTTCCCTTTGCTAGAGAGGCACATTGCTTGTGACCAGGGCAAGGCAGGGATCCGGAGCGGTGCAGTTCAAATCACCCAGGAGTCACAAAGAACCCTGGCCTGTATTAGCCGCCATGGGTGTATCCAAATGACAAATGTGGGAAGCTGTGTCTTCCCTCAGTTCCCCCTTGGACTTTCAGCGCTTCTTTCTCTCTCCCTCTTTTATTTCCTGCTTGTTTGTCTAACTATGATGCTTCATTATTGTGAGAATGCCCGACTCATTAGCCCCTTTCCAGGTCCTTTCCGATGATAATCGTGGCCCACTTGTTACCCTTGTGTCTGTGGCCTTCCTGATCGCTACGATCATCTTTGTCGTGGCAAAATTTGTGTCCACAATATACTTCAAGCAGCGGCAGACAATTGTTAATACGCCGATATGGATAGGTGTGGTAAGTAGCAAAAACAACAGATGAGAAATTTGTAGGATATTGACAAACATTACTATGACCAGATATTAGCAATTATCCAAGTGGTGCTTATGCAAAAAGCTGTGGATCACGGATTGGGAAGACATGTCTCTACCCTCAAGACACCTGCCCTCCACCAAGCGAGCAAAGTAAGTAGTGAATATGTCCTGCTCTGCCTTACAGTACGGAGTACTCACTCATACACTTGATGCATAGTTTTTCTACGCTGCACAATTAATCCAGATCGTGATCCTCTCGTTATCAAAAACTTCCACAACTCTTTTAGTATGGAAACTGACGCCTAACAATCACATTCGCCGGGCTTGCACCATCACCATTGGCCTGACTACTGCATGGACCATATTCGCGCTGTTTGGAATTGCTTTCCAATGTGAAATGCCACGACCATGGCTCTACGACCCTGATAGATGTGGCGGAGAGGTATGAATCGAAACCTCGGATTTAAAAAGCAACAACTTGCTGATATCTGTCATCCTAGGGCGTCATTGTCTATCCGATCTCGGCGTTTCACATCCTTCTTGAAATAGTCATCATTGTTATACCCTTCTTCATGATGCGTGACGTTCAAATGGCGTGGCAAAAGAGACTGAAAATTCTTTGCTCTTTCTCAGCGCGGTTTCTGTGGGTGATTCCATCCAACATTTTACATCCCTTAAACTAATACTGGATAGTATTGTCTGTCTCGCGATCTCGCAACTTGTTCTTCTACCGTATTTTCTACAATCATCCGACCCTACTTGTACGAGCCCCTTCTTTCATCCACTCCTTCATACTACCTCCAACTCTAACTGCATCGACAGGGGACATCATCTCTCCAGCCATCTGCGGTCAAGTCATGATGTGCGTAACCATTACCATCGCCTGCCTCCCTACCCTCTACCACATCTTCGCCGGCCTACATTCCGGACTTATTACAACCCGACTCCCCGATGAGGTCGAGCTCTCGCACCCGAAAGGAAGCGCATACATCAACGAATCCACGATCAGCGGCAGCAGAGCACGAGAGAACTATATCTATACGGGGTCAAAGCATCGCAGTTTCCTCGACGCCAGGAGTTTGAGGAATACAAATTCGGCCATAATCACCGACATAAGTACATCTGGCCATCAGGAGCGGAATGGACAAGAGACGATGTGGCGATCCAGCGCCAGCGAGAGCACCGAGAGCACCCGACATTTGACCGAAGAGGCCAGGCCCGGCGGCGTACTTAAGACGGTGGATTTTACGGTGGAGGTGGAGGAGCATCGATCGGACGAGCAGGGTTCTTTGTCCACTCGCTAAGAATTATTAATTTTATTAGCTTCATTGATTATGCGGTCAATGCTAGATCCCCGTAATTAAGTAGTTCGTTCTTCGTAATTCTTCCTCGAAGGGGAAGCTGTAAACAAAGTACTATCCACTTCACTCGCACAAATAGTTGAATTGCTTAATTAAATAATTCCTACTTACGAATATTCGCCGACAGCTGTAGCCCAGAGCCCAAGGGCTTTGAGACACGGCCAATGCTGCGCCGCAATATAAACGGCCTGCGGGCCATGACTCGCACCCCTGTATACTACGGAGTAAACCCCCGATCTTCCCTGTCGTCCAAGCGCCTCGGTCTCTCCACCATTCTTAGCACGGATAAGTCGGTTGTGCTCTTGGTCTTCCGTGCTTTATTCGAAACAATAATATCGCAGGGGTAGTAAACTGTAGGGTTAGTTAGATGGTAGACGTGGGCAGTTGATTGAAATTGACTTCGTTAATTAGTAATTAGAGGATAGTTGGATAGTTGGATAGCTAGATTTATCTTCCTCCAATTAATAAAGTATTGGTTTTGTATTAGTTAGCATGTAGTGAAGGTTTCTGGATTACATTGGTGCAGATATCCCATCTTAGACCTAGGTTTTGTGTTATAATCTATCTACATATCCATTGATTATTCCACTCCCATGTCAGTATGTGTATATCGCTTGTTATAATTGGGCTGGCTTCACTCAATGGGACAACAGGAAATCCTGCGCCATATGACGACTCTTTTGTTTGTTGGTACACGAATAACAAAAGGCTGCATATGATCCTAACTACATTTTGAGCTACATAATTATGTAGTTGCATGTCGAGGAAGAGGTCTTCTTGCGTATAGAGCGTGAGAAAATGCGAATGCTTGGCATGTTGCCTCAGGCACACAAAACCCATATAAATTTTGGTGGGAAACCGCAATCTTCTGGAGGAAAAAATCATGAACACCTACGGAAGCCACCGCTGCTATGCATTGGATGTATGTCTGCTTGAATTCCAGAAAAGAAGACAAATGAGAAAGAAAGAATGGAAAGGCGAAACCATGGGTTCATATGTTCAAGGACCAAACGGTGCGGATTCTGGGACATGAATTAAGCATAAGCAAGGTGAGAAGCCCCAGTAGCGAATGTCTCATCAGATGAATATCGAAAGCTCGAGATTGCCATTCGAAGCAGCAGATCCAAGACAGAATAGAGCCACGTGACCGTCAGGCTATGTCGTTTATCAGGCGAAGGATTCGGTGGGGAGATGGCAAATCAACCCTTCATCTCGTTCCTGCAACCAAGAAGCAATGGCACAAATTGCTCGCAGCCAGATGAGAGACCTCGTCTCCAATGTATCAAGAATTCCTCGTCCGCTTTGGACTGCCGGACTCGGTACAATTGGCAGTTTCATGCTTCTTCGCTGGGCGAACTCTTATCTATCCAAGTGGGGGCTAAATAACAATGTCAAGGACAACACATGGGGCTGGAGCCGAGAGATTGTCGTTGTAACCGGGGGAAGCGGTGGCATCGGGGCAAAAATCGTCTCGTCTTTGGCCGGCCGTAACATCAAGGTTATCATTTTACATGTCGTAGAACCTAGCGAAAGTCTGGGTAAGTGAGATGATGTCATTTAGAGCTGCCGTTTTTCATCCTCTTTGCCAGCTGGCTAACGTTTTGACCGAAAAACGGTGGTTAATAAACTCGGAAATATAAGGTCGATATCACCAATGTCGAAAACCTACAAGCCATCGCGAAACGCATCCGATCGGAACACGGCAATCCCACCGTTCTCATCAACAATACAGGAACAGGGTCCGGCAGGCCGATCCTTGGAATTCCCGCGGCGCAAGCTCAGAAGATTTTCAATGTCAACATTATATCGCATTTCTCGTTGATCCGAGAGTTCCTGCCATCAATGGTGGCCCGGAACCACGGACATGTAGTCACCATGGCAAGTACGGCCTCATTTCTCACGCAGGGCACCAACGTGGACTATTCGTGCACCAAGGCCGCGGCTCTATCGCTCCATGAGGGACTCGGCCAGGAGTTGCGATTCGTCTACAAGGCACCTTCCGTTCGAACGACGTATGTTCTTCCCCAGTGCAAGTCTCGATTATCTCGGCTTGGCAGGTTGACTAAATCATTGCTTCATTCAAGAATTGTGCACCCCAGCTGGGTTCGTACGGCTATGATTCAGCGGTTTCTAGACAGGGGTCTAGTCAATAATGCTGCAATTGATCCGGAAGACGTCGCGGAAGCAGTGGTTAATCAGATACTGTCTGGCTATGGAGCCCAGATTGTGCTTCCGTCTAGTTTGGGGCGGCTTTCGCTATTTCGGGGTCTACCATCGTGGTGGCAGGAGAAGATGGGTGGTTGGTTGACGGGATCGTATTTGCGAATCAACTGAGGATGCCGAATGTGAGGGGATAACATTGAAAGAATGTGAGGGGATAATGAAAGAAGAAAGAATGGAAATGTTTGTTTGTACTCCAAATCCGGGGAGGAAAGCGGTCTAGACGGACCCAATCGGTTGACAGGCGGAATCCCCTCATTTCTTGTCCGACAACCCAACTTGCTCTCCTTCTGCTCTCGTTCTTTTAGCTAGCCTTTTGCCTGTCACATTGTTCCTTTGTGACTTTCTGGCACCATTCTCCATCATTAACGCGTCCAGTACTCCTTACTTACTTGAACATCCCGCTATTATTCAACTATCCCCTAACCCTCTCGTCGGAGAAGAACCTACCTCCGTTCCGCGTCTTAAACCCTCTCATCATACACCGAAAGGGATTCCCTTCACGCTGGTGCTATCTCGTTGAGACTAGCCTTTATTAAGCCTTTCTCGCTTCCTCGCTCTGCTTTCGTATTCTTTTCGCTCAACTTCAGTTGTCCGCAGGTAGTCGCTCGGCATTCGCTCTTGCAACCGACACTCGTTCCGTATCACCGTCCATCCCTTCTGCCGCTTCCTTCCGATCCATTTGCCCCCATCGCCTAAACCTTTAATTCTATCATCCATTTCAATATTTCTCTTGGGTCCATCTCGTATGTTTTTGGAAAAGGCACCGGATCTTCATATTTAGTCATTTGGGTGGACGGCCGTACGGCCGTCTGTCAGAGCAGCAGGGTGGAGGAGTTTCGAGGAATCAAAGAGGGCCACGACAGTACCGGATCACGACAGGATACCTGGGAGCAGGAAGATATATCTGCCCAGACCTAGGAGGGTTGGCGGTGCATAATCATTCGAACAGAACGTCGAACAGGGAGACTGGTCTTGCTTTTTCTTTGACTTTACCACGTTTGCCACTTTGGCAGTCTCCTGTCAGTGCTGTTCCACGTGTTCGGATATGGACGCTCAGTACCCTTTTGCCTCCCGCGACGATATTTGGCGCGTTTTTGAAGAGCTGAAGGAGCTTCATGCTACCCAGTTCGAGCAGGCGGAGCGGATTGCGAGACTAGAACGGCGAAGAGACGAGGATGCGAGATTGAGAAGCGTCTGGGGTCCTTTGTCGCCATTTCCCGGTTCCGTTGGAGGTACAGTATCCACAGGTATGCAGAAGCTTTTCATTTCGAGATCGCTTTGTGTTTGAATCTGATTAGGCTGACCTTTCCGTCTTTTCTTGCCGCAGAACCTATCTTTCATTCGCCGGCCGACGCTTTCAAAGGGTTTGACCAAGGACACCATTCTGGCGCAGTGACCACGATGGGTCTTGATAATGATGACGAGCCACGGCGCGGGACATCCAGGGCAAACAGCGTTCGTTTCGATGAAAGCGCCATCCATGGATATTACGGACAAACTAGTCGTTCCAGCAGCGAGATTCCGCTGAGGACTGGAAGCGGTATGGGGGCCCATCCGTTGACCGAACGATCCTTGTCACACCGGTCAGATGGAAGGCAGAGTTCATCCGGCCATTCCCATCATTCCGCCAGGGCCAACAGCCTGGGCCTGGACACAACTAGCAAAATGATGGGCCTCTCCGCCAATGGATCCCCTCTCATCCCTCCCCCAGGGCTTTTCCTGCTTGGGCCTGTTCCTTGCATTATCCGGTGCTGGTTGACGACCAATTTCTCCAATGATTCACTCCTTTACGCGGCCGTTTGTTCAGGGTCGTATGTTTCGTCGCTGGGGACCACGATGATTCGGAAGCTTGGTCTGGCAGATTTAGTGATCGAAGAAGATGGCCTGCAATTCATCAAGCTTCCGATGTATCTGCCCGAAGCTAGTGTACATCAGGCATCGTCACGGTCCAGCAGCCCAGAACCCCAGGTTCCATCACTGACCGTCCGGTTCCTCGTTCGTGAAGTCGATCCAAGTGATCCCTCTATTCAAATCGCCATTGGAAGCGACGTCCTGCGCTCTCACAATGCTGACGTGCTTTTCTCTCAAGACAAGATAATCATGGTCGATGACGAGAGAAACAAGATATCGATTCCTTTAGTTCGGCCGGAGGATGACTCGGCCTTCAAATCTCTTCGCACGGTGTCGGATGGGTCGCTTTGTCCGCGCATCGAATCCCACCAGGGCAACGAGATCAACGGACACTCGAACGTCGGTCTTATTGGACAGCCGATCGGTTCCCCATCCCAGACCAGATCTGCCAGATCTATGTCTGCTTCCGCCAGTGGCTCCATTGAGGAATCCCAAGAGAGCCGAAAGGCCCAATCTTGGGATAATCATGAGCTTCCTGGCTCCGAGAATCCTCAAGCTTCAAACAAGCCCCCGGTATCATTGGAATCTCAAGCCGCAGGGTCGACAAAGGTGGAGCCTGTCGGAGTTTGGGGTTCGTGGAAACGCGACTCCAAACTGGATGCAAGCGCATCTGCGGCAGGTAGGGCATCTCGAGGTCGCCCCATGAAGGTGCTTCGACCCACCAAAGCGTCCTCGCGCACTCCACCAGTTGGCAGTGCCCCTAGGAGCTCCAGTGCCGATCTTGGAGAGACACCGGCCTCCTCTCAACCGGCCTCGTCTCGCGCTTCGCCCGACGAACCGCGAACCGGAAAGGCATGGGGATCTAATCCGATCGGGGGAGCCTCTGCCTTTGGGTGGCTTAACTCCGCCCAGCCGCCCAGTCGGGCCGTGACGAATCCTAAATGAAACAGATTAGGAATGCGTCGGCGTAGGTAGACTCGAGTTCGGTTCATTTAAATGCGTGGGATACGAGGCAGGTCTGGTCATGTTTTGTCAATAGGGCACATCAGGCTTGGGCATGTACTATGCAGTAGCCGTTTTAATTCGCGTAGTAGCAAACCATTCCCATACTGGTGATTATTAACCGTTGGATCAAATTGAGAAATGTATGTTAATCTTTGGAACCTTATTTAACCCATGGTATTCGTCCATAACATTCCTGCCCCGAACGCAAACAACTATCATCTAGACCTAGCATGCACACTCAAAGACCCGGAGGGAGACAGAAAATAGATCAAATCCTCGAAAACACCTCCAACGCCCCCTTCGTCTCCTCCTTCATCTCCTTCACCAACCCACTCACCCCCCGAAACTGCTCATGCTTCGCATCCCCCAACATCTCAAACAAGACACTCTCACTACTCGTCACGATCGCCCCCGCATCCCGCAGCCTCGCCAGCGCAATCCCCCTCTCCTCCGCATTCACACTACTCACCCCATCCACAAGCACATACACCCTATGTCCCCGTTCCAGCAGGTCCAGCGTCGTCTGCGTCACGCAGATATGCGTCTCGATGCCGACGATGATCGCGTCGAGAGGTTTATTCGCGGCCCCCTTGGTGTCGCTGAAGGGAGCCTTTGGTAGCAGGGCGTCGATCTCCGGCGTGATCATCGAGAAGAGGGTTTTGTCGACGTTCGCGCGGATGTGTGGGCCTTCGAGGTGGGGTTGGAGTTCGGTGATCGTGTCGCCGAGTTTCGAGCGGCTTTGCGTCGTGATGAAGGTTGGGATTGAGAGGGCTGCGCTGGCTTTGAGCATTTTGGTGGTTGTGGGGATTCTGTGGGGGTGTTGTTGTTGTCAGTATGTAGGTTGGGGGTTGGGGTTTGAGGAGAAGGTACAGTTTGGAGAATTCGTAGATCGGGGTGCGGAATTTCTCTTGGAGATCGCAGATACTGGGAAGTGAGAAAGAATATTGTTAGTATGTTGGCGGAGTGATTGGATTCGGGTTGGGATCGGTTTACAATAGTGCTGGATTGCCTGGATTGTATAGCCGGGTTAATTCTATGGCTGTCCTGCTATGTGGGGAGGGGATGCATTGAACTCACGGATGCGAGCTGCTCGTGAAATGGACGCCATTGTGAATGGATTGATGTGTGCAGTGTATATGGGAATACGATACTCGGACGATATCTGTGCCTTCAGCTGTATAGGCCTGGTGGCGGACGAAAGGAGGAAATGGCTGGCTTGAAATAGTCGAGAGTTGCAGCGGAGGAAGTCGGGCGGGGAAGTCCGCGAGGAGAAGAATCGCCGTGCGGGGAACGCTTGACACCTGGGTGCCTGAGGCATGAATATCATTGATGTCTATTCAACTTTTGGTATCTATATCCATTCAGTTCGTGTGTGGACTTTTTCTTTCCCTTTTTTATAGTTCCATTCAACCTTTTCGCCTCATCGACTACAAAATGATTTCTCGCACCTTAGTCCGCCCAGCAATCCAGCTACGGTCGCCCTTCAGAGCGGCCTGGCGGATGGCATACAGCTCGTCGAGGAATGCAGGCACGAAGCTTCCGGGTCCGCGAACGTGTTCCTTGGAGCCTGCGTTCTCGGCTGCGATCTCGTACATCAGAATACCGGAGAGGACAGCGAGTAGTTTGTCAGTTGGGTGGGTGGTTAGGAAGCAGCCGGAGACGGTGCCGACAGCGCAGCCAGTCTACGAGTTGTTAGCGTGATTTCTTTCTTAGAAACAGAGCGTGTCTGTTCGGCTTTTATGAGGGGATTATAGTTTGACGTACTCCCGTGACTTGTCCAAGCAGCTCGTGTCCGTTCTCAACCGCAAGCACTCGCTCTCCGTCGCTGAGATAGTCGACAGCGCCGGTAAGAAGAACGACATTATCTGTTGGGTTGGGTTAGTCTCCTATTCCGGAAATTCAACAAGGGGGCTATCCGTACGCTCTCTCCGGGCCAAATCCCGAGCCAACGTAGCCTTCGCTTGGCTATCAAGGTTGCTTGGTCCGCTGTCGACGCCCCGCTGTGTCACGCCACTGCTTCCATAGACCTGTCTAATCTCTCCTTCGTTTCCTTTGATGAGATCAAAGTATCCGCCTGCCATGAGCTGCTTAACAGCTCCGCGTCGGATGTGGGTGGCAGCTGCTCCGACGGGGTCATAGACGACAGGGTTGCCGCGGGAGTTGTAGGCCTTGATAGCCTTGAGATAGTTGGGAACACTCTCGCTGGTCAGGGTCCCCATGTTGATGAGCAAAGCGCCGTCGAACTGAGCGAGATCGACGGCTTCATCGCCGTAGGGCGACATGATCGGTGATGCGCCCCTAATTAGGTGTTAGGCAAAGGAGGATGAGATGTTTTTACCAGGTTCGGAGGACGTACATCGAAAGAGCAACATTGGCCACGAAGTTTGCTACAACAAAGTTGATCATGTTGTGTACTAAGGGATGAGCCTGAACAACCTTCTGGACGATGTGTGGCACATCTTCAACCAGAGAAGAGACCTCCCGAGCCTGAGGTGCCGGCCCACGCACGAAGGGTGGTGGAGTAGCAATGTGGTCAACGAAGGCCTCGGCGGCAGCTTTAGGGTCGTCTGCCGCCATGATAGCGCTGACAATGGCAACACCATCCAATCCCTTCTTAGGGGACTTGGACTGGTAGAAGACTCGTTGCACATTAGACAGGTTGATGCCGCCAATGGAAACGGTTCCGACAGAGCGGCCAGAGTCTGCAATGGCGTTTAGGATAGTCTGGGTGCCAGTCGTTCCAAGAATTTGTTTGGTATTGGTTTTCCTAGTCGATGTGAGTGTTTGATACAAGATAATTGAGTGCAATTCATCTGCGGCATGTTCACTTACGTGGGAGTCGCGAACATCGCTCCTATTCCGAGATAATCGGCGCCAGCATCAACGGCTTTTTGGGCTTCCTCGATGTTACCTGCGCTGATACCAATGATGGCATCTTTAGGCAATAGTTTCTTGGCCTCTTGGATAGCTATAATTGTTTAGTATCGAGGCTTGCACGTCCATGATAGACACGGTGACATACTCATATCATCCTGGCCAAGGTGAACTCCTTCAGCTCCCGCGGCAAGAGCAACATCCACTCGATCGTTGATCAGCAAAGGCACCCCATACTTCTGAGTAATCTGGTGCAGCTTTCTAGCCGTCTGCACCTGTTCCCCGGTGTCGCTCGTTTTCTCTCTGTACTGAACCACCGTCACACCTGCGCGACGCTAATCAGCTAGAAGAAATACCCGGCAACCGGCAGACCTTACCTCCTTTGAGGGCCTCTTCCACCACGGTGCATAGATCACGGCCCTTGAGGATGGCAGGGGTCGAGTCCGTGACCAGGTATAATGACAGATCCAACGGCATTATCTGGATGGAACAGTAAGCTCTTCATGGTCTTGATCCAGGTGGGATGGAGATGATGGCAATGAGGGGCAACGTGGGGCTCAACGCGACCCAGCAAACAACAACGGATTGTGCATGAAATTCACAGAGATTGCAGTAACTTACGGCAGGATGGCGGCCAATGGGCTACTGAGCCGTTTACCAGGATAGTTGATGCCGCAGAAAGGTGCGCAAGTCTGGATAAAAGCTTCCAGTGACGTTGGGGATCGGGTGGGGTCTGCGCCGAAGTTAGTCATACTGCGCCTGTAGGCCGACTGGTCAAACAATGCCAGTGTCTATCTTGAAACAGAATCATTAGTGAGTACGACTAAGGAGATATAACCAAAGAGAATGCTATTTTAAAATTGATATTGTCGTTTCTCAAGCAATGGGGCTGAAATTGTGGTCAATGTAGGGATCGTGCAGCAGCGGATATCCCGTAGGCATAGAGATATATATGCTTCAGCCGCCGACGCAAGTGCAAGTCTACATTTGGCGTGCCTTTCCAGTACATCAATTCCCTCATAAATTGATTGACAGTGACTATTAGAAGACAGCACTGTCTTTGACGACAGTGGACATTGCTACCAGGCTGCAAGAGCATTGGTTCATCGGCTGAGTACGCGTGAACTACGTAGTAGATTCGAAACGACAGCAATACTTTGTTCTGGACGATGTCTAGAAAGACATGCTAAATCCGAGCAGGACGAACCCCGAGGACAACTGGGTGTGCACCGTAGCGACTAATAATAATTATTAGCGAGTCAACAGGAGCAACAGTCGAGTCGAACAACGACAATAAAGGGAAAGCACGTGCTCTCGGAAGCGGACGGACCGGCGATCCGGCGGGAGGGGCTGAGTCAGCACGAACTTTTCACGGGTCTTGGCGGCCGATTCGGTTCGTCCCTTTTTTTATTGTTTGGCACCGTTTTTCGACCTTCCTTCTTCCTTCCTCTTTTCTTTCTCTCCCACCCACTTTTCCATCGATCGCTCATCGCAGTCAAACCATCATCAACCTCTCAGCCCTTGGTGCTGTTATTTCGTCTTCCAAACTTGCCAGGCTGTTAAATACAGCTTTAGGTACTTGCCTCGCGTTTTGGTCGCCTCCCACCTTTTCACTCTGGTTAGTCGTGTACGGTGTTTTTTATTGAAGTCTTTCCACCACGGTGGAATATCCGTTTGCGCGGGATCTGACCTGTTGTCTTTCGCCCTCTTCTTCCAGAAAAACCATCCGTTGGTTTCTCTCTCTACCTGCCAGAGAAAGCCACAGAATCAAGTCGCTCGAGAACTTGTCTATGTATTCGTCCTGCGTCAGATCTTTCGAACACCACCTGCCGCTCAAGCTGCAAACGTTTCGCATCGCGCCGAAACCTTGTAGTATACACCAAAAGTCCTGTGGCTGAAAGCCTGCCTTATTCGCTGTGACCAGTCGTTTCGTCGAGACGATCTCAACCGCCACCATTTTCTACTCAAGGAAATCAACTACGCATGTCTTGTTATTTCAAGACATCCCGAGTCCCGATTTCTTCCCGTCCTAGAACATCCTTCATCTAAAAAGACCATTCATTTTTTCTTGAAGAGACTTTCTTCTTCGTCATCATGGCCACTGTCAACATTCGTCGGGATGTCAGCGATCCCTTTTACCGCTACAAGATGGAGCGCCTGCAGTCCAAGATTGAGGGCAAGGGCAACGGTATCAAGACCGTCGTCGTGAACCTGAACTCGGTCGCCCAGTCTCTCAGCCGTCCGCCATCTTATGTGATCAAGTACTTCGGTTTTGAACTCGGTGCCCAGGCCAACGCCAAGCCCACTGATGATCGTTGGATCATCAACGGTGCTCATGATGCTGCCAAGCTCCAAGACTACCTGGACGGATTCATTTCCAAGTTCGTTCTTTGCAAGAAGTGCAAGAACCCGGAAACCGACGTTATCATCAAGGATGACAAGATTATTCTGGACTGCAAGGCTTGCGGCCAGCGTTCCGATGTTGACCCCCGTTTGAAGCTGAGCACCTTCATTCTGCGGAACACTGCCACCGGCAAGGGAGGAAAGAAGGACAAGGCGGCCAAGAAGGCTCGTCGTGAGCAAAAGAAGAAGAACGATGACACGGCGAACGGAGAAGAAAACGGCAGCCCAGGAGACAGCAACTCCGACAACGGCGATGAGAATGGCGACGAAGCCTTGGCTGCAAACAGCGATGATGAGCTTACTCGCCGCATCCAATCCGAGGCCAAGGGCATCGAGGCCGACGAAATCGAGGATGATGACTGGGCCGTCGATGTCTCCGAGGAGGCTGTCAAAGCCCGCGCTAAGGATCTCCCCGACGACCTGAAGCGTTCTCTTGTCCTCGAAGATGCGGAGGAGGATGGAGCCGATGGTCCTTCGGCCTACGACGAGCTTGGTAGTTGGATCCTCAACGCAGCCACTGAAAAAGGTGGCATTGCCAACGTTGACGATGTGGAAATCTACATCAAGGCCAAGGAGTACGGCATTGAGTCCAAGCACAAGACCGTTGCTGTCCTTGCTCAGACCATCTTCGATGAGAAGATCGTCAAGCAGATTGCTTCCCGTGCCGGCCTTCTCAAGAAAATGATCACTTCTGAGCGCCACGAGAAGTCTTTCTTGGGTGGTACCGAGCGATTCGTCGGCAAAGACCGCCCGGAACTCCTCAACCAGATCTCTCCCATCTTGCTTGGCTACTATGAGAACGACATTGTGTCTGAGGAAACCCTCAAGGCCTGGGGCTCTAAGGCCAGCAAGAAGTATGTCGACATCTCCACCAGCAAGAAGGTTCGCAAGGCCGCCGAGCCCTTCCTGCAGTGGCTCGAAAACGCCGAGAGCGAGGAGGAGGAAAGTGATGACGAATAGATTGCTGATCTCAAGATCCATCATTCGACTCTATTAAACTTTCTATGTTCGTGCCGTTACTTGTTAAGACCAACTATTATTCAATCATTCACTTTGCCGAATATCGGCTAAATCACTTCAGTGCTTTTTTTCGGGCAGAAAAACAGAACCAGTAAAAGAGACCAAGGGAATGTTATCAATTGGTCAGATAGCCATTCATCAATCAATCACTTCTCTTGAAATCTATTCATCCCATAATCTCATGGAGCAGGTTTACTATCGGTAACTAGGATAAGGGAAGTCAATTCCAGCATTTAATCTCGTAGTATCTATCAAATAGCTATAGAATTGGACGCCCAGAAAGGAAGATTTATCCTATGATAACTCTTTTGCAACCAATTGTCAAAATTTACATCGAAAATCGAATGCTCTGCAATATCCACAATATGCTCAAAACGCCAACATCGCAAATTTCAGCCCACTCCCGGGCATAGACCAGCTCTTCAAAGGCTCATCCTCGACCTCCGTGATCATGGGTGCCTGCATCTGGCGCGTTTTGGTTCTCGTATTCTTCGTCGTAAGATCAAGCACCTGGGCTCTTTGCTTCTCGAAAACAAACCACGTGAGGTCTGCGTTCCAGGTTGTCATTGCTAGGATGGCCGCTTCGATGGACTGGATCTCTGCTTCTGGTGAGGCGTTTCCCGCGTGACTCTGGAGATGATAGACGCTGTAATAGTCTGGGCCGGCGAATCGAGCGATCCATGCGCCTAGGAACTCGCAGATCTGGTCCCCTGTTGAGAGAGGTAGACGTACGTGAGTTAGGAGGGTTATGAAGAGGGAGAGGAGCGAGCGCCAGAGGCTGTGGTGGGGTGTGAATGCGCGGGTGCCAGAGGGAGCGGACCCTGTTGAGGAGAGGGAGAGGGATTGAGTTAGAGGGGCTAGGGTGGTGGTTTGGGCGTCCAAAGTCTGCTGCTGTGCTGCTCGTCGCTCGATGGCTCGTTCTGCGTCAGCGCTGACTTTCTCCCAGGCTCGACGGTAGAGTCGTTCCCAGCGGGGATATTCGTTTTCGATTCTGGAGGCCATGAAGTCGCCTGCGTTCTTGCACATTTGTTCAATGGCTAGACAGGCTGTTGTGGTGACGTAGATTTCTTCTTGGAAGTCGAGTTCTGAAGGCCCGGTTTTGGTTTCGGGGGTGGTAGTCTCGGAGTGGGTTTTGTTCATTAGGGCGTTGGATGAAGATGTGGGCCCAAATGAGGTAGGGAAGGTGATGCGTGCGGCTACTGAGGGCCATACATCGTTGATGAGTGGTAGGAAGCTGTTTTCGTGTGCTGCAAGGATAGGTGAAACCTGGATGAGGATGGAGAGGAGAGAACGGCGGAGATAGGGAGAAGGAGAGGATAGATGAGAGGGGATAGATTTGACGATGTGAAGCAGTAGATTGTGAGACTTATTCAATGGTTTCTCTTGATCGTCAGGCTCACGCGGGGGTGGCAATGACTCGTCGGGTTCTTGTCCCAGTGCATCGTCCAGGTTGATTTCTTGGTCCGACTGGTCGGGTTTCTTCGACTCTGTGGTCCACGGCTGCTTGGGATGTGGCATCTCGTGCGGCTCTTCGGATAGTTCTTCGGAATGCTTTGCACGCTTTGCTTTGCGGTTTGCTATGTCTTCCGCGAGGGTAGAGACCTGCAATCTCTTGTAGTGTTCCTTGCGATGATCAACAGATTTCCCTTCGCCATTCTCGATTGCGAGGAACATGGGATTCCTGGTCCCCTCCTCAACAATAGCGGCCAGTGTTTTGAACATGATTTCTACCAGCTTTGGATAACCATGGTATAAATCCAAGATTCCGAAAATTGAGTCCACCAGGTCATCGAGGTAAGGAATCAACCGCACGCCACACAGCTTGACCATCATGAATAATACTTGAGGTGGGTAAGGTGAAACGTCGAACGTATTGAGTTTCAACGCGATAGAATTAACAAGGTAGTCAACGTTGTCAATGATCATGGTGCTCGTGCTTTCATATTTGCAAGATGTTGTTAGAATGTTCAGACAAGTCATGGCATGTGTCTGGAGGTTGGAATTGCTGGAGGCTAGAAGCTGGAGCACAGGATACAATGCATCCATTAGCTCCGGGCGAAACGCTTCTTGAAGTTGTTGTGCTTGCAATGCTACCACTTCCAAGGCTAGTGCCGAGACTCGCCAATCTCTAGACTCATTGGCAAGGGGCTCATTAAGTATTGGGAGTGAGATGTAATATAGCTCTTCAATCATACTGGCCCTACTAGCAAGCAAAGAAGAAGAGCCGACGTCGTCAGATAGGAAATCGTCAAAAGCTGCTGAGGGTTGGGTGTTGCTTTTGAGGAATGCCAATGCCAACCAAAAAGGAGCAATTCCGACAGTACCGCTCCCTTGATGGATGCGATTGATGACCAAGCGCGTAATATCACCACCGGAATCGGATTTATTGAGGCGGAGAATCATAGACTGTAGATCTCCTAGAGTCTTTTGTTGACTCCTATGTTCCAGTAGCACAGGTGCAAATGAGATTGATTTACTGCCACTATGGATAACATCCAAGGTATGATCATTCGATGTTTCATAACTCATTTGTGTCGACTGATTCACTGCAGCAGCGACGCTATCGCATAAGCCTGATGCGAGACTGCTATTGAGAATATCCGATCCCGATTGCAGTTGGGACAGTATTTGAAACGCGGTCGATATTTGTTTGAGGGCCCATTGCTTGGCTGTTTCGTCATTATTTTGCATGGTCCTTGGAAAGGCAGTAATCCAAATATGCAGGGAGTTTTTCAGGGAGTCCAGAACGACCGGGTAGACGGTAGCAGTGTGTGAGAGTGAAGAAAATGCTTTGTTGGGTATTTGGCCCTCTTCGAAGTCCGACAGAACAACAAGAGTGTCGACAACGATAGGGATTGACTCGTGTAGAGTTTCCTGGCATTCTTCCACTACCATCAGGCACAACTCCAATAGTGACTCTTGCACCTCTTGCCTTTCGTGCCGCCGTATTTGGATGATGTTTGCAAGTGCAAGTTTCATCTGAGTGGCCGTAGCTTTCAGCCAAGATTGATCAAGAATAATTCGATCGCTCGCCTTCTCAGACTGAGTGAGTGACTCCGGTTCGGCGTTTGCGGCCAAATCGTTCAGGACTATTCTCAACATACGAGTGAGAATATGAAGACACAAACAGAGAAGCTTGTAAGAGCGCCGTGTCTGGGTCGAAGGTTTCAGGACTTTTACCAAAGCCGAGACAGTTCGCGGCATCACACTAGCAAGAACAACTCGGTCGGTAATGCGGCTGTAGAGCGCATCAAGTGCATGCGCAGCAGAGACACACACCTCGTCAGACTTTACGTCGACGGCGCCTTCCAACAGAATGTACACCGTTTGGTCTACAACAGTTGCCGTACCGATCTCGTGGTAAATCGTGCGCTCAGCAATAGGGCCCTCCAGCACTTTGAATATAGCCGAAAGACACTCAAATCCTGCAATGGCCAATTCCACAGGCTGGGACTTTGAAGCCTCGTCCGTGCCGGCCTTGCTAGGTGTGCCGCCCACGATCAACGTTAATAGGATCATGAGCTGTTTGCCCATCTGTGGGGATAGGCGCTCGCGCCATCCTTCGACAATGAGGAGTCGCAAGCATTTAACAGCCAATTCTAGGCAGTTAGCGGGGATCCTCTGGGTTTCGTTGAAAATATGCGATAAAGGAAAGAACGCATATTCTGCTAGCTTCTCGTCGAGTGCATTTTTCTTTGCAAGATCATTTAGAACATCATGCACTGGATGAAGAGCCTGGAGAACATCATTGGGCGATGCTTGCCGACCGCGAAATTTGAGGCCCACGGCACTCAATTCGACACATGGCGCACGAAGCTTATGATCTTGTTAGAATGGCTTCTCCAACTTTGCAACTTGAATCGATTTCATACCTGCTTGAAGCATTCCTGCCGCGAGCTGTCCATGGTAACAGTAGCAGAGCTGACAGGACTTCTCTAGTACTTGAGCATCAGGATCGTCACAATGGCCTCCTAGACAATTTGGACCAACGGGCTTTCCATCATTCTATCTGATGCCGAAGATGTCAAGAAGCTCTACAATCCTGACTAATGGAATTGACGTAGAGCCACCATCCCCGAATGGGAGGCGGTCAACATTTGTCCCGCAATACTGCCGGATGATGTTTGCACTGTTGGCATCGATCGGAAACACGTGACTTTAATTGATGCGCGTCACGTCGCGTTCCCGCACAGGCTGCCAACCGGGCAGGTGGTTGCCTTTGGCCGGACATCCAATACTCGACGCTTATAAGCAGCACTTTTCCTCTCTGTTGCCTCCACCGGATGCTTGCTCAGGGACTTACGGAAACGACGTTTTAGACAACGTCTATGTCCACTCTGCGTGATTCCGCGGTAATTGCGCTTCATCTACACTGTCGGAGACCTGTTACCCGTATCCCAACACAACGAGGTGGATTTCTGATTGCCTGTTGCGATTTCGCCGACAGAAATCGTAAGTCTTTTATTAGACTCAATCAGAGACATTCAGCAGCATCGTTCTCGACCACTGCGCTTTCGGTTCATCGTCCATTTGCGCTCTTCACCATGTCCGAATCCAATAAGGGTAGGAGGCAAGCTACGCTGGGGTATGTTCGTGATTCTCAATCAACTCTCGGGTGTGTGTCTGTGTGACTGCGGCAAGGATGCCAATCTGACAGACTCTATACGATTTTGCTAACTTTTGCTTCCGCTCGTAGGAGATTCTTTGGTTCCAATGCAGACCCGAAGGAGGCCCCCAAGAAGCAAACAACCTTGGCTTTCTCTGGGAAGAAAGATAAGGCCCCCAAGGCCTCTGCCGAAGGCTCTGCCGAAGGCTCTGCCGAAGGCTCTGCCGAAGGCTCTGCCGAAGGCTCTGCCGAGGTGAATGGATCTGCTGCGAATGCGGTTGACGCCGATGAGGTTGATGCAACGGAGTCTTCGAGCCGGAATACAGACACCGAAAAGACGAATGGAAAGCACGAATCAAATAACCTGAAGAGGGAGAACTCTAGAGATAATGAAGACAGCGATGGAAGCGATGTACAGCCTGTCCAGAAAAGGCGCCGGAAGAGTCCCCGGAAATCCGAACCCCCCGAATCGCCAAAGAAAAGGTCTCCTTCACCCAAGAGTCCGAAAGTGAAGAAGGAGACCAAGGCAAAAGAACCGTCCCCTGCCGCCGCTAAGAAAGCGTCCGGGGATGAAACCCCGGAAGCGGAATCCGAGCAGGAGTCACCATCTGCCAGCGAGGAGGAAGACGAGAAGCCAGGTGCCATGAAGGAAACTATGGCGAAGGTACAGGCTACATTGAAAGCAAGCGGGAATGAACCATACCCTGATTGGAAACCCGGCGACCCTGTGCCCTACGCGGCGCTGTGTACGACTTTCTCCCTTATCGAAATGACTACGAAACGCTTGATCATTTTGGCTCATTGCTCTCTGTTTCTGCGCCAAGTCCTTCGCTTGACTCCCCAGGACCTTCTCCCTACGGTCCAGTTGATGATCAATAAGCTGGCTGCGGATTACGCTGGCATTGAGCTTGGAATCGGCGAGTCTTTGATCATGAAGTCGATCGGTGAGAGTACAGGCCGAAGTCTGGCGGTCATTAAGGCGGACCAACACGAAATCGGAGACTTAGGTTTGGTGGCTGCTAAGAGTCGATCGAACCAGCCGACCATGTTCAAGCCGAGGCCTTTGACTGTTAGGGGCGTCCATGAAGGCTTATTGGGCATTGCTAAAGTTCAGGGCCATGGATCTCAGGATAAGAAGATCTCTGGCATCAAAAAGTTGCTTTCCGCCGCCGACGCTGCTACAGCGGGAAAAGGCAGCAAAGGCGTGGATATCACCAAGGACAAAGGCGGTCCTAGCGAGGCTAAGTTCATTGTCCGATTCTTAGAAGGAAAGCTGAGACTCGGACTCGCCGAAAAGACGGTTCTTGTTGCGCTTGCTCAGGCTGTGGTTGCACACGAGTCAGCTCTTAAGGGCGAGAAGGCCCCTTCCGCCGAGAAGATGGCGGAGGGAGAAGCGATTTTGAAGACCGTATACAGCGAATTGCCTGCGTACGAGGTTATAATTCCTGCAATCCTTGAGCATGGGCTACTGAAATTGGGTGAAGTTTGCAAACTCCAACCAGGTATCCCTATCAAGCCTATGCTTGCTAAACCGACCAAATCTATTACCGAAGTGCTTGATCGATTCGAAGGTAGGGACTTCACGTGCGAATATAAGTATGATGGAGAGAGAGCGCAAATCCATTACGTTGCCCCAGATTCTATTGACCAGTACCCCGGTGCCACGGCTACGCTACAAAGAGACACCAAGGGCCTTTCTGCAATTTTCTCCCGAAACTCCGAAGACCTGTCCAAGAAGTATCCCGATGTACTTGCCAAACTGGACGGCTGGATTAAAGAAGGTGTGACGAGCTTTGTGCTGGATTGCGAGACAGTTGCTTGGGATACCGAGAACAAAAAGGTTCTGCCCTTCCAGCAACTGATGACCCGCAAGAGGAAAGATGTGAAGGCGGAAGACGTCAAGGTCAAAGTCTGCGTGTTCGCATTCGATCTTCTCTTCCTGAACGGAGAGGTAATGAAATCTCCCCCCACATTGTTTGACATTCAGCGCTGACTCGAGATGCCACGAATTCTAGACAACCGTTAAGAAGTCATTGCGCGAACGACGTGAGCTGCTGCACCAATCCTTCCAGGGTATCGAGGGCGAATTCCAATTTGCCCAATACGGCAACACTAACGTTGTCGACGAAATCCAAAATCTCCTGGACGAGAGTGTCAAGGCGTCGTGTGAAGGTCTGATGGTGAAGATGCTGGATACCGAAGAGAGTGGTTACGAACCCAGCAAACGGAGTCGAAACTGGCTCAAGGTATGTTTTATTCGAGACGTGACAGGCGTGTCTGACTGGGAAATTAACTGTGAGTGTAGGTGAAAAAGGATTACCTCAGCGGTGTTGGCGACTCCCTTGACCTTGTTGTTCTTGGAGCATATTATGGCCGCGGAAAGCGCACGTCTGTTTACGGCGCGTTCCTCTTGGCGGCGTACAACTCGAGCACGCAAACTTACGAGACGATTTGCAACATTGGCACCGGCTTTTCTGAAGCCATTCTGGAGGAGTTCCACAAAGCTCTCTCCCCTCTCGTCATCGACCGACCAAAACCCTTCTATTTGCATTCGACGGTGCCGAAGGATCAGCCCGACGTTTGGTTCGAGCCGCGACTGGTCTGGGAAGTCAAGACGGCCGACTTGACTCTCAGTCCGCGATACCAAGCCGCCGCCGACGAATTTGTAGGAACGACGGGGGGCGGGAAGGGCGTGTCTCTCCGATTCCCACGATTCATTAAATCCCGGGATGATAAGAAACCCGAGCAAGCCACGACCACTCGCGCTGTGGCGGAAATGTATCGGAAACAAGAGGCGGTCCTGAAAGAAAATGCCGGCAAAGGTGGTGTGGACGATGATTTTGAGTATTAGCCAAGATGACAGGATTGGCGTCACCGAATCGACTTTACCATTGTATCCATACTCTAGATAATCTGTTATGATGACGAGCGTTGATTTTTTTTATTTGCAATTCAGCTCCGGGATGAGGGATCCGAGACAAATCCCAATGGCGACCGACCGGAAGGGTCAGTTGGAAATTAAACGATAGAATCGCGTAAGCCGCGATCCCGGTGCGACCGTCCGATTAATCAATCCGCGAGATGGGGCATCATAATGCCATCATGTCAGCCGGGAATATTCCCAGACATTGCTACTTAGTGCATTGGAACGAGGGCAGGATAGCGCTTATCACCGGCGGCGGACTCCGCATCGGGCGACGGATGAGGCTTCTCATCAGCCGGGTCTGTCGTGAAATGATGCCATCTGCAGACTAGAACCAACTAGATATGCCGGACTGGCTTGGCATTGCAACCCAAGACGTGGGGAAATGAGGGCAAATGAGGGCTAAGGAGGGCAAAGAGGACGATGTAACCTGTTTATCATTGCTTGTCCGGTGGGTCACGTTGTCAGCCCGCCTTCCCCCTTTAGGCAGGTCGCCCTGCCGTTCCCTGCGGAGTCCGGCTGCTTTCCTCGTCCATAAAAGCCTCGCCGGGGGTCCCTGCTGTGCTTTCTGACCAGGCATTCGAGCGTCGGAAGCTTCTCTTGCAGTCCAATTCTGTGAGCGTTCATCCTTTCCAGCATGGGAGCTTTTCGTTGGCTCTCAATTGCGGCCGCTTCGTCGGTCGCTTTGGCCCTGACCCCGGAGTATGTTCATCCCTGCGAACCCACCCCCGTACCATGGGCGTTGGCCCCCCGTTGTGGAGCTTGCTGACCGACTCGATCTACACAGACAATTGCTCAGTGCTCCCCGGAGATCTGAGGCGATTCCCAACCCTTCTGGTGTACGTTATTTTTTCCGATCAATTGACCTCAAGGTATCGATTGCGCCCGGGACGCTAACTGTCATTCTCAGAAACTCGCCGTGTTCTCGACGTCGCAATACTCGTTCGACACGCACAAGGGCAATTCCTGGTGGAGCTTGTTGGACCTGAAGTCTGGCGACATCAAGCCTCTCACCAATGACAGCAATGTCTCGGAGATTGTCTGGCTAGGTACCGATGACTCTACCGTGCTCTACGTCAATGGCACCAATGCAGAGGTCCCCGGAGGCGTGGAACTGTGGGTGTCGAAGATTTCGGACTTTACCAAAGGGTGAGTGACTTTAGTCATCTCTCGTGTAATACTTCGGCTTCAATGACTCATGAAACGGTGTGATAGTTACAAAGCCGCATCTTTGCCTGGTCCCCTATCGGGCTTCAAGACCGTCACCACTCACTCCGGTGATATCAAGTTCGTTGCGTACGCTGAATCATACGCCAATGGCACTGTGTACAATGAGGAGCTTGCGGAGACCGCGCTGAGCTCTGCCCGGATCTATGACAGTCTCTACGTGCGTCACTGGGACTTCTATCTCAGTACCAGATTCAACTCCGTGTTCTCCGGTACTCTGAAGAAGTCCGGCGGTCAGAAGTCTCAGTACAGCTTCAAGGGAGGACTGAAGAACCTCGTGTCCCCCGTGAAGAACGCTGAGAGTCCCTACCCGCCTTTCGGAGGCTCCTCGGACTACGACATTTCTCCCAACGGCAAGTGGGTTGCCTACAAGAGCAAGGCTCCCGATGTTCCTCGTGCCAACTACACCACGTCGTACATCTACCTTGTCCCCCATGACGGTTCCACCAAGGCTGTCGCTATCAACGGACCTGACAGCCCCGGAACTCCTAAGGGCGTTGCTGGAGACTCCAGCGGTCCTGTTTTCTCCCCCGGAAGCGACAAGATCGCTTACTTCCAGATGACTGACGCGACTTACGAGTCTGACCGTCGCACTCTGTATGTCTACAGCATCGGCTCTAAGAAGACCATTCCTGCCGTCGCTAAGGACTGGGACCGTTCTCCCGACTCCGCCAAGTGGCTTGACAAGAAGAACCTGATCATTGGCAGCGAGGACGAGGGCCGTCAGCGTTTGTTCTCGATCCCCGCCAATGCCGGCGACGGCTTCAAGCCCAAGAACTTCACGAGCAATGGCGCTGCCGGCTCGTACTATGTCCTTCCCGATTCCACCATCCTGGTCACTGGCAGTGCCATCTGGACCAACTGGAACGTGTACCTTGCCAGCCCCAAGAAGGGAGTCTTCAAGAATTTGGTGTCTGCCAACGAGATCGATGCCGAACTCAAGGGACTTGGACCCGCCGATGTTGACGAGTTCTACTACAAGGGTAACTGGACTGATGTAGGTGATCTTGCGCTGTCAGTTCCTCGGGAATCATGCTAACTGTAGGAAACAAAACAGATCCAAGCTTTCGTCATCTACCCCACGGACTTTGACAAGAGCAAGAAGTACCCTCTTGCCTATTTGATTCACGGTGGCCCCCAGGGCTCGTGGGCCGACTCGTGGAGCACCCGTTGGAACCCCAAGGTGTTCGCCGACCAGGGCTACGTCGTTGTCGCACCTAACCCCACCGGTAGCACTGGTTGGGGTGATGAGCTGACCGACGCCATCCAGAACAACTGGGGTATGTATCTCGCCTCTTGATGAACTCAGTTCAAGTTGCTAATGACATTTCGCAGGCGGAGCTCCCTATGATGACCTCGTGAAGGGCTGGGAATACATTCGTGACAACCTTGACTTTGTTGACACCGACAACGGAGTTGCCGCTGGAGCTAGTTACGGAGGTTTCATGATCAACTGGATCCAAGGAGGTGACCTTGGTCGCAAATTCAAGGCCCTGGCCAGCCACGACGGCACCTTCGTGGCCGATGCTAAGATCTCCACCGACGAGTTGTGGTTCATTGAGCGCGACGTGAGTCTTAGCCTGCCTTTACCACATATAATATGAGCTTATGCTGACCTTGCTTTGCGATCAGTTTAACGGTTCCTTCTGGGGTGCCCGTGACAACTACCGCCGCTGGGATCCTTCCGCCGTCGAGCGGATCCTCCAGTTCAGCACCCCTCAGCTTGTCATCCACAACGACAAGGATTACCGTCTCGCTGTCTCGGAGGGTCTGGCCCTGTTCAACGTCCTGCAGGAGCGTGGCGTTCCCAGTCGCTTCCTCAACTTCCCTGATGAGAACCACTGGTAAGTGCCACTCTGTATACACACCATAGAATGCCTGTATCAATTGCTAACCGGTAATCGAATTAGGGTTGTCAACCAGGAAAACAGCCTCGTGTGGCACCAGCAGGTCCTTGGCTGGCTGAATCGTTACTCTGGCGTCGAGAAGAAGAATCCCGATGCCGTCAGCCTAGACGACACTGTCATCCCGGTTGTTGATTACAACCCTTGATTGCTCGGTTAAACGTCTCGATTAATCATATTCTAATCCGAGAAGCCCGGACTGTCGATTTCTCGATAGGCCCTGTACAGGTAGACATTTTTTTGGTTCTTCCTTGCCATGATACATGATGCACATACCTAGCTTAACATAATGAATTACTGGGGTTTTTGTCTTGCGATTAGTTCTATCACTTCTTGAAGTTGAGAAAGTGTCTGTGTGACCTTCTGGATGACGTGATTCAATATTGCATATCTTGCAGTGCATACCTAATTAAATGACAGAGGACGTGGAATAAATCATAATACATTAAGACGTAAGCAAAATCGTAAATCAAAAAGCAGAGGAGGCCTCCTCATAGGAATTTCCTCATCAGCGTCGTGTTCATAGTTGGGAATCAAGAAAAATCATAGGCCAGAAAGCAGAACTTTTTGCAGCATCCTCCTCGCAGTCTGTCAGCAGCCATCATTGTCTTCAACGTCATTTCCTCATTCGCAATGTTAGTCATTGCCATCTTCGTCGTTCCCATCTTCGTCACTTGAACTTTCTCCGTCTTCATCATCTCCATATTCGTCGGATCCATCTTGGTCATCTTCAGTAGTCTCCTCCTCATCATGCTCGGTTTGATTTTCCTCCATAGCATGAACGAGGTCGTCTATAGAAGCGACGAGCTTCTGCAATTTCCCCTTAGTCCGCATGTAAGCACGTTTCTTGGCGAGGTATTTCTGGTTAAGATCAACACTGAGCTTGTGAATTCGACAAGAGACTTGAGTGACCCGACGCGTTTCCTTGTAGATTCGACCATTCAAATCGCAGGTCCGATCAATCAAGTCGGCGGCCTGGTGAATTATTTCGCGAACCTGTTCAGTTGGCTTGCTGACAGCATCCAGCGCTTCGTAGAACAGGATCATTGCTTTGACGAGCTCCTTCGTTTCTTCCGAGAGATTGACAGGCTGGTTGCTGGTGCTGTCTTTGGTTCCAGTTGAAGCCATTCTGATGGGCGGTTCGTGTTCAGCCTTTCAAGTTCGAGTTCTATGTGAGCAAATTCAGAGTATTCAGAGCAGGCTGATTAAGAATTGAGGATGTGGTGGTTGACGATCAGATTGGTCACATTGGGGCCTGTCTAGCGAGGCAGGCTGTGTATGATGAAGAAGGGATATCAAGGTCTTCTTTCACCTTTCGAGGTCAATTGATCGTCAAGAGAATTGATCAAATGACAAATTCGGGCTGGATATGATTCAGTCAGGATTTGTTGGACGATTACCAATGGAAATATGAGAGATAGGTCAAGTTGAAGAGAAAGGTTGAAATTAAGTATTGATGAGACGGTAAGAATGAATGGAGATTAAGATGGTTAAGTAAAGTTAGATGACAGTCAAACTAAATGATCCAGCACATAGACACATGTCCATTCCTGTATGCGATTACTTGTAATCAGCACCTTTTGGAACAAGGCAAAGCTGGGATTAAGGGCTATGCGAGTCAGAACAGACAGCCTTGAAGCTGAAGGCAATCCTCAATAAATCGTGGAAGAGAATGTGGAATGCTAGTATCGAGTAAGATAGTGGGCTATGTCGTCGTCTCTAGAATAACACGATATTTTCGAGCTCCGTCTCTTACGTGAACTTTCTGGGGCTGACTTATTGGGGATTTTCCTAGTGGTGTGAGGAATTGGAACTATGCAATATGCCTTTCGAACTACATGAACCCTGTATAGATCATTAACAACGAAAACAACCGTTTATATTTCGGGATATTCACTTGCAAATGACCTGACGACTAAAGTTGTTGGCGTATGAGACCACCTGTGCGCGGACCAACTATTTCGGAAGTAATAAGGAAATGTAATTCTTTATGCAAGCTATCTCGCCGCCTGTTTCATCCAGCTAATGGGGTTTGGTAATAGGCGCCGCGAACTAAAGGCAACGGCGTTCGATCGGGCCAAAGCGTGGCGGCGGCGGCCTTAGCAGCTTCGCACTGTTTCAGATCAACCAACATTCCGACTTGGGCAAAAAGATCGATCTGGTTCGTGACCCAGTATCTGCATCCCACACCCATTGAGGTGAACTCGTAGCGGTGGCGTCCATGCTCGGTTAATTTGTGCAAGACTCCCGCCACCGTAAGCCCGGGAATCACATCGAGCGGAAATGCCATTACGGCGTCGGGTGGCAGGGCCGACTCTAGCTCGCCGACGGTCAAAACCGCCTTGGAACCTCCGTCGAGGATGGTACTCGGGACGACGCCACTCGCTTGACAGTCCACGGCGACCGAGATACCCTTGGGGGTCAGGAGATAAAAACACCAGTGGTTTGTATTGTCAGATTGGATGTGCGGCGCGGCGTAGATGCGCGAGACGGGGATTTTTAATATCTGGGCTTCATGCGACGCCGGAACGAACCGAATGGGCTCGTAGTCGGGCATGGCTAGAGAGTGGGTAGACACGAGGGGATTATTAGCTGCGCCGGGGGGAAGGGGGGCGAGACTCGTCTCGCGGAGCGAAGAAGCATTTATCTGCTCAGACTGCTCCATAGCAGATGTACGTACTTTGCTTCGGTTGAAGCCTAACTTCCTTAGTGCTTGTTTGAACCCCACTTTCATAGAGAAGACTTTTCCGATCTAGCTTGCTTTGAGCGTGAGTGACTTAATTTCCGTAGTCATTCCTCTTGAGTAGTGATGGTTAGTGAGCATGAAGACGAGGGAGAGCTCGGGGTTATATGCTGCAGATATGCAACGGCCATTCGGAGGCTCCCGGACTGATCACTGCAACTCCCGTGATTCTCGTAGTATCTTGCGGGAGGAATCCATGGAGAGTTAGTCTTCGACGTCATGAAACCGGAGGTCGTAACTCGTTACTCGTCGGACCAGCAGGGTCCACCGGGGACGAGCACATGGTCGAGCGAGTGGATGAGAGAGCGAGAGAGCGACTCTAGCGGCTGTCACCTCCCGCGCGGTGGGGAAGGCGGTCACGCCAATTGGCAGTACCCTGGGAGCTCTAGCCTCTCTAGACTCACGTAGCGTGCCTCATCCCCGTCCTCAGTTACAAGGTACTGCTATCTATCGCTACCTCTCAATCGCCGCTGCCCTGCTCCACTGTCTCTTGCGCCCATATTTCCCCAGCTGATTGTTTTGCTGTTTCTCCCTGTCCTTTTCTCTCGATTTCCCACCCTCATAATGCTTCGTGTTGCCCGCGCGACCCTCTCCAATTCCTCTGCCTAATCAATCCCTCCTTCAATCCCTGCGAATCCCTTGCGACTAAGTCTCGACCTCCCTGTTAATCCATTTTAGGGATTGCACTGCTACTCCGCCCAGAATGAGGTAAATCCCAAATCCACCCTGCCTCTGTATGCCCGTGAATGCTCATCTTCACCCCGCCCGCAGGTTCGGCGAACACCTTGGTTCGTCGATGATCAAGGAGTACTACTGGTACTACATCGCCTACGAAGACCTCAAGAAAGCGCTGAAGACGGGATACGTGACTGAGCCGACCCCAGAGAACACGAAACCCGATCGCAAGCCATGGACGGAGGATAACGAGAAAGACTTCGTCTCCTTGCTGGAGAGCGAGCTCGACAAGGTGTTCAACTTCCAGAAGATCAAGAGCGAGGAAATCGTCCGTCGCATCCAGGTCAGCGAGACGGAGGTCAACAGCGTCATCTCGCGTCTCGAGAGCTCGACCGACTCGCGTCGTCAAAGCATTCGTCCTGGCGCTGCTCCGCCGTCCGATGAGGATTTCCTGACGCTCGAGCAAGTCTTGAGTGACATCATCGCCGACGTCCACGACCTGGCCAAATTCACCCAACTGAACTACACCGGCTTTCAGAAAATTATCAAGAAACACGATGTAAGTTATGGAATTAAACTTTTGTCATCGAATCGGTCGGGAAAAAAATTTAAGAAAAAAAAGAAGCGCTTCGTTCATCTATCTTAACACATGAGTTTAGAAACAAACGGGATGGTATCTCAAGCCGGTCTTTGCCGCCCGACTCAACGCCAAACCATTCTTCAAAGATAATTACGACGCTTTTGTCGTGAAGCTATCCAAGCTATATGACCTCGTCCGTACGAAAGGAAACCCGGTCAAGGGAGATTCGGCGGCCGGAGGCACTCAGCAGAACTTCGTCCGTCAAACCACGAAATACTGGGTTCACCCCGACAACATCACGGAGCTCAAACTCATTATTCTGAAGGTAACCAATGATCGCCCCCCTTCTCAATGTCCTTCAACTAACTAGAACAGCACCTCCCAGTCCTTGTTTTCAACCCGCAAAAAGACTTCGAGGAGAAAGATACCGCGATTTCGTCCATCTACTACGACAACCCTGAGACATGGGAGCTTTATCAAGGTCGCTTAAAGAAGACAGAAGGTGCGGAGGCTATCCGACTGCGTTGGTATGGTGGCATGGAAAGCGATCAGATCTTCGTCGAGCGAAAAACCCACCGTGAGGACTGGACCGGAGAGAAGTCGGTGAAAGCTCGATTCTCTCTCAAGGAGAAAAACGTCAATGCGTTCCTCTCTGGCCGGATGACGGTAGAAAGCATTTTCGATAAAATGCGACGGGAAGGGAAAAAGAGCGAGGACGAGATTAATGACTTGGAGCAACTGGCCCGCGAAATCCAATATCGCGTCATTACCCGCAGATTGATGCCCGTCACGAGAACCTTCTATCACCGAACTGCCTTCCAACTTCCTGGCGACGCAAGAGTTCGTATCTCTCTCGACACGGAACTGACCATGGTCCGGGAGGACAATCTTGACGGTCGACGGAGGGCTGGAGACAATTGGCGCCGTATGGATATCGGCGTCGATTTCCCATTCTCGCAACTTCCCGCTGAGGATGCTGAACGATTCCCCTACGCCGTTCTCGAGGTCAAGCTCCAGACGCAAGCCGGCCAGGAACCGCCTAAATGGATCAGAGAGTTGACGGCCAGTCATCTCGTGGAGGCCGTTCCCAAGTATAGCAAATTCATCCATGGAACGGCGACGTTGTTCCCCCAACGCATTCACCTTCTTCCTTTCTGGATGCCGCAGATGGATGTCGACATCCGCAAGCCGGCGACACGCCAATTCGGTATCCAGCGACCCCTTCAAAGCACATCTATATCTGCCAATGAGACGCAAGAAGACGATGACTCGGATGACGAAGAGGACTCGGAAGGTCCAGGCAATCCCAGAGTGGACCGCCGCCGAATGGAGTCAAATGCGGACGAAAATGGTCTATTCGACGACGCGGATGGAAATGCTCTGGACATTGAGGAACGCATTGCCGCGCAGCCGCTGCCCGGGGATGAGGATTACCCGCTGTACGATTCTGATGAGGAATCGGTTGACTCTGACGAACTGGAGGAGGCCCGACGAGTCGGAGGAGCTTACTACTACCAGCAATTGATGAAATATTACACTCACCGGGCTGGAAAAGCAATGTTGCACGGATGCAAGGCACTTATCCCACGTCCCAGACCGACAAACCTGCCAGCTCCTGAGCAAAATGGCATCAGTGTTATCGGAAACCAGCGAACTCACCAACGATTTGCGGCTCCCAAGGGCAAACGTAAGCAACCCCCCACCTCGCTTTCTGTTCATTACCATGTCATCGAATAGTAGAAATACTAACCAACCGCAGGGATTCACGTTCCCGTTCGTGTGGAACCGAAGGTGTACTTCGCAGCCGAAAGAACCTTCCTCTCTTGGCTGGAATTTTCGATCCTGCTGGCTACGATAGCAGCCACCTTGCTGAACTTTGGAAACGATTATATCACATTTGCCTCGTCATGGGCATTCACTATCCTGGCCGCCTTGGCTCTGGTATACAGCCTCATGCTGTACATCTGGCGCGTGGATAAGATCCGCAAACGACGAGACGTCAAGCGCGTTTACTACGAGAAATGGGGCCCTACTATCGTCGGAATTAGTCTTGTTGCCGTGGTCATGGTCAACTTTGGACTGCGGATGCGACAAGTTGGATTCACGTCCAAGGTTGTTGACATTCAAATGGGCCGAGTATTGGACGGCGGACAACTCCATGCGGACGAACTCTGATGAGACCATGCCTTTTTTCCTGGCCCATCTCCAATTCTTCGAGCTCTGACATACCATTCGTTCTATTCATGATCTTCTCTTTCGCCCATCATCATTCTTATGAACTTTTTCGGTCCACATATTTTGAAACGTCTGGCTTATGCTTCATTCCCCTTTCATTTCCCCCTGTTATCTTTTCCTGGCACGTTGGCAAAGGCGCTGACTAGACTGAGTATATGAGCAATCATGGCACGTACGAAACGAAATTTCCCTGTACAAAAAAAGCGTTCTCTGAAATTGGAAAGATGTGTTGCTTGTTTAGTTGTTACTATATGTTGAGAACTCGAGTAATTAGTGAACAGGGCAGCTATTGCTCATGAAAGTGAATAAAAATCCAGCAGTTATGACAACTTGTACGGTAAATGGGGCTTGAATTTGTTTTTATCTCCAGAAGACCACGGGAGTGCAACTAATAATCCAACTATGGCATATACACACAGATTACACAAACACCAAACACCATTCCTCCGTTATAAGTTGAACCCGTTGTGATTCGACGCGACTGACTCATCCGACATGGGGGGGGGGGGGGGGGTTCGCAATCGCATCAATCTAGATATTATGTAGTCCGTTGCATCGTAATCTCATCAACCAGCCTTTCGCCTCCATATCAGACAAGCGTACCCCCGACGCGACGAATGCTTCTCCGCGCGCCGTCGCCCAAAACATTCACGTGGCCTTCAGTCTCCAGGGCCCGCACTGCGTCTGTAAACTGGGCCCCGTCCAAGGCGTTGTTTTGCTCGTTCAGCACCCGGAAAACCTCCGCCCAGCGCGCCGTACCGCCGCTGCCAACCTCGTCGACGGCTGATAGCACGCCGCGCTTCAGAGTCTCGCGTTGACGCCGCTCGCTGGCGCTGGTGCCCTCCGTCAACAGGCCCATGTCAATCAGTCCGGTGCGAGAGTCCGTTGCGGCCTGCTTGATGGCCGACCGGATCAGACGCACCGCCTCTTCCACGTCGCCGGCGGTCACCTCGGGGGACAAACGCATACGAGCGTGGGCCTCCGATAGACGGATCATAGACTCCAGTTGACGAGTCGTGGCAGTGATTCGTCGGTCAGCAGAGCGGATGTCGTCTCCCAGCTTACGCATGTTAACATAGGCATCGGAAAGGACCTTGCCTGCCGCAGGCGTCAAAACCGGGTGGACCTTGTTCTTGGCATAAGTGATATAAGCCGTAAGGAATTCAACGGGCTAAAAGATACCATCGGGTTAGTCACGTATACTGTATGAATCTGAAAGCTATTGAACTTACCAAAATCTCTTCCTCGCTGGCATTGTCCGGTCTGTCCTCGAGATACATGTTGACAAGATGCTTTGCCAGACGACGATCTTCTTGTTCATCCACGCGATCGAGCACAAGGTAGACCAAGTCAAATCGAGACAGGAGAGTGGGAGGCAGATCAATGTTCTGCGGCACTGGCAGGTTGGGGTTATATCTGCTCCCAATGGGAT